TACCATGCGGGATTTGACGGTCTACTGCTGCCGGCATTGGGCATTGTTTCACCCACTGGCACTGTCACTTGACTGCGACTGGCTCACTTTACTCCACTGAGAATGTCGGCAAAAATGACCAGTAGGCAATTGTTCTTTACTTCTTTCCGCCTCTGCATGGTCCTTTGGGGTTACACAGGCAGACGAGATATTACTCCACCCTCCCCATTCCGGCCTCGCCGTTCAGGAATGGAAGGTGACACACGAGTCTTGCCGCAGTGAGCAGGCCCAACACTCGGAGGGGCGTCATTCTTCTCACGAAAACAAAATTATCTGGCGCCGTCGCATTCATGGCGTGTCGGCAGGGAAGAACCCGTGTTTTTTGTCTTTGAGTGAAGCTATCGTCGCCTGATATGCTCGCTTTTGAACCTAGCCCAGCGGGCTAGGCTTGGAGTCGTGCTGAGTGGCTGGGGACCGAGTGCCCAGAAGGTCCCTTTGCGCCCGACTCTCTGGGTTGATCTGCCGACCCGTCTTTGCTTCTTCTTGTCTTTTCATTCGTAACGATCATCTCGGTCCATGCCGGCTTTGTGTTGGTCTTTCGTCTGTCTTGAATAGGACGCTTACTAGATCATCATCGTAACGAAACCGAGTGCGTGTTGCGAGACATAGCCTCACTGTAAGCAAGCACAGGTATCATCGTCGTTCGAGGGAGCTCGCCTATGTTCTGAGCCTCGGTGTAGCTTGCCAAAGGACCATCTTCCAAGAGACATGAGATGGTTTAGGGGAGAATTGGATGCTGTGGCAACCAATCTGGCTACCATCATTGGACTCTTCGCCTGGCTGTCTCGACTGGGCAGTCCATCTACAACACGATATGATTTTCAAGATGCGCTATGTGGTGTTCTAGCAAGACTGATTGGTACAAATGCTTGCATTGAACTCTGGCTGCACAGTAATCATGGGAAAGCTTCTGACAGTCAGGGCAAGCCACCCATGACTCTCCACTGGCTCGGGCCTGCAGCTCATTGGGAGCTGTCACGCCTTCATGTCCATTCCTGCCCCACAATGACTGGCCGTTAATGGGTTCTATATGACATTTACTGGTGGCTTCGAGCTATCTCTGGTCTCGTATATGCTGTGAATACTCTATCGCTGTCCTCACAACCGCGGAACTTCCGCGGTCGATCTCGATGAATCTCGGTATATCTCAACTGCCTCGTTCTCTGAAGCCATCTTTAACACTCTCCAGCGAGTCAGTGCAAGAGGGGATAGTTGTACTCGAGACAATCGTAGAGTATATTATGGCGAGCCGGCACTTGCTGTCGTATCATTCACTGGCGGCCAACCGGCCAACAGTTTCGTGTAGTTGCGCAGTGATACCCAACGTCCCAGGGGCCCCTGATTTCGGATGAGCCGGATCTCATAAGCGCCTGGACTTTGTTCTCGTGGTACTGTACGACCTCTACGGTGGTCATGTTCGCGGAGAGATGTCCGCTGGGTGCCCTGGTGGTGAGTGACAGCTTCTGACGAGCGGCAGCACAAGATGACTCCTGTCGGCTGTCGTGTCTTCCTTCATGAGACCTAACCCCGTTGATCTTGCCGACTGCCAAGTTCATTTCATTTACTTCTGGGCTATCGGTTGCTAAAGATGGATCATCGTATCGTACAGCATGTGTCAACCTCAACCTGGCGCTCAGTGTCTAATTGCCTGTCTGGGACACAAGATATGGCCCTCGACGCCATGCGGCCACCTCTTGTCACATCGGCACATATCCTGCAAGTTACCCGTCATGATCGATCCTGGCTGAGGGACCAGCCAGGCATTTGTCATTTATCAGGCGTAACGGTAGAATGCCCAGATACTGTGATCCTGTAGACATCCATGGTTGACGAGCCGCGTTGTGGTTACCCCTGCCGGGCCATGTGCAGCAGCCGCGAATGAACATCGTGACTGAGATGCGGGAGGTTTGCCCGCACGACTTGTTTCCGCACACGGAGTACATGGCGACAGAGGGCAGGACATTGTCCCGCGCTCGAATGCACACGCCCCCCTTGTCCTCGCCCGTCAAGCCAGGCTGCGAGGCCAAGCCCGGCCCACCTCGCCCAGGGCAGATTGAAGCTATTTGCAACCACCATTCGCCGTGGAACCAGATCGAGTACCGCTTGCATGAGCAGGATCTGTTTCAGGACAGAGTGCGTACTCTCATCGGCAACGGTCAGGCATTTACTGCATGCAGAAGCAGTGTTCAAGCTCTCTGTCACCAAGAGTGGCTGACAGGCACCTTGCAGCGCGTGGTCCTCCCCAACCTTAGATCCTTTGGAGTTTCTGTTTCATGCCAAGGTGGGAGAGGACGGCCTCCAAGAACTCATGGCTGCCTCCGTGATATTGCCGACCGGCCGTTGATCAACACTGCACAGCCAATTTCGCGAGAACTCTCCCTGAACGGTAGCTCTCGTGATCCTCCTGCGCGGTCCGGCTCGCCACCCTCGAGGCCGCGATCGCCCCATGGCTCAACAGTACGCCGAGGGCAAATTAGACAGCGTAAGTAGCGTTCTGCAGGTGATCCGACGTCTCTACTGATCTGCCCGTGTCAGTCTGCCTCGCGTGCTCCGCCCAGAATAGCCTGCTTCTTCATCCGAACCCACAACGAACATCCAGGCACCGTGCCTGCGTGCCCACGTCGATCCAGCCATGCGTTTCAGGGAAGGATTTCCATCCATCTCTCCGCCCGTCTACCCAGGTCGATCAGATCTATCTCCACCCACAGTGAACCGACCATATTTAGAACCACGAGCCCTTGTCCCTGCCTTCAGGCGTCAACAAAGAGCCGCCGTTGACGCGACCGCACCTCCACGATTCCCAGGCAGGCGGATTCGCAGGCTCGCGCAACCCACTTAGACGCGAGCACCAGGGCCCTGGATGCCCCAGCCATACGCAAGAGGGAAAGAGGCGGCCGTTCCTGCGATGCCCTAGCCCCGTCGCAAGGCCCTCTGCCGGCAGGGCAGGGGCCACAGTGAAAGCCTGAGCTGTTCGCCGCCCGCCACCGCCCGTGTGCGAGGGTTGCGCCTTGCCTGGTGAGCAAAATGTGGAGGGGCTTCCTTCCCGTGGTGGAGGATTTGCCGCGATACGGGGGGTTTGCTTCCAGGCAACAGAATAAAAAAGTCTCCAGATAGGCGCCAGCTAGCGCACGGGGCGCGTCTGGGCCGATTGTTGTGGTTGTCGTTGAGGCTGCTGGCCCATGGGCGCGCAAGGGGTGGGAGACGGGAGGATGAGGCAGTGCACTCGTGGCCAAAAAGGGGCAGACTGACAAGACGGACCGACACTCGACTGCCCCACCCTGCAGGGGGATTCGACAGCAATAACGATGATGGCATCAGAATCACAATGAGACATCACTATTAGTGTCGCAGTGGCGTTCATATCTGGCGGCGATTGGAGCCGGTGAGGTTCGTCAAACGGCGTTTGGATGAACCCCCCTGCTCCTTGTCGCCACGCATCGCGGCTCTTGTCCACGATGGCTCCTTGAACGTGGGCTGGAATGACAGCTTGACGCAGACGGAAGTGGAAGGTCTTCTTCCATTTTTACACACAAGGATTCTACAGGGACCACTGGTCTTGCCCAGTCGACGCGGCTATTTTCAGTCGTTCGGTCCCGTCGTCGATAGTCCCAGCACCGGGCGGGAACGTCACACCGAGATCACCACGCGATGGGTAGACGAGACGCGGATTTGTGCCTTACCAAGCACTTACTGTCACTGCCTAGGGCTGTTCGTGCTTCTCTTCTTGCTGCCGGGCTGTGAAGGTGGATGGATGGATGCCAGCACAGGGAACTATGAGGCCGAATTTGTCATCGGGAAATTTGCCTGTCAGCCCTCGCAGACCCCACTGGTGAGCCTCACGAGGACAGCTCTGATGGGTCATCTCCATAGGATGTGGATGTCATCACGAGGGAAATGGCCTCGTTGTCTCCGAAGGGTCCGCAAGCTGGCATGGTGCTCTCGATGCGCATACGAAGTAGGGTGACCGACGCACACTCTGTATCAACTTTGTCAAAGATACGTCCAGAGAGTTGATTCAATTCTATACTCTGCGAGACAACGTCCTGGATTATTCGTCCTGTGCTTATCTGAGGATTTCTTCCCATTATTTGCCTGTCAACAACATGACTGATTGCAGCGTCAAGTGGACTCTGGGCTGCCATGCTCAGCAACGGCCTCTGCTGCTGTATCAACAGCACCGATGCCGTCACCAAAGACCATACTGGCGTTAAATCATCTTTATTATCAGCTCAAAATTTTTGATGGACCATCAAAGCAGTCTTGCAGCCACGGCGCTGCCGTGCCCATTTGATACGGGGCAACTTCGTCGACAGCGGTAGCACCAAGTTGTCTTGAGAAGGCGTTGCCGTGAAACCACCCAGAAGCAAGCCGTTCCCAAGTATCATCAGATGCAAACTCCCCGATCTCATGTGACTGACATGTATGTAGCCTACTCCGAGTCCATGTATCGCTCAATCAGCTCCTCCCCCCGAGTTACCCGTCGCCCGGACGACTCCATCACAGTCCTGCCGAAACTTCGACTGCGGATCAAGGCTGCCGTCGACGAGAAGAGTACGCAGTAATTCAATATCCCCCGAGCAAGCAACTTTGATATCACACCGCCCCTTCAGGTTGCCAGCTTATGGTCAAGAGGGACCAAGCCTCTTGACCAGCCGGTCCATAATCTCGACGTGGTCCTCGATCTTTTAGGGATAGGCTGTCGTCTTCGTTGCTTCCTTTATCTCGAGCACTACGGCGGTTTGGCCATTCTTGTCAGCAAGTTGCGGGTTTGCTCCATATTCGAGGAGAAGATTTACAGAGTGTGCAGTCCCCGAAACGACTGCCAGGTGGAGGGCGGTTCGGCTCAGTGCGCTGGCTCGCTCGTTAATGAGTGCTTTGTTCTGGAATAGGAGATCCAGAACCTGGACATGACCGTGGCCTAGGTTGCCACGGAACTCATTGGCTGTTATCTGCAGAGGGTCTCACCGGAAGAAGCCCTGCGTCGACATCTGCCCCTTTGTCAAGAAGCATAACGACAGCCCACTTGTCTTGCCGCCGCACATGCAAATGCAAAGGTATATTGCCTGTACCGCAGGCATGTAAGTTCGGCTCTGCGCCGTCCGGAGAAGTACGACCAAGGTCCCGAGACGATACTTTTTCAACGGCAGAGACCCCACCCCGAAGAAGACTTTGGTCAGTAGAAAATCTCCATTCTTATCAGACATAATAATTCCGGCTCCGGCATGTACCAGCAGCCAAATGAGCCTGACGTAGCCCTCCATCTGGTCGTTCTCGACAGCCGGGTGCGATGCCGATTTGCCTGACTTCTTAATCTGTACACCAACATTAACATCATGTTTGATAAGATCACTGACACAATCGTTGTTCCTCTTGCTTGCTCCCTGGGACGCTGCGAGGAGTGGCGCACAACGTAAAGTCTTTCTCGTGCCAAGAAAGTACCCCTTCTGTAAGGGAAATTTGACGGCCATGGCCTTGTCTTGTTTGCAGTAATCCCTCACTAGGCTGTGCATCCTGTCGAACTGATCAAAAGGCACAACTATACGGGTAAATTTTGCTTTCGTGGCATCGGACATGACAGAAGTCAGAGCGCCCGCTGATGCCGCCGGCCCTTGAAGATCCAGTGGTGGCCAGCATTGATCCTAAAGACATTGTGTACCGCACTTTCTGGATCATCTTGATAAGTAGCTGCCTTGAAAAATCTTGGTGGCCAGCGCCTCCAGATTTATGTCAACGCATGTTATCTCAATACGTCCGGCGACAGGGGGTAATGATAGCTCCCCGTTACCGAGGGCCACAACTATGGCGTGGGATGAGTTTATTAAACCAACCACTGGCTTAAAATTTTCGGTTCAAAGGTCGCAGTCCAGCTCTCAAGTCTTCTTCATTGTTAAATTCTTGAAGACTTCCTTAAATTAGTAAATGTTGTTATTATTTTATTCTAAAGCTGCTTTCTTACACTACCTGTTATCTAATTTCACAACAGTGCTAAAATCGTTAAATTTTGAGTGGAATGTTAAATAAAATGTTGATTCTATGTGAGTCATAGAGGCAGATTCGCTTTCAAACCCAATTGCCGATAATTGTTACTTCAGCTGAGAAACTCAAGACCCGCTAATCCCTTGAGGTGTCCGAAGAAACATTGGGAAAAGCCGAAATGCTGCGCGCTGTGGAATCACCAAAGCAAGGAATTGCGAAGCTCATCGGTCGCCTGTGGCTGGCGACTTAGACTGAGGCAGGAACAATTAAGTCAACAGACCAATCCTACAAAAGGCTGGGATGGTAAGGCGGGACAAGGCCATTCTGAAGCAGTATTTAGACGAGATTGAGAACCTGTCGACAACTTGGATATACTCGTTGATTACGGGGTGCGAGAGGGCGAAGAAGACGACATGGATAAGCTTTTGCCTGGGCTCGTTTCTTTCAACGCGAGCACAACGGCAGCCGAGCAGATCGAGGAAATCGGTGATGTGGCAAGGCATCAATGCCATGCCGGCGAGGAGGCAATCAAGTCGCGACCTATGTTCAGCAGTTCAGACTGGTTGCGGTCGCGGACAAACGCGACGACGAGGATACAACCTCCTTCAGAGAGGCACCTTGCTCCCATTACGACGCTGTCGGAGCTGCAGCTTCGACATATTCGACTCAGAATCGGAGGAGAGTTGCGGGGAGCTGGGATCGAGCCCGCATTGTGTCGGGAAGAGCCAGTATTTGTGCAGTGTAAGGTTGTGGAGGGTTCAGAATGTGTGGTTTCAACCAGCAGATGAATTGTGCTCGCGGTTTCCCGATCCATGAGTCTTTTCACTCGCTTTCCTGCCTGCGGCTTTTCTCACTGCAGGACTAGCGTTCGTTCGTGCTGCCAGCAAACTCAGTCGATTTGAAAGTGATAGGGTTGGATGAGCTCGTGAAAACCATACTAGGAACCTCACTTGCCAGACGACTTGGGATCAGCCGTAATATTGCAGATGCGGTGCTTCAGCTGCACACAACATGTTGGATGCGTAAGTCGTTGCGGCCGGCCATTGTCGTGTTCCTGGCCAAGCAGGGAGCAAGCGCGCGGGAGATTTTGCAGTCGACGCCGTATATTGTTGAATAGCAAATTGCGCGACCACACACTCAGAACGTAGCCAAAGTTTTCACACAGTTGCCCGAGACGAGCCAGCGGTCAGGGCTGTACCGCCATTCATACGGCCGCAAGGCCAATCGGCAGCCACACCAGAAGAGATTCGACATGTACTCGCTTGGGCGTCTCATCGTGGAGCCCATAACATGGCAATTCCTCGTGGACAATCATTCCGAGAATATGGTGCACTGTTTTGGAGCAGGCCGAAGCAGGCAGAAAAGATGAACTGCATGACAGAGATGCCATCTTCGGACGATCTCTTGAAGCGGCACATAGCTGTGGCTGATCTGGAGCACCATGCGGGGAGCCAGTAATAAAGGAATCCAGGAGTTGCATGAGATAGGAAAGGGGGACGGAAGATGCAGGACTCGAGGATCAGGTGGCCGTAGCCGAGGTGTTGTCACGATGTAATTAATGCTTGAAGGCATTCCGGGGAGGATACATGACAAACAAACCCACGGCTAGGCGTGAAAACTAAATTAGCACCCTACTCGAACAGTGACCTAATAACGGCTTCCTCCTCCATCCAATAGCCCAAGATCTCTCTTGCAACAACCTACTAATGCCCTAATCCGCGAAGTTCTAAGCAGCCTATGGTTGGCCGTTCACATCCATCGACTCAATATCAGCATCATATTCGAGCAACAACTCAACATGGTCGTCGCTCTTGTTGCGAACCTCGCGCAACGATACCATCCGGCCGTTGTTATCTCCATCCTCGATACCAGCACCTTTCTCGGCAAGGAGCCTAAAGATCTTTCTGCGAGTTTTCATCGAGGGTCTTAGAGCTTTAAACTCGCCCGGCTCCCAAGTACGCCGATACCTCAACACTGTGTCAGCACCATTTTCGAGCAACAGTTTGACAAGATTCTCCCGCTCGTACGCAACAGCATATGTTAACGGCGTCCGACCCGTAATATCTCTTGTTTCCACATTAGCACCTTTTTCCAACAATAGTCTGACGATGGCTTCGTGCCCACTTTCAACAGCACTTAATAATGGTGTCCCGCTGAAGTAATCCTCCGATTCAATGTCAACACCTTTTTCCAACAAAAGTTTGACGACCGCTTCGCGTCCTTTTCCGGCAGCGTATGATAATGGCGACCCACGTTGATTGGCATTCGATCCAATATCAACACCTTTTTCGAACAGCAGTCTGGTAAGAACCTCGTGACCGTTCTCAGCAGCATGCGATACCGGTGTCCGAGAATGGTCATCCTCCGACTCAATATCAGCACCATTTTTGAGCAGAAGTCTGGTCAGGACCTCGTGACCGTTCCTGGCAGCATTTGATAACGGTGACCGAGATCGGTTATCCTTCCACTCAATATCAGCACCTTTTTTGAGCAGCAACTCAACGACGGCTTTGTGTCCCTTTGCAGCAGCAAGGCACAGCGGCGTTTGGTGCTCTCCGTCCCTGCAGTCCACAGACTCAGCGGGGCCTTGCGAGCTCAAAAGAAAGACAAGGGCCATCGTTTCCGTGTCGTGCCTTAAAAGATTATGCAGAACACTTTTTGATCGTTTGAAAGTGAACTCGCGGCTGAATGCGGTCGGCCTGTTCTCATCCTGCTCATACCGTTTACAGAAGCCATGAAGCGGAGACATCGGTGACTCTCCTTCCGCCTGAGCCCTTAAAAACGCTCGGACTGCTTCGTGACTGCGGTTAGCCAGTGCTGCAAGAGCTGGTGCACCGTAACGTTCATCCTCAACATGGAAACAGGACTTTCTCCCAGAATGGTTCTGAATGAGGTCGGCCAGGTTTCTCTCCGCAAATATATAAAGCAGACTGACTGACTTCGTATATCTCCGAATGTTGTACTGCTCGAGAGCATTGTTGAGGAGAATCCATTGTTGCAGAGGAAAATCGGCAAGAAACTGCCCCTGCTCTAACCTATTCCGTTGAGAAAGGTTGGAATGATGAAGGACATTATGAACAGAGTATTCGAGAAATGGAAACTTCAAGCTAATGTCCTCCCGTAGTTGTCGCGCTACCTTGGGATCCTGTGGTAGAGAATCTGGAATTTCGGCGTACAGGCTGATTGAAGCGTTCACCTGAACAAGGCAGCAGTCCCTCAAGACTTGGTGCGCGCAACTCCTGAAATTTTCGGAAGCCCCTGACCACTGGCCCCCATATTTACCCAACAAGAAATCTCGGACAGACTCGTGAATGAATTGGACCTCGGAGGCCTTGTTCCTCGTAACTTCAGCCAGGCCCTTAGAAGAACTCCTCACAAAAGTCTTCATGTCGTCCAAGTCCAAATCTGCTTGGTCCCAAAAGCCCGAGCATTCCTTGTCGGAACCAAATTGGATGGCGAAATAGAGCTCCTGGGGCTTCAGAGCACGGGACGCGAAGAGAACCCATTGGAGACAAAGATGTAGTTGTTCGAGGTTTTCGCCGTCCCTTGTAATCATCATCCGAAATAGGTCGTTCAGTCTCGTCGGGATTTCCTTGAGACGTTCGCGTTTCTTCAAAATGGAAACGGAGGTATCGTTGTTGAGTATATCAAGAACCAAGACGACCCAGAGGAATATCCCAGAAGATTTCTCAAGAATTTCAGATCTGAGTGCCTCGGCGTGCTTCGACTTCAGCTTCAGTCTCGATTTGACATATTTCTTGATGTCCTCCGTATGCCCCATTTCGTCTTCTAAATTGACTTCAATGCCCTTCTCGACGACAACAGTCGGATAATACCGACTAGAGAAACAGACCTGCAACCGAGCCCTTGCTTCTGCCGCGCAATCACATAGGTCTTCGAAGAAGGACACCATCTCACCAGCCTTGTTTTCATCGCATTCATCGAGTGCATCCACGAAAATAGTCAACGACCGATTCCGCAGCTTTGGAACAGCATGCTTCAACGTCTGCTGCAACGCCTCCTCAGACCACCCATTCCCTTGGACCGTTCTGGCACCATCAGCTGTCAACCACTCCAGACTATCTTGAAGATCCGGGGCCATCTCAAAGAGCTGATGAAGAAGAGAGCGGTAAAGACCAGTCGTTGTCTTCTCCTCAACCGCGCCTCTCGCGAGGAAGAAAAATGACAACGTAAGTCGCAAGGTGTCACCCTTCGCGTTGAGTTTGGCTGCTTCGAAAAGGTGTTTCATTAAAGTCGACTTTCCGGTGCCTGGATTGCCTTTGATCCAAAGGAAACCGCCGTGATCTGACTGCTGATCCATATCTTGCCAAGACTTGTACTTGGGCTCGTTGAGGAACCAGCGGCATGTCGTTCCTTGGGCAGGTGTTAGGTGTGTTAGGCGCTCGTCGATCTTGGAAAAATATAGCTGTTGTACGAGTGCCTCTTTAAGGTGTTTCATCTCATCGTGTAGGAATGGATCGCGTGGGGCGTGGTTGCTGCCAGCTTGCAGATTGTTGTTTTTTGATAGATTGCTGGCTATTCGAGGCCGCTTTCCAATCGGCGACGGGAGCGTCTCCTCCGCGGATCTCTTGGCTGGCTTATCGACCAGTATTTCTTCCAATTCGTGGGATGGGTTCTTGTATTGCGAATTCCATCTGACCTGAGAATATTGGTATTCCCTTCTCTGTATCCGTTCAAGGACGTAGGCAATTCTGTCGTACTCGGCGTCGTAGGTCGAGAACTTGACTAGATCTGAATGTGTCCGACGAATTGCTATGGAATGGGTCGAAGAAACACCATCAGGCAGACAGCGGGTTGCAGAAGGTTCGCTGACGAGGCATCGGCGCGGACCGCTCATCTTGTATTGTCCGGTTGTTGGATCCTGCGGCAGACTTAGCACTGACAGTCCTCAAAGTGAAGAGTGTGTCTACCTTAGCAGCTGTTGGTGACAATTCTGTCTCATAAAAGCAAATCAACTGGAACTTCGTGCGTTCCAGGACCATCGAGAATTCCTGTCTCTGCCTCTTCAAGACTGGAGAATTGGGTTTGAGTGACTCAAGGAGAGACCGGTTCGGCTGGTCGTTCACCATTGGTACAAGCGATTCGACATCCAAGCCATCGTTAGGCGTACCGAAGAGAAGCAATCCGAGGATCATGTCGCGGAGGCTAGGGAGTTCCGATGCGAAGTCGGACCGGGACTCAGCAACTCGAATCAATACCTGTTTGGCCAGCAGCCCGCCGAGACTGTGACCGATGAGAAGAAGGGGCTTGCCCCTGTCGGAACGTAACAGTCGACTCACAGCATCTTGAAGCGGGCTGGCTAGATCCTCGAGTTGAACAAGGCTGGTGCTATCCTGTAACCTGCTTTCATAGCCGAAGATCATTACTCGGGCGGTAGGAATATCTCGTGGGAGATTGTTCGTCAACCACATATTTCCGTCCTCCTTGTGCACGAACGATCCAAAGGGATGACTGCCTAGGCCTGAAACAGCAAGAATATCGATTTGATGGTTCTCATCAGTGACGGGCGAGATAAGTGTTGTTATCCCATCAAAGTGCTCATCGATGGAGACTTCGACGCTTCGAATGGTCGCACGCTCGCATTGGTGTCCCACTGGCCGATTTTCCGCATCTATGTCAATACTGATCGACAACTGACCCCTAGCCCCTAGGTCAGACAGCTGCGATGGGAGGTTGTCGAAGCGTACGGTGGCTACCTGCTCGTCGCCTCGGAGATCCGGTGCGAGAGTGTGAACTCTGACGTCGTTACCGCCGGTGTCGACATTTTCTGCTTTGTATTCGCCAGCCCATTGTAGATTTGAGTGATATCGAAGAGCACGGGCCAGGCTGTCTTTGTCAAACTCCCGTGGAACGCCGCGAATTCTCCAGGTGCGACGACTGGAACGCATTCTGGGATGGTGATGAGAGCGCCAGCTGTTCAGTGGATCAACTCGGTATGTGTCATGAACAAGACATGACAGAGTCACATACCTCAAGCAGAGTGTGCAGGGTCACAAGTCACTGGAACCTCATGGTCGAATGGATGTTCCCTACTGATGTCGCCTTGGGGTCTGCACGAGGATTTGCAGGGTGACTCTAGGCGTGAACCCGCCAGCTTAAGCAAGGTCAACTTGATGACCTTGCCGTTCAGTAGTGTTGCCACAGAGAGATGATGTGTAAAAACACAGCCTCATTTTCGCAGTCTGATGCGCGGGGTGCAGTTCAGCTGAGCCTCACCAGCCATTCCTTTTCCGGAGCGGTGGCTGCATGTCACGTCGTACGAAAGCCATGGCCACAATGGGGAAACGTCGAATCAAGCTGTCACACACCATGAATACTCACTTATCTTCGGCTGATATGGTGAATGATTTTGAGCATGCCACAAACTGTCTATTTGGAAGAGTCCGAGCACGTAACAGCTTTATAGCACTTGAATAATTTTATTTTTGATTGCTTCAGAGAGGGCTTGAGAGTGTGCGTACACATGTGCCATCAAGGAACCATCGACCAGCACCATGTTCCATATCAAAGACGTCCATGGACCTGTAAAACATCGCATCAGGACCATATATTCCTGCAATATATACGATTACTGCGATATCACGAAGTGTGCTGAATCCTACAAGTCATGTGTCTATGTACCGAGTAAGTTCTGCTAGGTAGAAGAGATATCAGGTAAATGATCAACAAGAGACAATACCTATTGATGTTCTCCTATCTATCTTTTTGGTAAGGCATGTAGCGAAAGACATTCAATTGATATGATTCCTGTACCGAGCTGCCAGGCGCAGGGCACGTCAAATATCACAAGGCAGAGCGATCTAGCTGGCCGAAACCGACTGCGACAAACTGAGTGAGTACAAATTCCAGAACTTATTGGAGTATCTTGTGTACCTATGTGGGTAAGTAGGATAACCTACGGGATGGAGGCCACGCAGGTATGCAGTTACTTGAGAACGATTGGCCTATTCAGTGAGCGACCGAGGAATATCTTTCCAATCTTTCCTCCAACTAGACCTTTGAAAGTGCGTTGGAGGCTCCCTACATATGGCACGAAAATTATGGCTTAGGAAGATGTTGAGATTTGCAACTGCAGAGATCAGTGCCAGCGAGCCCTCGTATCATCCCGCACGACGATGAATGCGCCATGTTCACAATGGCCGGGAGCCCCTTCCCGGAGAGCCGAAAACGCCATATTCGCACCCTTTTGGAAAACGTTAAGGCCTCGCGCATCCAAGCAAAACAACAAAAGACAGCACCGGCCAAGCTCAGCAGTATCAGTAAAGCATCGTCGCCAAGTCTAAAACGCAAAATCGACCTCAGTTGTTCCCCATCTGAGGTTTTCATCATAGGTCAACATTAATTACTACACTTAATGCACACGGCATATATGTGACCTGCGCACGCTGCCTCTAGACCGCCTGTCGTCCCCTCCACCTTGTGGGGCGGGGAGCAGTGGTTCAGAGGACGGACGTACGCAAGACATGACTTGGTTTGCGTTGCTCATCCCCTAAGCCCTCGAACGAGATGGAGTTGCTTGGAGAGGTAGGAAACAGCAAAGCAACATTTGAAGGGCACACAGACTTTTATATCTATGTGATCAGGGTTTGGCACTAGAACGAAAAAGAAAGGGAAAAGCAACCAAAAAATCATCGTCGCACCCTGGTGCATTGCTAAAGTGCACTAAGCATCACGGGGCCATTCATTCATGATCCCATGGTTCGTTCGCTGGGTTAGAGCAGACGCTGAGTCCCGTGAGTGTTGACGATCTAAGTACTTAGTGTGCAAGACTTGCTCTTCCATCCTGAAGTTGCGAATCATGTGTGCCTTGCGAGATGGTCTAAAACGGCATGCAGCAAAAACTGAATTAATTGTTTTTCCTTTTTTCTTTTTGCTCTTTTCGCAAGTGATAACTAGATGTCCTGAAGTCGACATCAATTTCATCAATCTTCACAGTGCCCAACGCAGATTGAACCGGCACAATTTACATCTGACCAGTTGTCTTAGTCAGTTGACTTAATTATTTTCAAGTATTGAAATGGATGTACCACAAATGTGCTCGACGGGGTGCTGTCTTATCTCGGGCATCACGCAGTAGCTGACTAGCTGACCACACCGAATCGCCGCTATCGGCAGCGGGAGGCCGAGTTCCCCTGACTAATATGAACTACACCCGACGGGCGGGCCTGTGATAGCCGGCAGTACACGACTCTCGGCGACGTTGAGATCTTGGATTGAGTTTGCGTCCTCTTTTCTTTTCTTTTTTTCCCTGGGATTGCAAGCACATCAATTGGACAGCATGAGGAGAATAACATCAGTCTTGAAGCCTCAAACTGGCCTCCGGGCCAAGGCTGGCGTTGGCAGCTCACTCTCAGTGTCGCACCGCGCCCTGTCCTCATGCTCGTCCTCATCCCCGCCCTCATTGCTGCCATCCGGCTCACCAAGGGCGTCACAATTGGCAGCCCAGCAGGAAAGGGGCAATGCCTCTCTGCGCGCCCCGGGCACGAGGAGCTACTCCTCTGAGGCCCCTCTCCAGAAGACGGCCCTGTACGACCTGCACCTCGTCCACGGCGCAAAGATGGTGCCCTTCGGCGGCTTCCAGATGCCCGTGCAGTACGCGGGCCTGTCCGTGTCCGAGTCGCACAAGTTCACGCGCACGCACGCCTCGCTCTTCGACGTCTCGCACATGGTGCAGCGCATCTTCAGCGGGCCGGGCGCCGCCGCCTTCCTGCAGAGCGTCACGCCCTCGAACCTCGAGACCCTCCCCGTGAACAAGAGCACGCTGTCGGCGCTGCTGCACCCGCGGACGGGCGGCATCGTCGACGACACCGTCATCACCAAGCTGGCCGACGACAGGTTCTACGTCGTCACCAACGCCGCCTGCCGCGCCAAGGACGACGCCTACCTCGCTGAGCAGCTCGCTTCCTTCGGGGGGCAGGTCAAGCACGAGAAGCAGGACCAAAAGGGGCTCGTCGCGCTGCAGGGCCCGCTGAGCGCCGAGATCCTGGCGTCGGTGCTTGCGGAGCCTGAGGCTATCGACGTGACGAAGCTGTACTTTGGCTCGTGCATCGAGGCCAAGATCAAGCTGCTGGGGATGGAGGTGTCCAGCCCGGTCCTGATCAGCCGCGGCGGCTACACGGGCGAGGACGGCTTTGAGATCTCTGTTCCTTCTGCCGAGGAGACCGTTGCCGTGACCGAGGCCCTGCTGGCGGTTGGCCCCGAGAAGCTTCAGTTCGCGGGCCTGGGCGCAAGGGACAGCCTCAGGCTGGAAGCCGGCATGTGTCTGTACGGTCACGACCTGGATGATACCACCACCCCCGTCGAGGGCGGTCTGAGCTGGATCATCCCCAAGGAGCGGAGGGGTGCAGACGCAGGGTACCACGGAGCCGAGGTCATCTCCAAGCAGCTCGTCCTCAAGAGCAAGGGTGGTCTGGGTGTCGAGAGGAGGAGGGTTGGATTCGTGGTTGAAGGTGCGCCCGCAAGAGAGGGCGTCGAAATCGTAAGCAAGGAGGGTGAGAAGATTGGAAAGATCACGAGCGGGTGCCCAAGCCCGACGCTGGGTAAGAACATCGCCATGGGGTACATTAAGGATGGCTTCCACAAGTCAGGCACAGAGGTCGATGTTGTCGTGAGGGGGAGGAACCGCAAGGCTACGGTAACCAAGATGCCATTTGTTGCGACGAAGTACTGGAAGGGTACCGCTCCCGCATAAGAAGCTCTTACGGTCTGTTTACATATCTTCAACAGTCAGGGAAAAGGCATGGTGACGCGAGTGTGGAGGTCAACAGCATTCAACAAAGGTCATCTAGATATGGTCGTCTATCTACGGTAGGGGTTGGAAATATGGTCGAAAGAATCAAAAAGGTCATGGCCCAGAGCCCTTTGCTTCCATCCCAAGTTGCCTTCGAAACCATCTTTATAAACCCACCTAGGCCCCCAATATCGACACGTTCTACTGGCAATTTGGCGCAATGGCAGCGCGATCAGGCAACTGGTAAAGAGCAAAAGGTCTCGTGGAGAACCACAGCTTACCCGGCTGGCGACCATACCTCATCGGTCTGCACTGAGCCCTCTCACGGCAACGTGAAGGCTCCGGGTTCAAGCCCCACCTGAAACATAGGCAAAAAGAACTAATCCACGTCCTGCCGATGGAACGACCCAGCCGATCGCCGTGGTCGGGAACGCGGTGATGAGCTGGGTGCCCGCTCAGTTTGGAGGACCTCATACCTCCAGGACAGGTTCTCTTAGGCTGGATCGTTTCCCAGTCTTGGATTCCCCCAGCCTGTCCTCCCCTCTACTCTCCTCATTCCCCCCGGTCCCAATCCTTGAGACTCACCTGCACCTGCTGCGCGTCCTCCGGGGCTCCTTCGTAGTAGTTTACACTCTGTTGTATCAACATGTGGCCCCTTGGGCTGCGGGCTGTCCAGAAACGAACCCTACTTTTTTGTGTCCGCTGCCTCTAAACCAAATCTTTGGTGTTGAAGTGTAATTGTCCACGTGCCATTGGCAACCCATTATGTACATTTATTGCTCCAAAGGGCGTGGATACTCATACACACGCGGGAGAAAAAACGCATGGCCCGTTAAACAGCGAGAAGACAAGTGCACGGTGTAACAATAACTTCTTTAAATTTTGATTCGACATCCATAAACATAGCACACGGACGGCAAGATTGGATATGAGAAACGAGTAACAGAGTCCAACTCGCCACATTTGCCAAATTCGTGCGAAACCGTGATACGATACTTGGTTGTTCTTACTGCTTCGAGTCTTCCAACCAACTTGACTCATCTAGAAGCCTTCTGATGGCCCCGGGAGACAGTGTACTTTCCAGGAACGGAGCAACTCTTGCATACAAACGTGACAAATACAGTATGTTCAATAAAAGCTTGATGGAAAGGTTGCTTTGCATTTTTCGTCTCTTCATACCAGCATGATGGAAAGCGTACCAGGCTACGTAGCCCACGGAAAATCAAATACAGGTCTACCTAGGTAAACATTCTGCAAGGAAGAAGGAACTCGCATGGTATGCCGTGTAACACCGTGAATGTCTGTACTTCATTGACTGAGTGAGACTTTACGCGTGGTAATAGTCTGTAGGAATATCTGGCAAGTTCTATGATATGCTTGATACTCGCGGGAGCTGGCCTGTCTCGAATAACAGAAATTCGATTGCACCCAGCATTTCGACCAACAAGGCATAATGGACCAGAAATATCCCTTGTGAAGCACGAAACAATGATGTTGACTAAGCATGTCAATCGTTCATCCGCCTAGACAGTCTGACCACGGTAAAAGAGCAAACAGGACATCAATATACAAATGCAATGCTTCGTACAATTTCTCATATGCTACCCATTCCCGCCGTACCACTACAATTCCCGCCGCCCGATGTAAACACCCCCCTTATTTGTCATTGTTCTCGAAACTGTACTTGAGCCACCCGCCCAGCGCCCTGAGGCTCTCCCACCTGACGTTCTCGTCGGCCTCACCCATGAGCTGCATGACCCTCGTCTTGAGGCCGAGCTTCTCGAGCGTGCCCCTGCGCTCGGGGACCTCGCGGACGAGGCTGCCGACGTCGTTGCACGCGATGGCCAGCACGGCCTTGTCGTTGTCCCACGGCTTGGTCATGACCTCGGCGAGCTTCTTGAGCAGCTCGCCGTTCTCGTAGTCGATGATCTTGCGCGCGTTCTCGGCCCAGAACACCGTGCTCTTGTGCGGCGGCGACCACCGCAGGTGGCCCGACTGCACCTCGGCCACGTACTCGTCGAACGTCGTCTTGGTCTTGGTGTACTCCTCCAGCATCTCCTTGAGCGCCGCCAGCTCCTCCTGCAGGTCCGGGTCCGTCAGGTGGCGCGAGCTGAGGTTCTGCAGCAGCGCGGGCAGCCGGACCAGCACCGCCTGCGGGAGGAGGGTCTTTTGGTTGGTTCGCAGAAGGTTGTAAAGCGTGGAGACGAGGAGACGGGTTGTCTTCTCCTTGGGGGACAGGCGAAGTAGCTGTGTGTACAGGAGGACGATGTCGTACTCGCTGTGAAAACGTCAGCATCGCTGCCTGCCAGGTGGATGTGTGTCGATATGCCTGCTCGGCAGCCGTGACTTACTCGTTCAGGTCGTCCCCTACTTCCTCGCCCTCGAAACTCAGCTGCCAGAGCACAAGCAGCACGTGGTAAAGCAACTGCAAGCCGACACCGCCGCCCAACGAGCCGTCAGACTCAGCACCCCTAGACAGGCCCGTCGTGCTGCTCCACAGGCTCGCAGACACATCACCGTTGGAAACCCCGCATGCCTTCTGGAGTATCTCTATCAGGGGAGCCACGGTCTCGCTGCGCTGTGCCCAGAACTGCTGGCGGGAAGCACTCCCGTACAGCAAGGAGGAGTATTCAAGCACGCCGATGTCCTGCAGGCCGGCGTCCGAGTTCTTAGTCAGGGAGGACAGATAGCTGAAGAGGTGAGGGAGGGCCTTCTTGAGAGTTGCGGTGGACTCGTCGCGAGAGCTGGCCATCAGGCTGGTCAGGACGGTGGAGGTGAGAAGAGGTATAGGGTCATCGGAGCTGGAGGAGTGTGCGAGCAGTGGGAGGAAGTGCTTGTATGGGTCGCCGTTCTTGAAGAGCGCTTTCGACAGAGAAGGGACGCCTGTGAGTGTCAAGTCAGTTAGCCAGCCAGTCAGTCATTAACTGCAAGGTCCTGAGATCCTCGAGAGCTTGTATTTGGGCGCATGCATGTCGAACATACTATCGAGCAGGTCGCTCAGCAGGACCAAGATGTACTGCACGACCTCTGTCCTCTTCCGCGCCAGCTCCAGCACGCTGGGCTTGCCCTGCTCGCCGACGAAGAGTATCCGGTATCCATCGAGGTCGTTCTCGACAGTCTGTGTGCGCGCCTCCTTCTTCGCCCGCTCGACCGCCTTGATCTTGGCCAATTGATCCTCAGTCAGCGTGCCAGCCCGCACTGCGCCCTCCCAGGGGATCGGCCGTTGGCGGATGTTGTTCTGCAGCGAGGCGAGGTATGTCGGCGGATCCAGCGACATCTTGCCTCTGGCGGTGTGATGGTGAAAGTCGTGTGGGGGATTTCAGAGGCTGGGAAATGAGCTTGGAAGCTCTCGCTGTCAGCTGCGGGAATAGGGTTGTCGTCACTGCAAGTGTCGTTGTCGTGGTCGAGGTCGAGGTCGAGGAGCTGGAGAGCACGATTACGAAATGACATGGGCTATCAGCTGCTGTACCGCACCAGCTTGGCGGGCATTCTATGCCTGGGCAGGCTGGAGCTGCAGCTCCTCTGGCTCCTCTGCCGCTGCCCAGCTGTACTAACAATTTCTGGCTTGCTGTGGACCCTGAACTTGGGCCGTGTCGGCAGCATCCTTTGCCTGCAGCTGTTCTGCACACTCATCAAGGAAACCCTCTTCAGTCCATTTCTTCCCTCAGAGTATAATTACGATCTCTACTTCACGGACACTTTTGTCAAATTCTCAGATGTGGATACAAGTTCGTAGCGATCGAACAACAATCAGGTCTTGTTTTGTAGAGCTTTCTTTGAGCTCAAATGCATTCATTATCCTTCCAGATCATGCCTCATCATCTATCGACTGCATGGGTATCCAGAGATCTCGTCTCATAACGTTCTTGGTTCTTTAATGTACAATATCATCTCCCTCATATCCCTCCGGATCCCATCTGGTCAGATCATCCATAATCTCTTGCCGTCATTATCGTCCCCTCCGACACGATCTGCTCTCATAACCAGATTCCTTCGTGATTCCTTTCCCTTCGTCTCATCGTTCATCATCCCGCCTCCCGCCCTCATATCTCGTCATCCAGACTCTTCCTCGAAGAAGGGGCCAAGCAGATATCTCTCTCTCTCGGTGTGTTTACCCTTCTTGTCCCTTCCATGAACGCCAAACAATAGTTTTGAAGAAAGAAAGAGGGGCCAACCAGCAAATGATGCAACCAATGGGGAGGGGGTTGAAAATTAGTGATATATACCAAAAACCCAGCCCGCTGACCTGACAGCGAGTTGGGCCGTGTCCATGCAAAGCGTTGCGGATGCTGGCAGCCATGAGGCATGTGGTATCTTGGGTGGGTATTTGATTTGATATTGTGTACACGGGGGTTTTGTGTGGGCTTGTGGTGCTTGTATCTCTCCGGTAAGAGTTTCGGGTCGCTCTCGGCAGGAGAGGACGGACGCTTTTGGTGGTTGTTGACAAAGGAAACAGGAGATACACGATTTTTTATTGAAAGGGAGAAAACAGGGGCTGCCCTAGAAGGCGGCCACTATTATCACCGCCTGGACGGAGCTCGCGAGATGCGTGTCGTCTCCGTCCGACGGCTGCGGCGTGTATCTCGTGTCCTACCACCAGAGCTCGCGGAGCCTGCATATTCGGGTGGCACGTTAGATTTGAAATAGTCATCCCTCTCCCTACCGGCTCCCGATGCCGAGTGCACGGTAGGAGGGCCCCGATGGACCTGGACTGGAGGAGCGTGGGGTTGCGGAGGACGCGTATAAACACTGGAGTAAGTGTAGTCTGAGGAGAACTCACTGGGGCTGCTGGCCGTGTACGAGTCCGAGAAGTAGCTACTGCTCACATCGCTTCTCGGCCGTGACGCCCGCTTCGCCTGCTCCTTGCGCTTCTTGTCTCGTCGAAGGCCCAGCAACAGGGCCATTGTGCCCAGTGCGCCTGCACCCCACCACCCCGCGTTGCTTGATGATTCCCTCCTCTTCTCCGATACACCTGAGGCACGACGACTGCCTGCCGCTGACCTCGGCGGCTTCGCAGCAAACCAGCCGCCGTGTGTGTCTCGTCTGGAATGAGCAGCGGCGCTGCCGTGCCGGGAGTAGCGTTCCTCTTCAACGATGATGGTCTCGTCACGGCTGCGAGATTTCCTCTTCTTCCCGGGACCGAGTCCAAAGATGGCCAGCAGGCCGTGCCAAAGACCGCGCATGATACAGCAGGCGCAGATGGCGAGCAGGATGACGACTCCGGCAATGACGCCAATAACGATGCCGGCGATGGCACCTCCGCTCAGGGAGTTCCCCCCGGTGGTTACGGCAGTTCCATTGCCGCTGCCTGTCGATGTCGCGCTCTCAATCGTTCCCGTGGAGGTAGTCGTGCCGGTCCCAGTTGTGCCGCTGGTGACCCGGTAGGGCGCGCTGTACTGAGTGGTGATGGTAGTTCCACTTGTGGTGATGGTAGTCGAAACCATGCTGCCACCGGTTGTTGTGGCTCCTCCGCCCCCTGCGACTCCTCCACTGCATTGGCCGTCATAGGCACAGTACTGCCAGCTAGCGCAGCAGATGGAGCCACATGCCTTCTGGCCAGAGCCTTCTGGAGGCACACATGCGGCGCCGTTGTCCCCAGTGGTTGCAGGGTAGTAACTCGAGATGGTGCTCGTGTACGTGTCCGTCTCTGTCCACGTGGTGGTGTAAATACCAAAGCCACCGCCGAGAGCAGTGTCGGTGCATCCGGCTATGCCCGCATTGGTTGTGCAGGCCTGCCCTTCTGCGCAACAGTATTGATTGTCGACGCCACAATAGGTTGCGCAGCTGCGATCGACTAAGAAACCGGAGCCAAGTGTGTCATGTAGGTCGTCTTTTGGATACGGGCCGGCTTGCGCAAGCTGTATGGATGCGCTCAGGCACAATAATATTTTTTGTAATGATGTGATGGAGGACAGCGGACGAGGCCGCGGGTCAATTGAAAACCTCATGATGTTGAATGAAGCTGTTGCTGGCAAAACAGCCTGCGTCGTCAGAACTTGCCGGCCTTGCGATGTCGAGCTCCGGCGGTGAGTTGTCGCTGTCTGTCGAGCTGGCTGACAGCCAAGAGGAGCTGCAGACGAGCACCCCCTCCCTGGTGCTGGCACCTCACACCTTCTGCTCTCGCCGCCTCAGCTCGTGTCCAGATGACAGCGGGTTTGGGAGCCCAGAAATGGGGATGAAGCTAGCCAGTGCTGTAGAGGAAAGGCTTCGATCCGTTCCGTGTCTCAATGCCACGAGGAAAGGTCGAGATTGGGACTGGAATGACCTTGTCGCAAAAGTGAAGGGTGCGGACGAGTCAAAGCTGGGCCGACCTGAGCCGCCCGAATGTTGTGTTGAAGTCCGTGAGCGATGCTTGTGCTTGACTTGAGTAAGGCTCGCCTTCCCACAGACTGCGATCTAAGGAAGAACCTTAATCGCGATAGAGTGTGAGTGAGGCCCGAGTGGGAGTGAAAAGAGTGCAGTGCAGTGTAAGTGAAGAGAGTTGGGATGGAGGAGGGAGAGAGGAGAAGGGCGAGAAAAGCATGTGAGGTGTGACAAGAAGTCAGGGACAAGTCAGGAGTGCAGCTGGTGTTTCTAGGGCCTGTAATTTTTTTATTTGGATGGCTGGCAGATGCAGGGCATCTATCTCACATTTAGCATGCCGGCGTAGGGATTTTGAATAATAAGCAGCAGGTGAGAGAAATAGCAGGGCGGTTGAGGGTGTGGGATGTCGAGCTTGGGTGTTAGCCAAAGTGGGATGCGAGGTTGTTTACCAGCCACCTCGGCCCCAGTTCCCAACCTCACCCATTTTCAAAACAGATGCCTCTTTCGTCACAAGCGCCCCGTCAACATGACAGACAGACAGAATGACAAAACTGCTATTCATTACACAGTCGTCATGAGCAAGCTACAGTATCCATCATATACTGTTCCACAAATTGGATCGCCATCGTAGCCTGGTCTGGTTGTCAAAGTCTACAGCTGTCATCCATCATCGATCAGTCCACTGCAGGTACTCTTGGGTATCAGTGGCCCATGTAGTGTGGTCTACACGACCCCTCCCCGCCCGATCATCAGGCTCAATTGCATCCATCCCTCCATTTCACTCCTTGGAACCGTCCATACTGGGAGCGCATACGGCTGCAGGGAACGGCGTCGGCACAACCTGCAAGCTACGAAGCCTCGATCCCACGGTTGGAAGCTGTGGTTCGCCCGTTACCAAGCTGCACATGCATGCCCTTGTACGCAGTAGATGTGCTTGTGCCTGCCCGTGTTTGCTTTCCCACCAACAACAGCTCTGGACGAGCTGTTGTCCCCCCCTCCTCGCTGGCTGGGCAATGACCTCTGGCGACAGGGGGTAACCTGGCCTCCCTCGGCAAACCTTAGAAAGTGGGCCACTCGTCTTTGCTGCTCGACCTTGATTAGACTACAGGCGGAGCTCAAGCACCGCCGCCAGCTGCCGGGCCGGTTCCCAGCTGGCGCCTCTTGGTGGGCCTAGGCTGGCAGTCTATAGCGGTGTGATCTCATTTCGTGAAATCATGTCGCTCGACGGTGCTGCTACTAGCTGGGCAGACGGCTGAGATCTCTCGTGTCTGTCTCAAGTAGGACTCGTGTCACCATCGGTCCCTCGAAAATTGATTTCAACATCATTTGAGGACTTTGGCTCGACGATCCGTCACCAATCGTCGTACAAGTCGCGCAGCCAACACAGCAGTCCTCCACCTACGACGAATGTGTCTCTATGACGTCCCCTTATGTTCACCTCCACTGATGGGCCTAGTTATTCGAAGTCAGAGCTCCTGCAGATGCGGGCCCTGGCCCGAAAATGCTAAGGTCGCTTAAGCAGAGGGGGCTGTAACTAACCAGCCTCATGTGCTTCGTCCAGGGGACTGACCTAATGACCGGAACAACCCATTTCGAGGAGGCTGATGCTAGATATAAAATACGAATTATCTACTGGTTGATATCAAGGCTCGCTGGTGTTGCGCAAATCAACTTGCACATCTGATTCTACTTGGCTCGGTCCAACCACACAAATCGCTGCGCTGTTAGATACTGCAGACAGCTACTGCGCCCATTTCAATGGACTCAAAGACAAGTCAAGGACCCAGAGCAGCCTCACGGAGCCAATGGCCCGGGTCGAGGCTCCGCCAGGATCGATTGCTCCGCCCGGTGGAGGTCCGGACGCCGTCAGTACGATCTGTCCGACCCACGTAGCGATCCCGACGTATGGTCTTTACACACGGACTCCATAGGTCACCGTTTCCGACTGACTATCAACAGGTCTTCACCTTGGCTTGGAGTCGTGTGTCCGAGTCTTCTCGGCAGGAATTGAGGCGGTACACTGCCACCATGGTCCCGGGTGAGCGAACTATTCCCGTAATGGCGGTCTGAATCACGGCTCAGGACTCAGTGACGCCGTCTACTGAAAGCATTACCTGTGGTATCATAGATACAGCCTTTTTCAAGCACCCTAAAGCGAGATTGCCAACCGGCGGTGCAAGACGAGATCCCACGTAAAACCTGACTTGCAGAAAAATGTAAATCACAACCCATATTCCGCTTGTCAGTATGCTTCAAGGCTTGGATTGGTGAGGTATCATGCATTTCCTAGTGCTTCTCATGGCTTCGTTATTAACGAGAAGCATCGAGAGCGAGTGTCTCATTCCGCCTCTGGAAGCAACCAAATCTCCCACTCGTTGATCTGTCACGTCCACTCAGGAGCATGTATAGTCGTTGGATCGCCATCGTTCTGGCCAGGAAAAAGGCATCGATTCGTCAAGTTTCCGATTCTTTTTGATTCCGTAGCGTCATGCTACTTGACATGCATATGTCCCAAATTGATGAACCCCTTGCCACTCCGTGAACCCAGAAAAGCACAAAGAAATCGAGACCGAGGACCCTTGTCTCCATTTACGCGGCATCCTCGACGACGTTGCCCTTCTCCGAGACGTACATACCGTCAAGGAACTACCAGACTGTCAGCATTCACCCTGTTCCCCCGAACCCCACTGCCCTTTGAGTGGGAAGAGCTTACCTTTCGGATATCCTTGTTTCGCACACGGCAGATCTGCTGGATGTCTGCGGCGGACTGGGAGACGGCCTCGAGGGAGTTGCCGGACAGAACCAGCTCGTCCTTCTGGGCCTTGGAGATCTCGACATCAACACCGGACTGCATGATGACTCTGCGGACGAGCTTCTCGCCGATGAAGTTTCTGTTCAACCATAAATATCAGCCTCCACGTTCCACCTTGCTCGGGACTGCTCATGATTCTTCATGGCATCTTGCCCGTCCGTCCGCTCCAATGATTGCGCCTGGCTTTCAGACATACCGGATCTCAACCTCGAAGACACCGTCGGAGTTCTTGTCCAGGTTGACGTTGATGGGGAAATGGGCGTAGACGTATCGCATCTTGTACTTGAAGCCTTTCGTGACACCGATGATCAGGTTGTTGATGATGGTGCGGACGGTTCGGAGGGCGGCGACGTTCTTGCGGACACCATGGTGGATGTGGATGGCGATGACGTTCTTCTTGGGCGTCGAGAAGCTGACGGCGATGTGGGACAGGTCCTTCACCAGCTTGCCACGAGGTCCCTCGACATTGATCTGTCGTGCCTTGATCTGGACCTTGACTGTTTGTGGAGACAAAACATCGTCAGCATCTGATGCAACAATCCATGCATGTTATGTGTATGTTCGCCTAGCAGTGCCAGACGCGCCGTGCCAGTCAATCGCCAGATATAGATTCGCCAGATTGTCGCATCCTTGTGGGGATTCAGCTATGTGGAAAAGTCGTCGTAGAAGTCGCCCCTATGTCAGCCTCGGAGGGCATCAACATCTCTTCCTCCTTGGTCTGCTTCTCCCGCGTCGTTGTGGTCTGCCCTGTGTCCTCCTCTTTCCTGGCAATTGACGGCTCGGCTTGGGTCGCTTTGGCTGGGGAACAGGCGTCGTAAAAGGTTAATCGTACCTCCCTCTGGGATTTCCAGGGTCTCCTCGGAATGAATGTACTTCATCTTGCCGGTCGGTTCGGGGGGGTGGTGTGGCGAGATGGGTTGTCGATGAGGGTATCTTCAAAGGGCCGCGAAGTTCACTCTCTCCGACTGGCAACTTTTGAGAATCGCCCGCTGGTGGCCATGCGAAATTCGTGCGCTGGCCGGCTTCGATTTTTTCGGAGCAAGGAGTTACTTTGTGCCGTCCTGCCGCCCCACTTAGCGCATTCTCGCTGGGTCCCGATAAGCGACTATCGGCGTATGTCGCCTTGGCTTCTACCATTTCTTCTACCTAGGTACTGTGGAACTCTTCACTTTCTCATGAACCAACAACACAGACCATTCATGCAGACTCATATTTATTAAATACGGACTCGAGTCAACTGGAGAGTAACAGAGGAGACATTGGATGTCTGTCCAAATTTCAGGTGCATAACCAGCGCCTACAATTCAACCACCAAGCAAAGGGTTCTGCCGCTTAAATTCGCCCACTTGAGAGCTGTCACTGGAAACTGGTCCATTGAAAGCCATTTGATGCAGCTCAATCATTCGTGCTGTCTGCTGCCCGAGTGCCTAAGATCTCGCTCTGTTAGAGTTGGCACATTGGCCTTTTGGCCGTTTGGTTGTTGGGTTATTTGGCCGTTTGTCTGTGTGTCTGCCCCTCGCGTGGAGCCGCTGAAGAACAGTTGCATCTTGGAGTCGAGTTGTAGAGATTGAGTCGTCGCAGGCTCGACGGCGTGCATATCCACGTATGAGCTCAGATTTTGCAGCTGCCAGCGCCTCTATCTGCAAATGGCAATGGCAACTACCTGCTCTGTAAATTATAGAATTCTTTAATACTCTGCATGATGTTCATGGCGATGCTCTAGCTGGTCCATGCGTTCGTCAGCTGTGGATCCCAGCTTCCACCCCCTGTACCTAGGTACCCTGGCAGGTGGTCTTCAACGGGGAGCTTGGCCGGGCAGTGACGCCTCGTCCACTTAAGGTAATCTACGTAGTCGCAACAACGCCCGCTCTCACTCCCACCACCACTCCCAATATCTCCAGCACTTCAACCCCAGCGCAACTATCGTAGACTCCGTCTGCCCTCTGTCACGAACGTCTTGGGATCCTCCCGCCTACAACACCCTACCGCCAGATCAATCCAACATCAGTCAAGCTGCCTAGCTCACGGGGCGCCGGCAACATGTCGTACTTCTTCGCGACGCCCGTCGACATCGACGTCGTCCTGGAGGATGCCGACGAGCGCGCCATGGTCGACGTGAAGCTGGACAAGAACCGCCGCGAGAAGGCACCGCTGTACATGGACGGCGAATCGGTCAAGGGCGCCGTCACAGTCAGGCCAAAGGACGGCAAGCGGCTGGAGCACACCGGCATCAAGGTCCAGTTCATTGGCACGATCGGTGCGCCTACCACTAGGCTCAAAGCCGAGTCCAACCTGTGCGCATTCTATAACCTCAAATGCTGACATCCCCCCGCTGCAGAAATGTTCTTCGACCGCGGCAACCACTACGAATTCCTCTCCCTGGTCCAAGAGCTGGCCGCGCCGGGCGAGCTCCAGCACCCGCAGACCTTCGACTTCAACTTCAAGAACGTCGAGAAGCAGTACGAGTCCTACAACGGCATCAACGTCAAGCTGCGCTACTTCGTGCGCGTCACCGTCAGCCGGCGCATGGCCGACGTCATCCGCGAGAAGGACATCTGGGTCTACTCGTACCGCATCCCGCCCGAGATGAACAGCAGCATCAAGATGGACGTCGGCATCGAGGACTGCCTGCACATCGAGTTCGAGTACTCCAAGAGCAAGTACCACCTCAAGGACGTCATCGTCGGGAGGATCTACTTCCTGCTGGTCCGGTTGAAGATCAAGCACATGGAGCTTAGTATTATCCGGAGGGAGACGACCGGCGCGGCGCCCAACCAGTACAACGAGAGCGAAACGCTGGTGCGCTTCGAGGTGAGTGATGCCGGGACTCCTGGCCCTCTCCGGCCGGATGGGCCGAGTGCTATGTTGGCAACGCTGACCAAGTCGTGTCCTTGAACAGATCATGGACGGCTCCCCATCAAGAGGCGAGACCATCCCCATCCGACTCTTCCTGGGCGGCTTTGACCTGACACCAACATTCCGTGATGTGAACAAGAAGTTCTCCACGAGATACTACCTGAGTCTGGTACTCATTGATGAAGGTAAGCCACCCTGTCCTCAGGGAATCCATTTCCTTCACGGGTTCGTCAAGCCATACTAACACATTCTATCAGACGCCCGGAGATATTTCAAACAGTCCGAGATAATACTTTACCGCCAAGCCCCTGAGCTCAGCAACAACGGAAACGCAGACGGCACAGCACTGCCAGCGCCACCCCCAGAGAACGCCAGCAAGCTCGCGGCGGCTCACGCATGATCTCACGCGAACGGCCGCAGTAGAGGGAAACACTGCCAACGCTCACAAGTGAGCGGTGGCTTATGATTTATCTAGTCCACATTCAAAGCATTGTCACGGCGTTCTCGTTCTATGATAGGTCTTCTTCTTCAATGGGCAAAAAAGCATTAATTCCGACCAGCACCCTTTGCGTATCTGCCTCGGGCGCGTAAGGGGCATGACCATCTGTCTTCCGGCATCGCGGTTCATTCATTGGAGTGCGGTTGTCACTTCAGAACCGTGATCTGTCTCTGTTCGTAGATCGTACTAACCATCATTACACTACAAAATGGCTTCCTTTTTCTGCCTAGCAAAGCTCATCCACTCAACAACTGTAAAGCGCTTGATGCAACTGTCCACCTGTTCGCCCATGGTCGTCGAGCCCTATGCCTCTAGTCGGTCGACTCCTTTTGTTATCTAGCCTCGCTTTCCCTCTCTCTGCGCTGAATTGGTATCATCGTCAGGGCTCAAATTGCTCTTTTGCCTATGCCTCATAATCCTACAAAACCCATAGCACCTTGCCAACTCTATCTTTCGTGGACTTGCTCACGGGTCAATGACCATCACATCATCATCGTCCTCCGCCGTGAACCCAAACTGGTTATTCTGTATCGCCGCGATCCGGTCCAGCTCAGCCTGGTACTGCCTCCTGAGGTCGGCAAGAGTGACCACCTTCCTTCTCGGCTTGGCGGCGGCGCCGTCGTGGTCAGCTCTGGCATCCCCGTTGGCCGCCGGGGCCTCCTCGACGGTAATCCAGGCTTGCTTGGGGTCGACGCAACTGAGCGCATTGATCAGCAGGAGGAACTGCCTCGTCACGGCCGTGTCGAGCACGTCGTCGCCGTTGAGCCTGTCGGCCTCGCCCGTCTGGCGTAGCTTCTGCAGCCGGTCGTGGAGCACCGCCGCGGCGCCGCGGTAGTCGTTGTGCGTGATGCGCCACGCGTACAGGATCTGGTGGTACGGCGTCCCGCGGACCACGTCCGTCGTCGCCCTGCACTTCTGCTGCAGGATCGAGTCGACGTCCTCCTGCATGCCCGAGAACGGCAGCGCCGTCAGCTCCGACGTCTGCGCTGTCTCGCACATCCGCTCGACGAGCTTCTTCAGGCATGACAGCTTTAGCGCGCGGTCTGGCATGGACAGCAGGGTTGCGTGGGCCATGTCGAACCGTGAGATGGACGTCGAGGCGGTGAAAAGGCGGCTGAGCATTTCTATCCTTGTCGACTTGGAATCTGGGGCTTGGGCGAATTGTAAGGAGAGGCGGGCGAAGTCGATGACGTAGGAAAAGGCCTTGTGCCGGTCAAATAGTGAGACGATGTGGGAATAGTAATTGGCGAGGCCGCTGTTCAGAAGATTCTTTTCTGTCTCATCTAGGAGACCACCAGTGTGTCGTTCCGTATGTTTCATTGGGACACCTGAGAAGTTGTTAGAGTGTGATGTTGCGAGCGAACAGGCTAAGGAAAACTTACTCATTCCAACGGCTGCTTTCTTGAAGTGGAGGGCAGCTGTGGTGTAGTCCTTAAGAAATAGGAAGACGCGGCCCTGGATATAGACTGGGAACGGGTCTTGATCACAGAACCTCTTAAGTTCCAGCGCCAGGTCCGGCCGGTCTGCCTTCAATAGGGAGCATTGTATTAACGCAGGCGACAGCTCGATGCCGCTGTCAGGGGCACAGATGTCGATCACCACATCCGTCAGGCTCGATGCCAAAGGCTCACCATCGACGTCCACAAGCCCGAGTAGGTGGCTGATGATCACCTCGAAAGCAGTGATTGTCCGCATGTCATCTGGCCGTTTCGTAGTCGTTGGTGACCCATTAGACCGTTCTGGTTTCAGAACGGGGACGCTGATCTCCGTCTTGACTAGCCACCTGAGGAATTCGAGATGCTTCAGGGCTTCGATGAGCTGGCGATAGACAAAACCGATGTCCAATCTTGAGTGAAGAGCGCTCTCCTCATTGTCCTCATCGTACTCATACTCCATGTGTACCAGGAGGAGCAGCTGGCTCAACAAAACCTGCCACTGCAGTTCTGCTGTTTCTTGAACGGATTTCACAACTACTTTCCTTCCGAACTCTGTGAGCGGATGTCGAACATCTCTAGCGCGAGCATCCTCGGTCGTCGCGAAAAGATCAACAAGCTGTCGGTATAGCTCCTGAGTGACAATCCTGAAATCGCTCCCAAGACTTTCGACAACTTGAGCCGCGTCCTCCTCGGAGATCCCTCGCCATGACGCTGACTCGTCGAAGAACCGTTGTATTCGCTCCATGTCTGTGTCTGATGATTCATCAAACAACTCTAGCCGCAGGGCGGCATTGGCTTGCTGCATGATACTGTCTGAGAAGTTATCAACGAGATCCAGCCCAGCAGACACCAGTGCTGCCACGTTCTCATTCTCCACGTCTATCGTGCCTGGGGACTTGTGGTAGATCTGGTCTAAGGTTGAGCATGGGTGCACAGCGGCAACGACGTCGGCACATAGTACCCAAGCCAAGCCCGAGTTATGATCTAGGGCCAGCGAGAGTGCTTCGCCCCGCTGCTTGTCCAGTTCCAGGACCAGACGATAGAATCGACGCCAGGAGACCTGGCTGTGGGACCGGAACTGGTCGAAGTCCATCTCACCGGTTGCGAGTCTGTCGAGGGTCGCTGTTGAGCCCAACACAGAGCATACTGCTTCGATCAGGCCCTTCCCATTCCTAGCCGTCGTTTCTTTGGACCCGAGCCCCCGCTCGTACATGGCCAGGGCAGCCTCGAGAGTTGCCCTTGAGAACCGCCCGGGGTAGAACAAGGTCTGGAGCCATTTTTCTGTCGCGTCGGTAGGATCCCCAGGGTTGGAGGACTCGGCGCTTGGGTGCTCGTTATCGATATGAACAGACATCCAGCCAGACCTCCAGTCGTCTTCCGAGTCCGAAGCACGAAACTCCAGTTTCTGGACTCGGTAAGTGAGGTTGTTCTTGGTGAGGACCCAGAGGTGGAAGGCTTGGCCAGTAGGTTGTGCCACGCCAAAATCAGCCAGCGTCCACACATCCCCTGATGAGAGCCCTGGGGGCGTGAGTTGCTGGTCCGGAAACATGTCGTGGACAAAGATTGTTGTATCATCTTGGGTTTCCACCTTCCAGAACTTGAACTCGTTGGCAACCGGAGAATAGGTCACCAGCGTCCGTCGACCTTCAGTCTGCCCAACTATGCGGACGAGATTATCGCGGCCTGGATCGATGATCCACTTTCCAATCTCTTGCGGGTTGCGTTCCACGCCTAGCATGTCCGCTGTGTACAGAATCGCGCCTGACTGGACGTTCCAGATCCGTAAGCGATGGTCGAGACAGACTGAGAAGAGGAATTTGGCGGATTCAACACCCAAAGTGTCGGTTACTACCGAAGTCGCGGCACTCAGTTCCATGTTGGCCTTGCCATGCTTGATCGTGTGGCCGCCCTGGAACGGCAGAGGGAGCAGACTGCGGAAGCTCGTAGCCCAGCCTTGGGCACTGAAGTTTGTCTCCTTCCACGTTTGACTGTTGGCTGTTTTCCCATGCGTCAGTAGGGTTGTCCCCATGTTATAAGAAAAGTTTCTGTACCATTATGAGTCCGGTCCCTATCAAACCGGATCAGACCTCCATCATGGAATGTGACGACCACCTGATGCGCGCTGACAGCGACCAGCCGGTGTGGGTGTTTGAAGCTGAAGGCGCCGGACAGGTGTGTCTTGCAGGCATCGCCGATGCCGTTTTCTGTTGCGGAACGTTTTCGAAAGTGATCGGGTCGCAAGACTATGGTGTAGAGATAATTGCTGTGGTCGAGTGCGAAAATGCTGAGCGCGTCGTGCTCTGCAGCGTCGGCAAGGGCGATGCACGAAGCTCGTATAGGGTTTGGGAAGCGCAGGTTGAGGATGAGGTTTGCGTCGGGGGCGTTCTGTTGTTTGGAGACGTCGGCGGCGCGGATGCTCAAAACGGTGTCATCCTCGAGGACGCGCCAGAGGAAGCTCCGGGGCGAGTCGTGGTGCTTCCTGTGGTAAATGGAGGCGGCGCTGGCCAGGTTCCTCGATCGGTATGTCCTCTCCTCCTCGCCGTACTTGTCGAGCCCAATGGAGCGGCGATCTCTTGACCTGGTGGGGGCAGGAAGTCTGATGTGGACGATGGACGCGTTGGAGGCAGGCTCCAGATTGACGCGAGTCTCCTTGAAGAGGATTGGCGGCTCGGGCTCCATCTTGAAAGCTGCCTCCTACGTTCGGGATGTCCAAGAAGCGAAAAAGGCCTTGAGAGGCTGGCGACGTGATGGGTGGTGGAGAGCCAAGCTTGGATGGGAGCTCTGTTGAAATGCGCGTTGACGCGGTTTCTGCCACTGATGAGGCTGGCAGAATTTCTGGCCGCCCTGTCACCCAAAGCTGCAGGGCCGCCAATCCCTGTAATGGAGCTTCACCACCAGCACCCCACCCCTAGATATTGATATACTCACCACTGCACATGGCTCACAAGCTTTGCTCTCTGGCCTCAAGAGTCTCAGTAGAATTGGAATGACAACAAGCTACAGCTATCATTGGACACGAAAAAGTTTATAGACCAGGACTGCCGCATAGGTACGAGCATGCTGAGCTTAACCTGGGGGTTGTCAAGGCTTCACACAAGCTCTACATTGGTGACCACTTGTTGGCATGCTGGAACATAGTCGCTGGACAAAATCCTCAGCTCCCAAGCCTCTTCTGAAGCTTTCCATGCATGGCAGCATTGTCTGTGCGAAGTCATAGGTCCAGTAGATCCAAGTCGGCACACAATTTGCCCTCGAGAGGGTGGCCTTCAAATGGCCACTACAAAAAGCTGGAGTGTCGCCGGTTAAAACCATAGGAGGCCGTCACAGCACGAAAAGTGCTACGACCACCCTCAAACGTACGGCTATTTCAATCTTGCAACGTTCCCCCTCGAGAAGGGGGGCAAGGACACCGAGCCATGGAAGGACCAGGGCGTTTTGTGGAGTTGCGTTTGAATGTTGAAGAAGCAAGAAAAGTCGTTGGAACGGCCGCAAGAAGGGATTTTCTAGCCTGCGAAGAATCACGCACGGGCCATGACGGGGCTGCCCGGAGGCCGGATCCGGGGCGGTCGGCCTATCTTGCTCGGCAGGTCTTCCGAAGACCAAGGCCCCATTTCCATAGAAGGCCTGACGGCGAGAGGCAAGCTTCAGTCTGCACCTCGTGTCCTGCTACATACGTGCCCTTCGAGGATTTAGAGCCACAAGGATGTGTCGCGTGGCGGGAGCACACGATGGCAAGAAGTAGATTTTACGTCAACTCAGTTCTGGTGAGCCTTTGACTGGGCTTCCCGCGTTGAGCGCGAGAGGCAGCGGCGGCAACTCATATAATATTCGACAGAGGTCACATTCTGCATGTTTGCGGTTCTATGAATCTGAGCCACCTGCACCATTGCGTAAAGTCAATCCAAGCCCGGATACACATGCACGGGTATCACTCCGCAGCTGTCACGAGCCTCTGGCTGACTGGACGGGCCATTTATTGCCACGGCCAGCATGACTTTTGGATCATGGACCTGTGTGACCTGAGATGTCGCATAAGTTTACCGTCAATATCCGCTGCTCAGTTGCATCATCGCGAGACTCAGAGTCAGCATCAGCATCGGCATCGCCATGTCGCTCCCACGTAATGCGACAGCGGCCGCAACAAAGGGTCAAAAGTCGGTTTTACGAAGCACGCGACACTGGCCCCTTCTGGGCCGAGTAGGCCGAGCAGGTCGAGCCACCGGACAGCAGGATCGAGGCGGGCCAGGCTGGCTGTCCAAGATCGAAGTTGGCTGAGCATGTGGTCTCCTGCCATAAAGGTTCTCGTGTACGAATCGTGCTGGTTGCAGGTTGCGGCGGGAGGTTGCTTGGCCCGTCGCGCGATTGCCTGGGGGACGTTTTTGGGCATTTTGGGGGTGAAGGTGGTTACACGTGTGGGCATGGGCGACTGGCATTGGCCCGAGACGGAATCCGGGGAACCCCAGAGCTGAGACGTGGTTCAGCCTTGCAGGAAGCGCGGTGCGGCACGAGACCACTAAAGCACCTAGCCACCCAGCTTGTCTAACTGAATGGTACGTGTTCTAGTGCGCACGAGGCGTCGGTAAGCCTCGAGACTGGTGCACTGGTCACGAAGCACACGAGTGAGTGTGTGTGTGCGTGCGTGTGTGCGTGTGTGTGACAAAGACTGACGGTCGAAGCTGGGTGACGGTGACAAGCGATGGATGAGACAGCCACGCTACCCGCACGCAGTAAATGCAGGGCTACGCACAGTCAGTAGCACATACAATACAGTATGCTCAGATTCTCAGGAGGAATGCGGTCTGCGGTCTGTGATCGGTGGTCTGTGGCGGGTGGCCTGCATTCGACGAATAAATATATCTAACCGCGATGGGGCTACTAATAGACCACCTAGGTATGCGTATGTGTTGTTTCTCAATGTTTCTTCTCTCTCTCTCTCTCTCTTTGGCTCGCTCGAACCTCGCCATCTCTCTCTCTATCTCTCTCATTTCGAAACGCACGCCACATCCCAATTCCTTGACCGAGCCTCGTTCCAAGGTTGGCTCCGAGAGTCTCAAAGCCCAAAGGTTTAAAAGTCTGGATCTGCCGGGCGGGACCCCCGTACCCTGGACAGCCAGTGACGTATCACCTCAGCTCCCTTGTTGGTTCTGCCGTCACTGCCGTGTCTGCAGCAGTCTGCCGTCTGCCGTCTCCGTCTCGCAGCTTCTTTCCCGTTTCCCGGCCTTACTCAGGCACTCAGGTACCACCTGGTTGTGCCGTGCTGTTCCTGCCTGACAGCGGATCCCAGCAGTTGACGTCTTGACAGCTAGCTAGTCTACAGTACCTAGGCTACCTAGTCTGTCTAGCTGGTGGCCCGGGTCTCGACTTCCTCGTCCACCTGGCCATGCGACAGAAAAATTGACACATCCAAAAAAGGCGTTTCCTCCTGTCCAAGGATTTATTTCCTCCAGACCCAGGACTTCTTGACCGACTGTCTGACCGACTGTCTGTCAGCCTGCACCATCTCCTTTATCCTCACTGTACATCACCAACCGCTCATTTAGCCCTGCAATGTCTCCCTCGACCGAATCCTAGAAACCGGAAAACCTGTCTCGACACATCTCTTTACCGATCCCTAACTCTGCCTCTGGCCTTCGAGCCTGGTCGCGCGCAACATGGCGACCGGCGCAATGCTATTTGCGGCAGGCCTGGCGTACCTGTGCACTGGCGTCATCGCTGCACCGGCTCTGCCACAACCTCAGATTCCCCTTGCAGCTGGTGCCATCGAGCAGCACCCGCTGGGTGATACACCACCATCACCACCGCCAATAACAGCACAGAAGAAGACCGCCCAGTCCAGAAAGCTGCATGGCCGGTTCCTGCATATCACAGGTGAGCTCCCAGCCTGCCGGCGCTGCTAGCTCGGCTCCTACCTACAAGCAGTCCATCTGCCCCACCACGATCCGCGGTAATAGCGAGGGTTTGACGCTGATCGCATTCGCAGACTTCCATCCTGATGAGTTTTACAAAGTTCACACCTCCACAGCAGCAGGTTATGCCTGCCACAGCGGGAAAGGCCCAGCCGGCACCTACGGCGCCGAGACCTCGGACTGCGACACGCCCATCTCACTCGTCAATGCCACCTTTGACTGGATAATATCCTCCAAGCTCCGCGACGAGATCGATTTCGTCATCTGGACCGGCGACAGCGCCCGCCATGACTCTGATGAGGACATCCCACGATCGCCTGCTCAGGTGCTCGGCACGAACCGATTGCTGGCCAACAAGTTCGCCGAGACTTTTTCCGACGACAAGGGGGCCAATGTGCCAGTCATCCCTACCTTTGGCAACAACGACATCCTGCCGCACAATGTCCTCATGCCCGGGCCCAACAAGTGGCTGAGGTACTACACCGACATCTGGCGTCATTTCATCCCCGAGGAGCAACGCCACAGCTTTGAGTTTGGCGGCTGGTTCTACGTCGAGGTCATTCCGAACAAGCTTGCCGTCTTCAGTTTGAACACTCTGTACTTCTTCGACAGAAATGCAGGCGTCGATGATTGCGTAAAGCCATCGGAGCCTGGCTTTAAGCACATGGAGTGGCTCAGGGTCCAGCTGCAGTTCATGAGGGACCGTGGCATGAAAGCCATCCTCATGGGCCACGTTCCACCAGCTCGCACTGACAGCAAGATGCTCTGGGATGAGACTTGCTGGCAGAAATACACTCTTTGGCTGAAGCAGTACCGCGACGTGGTCATCACTGGTGTCTACGGCCACATGAACATTGACCACTTCGTTCTCATGGACACGAATGAGATTGACATCCGCCCGGCCGGGGTGGAGTCTGAAGACGAGGTGGAGTCTGAAGACGAGGAAGTCACTGTTCGGGAGAATATGGATGACGAGCTTTCAGTGCAGTCAGCCACCGACTATCTCGAGGAATTGCGTGAAGGGTGGGCGAAGTTAACAAAGCCAGGCGCGTCCAAAAGCCTTGACTTTGAATCAGAGAAGAACAAGAAGAAGAAGAAGAAAGGAAAGAAGGGCAAGGACAAGGACAAGCTCGATGGCGAATGGGCAGAGCGATACCATTTGGCCCTCGTCAGCCCGAGCATCGTGCCAAATTATTTCCCAACGCTCCGAGTCTTCGAATACAACATCACTGGCCTCGAGGATGCAGTGACTTGGGCCGACTACACCAAGAAGCTCCCAACCGTCCGACCAAAGAACGACGCGGACGAGGTCTCTGAGGTAGAGCTGGAGCTTCGTGATTTGAACGATGACGTTGAAGCGGAGAAGAAGAAGAAGAAGAAGCACAAGGGCGACAAGAACAAGAAGAAAAAGAAGAAGAAGGGGAAGAAGCCCAAGGATCCCAATTTGGTCGTTCCTGAACCCCCTTCAAAATCGTCACCCCCCGGACCGGCCTACTCACCACAACCGCTTACCCTCACTGGCTACAAGCAGTACTATGCGAACCTAACCTACATCAACAACGACATTGCTCCCCAGTCTGAGGACCTTGATGCCGAGAAGTGGCGCAAGGGCAAGCACGGAAACAAGATGCCGAAGAGTAAGAAACCGAAGCCTCGGGAATTTCAGTTTGATATCGAGTACACGACGTATGATGACAAATTGTACAACCTGACCGACTTGACCGTCAAGAGCTTTGTTGAGCTGGCTTACCGGATGGGCAAGACCGCCAAGGCTAAGACTGCCGAGCTATTGCTGCCTGGTGGCGATATTGTCGATGACTTGGACGATTTCGTTGTTGAAGAGCCCGAGGATGGCGACCTAGACGAGTTCGAGCAAGACTTGTCCGAAACGGACGATGATTCTGACACAGATGATTCTGAAGCCGACGATGTAGAAGCCGAGAAGAAGAACAAGAAGAAGAAGGGTAAGAAAGACAAGAAGAAGAAGAAGAAGAAGGCAAAGAAGCTGAACAAGACCTGGCTTCACTTTCTGAGGCACGCATTCGTCAGCACTGTGGAGGATGGGGAGCTGAAAGAGAAATTCTCTTAGATGGAGCATATATGGTTGGGACAAGAGCGAGTCCTGTGCCTACACGGACTGATAATGACAGCATTGGTGGCGTTTCTTCAAGCATTGCGATGGGCGTTTGGCTGTGCTTCTTGGTTCACCTGGTCCTTCTGCGGGGCGATGGAGGGCTAGGGCTGGGACTCGGGATGATGACATTATATACCACCTGGGCATAGTTTTAGATTGTGATGGAATTTTTGGATATCAGGGACATGGCGCCGTGTACAATACAATGGTTGGGCAACCCGGCCATGGTCTCCGTCGCGGTTTTGTTGGCGCCCGAGGCCCTTTGTATACCCAGACCTATAGGGATAGATAGTATGTATTTATTGGATATGATTACTTGAAATCTCGATTTTCTAGCATTGATGTTGGTCGGTGTATCTACAGTCATCACTTCAGCAATATTTACAGGATACACCAGAAGTGAACAGCAGCCATTGCAACATGAGATCTGCGACGTCGATATGAATACATGAGGACGTCTGAAGCATGAGAACACAACAACATGGCCGGCTGTCTTGACACGGTATTTAAGTACTAAGCTCCGTCGGCCACATTGTACAGTACGAGCCTGCAAGCCCAGCTTTCGTCAATAGTGTCCAACACCTGAGGACAGTCGCTTTCTACTACCGACCAATATAGGTACGTAAGTAGACAATCCCAACGTATGGCAGCATTCGTGACGTATTGACTCTGTTCCCCATCCGAAGTATAAGCTCGGTTCTTGGCCACTTGTTACTGGTCACTGGTCACCAGTCGTGTTAGAAGTGTGGACGGGCATGCCATATCTTTTGAAGACGTTATAAAATCCTCAAGTTATTAAATATCTTTTGCATCGGAACAATTACTAAAGACAAGTTTAATAGTAGACAAAAATGCAGGTCACAGGATAAATGTCAGGCTGAAAGTGTCATGGCACTCGACCCCTGTCAGCCAGTGAGTTTGTTGTCAACGCTTCCCCGCCATTTATTTGTTGTCTGGCGTGGACCCCTCCGAACGGAAACCAAAAGCCAGCCATCCCGTCCCCAACTAGCACCGCGAGTGACTGACGGCACGGGATTCTCGCTTCTCCAGTCATCGCGACGTCTGACCAATTTGCCCCCTTTGACTTCCAGCCACTCTGCGGCACGAGGCCGACTTTTCGCACAGGCTCATATCCTCGCTGGCGTCGCTGTGCTCTCTTGACTGCCCGACGTCTTTCCATCTTCAATCGACAGCTCTAGCTGGTTACGTCGCGCTCGGAGGGGTCAAGTGCGGTGCTGTACATCCCGACAGCACGTTATCATCGAGCCGGGTAAGCAACCCTTGGGAACCCCCGGGCTATATTCAGGCAGCAAAAGACGTGTCTTCTTTGTCACCAGTATTCCGACGTGTCCTTGTTTAGAGGCGCCCAGTCAACACACTGAAACTAACGTCGCCCATGACTTCCAGTTGATCGTGACTCCACCCCCACAACAAAGCAAGACACCCAAGCCTGGACCAGCCAACCGCCATCTACGCTCACCACCACCACAACACCAACCACTCTGATATATTACAAACCGTCCGACTCGTCTCGTCTGACCAACATGTCGCAATTTATCCAGGACCTGTGGGAGTCCATCTTCATCCCCGGGCCCACGCCATCCCTCCTGATTGCGACCAACGTCACCTTCGCCTGCCTGCAGCTCGTCCTCTTCGCGCTGCTCCTCGCGACCTACAGCATCCACTTCGTCATCCTCTCCTTCCTGAGCGGCGGCCTGTGGTACGCCATCAACTGGTTCGCGCGGGAGCTGCAGGCAAACCATGACAAGGAGGTAGCAGAGAAGGCAAGGGCGGCCCGCAGAACGGCGGCCAGGGCGTCGTCCTCCGAGAGCGAGACGGAGGTGGAGACGGTCCTGACGAGGAGCAAGACCAGGGCCCAGCAGGCGACCGCGGCGAGCAAGGACGCCGAGGTGCAGCAGCCGAGCGCGGGCGAGGTCAAGGAGCGCGCGTCGCAGCAGTCGCAGGGCAGCAAGTCGAGCGCCAGCACCGAGGACGAGTGGGAGAAGGTCTCGGAGTACGAGAGCGATAAGACCAAGTGAGTCGCAGCATTGTAAAGAGCCATGAGGGCCATTAGCGTCATGTGTTTGCAAAGGGCGAACTGCGGTGCCCAGCAGCGACTCTACTTCAGTTGGTCGGGCAGAGGGAACAAGGACACCACATCGCCTTATCACCCGCCAGTTCCTGGCCTGTGCCTCTTTGTACATAGTTTGATTTCAGTCTGTCTTGAGCACTGCACGAATACCCCCATGAGAGTATAAATCTGATATCTGGATATAAGTACCTTCGTAGTACCTGTTTTCCTACATGAAGGTGGCTGAAGCCGAAGTAGCGTTGAAGTAGCCACGCCATCACATGACTGGAGACATGGCCCGTGCCCGACAGCCTCTCTCGAATTTGGAGCTCTCGGCGCGTCTGCAGCTTCCACTGCCCAAGGCAGCCTCGTTCGCGACCAATTCAACATACGCAACCCACTTCTCAATCAGAATCGCCGAGGTGCCCGTTCCTCTCGCCCGTCGCCAAGATGAAGCTCGTCAGGTAAGCAGCCCCTCTCAGCCCGGTACCCTCCTGCTTTTCTCCTCCGTCCTCTGCACCGTTTGTGCTGAACCAGCTGTCTCAAGCATCGCGAGCCGACGGCGCCAAACCTCGAGGCTAATCATGGACCCCATGCTAGATTTTTGATGAAATGCGCCAACGAGACGGTGACAATTGAGCTCAAGAATGGTGAATACCCAGCCTGCCCATTTCTCCCCCCTCCCCCCGTCCTACACCCCTTCTCTTCATCCGACATGGGACGCTGACATTGGGGCCGTGGTGGGCCAACGCAGGAACCATCGTCCACGGCACAATCACATCCGTCTCGCCGCAGATGAACACGGCGCTGCGCAACGTCAAGATGACGCCCAAGGGCCAGGAGCCGGTCCAGCTCGACGCCATGAACATCAGGGGCTCCACGGTCCGGTACTACATCCTGCCCGACTCCCTGCCGCTCGACACGCTGCTCATCGACGACGCGCCCAAGCCCAAGAACAAGGCGCGCAAGGAGGCCGACCGCGGAGCAAGCGGCGGCGGCATGCGTGGCGGCCGCGGTGGCAGGGGCGGCGGGCGCGGGAGGGGTGGTGGCCGTGGTCGCGGCTTTGGACGGGGGAGGTAAACCGCAGCCTGGTGTGTGGACGGTATTATTCGTGTGGTGGCACATATCGACGAGCCGGAACGAGGTGTCAAGCGTACGCTGGAACACCAGTGCGTGGTACGAAGGATTGCTGGAGCTGTAACCAAGCTCATGGGGAGGGTGAGGCATCTCAGGTCGACTGCTACAGCTTCCCGGCTTTTGTCGACAGGGCGGAATTCCCAACTTGGACAGGCCGTGGTTGTTGCTTAGCTCGCTGGATATGGGCCTTTGCAAAAGGAGCGGCGTCTCATTGTCGTGGCGTTGGGGACAGAGAAAGGAAATTGAAACTCGTCAGGGCATTTATGCGGCATCAAGTCGTCAAAAGAAGAGGCATGGATACAATTGCCTGCAATCATAAAAAAAGCGTCTAATTGTGCGTCCTTTCTCCCCCTTTAGGTACCAGTGTCGTTGTCACTGCCTCCGCGGCCTCCGCCGTCGTCATCAGCGTCCCTCCAAATTCTAATGATCTGAAGCTTCTCCCACCCGGCCTGCTTCCCGCTGTCCCCGACGGTCAACACGCGCCACGCCGGCCCAAACCCCCGGATCCTCGCCTTGACCTCCTCGGGCTTGTTGCCCGCGCACAGCAGCAGGTACGCGCAGCCCCTCGCGCTCAGCACGCCCGGCAGGCCCTCGATCAGCCGGTCCGTGATCTCCATGCCGTCCCGGCCGCCCGCGTACGACAGCGACAGCAGGTACGAGTCGCGGTCGAACCTGGCGCTCGCGCTCATGCTCCTTTCCTCATCCTCAACCCCCTCCCCTTGCTTCCCCGCGCCGCCGAGGAGCCGCGCGTCGTCCTGCGCCGGCAGCTCGTCCGTCGGCACGTACGGCGGGTTGAAGACCAGCACGTCGGCGCTGCCGGCCCGCAGCGGCGCGAGCAGGTCGCCCCTCACGGCGCCGAGGAACCGCCCGTGCGTGCCCGGGTTGTCGGCGGCGGCGCGCGCGGCCGTTGCGGCCGTCGCGCTGCAGGCGAAGGCGTTGACGTCCACGCCTAGGGTGAGCACGCCGCGGGTGCCGAAGATGGGGAGCGCGTGCGCGTTGACGAAGCCCAGGACCACCCCCGAGCCGGTGCCGACCTCGACGACCAGGGGGGGTGGTGGTGGCGGGCGGTGGTCGTGGCTGTGAGGGCTGGTCGTTGTCGTCGTCGAGCCGAAGCGTTGTTGCAGGAAGGCGGTCTCTGAGGGCGAGGAGAGCGTGTCGAGGAGGAGGAAGGAGTCCTCTGCTGGCTCGTAGACTCGTGAGTAGGACACGTGTGAAGTGTCTGGCGTGGGGAGCATGGCTGCTATGCTTTGGTTTGGTGAGGAATGAGACGTGATATCTTGGGTGCGGTTCAGTTGACGTCGGACCCGAGACAAGAAGAGTTTTCTGGGCACGTGATGCGTTGGAGTCAGTCTAGAGTCTCGGCCTGTCTGGGTTCGGGGCATTGCAACCATCCCAGCCCCCATATCAGGTATGTTCCCCTGAGTACATGGTGGTTTCAGCGGCGTGCGGACTGCTTGTTATCTGAGAAATAGTCGTTTATCATTTCCAACTCGCCGAATCTACCATCACACTAGGAGTTTCTACTTCTTCTGTGACAATGCCTTGTCTAGAGCAGCTATGAATGCCTTCACCTCGTCAACTGCGTCATGCTCTAGTCAGCTCTACGCGGCCAGGAAACGGAAAACATGTATGGGGGACAACTCACCAGTATTATAATGCACCATACTCACCCTCACCACTCCATCCTTTCCCAGCCCCAAGACTTCGTTTACCAGCCTGTTGGAGTAGAAAGCACCCCATCTGAACCCAAACCTCGTCTCCTTCTCCACCGTCTCAACTAGCTCCCTCGAGTCCCAACCCTTCACCGTGAAACTCACCGTCGGCACCCTGACAGCCCCGTCGGCGCTTGTCTCTCCGCGCACGGTGACATCGTCCCTCCCATTGAGGTACCCAAGCAGCGTGCCCTGCAGCTCCGCCTCCTGCGCTACGATCGCCTCCCAGCCGACGGCGTCGACGTAAGAGGCCACGGCGCTGATGCCGCTGACGAGCTCGTAGCTGCCGCCCGCGAGGCCGAGCTTGTTCTCGAGCGTGGCGTGCGGGTTGAAGAAGTGGCCGAGGCTGCGCATTTGCGCCTGCGCCGACCCGGCTGCCGCGTACAGCACCGCGATGTGAGGACCGTACACCTTGTACCAGCTGAAGGCGTAGACGTCGACGCCTAGAGCGCGCACGTCGATGCGGCGGTGCGGCGCGTACGCCACCGCGTCCACGCACACCAGCGCCGACGGGTTCGCTGCGTGCGCCGCGGCGGCGATGGCCTTGATGTCGTGGATCGTGCCCAGGATGTTGCTCGCGTGCGTGCATGTCACGAGCCTGGTGCGCTCTGACAGCAGGGGCGTCAGTTCTGAGGCAAGGAGCTTTGGCGCCGTGGCCGAGGCGGGCTTCCACCACTTCAGGACCAGGTCCTGGTGCTTGGCGAGGTCGACCCAGGGGGCGATGTTGGCCTCGTGGTCGATGGCCGAGATGACTATCTCGTCGCCAGGCTGGAAGTTCAGCGTGGAGGCGAAGTTGCGAAAGAGCTGGGTTGTCGACGCACCCAGGACTGCGTCATCACTTTGGTCAGCAAGGGAAGTTGGTTGATGTGGTGAAGGAGGAGAGATGAGACGTGCCTATCTCTTCGCGGGAGGCGTTGATGTATTTCGCCGCTGCCTGGTAGCCTTCTTCATATCTGGAGGTGGCCTTTTTCCCGACGTCATACGTTGCTCCCAGCTGCACGTTGGAGTTGATCAGATAGTCACGTATCCTGCATGTGAGGCATTCTATTAGTCGAGTGTCTCTACAGATATGGAGGCAACGTAGGTGCAAGTAGATATTACCTACGAATCAACAACAGATCCAAGGATCTGGCTGCCTCCGGCGTTATCGAAGAAGACCTGGTCCTGGCTCAGCGCCGGGAAGTTCGCTCGAACCTTTTGCGTGTCCATAGCGTATGCGATGGTGTCGTTATGCGTACTGTTTGGGCAGGAGTGGGTAGAGGGCATCAACGTTGTGTGTCGGTAACTAGACGATCTGCCAGAATTACCATGTGAAGTTTGGCAGCAGGAAACAAGAAATCACTGTTGCTCCGCAGTACACGGCATCGTGACGGGCACGACTCCGGTGGGCGCGGGGCATGAGACCTTCCTGTTCGGGAAATGGCTCGGAGGGGTCCACCGATCACGGCGGCCCGCCCTCGGCCTTGTCCGGCGCCGTCAGCGGACATTCCCTTCTACGACAAACGGGACAGTGTCCTCTCCCGGGGCGGGTTGGATCGGCAGGGGAGATCCTGTGCCGGCCTGCATCAAAATTGAGAGCTCGGTGTGTCAGTCGGCTGCCCATTCCTTGTTGGCAATAATCAGCCTTGCCCGTGGTATCTGACGGCGCACTCGGTGCGTTCTTACTGCACACGGCTAAGCACCGTCCTCAGAATAAATGACCAGGCCAGGTCAGGGTGCGGTGCGCATGCCACTACTACCACTTAGATATCATGTTCTGGCACGACCATACTGCCCACTGATGAAATGAAACTCTGGAGGCTGTGCGCAGGTCTCGAATTTCGGGACTCGAACTACCAATCGTAACGACCTCTTGGGGGTGCCCTAACCATAGCGCGCGATCATGTCGACAAGGGGTCGTCAAAGCAGGACACCGCCGAATGAACCCGGATGGCGCTCCAGGTCTCGGACGACGACGTCAACCTCGCTGGCTTCAAGCACTGCCTAGCGACTCTGTGGAAGTGTTCACGACATCGATGGCGGGGCTGCACGCTGTTGGACCAGTTCCAAAGCATAACCATGGATAAATACGGTGCGGTACTTGGGCGCTGTCTCGCACCTACGAAGCTGCATTCACTGATGCTGGCTGTCTTTCTTTATCTGGATATTTCTCCATTGTCGCTGATCACTTTGCTATGCATCATAGATCGACCGATGGAGCAAGGTTTGACTTATGAAACCGGCGATTCAGCTGTCTATTGCTTGACATTTGCCCTGCTGGGAGGTATGAGAGGTCCGTGAGTGGTCAAGTATCAGGCCCTCTCGGCACCATTTTCACTGAGTACGGCAAGCACTTGGGACAGCGGCAGGCGCTGAACTGACCGTGCAAGGAGAAGTGGCGCTGACGGTGCGGTCAAGGAGACGACGTCCAACCTCGTCAAGAACGATTCAGCGTAGCAGTGGCTTCCTGGTCCGCCGGTCACGTTGAATGGTCCCCGCCGGATTCCGTTAGAGCTGCAGTGGGTGCAGTGCTACGACGCTTTCGCTTGCGAGACGGCCTAGTCCGTCCTAGGCTATCCACAGGTCATGATTCCAGCAATCATCGATTGTCGGGATCAAAAGAAGTTTGTCGTGGCCCGGAGACATAACTTTAAGGAGCAGTCGTGGGAGGGGTATTGCCCCTCCGAGCTGCCGGACCGCGCAAGCCAGTAATTTGCTGCGGACGCAGGCAAATTTTAGACAAAAAGCCTACTCACCTGACCTACCATAGCAATCAATCTTTCTGGGTTGGCTTGGGCTTGTCTCCCATCAAGAAGGCAATAAATGGGCTGTGTTGCAGGATCCCACGGCCGCCGGCTGACACCGGCAAAGCTCTGGATTGCGTCGCAACGGAAGGAAACATGATAGCAAATAATGTAGCCGGCGCCACGTTCTGTGACTAGCGATAGTGACCTTTGGCGTGCATGAGCGCATCTTGTTCGTGCACCGGCTCTCAGCACCGTCGTGGAGGAGAGGGTCCCAAGTCCCGAGCGGATCAGGTCGCGCGGAGGGGGCTTCGACAGCCTCAGTGCAAAGTGCCCGCAGGCATGACCAGGCCGGGATTTCGGGCGGCACCCGTCATGTGAGGAGTACTGAGGGAGGACTTTTGCAGACGAATGAATGCGGCCGGCGTGGCGTTGGGCTGCTTGAATGGCCATGTTGCAGCTTCGGGATTTCTTGGGGTCGGATCTACCGTCGGCCGGGTTCTGCGAGCGAAGGAGATGGGACAACATAAAACCCTGGCGAGCTGAAGGACATGGTCAGATTTACCATGCTTGGACTATAAGCCAGGTGTCGGACAACAAGACGACGGAGTATCCACGCTTCTTGTGACACAGGTTTGCCAAGGCGAATACGACCTCGCAAAAAGTCAAGCAGGGCCACGGCGCGCTTGCCTGCCTTGTCTCTCACCTGCCTGCCTGCCTGCATTCATATGCCTGCCTGTGCAGAGAATCATAATGAGTGGGCTGAATTGAGTATCGGTCTGTCGGTCCGTGGGCAAATTTTCATTCTTGACTTTTCTTTTCTCCCTCCGTTTCCCGAATACAGCTGCAATTTTTGCGGTGTCTCTGACACAGAAATCTTCCGATGTGTCTCTGGTCGGGAGGGACCAGCTCGCGAGGGATGCCTGGGCCGGGCTGGACACATGTTGGTCCACAGGACCAAGCATCGGCCAGCAACAAAGAGTCAAAGTAGGCCTGTTTGCTGCGGAGGGACAAGACTCTGAACCGAGCCGAGCCAACCACTGGCGGGACCTGGGCGCCGTGTCTGGCTGGCTGGAAGCTGGCTGGCAGATACAAGCACTCGTAGGTAGGTCAGAACGAACAAGGGAGTGTAGGGTTCTTCGCGGGTTGAGACTCGACTGGGACGCACAGGACCAGCACGTCGTAGTGGCGGGTCCGCCTGACTTCTTATACCATCGTCAACCCGGGTCGTCAGGTATGTACGTATACGTGCGTACTATGCATGCAGCCAGCCTCATCGAGCACCATATAATATGATGTATCACTGCTGCCTCTGCCTGGAGTATGCCTGTGTATGTGTCTCCCCTCTGCCTCTCTCTGGCTGTTCGACGTGAGCGACCTGGCACGGGTCTGGTGCAATAGCCTCAGGGTCTGCATGGACAGAGGCTTGCAACTTGAGCGGTCAGCGGTCTCGGAGTGGTGCCCCGTCTTGTCCTTGTCGTGCTCTCCAGCTGCAACATGAGTCAAGCCAGCAGCGAGTCTTGAGATTTTCGTCTGCTTCTTACATCATCGCCCGCGTGTCTGGGATCGAGGTCTGTACTGCATGGTATGTAGGGTGCGCTGGCTGGCATCTACCTGGCAAGCCTGGGGCGGTCCATTCCCACGGCGCTGGACTGGTACACTTGCGTACTATTGTTTGCTGGCGCCGATCTGTTGACCCCGCAGGAGGTATGTGCTGTGTGGGCTGGTCGATATTGGCAGTTATGTATGAACGAGTGAATGGGGCAAGGAAAGAAACCAAAGGCGCCAATGGACCCAGTGATCAGATTTGACGGGTTCCCTGCCCTTCTTCCCAGGCATGGCCTGTCCGGGATGCATCCATCTGTTCATCCATTCATCGTGACTTGCTTCCATCCATGACATACTTGAAGCGCTGGTTAGGGCGAACGAGTCGGAGCCCGAACGAGGGGACTTTGTCGTTGGAGTGACTGGAGGCTGACCGCATTTCGACCGCATTTCATTGCTCTGTGCAGGCCCAACCCTGCATGAACAGCTGAGCCCACATCACGGAGCTGTGCTTGCTGTGCTTGCTGCCCAGCCGCTGTGCTGTGCTGTGCTGTGTTGTGCTCGCTCTGCTGCATTGCAGGCGAGAGGGGCCTTGATGCGCTGGATACTGTGTGTTGTATTGTGTCGCGTTGTGTTGTGTGCACTGTTTTGTGTGTGTGTGTGCTGTGTTGTGTGTTGTGTGTTGTATGCGTTGTGCTGTGGGCACGCTCTCCATGGCGGCGGGTACGTGTGTGTACATGGCAGCTACCTTGTTTGGAGGGACAAGAGCTCTCCTTCCGTCTGATGTCGTTCTCACCACCCCTGGCGATGATCCCTTCGCTTCTGCAGCCTGAGCCAATAGATAAGGGCAGATTAGCCTCGACAGGGAAAGTGGGGTCCAGCAGACAGGGGATTTAATTGATTTGTCTTCCCCCCTGGTCGGAGGGAGTCCCTTCCTTCAATGCAGATTGCGTGCAGGGAGTATTGGCAATTGAGGCTTTTCGATACGAAACTCATACGCACAGTAAGGCATTTCTCTTGTGCCATCAAGGGACTCCTCTGACATGGCCGTCAACCTCTGGGTGCGAAGCGAGGGGGTCCAGGTCCAGGTCCAGCGCCAGCTCGGTGTCGGTGAGGGTCTGGGTGCATCCGAATGTGAGGGTCAAAAGACGCGAGATGATATTCTGACTGTGTGTCAAAAGTTCCGAAACCTGGAAGTGAACCTTGCCGAAGCTCGCAACACTCGGCTGACTTTGCCCATGGGCCAAGGGCCAAATCTGCTCTGACTCGGCTACGACCAGACGGTGGCTCACCAACTCATGGCCCATGGCGATCAGCACGGCTCATTACTACCGCCAGGCAAGCAGGCAGATGGTTCGGCATTCCGTCCAATTTTACTCCTCCCTCTCGTGGTCTTTTTGTTGGCGCACCCACCCACTCCAACGCCATCCGCTCTGCTCTGACCTGCAGCCGATCTCACTACCTCGGCACCCCCAAGCTCGCATCTCTTCTCCCTCTCATTGGCAAGACAATCAATCAGTCAATCAGCCAAACGCGGACGAGCTCACTGTGCCGCGCTGGCCCTCTGCTACATAGACTACACTACGTACATGGACGCAGCAATAAGTGCTTGCCCTTCACTGTGTGCATACCCCATATCCATGCTCAATATCCATGTCCATGTTCATGCCCATGTTCTAATCCATCCATGTCCCTTGCCCCACGCTGTGAGACCCATGGGTCTGATAAGACCAGACCAGACCCGGATAGCCAACAAGCATTTGATTGCCTTGTTTATTTATTTTTCTTTTCTTTGGGCTTTTCCTTTGCTTTGGTTCGCTTCTGCTTTGCCAGCGGCACTTGCCAGACTGCCCGACTGCTCCCCACAGGTGCCCACAGGTGGTGTAATGCAGGGCAGGGCGATGCAGGGCGGACAGGCGAGCAGACCGACGCAACGCAAAGCAACGCAGTTGAGCGTTCAGCGCAACGCAAGCGGCATCGCATTGCATCGCGTCGAGCCAACTTTGAAGTAGCAAGTGTTTGGGCTACGGTTCAGTAGTGCAGCTCTTGTACCATTGTCGGTCACCCATACTAACAACCAACCAACCCACACTGCGAGCCTGCCAGCCTGCCAGCCTGCCCAGGGCTAAGGGAGGAGGATTATGGCGTGTATGGGTCCTTGTCCCGTCTTATCCCACCCTGCCTGGTTGCCTGCCCGCCCGCCTGCCTGTCCACCCTTCTTCCACGCAGTCTACAGTATGCTTATCCTCTGTTTTGCTAATATTGCTCGCGAGCACCCAGTCCAATCCACTGCCACTCCGTCTCCGTCTCAGTCTCACATATCCATGTCCTTGCCCCCCATGTCCACGCCCACCACGTCCACGTCCCATTCCCATGTCCATGTCCCTGTCCAGCCATGTGCCCCGCGCCCCCCTCCCCCTGTCCACATTCAAGTACGGTACTGGATGTAATGTACTGGACGTAGTCTTTGTAGTGACGGTCCCAAGTCAGTCAGTCGGTTAGTTGCCCAGTCAGTTGCCCAGTCACTCGTCCAGTCACTCCCGGAATCTTGCCCTGTGCTGGCTGGCTGGGCTCTTTTTTATAATTCATTTACTCACTTGTCCGTCATCCTGACCCTTGCCTGCGCCGGCTCTTACTGCGTACAGTAACAGCCCGCGCTCCACCTCCATCCCTGTGCGCCTGGTCTCCTCCCACCACCTCCTCCTCTTACATCCCTCGTCCCTCGTCCCTCGTTCCCTGGTCTTGGTCTACCCATCCTATCCTGTCTGCTGGGGCTGGGCCTGGGGCTGGGCCGGGCTGGTGTGGTCCTTGGTCTGCAGTGGTCTGAACTGAGCCGGAACCTGGACTGAACTGAACGGAACGGAGCCAAACTGAGCTTCACTGCACTTTACTGCACTGCAGTGCACTGCACCACTCTGCACTGCGACACATGGACCCCTCCTCCTCTCTCCACACATGACTGACGGACTGACTGCATTGCATCTGAGACTCTGACGCCCCGTTTCCCGCCTTCCGCCCTTTCTCTTTCTTTCCTCTTACTTAATTCCCATCCTGACTTCCCTCAGCACTCTTTTCTCTCACTTTCTGGCCTTGCGTGCGACTTACAGACCTGAGGGTGTCACTGAGCAACTAACACGCCAGACAAAGGCGAACGAACCAGACTCGCCCACCCCCACACCAGCTCGTGAGTGCCTCTGCACTCTGCCTGAACTCTCCCATGCTCACATAGTGTCTAGGCCGCATCCGGCAGCCGGCCCACCACTCGACAACCACCTTCGGCATCAACAGCAGCAGCACAACCAAGACCAACACCACCGCTGCCCTCCTACCTTCGCGAAGTCGGCCTGGTTTCCCCTAGACGTCCTGGCCTCGTCGTCTCTCGGCCACTATCGTCCACCTGCATTACCAGAGCTGGTCGTCGACACCAACACCAACTGGCACCCCACCGGCGGCCGTCACTTACATACGGCAAGGAATAGTATGGATGAGGATGCCATGGACTATGAAATGCAGCGCCACGATCCTCACCAACATGTTGGACCACGGGTAGGAGGAGGTTGCCCAGCACTGGCTGGTTGGCGCCATGGGGACCAATATCGAAACATGTGGCAGGAGCACCGAGGTTGGAGCCAGCAGTACTTCCCGCCAATGTCCTCAGATGCCTTCCTACATCCTCACCACCACCCTCACCCGCCATCTTTCCTGCAGCACTGGCCTCACAGCAACACCACCGCCACGCCACCTCGACCGGCAGACTCGACTTATGAGGCTTCCTTCAACCACCAGATCCCAGAGTTCAGTGCACTACCTCCAATCTCGGCTCACCAGCCATACTCTCCAGTGACCTTTGTCCCACCAGCACCTCGTCCTTTGCAGCGAAACCCGCAAGTCCCTCAAGGCCCAGGAGACTTCCAACACATCCTGCACTCTCACACCAGCCCGAACTCTACGGCAGAACGCATCGAGGTCGATGCTCAGGGCTCCGACTCGCAATCTGCGTCCAGAGGGGCTCTTCCTCCTGCGTCTGCGCCTCCATCTGAGCCGAACAACGCTAGCTCTGGGCACGACACTGACGCGAACAGGCCTAACCATCCCTCGCATAACCCTCAGCTACGCACAAACGGCCACGGCTTCCCGCCTGGTCACCCGGATGTGAACATGCAACCACACGCCAGGTTACCTCCTCCCGCTTCGAATCCCAGGGCCCAGCCTATAGATTCTGCCTCGAGGAGAGCCACAGTGGCGGCGTACGGCTCACGCGAAGGATTTACGTCTCCAGCTTCTGCTTTCGCCGGTCTAAGGTCTCGGCCGGGTGCGACATCGAACGAGGGCAACAGCGACACTGCCGCGTCTCCTGGGTCTAGCTTGGACGATGACAGCGATCTAGATGAGAGCGGCTCACGTTGGCAGTATACCGGCCTCCGCAGTGTCCGACAAGCTCAGCTCCTCCGTGGCCAGATGTCCAACAAGCGGGTTGCGTCTCAGAAGGCTATTAAGGCATTGCAGAATGTGGAGATCGAGAGTTTGCCTGAAAATGAGAGAAGTGAGAGAATAACCCTACCTTTCTCCGATTTTGCGTCGCCTTGCGTTAAAAGCTAATATAAAACAAAAGCCTGCGTAATTTGTTACAACGACTTCGGTGTGGCCAGCCCAGAAGGCATCAACGAGCATCCTCTTCGTTTGCCAAAGTGCAAGCACGTATTCGGCAACCACTGCATCCTCAAGTGGTTCGAGGATGCCGATAGTTGTCCGTACTGCCGGGATAAGCTGCACTCGGAGCCGGCGCCGCCGAGTAGGGACATGCTGCGAAGGACGTACCAGGTCGCCCGATTCGATGCGGACCTTGGCATGCCCGCATACCGTCGAGCGATACAGGCTCTGAGGAGAGACCCTTCCGGCGTGGACATGTATCATCAATATGCGATGCATCCTCGAGGTTCTCAGCCCCACGTTGAGGGCTTTCACCGAGATGTCTCAGCTGCTGGCGAGCGGCGGGCGCCACCAGAAGACCCGAGCGACACTCAGCGGAGACAACGCCCCCGACACGATTCTTCGAGGGTACACGACCAGCGGCATGGAAGCCTGCTCCTCACCGGCGCCGTCACTGAACAGAGATATGACCCTTCGAACACTGCCTCACAGCAGCACAGTCCGGTCCGTCAGCCTTTCTCCCCTTCTCAGTTGCACAACCCACCGCAACACAACCATTCAAACGATTTCTGGTCTCGGAGGGCGCAGAACATGCCTAACTTGCAACAGACAACGTACCCGCGCGCCAGTATCATGCATCACGCTGTAACCAACCACCCTGCCACCCTCGCGCCTCTAGGACAGAACTTCTCAGGTTACGCACCTGCTAGTCCTCCTGTAAACGGCTCGGTGAGCGGTTATTCTCCACAAGTACCGCACATGGGGAATTATCAAAACTACTCGGCTCCACTTGGCGGTGGCAGCCTACAAGCCCCGGCTTCAGCGGAGCTTCCACTCCCAACATCATTTCCAGGGCCACCACCAACCCACTCGGCATTCTCTCAACAGCTCCCTCATATGAGTCAGTTTCGAAACCCTGCTTACACACAATACAACCAAAGCCTGGAATATGGACGGGCCGATCAGAATGTGGTAATCTCGAGTAATGGCTTTTATGCTCCGAACTAGTACTCGATGAACACCGAATGGAGACCCCTTGGCCTCAAATCACATCTGCGGAACACACGGCAATCTCCTACACTGCAAATATGTGGAACGTATAGGATCACACGTAATTTTTTCATTGACAACAGGGCGCAAAGGAGGTCCAAATCGTCACTTGAACGCCCCCGCAATCTATCGAACCCATGAGGAAGCGCCCCCATACTTTCAGCCGGCCTGCGAACGAGCGACAGCGAAACAGCAAGTCAACTGGTTCTAGCGTTCAAGGGAAGGACACGAAGGGACGATATCTTCCGATTTGAGGGATCGATTTGCTTTGTGGGGCATAGCACAACAACGGCGTCGGCATATAGATCAGCATTTCCTTCCCACTCTTCCCCCCCCCCCCTTTTTTTTGAACACCCAAGTTCTCGTGCGGCGCGGGCTGCGAGCTTCGAGCTTTCATCTTCTGCTTTCCAGCCGATCCATACATGGCTGGTTCTACATAGCACTTCCGTTTTGTGTCATTCAAGCGGCATCGGCGTGGGCGTAACCAGGACAGGGCAGGAGTTTTTGATCACGACGGAGTTTCGGTTGCAAACAGAGACGAACTCGGTCGGGGGTTCTGTACTTGCTGAAATTCGAGGTATCGGTAGCTTAGGTTAGTCTCAAATCACAATGGAAGAAGCGATTCTCCTCTTGATCCACCCAGGAACGACCAAGTTCGTCCCGAGTGCTGTGCCGTGTGTGACTGGGATGAACAGAAGGATGAGGCAGGCAAGCCGCTCAGAGGGATTCGAGGGCAGCTCCGGATGAGCGGCGAGCGGCAGATAAGTCGAGGCGAAGCGAGCGAACGGATCACGTACTTATCTCTGTAGCCAGCAGACCTGAAATCTTGGATTGTCCCTTCTGACACTATACGCAAATAGAGAACGCAACCCGCCGATGAATGACTAGCGGGCTTTAATGCTGGCCTGCAAGAACAGCTAAGTACTAGTTGTCGAAATATATATAAGGTATAATGTCTTAAGCATTGAAAAGAGGTCTCTATCTCACACCCCCGAAGTTTTTGCTACCAAAACTCGGGTCCTCGCTGCGGTACGGGACGAGGCTATACGCTGTGATCTCCGGGCTGCGCCGGGCGCGGATGGTCTCGGGTCACGGTGGTGTCTGCGAATTTCGGTTTGGAGTGAAAGGGCCCTATTTCCTGCAATGGTAGTGCCTGTCGATCTTTTTCTCTTTTTCTTCCGCTGAGCGCAGTTGTTATCGAGGAAGGTGAGAAAGGAATGTGTTTCTCTGGGCAATGCTCTTGGATGCATATTGATTCCGGAGTCGATTATAGGTAGAGCAAATAGCAATTATCTGAATCAACTTTTCGTGCAGCATACCTACTAAGCACGTAGTATGTATCGGTAAATCCAAAGATCGCAGGCGTAGGTCCTGTGACGAGGCATGTCCGTCTCCCTATCGTACTTACTGTTCTATGATGCTCAATATGATCCTCAGTTGATGCAAAATAATCAACCACACCTTTTTAAGCTTCGCTGTAAGCATTGGGTCCATCCTCAGTCAAGAGAGGCTCTCTGGACACTCCGTCTGGCCTGAAAGAGAAGATGCTCTGGTCATGAACCAGGTCTTTGATTGCAACACGCTCACCTGCGTCTTTGTCTACCAGAAAGTGAAATAAAGTAATGTGATACGAAAGTTCCCAAAGCCAAAAGTCGACAACGCCTAGCTACCATGCCACGTAACCCAATAAGCCAGGAAGATTTTCAGACAATGAGTGCTGTAATGCTCCTCACTCCGTGCCTCGGCTCCTCACCAGCCTGCCTCATTCAACGATGCTCTCCATCTCCAGAGCACTCTAATCTACTCTAAATGTGGAGGCAATTCATGCAACGTTCCCAAAGTGCCAATCACCAGACTACCTGTCCATCTTCTCTGCATCCTTGGGAGACGGGTCGCCGATACCATCCTCTTGGATGGCGAACAGGCAGTCGGCTTCTGGAAGACAAGGGCTGTCGTAGATTTTCGCAATACGAGTCTCGCCGCGGCCCTTCTTCAGACTGAGACGGGTTGTGGAAGCGTGGGCGATGATATTGCCGCCGATCGGCTTCTTGGGGTCTGGATTGAACATGGCAGAGGGGCCACCATCTACCTGAGCAACAACCTGGTTTGTGATGACGACGGCAATGCCGAATTCATCTGCAAGTCGTTGCAGCGTGCGCATGAACTTGGCAAGATGTGTCTGCCGACTGCTGAGCTCCCCTCGGCCTAGGAAATCGGTTCGGTACAGGGACGTGGCTGAGTCGACTACCAGAAGAGAGAACCTGGTCTCGCACATCATGGCCGCAGCCTGGTTGAGGAGCTGCAGCTGGTGGTCGGAGTTGTAGGCTCGTGCATATGCGACATTGTCAAGCACCTCCTCGCCGGATAAGCCATAACGGTTGGCAACGGACAGCAGACGCACAGGTCTGAAGGTTCCCTCGGTGTCGATGTAGAGACACTTGCCCTCGCCACCACCCATGTCGAAGGGCAGCTGGCAAGTGACGGCCAGGGTGTGACAGATTTGAGATTTACCAGTACGGAACTCGCCAAAAATCTCGGTTACACTGCCAGTCTCAATACCACCGGCAAGTAGAGTGTCGAGGTTCTTGGAGCCGGTGGTGATGGATATCAGCTCGCTGCGGCGTTGGTGCATCTCTGTGGCGGTTGTGAACCCCATGGGAACGAGTTTCGATGCTGTGAGAGCAAGTGAGTGGGTGTGAACGGATGCTTGAAAAATGGCCAGACATTATTGTGATGACTTAGGAGATGCGAATGAATACCTTCTTGGAGGATTTTGTTTGCCTTCTGCTCCGAGATGCCCTTGATCTGCTCAAGGTTCCTCCGTGGTGTGTAAGCCACAGACTCGACCGTGTTGTAGCCTCCATCTACGATGAGCTGAATGTCGCGCTTGGTGAGACCGCTGAGACCCTATTTACATAAGTGTCGTTAGGAACAGGCTCTATGGCACATGAAGTAGCCGTGAAGACTCGCCTCAAGAGCTGCCAGCGGGGTGGGCGCCCCAGGGCCGGTCATGCTCTCATCGCCCGCCTGTGCCTCGTCATACTCCTCCTCTGTTTGGGTCATTTTTGCGGTAATGTGTGGGGCAGAAATTGCAAGGTGAGAAATTGAGGGACTCGAGTCAGAATGAAAATTTGCAGTCACAGTTTGGAATTGATGTGTTATGTGTTTTGCAGAGGAAGTCTTGGTGGCGAAGTTGTAAAGATTCCAATTGTTGACGCGACGGAGGCAAAGCGCGACGCGACCTCACAACGATAGGAAAGAGGGTCCGAGGGAACGGGTAGGCGCCAGGTCACATGCGCTGCGCTGCGCAGGCAACAGCAGGTCCAGGCAGGAGCTACCGCCCATCGATCGGTCCATGCGGAAGCTCAGGACCCCTGCACATGCAAGCCAACGAACCTGCAATAATGTAAGCCCAGCTGGCTGGTGGGGACCTCGAGGACCCGTCCAGATCTCTCGTCCCCATACAAAAGTGCTCCATATCATCGTCATCCCGTAAACATGCTCTTCCCGCGTGAACAAGGGCGACTCTAAGCTTTGCCAGTATCTTCAGACAGTCAATTGGCCTTTGCCGGCTGGTAGACACCCCACCAGGCACGCCTCATTTCTACAGCCTTATATGAGAAGCCCTCGCAGCGAATTTACGACAGATGCTGGTACGCCCCCGAGTGGACAATGGCACCGCCGCCTGCAAAGCGCCGCAGGCGGAATCTGGTCGCCGACGAAGAGGACGATGAGGAAGAGAGACCACAGCCCACGCCCACCACGACGCCCAAGAAGAACAGTCTCAACTTCTACTTCTCTTCCCCCGCCAAGTCCTCCAACGCCGACAACGACGAGCCTCTATCACAGTCACCGAGTCCCGTACGAAAATCCACCCGCTCAACCCGTGCTGCCGTGACTGCAGCTCCAGCCGAAGGCAATGGGAGCCGCACCCGCCCAAATAGCGCCGCAGCGGCGAAAAGCTCGGGCAAGAGCCCAGCGAAGAACAAGAAGCAGATCGAGGAGAAAGGGAAATCAGCGAATATCCGGACACTGTTTTCCAAGCAGAGCCAGAAGGCTATGACAGAAGGCAGGTCCAACGGCGTTCCGAAAAAGACCGAGGCCCAAGCATTGGATATCCTAAGTGACCCGCTTTCCGACGATGAAGAGATAGGAGCACACAGAGCTGTTGGGTCAAGCTTGGTCGGGAAGAAGGCTCACAAGAGGACCGGGGATGCTTTTGACTCCGCAACATCTTCCAGCATCAGTGGTGTTGCCAGTCAGAGGTTCATGAAAACTCCACGCCTAAACTCAGCTTCGTCAGGCGAAGGCGAAGACAGAAGGCCATGGTCGGAACGATTTGGCCCCTTGAACCTGGACGAGCTTGTCGTGCACAAGAAGAAGGTAGCTGATGTACGCAAATGGCTTGAAGATGTGCTGAGCGGTCGCATGCGCCAACGGCTGCTCGTACTCAAAGGCTCGGCCGGCACAGGAAAGACTACCACCTTGCAACTACTAGCAAAGGAAGTTGGCTTCGAGATCCTGGAGTGGAGGAATCCTACAGGGTCTACAGGCACTACTCAAGGCTTTCAGTCTGCTTCGGCTCAGTTTGAAGAGTTTATGGGACGTGGGGGCAAGTTCGGCCAGCTGGATTTGGACGATGACGACAATTCTGCCCCTAGCACAGGCAAGACCGCAGGGGCAATATCACAGGGACCACAAGATGTAGATCAAAAGAGGGTCATCCTTATTGAAGAGTTCCCCAACACCTTCATGCGCTCGGGGAGTGCCTTGACATCTTTTCGAAGAACAGTGATGCAGTGCCTGGTCAACAGCACGCCCTCATTGGCGGCTTTCGGGCAACAAGGGCTTTCCGAACCAATAATCCCGATTGTGATGATCATATCGGAGACGCTGCTGACGACCACCTCGGCCTCTGCTGATAGCTTCACTGCACACCGTTTGCTCGGGCCTGAGATCCTCCGGCACCCCGGCACTGGGGTCATCGAGTACAACGATGTCGCACCGACTCTTTTAGTCAAGGCACTGGAGTTGATTGTGAAGAAAGAAGCCCGTATCTCTGGACGACGGAGAACCCCCGGCCCATTAGTGCTGAAGCGTTTAGCCGAAATTGGCGATGTCAGGAGTGCGATCTCGTCGCTTGAATTCCTCTGCTTGAAGGGTGACGACGACGCGGACTGGGGATCCAAGGTCGTGTTCACCAAGTCGAAAAAGGCCAGTAAGGACCAAGTATTGACAAAAGGAGAACAAGGGAGCTTGGAGCTCATCTCGCAGAGGGAGGCGAGCCTGGGAATCTTCCACGCCGTCGGCAAAGTTGTGTACAACAAGAGGGACGAACAGCCGTACCCACCTGGATCGGAAGAAGAGGCGGCAGAGCAGATGCCGCCGCACCTGAGGCAATTCTCACGACCCAAGCGATCGCAGATAGCGGTCGGGACGCTGATTGACGAGACGGGAACAGACACCTCAACCTTCATCTCGGCATTGCATGAAAACTACGCCTTGTCATGCGAACGAACCGGCTCCTCCGACCCAAACTCATCAATAGACTACGTAAATGATTGCATTGACTATCTGTCCGAGAGCGATCTTCTCAACCCGTCCTGGGACATCTTCTTTGGCGGCAAAGGGTTTTCCAACATGGGAAAGGACCAAGGTAGCCACATTCTCCGACAGGATGAGATGGCCTTCGAAGTAGCTGTCCGTGGGCTCCTGTTCTCTCTACCATGCCCGGTCAAACGAAAGAGCGCTACTTCCGGCAGAGGCGGTGATGCTTTCAAGATGTACTACCCGACGAGCATCAAGTTGTGGCGAACAAAGGAGGAAGTGGAGGGCCTGGTAGACCTGTGGGCTACCAAGATGCTCAAGGGGGAAAGCGAGAACCCGGCGTCCGCAGCCGCCCAGAACGGGAGCTCCAATTTCAGCACTGGTGCGTCTGCTTTTCGCAAGACCAAGGGTGGTAGCGTGGGTGACTGGGTGGGCAACCGGTCAGAGATGAAGTACGCGACCAGACCGAAACCAGCGAAAGCTGAGGCTGAAGCACAGGAGCCAGAAAACTCGACACTCCTGTCACTGGGCAATTCGGCACGGAAAGAGATGGTCTTGGAGAGGCTGCCCTACATGGCACATATTATGCGCTCCCGCCGGACGTCGTTGTACTCGATGGGCGTGCGCGATCTCGATAAAGTGGTATCGTTTCAGGGGATTGGGCCGCCGGCGGACGCAGAGTCGGATGCCGAGTTAGACGAAAGTGCAGCGCCAGCGGGAGAGTCATGGGCGACGGATAAGCCTACGGAAGAGGCATCACCAAGGAAGAAGCGAGTGCCAGCGATAAAATCGCGGAGCGAAGAGGGTGAGGGGTCGATGATCAGTAGCCTGCAGAATAAGCTGGTACTGAGCGATGACGATATTGAAGATGATTGAGATTGAGGACAATGTTGTCTGCCTTGCTTGGGTCATTCAAAAAAAAAAAAGCTGAGTGGTCAGCGGTTTACATGTACTATAACTCATGGTCGCCTCTGGTATGGCGCTGGGGAGACGGGTCCAGGAAGTCTGGGCGTTCAGGGATCTACTAAGGTAGCGATCCAACTCAATATTGAGCCCAGCCGACGCTGGCCGATGCATTACAATTTGTGTCTTGTTCTCTGAAGTCCACTCGAAGCGGTGAACGGAAGGACTGCGTGGAATTATCGTCTAATATGAGCACCCCGCCTGAAACATGAGATCTTGGTCGGCAATGCCGTAATCTGTATGCTGTTTCTTGGGCCTAGATAATGGGTGTTATCTCCTCTATGACTCAGACTCCCACTTGTGTGTGAATCACAAACCAATTTATTTATTTACAGTCGGAGCTGCGCAGGCCAGCCGAGGGTTTGAAGCAGTGGACCGTAGGGAAGTCGAACCAACCGACGAACCCCTGGCGAAGATCCGGGGGCGGCAGCGGGATGCACGGAACGGAGCTGGGCTAGGCCGGGCCCCACTAATGACGGCCGGTGGGTTAGGAACATGCAGACACAGATACAGCAGACAGATCATGATGGACGGGGGAGGCGAAGAGCGGCCGGCTCGGATGAGCTGATATATGAAACAACAGTGATGACGGGTGGGTCGAGGGAATATCTTCTTCTTCTTCTACTTACTACTACTACCACGACGACTATTATTACTGTTGACATTGTTATTGCTATTGTTATTGTTGTGATAGACCATCTATTTTTACTCCCATGTCCGCCAGGGAGTGAAACAAGACGGGCACACAACGGCCGCCTGCACTGGGCCAGTCTGGCTGGTCGGTGGCCAGTGGTCATAGTCTTGGGTCAGCCTCGTCATCCTAATCCTCATCCTCATCCTGCTCCCCTGCGGCTCCTGCAGCTGCTCCTGCAGGTGTAGCACCCACGCCGCATGCGGCCGTCAAAGAGATAGAGAGAGAGAGAGAGAGAGTCAGAGCTGCCCCAGTGCCGCGTGCCGCGTGCCGTGTACCGCGTGCCTTAGTGAGCCAGCCCTGAGGTGAGGTGAGGTGAGCACTGCTGCTGCTGCTGCTGCTGCTGCTGGTTGGCGTCGACGTGGGCTGCGTGGGCGGCAGACGGGCGGGTGGGAGTAGGGTGGTGGGCACCTCCTGTGGGGGCGCCCGGGGGGTAAGCTCCCAGGGCCCCAGGCACCGCGGCAGCGCGGGCGTTTCAATCCCTGCTGGTGAAGGGAAAAACGTGGGCCATACGGACCACCGCCTGCCCTGTGCGGCAAGCGAGTCGGGTGGACTGGGGTGGCACGGTCTCCCCCTCTGTGGGCCCCTCGCCCAGCTTGGAGGTTGGAGGTTGGGGTTGGCCTCTGTCTGGCAGGCGACTGGCTGCTGGGGGCCCAGGTTACAGGCTAGGTACAGGCTATAGGCTACAGGCTGCAGGCCCTCTCCATCCAACACGGGCTGGGTGGGCTGGGCTAAACTGGGGCTGGGGCTGGCAGGGCTGGTCGACCGTTTGTCTGGCTGCTGCTTGCTGCTTGCTGCTAGATGCTGGACGCTGCTGGCTGCCGGACGCTGGATGCTGGTTGGCAGTTAGTCGAGTTGAGTGAGCGCCTCTGCCTCCTCCCTCCCGCGGGCTGCTATTCTGAGAAAAGGCTATTCGTCGATCGTCCCAACATCCAGGCCATCTACCCTCCGACCTCCCGGCCTCACCTTTTGCGTCCACCTGTCTTTTGTTTCTTGCCCCCAATCTGCAGCATCTCGTCTAATGTGGATTCTCTGTCCGTCTCGCCCTCTTCAACCCTCAGCTCCGACTGTCCCATCCGAAGGCTGGGCCACCGTTCCATCCACCTCTATGCCTGTGTCGTGTGTATAGTCTGCATGCCTTGGAAGCCACAGACAGGCAGATAGATACCCCAGGGTCCCATTCCAACCCCAGGCGAATATCGAATCTTGCCACTGCCACTGCCACTGCCAACGCCAACACCAACATCAGTACCAGTAACCCTCCTGTGCTCCTAGAACTGCAACTGGAACTCCGTCTCGATCCCGATCCCGATCCCGATCCTGAGCAAGACGGACTGAACGGGTCTGAGAGGCCATACGCAATTGCCACCGGAACACTGCCGAGAAGAGAAGTGGTGGGCCACCCCGACTGTCACAATGAGCCACGACCAGTACGACGACGACGACTACCAGGACGGCGGTTACCCAAACCCCGAACAGGCCTATGACGAGCCAAATGGCTTTGACGACGGCTACGACGACCGCAATCCCCACGACGCCGACGAGTACGACCAAAATACCTACAGCAATCGCGACTACGACGATCCACCACAAGACGGCTACCCGGACGAGTCACCCGTGGACGACATCGACAATCCCGACCTCGATGCCGACCTCAGCGGCGACCCCAGGCACGTCTCCCAGGTCTACCAGGACGAGGCAGGAGACATCATGGATCACGACCCAATCACCGAGTACCTAAAGAGCAAAGACCCCGACTGGGACCAACAGCCGCCCGAGACCAAGAATCTTCTGGATCTGCCCGAAGATATCCTCCGCCTGATTGTTAAAGAGGCAAGTCACGCACTGGACCCGCTTGTCGGGTGCCTCTGCCTATTGTGTCTCCAATCCCGAACCCAGAGAGTCATGCTAACGGTTGGCAATCGTAGATCACTCATACCAACGACCTGACCTCTCTTGCCCTGACCAACTCGACCCTCTACAAGCTCGCAATTCCTCACATCTACTCCAGGTTCGACATAGTCTGGCCCGACGCTCATACCACCACCACCGAGGCCAAGAGCGTCGATGCCCTGACATATGGACTGTCGACACTGTGTCTGGGCAGCTCCTTTGCCCGCACTACCACCCGATTCCGCAACTATGGGGACCAAACCCCAGCACCCATCAAGTTTGGAGACAACAACTATGCCCAGCACACCCGCAAGTTCTCGCTTGGCAATGGCCCCAACGACTGGGTCGCCGAGTACATGATCAACAAGGAGAGTGGCAAGATGCTGGGGACCTTGGTGGCCTTGGCCGTCTCCAAGATGAAGAGCCTCGAGACCTTCATCTGGGACATGCCCACGGGTGTCTTGTCCGACATCTTCATCGCACTCGGCTCACTTCCAGACGAGGAAACTCGCGAGTGCATGCTGGAACGCGTCTGGATCCGGTGGCACGACAACAACGACACTGGCGCGTCGCCGTCATCCTCATCAAGTCCGGCTCCAGCTGCGCCCCAAGCAGCCGTGGTGCCAGCGGGCAGCACCCTCACACCCATTGGGATTGCACTCCCCTCGACTGCCTCACACCCCGCCCCAAGCGCGCCGTTCACATACTCGGAGAACCAGGTTGAATACCCTACATTCAGTGTCTTGCCGCCCCTCAAGAGCCTCACTGTGTTGGACGTTGATGAGCTGGCCTACCTCGACGAGATGGCCGTGCTGGTGGAGCGGTCCAAAGATGTCCTTCAGGAACTCAGGCTAGGAGTCTCGTCCAAGGCTGTCCACAAGGACTTCGTGCAGACGTGGGACAGCCCAGAACTACAACAGGTAGACCACAACGCCCGGTGGCCCGGTGAGAGCTCCATCGGCGAGAGGAGGCTTGGTGGGATCCTGGGTGTACTTGTGGGACGGGTGTATGACATTCGCAGGAAGATCCCGAAAACGAAGCCAGCTCCCCCTCTGCCCGTGCCTGAAAGCAGTCCCGGCCAGCATACGCCGTTGACAGGAGAGTCCGGTGCGCCACCCTTGTCAGGAGATGCTCCACCTCCGCCGTTCTCGGGCGAGCCCAGCCCTGCAGCTGGAACACCGTCGCTTGACACAGAGATGGGCTCACGGCGGTCTTCTACCATGAGGACACCAGGCGCTTCGGGTCCCGGCACTCCGGCGAGGAAAAGACTGGACGGCAAGCTCAAGTTGACCACTCTGGAGCTGGAGAGAGTTCCGCTCTCAATGCAGGTCTGCAGCAAGGCATTCGACTGGACCGTGCTGACCAGCTTGACAATTCTCGACTGTGCCCAGCATGAGAACCTGTGGAAACTGCTGAAGAAGCAATTTGAGCCCAAACCGCAGGAGTCTGGGTACGGAATCTCGCCCACTTCGAGCAAGCCGGTGCCCAACGGGCCGATGGAGTACCAGCTGGGCCTGAAGACCATCCACACAGATCAGACGTCCCAGTCCCTCATCGCCTTCATCAAGGAAACCTTGGCTCCGAATTCTCTAGAGTGTCTTTTCTTGCAAGACCGGAGGCGTGGCACCGCTGCCAGTGCCCCTCCACAAGTGACGATCGATTCCATCTTCAAGGGGGCTATCAAGCGGCATCGGAACAGCTTGAAGAAGCTCCTCCTGGACAGTTCGAACAAGACTACGTCCTCGGGAGCGAATTCTGCCGAGACTATGAGGTGGCGGTCTTGGTGCCTCACAAGCGATCTCCTGCAGTATATTACCAGTGGCCGGATGAAGAAGCTGAAGGAGCTGTCCGTCTCTATCGACTACAAGGACTGGGTATGTCTTTTCCAATCCCAATTTTCCCTCCTTGGTTTGATCATGAAAGGATATTGTTACTAACTAGAAGACCAGCACACCTTCCTGCAGCGTCTCCCCCACATGTCACAGCTGCGCTCGCTCCACATCCCGTACATGGCGGATCATGTCATAAGCAACTTCGAGCCTAAAGAACTGGTGATGCAGGTGGCGGACATCATCACGTTGTGCCCGGACATTCAGCTGTGCTATGTGGGCATATCGACCAAGTGTTTCGAGATCATGGAGCAGCGTGCAACCGATAACGCAGGCGCCGGCCTCCTGAACGGCAACGGCGGCGCAGCCAACGGCGTGAATGGCCACGGCTCGGACCAGCCGGCGGCAGAGGTGGACGAGGCCACCGACGAAGACGAGAACGACACAGAAGACAATTCTGATGACCCAGATGATTCGGATGACGAGGGCACCCCCACAAGCCCGACAGATCCGGATGAGACGCAGTCTGAGGAACACCATAGCGACGAGGACTCGGACGACGATGACTCGTTCGTTGAACCGGCAGCAAAGACCCGTCTGCGTCTGAGGGAGATTCTCTTCTACGACGACAAAGTGGCCATCTTCAAGGCCAGGCACGGGCGGTTGTGAACAACGCTTAAACAATTCCAATTTCAACGGGGGCACCCGTATGTAGGTCAAACCGGCGTAAAGGCGTTCAGAGGGGCGGAGTTGCTATGAACCAAGTATCAGGCAATGATGTCCCATGGACAGTAGTTTTGGTCCTTTACACTGCAGATTACCAGGCTGAGGTTCGATCTGGGCGGACGAGCGAGAAGCCATGCACACGAGGCAGCGAGGCAATGGGCCAGGGTCGCTTTCAATTTGCAATGAGAATCAGACAGGACCAGGGCACCTCTCACCATTGGTCCCTCGGCTGTAACGAACAGGACATGCATGGGAACGAAAAGGAATAGACTAGCGAAGAATTTGCGGGTTATACCCCATGGACTTTAACTGGAGGCTAATGACACGGACTGGATGGGCCGTCCGGGTACCACTCAGACCAAGTATGGGCGGGACGGGACATCTAAACCTCACCTGTCGGGGCCATGATTAATTGTATACTATTGCGGTGGTTTCAGCGCTGAATGATTATGATTCCAAGAAGTTGGCTCTTGGATAAGAGCAACACACATACACGCATGATTCCTCTTCGCGCTCGTGATTCATCGGGAATGTCCAGTAAAATTGGCTTGAAATTGGGCCCTTCTATGACGTACCTGGCAGCAGCTTCCAAGACAACTTCAGAGCCAAGCGGGCTCGCTCGTTCGCTTCTAACGAATGCACTACGTCCGACACTGAATATTTTACCGGTGTTGGTCTGTTAAAGACGAAGGGACTTAGAAACCGCTCCTTGAGTGGTGCGGACAACCCGGGGGCAATGGAAATCCACCACCGGACAGACCGCAGCATCTTTTCCCTAGTGCTGCAGACACTCATCCGGCCTTTCAAACCACGTCTCGTGGCCCCGAAGAGCACGTTCCCAGCCGGGTCGCCCAGGCTCAAGCATGACAGGAAGATCAACCGCGCAGTCAGGGTGGTGGAGAGGCAGCAGCAGGATATATGGCTCTACGACATAACGGCTCATAATAACAGCGAAAACAACAACAACAATAACAACAGCATCAGGAGCAGCAATTACGCCGCGCCACCGCCGAGGAGGAGACTTCGTATGTACTACATCGCAGGAGGAGGCTGGCAGAGCCCCCCCTCCGGACAGCACTGGAAGTTCTGCGCCGAACTGGTCCGCAACGTGCCCGGGCTGACGGTGACGGTCGTCAGCGCGCCCCTCGCGCCGTCCTCGCCGGCGGTCACGGCGTTCCCCGTGCTCAGGAGGCTCTTCGCCTCCCTCCTCAAGCAGGGCGCCCGCGACGGGGAGCAGGCCATCCTGGCGGGCGACTCGTCCGGCGGGAACCTGGTCCTCTGCCTGGCGCTGGACTCGTTGCGAAGCGAAGAGGACACAGGCAACACGACAAGCCCCAAGCCCTTGGCCCTGCTCGCCATCTCGCCGGCCGTGGATCTCAGGCCCATGGAGACGTGGGGGAAGGAGATGCAGGTGCTGGCGCGCCGGGACCCGGTGCTGACGGTGGGCTCGCACAACGGGGAGGCGGCGGCGTGGGCGGCGGGCGTGGACCCGGCCTGCGCGTGGATCTCGCCCGCCGCGGCGGCCGACGACGTGGGCGGCGTGCTCGCGCGCGCGGGCGTGAGGCTGATCGGCGTGACGGGGGGCTACGACATCCTGGCGCCGGCGGCGTTGGGCTTCCGCGACGCGTGTGCTGCGCAGGGCGTGGGCGGCGCGTGGCTGCACTGGGAGAGGCAGATGCACTGCTTCCCGCTGGCGTTTATGTATGGGCTTCCTGAAGCTGTGGGGGCTAAGGATTGGGTTGTTGAGCAGATTAGGGGGCTGTGAGTTGTATACATATTTGCAGGCGATGAGAATTGTTCACATCTCGGGGGACAAGGGAAGAAGATACCGGGAATTTGTCTTTCAATACATAACAAAAGCGTGCAGACACTATATTTTTAACTTTGGTGTCAAATGCGTGGTAGTGTTGTGCTTAAGTGCAGAACTTCACCAGCAGACAAAATATAGTATAGTATAGATGTGGTTGGCTGGGTGAGGGTAGATATTTAGAATATATGGTCAGAATAAATAAACGTATGCGGGTGATATCAAGCGATCGACCCCTGATCCCTACCAATCCTGTATTGTACATTCATGCCCTTTGCCGAGGTGGAGCTTACCCCAGCTTCGATAATGGGTACCTCCACATCAACGCATTTGGATACCTCGGCACAGCGCAGCCGACGCCGTCGCCGACACTGGATCGCTCTGCCTACTCCATCACTGTGACTTGGGCCCCCCTCCAACAGACCATCGTGAGGTCGGGTCTCAGGTCTCACAAGCACAAGGTCAAGAGTCGTCATCCTACAGGAAAGCATATGCATTAGCACAGTCTATATGTCGTTGAGCCGCTTCTGAACCCTCTGGCCCTCATCCTGTCCTCACCCACTTATTCAGTCATCCAGTCCCTCACTCACTACTCACTCACTGGGCCACTCACAACATCCTCTCACTCAACAGCCGCCACACACACACACACACACAATATGGCCGGCCCGGTGCGTCAGCCCATCGATGTGCCCGCCCTGGAGGCCTACATCTCAAAAGCCGTGCCCGATATCTCGCCGCCGCTAGACGTCAAACAGTTTGGGTACGGCCAGAGCAATCCGACCTACCTTCTCACGTCCAAACCAACGGGCCAGCGCTTTGTCCTGCGCAAGAAGCCTCCAGGAAAGCTGGTTTCCAAGACAGCCCACAAGGTCGAGCGAGAGTACCGCATCATCCACGCCCTGCGCAACACAGATGTGCCCGCCCCCAAGGCCTATGTGTTGTGCGAGGACGCCGCCGTCATCGGCACCCCCTTCTACATCATGGAGTTCCTCGACGGCCGCATCATCGAGGATCCTGCCATACCCGATGTCTCGCCCCACGACCGCTCCGAGATGTGGAGCGACGCCATCCGCACGCTGGCCAAGCTGCACAGCGTCGACGCGAAAAAGGTCGGGCTCGGCGACTTTGGCAAGCCCAGCGGCTTCTTCAACCGCCAGATCGCCACCTGGAGGACTATCTGCGAGGCCCAGGCCAGGGTTACCGATGTCGACACGGGCGTCGAGGTCGGCGACCTGCCGCACTTTGCCGAGATGACGCGCTTCTTTGAGGATGCTGCCAAGCAACCACGGGATAGAGGCACACTGATTCACGGTGACTACAAGATCGACAACCTTGTCTTCCACAAGACAGAGCCGAGGGTCATAGGCATTCTGGAGTCAGTAGACCAGTTCCGCGTCCCCGTCTTGTTTTTTTAATCGTCCAAAAATGCTAACAACGCGACCCTGCAGCTGGGAGATGTCCACCATAGGCCACCCGCTCTCCGACCTCGCAAACGCCCTGATGCCCTTCTCCTCGGCGCGGACGGCGCATGGCCCGCCCGAGACCCGGATCCCGCACGCCCACACGGGCTTCCTGCCCGGCGCCACCCCGGGCCTGCCGCCGCCGGACCAGCTCGCCTCCATCTACGCCACGGCGGCCGGGCTGGGTAGCGGCCGGTGGGACGGCATGGAGCGGGAGCTCAAGTGGGCCGAGGCCTTCGCCACCTTCCGCCTCAGCGCCATCTGCCAGGGCATCGCCGCGCGGGCGGCCGTCAGGCAGGCCACCAGCGCAAAGGCGCAGGAGCACGCCTTGGCGAGGGGGCCTGTCGCCGAGCTCGCGTGGGCCCTGATCCGGGAGTCGGACGAGGAGCAGGACAGGGCTAAGAACCCCAAGGCCCGGATATAGCCAAGTGCCTCGCTGGCCGGCAGGATGGCAGGATGGCAGGATGGTACCGTGCTCACGGATGGACAGCTAATCAAATTAAGAAAGCATAAATGTGTTGCCCCGTCCGCCAGAAGTGATCCGTCGTCTGACCAAGCATCTTCATTTGTTGTGCACAAGAACAGGCTATACAATGAGTGTTGCCATCGTGTACCAGGGTAACCAAACCGCTACCAGTCTGGCCAGCCCTAACCACGTATTGGATACGTTATATGGTAGTAGGCAGTATGAGCCATGCTGAGATCACAGACGATATCCCTTTCGGACATTATCACAGTACCATGTCCTCCTCCAAGCTCCACCCTCCCGCACCCCCCTTGTCGGTGCGGATACGGATGGGAATGGGGAATACGCAGAATACGTAAATACAGCCGTATAGTCCGTATTCTGACGCTCCTCATAGGCCAATGACTCACCCGTACCAGCGCTAGGCCGCCCGCCGTGGCGATCGCCGGGAACGACTGCAAGGCGGGTGCCACCCGCCCCACTTGTGCTCGATGTAGTTCTCATATATGCCGGTGTTAATCAGAACAGTGATGAGCATCTCCGGGCATCGTCTCCATTTTGAAGAACTCGTGTTGGTCATGCCGCATCCCAGGCCACGGCTGCATGACGGAATGGGAGGCACAATTGGTCACGTCCCATGAAAATGGCTGGCGATATATATAAGTGCCGTCTGATGGCCACCAGAGTCCAGGTCGGGGGCTCGTCAGTCCTCAGCATTGGTATTGTGCTGTAGACCTCTCCCCGTCAACATGCGCATTTCATCAAACGCTGTCAATGCACTGCTGGCCATCTCAGGCGCCGCTGCCCACAGCGACTCCAAGAGGGCTACCGGCCTGGCCACACCACCTGCCCCCGAGCCCATCGAGGTTGTCGAGCTGCCACAGCCTCCTGCTTTGGCCGACACCAGCGAAGGCGCATGTACCTCGGACGTTAACTCGCACAGCACCGGCTGTATACTTCGGACCGGTCTCCAGAGCGGTGACTTTACACCAGACGGCCTCCACGTAGCCGCCACAGTCACCTATGTCGGCGCTCCAGCCGCCCCGGACCCGGCCAGCATTTACTCCGGTGTGCAATTCATCCTGATCAAGGCCGACGGCACGACCTTTCCCAACGGTGACGCCTGGAAGTGCATCACCTGTGGCGTTCCCGAGGCCAACCGAGCCGGAGTGACAGGCGACCTGGCCTCGTACCCCCAGACATTCCATGACGGGACACGAGCGCTGTCCGGCATCAACATCATCGACTGCGGCGGCGCCGAGCTGGCAAGTGAGGCCTGCACGCCCAACAGCACACACATATACCCCATATTCTTCGATGACGGCACCGAGACTGGGCTCGAGATCCGCGAGCTGCGCCTCCACCCGGACAACGTCCATATCACGTGGAACAGCTTCAGCGTGTCGACCGCTGGCCTACTGGACGAGTTCACTGGCATCTCCCGGCTGCAGTTTGACGAGGCGGCATCGAGGTACAGCCTCGTCAACACGACCATCCTGCGCAACCCGGAGAACCCTTACCCAATTTCCGTTGCGGATGACGGCCGGACTCTTCTCCTCAACCGGTCCGCTATCACGGTCGGCGAGCTGCGGGGCTGGACAGGCACCGGGAAGGAGGTCACGTACGTGGGATACCCGGTCGAGTCCTGCAACATTGACGTTTTCGCCGTCGACCTCGCCACCGGCGCCGTCCGCCGCCTGACCTCGCACCCGGGCTACGTCGACCCCATCAGCGTATCGCCCGACGACGAGTGGCAGATCGTCCTGGACACGCGCGGGACGCAGAGGGTCGAGTTCATGGCGGCCCTGCGCACGGTGCCGCCCGTGACGGACGTGATCACGGCCACGGCGTGCTCGTCGGTGCGCAACAACGGCATGCGCCGCTTCTTCCAGCCGTTCCTCCTCGACCGCGACGGCGACCGCGGCCTGTACTTTGGCCAGCAGCTCAACGCCGCCGGCAACGGCAGCGCCGGCGCCGTCAACGACCCCAACTGGAACGCCGGCGCCGACCCGCGCTGGAGCCGCGACGGCACAAAGGTCGCCTACTACCAGTGGCTGGCCGTCGACCCGGCCTGCGGGGGGGACAACCCCCTCGCGTGCGAGGCGTCGCCCTACCCGGACGGCCGCGCGGCGCGCGTCATGGTCGCGCACCTGACCAGCCGCTCGCCGCTCGCCGTGCCCGAGCCCTCGGAGCTGGAGATCCCGGACGAGGTCCCCTGGGCCATCAAGTACACGCCGGGCATGCAGATCCCGGACCTCCCCATCCTGCCGGCGGGCGAGTACACGCTGTACGGGTCGGCGAGCGGCCACGCCAACGTGACGGTCGTCTGGGACCCGGCCACCAACTCGAGCATCCAGTCGGTCGCGGCCACGTACCACGACTTCTGCGACGACGGGCACAACGTGCTCGCCGGGTTCGAGAACGTCACCTTCACGGCGCTGAACCTGACGAACGGCCACTGGGACTGGTTCTCGGACTTGTCCTCCACGGGCCCGGTCGCCAACGGGACCAAGATCACGAGTGATGATGGGTTCCACATGGAGGTGGACGCGTTGTATAACAAGTTCACCGCCAACGGCACTCTTATCACGAAGGTCGACGGCTTTGGTCCGTGGGTGCAGCCTTGCAATGATTGCTAGTTCTAGTCTTCTTTTCAGAAAAAAAAAAAGATTGTTCGAACTTGGTAGCGGTTGCCACTAGTTACACTGTAAATATTGGGTCTATCCAAGTAGCTTGTCAGCTGTGTCAAGATCAATAGCACGAAGCTACACTCACCATGAAATCACCATTGAAATTACAACAGCCTGCACTACCGATACTGTCTCGCCTTACTTGTATTACGAAATCTGAGCGGCGGGATCCTTAGCTGCGCCCACACCTGCTTTCTTCAACGAGCACCATCGTGGCTGGACTTTTTTTTTTTTCGAGAAAAGCCAACAAACGTAACTAAGCAGCAGGCGGGAGAGCAAGTAAGAGCAAAAAGGCAAAAAGAAATTATACATGCAACAGTCGGGATTCGCTGGTCGTCACCGACCCAACTACTAATCGACCTCTCACAAGCTTGATTACAGGAGAGCGAACGGGATCCGATATTTTCTTGTGGATATGGTCGCATGTGGTGGAGCTGATTATTGTGGTGTTTATGTAGTCAATGTACAACATGTAAACAATATGAATGATGTAACCTGAAAGGTCCTACAACTCAATCAGAGCGGGTGAAGGTATGCGCCTGCCCAGGTCACGCCAAGGTACAAGCCGGGCCAATATGCACAGGCCGTCAGAAACAGTCAGAGGCGGTACCTAACACAGTATCTAATGTGCCCAAGGCCTTGCCTTGTAGCGTGGCGCCTCTTCTGGCTTGCCCTCCTTGGGCCAGTTCACCTCGTCAGGGTTGATATACCACGACGGGTCGCCTTCGGTTTCGGTCACGCTCCAGCCGTTGCCCAGCCATCTTAGTCCGTTGCCTGTGGGATCGGCGCTCTCGAAGCTGTAATCCTCCCAACGAGGAGACATCAGGGCATCTAGAGCGTGGAGTGTCGAGCCGGGCCAGAGCCCGATGATCCAGTCTCCCTTGCCTCCTTCGCTTCGATACCAAGATTTGCACTGCAGAATGTAGGGTCAGCTATCAAAGTACTAAGACAAAAGGCTTATAGAAAATAGCGAGTATTAAGCCACCATGTGCCCGTCACCTGCCCCAAAAGTTGCGGCCTGACGAAGGGCTTGAAGGCAAGTAGTGGAGCAGGCGACGGATGGCAGGTGATTCGCCTGGAATGGGTCAAAAATGAATCCAGAAATACTAACCTTATCCTTGTAGACCGTTCCTTCGAAATAAGCCCCGACGTACTGTTGGAAATCCCTGACCCTCTCCGCCTTGGGCTCGATGGTCGCATAGTCTTCTTTCTGCATCTTGCGCAGTATCTTGACGCAGTAATCACACTCGCTCTCCAGGATCTTGGTGAGGGACCCGAAGCCGATGGCGCTGTTGGGCCCAAACATCATGAGATAGTTCGGGAACCCGTCCACCATCACGCTCAGATAGCTCTCCGGGTGTGGGCTCCAGCGTTGCGCGAGGGTCAGCCCATCCCTGCCCGCAACCTCGAAGTTGGGCGGCGCGCTCGTCCTGAAGCCCGTGGCACACGCGAGGGCATCGACCTGGACCTCGCGGCCCCCAGCAAGCTTCACGCCCGTCTCGGTGACCTCGGCGATGGTCTCGTTGGTGACCTCTACGTTGTCTTGAACCAGAGCCTCGAGGTAGCCCTTGCCCGGGGTCAGGCGTCGGCACCCAGGGGCGAAGGTCGGGATGATCACATCGAAGAGCTCGGGCTTCTTGGCCAGCTTCTCCCTCATCGAAGCCGCGAATTCCTTGCTGAGATGTTTCTGCACGGCTGATCCATGAACAGTGCCCTCGTGGATGAGGTTGCCTCCGTCTTCGATGACCTTGCGGAACTTGAGGTAGGCCTCAGGGTCTGAGGCGAGGGCTTCGCGCTTTTCCGGTGTCACTGAAGTTGCGGGCAGCCAGAAGGTCAGAGCTCGTTGCTTGGATGACGTCCTTTTAAAGGGATATGAACTTTATACCTACATGTGGTGACATTCGGATCAAGACCCAGTGCAATCATCGCAGCATCGCCAAATGCGCCGGAGATCCAGGTAGGCGAGCGCATGAACACCGTCATGCTTAATCCTTCAACGGGCTGCAGGCTTGGTACAATCTGAATGGAACTGGAGCCGTTTCCGATGACGCCAACTTTCTTGTTCCGGAAGTCGTACCTGGCTCGTGTCAGCCCTTGTTGCTCAGCAAACCGCACACAACGCTACTCACTCCTCGTCCCAGTCCGCCGAGTGGAGGAGTTTGCCCTGGTATTTGTCCAGTCCCGGGACCTGGGGCCATGCGATCTCATTGAGCTGGCCCCGGGCCGTTATGACAAAGTCTATGTCATTCTCCTCGAATGTCTCTCCAGTGTCGGTCTTCTGCACTTGGACAGCCCACTTCTTGGTTGCCGCATTCCACGCACATCGGAGCACCTTGTGCTGCGTCTTGATGAAGCGCACGGCGCCAAACTTTTCTGCCACGCCTTGGAGGTACCTCTGGATCTCTCGCCCAGGTGCGTACATAGATGACCAGTGGGCATTTGGCGCAAACGAGTATTGGTAGGAATGAGCTTCTTCTTGTTAACCTGTTTGGCGTCACAGCCCGAGGAACAACATGGGGACAGCTTACATGGGATGTCACAAGCCAGACCTCCATCGTATATCATGTCAGCAACGATACCATCAAACTGGCATACACCTCTTACCCGGATACTTGTTCAACCACCTGCACGGCGTCAGTGAACCCAGTTCCGAACGTTTCTCTTCATCCCACTCTCCTGGGAAACTTACCAGACACCGCCGATTCCCTCATTCTTTTCGTATACCACAAGGTCAATGTTTCTTAGTCGCTCGGGTATCCTGCTGACGGCGTCAGATGTGTACCCGTGGGAACGGGGCGGGGAAAGCATCGCCGACCTGATAGCTGCACAAATACCGGAGTACCCAGCACCAACCACGCGAACTTTCAACGGTCTTAAGTTTTCCACTGGCTCTTCTTTTAATGCAAAGGCGGTGCCATTGGCATGATTCCCCGCCGAGCCATTTAAATCACCCATGTTCTAGGTGCTTCTCTGTTATCACTGTCTGCTAGGTGGGAGTTGGTCTGCACTATGAGTGTTGACGACAACACGTACGCAATAGCTTTTATACACAAAGTCTTGGGAAGGACAACCATTTACCAGGAGGGGAGAGAAGCACCCCGGTTTAATAGCCGCCGCATTAGTAGGGCTGTTATATCGCGGCAATTTGTAGACCCTGTTGTCTGTACGCTTATTCAGGCATGACTTAACTAGTACACACTCCTTCTCATGGGATTACCCCCTGTAGGGTAACCTCCTGTGGAATAATTTACTAGGAGATAACCTCCTGTAGGCCCTGTAAGAAACCTCCCATGGCATGATCTATTGCGGGATAACCCTCTTGTTGGGTATCCTCCGATGAGATAAACCTCCCGTAGGATTACCTGCCATGGGATAACCTCGTGTAGGGTAACATCCTACGGGATATTGTACTGCGGGACAACTTCTGAAAGCAGACTGTGTGGGCCAACAGGTTGGAGTGTAAATGGAGAATAGCAGCATACCCAGTCCCTTGCAAGACCCGCGGGCCTCTTCCGAGCGGGATGGTTCGCGACAGAAGTTCGTTTCGCAGCATGACAACTCCCTCACTAAGCCAGTTTGACGCCCCCTGTTTACCCCAGGATTGTCTCCGATCCGAGCCATGGCCGTCCCGCCGTCCTGTCCCTTAGTCGGTCGCATGACGCCCACAACCCACCGGCGCGGGGAAGATGCGGAGATCGCGTTGTGTCGGCAAAAGCCACTTCGACCGTTGCGAGCCGCTAGGCAGGACTTTATTCCCTTATTTGACTGTCGAGTGCAGCCAGTTCACATAACATGGCAATCAGGCAATGCTTTCTGGCGGTCTTTGAGGGGAGGATCATACAAGATCAAACCAGCTCCCGACAGGACTTATACGTACCATTTGTCATGAAAGAGGGATATTTCGACGTCCTACTGTTGCCATGCATCCTTCAAACTTAGGTTACTTTCTTGGCCGCAAGGCGGCTGATACCCTAAATTGCTTCTCTATGTCTTGCTACAGCTGGCTGCCAAATCTTGGCTCGACCATGGTTGCCATAAATCTGGACTAGACCATACGGCACGTTGTCCCTGGCGTTGTGTGAATCAACGCTATCGCTATTGGCCAATTACTGACCAACCGATGTTAACTGCCACCATACGCCAATGCCCATGTGCGCGATGCCGGCTCGTCTCTCACGAGACGTGTAGAAAGGCTCGCTTCCTGGTACTCCGCCCTTCTTCGTCGGCTTCCCAAGTGTCGTCAACGTAGTTCTTGATGCTCTTCTCCTGGATCTGCATCCCAACAACTTTCAGAGCGGCGATGTTGTAACCCAGCTCATCCTTCTGCCTTTTCAATGCCTGCCTTAAATTCATTCGTATTCCATCCAGCATGACCCTCATTGTCCTGCTAGCCACAATTTGCTTGTGGTGCGTTTTGAGCATGAAAAATAGTATCCGGCACGTCAGAGGGATGTTCATGGATCTCGCTGCGAAGAGGTTGATAAAGGTGAACAGCAAGGGAACGGCGGAAAATGGCAGAACGAGCAGAGCATCGTGCAGTGCTGAAGCCTTGATACGCTGAAGCGTGTTCATGACATAGACTTCGGCACTGATGCCGCCCAGGGCCATGAAGATCGGGTTTCGCTGTGGTGGTGCAATGCTCGGGTTGCCGAGTTTCGTCTCCTCCCATTCTTTGACCAGATTGAGATCTTCTATGCCGAGTTCGAGTGCTTCTACAATCCTTTCTCCTGCCATGAGGGTCTCTACCGTTTGCTTGCTGGCGGCAGCCACCTCGCCGTCTTGTTGCTCTGGGTCTGCGTCATTCCCGAGTGACGTCGTCAGCGTGCCTTCGTACAGCTCCTCGATCTCTCGCTCTCGCTCTTCCTCGAGGAATATTTGCTCGTCTGTCTCCTCCCAAACGCGGATACTTTTGTCGTGACTGGCGCTGACAATGGAAGTACCGCCGTGGCTGACAGCAAGTGCCCAGATCTCTCCGTGGTGGCCATCAATCCTCTGAATTTGCTCGAATTTGTCGGCATCCCAATACTTGATGCTTCGGTCTTTGCTAGTACTGAAGAAGTGGTGCCCGTTTCCATCCGAGTTATGAGGCACAAAGGCGACCTGAAGAATGCTGTCCTGGTGTGCAAAGAGTGCCTTGTGGCAGTCTCCGAAGTCCAAGCCCCATATCCTCACATTCTTGTCTGCCGAGCTGGTGACAATGAGCTTGCTGTCATACGAGATGTCCATGCTCAGGACCGGGAGCTTGTGGCCGTATAAGTTGAGATAAAGCTTGAGTGAGTCTGTAAAGAACACCTTGACCGTATTGTCCAGTAGAGCAACAGCGAGGAGTTTGGCATCGGGGGAGAACTTCAAGCTCAAAACATCATCTGCAACCTTGAGGACCCTGGACTGCACCAGCTTCAGCTTTGGGGTCGTTCTAGTGGTGCCCAAGACTTGCTCTTGCACGATTTTGAAGTCCCAGAACTTGATCGTCTTGTCCGCACTTCCAGTGACAACAGAACGGCCGTCTGGGTGCACATGCAGGGACCAGATGGCCCCTTCGTGAGCGGATACGCTGTCGATGAGGGATGCCGACACGACGTCAAACAGCTCTATTTCACCACTCTTGGTGCCCACCACCACGACCTTGTCGCCCGGCAAGAACGAGCAGCAGAGAGCATATCCGCACTCAAAGGTCCTAATACATGTCTGCGTCTTGACGTTCCAGATTTTCAAGCTGCCATTGGCTGCAGACGCAAGCATTTTGTCGTCCGAACTCAGCGAGACCGCACGGATATCAGCTCTGTGCCCCGGGAGGTCTACTGCAAGGGACCTTGTGTAGTCCGGTACGTCGTCTTTCTTTGACTTGCTCGATTTCTCCTTTCCGGTGATGTCGTACAGTTCGAGCTGGTTATTCGTCGTTGCGATCAGCAATTGCAACTGCTTGTGTCCGTGATTCGTCGCCCAATCTACCGACCGCACCTTGCCTGTTGTCCTGATAACGACATGCTGTGCGAACAAATCGGAAAGCTCGGGCTGGGCGTCTTCATCTTCCTGTCCTTCGTCATCCCCCATATCGACATCTGCAGCATTTTTGCTTTTCTTGCCAGAAGCAGCCTTTTCTCTCCTCCTCTTTTTCTTTCTTGCCAAGCTCTTTTTCACCTCCGCATCGGACTTCAGCCGCCATATCTCAACTGATTTCTCGACGCCGTGCACAGCAAAGTAGTCGCGTCGCGGGTGAAATGACACCTCAACCGCCCTGTCTTTGCTGTTTCTGAAGAGTGTTCCACGGTCGTGAAGAAATTGCACATTCTGTATGTCCACTTGGCGTGCTGCGGCAGAGAGGCCCGCTGTATCTAATGACCAGACCTTGAGCTCGCCGTCATTGCCTGCCGTGATGCACCCACTCAGGTCAGGAGACACACCAAGGGCCCAGCACTCTCCGTTTGTTTGTGCAACATGCGTCTCGACACAGTGCCGCGATGACAGGTCCCAGAGCTTGATCAGAGAGTCCTTGCCTGTTGTTAGGAGGAAGCCTTCGCCTTGGTCGTCCCCGTCCAGCTGCATGGCCTGGTGCGTATCTTCATCCTCCGCTTGAGGAGCCGGCTCGATGAATCTCAGTCCCGTCACCTGGTCCTTGTGCCCTCGAAGCTTGTACTGGCCTACCTCCGCGACCAAGTCCCATATTATTACATCGGTGTCTTTAGAGCCGCTGGCCAAGCGCACGCCGGATTTGTCAAAAGCCAATACCGTAATGGCAGACTTGTGGCCGTTGAAGTTGAGAATTGTTGTGGATATCTTGCTGTCCCAGAGGCGGATGCTGCCGTCTTCGTATCCGACCGCAAATATATCGCTGTCGGTCTTGCTATGGGCTAGGGCAGTGACCTGGGCCTTGCAATTCTCATCGCGCCACCGAGACAGTAGCTCGCCTTTCTTGATGTCCCAGCATATCACCTCCTCGTTGGCGGCAACAACGGCTTGGCCTGCCCCAGTCGCAGTCTTCTGATTGTTGGACCAGACGATATTGGACGAGCTCGATGTGATGAGGCCGAACGACTTGGAGTGCTCGTATTTCCTGTGGGTTTGATTAGCGGGATGATCGAGCCTGTTGGATGGTCAAGAATGACCTACAGATATGATTTGACCATGGTGACAGGAGAGCAGGCAGACTTGCTCTCATTCCATGTGCATTCCTTTGGGCAGGCCTTGGTCTCGTTGGACAAAAAGTTCGACAAGCCCTCTTGCCCGGCCACCATCAAGGGTCGGTACTTTTTTGCAGGGGTGGCCTTATCGATAAGACGCTGCCCCCCGCCCCACCGGGACCCAATTACATAACTCATTCCCGCGGTCAGGGGCACGCACTGGTACATCATACCTGCCCAAGCAAGGTCGCCAACGTACAAGCCCCACTAGGACAGACAGGAGGCAGCTGCAGCTCGGGGTAACAGCACAGTCGACGGACCTTGTCACTCGACTCGACATTACATCGCATTGCCCATCCATCTTCCAGTTCACCGCGGGGAAACGGAGACAAGAAGCAACCGCCACGATGCTTCTCCTCGATTACCAAAATGTGCTGATCCAATCGGTCCTGACGGAGCGGTTCTCTGGGTAAGGCGTGTTGTTACGCTGTCCTGCGCCATCATCACCGCCCGTAGCTGACTTCCTCCCTCAGGGCTGCTCCGGTCAACATCGATCAGACGGTATCGGATTTCGACGGCGTCATCTTCCACATTTCAACTCCTGAGACCAAGACCAAGATCCAGGTGTCCATCCAGATAAAATGCTGGCGAGACCTCGTCAAGTACGGTGCCGAGCAGGTCCTCAACCGCGAGTATGGCGAATACGTTGTGCCCCCTGAGCCAGGCTACGACTTCTCTGTTGTAGTCGATCTGGAGAACCTCCCAGCTGAAAAGGGTATGTTGAGCGAGTATGTGCGGGGAGCCTGACAGGATTCTGACTATTGAGATGCAGAGGCTAGAGACGAGCTTGTCAAGAAGATCTCCCTACTTAAGCGCAACGCTATGGCTGCGCCATTCGAGCACGCCTACGAGGAGCACTACAAGCTGAAAGAGGAAGCATCGAAGTTCACGTCTGAAGAGGCGCCGCAGGGTGTTCGAGAGGGTGGAGAAGTCATGGCGATTCACTACCGTGAGGAAGAGGCCATCTACGTCAAGGCGAGCCACGACCGAGTCACTGTCATCTTCAGCACCATCTTTAGGGAGGAAACAGACCGTGTGTTTGGAAAGGTGTTCATCCAGGAGTTCGTGGATGCCAGACGGCGGGCTATTCAGAATGCGCCACAGGTGCTGTTCCGTACGGACCCGCCCCTGGAGCTGCAAGGCGTGCCAGGAGTGCAGAACTCCAGCACTGGTGAGATAGGCTATGTCACCTTCGGTAGGCTGAGCTTTCCTGATCTCTCTTTGGTGTCTTCCACTGACTGGGCCCAGTTCTGTTTCCGCGACACCTGACACCGCAGCGGATGCCGGATGTCATCTCCCACATCCAAACATTCCGCGACTACTTCCACTACCACATCAAAGCCTCCAAGGTCAGTCCATTTTTCCGCAGTGAAATGTCTCCTTTTGGATCATCGCATCGTTTCTGACAAACAACAGGCATACATTCACTCCAGAATGCGACGGCGTACGGCAGATTTCCTCCAAGGTAAGATTGCTTCCACCCTGGTCCTCAGCAGTGCAGGAAGACTAACATTTCTCAGTGCTCCGAAGAGCAAGGCCCGACAGTGAGGAGAAGGAGCGCAAGACGGCCAGTGGACGGACTTTCAAAGTACAGGGCGCTTGAAAGAGCAATTTCCATACAAACCGCAGAGAGGAGCGTCTCGCTACGTTTTAACAGACGCAAAAAGGTGTATTGGCTGTTACATCCGTCCTTCAAGGGGTAAGGGGGACTTTGGTCGGGGGGAGATGCGCGTGCTGCTTGTCGCTGTTTCGTAATCAGTTACCCGTAGAGAGAGAATATGGATGGCGCAAGACTTGGAATGATCAAGGCTTTCCTCCACCATACGTGGTCTCAAATGCACACATGTGATCAATAATTGTCAAAGGGATTGGTTATTCATGTGTTAATTCAAGACTGACCTCACTCAACCAACAGACCATCCCACCCCTGTCGTGGCCGCCAATCGCCTCCCCGCAGTCTGTAGGAAACCCTGGAACTACAAACTTCCTGGGTCAAACCTCGGCAACTACTCACGTTCACCGACCAAAGGTCCCCAACCAGCACATTTTGCTTGCGCCCATTGAACCGCAGCAAGATGTCATGGCCCTGGTCGTCCTCTTCCCCCAAAAAGGACAATGAGGACAAATCACCAAGACCAGGCGCTCACATCGTCAGCTGGAACGAGTCACTGGATGTCAAGGACTGGGATCACTACAAAGACCCAAGGACCTGGATTCCGGCTTTCGTGATCACGACGGTGCTCCTCGGCGGGATCAAGTTCTACAGGACTTATCTGCGACGGATACCTAGCGTGAACTACGTGCTGCCGCACCACTATCGCAAGCGGACCCTGTTTGGACGAGTCACGAGCGTGGGCGATGGCGACGGCTTCCATTTGTTCCACACGCCTGGCGGGCGACTGGCGGGCTGGGGCTGGTTGAGGCAGGTGCCCACAGACAGGAAGAAGCTGAAAGGGCAGACTGTACGTTTTTGTCGGGAAGCAGCTCTCTCCTGCGGAGGTACAGTCGCTGACATTCGTCCTCCCATCTAGATACCCATCCGACTCGCCGGCATCGACGCCCCCGAAGGCGCGCACTTTGGCCGTCCCGCGCAACCCTACGCTGCCGAGGCCCTCCAATGGCTCCAATCATCTATCCTGAACCGATACGTGCGCGCGCAAATCTACAAGCGCGACCAATACGAGCGGGTCGTGGCCACCACCTATGTGCGCCGCTTCCTTTTCTTCCGCCGGGACGTAGGGCTGGAGATGCTCCGGCGCGGCCTCGCGACGACATACGAGGCCAAAACGGGCGTCGAATTTGGCAGCGAGGCTACGGAGAGGAAGTACAGAGAGGCCGAGGCCGAGGCCAAGAGGAAGAACACCGGTCTGTGGAGCGCCTTGGGAGGGAAGAGTAAGGGTTGGTTTGGCCTGGGCAAGGCCGAGAGTGACCAGCCGTTTGAGACGCCGAGGCAGTACAAGGACAGGATGAGGGACGCGGGAAAGGCTGAAAATGGTGAGGCTAAGTGAACCCTCGGTGGAACGAGCTTCGCTGCGATTATTCTACACATCGGTGTTATCCGAGGCATCCCCATCGACATCAGGCGCAAGGCACAACACCCTCACTGCCTTCGTTGGGAAATATCTCTCCCTGCGTGGAGGGTCCAGCTGCTCCTCCGGCCCGTCTCCGTCCCCGTCCTCCTCTAGCTCCATGCCTAGTGTTGTGAAGGTGCTCATGATACAATCGTCATAAATAGCCATGAAACTGACTGGAACCGTGATCTGCGGCGCAATACTCTGTGCTACTGCGAAAGCCGGCCTACCCAACTCGAATCTACCATCTTCGCCAAGCGAGAGCATGTAGATTCTCTCCTTCACCTCGAACAGCACTCGTTTACCACCCACTGTCTCGTGGATAGAAAGCCAGCCTCCTAGATCGAAGCTTCTATCGCCGCTTGGCTCACACTCGATAACGGCTGTAAATGAAGACAGGTCTTGTGGGTGGCTGAGGGCTCGTTGCCAATCCCAGCAAACAAGCAGCCGCCCACCGCGGGACACACCAGCCATCGTATTCCCATTCAGCATGCCCGCCCCCCACTCGTCTTCGTCGATGGGGGGAATGAGATGCTGTGCCTCTGCTTCTGGGTCGGCCCGGCGCAGTTCGCAAGTCAATGGGCCCTGCCCAACGGCCATGGGCGTTAGTCTTTCGGCGTTGTTCTGAGGCCCGAACGGCAGCCCGGTCTGAGTTGATAGTATGCCGCCAAAGCCACCGATAATGTCGACGATGTTGCTGGCATCGGATGCAAAGGTGACAGGGTGCGCAATGTGGTATACCTGCACTTGGCTCGCACTCCGGGGCTGGAGAACGCCCAGCAGCTCGCCAGATATCTTGTCGTGGAAGTGATAGCCCTCCGACCCCATGGAGTACACCACGGCTTTTTGACATTGATACAGGTGGCCAATGGCCCCATTTGCAATCCGTAGGTGCGTCCGCAGCGTCACCGGTGCCTCGGGACGTGCTGTAGGAACATCGTACACAAAGCCCTCCCCCTCGGTAGAGACCACGCAGAGTGTGTCGTAGGACAGCTGGAAGCCTCGCGTCTCGGTGTCATGAGGCAGCAATGCGACCCGGCGGAACTCGCCCCTCACGCAGTCGGGCAAGTCCGTCTTCCAAACTTCAAGCGAATTTCCGAAGCGGTCCTTTGCAAGGTTTCGTGTTAACGAGTTATCCAAAAAGCCACCTGAAAGGCCAGTCGAGCAGCAGCCGTGCGGATGGGTGGTCCCCATTCGTGACACTGAACCCCAGGAAAGAGAAAGACTCTGTAGGCCAACAGAATGGAATGTAGAAGGGGGCTTAGTAGCATACCCAGACAGCGGTACCATCCTGGTACTCCAGATGAGCAAAAGGCCGTACCTCATGGCGGCCCAGTGACCAGAGCAAGTCACCCGTGTCCATGTCGACCACGTTGACGCCGCCTGCTTGGCTCGTCGACACGATGAGCCTGCGGTCAAAGTCGGGCTTGAAACGCCATACTGGGTGGCTGCCGATCTGGATAACAGTGGCGATGGGCCTAGGGTTGGGAGAGTCCCATGCGTCCTGCAGCAGACAGCGCCGCCTGCAGGCTTCTTTCCATGAACTGACGCCGTGCGAGAGGGAGTCGGGGCGGAAGGCTTTCAAGGCACCCATGTATTCATTGGGCGTGGTTGAGCGTGAGGCCCGCGGGAGGTGAGCGGCATATATAGCATCTTGGTGTATATCGTCGATGAAGGTGTGCCATGACCTGGCTGTCCGAGTCAAGTTGGCGATAATGCCAATGGATGCGAACTCGAGAATGCGGAGCACTATCTCGGACGGGAGGACAGTCAAGGGATCCATATGTGTGGTCTGGGCCTGGATACGAGTCTGCCCGTCGCGATAGCATCTGCGACGCAATACTGTCATGTAGCGAGACCTGCGGCTCTTCTGCGCTGGCGAGGGGAGACAGCTCTGCAGTGGGCCTAGGATGACATCACACGGGCATGAATAAGCCTCGCACGCACACGCACACACAGAGTAGACATCCTCTTTGCTCTTTCTCTTCTAGGGAGAAGGGCCAATCGAATTACCTCGAGTTCGTACGAGCGGTAAAGGTGTCGTTGTGAATTCTTTACTTAAGATACCTAGTCACTAGTGACGGCAACTACCTACCTAGGCACTGTAGGTGGCTGTATTTGGTATACTTCTGCTTAGCCCGCAATCTTGCGCCGATGGCTACTATGATATGTGCTGTGTATCGTCTAAGTGGGCGCGTAGCATAGCAGCGCCGAAGCCAAAAAGGAGTATGTAGCCTTGCCCAGGGTTGCTGCTTGGTCTGCAGGCGGCCCAGGACCGAATCACGGCATTGATCGCAGCGTCCAGCCCGAGAGGAATCAGATCCGAATTCATGCCATGCCCCATGCTACGGCTGTCGCAGCCGAACCAAGATGGGCTGCAGTCTGGCTCGGCCGCCTTACCGCCCCGGACGGTTTGATGTTTCGTGCCCTGTCTCTCTGCCCTGGCTCTGCCTCTACCGGTCTGCCGTCCTGGTTTGCACTGGTTGGGCGTTGGGTGCCGGTGGAATCTGATACCTGTGATGCCTCGCCCGTCGGGAGAGTGCTGAGAGCAGGCGGGGCCGGGGTTCCCGAGCTGCAACCCACTCACGGAGTGGGTAGACAGATGAAAACGAGGTCTGTTAGCACAGCAGCGGCACTGATGGACCGGGCAGCGAGGGCTACTGTAGTGGGAGCAAGTGTTGTGTGCATAGCACTGTAGACTACCATATTAGAGAGCATGCGTGCGTGCAAGGACGAGCCCGGGTTGTCGTCGCCGCACCAAGTCAGGCTAGCAACTTCATCCCAGCATTGCCACGGCTTGCCGCGCGGACCCAGGCATGCAGTCTAAGAGATGGGATGGCAAACGGGCGAAAGCCCCGCAGGAGAAGATCAGGCGAAAAAGAGAGCTCAAGCTTGTACTCGTCGGTCGGTTTCAAGAGAATGAGGGACAGGAAGGCTGAGAGGCTGAGAAATTTGGGGGCAGAGAAAGCGGTTATGCTTCAGGGGATCACGGCATTTTTGACTGCGCACTCCTGTAACAGTAGGCTTTCGAGGCTCTGTTGGTTGGCTGCAACTCAGTGGCACATGGAACCTTCAAGGTTGCCTGCAGGCCATGGTTCATGCAGGTAAAACCCGGGTTACCGGCTCGGTCTCTGTCTGTACTGTGGCATCGCATCTCTTGCTTTGCATCTCTTGCTTTCGCATGCTTCGCATACCTCGCATACCAAGAGGCACATGCAGCCTAAGGTTCTGTACGGGCCGGTGCTCGTCCTAGTCTGGCCCCATAGCAGCCCGCTCGGTCGAAATCCGACTGTCAGATGCTGTCTTGTGGACTATGTATGCGCTGTACAACACGTAAGGTGCTAGACCAGACACCGACAGACCACACAGACCTGGAGCACTTGAAAGGCCGGGACGCAGGACTAGCGTCACCTCCACGTTTTCGTTGATTGTCGTCAGGGAAATTTTCTCTGGATGGCGTACCGGATTACTGGACACCCATCCACTGAATGGCACGGCAGACAGGGAGGAGGGAGCAAGGTGTGTGTAATAATATCCCCTCTGTTATTGCTATTGTTGTCGCTGTTTCTGTTTCTGTTGCTATTGACCTGGTTGGCATGATTGGGGAGAAGAGAGTTTGGGAACCATATGATGTACTGTGTTATTGCACAATAACACAGCACATGCCTGCCTGCAGAACTACTGTGTAAGTCGTCAGGAGTGGGTGTGCGAGTCTTCATGACCACGCGCGTACTGTATATCCTTCCCGTTGGAGAGTGCGGAATGTGGAAGACGGTCAGAGCCAGTCGCAACTGTTTGTTGCGTGTTGCGCTGATGTTCTTGAGGTAGCTTCTGAAATATGCAGGAGTGGATAGGCAAGAGGGCCACAGGACGGGAGGAGTGTACGCGAGAGAACACGAATGCACGAGTACATGAGTACGTACGTACAGCAAATACAGTACAGCAGACTACCTGGATACATGATCCCGACTGGCTGCCAGACTCACAGGCTCACAGACTCTCACGCTCACAGGTGCCCCCGGCCCCTGTCTGTGGGTCCACGGGGCCCACCGCTGCAGGAACAGAGGAACTGCTGCCATTCGCCATGTCCAACTCGACCATCCCGGCCGTCCCCCTTCGCAAATTAAAAGATGTGCGCCTGGTAACCTTGGCCTTCCTTGGGTTCCCTGTAGTTTCCCTGCACCCGTCGACCAAGCCACAGCCCCAATCTCAATCTCGCCTTCATCTTGACTCTTGCTTGACACAGCAACAGTGACAAGTTACAGACAGAAAGAGAGCCGAGAGGGAGTGAGTGAGAGATTGAGATTGACTGACTGTGAGGGAGCAGAAAGAAGGGGAAAAGATCCTGCCGAGCTGTTTTCCTTTTTCTTATCTGCTGCAGGCTGATACACCCCCTCTCCCGTCCTCCTCCTCCTCCTGCTCTTGGTGCTGCTGCTCCTCCTCCTAGGCCTGCTTTGGCCCTGTCCCGTCCCGACCTGCATCCAACCAGGCAGTTTACAGTATTAGCTTTGTCGGCTGCTCTCGTACCTGACTACATTCTGTGGTACCTTCAATATCCTGACCTGCAGGGCCCACTTTGGACCACACGAGCGAGACCTTCTCCTGACCATCAATCAATTCCACCGACCGCTTCCCACGCAACCCGACACAACACGATCCCACCCGACCACGACGGGTAGTCAACCGCATCTAATCACCCTCATTCACTGGCTTTGTCCTCCCTCCAGCCAACCAAAGCCAGTTGCACTCTTTTTACCCGGCTTTCTTTTTTTCCCATCCCGTCCCCATTCCACTTGGGTGGGCCGTCTCCGTCTCTCGACGACAACTTCAATTCGCCTAGGGGTGCAGACCGCAGCGAGGACGCCATTGCCCGCTGTTGTTACCATCTCTCCTCGTCCATCTTTTCCTTCGGTGTCGATTTCCAACCCACGCTCGTTTCATAATCACCACGTCCCCGCGCCTCGTGCCAATTCTCCGACCGCCTCACAGCTCCCAAACCACGCGATTCGCGCCAACGCAACCATCGCCCGCGACCGAGCCCCCTCGACCCTTTTCCCCGTTCTTTCTGGTATTGAGATGGATTACGCGTAGCATATCAACTCCGCAAACCGCAATACCGGCACCAACCAACCCACACACTCAACGGGCTGTTCCTCATTTACCTGGGTGACTCGCGCCATGAGATCCCTCCTCTCACGGCGCCGTGTCGCCCGGCAACCAAGAACAGGTGCTTCTACATTACTTAAATCTTTTCTAACAGTCTCCTCGCTCGCATCAATACCGGTTTCGCACGCCATTAATTTTACCTCCGTACCTGACTCCTTCCTCGACCTGGACATAGCATCACTGGGTCGGGTTGGCTTTGCTGGCGACTTCGCGGGTTTATCGCTCTACCAGTTCGAGGGCCAGGACGAGGACCCATTCAGGACAAATGGCAGCGAGGGGCTGCTGGCTCGCCTGCCAAATGGAGTTCTCACAACCGTCGTCCAGGCCGACGCCTCCATCCAATCCATGTGTAACTATGTCGCCGATGGAGTCCCACAGGGCGTCATAATAGCTGGAAACTTCACCAGCCTAGGCGACCGCGAGTCCACCGGTATCGCCCTCTTTAACCCCAACACCACCGAAGTCAGGCAGCTGCCTGGCATACAGGGCTCCGTCAACGCTGTTCTCTGCGACAACGATACGGTCTATGTCGGGGGCAACTTTATGGGCATTGAGAATTCTACAAATGCTGTCTCGTGGGCTACCGGGACCGGCTTCACAGCCCTGCCTTTTGCTGGCTTCAACGGCCCCGTCTTGTCCATCGCAAAAGCATCAAACGGTCACATCATCTTCGGCGGAAGCTTCACCGGGCTAGGCAACGCGAGCACGCCTAGCACGCCAGACGAGCAGGTCATCAACCTCTCCACAGCAAACCTCACCTCCGGCAGCACGACGACAACCACTGGCTTTGATCAGCCCAGCAATATCGTTTGCAAGACCAGCGGCGACGACGGAGCGGGCAACACGTGGCTGCTTGCGGACAATACGGCTGGATTTTGGCAGGCGAACATGGGCTTTGGCTATCGGCCGACAAAGCTGCGCCTGTATAACACACATCAGGATGGCCGAGGGACCAAGACGTGGCGCTTCACGGCCCTGCCTATCAATGGCATCATGAACCTCACCTACATCGATCCCGAAACCAAACAGAATCTTACCTGCACCAGCGAGTGTCCACTAAGCAGCGACACCAACGTTACCTTTCAGGAGTTCCATTTCGTCAACGTCATAGGAATGAACGCTTTCCGAATCGACGTTTCGGACTGGTACGGAAGTGGCGGTGGCCTGAACGGCATTGAGTTGTTTCAAGATGACATCTTTTCATTCGCCGTCAGTGACTTCAACGAGCCGTCCTGCGCAGGCATCTCCACCGCCTCGAATGCCACCCAGACGGGCCCTTGGACTGTCTCGTCGACGTTTGCCAACAGCTCCCGGTATCTGACTGCTCAGCTTTCGAGTCCCATCACCACGGACTCGGCTTCTGTTGTGTTCTTCCCGGACATTAGAGAGTCTGGCTACTACACCGTCAACATGTACACGCCCGGTTGCCTGCAAGACGACACGTGTGACTCACGTGGTCAGGTCCATCTCAGTGGCACTATGTCACCCACGACAGGTACGAATGGCTCTATCAGCACCTCGCTCTTTCAAACGAACAACTTCGACAAGTATGACCCCATCTATTACGGATACGTGGACGCGACGTCGAGCTCGTTCCGGCCCGCCGTGACCTTGACCCCCGCGAGCGGCCAGTCCCTCTCGCAGCAGACCATCGTGGCTCAAAGAGTTGGTTTTGTCTTGTACAACACCACCGGAGGCCTCAACGGACTGTTTGAATACGACCCGTCCGTCACCAGCTTTAACTCCTCCGACTTCCAGAACTCGGTCTACGACAAGCTGGGGATGAACTTTTCCACCGGATCCGCCGTTAATGCGCTGGCCACTTCGGGCACCGTAACATTTATCGGAGGCAATTTCACCTCCTCAGCTTCGAGCAACATTGTGTCGATTGATCAACAGGATTCTTCAGTGCGGTCCCTCGATGGTGGTCTCGATGGGTTCGTCGCTTCTATGCACGTCAACGGCACCAAGCTCTTCGTGGGAGGGTCCTTCAATAACACTCAGACTAATGACGCATCTGGTCTTGCCAACATCGCGGTTTTCGATACCTCATCCAACACGTGGAGCGCCCTAGGCTCTGGTGTCAACGGCCCAGTATCGGCGGTGGTTCCTTTGACGATGAACATATCCGGCACCACCGAGGAGGTTGTCAGCTTTACCGGAAATTTCAGCCAGCTCAACGCATTTGAAGGCAACCAAGCCGTATTGACCGACGGCTTCGGGGTCTGGGTACCAAGCCAAGGGAACTGGCTGGTGAACCTGGATGGACCTGTGGAATATTTGGACGGCATGCTGACTACCTCCGTTCTCGACGTGACCGGAAGCAACCCTCTCTATGCTGGTACAGTCGTATCATCGACCCTCGGAGCCGTTGGAGCAGCTAGTTTGAGTGGATCGGAACCTGATTTTGGCCTCGACGACTTTGGTGCTCGGATCCAACGCAACTCATCCTCGGCCTTTTCTTCATTAAAGCGGGACATTCTCAACGGCAGCGCGTCTGGGGTCATCGATGGAGCCTTCTTGAACAAGGACGACCTCAACATCACTGTGCTTGCAGGGCGGTTCACTCTCACAGGAAGCAACGGATCCACCATTCACAACGTCGCCATTGTGAACAGCACTGATGGCGACAACGCTACCATCACTGGCTTCGCCTCTGGTATCTCTCAGGATTCGACATTCGTTGCGGTTGCCATTCAAGACTCCAAGGTTTTTGCTGGTGGCAACGTGACTGGCCTCGTCAGCGGGACCAATGTTAGCGGCTTGGTGTCATTTGATCTGAAGGCAAACGACTATGGCTCACAGCCTCCGGCCCTGGAAGGCGGCAGCGCCACGGTCAGCGCCATCGCTGTTCGCCCGAATAGCGGCGACGTATTTGTCGGTGGATCGTTCACCTCGGCAGGCTCCCTTGGCTGTCCAGCAGTCTGCTCTTTCAGCTCTTCCTCGGCTCAGTGGACTCGCCCGGGCAACAACTTGTTGGGGGAGGCTAGGGCCATGGCATGGGTGACTGATGAGCTCCTCGTTGCGGGAGGAAACTTCAGTGTTAACGGCTCCACGAGCTACCTGGTCTCTTACACATCAGGCGCACAGTCCTGGGAAAACTATCCTGGCGGCACCCAACTTCCCGGCCCTGTGGATGTTATCGTCGCTGGCTCTGCTAAAGGCGACCAGGTGTGGATCACGGGCACTGCAACCAACGGATCCATCTACTTGATGAAGTATGACGGGTCCAATTGGAAGTCGGCTGGTCAGCCGTTCGAGGCCGGAACAGATATCCGGTCGCTACAAGTATTTACTCTCACTGAGTCGAAGGGCTCCTCGGACCTGCTCGACGACACGATGTCGTTGATGCTGACCGGGCACATCGTGATCCCCGCCTTCGGCAGCGCAAGTGCCGCTCTATTCAACGGGACTGCACTGACCCCCTTCGCCTTGACCACTAAGGCTGGAAACACCGCGGGCACTATTTCCCGGGTATTTGTTGAGAAGACAAATTTCTTCAGCAGCAGCAGCAGCGGCAGTCTCCCAATATACGCCATTGTGCTCATCGGCCTAGCCATCGCCCTCGGCCTGACCCTTCTCATTGTCGTCGCTGGTATGGCCATGGAACGACTAAGGAAGAAGCGAGAGGGATACCAACCGGCTCCAACATCCATGTTCGATCGCGGTAGTGGTATGCAAAGAATACCTCCTCATGAGCTGCTCGAATCATTAGGCAAAGGACGACCTGGCGCACCACATGTGTGACAGATGGTGACAGAGAGATGACGACGAGGTCGAGAAGATGCTTAGATCGAGGATGACGATATACCCCGTAGGAAAACGAGTCGCGAAAGAGACCAACAAGAGAAGGCATTGTGTCGGCGTTCGATATGGAATTCAATTAATACTTTGTGGGTTTATGCGATCAGCAGCGGCGTTAAAGGATAGGCATTTACAGCATGTCTCCCAAAAAAGCGAGGATCATCGGGCCGCAGAACAGCTCTATCAGCATTTCTCCACATGCAAAGCAGCCACCAGCTCTCGAGTCAACACAAAGGGAAGCTCCGGAGGCGGGAATGGATGCTGTGGGCACGTTTCAAGACTCGGAAAAGGTCTGAAGCAACTGATTGAGGTTTCACGGTCTGGCAGAAGGAGAAAAGAAATGAGATAACAGGGAGACAGCAGGCAGGTTGATGGCCTCGACAACCCACAAGCATGTGGCTTTCTTTTTTCTTCTTTTCTTTTAATCCCCAGATGTTCTTTTGTGTTACCCAACCCGATCTTCATATTCTTTCTTGGTCGTCTTTTATGATGGGGGATTGGAGGAAAAAGAGAAGAGTGAGGCAGAGATACCACATTGTAATGTTTATGTTCTAAAGCATGTACAATATCCTTTTTATTTTTTTTCGACATGAACTTGGAGAGGCCAGCCCTCAACTTGAAGGGCCTTGCTCATTTGTATGATACCAGGGGAACAGGGCGAAACGGTTCAAGTCTCGACGCGGGTTGCGATTGGGAATTGAGCAGTCCAGCCCAGCCCTGCCTGCCTCTCTGTGGTCAGGATGCTTGGAAGAGGCGAGATAGTCCTGGAACAATTAACGAGATGAGATGCGATGTTTCAGCACCTTATGATGACCGAAAAGCCCTTTGAGCCGGCGAGATTTGGAGCGGTTCAACAGTGAACAACAACAGTAGATAACCGTTGTATGATCAACGCCTTGGAAGCTGACATAGATTATAGATAGGTGTCTCGGGTATCTATATATACCCACACGTCAAAGGCAATTGGTGGATCGGGCTGAAGCGAGAGGCTGACTGCATGTACAGTAGATTGAGTAATTACTATATTTAACGAATGTACAGACGTGCATACACATTTATCTCAATAAGCACATAGATAGATAGTAGTACTGTGCCTTGGAGTTCGCACGTAGCAGCGGCAGATCGCCCATTAGTGGCCACAGCTGTGCCTCTGGAATGGACGGTCCCCTGCAGGTTTGCGTCATTCGGGTCAAGTAGGTTTGGAGGGGGCGGCGGGACGGGGGACTGTGTGATGCTTGTTTGGGGTGAAAAAGGGCTCGATTGAACCCAGGTCGACTCGGGTTGACCCAAATCAACGCGATCTGACGCGACGCAATCTGCCCAGGGTGCGAAAACAGGACAAGAAGGGCCTTGATCTTACTTGATCGTTCTTTATCAAGCACGGCCAGCTGGCCAAACCCCACAAACGAAGCTAGCAGTCCATTTACTGAAGTCCATTCCTGGCTGTGCATGTGTCAATGGCCAGCGAGTCAGTCTGTCTTACCGCCCCTTATACTCACTACAGTTAGCCATAGGTCAACCACAGCCCACGGCGACGACCACAGCGACCTTTGTCTCGCTTCGAGGAGCTCCCTTGTTGGACAGTCCCGACCTGATTCGATTCGACATCTCATCGTCAGTCGCACGCCGGCGATTGGGGAGATCACAGTCCCGACTGGACCAACAAGGTTGAAGGTTACGCCTGTTCGCCCGTACCACGCCCTCGAGCCCTGATCTGGCAGCAGACATATTTGGTGTTGCTCACCCGGCGCTCGAAATCTGTTGGAGCGCAGTGTTGGACGGAACCCACTCCTCCCCTGGCTGGCGTAAGGCATTGGCTCCGTCCACAGCATGTCGGCCCAGGCCCAGAACGGCCAGAGCCAGGGCGAGCATCAAGAACAACAACGCCAAGGCCAAGACCAAGAATGCAGCCCTCGCTCTCGTAGCAACCGTCACCTGCAGATCGTGGAGCCAGAGCGGCGGCCGCTGTTGAGGAGACACATGAGCCATGAGCTGGACACTGAGCCTGTCTTCTCTTGCGTGCCCAACCCACACTCTCACCTGCCCGTCTACACCAACATCCACCGCATCAGGAGGGATGTGGTCTCCATTGTCGAGGACTACATGAGCCTTGAGCAACTGAGAGATGTGAGGATCAACATATCTGTCATACGGCCTTTGGTCGATAAGCTGTACGACCTAGATGACATCTCCATTGGTGAGTCTGCCCCGTCCCGCCTCTCCTCATGGCGAGGCCTTTATCCTCCCCTAGACAAGTCCGCTCGCGATGCTGATATGGTCTAGTCTACTGCCTCCTGGTGAACCGCACACAGTTCATGCACGAGCAGTCACATCTGCATAACCGGCAAAATGTGAACTACACTCGTGCTACCTTGTGTGAGCTCGTCGCCACTCGCATTCTCCGGCGTTTCAACGAGGACAATGAGGGCCCCGATGGGCTGCTCATCCTCGCTCATATCCTCGTCGCCGGCTTCTCCCCCTTTCAGAATGCTCCCGAGGACATTCGCCGAGAGGCGTCCTCTTCTGACTCTTTCAGCTACCATACGACACTGCCCGCTCTCGAAGTTGCCATACTGAGCGAGAGCAAGTTGTTCCTGAGCTCAACATCCTGCCAAAAGGTCATTGACGCCATCTACGAGGGTCGCGTGATATACACGCCTAGCAGTTTCATGGACATCATCCCGGATCGATACAAGCAGAAGCCGATCAGCCTCTATGACCCCAGGGCGGCGTCGCTGCTGAACCAGTACCGTTTGATCGTCCCGAGGACGAGGAACTACCTCGAGATCATGCAGTTTATGATATTATTGGTTCTCTACGTGCTGTTCATGGCCGAGCGAGACCCCACTACCTTCTCGATATTTGAAGTCATGTTTTCAGTGTATGCATTTGGATGGGTACTCGACAATTTTGCCACGATACTGGAACATGGCTGGTGAGTTACCCCCTCCCCGTCAGTCATCCCACGCACCCCTGACTGACACATATGGCACAGGCAGGTGTATACTCAGAACCTATGGAGCTTCCTGGATGTCACGTTCGCTGTCATCTTCTGGATTTATCTCGTTCTGCGTATTCAAGGCTGGCGTACCGACAGCCATGGTACGGACCAGCAGGCCCTCGACGTCCTCGCGATGGGTGCTCCGGTGCTTATCCCCCGTCTCGCCTTCAACTTACTCTCCAACAACCTGCTATTCGTCTCCTTGAGAGCCATGATGGCCGACTTCACCACATTGACAGCCCTTGCGGCCTGGTGTTTCGCCGGATTCCTCATGTCACTGATCTGGCTTGGGGACGGAGATCACTCGACAATCACGGTGAGCAAGTGGCTGCTCTGGATCTGGTTTGGCCTCGATGGCACCGGCATCCAAAGGGCCCCCGAGTTCCACCAGATCTTGGGCCCATGCCTCATGGTCACCTTTGCCTTCCTGGGTAACACGCTTTTTCTCACTATCCTGGTGTCCATGCTCTCAAACACCTTCAGCACTATCGTGTCCAACGCCACCGCCGAGATTCAGTACCGCCACGCAGTCCAGACACTGGAAGGCGTCAAGAGCGACGCGATCTTCGCTTATCAGCCACCCTTCAACATCCTCGCACTTTTCGTGCTGGTGCCACTGAAATTTGTCGTCAGCCCCCGATGGTTCCACAAGATCCACGTCGCGGCGGTGCGACTGCTCAACCTTCCTCTGCTCCTCATCATCGCCGCCGTCGAGCGGCGTGCTCTATGGCCTGTGTCGGCAGCGACCAGGCGATCGACCGTAGTCAACGGGAACGAGAGGAGGTACCAGTGGTTCTGGGAAAAGTGGCGCATCACGACACACGGCGACATCCACGCCGTATTCGACCTCTCGCCTCCGGATGAGATTGAAGATGCCATCTCTGTCGACGACGACCTGACGCGCCACATGATCCGTCGGCAGTTCCAGAGGACCACCACGGCCGACTCGACCATGCTACAAAACATAATCAAGCAACATAAGAACAAACAATCACACGAAAGGGACGGAAACAACAACACCGGCACCACCAAAGACGCCGGTGACCAGCTCGGGGTAACGCCCACCGCCTCAGACGGCCGGCAGACGCCCAAGTCACCTGGGGCGGGCAAGGTGCTCAGCAGGAGGGATAGCATGGCGCCGTTCCCGGGCCTGCGGCAGGAGCTGCAGGGCATCTTCAACGACAGCGAGGAGATGAGCGACCTGACGACGCGGCTCGAGGCCCTCGAGGACAGCAACGCGCGCATAGAGGCGCTGCTCGCCAGGCTGGTGGGCGACCTCGAGGACACGTCGAGCATGGACGAGGAGGCGCAGGCTGGGAAGCTGGGCAATCTAGAGGATCTGGACCACACGGCGGATGAGCAGTAGGATCGAGCGCTCGTCTGCACATAGGGTTTCTAAAAATGGCCGGTCGGGTTGAAACTGGGTGAACAGAAGCCGGCCCAAAAGTTCTGAACATGCGCGATCGCGAAAATCCCACTGCAAAACGGCATTTGAAGCCCGTACGGGCCGAGGGTATCATATCAAGTTGGAATAGTAGCCTGTCCATGCAAGTAAAAACCATTTGACCCCTAAAACGCCTCGGGCATGAAAAAAAGAAAAGAGACAACCAAACCCGCACATGCTTTTCCTCAAGTGAATCCGGCAGCGCACCGTGAAACGCCTTTGCCGTGCGTAGTTCACAAGCTCCCCCTGTAGACGGCGCAATCCCTCGATCGGGCCAGCCAAGCTGCTCACTAAATCTGAACATCCTCCATCTCCTCGTCCTCGGAATCCTCCGCAAAGTTCATGGTGGGCGCCGTCTCCGCCACAGCCTGCGCGCCGATGTCCTGGTGCTCGGCCTTCAGGCTCCAGTTGTTGGCGAAGCGGCCGCTCTTGTGCAGGTCGGCCACCTTCTCGAGCGTCGACCGGAGGTACACCTCGGGCTGGGGAATGGCGGAGCGGAGGGCCTTGAGCGACCAGTAGTTGTACTGGCGGAAGCACTGGAAGATCTTGTCGAACAGCTCGTTCTCGGGCATGCGCGCCGTCTTGGCCTCGGCCTTGGCCTTCTTGGTCTGCGTGCGCGTGTCCTTGATGAAGCTCTCGAAGGCCTTGGTGGCCTGTGTCGTGCCGACCTGGACGACGTTGTTGGTGACGGTGAAGCGGTCGATGATCTGGGTCGTATTCTTTGGCGTCACTTGCTCCTGCGCCCGGACGGCCATGAGGTATGCGGTCTCTGGGTTATCTTTGCGTAGGGTTTAGATCCTGCCCATCTCTTGCTGAAGACAAAGTACATACCTATCGGATTCATGTTTACTTCCTGTGAGACACGCCCATAGATTGCTGTTTTCTCTGTTGTATGGTTAGTATGATTTGTTTGGAGAATATCAAAGGTGGGTAAGCAAAAACGTACTGGGGATGACCTGTCTGAAAGTGTCCCTTCCTCGTCGTCCACGTCCGCCACGAGAGCTTTGTTGAGCTGGCTTCTCGACCTTGGCGCGCAAGAGATAGGAGGGGATATTCTGATCGGCAGCATCCTTGCGCAACTTGTTCTTGTTCTTGAAGCCCTCAATATCCGACTCGTTGAAGATGAAGGTATTCTTGACTGCTTGGTTGGTGTCGTCCAGATCGTATTCACGGGGTAGACCTTGATGGGAGGCGACGTTGCTTTTCAGCAAAAGCCTCATTTTTCTCTATGATAGAAGGGGGAATCAAGTCAGCGGCTTGTGTGCGCGGACATGGATAGGAGGGAGGAGGGGAGGAGGTGCGGACCTTGGGTACACCCTTCTTATCGGGCTCGCTCCAGGCGCGTAGCCTCCCGATCTCAATTGGGGTGTCGTCGTCGATCTTGTCCCAAGCAGCCCAGACATACGTGGGCACGCGAGCCATGAAGAGGTTGTCCTGGGGGGCTGGATTGCCATCTGGGTCCCTCGGGGCGTAGAATTCAAGATCCAGGTCGCCGATGTCGTCTTCGTAGGCATCAATGGCCATGGGGGATCCGCCTTGGAGGGCGTCCGGGTCGGGCTTGACAGCCGGGTCTGGCTTAACGGCTGCGTCCGCCATTTTGAGCTATCTGTGCGATTTTCTGCGCCTTGGTCTCCTCTTAGCAGAACTGCTGAGGGGTGTTGCGTCGATTGTCTCTATGTCTGGATGTCTCGAACGAAGTGCCGGCGCAGCGTCGATGGGGTCCAGGTCGGGAGGCAGGCTGGCTTACGTAAGAAGGGTCTTTCAACGTACCGTAGTACCCGTGAACTGATTCACTTTGCAGGTCACTTGGCCTGGTGTTCCGCTTTCAGCCATTGGCCCAGTCCATAATCAAAGGAATGTGGTTTGCTGTTTTTACCTATGCATAATTACTAAAAGAAAAAGTCTCAATGGTGGCTTTTCTGCATTATGTCCTGCTGTATATGATCATTGAAAGGCATCCACAGTAGGAGACAATGTGGACTAGGCCACTCCGTACCTGGAGCTGCCTGCCTAGCTGCGAATGATGTAATTCTGCCCACTCTTATCTGATATGATCTTATCGTCACGTGCGAGCCACATGGAACGGGGAGTACATGGCGCGAGCAACCAGCCTTCCCGCTAGTCTCATAGCCTGCCGCCGTTGCCAACATCGAGCAACTTTGACTTCTCTGCAGTTTATAATCAACACCTCGTTTCTAGCAAACCTCCAACTTTCCTGCACACACCAATTTCAGTTTGAGCGCCGAACGCACGCCTCAGCATACGTCAATTTTCACCCAAGATACAACCTACCTAGGACCTCAGTCTGGGATCTCATCCATCATGTCTGATGAGGACCAGAAGTTGATGGAGCAGATCAGCCTCCTGGCAGGCAAGTACCTCCCAGCCGACACGATGCGATGCGATGCGATGCGATGCGATGCGATGCGATGCGTGGTCGCGTAGTCTTGACTGTTTCTGACGAGTTGTCACAGGCCAGATTAACCGTGCAAAGAACCAACAGGCAGGCCTCGCTCCAGGAACACCTGCGACCTCCGGCCCTTCCCGATGTATGTTGTGCCCAAACACCACACTCGTTGACGAATGCCTAGTTAACCAGGAGCATCGCTAGCATCTGGACGTGGCGGTTACTATCGTGGTCATCATCCGTATGCCGCACCAGGTCGTGCAGGATATCGCGTTGCGAAGCCCGTTCATCGACACAGATCCCTTGTCCTCAACAACCCCAATGCTACGAACAACTCCAATCACGTCGCAGGCTCTACATCCGATGACACGGCCTCTTCATGGGTCACAAGAAGCGACCGCCACCTACAACTTATCAACTCCAATGTCTTCCATGAGCAGACCGAGGCACGGAATAAGGCGATGCAGCAAACGAGACTCCAGAAGCAGCAGCAAAAGGAGCATCGCGAACGGGCCCAACTCATGAACCACCTCAAACATACGGCAAACCCCTCTACTGTCTCTGCTAACCCCGCTTCAGCGCCCACCTATGAGATATCGGTGGAGGGTATCCGCTTCAGAGTCGCAAACAACGGCAGCAAGCTGGTCAAGCTTCCTGGTGCGTTGCCGTCATCTCATCACTACACGCGTCTCTGCTCACCCTCGTCAGGAGATCCAAATAACCCCAAGGCCACGCCCAAGATGGCCCTGGTCGGAGGGGTCAAGTTCCATCGGTCCAAGAACGGCAATATGTACCGTCAGGCGATCGTTAAGGCTCACCGGTATGTCGCCCGTCCCGATCGAGTGCATCTGCTGACTGAGAAATATCCAGACAATCTGCGACCGTCAAGAAGACAAACGTTACTTGCAGAAACTTTTCTAATACTGGTACCCCCTTGTTTCCCCGTTCCCCCAGCTCTTCTGCACTGACAGCTCTGTGTCTGTGCCGTAGGCTACTGGCAGATGTTGCTGACCACGTCAATTTGTCTATAGGTTCTTGTCCAAAAGGCCCCATGTGCCGTTACGTCCACGATCCATTAAAAGTCTCTGCATGCAAGGAGCTTCTTCAAAAAGGCACTTGTTCCGCCGGGGATCAGTGTGACCTATCTCATGACCTGACCCCGGAGCGCACGCCGCACTGTGTGCACTATGCCAAGGGCAACTGCAGGGCAAGTGAATGTCCATATACTCACCGTATTCTACCTCCAGGTGCCCCGGTTTGCCAGTCATTTGGCTTCTACGGCTACTGCGAGAAGGGCATCAGCTGTCCCGATCGTCACGTCTTTGAATGCCCTGATTTCAGCAACACAGGTGTCTGTAAGACAAAGGGTTGTAAACTCCCCCATCGAGAGAGGGCAAGCGTCCTCCGAAAGGCAAATGCCGCTCTCGCGCAGAACGCAAGCGGAGATGATGAGGATGACCTGTCGAGCGACGACGGCAACAACTCAGTCAGCAGCAACGATGTTGACTCTGACGAGGTTGAAGAGTTCATCGGTGAAGAAGATCCTATGGACTTTGAACAGGACTTCATCTCCTTTAATTGATCCATACCGGTGTTTGAAAGGCGGACGGTCTCGTGCTCGTCCATCCGCTTCATGGACCCGGTCGTTTGGCATCTGCAGAGTAGACCATTGTTCAAGATCCCCTTATGGATCCTTGCGGAAGAAGGACAGGCATTCCAGGCCGCTGGTTACCCTTAGAAAGAAGATAGAAGAAAAAGAAGAAGAGAGAAAGAGAGAGAGATAGCTAATATAAAGAATAACAATGTATATGAGATGTCATGAGATGTTGAGACCTTCCTTCACTGTGTTGCCATGTCAAGACAACAAACCGCTCGGCATGAAAAGCGTTGCGTCCCGGCGGCTCCTCGCATTATACAGCAGGGCCGCCCAAGACATGCCATCAAGGTATGTCACAACGCCGGGCCGTCTTATCAAGTTCCCGCGCCCAACAGACAGTCTTGCCAGGTGATATACTTGCCAGCCAAGTATGAGTTACTCTTCGAGAAACGAAATCGGTCATGAGAAGCAGCACGTACTTTCAAAACATTCCCATGCCTGCCAGCACGGATTATAAGACAACTTTCGTGTGACGGCTGGACAATCTCTAGCTCAGTTGCCCCTATAAAATGTCATTGCGTGCGTGGGAAGCTCTCCGGAGCGGTCCCTCTGAAGGTCATAGGCTTTGAAGTCCTCGCTCTGAGCCTAGGCCTCTTTTTTCAACTCAAATAGTCATTCTGAACATCCTTCGAATATATCCTTATCAATTCATGACAATTTATAAGAACAACATACATTCCTAGTGATTTCAAAAAGACTTTGGATAGTAAAGTTATTCATACAATGACAAAGGATCTGAGATCAAATATGGACTTAGAGTAGGGATGGATATTTTCACCAAATTAATTCTGGGCGAATTATCTTCCAGTAATTTGGAATTGCGTTCTCGCTCTGGGGCGAGGGTCTGGCGGGAAAAAAAAAATTCTCCTTTCTTTTCTATTCTGAGAATTATCTGTTTCAATTTTAACTTTCTGTAGATTCAGATTTGACTTCTCTTTGTTGAAATAATTAACCTTTAAGTTCTTAATCTGAATTTTATGTTGATTTGGAATTTTAAAAAAGATATGTTCATCATATTTCCTTTCCTTTCCTTCTCTCCTGTATATACATATGTACTTCTGGCCACTAAACCCCCTAGTCCTTTTTCTGTTTGAAATTTATTCCTGATTCACTCATCGTTTCCTCAGAAAATTCAACAAATAGCTATTTGGACCTTTATAGAGAAGATGCGCTTCACACGAAAGAAGGGTTCTGGTTGAAAGAAGTCTCCGCCAGGTAGACTTCAAGATAATAGTAGCAATTCAGGTAAATCAGGGCCATGGTGACCCTTTCTTCAGACGCTCTTAGGCACCATGTGTTGCTTATCACGACACAAGCTGCGGCTGTTGCCGTGTCTGGCAATGCAAACTGCCATTTAATCCCTCGCTAGTCGCCCGGGATACCTCGACGATGTGCCCGCCTTCCCAGGATGTCTTGGTTTCGACTTCATTACGAACAATACTAGAAGGTGAACATGTGTCATATCGCCAATCTGATGTGTGGATCACTTTGGTCGCTCAAAGGTATACCGTTTCTGTGACAGACCCGTCTCACATTTGGGCTAGGCTATACGTCTCCCCACGGTCCTATATCACCGTATCAAGGCCGGGAAGCAGGCTGGCGTTATGTCGGCATCGTGTTCATCAGCTGAGGCCGTATCACCCTATGCTGTAAGTAATAATCAAATTGCGCGGGATATATTCGCCCGATGTCAGTGAAATTTCGCGCACTTGGCGGCCTAAGTCCACACACGCTATGCTTCTCCGTGACCGACACGTATATATACAAAACTTGGGCCCTAAATTAGTTACCCCGTCTGAATCTCGGTGCTTATAACAAGGCTCGCACCGGCTGATCACTGCTCATGTATAGGCAGGTATGTCCGGGACCTAGGGGGTTGGTTGTTTTGACATTTTTTACAGAGTTTGGCGTGTAACGTGGTCTTGAAGCTAATGATTCTTCACTCTCATCCCTCTTCTATATCTACGGTTTGCGTCGGCCCAGCCTGTGTAGTTGCTGAAGAGTTCTGCCAGTGTTGTGACAGGGCGTACAATCGCGGCCTGTTGCTTCCTTCTTGTTTGCCCGGTTTGTAGATCGCTCTAGTTTATGTTCGTCTTCTTTGGCGACTGGCTAGCTAGGCGACGTGTCTCATGATCAGACCCTCAACGTAGTTGTGGGCACCCAGGCAGCCTATCTCGCCCAGCGAGCTAATGCCCGAGTCTCACAACTCAAGCTGATTCGAACACGGTATCCATTACTCGATCCCGCTCCGGAGTTACCGCCAGCACATCAACAAACGATCTCGGTCGTCTCGTCTGCTCTATTCAAGTCGGGTTGTAATTCACGACCCCATACAGCTCAACAAGTCGAGGCTCCCATCCGTGCGAAAAGAACTTGCTTTTCACCTACCCGTAGAAGGGCGATTGAGCCTCCAGGCTTGCAGTCCATGCGTGCCCCATAACTTAAGGTTGTCGGCAAACTTGGTAGAGCACTCGACTACTCAAGGGCGCAAATAGTCCCAAGATCGGCGCCCTATTTGATCAGTAGGCAGCATCAGGGGCTGATACCCTTGGAGTTATGGGTACTATCATGCCCAAAAAACCAGAATGGTCTTCCCCTATTCCGTTGGGACAACTCAGAAGTAGGAGACTTCCAGCCAGCCACGAGATACAAGAATTCGTGCGTCATACACTGCCATATCACAATTAAATCTCACAGGAGCGGAAGACTTGCTTAGACATGACGAGAAGATAATTCGAGTGTAAGAACTATGATCAGCTGTATGAGACGGAGAAGGCCCGTCGAATAAAAATGTGGGCGAACATCAGCTCTGGCCGGGCCATTCAGTGACTAATTTGAAGTGGTCCCAGCTGCTGTAGCCTATGTGGACTTCTCAAATGCGCAGTGAGCCTTTGCTTTTTGACCGACTCCCAGATATATTTGAACCGTCACAAGATAGAGATATGCTGAGCGTTTGGAAGGGCTGTATGATGTGAATGCCTTCCGAACTGTAACCCTCACCAGGTTGTCACTGGGTCTCCGTTGGACTCGTCCCTTAGCTTTATGTTCTGAAGTCTGCAGTTTGCTTGCCGGGTGTTCTTGTCAACCGGTGAGCTGGTCTCCATCCGGGATGCTGAAATACTGCGTTGATCTGCAGTGCAAGAATACGCTGTCTCTTCCCGCCCCATCCGACTCTCTCAAACAAAAGCCATCACAAGCGCGCTCAATCGACAAAATGAAGGAGTCGCGGCAATGTCGTGAATGCTTCAAGGAACACGGCGTCTGTTCAGCCAATACGAGCTCTGGTGCGCTTGCTGCACACATTGCCGCGAGTACTTCTCCCCCTACCGCTCGCGGCCAGCAGATCTCCATCAGCGGAGTAGATTTGCGGCCCATGCGATGGATAACCTTCTGAGCCTCCACGTTCCGATGCGAACACGATCGCTGTCTTGTGGGGAGCCAAGTTTGACAAGGCTCCATCAGTTGCTCATCGAGATTCCCAGGCCCCGCCGCGGAATTCCCATCATTACGCGCGTCTCAGAGATGGTGCCCCCGAGAAATTTCGGTCATCGCAGCGGGCACTCTCCCAGGATGACACGAACAAGACGCCGGGTTGAACCCAGCCGCCCTCACCGCCCAAGTGGGACGTCCCGATTTTCCCGGTGTCTCGGCTGTTGAACCTCTGGGCTTCGGGTGTTGGATAATCAAACCTTGTTCTCGAAAAATTCATGCGCGTCTGTTTACTCAACCCATGGCGTACCAGGAAACGGCCATGTTGTGAGGAGCGGTCGCTGGTTTCTAGGGCAGGGCGCAACCCCGCCAAGACCAGCTTGAGAATAAGCTTTCGGGCTAGTTCACGGGTGTCAACGATGCCCTCGCCGTATGGACGGCGATGACGTCTTGCGATCGAAATTTCCGCTCCTGGTGTCACGGCGGGAGATGTGCCCATAAACGAGATGGCTGCCATGGCCCGGCAGGGAATGGCATCGTAGCTGTGGCAGGCAGAGCCCTGGTTTCAGAGATGGTCGGAACAGCGCCAACGGAGATAGCGCCGTGGGTTGAACGTTGACCAGCGTTTGGGAATCCTGCAGATGCCAGTCTGCCGAAGCCGACAATGCTGGCGACCTGGCCCGTGGAAATAGAAGCCGTAGAAGGCATAGAAGCCGGCTTCCAACGTGAAAGCCTGACTTGTGTGTGAGAATGCAGGTTCTGGGAGAGCACAGACATTCACCAGGACCCCGGGAAATTGTTGACAGGCTTGACGGCTGGGGGAGTAGTGGGTAGAGTTTACAAGGGTTCCTTGTGACATTGGCCACAGCTTGTTCTAACGTCAGCACACACGATGGATTTTCGTATCTCTGCGCCTGGTAGACACTCAGAACACAAATGACAGGCCGAAGACTTGAGCGACCATCGCACACCTTGCCGACGAGCCCGCAAGACGTGGACGGTGCAACCAGGACTCAAACGCGCACGCCGATGAAAGCGCCAGCACCAAAACGACAGTCCAGGAGCTACTGTCAAGGCCCACATTTCCGAAATTCCGCACACAACTGGCGGCCCGTTTCATCAGCTGTGCTGTATAGGACAGCTATTGACCCCGTCGAAATGGAGAAGATGCCGGATCCAAGCTAGATCGTCGCTTGGCCATGGCTCAAGTTTGACATTCAACCATATTCGGCCATGGGCTGCCTCAGAGGAGCCTCTGTCGTGCTTTGAGGCAGTACTCATAGGGCGGCAGGCGCGGCAAGTCAATATTCTGCCCATGTACAAAATGATGAGCTGACGCCTGAGTATAGTCTTATCGTCGGCTGTGTTGTCCTGCCGGGAATGGACACTCGAGGGCCACTCCTGCCCGTGCCTGGAGCCCACGCAGGTACAGGAACGGGTGAAGCAGGAAGCAGGAGGTTTAGACCAAGGATACCTGGACGGTGGATAGGACGACAAGTCAAGCCGAAGGTCAGCAGAGCCGCCAAAAGTTACGCATTCGGTTCGATATTATCTCACCACTAGCTACTGGTGTCTGGAGTCCTGGAGACCGCCATGGAAGCCGGTAGCTAACGCCGCGAGCCTTCAAAGGAGGCTCGGACGTGCTCTAAAGCGACTGCACAGGCCAAGCCCCAGATGACGCCGCCTCCTGGCTGTCGACTGCCGTTCTCGAAACGGTGGGCAGGCGAGAAAGAGCATAATGGGATGATTCTGGCAAGTATGATGGCATTGGGCGTTGCATTGTCTATCACGGATGGATACCCAAGGTCGAACGGACGGAGGATAATCAGTCACTGATGGTGCGGAAGCGAGGACGGGGAGAGCCAGGGAGCAAGCCGTCGCGAGTGGCGCGAGGCTACGATCGCCGCAGGCCATAGACAGCACGGTATGGCACAGCAGAGAATGGATTTCGGATGATGAGCTGCATGGGTGAGGATCTGGCGATGGGGCTCGAGAATAGTCGCGAGTAGCACGCGTCGATTGTCTCGGGTAGTCCTGACCGGACTGGATCCGCCGGGCCCTTGGATCGTCTGGGTGAGGTTTTGGAAAGGGCAGCTTCGGCAGCTGATTGGAAGACGGCAACCTGGAGAGACGACACACCGACTTTACGACGGGCCATGGTGGGTGGTTGTGTGGTGGACGGGATGGTTTTGGGACTCCACGACGGGCCGCAGGATATGCGGCCGCCTCGCTGGGATCTTTAAGATTCGACCCATCACTGCCATCAGCCAAACACGACGCGCCGTCCCCTGCGGCGTCCCCTGTGGCCGTGGAAATCCCAGCGGGCCTTGCATGCGCGCCCAGCCACCGACTTTTCTCCTGCTTCATCAGCCCAGGCCTGCGTACGGTGCTGGTGCTGGTGCAGCAGCCGCGGGAGGCAGCAGAGAGGGTCGGAGGGTCCAAGCCGTCGGTTATCGCGACCAAGAGGCGACGAAAAAAATCCAAGCAAGGTACGGAGACAGCACAAGCTGTTGCTGCATGTCTGCATGTCTGCGTGTGCAGTAAAACAGGCCGAGGAGACAACAGGTCCGCTCAACAAATCGAACAGATCGCACCATCGACGCGTTGCCAGCGGACAGAGGTAACGCGATCTGTACGTGGTGGAGTCAACCCAAGGCCATGGAGGAGAAAAGTCTGATTCAACAAAGCAGTCCGTCTGTCGTGACTAACCCCCCCAGTGCCCCCCCCTCCTTTGCATCCCCCCTCCAGACAGATACAATTGACCAGTTCTTACCCCTGTACCCTAACCCTGATCTCCTTGGCGAAACAGACTGAGGTGGGGCCAAAGGTCGGGGATGCATCTTCGCCTATCATGATCTGGAGAGGCATGACTCGAGGGGTGGGCACCACTAGCTGTGTGCTATGGCTTGCACTTCATGGGTGGCTATGGGCACTAGCTCCGAGTCAGGCTCCATTAGCCGATTTCGATTGCCTCGTGGGTGAGGTGAGCTGCTTCAACCTGGGGTCGTCATCTGGCCTGCGACTTTGGCCCAGCGTCCAATAGCCGCGGCTCTGCATGTCCTGTTTATGTATAGCAGCCAACTATGCGTCCCTAGAGACCTTGGATAGGTAGCATACCTACAGTAGACTGGGTGCCTCACCCATTAGTGACTCGCCGTAACGGTCAGCTGCCTCGTAGTCAGCATGGAACGGTCTCTCGAGCAATGGGAAGTCTTCCCTCGCTTTCCCCCACGAGCCTGGACTGATCACTGGCGGGAATGCTTCCACATTTGGAGCCTCGGGCTAAGCTCTGGCCTGTAAGAGGGTGAGGCCCAGTGCACGGGGGTTGCCCAGGTGGGATGGGTTGATGGGATGGGATGGGACGGGATGGAACTGAACGGGATGGGATGGGATTGCAACAGGACCTGAGAGAGTGTGTGGCTCGAAACGGCCGGGCTGCGTGACACACTGTTTCGACCTGTAGATGACGATGACAGGCTAGTTTGTGTGTGAGGTAGGCCTGCCTTGGGCACAAACGTCGCCGTCTCGCACAACGGCCGTTGATACCCAACCTGCTGCAGGGCTGCACACACAGCACTGGTAGTATCCTGTGAGCCAGTCATTCCAGCTCCGTCCACGGTATCCCGTACCAGCAGCCCTTCTATTCTACAGAACCCAGAAGACCCCCCCAAGGTCTGCCTGCTCGTGTTGCCCCGAGCCATGTAGTGGACGAGGTCATCGGATGTCCAGAGCCCTGGGCGGCGCCTAACAATGCCGGGAGCATTTCCGTTCGCCCTTCTGTCCCTGGAAGGCATGGCCGGCCACAAAGAACCCGTGCATGATCTTCTAGAAGGCCGTCTAGGGGGTGGTTAGATTAGCCCAGGTGGGCAAGTGGGTACCCGGCACCTGGACCCCAGATTTCCCGTCAGCGAACATGACTGCGAGTCTGTGATTCGATCTCGGATCGGTGCGGATCGGAGGCGAGGGGCAGAGCAGAGCAGAGGAAGCGACAGGACACCACCTCCTGCTCCCTGAGCGGTGCTGCTGACCTGACCGTACTGCCTGAGCCTGTGCCTGTTCCTGTGTGAACCTGCCTGCCTGCACGCCTCTGTCGTCTTATCTTTGGTGGTGCACCAACCGTTGGTCGTCAGCGCCTAGAGCACACCGCGTCGAAACTTCGTAGCCGCAAACCAAGTGAGTTGCGCCTGTCCTGGCCTGCCCTGTCTCGTCCTGTCACTGCTCGATGAAACCTGCAAGTTCACTGGATAAGGTTTCCTAGCCTCCTAGGTCCAGTAGTCTAGAAGAGATCAGCACGGCGATCGGCTGGGACTGCGGCAATCAGCCACTCCATCTGCTCACGCCAGCCCAGCCAGCCCAGCCAGCCCAGCCAGCCGCCATCCAGCCTCCCACCGCCGTTTGAGTCGTCCTGTTATTAGTCGCCTCCCATACTGAACCAGTGTTTACAACGCGCGAGTCGTCTCCCGGCTCGACAACGGCAGTGGCGTCGCGCCCGCGACTTGGACTTGGACACTAACTCCAGCCATCACCTAGTCTACCAGTCTTCCACTGCCACAGGTGTTGACAGAGAGGCTGGCCTGCCAAGGTGTTAAGCCACCAGCCCATACAGTACTGTTTACAGTACTGCGGTACTGCTGAAACTGAGAGCCACAGCCATCCGCTTTGCCTGTCTGTGGCTGATGACGGTGCCGACATGCTTTTGACATGCCAATGTTTCATCAACTGCTGCCCACTATGATGCCGAAATCGTTTGGCCAACTTTGAAGAAGCTTCACCAGACGTCCTTCATCCTCAACTCCTGGCCTATGACGTCCCCGGTCACCAGTCATCAGCCTCCAGTCTCCAGTCACCAGTCACCAGCTCGTGTTGTAACGGTGACTTTGGGCTTGGGATGGGTCTAGTCGAGTCGAGTCGAGAGTTGAGCTGAATAGAGCTTGAGCTGGGCTGCTAATACGGCTCCTCCTCCTGGCACATGAATCCTCCGATGCCCGATATGCCCAGCGAGGAGATGGTGGACAAGCCCTGACGTCCAGACGTCCTTGTCTGCATGCACGAAGGCGGCACTGCGACAAGCACCGTGCAGCAGGCACTCAGTGCTTGCATTGAGCGAGTGCATGAAGGAAGTGCAAAAGTCAGGCGAACCGAACCCACTTATCGACCCCTAGCAGGCAGTGGGCAGTACTGTAGACACACAGCAGCACCATCCCAAGTACAGTACAGTACTGTAACTGCACCGACGAAACCCCCCCGTTTGCGTTTTGCGTTTGCATTTGCGCATAGGTTTGGACGGTGGAAACGGAGTCCCAATCGGGACGGGCATCTTGGGACCCTTGCGGCCTTTTGGGGACGGGCACCTTGTCCGTCGCTCCGGCTCAATCACCCTCTGGGCCTTCCATGGGATACTCACTCAGAGTCTCCACCTTGGATGGCACCAAGGTACGTACCCCTCCCACCCTGGCAAGGGCATGGGTCTTTCTCTCACTCTCACACTCTCTCTGTGTGTGCTCTCTGCTGGTTCCTACTGTATCTCTCTGCTGCCGTGCTGTGGTATCTGGGTATCCGTACCCAACGTCGACCTACCCTGGTCACACTCATGCCCACATCCAGTCTCTTCTCTCTTCATCAAACCAACGCCCAGCTTGCATCTTCGAGGGGGTACAAATCCAAGCTGCCCCTCCACCGTCTCTTCCAAACCCCGTCTGTCACCATCCAAAACATACATCATCAAAGTCTGCTTGTCGCGCTCAAAGGTCGGCACTCTCGTCTCCATTATCAGCGCCGCAACTGCCGCCCCCCTCTGCTCTCCTCCTTATCTTTTGAGCGCTCGCTGTTCAGTTTGCTCTTCGCTCTGCCAGCCGCAACACAACCACCCCGATCGTCTATCTACAATAGCCGAATCATCACCTATTCTCACCTCATCCTGAATTTGACTCACTTGGAAGCCGACTGCCTCTCTTGCCCGGCCCAGTCGAGATATACACCTCTCTCCGCTCTTCTCTCGCTTCCTCTCTGCGCCAATACGGCCATCACCAGTCGCGGACGCCGGACCGAGGGGAACGATCAGACGATCAATCACCCTTGACAATATAGATCGAGCGTGGTCAGTGCTGCAACTTTGCTTCTGTTCTCTCCCGCACGCCATCACTCACGCGCACACTGCCTGTTTGTCTTTCTGCTCGGAGAACTCCTAGATAGAGATATCCGCGGCCCTTACTCCGTCTCCCTCACAGAATTTTCCTGTCTGAGCAGAGTCTGCCTGTGTGCCGATGCCCCGGACCTGTCTGTATATTCAGCATTGCTGAGCTGAGTGCGGGCTCTATTGTTGTGTGGTCCCAATTGTGGTCCTTTTGGCCACCCGGCTTCTCCACCCCATGCGATCAACCACTCACTCTGCTTGACGGCTCTGTCCTCCTGCTTACCCCCCTCCCCTCCCCCCCTCACCTGTCCTTTTCCCCCAGATTCTTGGACAACCCCCCTCCTTCTCATATTCCCTTCTTCTGTTCCACAATTACCTGCGTATATGCTGTGTGTGTCCGAGAAATCCTGAGAAGTGCTATCCACCGCTTGGCGAGCATTTCAACGGACCCCATCACACAAACATTTCCAGAAAGGTCTGGCGCTCCTCCCGGGAAATTTCGAAAAGAAAAATCCCACATCCTCCCTACCCGCTTTGCCGCCCGGGGAGAGAAGAGCAGCAAGCCCACAGCCTGAACACTCCACCCACGGCGCGAGTCCCCGGGCATTTCCAAAAATAAAACCTTTCATGAGAACCTCATCAACATTCTTCATTTCTCACCGCTCTCTCTCTTTCTATCTATTTCATCATCTCATCTCACCTAACACAGCCATCCAGCCCTCTCAAGACTAACACGAGTTTATCACCACAGACATCACGCCTCTGTTCTCGGTACAACCCAAGGTCGCCACCGAGGTTGATACCGATACTCCTGTTGAGGCTTAGTAGTCCCTTGATTCCAAGCCTCAAGAGACCACCATGGTCTCGACATTGCAGATGCAAAATTACTACCGGCAATCTGGTTTGACGGTAGACACCGCACACGCACAACAAAAATACTTCGACGAGGAGGATTGCATATTAGACGACAGCATCCTCGACCAGAACGCCATGGACTCCGGGCTTGAGATGTCACCGAATATGGCCGACAGCAGGAGAGAATCCTTTGCTGTTTCGACCACGCTCTTCTCTCCCAAAAATGAGCCATGGGCCGCTGTGGACATGGAGTCAAACCCATCCCAGATGTCCAACAACCCCTTCATGGACAACCAGATGGAACACCAACAATCTCAGCACGCGCACCAGCCTCAACCACAACCTCAGCATCTCAACAGCAACAACCCCTTCTACCGTATGGACCAACATCAATTCCAGCAGCCTCAGCCTCAGACCTTCGTTTCTCAACCAACTAACCCCTGGTCCATGAGCAACTCTGGTTCCTGCACCCCTATGGCGCAGTTTGATGGCCTTCCCACCGACTATGATAACAACCACAACAACAACACCAACACCAACGCCGGTATTCCCTTTCAGCGGCCTCAAATGCAAGGCCAGACGCCCTTTAGCAACCCGGGGAACCAGGTTCCAATGTTTCCTCCTGTCAGCGGCCATCCTATGCAGCAGTCTGGCTCGAAGGACGGTTGGATGACTGGTCTCAAGGACCCAAAGAATGACGGCGCTACTATCAGGTCGCACAACGAGCTAAGGAGAGGAGACGGCATCCGCAAGAAGAATGCTCGTTTTGACATTCCAGCCGAGCGCACGCTCAACAACATCGACACCCTGATTGCTCAGTCGACCGATGAGACCGAGATCAAGGAGTTGAAGCAGCAAAAGAGGCTGCTGCGCAACCGGCAGGCAGCGTGAGTTGTTTTCCTTTCCCCCTTACTACTAGCAGATTTCACTGACATTTGTCTCTCAGCCTTGACTCGAGACAGAGAAAGAAGATGCACACCGAGCGGCTCGAGGATGAGAAGAAGCAATTCACCTCAATCATCGGCGATTTGGAAGCAGACATGGAGCAGATGCGGCTGCAGATGGAACAGATGATGCGCGAGAAGCAGCAAGACGTCCAGCTCATCGAACAACTCAAGTTCGAGAAGGAGGAGATGGTTCGTACTCACACCATCGAGACTGGTGAGCTGCGCAAGAAGGTTAGCGTTCTCAGCAACCACGTCCAGGCGTTGGAGAACCAAGCCATGTCTCAGGCCAATGGCATCGCAAACCAAGCCTTCACGGGTGCAGCCTTCGGCGATATGGAGGGAATGACTATGGATGGTCCTTGGGATGGCATGGGTCTGTTCGGTGCCGACTTCCCCATGGAGCAGCCCGAGGTGAAGCAGGAGATGCAGATTGTGCCCGCCAAGAAATCCGAGGTCAACGTCGCATCCGATGTCGAGAAGCCCGCGACCCAAGGTGGCCTACTCTTCATGCTGTTCCTCGTGGGCGCCTTCGTCCTCTCCAACCGCCAGTCCAACGTCCCCCGCGTCTCTGAAGACGTCAGGGCTGCTTCGGCTTCCATCCTCGAGAATGTCCTCAAGGACGCTGGAGTGGCGCAAACTGCTTCTGGCGGTCTGGAGTCCATGGCCCAGCCTACTGGCACATCATGGGCTTCGGCACCAACAGCGTCGATGCCCGTTCTTGGCAATGGCTTGGACGGTGTGGCTCCGTCGATGCTTGGGGACCTGTCTGACAGCCTCACGCAGCCGACCCAAGAGCAGCAAAACGAGCAACTCTTTGGCCTGACTCCCGCGCAGTATGAAGGTGTGAACTCGCATGACTTCCTCCAGAACGCGCCCACAGAAAAGTCTACCAGCCAGGGCAGGAAGAATTTGGCTCAGGCTCTTGCCTCCATGAGGACCGACAGCAAGGCCGAGGTGTACACGAGGTCGCTTTTGTGGGACCAGATCCCCGGTGACGTGGTTCGATCATTTGCGAAAATGGTGGCCGAGTGCGGCGGTACGGACAACAGCCATGGAAAAATTGCCACAGCATGATTGATGAAATAACGACGCCTTCACACGCCGACGATTTACCTGTGGGTTGAAGCACCAACGAATTATCACGATCATAGACCCAGATTCATCTCCGCTACATCTGCTTGATTTATCTCGAACCAGTCAGCATTGCAAGCCTGTATTGAAGCTATCGCCGCACACATACACTTCTTCGACGCGCTCCCGCGCAGCGACTACATACTTTTGTGCTCACGCACACCCAAAGATTGTCATTGTGTCCTTTTTTTCTCTCTCTCTGTTTTTCTTTGCTCCACACTCGATTTCTCGTTACTTGTCAGCGATTTCATTGTCTCATTTATCTTGGATTTTTACATTTTCCTGTTTTTAGCGATTGATTTACAGCAGGCGAGCGAGCGTTTGAATTTCCACTGTCCCCTCATCCCAACCCCTTTGCTTCGATCTTGTTTGATTTTGGTTGTATTGTTTTATCTCCTCACGTATTGGGAATGGGTATCATTGGGTGGTTGGTCTTGGGGGTTCTTATCTTGGTTATGGCAGCGCGCCGAACTTTTCAACAGTTGCATGGGCTGGTTTGGGATATGGGACGGCCAATTGTCTGTTTAGGACCTCGGCATCGACAGTACAGAGCCTCGAGAAGACGAATTCGGATCTCCATGGCAAAGACCCCAGATTGAGAAGGGCATCATTTGGTTGCTCTGCTTGGACTGCATCAGTCATCAGTATCACCCTCTAGCGAGAGGGGAATATCAACCCGCCCAGGAAGTTTCTTTTCATGTTTCACACTTCCTGACACTACAGGAGAGCGAGATCGGGTCCCGACAAGGTGTCCTCGACACACAAAAAATATGCAACCGTCTCACGACGACGCACACAGTCATTCTCTGCGATCAAGCATCTCATTTGTCGACCAATTTCCTAGCTTGTTTCCTCTTGAGCGGTTGCGGGGGGCGTGGCTGGTTGTTCGGGAGAGGATGATGAACGGAAAAGGGACGATGGAATTGAATTGGATGGGATGGGTGGGTGGGTGACGGGATGCGGGATGAGACGTAACGAGTCGAACACAGCTCGTGAACTCAGGCCCGACAGGCAAACAAATGAGGGGCTCTCTTGGGGCGGCGTTGACGCGGTGGAGGATCTGCTGCAGTCCTCATGACTATAGACGTTGTGCTGGATGGTAATTTGGAGTCGGACATGTGCTCTGGGACGAACGCATGTTTCGACGATGACAGACTCTTGTAGCTAGAGCTCCCGAGCTAATATGACACACCGAGTCCCCTCCCCAACATGTGTTGACATGCTGCTCTCCGCTCTGTTCGCCGTGTTCGCCGTGACATGTGCATTCACCAGCTGATTTGAAGCAGGTTCGACATTTTTCCTCGGGGACGTGTCAAGATTCGCACCCGAGCGACCCAAAGAGGAAACAAGACACCATGCTATTCGCCGCAAACGTGTCTCGCCTTCAAGCCCACGTTTTTCATGACGTTCATGTCGCAGCTTAAACAAAGCCCAAAATGGGCCATGTCTCGGTCAAGTCACCACTGCCCGCCGAACCTGGCCGTCATTGGCCCCGTCTGCCCGTTGGCGCACGAGGCGCGCTGGGGGGGGGGGGGCAGATCATGGGTTGGGGGATGTTCTTGGTTCTGGTTTAGCCCCCATTCACCACGCTACTGCGAGTACGGTACGTTGGTACGCTGGGGGTACACACTTGCGAAAACGAGAAGAACACGAAAGCAAAGAATGAAAGCCCATTGGTCATGTCTTACCCGGCCCCAACCTTCGCTGTGTGCCAAAGGGAAAAGAGGGTGGGAAGGTTTCACGTTGCATCGGGAGGGCGGCGCGGGCCTGTCATACGCTCGGACTACATGGGTTGGGTTCTGCGGGTACGGATGACCAGGGAGATAATACTACGCAACTCGTTCCTTTTCTTTCTTTCTCCCTCCTGCGTATGGCCGCGCCCAAAAGTGGATTCCTCCTTTTCCCTGGCCTGTTTTGAGCGAACCGGCGATCGATCGAGTTGGGATTTTGGGGGGGGGGGATTGGGCATCAGCTGTCTTGTCAGATGAGCGTGCTGCGATGCAACTGATTTGCCCAGAAGGGGGGGGGGGGGTGGGGGAGAGGTTTGTTCCTGACGAATGGCTCAGTCAGGAGACGCTGTGAGGCTACGTCGGAAAGCACGTCAGGATTGCGAGTAGCCCAAGATAGATCGCTCGCTAGGCATAAAGGAACCGCCTTTCTTTTGACAAGGTCCGGATCTCGATCTGGCCTCGCCTTGATCCCCCGGTGATGTGGTTGGAGTAGTAGCTCCTGCAAGACAACGCGAGAGATATTTACAATGTACACATAGAAGAACAACTCGACGTTCTCAAAATGAAGTTACACCATGCTTCCCGAGATTGCTTCATGGTGACACTCATATGACCGAACCCACTTGCAGTGTATTCGACCTGGAAGGGGCCGCCGTAAAACATAGCATCGAATGATCGAACACTGCCGTGTCAACCAAAAACCCCCACCCCCCGGGCCCGGGAATCACCACCAGAGGAGCTAGCAAGGCATCAATCAACAGCAGCAGACCGTAATCAGCAGCCTACAGGATCATTCGGCTCTAGACATTCGTGTATTCCTTCGTGATGTGAATCAGAGAGTTATCTATCTATAAATCCTGGGCTCCTCCCATCAGCTGACCCGCGAGAGCTGCGAATCAGCCGGGGGTCGTCCCACAGATGGCGCCGCGGCGCCGGGTCCGTCATCTTTAAGCGCGCAGGCTGGAGGATGACGCAGCAGCAGCGTATAGCCAGTGTGCATGTATTTGTGTGTGTGTGTCCAAACATGTCAGAAGTGTTGCCCGCCGTGCCGTGCCGGGGCTGACTCGGCACTGGTTGGACGCCGATCAACGCCTCCTCGGAGCGTTTTTGTTCACCTGCCCTGCCTCGCTGCTGACCATGCAGGCAGGACGGCGTCCGTATATGGGCGAGGAGGAGCAAAGGCGTGACAATCGCTCCGGTGGTTGTTGTGGATTCCGTATCCCATTGGAAGATCACTGGGTTGAACAGGCCAACCGCGTACTGGGGGCACAGGCAGGAGTTTCTTCTCTCGGATGTTGCAAGGACACTGGTCACAATGACCGTAACGAGTCTCAGAATGCCTTGACTTGTGCACTTTTTCCAACAGCCCTGGCTCGTTATGGGCCAGTAAATATATACCTGAATTATACCCAATCTCATCAGTCCACCCCATGAAGCTGGGCCGCTCCAGACCATGCGGGCGCAGGCCCCTTGAGGAGCATCAGCCCCGGAGCTCCAACTTCAAGAACCAGTAAGCCGTACCCGCATTCCCCGCGGCCACGGTCTGCAGTAGCTTAGTTACGTTGCATGTCTCCAAGGCACACCTGCAATTCCTCCACCGACCCGCGAAACTGGTGGGCATGAAGCCTTTGGGCCTTCATCGTGCCACTGCATGACCGTGGGCACGAATGAAAAGGGCCAGTACTTCGTGAAAGGCGGCCCCCGGCATGGTCGCAATCTTGATGCCGGGGAACGCTGGAGTTCTCGAACGCGAAGCCCGGCTCCCTCCGGGCCTTGTTGCCCAAAACACAGGCTAGCCTCGTACACTCTGCTCCTCTCTGATCTCCGCCGTGCAGCGTCCCGGCGCTCCCGTGTTGTACGGTGGCACGGGAGACTGGTGCCACTGAGGGATATTCTCAAGATTCCAGCCCCGCCTCGATCAGGGGCCGCGGAGTTGTAGAGTCGACTGTACTTCTACTTCTTGCCCTTCCTGTTCTCGGGGTTGTACTTGTCCTTCCAAATCCTGCGCGACCCTGTTAGCATACACGGTTGGGCCTGGACAGGCTGTGAAGCCCAGCGTCAAGCAAGCAGGGGAATAGACTTCAGCCAGCAATTTAATGTGGCGTCCACTTGGACTGCGAAGCGAGAGTTGAAAGACACTATGCCGGAAGACAATGAGCTGAACACCGTCGCGGGGAACGAGAAGGGAAAAGCCGACTGGGCCGCGTCAGAGCATGTACGATTCAACCTCTTCACGCGTACGGCTTCGGTGACACCATGGCCAGTGAGGCCCGAATGAGGCCAGATGAAGGATCAGACGGCCGAGGGCGCCTAGGCCCTCCGATTTGGACCAGTCAAGAACCCGTAGCCTGTCAAGGGCTGTGCCGGCCTGTCACCTGCAACGGGCACCATGTAGTCCCTAGTCGAAGGGCCTTCCGCGTGCGGACTAGCACCCACCCAAGTCTGAAATCAGGCGAGGCGACTGAATAAGGTGTGGACTTTTGCATGTTGGGCGTCTTTGTGCGAGCTGCGAAGCGCATGCACACGGGGCAAGGCGAGGCCGTAACAAAAAGGAGTCTAATGGCTTACCAAGAATTTCCCAGCGTTTTGTTCCCATTTTTCTCGGCCAAACGGTAGTACTTGGCCGCCGAATACTGTGACATGGGTATCGTCAGCCTCGTGAGACTTTGCGTGCATCCGTCATCCTGCAGCTGCGCATGGGGAACGGATGAGCCTTGCGATAAGGGCTTGGCTTGCTCCCAAACACGTCCGCCCTGTTGATGCCCAAGGAGATCCAGCGAGTTGGATTGAGATCCGGCACAACGTGCAGCAAGACGCACGAGTTGCGTCAGCCGCAGTCATGAGGCTCAAGCCCTCCATCACTTCCCAAAGGATTTGCCATTTTACAGTCCGTGGCTCGTGAATCGAGGGCCACGAAGAATTACAAACTGGAAAGCTTACCTTGTCCTTTTTGCAGCCAAAGCCCTCCAAATAGCACCATGCTACCTCGTTCATAGCGTCTGTTCAGGGCGACCTATCAGCTTCATGTGCCCGTACCGCATCACCGACCAGGTCGGTAAAATTGGCTTTGACAAACCTGTGTCCCCGAGGTTCGCAGCTGTTTCGTAGTACTGCCAAACAAGACAATGTCAGTCATGGCTGTTGTAGACGCCCGTCTCCTTCGCGCTAAATGGTCCGATCGCGTTGGTATGTTCAGCTCAGGCACAAAAGCCACATCCATCCCAGCTCAAGAGGCCCAGCTCAAGTACAGAATCCTCTCAGCGCCTGATAAACAAAGAGACCACATACCTGCTTAGCTGCAATCGGATCCTTGTCGATGCCCCAGCCTTGACGGAAGCAGTTGGCCAGCTCGAAGATCGCCAGAACCAGTTCTCCTTTGGCCGCACCGCCCTTCTTGAGGCCGGCCTGCAGAGCCAGGCTCTCGACATCGGCGGCGTTCTTCGCTGCCGCAGACAGGTAGAACACTGCCTTTTCAGGGACAGGTTCGCAGCCCCATCCGTGCCTGAGAGAGTCAGTGTGGCTTCGGTAAGAGGCCGGCAAAGGGTGTGAGACGAAAATACTGCGAGGTGCCTGCTGCGTTGTGCGTGCGGGTGTGGCCTGGCGATCACGGCCGCCAGAAACCGACTCTCGCGGTACAAAGAATGAATCACTTACCTTAATGCGAGACCATAAAGCACCTGGCTGAGCGGGTTATTTGCCCCTTCCGGATCGGCCAAAACACCAAACAACTTGGTGCTCTTCTCCAACTTGCCCTCCTCGTGCAGTCGTATGGCCTCCTGGATGTCGGCGTCGATGGCTGGCGAGCTCGCCACGCCATCGCTGACCCTCCTTTCGTTGCTGATCCGCATGCTCCCCAGCCCGCCCGATATGCCAGCAGAGATGTAGGGGTCCGTGGTGGGGCTGGCTGGGCGGCCCCGTTGCAGCTCATTCTCGTTGGCTGTTTTGGCGAGGATCGTCGCACGCTTCTCCCACTGCTTCTCGGCCTCCTCCTCGCCTCCAGCGACGACGATTTCCGGCAGGTTTTCAGGCACGTTCTCGGAACTAGCAGGGGCGCGCTTCAGGTGTAGACGCTGCGAGATTCGACGGCTGGGTCCGCCCTTGTCGGAAACTGACAAGCTGCTGGCCCTACTAGGAACAGACACCGACGAGCCTCTCGAGCGAGGCTTGAAGACGTCAGAGACGCGACGCGGCCGTGAGACTCCTGTTCCTTCTCCAGCTGAGCCTGCGGAATTCTGAGCATCACTTGCGCTGAGAAAGTTCACATTCTCGCGGCTTGCATTCTGGCTGTTGGGGTCGCTTGGTGGTTGTATCACCTCGTGCGAGTGTGTATCGGAGCGGATGAAGGTGAACTCTGGGGCCTGGAGATTTCTCGTAGTATCTTCTTTCTTATTTTCGTTACTATCATCGATCTTGTCCTTCTTCTTCAAGATGTCTCGTAGACCCATGTTGGCGGATGTTGATGCGCCGACCCGTTCTAAGATCCAGTATAGTACAATAAGGAACAAGGTTAGAGTAGTATAGTATAGAAGTCCTGTGCGCAGAATGGATTGATAGATCACAACTGGGCAGGGGCTAGTTTTCGTTGGCTTGCGGCGTCGCGGGCGAGGTCGAGGTCGAGGTCGAGGTCGTTGTAGCTCTCGTTGTCGATCGGATCCGCGGGGAACGTCAAGAGGCTAGACTTTGACCAGGCAAGCCAAAGCGACAATCGAAGACGACGACAAGGGACCCGACTGTTTATTAAGGAACAAGGTGATGGAACCAGCTGATGATCACCTCCCCACCGTGGATCCTTCAATACAACAACAGCGCTGGCAGCGTCGAGTGGTCAAGCTTGGCCGCCGGGATGGAGACACTGATTCAAGTAGGCTCCCTGGGCAAGACTGCATGCAGTGCAGTGGAGATGGATGGGTTGTCCGTCTTGGTTGTGTCTGCTGTGCTGGAGAGGGAGACAGGCCGGGACACATTCTCGGCCATGACCCAGGGGAAACGGGAGGTGGGAGTGGGAGTGGGAGTTGGTGATGGTGATGGTGATGCGACACAGTCAGCTGAAGCAGGAACTCGGGAAATAAGGCTGAGTTGGCGGCGAGGTGGTGGCGCATTGCATTGCGTTCCCCTTCCATTGCGTGGTGGCCTGGCCGCAGTACATAGTCTACTAATGTACTGTACTGTTGTACCTTGGCGGCAGCGTCGGCGGCGGCAGGGAGATTGTTTGGAAAGAGACGCCCAGCAAGGGCAAGACCTTGGAAGGAGGCACCATGCTGTGCCCCAGCTGCTTTGCCAGTCAGGTTGTCAAGTCGGCCGGTTGAACAGTCGAGGCGCTTGCACCAGCAGATCGAATTTGCAGACTAATGCAAGTAGAATACATAACGGTGTCTGGTCTCAGGTGGAGGTGCTGTAAATTACATGTTCTGCCAAGGATACTCCCCTGATATAGGGGCCGATCTAGGGGCAAGGGGGCAAGTACCGCTGTAGATCCCGATGCCTCGGGACCACAGTCAGCTATTGTAAATTCTACTATTTTGGCCATGCAGTAGAAAAATAGCCGACATGGGCAATCATTCCGCGCAGGTTCATCCCAACATCGTCCGTTCTGCTGCTTCATCCCTGACACGTGCGAGCCAGGCTTGGAGCTTGTGTGTGCATGCAGAGTATTCTGAAGTAGTCTCCGTACACGCCAGCGGATCAAGCATTGTGCAGCAATCTCCGGGACACGAGCTTGGTTCGGAACTTCCGTTGATGCCGCCGCCGTTGACAAGTCTCGGACGAGCAACCGGACGAGTGCTCTGGCTCCCGGACTAAGCCTTCATTCAGCCATGGACATTTGGCCAGCTCGCTCCTTGCGCTTTTACCATGCAAGTCACGCTGCACTGCGGCAATGCGAATCAACCCTTGAGGGTTACGGTCAACAACAATCTGATACAACAGTCGCACTGCAGCCATATCATGAGAACGTCCAGCCCCGGAAGTCATCCACAAACCGCACAGCCGAGGCCAGATACCGCTCGTGAACATCCCCCCAGGTCCTTGCCGCCTCCTTCATCGCTCTTACCGCCTTGACGAAGTGAGCATCTGTGGCATACTGTCCGTTGAGGGCCTTGTCCTCAACGTAAGCCCAGCCCTTTTGCGAGGATCCCTCCGGCCAGGGCACGTAGTCCGGGTCGATCTTGGGCCTCAGCTCCGCGATGTACGTCGACACCGTGAACAGCCACCACTGCCGCACCAGTGGGATATGGAACCTGGCTGGGATCAGCGGCAGCAGGATGCGCACGGCGTGGCTGGTCGTGAGTAGGTGCACCACCAGGAAGTTGTATGAATGTGCCCCCGGCGGCACTGTCGCCACCAGTAGCGCCGTGGCAGCCTCCTGGCTCTCCTTGAAACGCTTGAGCGGATCGCTGCCCACATCCCACGCGTTCCAGTACTCAAGCACCAGGTCCTCGTGCTTGTCAAAAAGGACCTCGATGTTGTCAAAGCCCTGGCCCTTGTCGAACAGCCCGTCGAACCTCTTGTCGCCCCTGACCTTCTCGAGGATCTCGATGGGCGACGTCGAGATAAAGCCCCCCTTTGGCGGTGGCCGGGTGTATTTTGGGTCGTCGATGTACTTGTGCATGAAATCGTACTGCGTAGCCGCCATGGCCAGCGCCTCTATGGCGAGTTCCTTATTGTCCAGCTCGTAGGCGTAGCCCAGATGTATCAAGGGATGGCCCAGGCCTGCCACAAGGTTGTTGCCCAGCGGCGGGCCGCCGTCCAGGGCCCCCCACACGTAGTCGTTGACGACCTTGGTCCAGTCCCACGACTGGGTGCCCAGGCGCCTGCCGACCAGCTGGTCCTCGAAGAAGTCGATGTAAGCCCTCTGGTAATGCCTGTCGCCGAGAAAGTCACGCCAGTCATCCTGGACTATTTCAGCCGGGCTGTCGGACCAGGGCTCGAGCTCCTTGGACTCGACGTCGTAGATGTTGTGCAGCTGGTCGGGAGAGGCGCCAAGGAGGTACGCGGAGCCAAGGATGTGTGGCAGGTGGTTGTGGAACCGTAATGAGTTGTAGAGGATTGCATTGTTGGTGTGGTTTGCGCGGAGCAGGTGCTTGAGCGTTCGGGGGCGTTTCTCTGGGGCTGTCTCTATTCGGTGCACCTCAACGGGCTCGATGGGGATGGCCTGGTGCGCCGACGCGCCCACCAGGCGGCCGTAGATATACGAAAGCATTGCACAACGAAAGCTTTGTGTTATGTGGGTGTCAGGATGTGAATGTGTGAATGCGTGTGTTTGTGTGGACTTGACTTGGACGGCATTGATTTCGAATCGAATGGGGGGAGGAGGATGAGGAGTTGGAGGGGTTATGAAGGTGTCGTCCAGGGAGTGGCGACGGAACTCGTCCCAACAATTTGGAGCTTTCCCCGGATTGTCGGACGATATTACTAGAGTGGAAATAGACTTCACGATGATCCATCCCCTTCATCCTGCCCCTCATTATGGCTTAGAACTTTGGAAGTCGGCAGTACGTGAGGTAGTATCGATTAGTAGTAGCATGGCTAGATCGACAATTCGAAATCAGAGACGTGATGTAGGCTGGTGGAATTCTGAGTTGGAGCTATATCTAATCTACCTCTGCGAGACAATTGAACATGCAGTGTAGACGTCAATGTACATAGGTACACTACTAGCTAGCTTTGGGCCTGACTAACCCAAATAACCCTGCGCCGTGCAATTGCCCCTCCAAAAAGTTGCCGTCGTTTCTGGATGCAACTCCGACGTGAGACCTCGCCCAGAATAGTAACGAAGAAAAAAAACCAGGCAACACAACGCACCGTACATACTCTCGCCATAGTCACCATGGTCCGCCACAAGAAAGACCCCCGAAGCAAAAAGACCTTCACCGTTCACCCAAAACGCGGCGGCGGCAACGCGCAGCACAACGAGCAAGACGATGACCCCTCCACCGGCGCCGCCTCCTCGTCATCTGGCCGACCGCGCCCGCCCTTCAAGGCCGCCTGCTGGGACCTGGGCCACTGCGACCCCAAGCGCTGCAGCGGGAAGCGCCTCATGAAGGTCGGGCTCATGCGCGGCCTCCACCTCGGCCAGCGCCACAACGGCGTCATCATCACCCCCAACGGCAAGCACGTCGTGTCGCCCGCCGACAGGGAGCTGCTCGAGACCTACGGCGCCGCCGTCGTCGAGTGCTCCTGGGCCAGGACCAAGGAGGTTCAGTGGAGCAAGGTCGGCGGCAAGTGCGAGAGGCTGCTGCCGTACCTGGTCGCCGCCAACACCGTCAACTACGGCAAGCCGTGGAGGCTGAACTGTGCTGAGGCACTTGCCGCTGCCTTTGCCATCTGCGGCCACCTAGACTGGGCGACTCAGGTGCTGGAGCCCTTCTCGTACGGGGAGGCCTTCTTGAAGATCAATGCGTCGCTGCTGAAGAAGTATTCTGAATGTGAGGATGAGAAGGCTGTCAAGAGGACCGAGGAGGAGTGGATGGCGCGGCTTGAGAAGGAGTATGCCGACAATCGAGAAGAAGGCTCCGATGATGACATGTGGAAGAGCGGCAATGTGAACCGGCGGGTCATCCAAGATTCAGACGAGGGGGAGGAGGACTCAGATGAGGAGGGGAGTGGCGAGGACGAAGAGGACGGTGAAGATGACGACAACAGTGTGGATGGCATTTACCTTGGCAAGAAGCCAGACCCTACACCAAAGGAAGCAAGCGAGGAAAAAGACCCATTTGACATCTCAGACGACAGCGAAGAAGAAGATGCGGCCATGGAAGAGATCCGGAGGAAAGTCCTGGCGTCAAGACCTTTTGCCAACCCTGAGAATTCAGACCAGAAGAAGCGCCCCGAGACGATATCAAGACCGCAACAACCGACAGGGAAGATGAAGGTTGACTCGGATGCCGAGCCCGATTCCGACAACGGCGAGGAAGATGACGAGTTCGACAATATCATTGCTGCAACACCGATGACCGATAGGATAGGGCTCAGCAAGCTGGAGAAGGAGCGGTCACAGTCGACAGTCACGAGCAGGACGTTCATGTCGACTAATATCTCCGCGCCAAAACGCTGGTAGTAGCCGTGTCTTCGCGGCCAGCAATCCTGGTCTAATATTGTTGGTTGTCCAGTCATCTAGTGAAGCCCAGATCTATGTATATATATATATATACAATTCATGTACAAACATATCTTAACGGGCCCCAGCATCCACACAGCAAAAGCGTATACCCTCAAAAGTTTGAATCTGAGATGCCCTGCCGATACGTCCGCTCACAGGTACCGCTTCTGCTGTACCTCTTCAAATAGTTGGATGATGTCGCCAGGCTGAAACTCGTCCCAGGCCTCAAACGAAAGACCACACTCGGTACCTCTCCTCATCTCCTTGACATCCTTCTTGCCCTGCTTCAGAGCATCAAGTTTGCCTGCGCAAGTGAGTCAGTCAGCATAATTGTCGTAACGGGAACCGGGGGGGGGGGATATCGAACCTTCAAAGACCTTCTCCCCATTCCGCATCACCCTGTACAACCCGCCCCTTGTCAAGGAGCCCGTCCTCACCTTCACACCGGCGATGTTCCTGAACTTCCGCTTCACAATGTTGATAGCAAACACCTGCAGTACTTCAGCCTCGGCCAGAACCTTCTGGCTGATGATCGGCGCCAGCTGCTCTGACATCATCGTCTTGACGTCCTCGACAAGGTGGTAGATAATCGTGTGGTCGAGAATCCTGACGCCCTGTGCCTCGGCCATGCTCTTGATGAAGCCCGGGATGGGGCTGTTGAAGTTGATGATGCAGCCCTTGGCCACAGCCATGAGGTCGACATCAGACTCGTTGATCTGACCGGGGGAAGACCTCAGAATCCGCGATTGCACCTCATTGTTGCCGATCTCCATGACTGCCGCGCAGACGGCCTCGACGGATCCCATCACGTCGCCCCTGACGATGATATTTACTGTCTTGGGCCCCGTTTGCTCTGCCTCGGCTGGGACAGCGTCCTCGCCACCTTCTGCCATCATCTTCTCTAGCGCCTCCTGCTCGGCCTTCTCGCGGTTCTTCACCTCCTCCTCTCCCTTTTGCGCAGCGGCCCTAGTTCGATCCGCAAGTTCTGCTCGGTAGTCAACCGCCGCGTGGGCTCTGTCCTCATCCTCCGCCTGGATGACCAGATCTCCAGCTGCTGGGGAGTCTCTCCACCCTAGTACTTCGACAGGCGTTCCCGGCCCGGCTTCCTCGATGACGGCCCCGGCCTCGTTGCGCATCATCCTGATCCTGGCGTACGTGGTCCCGGCCACGATCAGGTCGCCCACGCGCAGGGTGCCGCGCTTGACGAGCACTGTCGCCGCCTTGCCGTCGACCTTGACACTCGCCTCGAGGATCCAGCCCTCGGCCATGCCGTCCGTCTCGGCGCGAACGTCCAGGATTTCGGACAAGGTGAGGATGCTCTCTTCCAAGTCGTCCATTCCCTTGCCTGTCTTTCCGCTCACGGCGACCACTTGCACATCGCCGCCGAAGTCCTCAATCTCCACGCCGTTGGCGGCTAGATCCTGTTTGACGTGGTCGATACGTCTTTCATCCATGTCTATTTTGTTGATAGCCACGATGATGGGCACTTTTGCGTTTTGAGCGTGTTTGAGGGCCTCGAGGGTCTGTGGCTTGACACTATCGTCAACGGCCACGACGAGGACTACAATGTCTGTCACGTTGGCACCACGCTGCCGCATACTCAAGAACGCGGCGTGGCCAGGAGTATCCAGGAAGGTAATGACCTTGCCTGCAGAAAGACGAACTGAGAAAGCACCGATATGTTGTGTGATGCCACCATGCTCCTGTGCCGCAACAGATGACTTGCGCAGCCAGTCTAGCATGGTGGTCTTGCCATGGTCGACATGCCCCATGATGGTGACGATTGGTGGCCGAGGTGGCAACGCTGACGGATCTTCTGGTGCTGGTCGTGGTTTCAAATCTACATTGTCGCCTGTATCGAGGATAGGATCAAGACCATACTCCCCAGCGACTAACGCAGCGGTTTCACCCGTCATGATACTGTCATGAAGTATGTTCTCGAATCCAAGTTCGCCAAGATCGCTGAGGAATTGTTGTGGTTTGACACCAAGCGCCTGTGCGAGATCAAAGACGGTTATATACTCCGGCAGCAAAATCGTCTTTGGGGCCGAAGCTTCCTTCGCGGCCCTCTTCTCCTCCTTCCGCCGTCTGGTCGCCTCTTTTCGAGCTCGGTACTCTTCGTAGTCGAACCCAGGGTCATGCTCATCCTCGTCACCCTCGTCATAGTCTCGGGCCCGGTAGTTCTGCCTTTTCTTTGGTTTGTCGTCAGATCGCTCGACATCTTTGCTGCGGCCGCGCCTGTCAGACTCCCTCTCTCGGCGCGCAGGGCGTGCTCCCGAGTCTTGCCCTCGATATCCTGTTTGGTTGAAGGTATTCTCGCGGCGCCTCTGTGCATGTCGCTCTTCAGGCGAAGCCATGTCACCTGCAGGAAAGTCCCGAGCCTCCTCGCGACGCCTCCGTGCATGTTGCCCTCGGGGGGAAACTAGGTCGCTCTCCAAAAGCCCCCAATCGCTGTCCTTGGCGATGGTATTCTGAGTACCTTGTGCTGTGTTCGATGCGTCCCGCATCAACGAAAACTGGTCGACCGGCTTTGACACTTTCGAGGATTCACGGCTCGGCCGTCGGCCTACGTCTATAGCAGCCTCCAGGCGGCTGGGCGCCACATCTCCGAGGCTCGAGGATCTTTCTACACTGGAGTTGGCAAAGCTGTCGACTGGATCTGGCGCCGAGTCCCCGATTCTCGATGGCTTGCGCAAACTGGAACCGAGGTCTAGTCTGACTGTCCTAGTTGTTGACCTACGTGGCGGCTTATCGAGAGGTAGATTTGTGGGTGGTGTCGAGGAAGGCTTACCCTCACCGGGTATGTTGAAAGGACTCAGAGTCTCGAAGTCATCCACGCTCGGCGATCTTCGGCGAAGCTGAGGGTACTCGGATCCCGGAGGCGGGCGTTGCGGCCTGGATACTTCTCTTTTCACGGAGAAAGCTGGACGCATCCGATGTTGATGGTGGGGTCCGGGCTGCTGAATCTTAGAGTGAGCTTCGGAGGTAGGGAGCGGAGTATATGGGGCGTTCTCTCGACGCGGTATCGCTTCAGACTTGAAGCTACCCATCGAGCCCCTGCCAGACAGTCCTGGAATTCGAGATGCGGGACGGTCAGGCAATTTGCCGCCGCCCGTATCAGTTTCCCTCGTGGGTCGAATCGGATTTCTGTCAGCGAACCCGGCTTGGACATGGAAAGGCCTATGATCGGTCGGCTGCCATGCTCTATCCTGGGCCAAGTTCTCACTTGAGTCTCCGGAGGCTGTGGCTCGCGCAGAAGCTGCACTCTGCTGACCCGATGCACTGGTCGAAGGTAGGCCGCTGTCTGGCATGGGAGTAGATGCGGCCGGTGCTACGGATGTAGGCTTGGCCGGCGTTATCTTGCTGGCTCCTGGCTTTCTCCCTCCCCAGCCAGACGGTGAGACTGCTTTCGCCCAGTCCGCATTTGTCTGGCCGGGTAACGTGCCTGACCCAAATTTGCCATATGAGCTGTAACCCCGGACGCCTGTCCGGGTCGCCACGGAGAGGGGGTCGTTGTGTATCTGCGGGGCTGCAGCTCGAGGGTCGCGTGGTACTTGACGGCTAGAAAGTGTGCGGGAAGCTGAGGAGAAGAGTTGCGACGCGGATGAGGTTGCTCGGCCTGGCGTTGGGGCTCTAGAGCGCAGCTGGGTCAAGCTGTGCCGGTTTTGTCGGCGACATGATGCGCAGACGTAGAAGCCGCCCTGCTTCTGCAGTTTTGCGCCCGTCAGTTAATTGGAACCATGCTATGTGCCACAGACTCTTCAGCGTACCTGAACTTGGCTTCTCAACATGCTGATGCATAGGCTTGCAGTTGGTTGATCACCCGCAATGCCAGATGCTGGAGCTCTCGTCGTCAGTGAGACCAAGACAAGCGCGCGACCGGGACCGCGACGGGGAATTTTTTGGAGCTTTGGCAGGCAGGGACCGAATGGACGGGCCGGATGGGCACGGAATTACGTAGCTGTCCCGGCACTGAGGTACCCACCTGGCAAGGTACCCACAGAGGTGATCCACGGGCGGACAGGCGGGCTAGCTCAAGCCCAAGCTCCCTACCGAGTACTTCCAGACTTTGTATCTACCCAGGAAGCTCCGGGCTCAGGGGTTATTTACTTGCACGCGACAGATACCTCCAAAAAAGTCATCCAGCCGATTAGTCTCATCGCGACGTTCCCTACCCCCCCCCCCGACTCCTTTCAGACTCTCATTGTAGCCACAAGCCATTGGCTCCCAAGTCAAAGTAACTCATTCCGGGCTCTCCGTCGCTTCATTCCTCCCTGTCGAGGAATCCCATTCAGGGCGATAGCTGTTCATAGCCCGCCAGGATGCCGCCCAAGAAAGCCTCCTCAAGGAAGCCCAAGCCCTCGCCATCAAACTCCTCTGAGCCCCCAAAGCCCTTCAAGCCCGCCCCTGAAGTCCTCGCGCCATTCTATGCCTCCTTATCGCCAAGCCACGTCTACATAGCGCACGTCGACTCCAAGCCAGCCGACTTCAAGCGCAAGATCTTCCTGGTACCCGTGGCCATCAACGTCGCCATTGCGTTGCTCTTCGCCTGGCGCGTCTACTATGTCAGCCCCTGGTATTTTGCGCTCCTGGCCTCGGGCCTTGGCCACAGCAACGAGACCACCATTGCCGCCTCCGAGTCTTCCTGGGGCCTCATCGCCTGGGTCATAGCCCGCCGCGCACTCACCTTCCTGCTGGACTTCCTGCTCTTCGTCTTCGTCTGGCCCTGGCCCGTCGAGTTTTGCTTCGGCAGGACCCACGGCAGCCCCGCGCAGTGGCGGTGGAACGTCGGCTTCCGCGACAAGGAGATCTACGTGCGCCGCAGCAGGCCCACGTGGGACGGCAAGGTCCGCGAGGCTATCAGGGGCGACAACCTCGAGGCGAGGAGCCAGCTCATGACCAACATCGGCGTGGCGGCGAACCCGATGCTGCTGAACGAGAAGACGGGCTACCTGACCATGAACAACGAGTGGGACCTCGACTGGGCCGCCATGGTCGACGCCACGAAGCTCGTCGACGACAAGGCCGTGGCGCTGGACACTTTCAAGTTGATGGTTCTCGTGCACCACGAGGCTCATGGGTGGCTGTCCCTGGACCTGAAGGTGAGAGATGAGGCTATGCCGGACGATGCGCCGGACGATGAGCGAAGATCACAGGTCTTTGCTTTCCGGGATGCGCTGGCTGCCGCGGGCAAGGAGGATCTGTTCTACCGCTGGATCGAGATAGTCCAGTTTGAGTCTTCACAGCCGGGCGGTTTCGGACCAGAAAAGCAAGTGGAGGTGGCTCAAAAGATCAGAGACCTATTTGAAGAACAGGGCATCGATTTTGATGAATTTTGGAAGGAGAGTGTTGGCTCAGATGGGCTCGCGAACATGTAGCATCATGGGGTCAAGTACCTGGTGCATCAATCAATCGGCTTTGTCACCGAATCAAGGAAAAGGAACATTGCTGCTGTTGACAATGCGAGGGCGAGTGAGTCTCTTGATTAGACAAGCCGCCGCATCCTGTGTTACCCAAATGTGTGAAAGAAATCGTGGTGCCGCTGTTTATGGCCCGAACTCGCTTATCGTCTATGTGTGCCCCGCCGGGAACTCTACGGGGAAGTCTTCCCTTCCATGCAGCCTGCTCGTGATCGCTGTCAAAGCCAGGATCCTACTTTGACTTCTTCCCTCCCTTCTTGCCCGGCGCCGCCTTACCGAGGGCCGCCTCTCGCTTCTTTGCCTCCTTTGCCTCAATCTCAGCCTTCTTAGCCCTCTCCTGCTCCTCTTTCTCCTGGCGCTCGGCCTGGCAAGGTAAGACTGGTCAGCAAGTAGGCAAAATGAACGCTCGGTGGTGGGGGCACATACCTCTTTCCGGGCCTTGTCGGCCTCTCTCTTCTCACGAATGGCCGCCAGCCGCTCCAGGTCAGCCTTGGCTTGGTCAGTCTTGCCTTCCTCGTGCAGCTTCCTGTAGCGGGCCTGAGCCTGAGCAGCCTCGAGAGCCTCTCGTTCACGCCGGCTCTGCGGCTGCTTGATGCTCAGTCCAGACACAGCCTCGGCCGCCTCGTCAACGTTGACTGGCTCAAGCTGCTTGCGCGCTGCCTTGGAGTGATTGGGATTGGCGGGCATGTCATCGTCTTCGTCAGACTCGCCGTCGCTGGGAGGCAGGTCGCCGACCTGCACGGCGGCGGCTTTTGCCCTGGCGATGGCGGCGTCCTTGCGGGCCTTCTTTTCCTTCTTGCGATCCTCACGACTGAGTTCCTGCGCCGCAGCGTTTGAGGGGCCGCCTTCGTCATCGGACTCTTCCTCGGAGTCTTCGTCGGACTCGTCGGAGCCAGACTCGTCCTTCTTTACGGCGTCGGTGCTCCACATGGAGATCTCATTGCCGTCGGCATCAAGGGGTCGGAGGTCGCGCGAGAAGTGCTTGCCGCCTGTTGAAGACCTGGGTAAGTAACGGCGAAGTGCGTCATGGCGTGGACTTCACAGGGCCACCGCTAAGGAACATACCTCCACGTGTGGGCTTCTTGAACTTGCCGCCTCGGCCGCGCGAGTTTCCTCCAGGAGCGCCTGCCATTACGAATGGAAATATGAGGGCCGGTGTGTGAGTGTGAGTTTGTCGCAGGAGCTGCCCACAAAGTTGTTGAATTTGTCCTGGTGGAATAAAATAGCGGTCTCTCGGTGCTGGTTGGGTAGCAAATGTTGCAAGAGGTACTCGAGTAGCAAATCGAGTTGGGGATGTTCGAGTCGAGTCAAGTCGAATCGAGTCGAGACGGTCAAGGACAATACCAAAAGCAGAGAGAGAGAGAGAGAGAGAGGGGCACGACAAGAAATGATTCACACTCGCCCAATCTTGGGAGCCAGTAAACTAAGTGAAAGCGGTGCCCCTCCCTCCCTACTACTGACTGACCGTTTCCTGCTAGGCAGCTAGCAGCCAGGGTACTACTATTAAGGCTGTACATTTCTAGGCACATTTGGACAGTACAGAGCACACCCCCTGTACTAATGACCAGGGACCAGGGCCATGCTGACACCAAGGTTCGCATCCGCGTTCATTGGCTGCTGTGTGCTTATGTAAGCTCCACGAGGACGGGCCTGCACATGAAAACCTGTGCAGAGCCGGCCTCCACCTCTCTCTTCCTCTTCTCTTTTCTTCATCAACATAAAACTTAAGACCCCCGTATTCACTCTGACTTTTGGCCTGTTTTCTCCGTGGCAGCTGGAGGGGAAACCGGGGGTCAGAATAACCATCGTTTGCTTACCTTCTGGCCTGTATTCAGCTTCGGCTCCAGTTGGGTACCAGATAAATTATACCAACGAGACATCCTGCAACTGCTTGATCGATACCATACTAGGTACTAGCCATCCTCAGTCTACCATCTTCTGAGGCTAGATATCCGAACGAGCCCACCTATATAGTTGTGGCTGGACCTGCGAGTTGCTCACCCACATAAATGGGATGGGAATACTGAAATTCAACGCGCTGCTGGTCTCGGCGGCAGGCTGCTAGATGAGACCCTGTCGCGAACTTTGTTCTCCTGCCTCCCCGCGACGGAGGACCTTCTCTCGCTACCTCAATGGCACTGGCAACAGGCTTGGGCAGCAATCTGTAAACACCAACCACCACATACACTATGGACCCCTTCGTGGCTAGAGAGTGGTCAGCACCAGCGACAGACAGTTCTGACGTCGGCTGGGACCGTAGACGAAGGCCGCGTCGTAGCCCACCACCACGGCGCATGCCACACGTGCCAGAGCACCATCCTCGAAGGCTTCCCTCATTAGCCGACCTGGCAGCTAGAGTTGTGGCGGCCAACATGCAGAATCTCGATTTTTCGCATCTTCGTGGTCTTTCACCACGCGCCTTGCAGCTCGTCTTGAAGCACTTGGACCTTGAGTAGGTTGACCTTTCCATCGGTGAACCTTCCAATTGCTTGCAGCAACAAAGATGTTCTTGTCCCATACCTCGCTACTTCATTCTGCCTGGCTTTCACCTACCGTTTCCTCTTGTAGATCATATGCCTGCAGAATATCCTTCAAGAGCGTCGCTGCTGACCATCCCTTAGGTCCATCTCTTTGAGCACTTGGAGGGTCTTTCAGCAGCTTGGGCGCGCCGGCCATCTTGAGACCCGAAGCACCCAGGCCTTGCACCGGTTCCACCAGCATATTGAAAGTCCGACGGCGGACCTTTCTGTCTATCTGAAGCCTCTTCAGTCCCACGATTTTGTTTTCATATCGCATCTGCGGATTGCAGGATCCTGCCTGGTCAAGGCCGAGGAGTTGCTCTACCTTCCGCGATGGTCTAAAAACCTCGGCTTGTTGGAGCTCGTGGAGCCCTCCAACAGTAAAACTCCGTTTCCCAGGTTAAGCGACCGCTTGTTTAAGGCCTGGAGCCTCGGGGGTGATTCATTCCCTAAATTGAAAGGCATTCGACTTTCTACCCACCGCTCTATTACTGAGCGGTCTCTTCAATACCTGACCCAGTTCCCGGCGCTGACAATGCTCGATATCACGGCTGGGAAACAGGAATGGGTACATTCGAAATCCCTTGCCAGGGCCCTTGGCTGGGTCTATTGCGATTGGATTGAAGCTGTGACTTGTGATGATGATAGAGACGATGAGGTCAGCCTGGAGTCTCATCAGTGTTGGTTGCAGTTGTCTCTAAAGATCCACCGGCTTCTCGTTGGACCTACACGACCAATCGACTGGAGTGCTCCTCGCAATGTCCGCCACCTCGACATCTATAATATACTCGATATGCCAGCTTTAAGGATGCTTCAACAGCCCCGCCTCGCGGATGCTCCTCTTTCGTCCAATGCCATGGCCTCGTTGACTCTGGGCGAAGACTCAGAATTCCTGACCGAAGTACGAGGTTCCCTGCGTGAGGAGCGAAAGTTTTTCTGGCGATACTGGCAGAATGATGCTAGATTCCCAGTACCCTCTGAGGAACAGGGTCAGAAGAGCGCATTTCAAAAGTCACCTTCTGTAACAGAGCGACCATACCCCTCATCCGCCGCAACTATACGGTCCAGGAAGAAGCGCAAAGCCGTCAACCTCAGTGAGGCATTATCTCAATTCAAAAGGTGATAATCCTCCAATCAACTCAGAGAGTCAGCTGTCGTGCCATATCCGGCCTTACAACAACTTTACGGCTTGTACCATTCGCGGCACCTCCTCGCAGGCCTTTACTTGGATGGTGCTCGTTTCGACTGGCAAGATCTGAAATGTTCGCCTCACAACTCAGCGTAAGCTGATTGCTGTCCTAGTCCTCTTGTCAGAGCGTTTGCAATATGTACGGTGTTACAGAAACGCTCGCTGCACAACAAGGATCGGGTATTTCTATAACAAGACGGCACAAAGTCTAGACTGTTTCCCTGACTGAGATGGGTGCATTCAACTGAATCTGCATCTAGCCTCAGCTACTAGTACTTTGAATTGGTGACTGAAGGTGAAAAGAACCAGGCTATGAGTGGGCTATAGAATGTGACATGCTCGCCAATGAGGAGGTCTGTCTCCATGCCACTGTGAAGCCAACGCAGCAAGCTTCTCAGTTTCCATGTGCATCGACTTTCTACGGTTTGATACCATCTCGAACTCTAGTTCATAACGATACCAAAGTTAAAACTTAAAGAAATCGTTAAGAGTAAGGAAGACCAACCGACAAGACAATACTTGACAAATTTTCCTATGAAAGATAGTATATTATTTTTGTAGAGGCAGCCCCATATTAAATTATCTTAGAGAACTTCAACCCGTAGCAGGTTAGTTTATCTTGTGGGAACGACTGTTCTGAAGCAAGTTAACACAAAAGTGTAAGGGACCCCTTGGTGAGGTTTGTACTTGCACATCACTCTTCAGGATGTGGACAACCTTTAAACGCGATCATTTCCACAGTCCTTTTGCAACAAGTTTTATTAAAGTTTTTTTTTAATGTTATGACAACGGAGTCTATGAGGTGACCGCACGTCTCTTGCCTTGATTTTCATCACACATCCGCCGGTAGCTTTACATTTTCATTGCAGGGATCAGCACCACAGCACCCTCCACCCTCTACTCCTGACCTCACTCCCGCCATTGCCTCGAGTAACATTTTTGCACTTCTAAGCGGCAGCTAGTGAAACGTTTGGAGACACCAGGCCGTACTATGACTACAGCATAGGCTTCAGGTCATCCGCCACCTTGAACGGTGCCTCGGTCTTGGCCTTGATCTCATCCACCGTCACGCCCTCGGCAATCTCAATGAGCGTGAGTCCGTGTGAGAAATCGACATCGAACACACCCTACGACAACGTTAGCTCCACCTTACTCGGGTCTATCATGGACTCCGGAGAGCCCAAGGGCCGCATATGACTTACCAGCTCTGTGATGATCCTAGACACGCAAGCCCTGCCCGTCAGTGGGAAAGCGCACTGCTTCATGATCTTGGGCCGGCCCTTCTTGTCCGTGTGCTCCATGGTGACGACGACCTTGGTGGCGCTCGGGTTGCTGACGAGGTCCATGGCGCCGCCGAAGCCCTTGACCTTGCCGGGCAGCATCCAGTTGGCCAGGTCGCCGGTGGCGCTGACCTGCATGGCGCCCAGGATGGTGAGGTTGATGCGGCCGGAGCGGATCATGCCGAAGCTCTCCTCGCTGCCGAAGACGGCCGCGCCCGGCTTGAGCGTCACCGTCTCCTTGCCCGCGTTGATGAGGTCGGCGTCCTCGCCGCCCTTGCGCGGGTAGGGCCCCAGCCCCAGGATGCCGTTCTCGCTCTGCAGCTGCACCTCGACCTCGGGCCCCACGAAGCCCGGCGCCAGCATCGGCATGCCGATGCCCAGGTTCGCGTACATGCCGTTCTTGAACTCCTTGGCCGCGCGCCTCACGATGCGCTCCCTCTTGGCGGCCGTGTCGCCCGTGCCCAGCGCCGCGGCGCTGGCCTCTTCGCCGGGCTCCTTGGAGAAGGTGAACTTCTCGATGTTCTTCTCCGCCGTGCTCTGGATGACGCGCTTGACGTAGATGCCCGGCAGGTGGACGGCCTCGGGCGGGATCTCGCCCGGCTCGACGATGTGCTCGGCCTCGACGATGGTCATCCTGGCGTTGCGGCCCATCGCGCCATTGAAGTTGTTGGCGGCCAGGCGGAACTGGCAGTTGCCCAGCTTGTCGGCCTTGTAGGCCTTGACGAAGGCGTAGTCGCCGTCGATGGCGTGCTCGAGCAGGTAGCTCTTGCCGTTGAACACCTTGACGTCCTTGGGGTAGCTGTACTGGTCCGGAGAGCCGTCGGGCTTGTTCTTGAGCGGCAGGTCGCCCGTCTGCACGACGGTGCCGAACGCCGCTGGCGTGTAGAAGGCCGGGATGCCCTTCCCGCCCGACGCGCACCTCTCGGCCAGCGTGCCTTGCGGCGTCAGCTCCAGCTCCACCTCGCCCGTCAGGTACATCTGCTCGAAGGTCTTGTTCTCGCCGATGTAGCTGGCAATCATCTTGCTGATCTGCTTCGTCTTGAGCAGCTTGCCCAGCCCGCTATTGTCCGTGCCCGCGTTGTTAGACACGGCCGTCAGCCCATTGATGTCGGGCTTCTGGAGGATCTCGTCAATGAGCGTGTCAGGGACACCGCACAGCCCGAAACCTCCGCAGAGCAGGGTGGTGTTGGGCTTCATGTCCTCGAGGGCTTTGGCGGCAGACGGGTAGACCTTGTTGATCTCAGCACGCCGGGAGGTTGCCGAGAAGGTGCGGGCGAAGAGGAGGGCATGCTGTCTCGGGAGAACGCAGTCAGCTCTACTAATTCACATCATGCAGGGGGAATACTTCAAGGAGGGAGGCCCGTCCTGCTGAAGGCCCAGGGCACGCACATTTGAGCCATACTTGGAGTATGCGCGGAGTGTCCGCATACACACACCGGCGGACGGCATCGTCTCGTCGCCTGTCTGGTTTGAGGGATTGTTCGAGGGCTACGGGGGAGGGCGTGACCTTCCAGTCCGTCTATGGCACCAGCAAGAAGCAGAGGGTGAAGACGAATCGTCTACCAGCCACGAATCAATTCAATGTTAAGCTCCCGAGTGCAGTGCGGTAGCCGACGACGACGGGTCTGTCTGAGCAAGCGGGTCCACACAGTCACAGAGAGGCTTTAGGACCTTGAGGATGATGAAGAAGGAAATCAATTGTGTTGTGCAGAGTTGAGGACAAGAATGAGTGTCTCTCCGGTCCGGCCAACCATCCAGGCACGCTTAACCGACGCTCCAAGAGTTCCCGATGTCGCCAAGTAGCTTCATGATCCTGTCCGGAAAGCAGCGGCCGTTTCCTTCCCCAGGTCCAGATCAACCCCCCACCTCGGGTATGATCAGTCGGAGTCGGGAGCCTTCCTCGGCACTACTGCAGCCCGGGGGTAAGCATTGACCCGCCACTTACCGGAAATCTCAGGGGTGGTTTTGGCTTCACCCGAGGGTCGGTAGCGGGTAGCTTCCGCCTCGTCGGATGAATGTTTTAGCAACCCATCGACAACATGTCTGCCTCACAAGGTCCTCGACACTTTTTTTCTGCTATAGAACCGGGCATGGACTGGACACATGACCAATGACACGCGATAGTGGATCATTGGTCGTGTCCATGAGCTTAAAAGTGGTATGGCCTGCGTATGCGGCGCCTGTTGCTAGTAGCTCATCTCATTACTATACACGCCAGAACAACATGAAAGACGAAGCACAGGTCTAATGATTCGTTGCCTTAGCAAGATACCCGCCGTTTCCAGCCCTGGTAATGCAATGCATGTACAAGCCAAGACTCCAAATGGTCCCAAGGTCTGTGCAAAAAGGAGAAAAAAAGGAGTAAAAAACATCCATGTCCCTTCTAACTATCATGACGGTCCCTATCCCGTGTGATGCGTTTCTGTCAGTACAATTGCACGCTGCCGCCCCTTGGTAATTCGCCATAAACGTCAACGCCTTCAACAGCGCCCTTGGATCCGTTTTGGAGAAGCTCCAGGCACTTGCTCCGCACCGCGGAACTTTCCCTGCAACTGCCGGCCCATAATCGAATCTCTGATGCCATAATGTCATGATGGTAGGTCAATGACCTGGAATATTCGCGAGCTTTCCTTAAGCACTACCACTTGACTGTCGCGGAAAGAGGCGTCAAGGGAGCCATCGGTGTAAGCCCGCGGCGCGAAAGATCGCCTCCAAGGCCCCGAGCCTATCGCTGAGCGCTGTTGCTGGCCGTTGCGGCCCCGGGGCTGTGAAGGTCGACGTTGAATTTCCACTTGCCTACGGAATCGTCAGCGCCGAGATCCATCAACTAAACAAGTCAGCAATGTTGTAGCTTACCATTTGCAAGGTTTTCAGCAGTGTCCTCTAGAAGAATGACCCGTCTCTTGTTACAGTATGCCGTCTTGTCCATTATCTCGACCTTCAACTTCGGGTCGGACAGCTCAGGAATAGGCTTCTCGAACATCTCCGACAAAGCCTCGACTGCCATCTCTAGGTCTTTCTGGTTGTCTTCGAAGATTTCGGTCAGGTTGTTGCGGGCGAGGTAGAACGCAAAGGCATATGTCCACTTGAGCGTTTGCCGGCAGGTCTGAAGAGCTTGTGACGCCGAGTTGAGGTATTGCACCTCGATCCAAGACATGCCTGAGGCCGTTTGTAATTGGATCATCTTCTTTTCCGTCTTCTGATATATGTCCTTGTCCAGACGAGCGGATTGCTCATGGTTGGCGTACCGATTGTAGTAGTGCAGGTACCTCTCGAGAGACACACGAGATTTAGCCTGAGCGTCGCGTGCATCGGTGCCGCTCTTCTCCTCGAACCGATTACAGTTGTACCAGCTGGTGCCATGCTCCGACCATAGTCCCATGCACATCCAACAGAATTCATACTTGCACTTCCTACATGTCATGTGGTTGCATCCGCCGTTTTTCTCGATCGTTGAGTTGCATTTGGGACACTCCTTAGTGTTGGCCGAGATCCAGTTGGCAGTCTCGCTGTCGTCAGCACACTTCTTCAGCCACCTCTTTACCAGCTCGCACGGTGCAGGCTGGTGGTCGTTGAGGATGCAGCCAAAACAGAAGCGGTGGCCGCAAGAGCAGGCAACAGTAGGGACGACCTTGTCAAGGTCTTTCTTCTTGATGCCACAATTTATGGCATTTTCGCAATCTGGAGCAGGGCACCACTTCAGGGTATTGCTGTCCTCCACGTAAGTCCTGTTAAGAAGCTGTCGGTAGCGGTACTGCAGGTCCCGGGCGACCAGAAGGTCCAGAGAACGGGCGTCGAGGATGCGGTGGCAACCGTCCGAGGGGCACTGTATCCGTGCAGCCTCGCCCTCCTCCCGAATCTTTTGTGTCAAGTAGTGTTGATAGCATTCCACACAATAGCGGTGGCCACACTTCATTGCGAACGTCTGAAGGTCGTCGTCATCCTCGCAGCAGATCTCGCACATGAAGCCCGGCCTAACCTCGAGCTGTGGGCCGGAATGAGGACCAGTCACGAGCCCAGCAGCCTCGAGGACTTTCCTCGGCTTGTCCATGTAGTCGTCGATCAGTCTCTCCTTGTTCCAGCGAAAGTAGCGAAGCAGTATGGCTGCGTCCTCTTTTGACAGTTCGAGGATCATGTTCACCTCATCGATCAGGTCGTCTTGCTGCTTCTGGATGTCTTGGGGCTCGTAGACCTTGTACGTCAAGTCGTAGGAGACTTTCTTCTTGGGACTGAAGTCGCTCTGGCCGGGCAGCTCGGTGTCGGGTTCCTCCTCGAAGTCGAAGCCTGTGAATGAGTCGGGTTGGTCAGCCAGCTGTGTTAAGCTGAAAGAGGGTGTTGGATGGGGAGAGGGAGGAAGGGGTTGACCCTACCATCATCGGCAGAGTTGTCGCTTTCATCCTGCAAGACATCGTCTTCGCTGGAGATTGAGATCATATCATCGTCCGAGTCCATGTTGGTGGATGCGGTGGTGACAGGAGTTGGGGGCGAGCCTTGCGTGGGATGGGCAGCTGCGGCAGAAGTCCTCTTCTTGGGGTGGGAGTCCTTGATTGTCGAGGATAACTTCGCCTCAGCCGCCTTTCTCTTGCGAGATTTAGGAGGAATGGTGACGGGCGAGGCGACTCGGAGGCGGAGACCCGAGTCTTGCTGCTCTGACGCTGGTTTATTGTGGGTTTATGGGATGGGACAGGATGAGATGGGATGAGATGGGCTGCGAGGGAGGTCGGCGGGGGTCGAAGCAGGCCGAGTATCGCGTAGAGATATGCAAATATGCAGGCAGGCAGGCGGGCAGGCAGGCAGGAGACAGGCAGGAGAGGAGAGGGTAGGGTGTGGATGGGATCGGCGAAGAGATGGTTATGATGACGGTCGTGGGTTGGTCAGTGGTAGGTGGGTGTTGGTTGGGTGGTGGACTGGGACAGAGTCGGTTGGAGATGGGCCAGCTGGGTGCAGGCCTATGCGTGACCAGTCGAGACCCGTGCCATACGCCTGGTAGACCAAAGTAGTTTAAGGAGGGGCAAAATTACCAGACAATCAAACGCAAAACGGGACAGTGAACAGTCATCAACGACCGGAGTTAAAGTGGTAAGTCAGCTGGGTGTAACAGAGGGCGATAAAGAGGGACCGGGAGCCAGGCTGCTGGCGCCGATAAAGGTGCCGTTTTGACTGCGCTCCCTGCTCCTTCGCAACCCGAACCGCAGCCGCAGCCGCAGAGGCTTTGGGACCTGGGCAGGGGTGGATACAGGCTGACAGGGGACCAGATGCGTGCAAAGCAGGGGAACATCTAAGTTTAGGATCATCAATAAATCGTAATACTTGGTACTACGGGCGCCTGCGGGTGAGAGAGAAAGCGAGTGAGTGAGAGGCACAGCTGCTTGTTGGGAGACCAAGAGCACGAGCAGCGACTCCTGGACAGGAGGGTGCCATCAGTCAGAGCAGGCCATGGTGACTGCCTTCTTCTTCTTCTTCTTCTTCGAGGAACCAACAATTTCTTTTTCAAGCCAACATGTACATGTACTGTACATGTATTGTGCAATCAACCGCCGTTCTTGCCCAAACCTGACCGGCTAAGGGGAAATGGCCTGCCTGCTCAGCTCTGCGTCTGAGTGGATTCCTCAAGCAGGCAGCGATTGGGAGAAGATATGACCCCAAGAGGACAACAGTATGACTCCCTACTCCTCGTCACAAAATCTGCATTTGACACCTCCAACCTGTATGACTTTTTTTTTTTTGGCAGGCAGGAGAGGAAGGCGGTTGCTGTTATTCCTTGTAGACTGACTGCCAGATCTATCTATTGTGTAGAATGTAGCGCTGTAGGCAGGCCACAGGCACAACCTACAGGGATGCCAATGTGATGTCATCAGAACGCCAGGCCCAGGAAGGCCCGACCCGTCCATCCATTGCTCAAGGTTCAGAGAAGCTGGGAAGCTGCCATCCATCCCAATGTTGTGTTGAGCTCCCATCACACCCTACCGTTCTTCGGCCTTGTGTCTCCTGATCCATCCATCCCCCACCAGACAGACAAACAGACAGACAAAAAATACGTCCACCTGACCCCCACTGCAGCTGTGTACAATGGCATTCAGAGCATCCCTTCGTCCCATGACCCTGGCGGCCCGCTCCGGCATCGCCTCCACGGCCAGGACCACCAGGGCCTTCCACGCGACGCCCGCAGCTCTGGTCAGCGTCGGCGACAGCGTCCCCAACCTTGACGTCCTCACAGAGGGCTCTCCCGCAAACACCGTCAACTTGGCCAAGGAATTCGCCGCCGAGGATGGCCTCATCATCGGTGTGCCCGGAGCCTTCAGTATGTCTGCCATTGCCACGACCACATCAGGCCTGACTCGACTTGCCCTGGCCTCCCCGTCGTGCCCTGCTCATGTAGACTGACCTTGCTGCACAGGCCCCGGGTGCTCCCAGAAGCACATACCCAGCTATCTCACCCACCCAAACCTCAAGGATGCTGGCAAGGTCTTCGTCGTCAGTGTCAACGACCCCTTTGTCATGAGTGCTTGGGGTGAGGCGTTGGATCCTGCCGGCACACAGGGTGTGAGTTGAATGCTGCCCAGAAACTCACCCATCATGCTGATTCTGTGATTTATAGATCCGCTTCATTGCCGATCCCTCCGCTGAGTTCACAAAGGCACTTGACCTTGACTTTGATGCTACAAAAATCTTTGGAAACCACAGAAGCAAGCGGTACGCCTTGGTCATCCAGAATGGCAAGGTGAAGTAAGTCTGCTTTCTTTTCTTGTTCGAGAAACTGTCTGGAAATGTATCCAGTCGCTGACATGAACGATAGGTCTACTCACATTGAGCCAGATGGAACTGGTACCAATGAATCTCTTGCTGATAAAGTGCTCGGCGCCGCTGGTAGTGTCGATTGGAATGCTTGAGGAATTCAAATGCGAGAGCTGAGAGGGTTAAAAGATTTTGTGTAAAATATGTGAACAATCTACGCGAATTGCCAGAAGTTGCCAGGCAGCCCACGGTTGATATCTCGTGATGTTGCCATTTCCATTTGTGTGAGACATCTGATTCGATGTATTAGAAAACAGCAGTGTCAACGGCAGTGAAATGAGAATAATTTTTACAAAAGTCCCTGTTGGTCATACATGGAGGTGCTGGTTCTAGGACGGGGCATTTTTGCAGCCATGAAGTCTTGCTAATTCATTTTGTAGCGGTCTTCATCCACATCATGGCGCATGGCGCTTTGAACAGGGTCCTGATAAAGTAAATAGAACAAGAAGTGGACGCGGTGGCACCGGCAGTAGAAAAGAAAAGCAGACGCTCCACTGTGTCGTATGTCATCCGTATCAGACTTGCGCCTCGCCGATAGGGCTATTCGCCTCACAGCGCTGGCTCGTCGAGACATTGGCAATGTATGTCTTGCAGTGTCCTGAATGTGTTGTGTTGTTCACAGTGCATGCAAGACACCCTGCTTCGCTCCCTTGAAAGCAGGTCCTTGACGTGATAGATCGACCTGATCATGATTGTGTTCTAGTGATGGCGAAGAGGTGTGCGTGCTGCACGCACCTGACGATGAGGTCGATGGTATAGACTGGCGTTGATTTCCCTTATGAAGGGCTTTGAGGTCAGTCGGGCAGGTGGTGGCATAGGTACAAATCACCTGCGATACCAATTACCGGGTAAAACATATTGCTGTGGGAGAGTTCAAATGCCCGAATGGCACAAGCACGATCTTATTTGATGCAAGCCCTTGCATGTCCGTTCCCGGTGCTTGGGCTTGCTGGTTCAAGAGCCGTTTGCCTCGATTGCGTCGTCAAGCTGCTTCATTATGCGGCTGATACATTCTGTCTCGCTGTCCTGGACTGCCTTGCCACCAAGAGCGATGACTTTATCCCTGGACTTTGCACCACGGGTGATTTGGAGATCTGACTTTGGGACGTTGAGCGCCTGGGCCCGGTGTCAGCTCATGACTGCTAAGACTTAATTGTGAATGTGAAGGGCTCACTTCACTCAAAACTGCGAGCACAGCCTTGTTGGACTCGCCGTCTTTGGGGACTGCAGAGACGCAGAGCTCGATGGTGTTGTCTGTCAGAGCGGTGATGCCTTCCCGTACTTTGCTTGCGCCAGGCTTGACGTGACACCGCATGTATACGGTTGGGGGCTTCGTCTTTGCCCCGGCCACGTACTGTAAAACCCGATGAGATGCCATGTGGATATGCAATGTAAAGAGTTTCGGACCAGTACTAGATAGCTTCTGGAAGCGTTGAGTCGATTCACCCCATAGCTCAAAGTTCGTGGGCGGGTGATGGGAGGAGAGCTTGGCTGATGAGGGTACCCATCTGATGAGGAAATGGGAAGGGTGGGTCTCTTCGGCGGCCCGGCGCGGAAGCTGGGAACGCGTCCCGGAATGGAGCCCCGGCTGCAGGCCGTTACCAAGATGAGCTGGCACATATTGTAGAACTTGAGAACTAAGCCAAAGTGATGCGAAGTGACTACGTATTGATTGTCAACAGCTCGATTGTGTTCTCACTGTAAAATTGCCAATATTCGTGGTTCGCATGTCCTTGGTTCATATAAGTACATGCTTCGACCCTTCTGCTCATCGTCCCAGTGTATCTCAGTCCTACCCGGCGCGGCATGCGGCCGCCAGACATGAATTGTACACGCGAGGGATGTGGCTGTTAGCCTCCGTGACTGCTTGCCTGATCCGCCTGATTCCTCCTTACAACCTGTTGTGCTGTTCAGTGCACATCAGTCGGAACCACCACAGATCGCAGGGCGGCATGCCGCACGTGGTTTGTCATTGCAAATTACTGCTCAGTGCTTGCAAAGCCATTCATCTGATGCCTCTGGCCCTTGGTGCCGCGAGCCTACTAGGCCGCGTGCCACGCGTGCCACCGCGGCCTCCTCGGGTCTGGCTGCCGCCACGGGTAGACGGCGCAGGCACCCGTGATGTCCTCGGCTTTGGGGCTGGCGTCTGGAATTTGGGAGCTGCCGTTCTTGACGAAGACGGGTTGTCAACGAAGGATGTGTCTGTGGTCCTAGAGGCACGATCATTTAGCTGGCTGCTCTGTAAGGTCATGCGTGAATCTGGCCAATTACATGTAGGTGGTCTCGCCCTCGAGCTCCCCTGTGGACTTAGGCTCCGGAATTTGTGTTGTGGCCTGCTCCTCTCGTTGCTTTGCTCTGCGGAACGACTCTGGAATGGGCCCCTGTATGCCGTGTTAACAAAATGCACGACAAGAATAAAATCACGAGTCGAAGACGATTGGATGGTCCGCACCTCGGGGTAGTCGACACAGAAGGCGTTCATGTTGAGGCCGTACATGAAGCTGGCAAAGCTCTCGCTGAAGCGGGCCAAGCTCTCATGCATGAGCTGGAAATGCATCATGTTGGCCTCAAGGTCGGCCATGGCGTCAGACAGCTCAGCGAAGGCGGGCTCGAAGGCATTGAGAGGGAAGGAGGGTCCGCCACCAGTGCTGGACTTGGCTGATTCGCGAAAGGAGGAGCGAGATGAGGGCCGCAGAGGCGTGGTCGGCCGTGAGGCCCTTGTGCGCGACGTTGAACGCTTTCGCTCTTGAGACATGACTTGGCTTTCTGGTCGCTGTGAGATTTTTTGAAGAGGTTATGAAGCCTTCCTCGACGATCTTGTGGATTATGCTGGACGACCGTGACTTGGATGGATGCGGTGTCGTTGACCTGCCCTGACGCGTTGTTGTCGCGACTCACGAATGCTCGCCCTACTGAAGCTGTTTTGGGCCGTTGGAGGGGCAGCTATCGACAATCAATCTTGGTCACTCTGGGGCGCCTTGGCACGTGCCCCTGTGCTGGAGGGGTCCACGTTCCAGGGGCCATCCTGCCAGCCCAGCTTCAGAACAGCCTTGGGGACACTCCTCTGCGACCCCCGCCATTGATCACAGGACTTGCGCGCAAGGGAGGCGTCAACGCACCTCCTAGGTGGGTAGGTAAGCTCGCGGGCTGCCGAAACCCATCCCTGGAGGACTGAAGTCAATCGCCTTACCTGCGCTAGGCATGGACGCCCATCTCGTCTGCATTTCGATGATCATTCCAAGGTCGAAAGCAGTGTGGGCTTGCGGGTTCCAGTCTTGGCCGACCCCGCCAGCCCTGGAGAACCAGGCCCAGGCACGGGACCAATTTCTCTCTGCCTCCTACAGCGAGTAGTCCAGATGTCCCTCACTCAAACGGGCCTCGCTCTCTTTCTCTTACCCTTCACCTCGTCACGGAGCGCTCGGGGGCTAGTCCACTGCCTTGTCCCGTCCCCCGTGTCCCGTCCCTCCTCTGCCTTTGTTATACGAAAAGTATACGAGTACGGACGGGCATATGTTCAAGTACATAGCAGCCTCTCCTCGTCATCGTCGTGGACTGCTCGGACCGAGCACCTAAGGCTCGGCCTTGATCTCTCGCCTACCAGCCTAGTCTATTCATTACCTACTGGGTGGTGCAATCGCAATTTCCGGATCCTCTGGAGCTGGCCCAAAGCTACCTTGTTCACCAATTCGACTGCACTTCTGCTGTATGTATGAACATTTTCGCATAATACGCCTACGCCTATATCTCCATCTACCTCCCCATTCCAAACCCGATCCCGTTCCCGGTCTCCTCTTCAATCCCGTCTGCTCGGACGTCTCAGCTTGCGCCTTTGCAATTGTCATCTGAGCTCCTCGTTGGCCCTGCAGACTGTCTTGTGCTGACGCCTGTCTGACATAGGTAGCTTCTTTGATCCTCCGCAGCTGCGCCTCCTAGAGCCGTCTCAGACAGTATTTCTTGCTTTGCATCGCAACTTTTCCCATGCGAGCATCTTGGTCTCTAGTAGACAGATTCCCGCAGCCAGCCTGTCGCGCAGCGCGCCTCTTTGCGCCGCCTCTATTCCGACAGCACCCAACGAGTGTATCCCCGTCCTACAGACTCCCTTACAAACCGGGCATTCTGACCAAGACCACAACCCGCGCACCACTACTTTGTCGCCTCAACAGCTCTGCGCATTTCTCCTCCAAGAGGTTCCCAGGCCCAGTCGGAAGGCCGCTTCAATCGAGCGCATCCCAGACATATCTGTCATTAGTAGCGATAGTCGCTGTAGCTGCCCTCTACGTTGCTGTCCAACCGCGACCTCAGTCGCGCCAGGAAACCGAGGCGCACGAACTCGACGAGATGGCGCAAGACATCACAACCGAGTTGCTGCCGGGGCGCGTTGGGAACCTGACGCCTGAGCAAGAGGAAAAGGTGCGAAAGCTCTGGGCCGCCATCTTCCAAGTGTGCGCCGTCGGCGAGCAGGATGACGCCGCTTCAGTAGCCCCATCCGACAAGACGAACTCTAAAGACAAGGGGGATAAAGGAAAGAAGAGGAAAATTGGGCTTTTCTCCAGGAAAAATAAGGACAAGGGCGACACGGACTCGAGCTCGACAACGAGTGGCGTGGGCGCGTCGATCAAGGCTGACGATGCTGACGATAAGTACGGGCAAAACAAGCAATTCCTGGACACACTGGCAACAACGTCGCCCGAGGTCATCCGCGCTACCCTCTGGTCGATGATTAAGCACGACCACCCTGATGCTCTGGTATTGCGCTTCCTCCGAGCGAGGAAATGGGACGTTGATAATGCGCTTGTTATGTTGGTGTCCACCATGAACTGGCGCTCTACCGAGGTGCACGTTGATGACGACATCATGTTAAACGGCGAGGCGGCGATGGTCGAGAAGTCGAAATCAAGTGATGCAAAGGAAAAGCAGCTGGGAGAGGATTTCATGGCGCAGATCCGCATGGGCAAGAGCTTCCTTCATGGCGTTGACGACAAGGGGCGCCCCATATGTGTTGTCAGGGTACGGTTGCATCACCAGGGTGAACAATGTGAGGAATCTCTTGAGAGGTACACCGTGTATCTCATCGAGACGGCGCGTATGGTCTTGCGCCCACCGGTTGATACCGCCACTATCTTGTTCGACATGACCGGGTTCTCAATGGCCAATATGGTAAGCAGGCTTGAGTCTCACGATTTACAAGGGTTCTCGCTGACGGTAGCACAGGACTACACGCCGGTCAAGTTTATGATCAAGTGTTTTGAGGCCAACTATCCCGAATCACTGGGCTCAGTGCTGGTTCACAAGTCACCGTGGATTTTCCAAGGTACGTGTTGTGTCGCACAATAGAGAAATTGCGCAATTATGTCGAGTAAATCCGGCTGACTCAAATGACAGGAATATGGAAAATTATCAAAGGGTGGTTGGACCCGGTGGTCGCTAGCAAAGTGCACTTCACCAACAACCTCAAGGATGTGGAGCAGTTCATCCACTCCAGCCGTGTGCTGAAAGAGCTAGACGGACAGGAGGACTGGACGTACACATACGTAGAACCCACACCTGGCGAAAACGACAAGATGAAGGACGAGGCAACGCGGGACGGCCTGTTGGCTGCGCGCGAACAGCTCTATAAGGATTACGAGGACGCAACTATCAAATGGATTCAGAATCCGGATGACAAGTCAATCAAGGTCCAAAGAGACAGCATCGCGGCCAAGCTAAGGGTGGACTACTGGAACCTAGACCCGTACCTAAGGGCAAGGTCGCTTTATGACCGGACGGGATGGTTACAAGGGGAGAAGGTCGACCCATACCCTAAAAAGACGGATGCGACGGCGGCGACGTCGTCGGATGACGTGGATTAATGATCACGCAGGTAGATGTATATATCATGCAGAATCAAAATAGAAGCTCCAGTGGCTTAAGACACTCGAAGCAAGAAGGAGAAGAATAGACGACTCTGGCATCTCTGCTGCATTCGTTGGAAATTGTGAGTATATGTGGAGTGAGTCTATGGACAGCAGAGTAGACAATTTTCATAGCTACGTTCCGCAAATAAACGCTTCACACCTTGCTCTTGATTTGCTCGGCAAGCGCCTTGAGCTCGTCCATCTCCAGCTTCTGCGTTGGCCAGCCGATGCCTAGACCTTCTGTCTCGTTTGGCTTGGGGATCTGAACGCGGCGACACTGTATTAGTATCCATCCCTTGTATCAACTATCTCGGGCCCACCGGTCGAGCCCAATGGCTTTGGGCCGAGAGAGCCGGCTGAGCTTCTACTATCCCGGGAGAAACTTACAATGTGAACATGAACCTAGTGTGATCGACGTTAGCGACCGTAACACTCTATGGTACCATAGCAGAGAGACTTACGTGTCCAACCTCCTGGTGAGCGATCTTGCCGTTGTTCTGCAGGATGTTGTAGTCCTTCGCGCCGGAAGCGATAGCGATCTTCTTCGCGACGGGCTGTGCAAATGTGTGAGCCTCCCAAATGCCTGACATCGAGGAGTGGCAGGAGATATTGCGGGCAGGAGGCACGTACCAGGAGCTCGGTCAGGTGCTCATCCGGGATGTCGGCCAGCTTCTCGCCGTGGAATTTGGGGATGATGAGCTGCGTAGAAAAGTGAACGGGTTAGAAGATCATTGAACGGCGCTGGGGTCGAAAGGGACGTCCAGGGCGGGCGGGCTGGCTGACGTACAGCGTGACCCTTGCTAAGGGGCTGGATGTCCATGAAAGCCAGCGTCTTCTCGCTCTCGAAGAGCTTAAAGGAGGGGATCTCGCCTAGGTTGAGCCGCGGTGTGAGCCATCAAGGTTCTCTGGGGGGACATGAGCTATGCTCATTCAATGTCATGTCACTTGTGCGAGGACGTCACACACCCTTGATGATCTTGCAGAAGATACAAGTCGCCATTCTGCTGGTCATGAGCGCGTGTTTGCTGGTGAATTTTGTGGAGGAGAGGCAATTGAGTTACTGCAGGACAAATTAAAGGTGCCAAGACACGGAATGCAGTACAGGTTCTGGCGGAGATGTGTCGGCGAGGTTGCGGCTTGAACGTGAGGATGTGAGGGGGTCTGACATCAACTAGTACCATCATCTGTATTTTGCGTGCAGGTATATAAGTGCTACAAAATTGAATCAAGCTGGAATGGGATCTCCCCAGCGAACTCACCTCTTGCCTTTTACCAGATGTGACCGTGGGATGACCCAACAAATTCCATTCTACCAATCTTTGGCACCTTCTCATCTGGAGATCCCAGATTCGATTATCGTTTTGCCAAGGTTTTGCCTCCCATTCCTTTCTTTGCTTTATTTTGCAGTTTGATTGATGTACTTTTCAGGCCCATACGACGTGTTTTGCTATGTGATTCTTTAAGTGCCGTCGTGCCATGGTGGTCGCGTAACAACCTGGTTCAGAGGCCGGGCGACGGCACCTGGGCTTCTTACATCATCGCCAGCCCCGCTGTCTTGGAGGGGCTGAGCTGCCTTGCCCTGCCTTGAAACGTCTTCGTGCCTAAACACTTCCTACTCAACATCCTGTGAGACTCTGAGATTCTACAGAACAAAAAAGAACACCAGTTGCACATCGCAGTATTTTTGAATAGCCCAGAACCAACGAAGCAGCTCGCCCGGCACGCCGACCCCCGAGTCAACATGGCCGAGACTGTCTACAAACGCACCAAGCTATTTGGCGGGGCTCTGGAATGCGATCTGCCCGAACAGTTCGCAGATGTGAGGTATGCGCGACTCGGTCGCATACATGCGACTAAGCCGGGGCTACACTGAGCTCCTTCTGAGATCCAAAATAACTTGCAACGGAATACCGTGAAGTGTCAACTCGCTAACATTACCCTCAGCACGCTTCGTCAGGTCCCCGACGCCCAAGAGGTCTTCATCGACAAGGACGGCTTCACTAGCATCATCTTCGACATAACCGAGCGCGTTGGCGGCCCCGGCAGCTCGGACGAGATCGATGGCAAGGCCCTAACAACACACTTGGAGGAGCTGGTTGGTACAGATGTCGACACCGTCAAGGTCTGGAACTCGACAGAGACGGTCTTCTCAAAGCTTGAGTATGCCCTCCTGCACGCACAGTGCCTTTTCCAGCCGTAGCTTGAACGGCCGTTGACTAACGACCTTCTCTTGATTTCTCACAGCCCAAAGATCCCCGCCTACACACTCATTGCGACACAGACCCCGCCGCCAGACCCGTCCAGCAGGTCCGCCGCGCCGGACTTCACAGCCATAATTCTGACGCTGCTCCGCCTCGAGAAGGAGTCAACCGACATACTCATCACGGTCAACGTGCCGCACATCAAGGGCGAGTACGACGACGAGGAGGTCGATCTGCAGCTCGGAAAGCAGGGCAAGCTGATCGGGGCTGCAGTCGAGGATGCGGCCAGGATCTGGGAGACGTTCAAAGTGAAGGACTGGAACCTATTCAATGAGATTTAAGAAGGGCCAGAGAACCAGAGAGCAGAGATGGGAACGAGAGTGAGAGTGATACCCCTTACTGCATGAGCCGGGATATACCGTCCAGATTGTTAAGCAACGAATATCATGAAATCACGATTCAACTGCGGTCTGTCCGCGCAACCTGGCTCCAGACCTCCTCGTCACTGGCGCGACATTTCATTCACGACTACGACAGTGTGGAAGAATTTAGTGAGAAGAACTTAGACGTCATGAGAAATGGATATCATTGGATGCTGGTGTGCCCCAGTGCTACAAACACAGCACTCGGGGAGGATGCTTAACTACGCTGATGAACAAATGAACGACTTCAATTCCTTTCTGTGCGGCCAGGCCAGATCGTCATGTCAGATCTATCAGAGTCAGCTTATCCATAGCCCGCGCGACGCCCTCGACCTTGTGGGGTTTGCCGCTGCTATCATTACTGCACTGTGATGACGGGCTCGGCTTCTTATCCCCCGAGCCCATGTCCTTCTCCTGGGACCACCGCGTCGCGACCATTTTCATGATGTCCTTCTGCGGGCTAGCGGGGTTCTCCTGTTTAATCAGCTTCATCTGTTCTTTCATGAACTTCTGGTAATCAGACTCCTTCCCTGGCTTTCCCCTCGGCATAGGCTTCGTCTGCTTGAGCTCGCTCTTGCACGCGCCGCAACGGTGCCGCTCAGGGTTGATGCTCTTGGAGTGCCGCTTGAACTCGAGCGCGCACGCCGTGCACTCCCACACGTACTTGAAGTCGATGTCGTAGCTGTGCTTGGTGGTCACCTCGATGCCGCGGCCGCCGAACCGGGCGGTGACCTTGGCGGCCCAGGCCTTGAACTCCCGGCCGTGCGGGTTCGTGGTGACGCCGCTGACCATGAAGTTGGCCAGGTGGCAGAACTCGTGCGCGATCACGTTCAGCAGCCGGCTCTCGTCGTCGATGACCTTCTCCGCCAGCTCGATCGACGCGTGGTGCTTGTACCGTACCGACGTGACGGCGCCCGAGTCGCCGTCCTTGCGCTTGATCGTCTCGCGCTTCCAGTTGGCCCGACCGGCCGTCGTGTTCAGCTTGTTGGTCCAGTCGATGCGGATCCCGCCCGTCGGCGCCGAGAGCTCCGAGATCTTGCCGTCTGTGATTTGCGTGTCGAGTTCTCGTAGGAATTTGTCGGCAAGTTCGCGCTTGGATTGCTCGAAAGCCTTCTTCGCGGCTTTGGCCAGGGCTGCCGCGCTCGGCTGGCACTTCTTGCTGGGGCTGTTGTGCTTCTTGGATGGGCTCCCACCAACTGATGGGAGGAAGAGCTGCTTCTTGGGCGAGTGCTCGTCGTTCCACTCGTCGATAAACTCTTGATTCCAGAAGGTCTCCGCAGTCGAATGGTGAGGCGTGGCTGGTATGCGTGGTATCTTTTTGCTCGGGGACATGAGACCGGATGTTCTGGGCTGTGGAGGTGGAGATGTTGGCGTCGTTGGTCGCTCGATTCTTGATGAGGGTTCTTGAGACCTCGGCGGCTTGAGCTCATGTCTACCGGCCCTTATCAGCAACAGAAAATGCCGCAGCAAGATGACAAACTCACAGATTCAATTTTGAGAGTGGCCTCGTGAGGTCTGATGGCGTCGTATCTCTTGACTTGCTGTTTGCCTTCCTGGATGTTGTCCTGCCCTTGGCTTTATCACCGTCCCGTTCCTGCGCCTCAATTGCTTCCGATAACAGTTGAGCACTCGGACTGGGACTGCGCTCTGCTTGCCCATGCCCTCTCCTTTCACTTTCTTCTGTGCCCAATCTCTTCGATTTTGAGGGTGACCGTGGTAAGAATTCGTCGGCTGTGAAATCGCTCTCATCTGAACCTGATACCCTGCTGGCTTCAAATTCTGACCCATCGTCGTCATGGAAGTCTTCGATGATTGTCTCCTCATGCATTGAGTCGGTGTCCGAATAGTTGTCGAGCTCAACGCTTTTGACCACAGGTCTCGACTTGGTGTTCCGAAGCTCAGTACGCCGAGGTCTGACAAATTCCTCTCCATCATCGTCAAAGATCGTTCGCGAGGATCCTCTATCCATCTTGGGACGGAGTAGCGTATTGTCGTTCATTGCCCCGAGCTTGCGCCTCCTGACCGTGCTCTTGCTGGGAAGGCTTTCTGTCTGTGATGCTGATGAGCCATTACTCCTGCGTTCCTCCGCTTTGTTTCTGCCCAAGTCCCGCAGTTCTGGGAAGTCGTCGTCGCTCGAGTCGACAACGATACGCCTGGCTCTAGCCATGGCTGCAAATTCTTCCAGGCTCAAACACCAATAATAATAATGGTTCAGGTAAAACGGATTATTTGATGCAGCTTATCTACGTAAGTGCAGAATGTGGAGTGGAATTTTGGGTGTGGTGGTTCTTGCTGAACAAAATAATGGAGGGTGTCCGAGGGGTGTCGTAAACATGTTTCCACAGCAACGGGCTGTCGAACTGAGCACCCAAGTATTGCACCGTGAGGTCCACTCTCGACGACACAGGCTGTACGGTACACCCAAAAGCCCTAAAATTCACAAAAGGTTCAACCTGTAGGGCAAGATGCGTTCTTGGTCACTTCGCGTACCGTCACTCTGATTGACTTTCGCTTGAGCGCTCTTCCTGTTGGGCTCCCTGCTCGGGACAATCGCCTGCAAACTCTCCTACCTCGACATACACAGGTACGGATGCGTGCCTAGGTACACACTCAGTGATACTATGTGACCTCAGAAATAGAAATATCGGAACCACATATTGATTCGCCCTGCTCCAAGATCGGCCATTCAAGCCACGAGATTGTACTACGCGGGCTTCGTCACATTTTGAGATGCTCGGCTCGAGACGAGAGTTCACGATGCAAAGCATAGGCAAGCATTGCGTGGCTTTTGCTCTAGATCACGTACCACAGCATCTATGGCTGGGACTGATGCTGTGCAGCAGTATCATATCTGTTACACTGCCATGTGAATGGCCAACTACCAAAAGTCTCTGCTCGATCGTAGAGACTGACATGAGGGCAGTGCATATGAGACATAAAACTGTCCGGCGTGTAACACAGCCAAAGGAGTCATATGACCCATATGAACTTTAAAATGCCTGGCGAGCACAATCAACACCAATAAGACACCGGCCATTTATGCATGCACACTCTTGACGAAACTGTAGATAGGCAGGCTGGCTGGCAGGGCTCGGTTAGTCTCGTGGTGTTCAGGCTTATTGAGTGGGTAGTATTCTCATGGTCGGGTCTGGCACGGATTCCTACTTGCAGCGTTCAGCCACCGAAAAGCGTCTGGCAGTTGGTGGCGTCGCGGCGCTGCCCGGTCGGACGACCGTAAGACTCTGCATTCTGAGCACCTGCCATCCATCTATGGGCCTTTTCCTTGGCTCGTGAAGAAGGTGTGCAATCAGCAGAGAGCAGCGCGGGCAACAGACACAAACACAGCATATAAGGGCGTGGCGCCCGCGTGACATTGTGGCTGCTGATGACGACGTAGAGCAATGTCGACTCGACCACGGCCCGCCTCATGCATTATCACGAGTGGGTGAAGCTGCCACATTGCACGGACGCCCGGATCTTCCAACCCACTGCTTCACTTTTTCCTCCGTTGCGTTGGGCGAGTCCTGTGGGAGGCCGTTGGGGAGGCGTCGCCAGCGCCAACGCCAGCGCCATCGAGCCCGTCAGGGCCGTGCAGGAGGGACGGAAGTGCCGGGAATTAGACAGGGAACACAGTGCCAGGCCGAGAGAAGAGACGCCGCGCGGCATCCCTGGCCGATCTAAAATAGGTCTCTGGGACGGTCGCTCCTTAACGTGGGGACCCACTGCATATGGTCGGCGGGCCACCCAGCGCATCCAAATTTCTGGGAAACCTTCCCCGGTGCAATGGCATGGCCAGAACTGAGGATTGGTAAGCTGCTACACGACACCGTCCTCGGCCCTTCGTATTTGAACATGCGCCTCTGCAGAGCACAGCACTATCCTCAGTCTGCCCTTGTGCATGAAACTTTGCGGGTGGTGTGGTGGCAGCTTGGTGAATACGACGGCACTATGGAATGGAGTAGGATCCTGAGTGGGATCCTCAAAGCTTGCTTCTGTCGATTATCTCTCAAAGCCCCCAGTTCCCAACAGCACAGCATGGCCCGGCCCATTGACTGGCCGCGGGGTGGGATGATTTGTGGTTTTCTAGGTGGGTGCACATATGGCCATCACAACAAGGTGATCACAAAGCTCGATGATGCCGTGGAGGTTTTTCATGATGACGTCGAGAGTGGCAGGCAGGTGATGGAGATCCTCTACACACTTTTTTTGGGCTCGCAGGTCTGCAGTCTGCAGCACTGCAGACCCAGCGAACGCGATCCACGGTCCACTGTTGCGCGTTGAGCTGTTGCCGTGCAGCACAGTGCGGTGGCTGCGCCGTCCCTCGCATTCCCATTACGAGCTCGTCTGCATGAGGTGTGTGCCTAGCCTAATCGGCCTAGTCAGCGCCTGGTTTGGTATGGCGAAGGGTGTGTGTGTACTGTGAAGGTGTGAAGTCGTCAGGGGTAAAATGCGCCAGTCCTTTGTGGCGAAACACGATCAACAGGACGCGCGATTCGAGCAGCCAATCCGGCCGAATCTGCTAGGTCTGTCAGGTCTGCCAGCCATTGTTATCGTTCGGGCTGTCGGGCAGGGCATGGTGAAGTGCTGATCTTAGCTGGAGGCCATTTACAGCATTGACGGGTGGCAGCCGGCCCAATTGAGGCTTATTATTGTCCTAGAGAGCCAGAAACGTTCGACGCCAGCTGGCAGAGGCCTTGGGTGGCAAATTGGGAGCGACGGCTGGCGCCATCGCCGCCTTTTAGTCCGCTGTTACATCCCGAACGTCTCTCGTTGGTGAAATGAGAATGCCCACAACAATCGACGATGACGGCTAGGAGCCAAGTGATTGTCGACGGGCCGCATGCACGTGTACATGTGGTCCCAGCAATTATTATCGTAGCCCACCCTACGTACAATGTAGTCTAATGTTGCTCGCCATCCCGTCGTCGGATCGGAGTCCGTGGCCCGGGTGGACAGGCGGGCTGGCCAGCCGGGATGGATCATATGCCTGCTCTTTGGGCTGTGTGTCGATCGTGAGCCTGGCAAGGCAGCAAGGATACGATACACGGTACAGACCATCAAGGGTGGAGGCAAAATTGCTTCAATGCCTCTTCGCAGGGGACCCAGACGGCAGACGGCAGGCGAGCTTGTTTCATCGTCATGAGGGCCTGTCGCTTCGTGACAAAACCTCCCCATCAATATCATTGTCAACAAACTACACCCAGTCAGCCCCTCCTATAGTTCATCCGGTCGAACATGTGAGCGATGCATGTCCATCCATGAGCTCATCACAACACATCACAGCACAACTTAGTGAGGGGACCATACAGTCGGGGAGCATACATGAAAACAGCACAGGACAGCACAGGGCGTCCCAGGGCAAATGCAAGGCTGGCCAGCATCACAGATATCCATCGGTTGTATGTGTGATAAATGACAGCCGGGTCCTCATCAAACCTTGCCAGAAGCAGCATACAGTACGTAGCAGAAAACATAGTGAATGGAAGAAGCAGAGAACGGGAAATGGAACAAATGGGGCCCGGGAGTTTGAGCTCCATGCTGCCGTTACTAGTCCACCCGGGCACAGGAGTCGAGCACACACAGTATGGGAGTTGGTGATAAGATGATGGCCTGCGCACAGCCACTCCCCACCAGCTACAGTACGGACTCGATGTTCCAAGGTTGTAGTGTATGCAGCTGTCGGCCAATCCCCCTCTGCTCATCTCCCAGGAGAGGCAATCAAGGAAGGCCGTTCATGAGAGCAAAGCAGGTCAGCAGGGGAGCTCCTAGGGGCGGCCAGGACAGTAAGGACAGTCAGATAGAGTCTGTACCTGGTGCAGTGCCCTGCCAGTGCCTGTGTTGCCAACGAGCCAACAATCGATCGGAGGGAGGGGTGTGTTTGCAATTCCTTGTACAGGATGCTCGATAGTGGCCGCGCATTGGGCACCGTGTCCAGTCACACTGTCAGACACTGTAGGTGTGGGTGCGGCCCTGATTGGAAGTGATGGAAGAGAAAGCAGGGTGTGGCCCCTGCCCCCCTGCCATCGAAGTCACTCCTGGCACCTGCAGCCTCCTTTTCCCCCTTTCCAAGTTCCCGCCGCCCACCACAGGACAGGCCACACCATACACCACCTCCTCGCCTAGCAGCTCTCTCTCTCTCTTCCCCCCAGCTCGGTTTTTTCCATAACCAAGAAAACCGGTCTTCCAACTTTCTTGGACCGTACTTTTCCTGAAATCTCGACTCCCTCACCTTCCTCTTTTCTCACCTCACCTTTTCCCTTTCTACACTCGCTCTTTCCCGACCTCTCCCCTTCCTCCTTGCAGCCTCTGTTCTGCTTTCTCCCTTGCCGGCACCGCCCACCCAGCGCGTCGCCGACTTGCCGTTCGCTGATTCACCTAGTGCCGATCCATCAATCCAATCGCTACGGGGGCCTTCGCCAGTGCCACCAGCCCACCTGGGGAGAACCTCAAATCAGCCAGCCTCTCGGCCACCCCAGGCTTCTACAGCGTTTGAGGGATCGTACCAAGGACCAGCTACGGAGAAGGACGAAGTCTAGAACAGCAAAAGAGAAGGATACAGAGAAGGAGAAAGCAATCGTACCAGGATTCTTGCCAACACGCCTTTCTTCAACCTGTCCAGTCCATCGCTCGGCACCTCCTGTTTTGGAATTCGGATTGCACAGCCTCCACCTCGGATCATTCACATTCAAGTCACGACTGCGTGAGGATAATAATCATATCGACTGCTCTTCAGCACCATACTATTCCCTCCACAGAGCACGTTCATCGCGACTCTGGCCGGCTACTTTTTGATTTCAATCATTCAGCACAGCACAGCGCAGCACGGACTATACTTAATAATCGGCTCCAAAGTCGGTCTTTTTTCGGTTGCTCCCCCATTCCAGTCTTCATGAGTCTGATTGGTGAGTTTCACTTCCTTTTGTTCCCCAGCAACTTCAAACGCGGGACAGCCAAGGAACCACGTCGCGCCCCCCTGTAGGCCCTGTCCTGCTGCTGCACCATGACTGCTGCGCCTTGATTGCTGCACCAACAACAATCGGCACAACGGTCCCATCTCGTCAATGTCACAACCCGCATCCTCTTCTCAGATGATCGATCCATTCGCTGACAAGAGCTATTCCCGGTTTAGCCATCTAATCCAACATGTCGGGCTATCCGGCCAACAATCATGACTATGATGATGGCTACGGCCATCATCAGCAGGGAAACACTGATTCCTACTACGACAATGACCAGGGTCAATACTATGACAATGGTTACGATGCCCACGGCGGCGGCCACGCCGCCCAGGGACAGGAGGGCTACTATGACGAGTCGTAAGTCTTACCCTCCGCTGGAGTCCTAATCCCGAATGACACTGACAGGCTCTGCTTTTAGGGGCTACTACAACTCCGACCCGAATAATCCTTACCACCAAGATGGCGGCTACTACGAAGGCCACGAACAATACGGCGGCCAGGACGGTTACGACAATGGCTACTATGACCAAGGTTACGACCAAGGTGGCTACGGTGGCCACGGTCAGCGCCGTGGAGGCTCTGAGGAGGATTCCGAGACTTTCAGCGACTTCACGATGAGATCCGACATGGCTCGAGCTGCCGACATGGACTACTACGGTCGAGGCGACGAGAACTACGGCGGATATCAAGATGGCCAAGGCGGCCGTGGCTATCGCCCGCCGTCCTCGCAAATCTCCTATGGTGGCAACCGTTCATCAGGTGCATCCACGCCAAACTATGCCATGGACTATGGCAACGTTTTGCCCGCTGGCCAACGCTCTCGAGAGCCGTATCCCGCATGGACGTCAGAAGCTCAGATCCCCCTTTCTAAGGAGGAGATTGAGGACATCTTCCTTGACCTTGCAAACAAGTTCGGTTTCCAGAGAGACAGTATGCGCAACATGTACGATCATCTCATGACTCTGTTGGACTCGCGAGCTTCGCGTATGACTCCCAACCAGGCGCTGCTCTCCCTCCACGCCGACTACATTGGCGGAGACAACGCGAACTTCCGCAAGTGGTACTTCGCTGCTCACCTCGACCTCGACGATTCTGTTGGGTTCTCCAACAGGAAGGGCTCCAAGTCGAAGAAGAAGGCCAAGAAGAAGAAGGGTGAGGCCGAGGAGCAGACCCTTGAAGATCTCGAGGGCGACAACTCCCTCGAAGCTGCTGAGTTCCGATGGAAGACCCGCATGAACCGCATGTCTCAACACGATCGTGTGCGACAGCTGGGTCTGTACCTGCTTTGCTGGGGTGAAGCCAACCAAGTTCGTTTCATGCCCGAGTGTCTCTGCTTCGTGTTCAAGTGCGCCGATGACTACTTGAACTCGCCAGCATGCCAGAACTCCGTTGAGCCCGTGCCAGAGTTCACCTTCCTCAACAACGTCATCACGCCTCTGTACCAGTACTGCAGAGACCAGGGTTACGAAATTACCAATGGAGTCTATGTCCGACGTGAGCGGGACCACAACAAGATCATTGGCTACGATGACTGCAACCAGCTGTTCTGGTACCCTGAAGGCATCGAGCGTATCGTCCTCGAGGACAAGTCGAAGTTGGTCGACGTGCCCCCTGCTGAGCGGTACCTGAAGCTCAACCAGGTGAACTGGAAGAAGTGCTTCTTCAAGACATACAAGGAGACTCGTTCTTGGATGCATCTGATCGTCAACTTCAACCGTATCTGGGTCATCCACTTGACCGTTTTCTGGATGTTTACAGCCCACAACGCTCCGTCTCTGCTTGTCCCTAATTACGAACAGCAGGTGAACCAGCAACCAGCTGCATCTGCCCAGTGGTCCATTGTCGGTTTCGGTGGAGGCATAGCATCTCTCATCCAAATCCTGGCGACACTTGCAGAATGGGCTTACGTTCCCAGGAGATGGGCCGGTGCTCAGCATCTTACCAAGCGACTCCTATTCCTCCTCCTGGTCTTCGTCATCAACGTCGCCCCTGGCGTGTACGTTTTCTTGCCCCAGGCGACGATCAAGGAGTACAACGCACACCAGAACTCCACCATTGCCCTGGCTCTAGGTGTTGCACAGTTCTTCATCGCCCTTATCACCTTGATCTTCTTTGCCATCATGCCCCTTGGTGGCCTGTTTGGCAGCTACCTGGTGAGCAAGAAGTCTCGACGCTACGTGGCCAGTCAGACCTTTACCGCCAGCTGGCCTCGGTTGAAGGGCAACGACATGGCCATGTCTTACGGCATGTGGTGTGTTATCTTCGGTGCCAAGTTCGGTGAATCCTACGGTTTCCTGACTTTGTCGTTCCGAGACACCATCCGCTATCTGGCCATAATGGACACCAGTAGCTGTCTGGGTGATACTATCCTCCAGGCCAAACTCTGCAAGTACCAGCCAACGGTTCTCCTTATCTTGATGGCATTCACGGATCTGGTGTTCTTCTTCCTCGACACGTATCTCTTCTACGTCATCTTGAACGCCGTGGTTTCTATCGCCAGATCGTTTTACCTTGGTTCGTCCATTATGACGCCATGGAGGAACGTCTTCTCTCGTCTACCGAAGCGAATTTACTCCAAGGTGTTGGCCACGACCGACATGGAGATCAAGTACAAGCCGAAGGTGCTCATTTCTCAGATCTGGAACGCCATCGTCATCTCCATGTACCGAGAGCATCTCCTTGCCATCGACCATGTGCAGAAGCTTCTCTACCACCAGGTGCCTTCCGAGCAGGAGGGTAAGCGGACACTGCGTGCTCCGACCTTCTTTGTGTCCCAGGAAGACCACTCCTTCAAGACCGAGTTCTTCCCCTCCCACAGTGAGGCAGAGCGCCGAATTTCTTTCTTCGCGCAGTCCTTGTCCACACCAATTCCTGAGCCGCTCCCTGTGGACAACATGCCAACATTCACGGTCCTCATTCCTCATTACAGCGAGAAGATTCTACTGTCTCTCCGAGAAATTATCCGTGAGGATGAGCCGTACTCGCGTGTCACCCTGCTGGAGTACTTGAAGCAACTGCACCCTCACGAATGGGACTGCTTTGTCAAGGATACCAAGATTCTGTCGGATGAGACTGCGCAGTACAACGGTGACGAGGAGAAGGCCGAGAAGGACACCGCCAAGAGCAAGATCGATGATTTGCCCTTCTACTGCATCGGTTTCAAGTCTTCTGCCCCAGAGTATACGCTTCGAACCCGTATTTGGGCTTCGCTTCGCTTCCAGACCCTCTACCGTACCATCTCTGGTTTCATGAACTACAGCCGTGCTATCAAGCTCCTTTACCGCGTTGAGAACCCCGAGGTTGTCCAAATGTTCGGCGGCAACTCCGACAAGCTCGAACGTGAGCTCGAGCGCATGGCTCGCCGCAAGTTCAAGATCTGCGTCTCTATGCAACGGTATGCCAAGTTCAAGAAGGAGGAAATGGAGAACGCCGAGTTCCTCCTGCGCGCGTATCCTGACCTGCAGATCGCCTATTTGGATGAGGAGCCACCTGCGAACGAGGGCGAGGAGCCGCGTCTGTACTCCGCCCTCATCGACGGCCACTCTGAGATCATGGAGAATGGCATGCGAAAGCCGAAGTTCCGAATCCAGCTCTCTGGCAACCCCATCTTGGGAGATGGCAAGTCCGACAACCAGAACCACTCGATCATTTTCTACCGCGGTGAATACATCCAGCTTATCGACGCTAACCAGGACAACTACCTGGAGGAGTGCTTGAAGATCCGAAGTGTCCTCGCTGAGTTCGAGGAGATGAAGACCGACAATGTTTCTCCTTACACTCCTGGGGTGAAGAACAACTCCCCTGCTCCTGTTGCTATCCTTGGTGCCCGTGAATACATTTTCTCCGAGAACATTGGTATTCTTGGTGATGTTGCCGCCGGAAAGGAACAGACATTCGGTACTCTCTTCGCTCGTACGCTGGCTCAGATTGGCGGCAAGCTCCATTATGGTCACCCCGATTTCCTCAACGGTATTTACATGACCACGAGAGGTGGTGTCTCCAAGGCGCAAAAGGGTCTGCATCTCAACGAGGATATTTACGCCGGTATGAATGCTGTCCTGCGTGGTGGTCGCATCAAGCACTGTGAATACTTCCAGTGTGGTAAGGGTCGTGATTTGGGTTTCGGTTCTATTCTCAACTTCACGACCAAGATTGGAACTGGTATGGGTGAACAGATGCTGTCCCGAGAGTACTACTACCTTGGTACTCAACTGCCCCTGGACCGATTCCTCTCCTTCTACTACGCCCATCCTGGATTCCACGTCAACAACATGTTCATCATGCTGTCAGTCCACTTGTTCATGCTCTGTCTGATCAACCTCGGTGCCCTCCGGCATGAAACCATCGCTTGCAGCTACAACAGGAACGTCCCTATCACGGATCCTATGTACCCGACAGGTTGCCAGAACACCGCTGCGCTGATGGACTGGGTCTACCGCAGTGTCATCTCCATTATCTTCGTCATCTTCCTCGCCTTCGTACCTCTGGTTGTACAAGAGCTTACCGAGCGTGGAGTCCTCCGTGCCTCTACGCGTCTGGCTAAGCAAATCTGCTCTCTGTCACCCTTCTTCGAGGTGTTTGTCTGTCAGATCTATGCCAACGCTGTGCAGCAAAACTTGTCCTTCGGTGGTGCCAGATATATCGGTACCGGTCGTGGCTTCGCCACTGCTCGTATTCCCTTCGGAATCCTGTTCTCCCGTTTTGCTGGACCATCGATCTACTTTGGAGCTCGCATGCTGTTGATGTTGCTGTTTGCAACCTTGACGATCTGGCAGGCCGCTCTGATCTATTTCTGGATGTCACTGCTCGCCCTCTGCATTTCGCCCTTCCTGTACAACCCCCACCAGTTTGCGTGGAACGACTTCTTCATCGACTACAGAGAATTCCTTCGATGGCTTTCTCGGGGTAACTCGGTCTCTCACGCGTCGTCTTGGATCGCCTACTGCCGTCTTTCCCGTACCCGGCTTACTGGATACAAGCGCAAGGTCGTGGGTGAGCCTTCGGGCAAGCTGTCGGCTGATGTGAATCGTGCTCACGTAACTAACGTGTTCTTTGCCGAGATCATCGCCCCGCTGCTGCTGGCCGTCGTTACCTTGATCCCATACCTGTTCATCAATGCGCAGACTGGAGTCCACGACACCGGCGGCGTCTTGAAGGACAACGATTCGGATGCGAAGCCGACCGCTGCTCTTCTGCGTGTCGGTATCGTCGCTCTTGGTCCCATTGGCGTCAACGCTGGTGTGTGCGCGGTCTTCTTCGCGATGGCTTGCTGTATGGGCCCTGTATTCAGCATGTGCTGCAAGAAGTTTGGCAGTGTCCTCGCTGCGATCGCGCACGCCATCGCCGTCATCATGCTCCTCGTGTTTTTCGAGGTGATGTACGTCCTTGAGGGCTTCAACTTCACCCGGACCATCAGTGGCATGATCGCAGTCATCGCTGTGCAGCGGTGGGTCATGAAGTTGATCATCACCTTCGCCCTCACGAGAGAAATGAAGACCGACCAGGCCAATATCGCCTTCTGGACAGGTAAATGGTACTCGATGGGTTGGCATTCGATTTCGCAGCCCGCACGAGAGTTCCTTTGCAAGATCACCGAGCTTAGCTTCTTTGCTGGTGACTTCATCCTGGGGCACGCACTCCTGTTCATAATGTGTCCAGTGATCCTGATCCCTCAGGTGGACAAGTTGCACTCAATCATGCTCTTCTGGCTCCGTCCTAGGTACGTTCTGAAACAGTCCCTGACAAAGAAAGAAATACTAACACTTTGACACAGTCGGCAAATTCGTCCACCCATCTACTCGCTGAAGCAGTCCAAGCTGAGAAGGAAGCGTGTCTTCCGCTACGCTCTTCTCTACTTTGTGCTCCTGATCCTGTTCCTGGTGTTGATGGTGGGCCCAAGTATCGCGGGCAAGTACGTGCCCACGTCGATGCTCTCCATGCTGGACAGCACAAACCTGCTCCAGCCCACAGGCCAGGACAACAACAACACGATCGGCGAAACGGAAACAGGCACAGGTGCAGCATCCTACACGGGAGCGCTGCTGACGATGACTAAAGCGTCGGCATCGGCATCAAGCACGGGAGATGCTGCCAAGATCCGTCTCTTCTAAATCGTTGGGGTCTGTATCATAAAAGGAAAGAGTGGAGATTTTCTCTTTGAGTGGGGAGTGAGGAGGCCTTTGCACATGGCACGGTGTTTTTGTTACTCTTTGCTTTATCTTTGGAGGGCGGGGGAGTACATTGTATTGATTTTGCGATTCCTTTCGACTAGTAAACGAAAGGATCATGGGCATGGTAAATGGTTGTCTAGACTCGCCGCTTCGGCACGCACGCACGCACACTCACACTGGCACGCATTCTATATTTCTCTGGATGTCTGTTCTCAATGCCGGTAGGCGGCAAGATGAATGGCATAATTAATTGAAGTCTGGAAGCTACACTCAGGATCTGCTTTTCTCGCATAGGGTGGTCAGTCACTCGAAAGTTGATGGTTGGTTCTGGGGCCGATTGTCGGTAGCCCCGGAGGGGGGTTCCCCTTTCCCATTTTATGCTGCGCATGAATCGGGTTGGCGGACTCCAGGCACGGTGTAATTAATGTGCAGCACAGGATGTGAGTGCGAGTGAATACATATAGGTTGCAATGCTACAGAGGAGACTTTTCAGATGCATGTCTGGTTTTCTACAGTGCTTGTTATTCTGACTGAGCGAGGCGGAATCAGTAAACGAGCGAGGATTTCATGCGGGAGTCCCGTTATGTAAGCCAGTCACAGGTCAGTCGGTACTCGGTAGGTACCCTGACCTAGTGGTGGGTTTCATCGGTCCACGCCAACGCAGTGGGTGGGTTACCGCTGTTAGTTGAGATTGCCCCTGATCCTGCGCTGGCCACGGTAACGACGACGCGCATTGATTGACCATCGTCACCCGCCTTAGGACTTTTTTCCCCGTCATCATCAGCGTCCTGCTCCCCGTCACATTCTCCCTACCCTTCCGCCTTTCGGGAATTTCGATTCTCTCTGCAACCCCCCAACCCCTGTGTCTTCTTCATCACGGCAGCAGCACTGGCACGTCACCATGGATCTGCACGAGATCCAGGCACAGGTGGCTGTCCTGCTGCGCGAGGCTTCGCAGACCTTCCAGAAGGTCCCCGGGTCTGCCGTGCTCATCCGTTACGTCCAGGCCAGCTACCAGAACGACCCTATTCGATCCATCTTCGAGCTGTTTCTGCTTATATTCTTTATTCGCTACCTGCTCAGCCCATCCTACGCGACAAACGATTCCAATTACGTCAAGCTCAGCGAAGATGAGATCGAGGAGCTGGTCGAAGAGTGGCAGCCCGAACCTTTGGTCGGCAACCAGACCACCACTGAGGAGTTAGAGATGGAGAGGCTTCCTGTTATTGTTGGGTATGTGTCGCTGCATGTTGAGGGCGTCTATCAACCAAAGCAAGACTGACCACAGGGCCACCTGCAGCGCAACCGGTCCCAAGGTCAAACTAGCGAACGGCCGAAGCGTTACGAATCTGGCCTCATACAACGTCTACAACTTCAATGCCAACGAACAGATCAAAGAGAAAGCCATTAATACCCTCCGCACCTACGGCGTCGGCCCCTGTGGGCCGCCGCAGTTCTACGGAACACAGGATGTCCACATGAAGACCGAAGCCGATGTTGCGGCCTATCTGGGCACCGAGGCATGCATCCTCTATGCGCAAGGCTTTTCTACCAGTTCCAGTGTCATTCCAGCGTTTTGCAAGAGGGGAGACGTCATTGTTACCGACCGCGCAACCAACTATCCAGTCCGTAAGGGTATCGAGCTGTCGAGATGTACCATCAAGTGGTATACCCCGGGCGATTGGGATGATCTGGAAAACGTCATGAGACAGGTTGCCCAGGACCAAAAGAAACAGAAGAAGCTGACGAGACGTTTTCTTGTGGCCGAGGGCCTCTCCGAGACCACCGGCGCCTCGATTGACCTGCCACGCATGGTAAGCAGAGAGACCCTTGCCAAGATGGCTGACGCCAGTCGCTGACGGTTCCGTTCGTCGCAAAGATCGAACTCAAGGAGAAGTACAAGTTCCGCATGATTCTCGACGAGACCTGGTCCTTCGGAGTCCTTGGCCGGACTGGCCGCGGCGTCACCGAGGCCCAAAACGTTGATCCTGCCCAATGCGACATGATCATCGGTTCGCTGGCTGGCCCCTTGTGCGCCGGCGGTGGCTTTTGTGCTGGTGACAAGAACGTCGTGGCTCACCAGAGAATCGCCTCGATGGCGTATACCTTCTCTGCGGCTTTGCCCGCCCTGCTGGCCGTCACGGCGAGTGAGACCATAAACATGTTGCAGACTAACCCCGAAATACTTGCCTCGTCGCGAGAGAACATACGCGCGGTGCGCGCGCAACTCGACCCGCGGAGTGACTGGGTCATGTGCACGAGTGCCCCGGAAAACCCAATTCTTTTGCTGGTGATCAAGCCAAATGTCGTCCAGTCCAGGCGGTTGTCCTTCGAGGACCAGGACCGAGTACTGCAGGAATCTGTCGATGAGGTAAAATCTTTCTCTCCGTGCGTAGAATCGCCTTCTTTGCTGCCGCTAACTCGGAACTGGCCAGGCCCTCGCGAATGGTGTCATGATCACACGGCTGAAGACGGCACTAATCAACAAGAGCGTTGGCGGCGGTCACACTCAGCCTGCCCTGAAAGTATGCGTTACGACCGGTCTTTCCAAAAAGGAGATTGAGAAGGCCGGAATAACCATCAGGCATGCCATCACCAAGGTCATGACGAAGAAAACGAGCAGCAAGCTGTCCTTGCCTGGCTCATGACCACTGAGCACCCAGTCTTTATCTACAAATGACTATGTATATGGCGCTATGCATTCTGAGGTAGAGCGGCTTCGGCAGTCTGAGGCAGGCGAACGGGGCACCTCCCGAGGTCGCGAGAAGAACTGTCTCCGAAGCTTGGGGTAACTTCCCTTCAACCATCCCAAGAATGGTGGTGGGACGACAATGCATATGGAATTAGACTTATTTAATGATCGAAAATAACAGCTACAGGTGTTATGCCCCCTTGCTCCCGTCATGTCTCATGTAGTGCGTCAATTGCGTGCTCGGGTGAGACAAGTGGTGAGATTGGAAAGGACACCGATTCTCTTCCCGTTCCTATGGGATGACCTATTCTGGCCAGGCCGATTTGATCTGCGAGGGGCAAGCCGGCCCAGAATAGAGCGTTCACGCAGTTAGACAAGACCAAACCACGGTGACAACAGAGAGAGGGGGATGCATTCAAGGAGAACGTTCAGAGAGATGTGATGAGCTTGGACGAAAGCTCAAGCAACCAAGTGGTTGGTCTGTTGTCCTACCAACGAGAATGTGCAAAGAAGCACGAGGGGGAGCGGTTGAGCAGGAGCTCCTGGGAGCCTTGCTCGTTCCCGCGTCTTGTGGATGGATTGTGGACGCCCAGAGTGAGGCGCGACCCGCCTTCTCGTCTCCTGGAATGCACAATCTCAACAGTCGGCAAGCGCCATGAATGGAATAGCATCGGTCAACCTTTTGACCATATTCCTGCTGTCAACGAATGCTCTTCACCACCTGAGCGCCCCCATCCTACACCACTGAAAGCAGCAGCACGACGATACTTGCTCGTGGCCCGCCTTCTCACTGAGGCATACACTCGTTTGACCCTGAAAGCCTTGCAGCCTCCCTTGACACGATCCACTAGGTCGAGATGCGACTCAACACCAAAGCGATTGTGGGATTTGCTGCGCTCTCCCTAGCTGTCGCAGAGCACCACCACCACCACCATCATCGCAGGGGCAACGACCATGCTCACGCCAACAACCTCGCCACCAGTTCTCTGAATCTAACGGGTAAGACGGTCACAATCACGGACAACACACGCACGTCGCCGACCTCGCTTCCTGAGATTGTTGTCTTTGTCGACAAGAATGGTACGCCTATCGCCACTGCCGAGGCTATCGTCGTCCTCGTCCCGCCTAATAATACGGCGTCGGCGGCGGGCCTAGCAGCCCATCAGCCTTCTGGCACCCGCACTGTGTCTGGCCTACCAGCAGCTCCCACAGGTCCCGGCTCGCCCGTCAATAATGCCACGGGCTCTGGTCTCTTTGGAGTCGCGTATGCTCCCTACAATGCGGATGGCAGTTGCAAGACAGCCAGCCAGATCATGAAGGACTTCGGCGTCATCGGCCAGACCTACGGATTCGTGCGTGTGTATGGTGTCGACTGCAACCAGATCCCCAACGTCTATGCCGCTGCCAAGAGCAATAATCTCAAGGTCTTCTTTGGCATCTTCAGCCTCGACAACCTGGGCGACCAGATCGCCACGCTCGTGCAGGGCATCCAGAAGGACTGGTCCATCGTCGACACCGTCAGTATCGGCAACGAGCTGGTCAACAACGGCCAGGCCACGCCGCAGCAGATCATCAACGCCCTCAAGAGCGGCAAGGCGCTGCTCCAGCAGTCGGGCTGGACCGGCCCCGTGGTGACGGTAGACACGTTTATGGCCGTGCTCGCCCACCCGGAGCTGTGTCAGGCCAGCGACTACTGCGCGGTCAACATCCACCCGTTCTTCGACCCCAACACGGCGCCCGGGCAGGCGGGCGTGTTCGTGGCCAACCAGGTGCAGAACATCCGCAACAAGCTCGGCAACCCGTCGGCGCGCGTGCGCGTCACCGAGTCGGGCTGGCCCTGGCAGGGGTCGGCCAACGGCCAGGCGGTGCCGGGCGTCGACCAGCAGGCGGCTGCCCTGAGCAGCATCCGCGCGGCGTTCAGCAACAACCCGCACGACATGGTGCTGTTCTCGGCGTTCAACGACATGTGGAAGGCGGCTGCCCCGCCGACGTTCTATGCGGAGCAGTACTGGGGGATAGGAACCGCCAATGCTCCTTCGGCATGAGCTGTGGTGGTGGCTAGCTGGTGGTGTTTAGCTGTTGTTGGATGGGCCTGGCAGATGAGTAGGAGCGGGTCACATTGGTCGTCACATTGCGAGGTCTATGAGATGGTGGGACCGCTCTGCTCCTCTCTTAGATCCTTGGGCTGGTGCTACTTTTTGACTCTTCACTGCCTCTTCCCGGTTCTGTGTCATCGACTTCTAAGTGTTCATATAGGGCTAGATGGGCGAGGAGCTTTATTTCTTTCTTTTCTCTTCCTGCTTTTTTGGGATGCATGTATTCAAGTGTGGGCCTGGGCTGAGGGGTCAGGTTTGGAGGTTTTGCTTGATGCTTGCCTGTTCTTCACCTGATATGTGGCACACGTCGGCAGCTTGAGGAGTGCCGTTTGAGGGGACATTACGACGCTTTAATCCTGAATATGATTTCTTCTTGCTCGCAGAACGTGTTCGCCATCCAATCTTGCAGTAAACGAGAGCGCCGTAGTCTGACTGACAGCAACGCTTTGGTCCCCATGAGATCCACCCCGCCTCTGGGCTTGGCTGGGCACAAATGTGGGCAGCGCAGTGTTGAAGCGGCGGCAACAACCCCAGGCCAAGAGTCGATCAAGCGACGGCCAAGACGATCCACGATCCTGTGAAGCTTGGTCGGGAATGGCTGCAGGACCAAGATCTGACCTAGACGGGAAAGGCTGGCACGTCCAGGGCCTTGCCGAACTGGGGTACAAGATGTATCGTGGCAAGACGACCTGCCTTCTCTGTATGTTTTGGCTTCTGAGCACACCATGCTTTCACCACCGGTGGCAGATAAGGTGGCCCCTCCTCAGGACCCTCGTCGGCATGGTGTTGGCAGCTCAGTGCAGATAAGTAGCCGGGGTTCAGTTTAGTCAGGCCCACCCATGTCCTCTGCCATCGTGCTCTTTGCTATCAAGGATCACGACATGGGGGTTTCTCGTCGTCGTCACCTTGCTATTTCCAGACAAGGTTCACTCATTGTCGTCGAGCTTGTTACAACGCTGTCCGAACAGTGCCGCCGGACGGATGGTTAGCCCTTATCTCTGTCCCCAGGGCCCCATTGAGCTTGCGTTGCAATCAACTTCCCGCTCATTGGTCACGCGTGGTGCCAGATACGACCTCAATCTCGAATGTCGGATTGAGGACACACCAGCACCGCAGACTTGATCGCCATGAGGGCTTGACTTGGCCACGATCATTACAATCTCGTCGGCTGTGGCTCCGCTTCAGGCGGTGTGAGCAAATGCGCGTCACGGATTGTGATCCCTCCATCGCCTCGGGCATGGCTTCATCTTCCACGAGGGGATCGCCAGAACCCTCAACGTAGCCTCCCCGTGTGTCGAGGACGACGAATGCGACCGTATCGAGTCTACCCAGGGTGCCGCCCTTGCAGTCGGCCCCACAAGCCCCATGTTGGACCGCCGTCCTCGTCTGAATGGCTTCCAGAAGCTTTGCGCCCCGTCCTTCTGTGCGTCGCCAAGGTTCAACCTTGTTCCACACTGTCCCTGTCGTCCGTTGGACGACTCGAGAACTCGTGGCCACGACCATGATAGCTGATAACGAAGATCAAGGGCTTCTAAAATGTATTCCGTCAACCACTTTCGGGCTCAAGAAGCGATCTCGTTTGCCCCCTAGCCTTGGCCCGCTCCTCCTCCTGCTGCAGAGATGCACGGATTGGGCATGCGGTGCCATCCAGCCGGTACCATAGACGCTGTAACCTTACGTTTGCCAACGGGCTGTTGGGCGTCATGATCCTTTCACTGCTCAAAGAGGAAGCTGCCGAAGGTCCTGAGGTTCTAGAATTGAGTGGCGGGAGATAACGAGCATATCGAACCACCGCGGTCTGTCCTCACCCCCAGATCGATGAACCCCTCCCTCCTCTGCCAGAGGGTGCGTCGCACGGAAGATGCCCCTGCCAGCTCCGGTAACGAGGTGGCAATCCGCCTCTCAATGGAACATTACCTCTGCGCATCATGCCGTTACTTTCTACCGGCAGCCCGGCCATTCGGTAGATATAAAGGCCGTCCAGGACCTGTTCTCCTCTTCTTCGTGCGACCTGCTCTATCCGAGGAGCATTAGCAGGCTTGTTGGCCAGGCGAGTTTCTATTCTCCCGGACTCGACATAATATCCCATCCAACATGGCCATCGTTCCTGAAGGTGGGCCGGACGGCATTGTGCCCTCCGAGATCACATCGCACAATGAGGCGTCAAGGGAGAAAACCACTCCATCACCGGGGCCCTATGATGAGAAGAATGCCGATATCGAAGTCGTGTCTACGGGTCCCGAATCTGATTACGATGATGCCGCCAAGATATATGTCCCCCAAGACAACGAAGAGTTCATCGATCCTCGTCTGAAGGACTGTACGTATTAGACTGGTCATTAGGGGACAAAACACCGTCCATACAGAGTCCTGGTCGGAAAATTAATTCACGTGGGGGAACGATTCATTAACTCTTGATTTAGACCCGGTCCCTCTGGTCGCGAAGACGGTTGACTTACACAATGATTTCAAGTGAGAAGGCCTTCTTCACTGCTTAGCATGTCTTCCTCGAGAAATGTCTGTCTAACATGACCATAGCGAGCCTATCCTTACCTTCCGTTTCTGGTTCCTATCTACCTTCTGGGTCGTTATTGGCTGTGCAATCTCTGCCATGTACTACTTCAAGCCGTATTACCAGACTCTGAGCTCCTACGCGGTCCAATTGCTGTCATGGGGCATGGGGGATGCGAGTAAGTGACCTTGGGATGAAGCCTCTTTCTTCCTCCCTTATCCTGCTGTATAATCTTCCTGTGATACAACATGCGCCAGACTTTGGATTTTTCCACTCCCGTTTTAAAAGCATACAATGCCTTTCAAGGAGGTGAGAGTAACAACTAACGATGTCACAGTGGCCAAGTACCTCCCGAAAAAGACCTATACTATTTTCGGGAAATCATTCAGTCTGAATCCAGCTCCCTGGAACGCGAAGGAACATGCTTTAATCGTTGTTGCATACTGGGGTTCTTGCTACGCTGCCTATGGTTGGTGATTGTGACTCCTAATTACTGGACACACAAAGATGGACTGACACTCTATCAGGTCTTGGTCCTTTATCCGCGCTGGAACTTTACTACGGCCGCAAAATCAATGCTGGATGGGGCATCTGTTTCTTGTTGACTTCCCAGATGATCGGTTATGCGTTTACGGGCATATATCGTGATATCCTGGTCCGTCCACCCAAGATCTATTATCCCGGTGGTAAGAGACGCTCTTCTCATCTTAGTCGACCCTTGAAACTCGTTGCTGATCCCGATTTAGTTCTCCCCAACGTTGCATTGTTCAACGCCATGCACAAGAATCCGTCCGTCACCAAGAAATCCCTAAAGTTTTTCGCCATTGTAGCCTGCGCTACCTTCTGCTACCAGTGGATTCCTGGCTTCATCTTCCCCCTCCTTTCATCCCTCCCATTGTTGTGCTACTTTGGCCACGGGCAATGGAAGGCGTACTTGATGGGATCAGGCTACTGTACGTACATATCTCACACCTGCAATCAGTACCCAGTGCAAAGCAAGTATCCCATTTGGCTCTGTAATCGATAGTTGACATAAAGCAGATGGCTTCGGAATGCTCGACTTCACACTGGATTGGAATTACGCGAGCTTTCTCTCCCCCTTGTACACGCCACTGTGGGCCAATGCGCATCAGATAGCTGGAGCCATCTTCTGCTGCTGGCTTCTGTACCCGATCATGTACTTCACCAACACGATCAACTCGCAGAATTACCCACCAATGTCGTCCGGTACCTTCGATCTCACCGGGCAGACTTATAACATCACTCGCATACTCACGCCTGAGTATACCCTGAACCAGACGGCAATGGACGCCTACTCTCCTCCTCGCTGGTCCACATCATACGCCATGTACTTCTTCTTTGGATTCGCCGCTTCCACGGCCGCCTTGGCCTACTCGATCCTCTGGTATGGTAAGGACTCATACATTGCATTCCGCGATGCGCTCAAGAACGTTCGAGACGACTACAACGATCCATACCTGAAGCTCATGAGCCGTACCGAAAGGGTTCCTCACTGGTGGTACATCGCGCTCTTGGTTCCTTGCTTGGCCTTGTCTCTCGGCTGCATCTACGGCGCGGAAATGGGTCTGCCGTGGTGGGGATTCATCGTCATCACGCTTGTTTCGGTAATTTGCACTTTCCCGAATGGTATCCTCTGGGGTGTCGCCAATGTGCAGGTTGGGATGGCCTTTCTTTCAGAGCTCATGGCCGGTGCAATGTTCCCCGGGAACCCGACGGCCGTCCTTACATGCATGACCTACGGCCGACAGATTCTGGAGCAGAACCTCAATCTGACATCGGATTACAAGTTTGGTTTCTACATGAAGATCCCAGAGAAGGAAATGTTCTGGGGCCAAGTCTACGGAACTTTGTTGGGTCCGTTCGTCAATTACGGCATCATGCGTCTGGTTATAGATCACAGTAAGTAAACATCTTTTTATTCCCGGAGTTGAATCAGCCTCTGACAAAGTTCTAGTTGGCAAGGATACCCTGATTGGAAAGATGGACTCGAACGCGTGGCTTGCTCTGAAGACAAAGAGTTACTATTCTCTCTCTGTGCTTTGGGGTGTCCTGGGCCCCAAGGTGCTCTTCAGCAAAGGCTCCCCCTACAGCTGGATTTACTACTCCTTCCTTATCGGTCCCGCCCTGGTAGCCATCACCTACGTTGTCCACAAGTACAAGCCAGGCTGGAACATCGAGACGCGTTGCAACATGACGATGATTCTCTATGGCGGGACCATCTTCCCTGTCTACGAGACGACGAACCTCATGACATCTGCTATACTGTCTCTGGTATTCATGGGATACATACTTCGAGTACACCCTGTCTGGTTCCGAAAGTACAACTATTTATTGGGCACTGGTCTCGACTGTGGGACCCAGGTTTGTGCCACAATCATCATGTTCGCTATCAACTTGCCTGGTGCCACAATGCCAGGTTGGTGGGGCAATAATGTGAGTTTAAGAACCCCGACGGTGCGCGTGTGAGCTTTAGCTGACTTGATGAATTTCAAAGGCCGACTACACCGATCTTTGCTACCCACCATCCACCCTGCCGCCAAATGCACTGAACTGATTATTTCATAAGAAGCCGTGGCTTAAGTCATTTCGGGGGAAACAGCCTCTAGAATCGTTGAATTTAGACAATATAACTGCGTTCAAGCGCAAGGCATGCCGTGAGGACTTTGTGGGTAAGAGGCGGGCACCACAGCGGCCCATTGCAGCATCGGTGCCAATATAACTTTGATCTGAATATAACTGTTTCGAGCACCGTGCGACCCTGTGACTTTGTTGAATTGCCTCGTTCAAAATGTTGGTTGCACCTCAGCACGAACCGTAAGCACTACCTTAGACTTTGTACACCCTCGCTCCTGCAGATGAGTCTCCTTGCGTATTACATCTGGGCATTGAAAGCAAACGACCGATCCAGGCCCGGAGGAAACGCTGATATGCGGCAGCTCGCACTTCCAATTGGCCATCTTGTACATCCAGGTCTCATGGGCTAGCAGATGTGATGACGAGAACTGCAGGGGATGCGTCTCAGTGAGATTTGTAGTTTCAACCCCGCGTCCCGACTTCTACCGCCCTCGGTAGTTAGTTCCTCTGCTCATCCGACCTCGACTCACATTGCGCTTGATTGTTGACAAAAGAGCCACAGAAACTTGTCACCTCAAGATGGCCACTGAGACTGTTGAACGATTCAATCCCGACAAGGAGTTCCCGATCATCTCTTATGGGCTCCCTTATCAGGAGGCTTGCGCAAAGCACCTAACCACGACCCTCAGCAGCCTGAAGCCATTTCTGGTCATATCTGAGTCGCTCAGCAAGACAACAGATGTTGTCGAGAAGCTCAGCTCGGCTCTGAATAGTGATGATGTAAAGGTCGTTGGCACTCACATCGGCATGCGGCCGCACACCTACTACTCCGATGTCCTCCAAGTCATGCACGAGGTGAAGGAGGCGGGGGCAGACTCGATTGTGACCGTTGGTGGTGGAAGTCTCGTCGATGGAGCCAAGGCTATCTCGCATGTAAGTCACCCGTCGGCCCCAGTGTTCCCTGGTCTCATCATGTCTAGGCTCTGGCGAACAACGTCAACGACATCGATGGGCTGGATCTCCTTTTCCGGACCAGCCTTGCCTTGAGATTCAACAGACCCATGCCCCCAGATGCTCCAGAGACTGTACACCCTTCCGTTATCCCTGTGGTCTCTATCACGACAACTCTGAGCGCCGGGGAGTTCAATCCACCGGGTGGCGCTACCAACGATGCCACGCATCACAAGATAATTTTCCAAAATCCGGCAGGAATCGGCATCTCTGTCATCATCATGTATGTATTTTGATAGGAAACCCCTTGTAAAGAACTCTGGACGTACCAGAAAGAGGTTTCCAAGATGATGAAACCTTCCTGTCCTAGTATGATTCGTAAAAGCAGTACCACTCACTAACAAAACGCTCCAGGGACTCAGCTCTTACGCAAACAACGCCGCAGAAGGTCTGGCTTTCCACTGGCCTGAGGGCGGTGGACCATTGCGTGGAGACAATCTGCAGCTCGAACCCCAACCCGGAGGGCACAAAACACTCGCTCCGTGGTCTCAAGCTGCTGATCCCTGGGCTGTTGAGGACAAAGCAGGAGCCGGGTGACAACGAGGCTCGGTTGAGGTGTCAGCTAGGTGCCGCAGAGAGCATGAGGGCCGCAAATCTGTACGGGGTCAAAGTTGGTACGTAACAATGTTTCCTGCTCACATCTGGCCCATGATTGTCGGGCTCCACTTGGTCGCTCTGAAGAAGTGCGCTGATGAAAATCAGGCGGGTCACACGGTATCGGCCATCAACTCGGTCCCATGGGGGTCCCACACGCCGAAACGACGTGCGTATGCCTCCCTGCTGTGCAAAAGTTCAACGCAAAGGTCAACGCACAGCAGCAGGCCATCGTGCTGGATGCATTCTGGGCCGACCCGGATGTTGCAGCAACACTCACCAAGCACTCACTTGTCAAGGAGAAGGCAGACCTGGGCGATGCTTTGGACGCGTTGATTCGTGAGCTGGGCTTCCCGAGGACTCTGGCAGAGTACGGGGTCGGGAGAGACAAGCTCGAGGCTATCGCAGAAAGCAGCATCAAGGACCATTGTTGCCTGACCAACGCGATCCCCTTGGAGAGCAAGGAGCAGGTGCTGGAGATTCTGGAGATGTGTTTGGGAGATCAGTAAAATGTTGTCTACCGCAAAAATCTCCCCCAACCCCAATTTATAAGACGAGCCTTGTGGCTCTTTTTGGGACTTTCCGATGGCAGAAGTATCCCAAATGAGCGTCATAGCCATATCTCTGGCAGCCGTCTCGGTGAAGTCCGTGCTGCTGTTGACCCAGCTTGCTGATGAGTATGCCTCGGGGCAATGCTCGTGGAACATACAATATTCCTGGATGGGGTTTTCTGATGCCCCGATACAGCCCCATCGGCCTTCGGCACCATCCCGATATTCTTGACGGCCCAGTCCGCCCGGAGCTGTGCGTGGGGGGTGATGGTTGAGAGTGGTTGTGATAGTTCAGATCTGAGAAGTCAGCTTCTTGCGCGTCTATGGTCAGCACTGCCTAGCGAGGTCGCATTTCTCATTTGGGTTGTCCTTTCTTGGGTCGCGAACCGCGTGCTGTCGCGTTCTCATATCCGGTGGGTGTTATTGGTACTTTTTCTTGTTTTTCCTCTTTTCTTTTGGTGGGGGGCAGGGGGGGTTTGATGCTATCCAAGTGCGGTGTTCCTCTTCCTAGGTTGAAGAGATTGAAGAGATTTGCCACCATCTGATGGCCTACCCAATGCACTGGTGCCTGTCAACCTTCTCAAGCAGATTATTGATCTCCAGTCTTCGGCACAGGGTACGACTTTGCGAGATGACCTTGTCATAGATGTTGTGTGAGGTATCACCCGAGGCAAGAGAGTACCATGGCTGAAACTTCAACAGTTGCTTATGGTGGTGTGTGAAGGCGTAAAATTGCAAACAACTTGTGAAGCCCGAGCATAGAGAATTAATATCCGTGTGCCAGATTAGGAACTTGAACGCACGCCGCAGCAGCTGAACCAAGTTTTGAGCTGTCGAACGACGTACCATAACCCCCATGTCATCCCGTGGATGGCTTGTAGGGCTGAGACTAGTGAAGACCGTCAGAACAGGCGATGGATCCACTGCATATAAACTAATGCGTGATGGTTCTTGCGGGCCGCCCCTAAAAATTCAATCCTTGGCCGTCGTAGGGGCCAGCCACAAAACCCAACCAGCAGTTTTGAGGGCGCTGTTGGTCTTGTTTATGACGGTAAACTCCAGGCCTCGAGATCCTGCTCTCTTCGACGAAGATAATGTTACTATGTTCCTAGAGACAGAAAGTCGGATGGGTGGACCCAGCCGCACGGCGACATGGAATCCCCGGATTTCAGTTGCAGCAGAGAGCCGAACACAAACGTCAGCTGGGTCATGAGTAGACTTCCGGCAATGCACAGGCGAAAATCATCCCGCGGGGTGAAATGTGTCAGACAGCACTAACACGGCAAGCACAGGGGCAGAACAGGGCCAGGGAGACGTGTAAGATCTGTCCCATTGCACAACATCCCAGGCCACAATACTTGCCAACCAACATTTTATCGGTCTCCGCCGCTGTACTTCGCAGCGCAAAGTTTGATATCCTTGGCTCAAACTTCCCCGTATGGCTTGAATATTTGTACGGATTCTTAGGCAGACTGTTGGGAAAGACCGCATAGCAGTGCAGTTGCAACAAGATGGGTCACAGCTCGTGATCTGGAGAATATTACTGAAGAAATTGGCCGGAAATGAGAAAAAATAGATCATGATACAGGTTCAATATGGTGTACTTAGTGACTAGCCGCTGTCGTCATCCGCGGACATCCCCTATTTACCATCTGTGCAGCCCCCAGATCCAAAACGCTTCGGCTCATGCAATGCACCTGGAGCTGAATTAGATCGACGATGTTCTCCATTTCCGCCTTTCTGGCTACTGGCTCGATTCCAGAGACGCTGTGCAAGACTATCGTTGTTATCGGCACTATACATCCGTATTCGTTCTTCTTGAAGCCTCTGCAACTCTGCTGACGTCAAGGACGCTCGGCCTTGGGAGCTGAGAAATCATTAGACTGAGTTGACAATCGTTCTAGATAAGACATACCCGTCATTTGAACTAAAGTTGACGTCGAGCGAGGAGGATCGAGTATCAGACATGATGATCTGCTGCAGACTCATAAGCAAAATTCGTTTAGGAGTGTTGGTTTGTCACGATTTACAAGGCTCACTTCTTGAGGCAGTCAAGTTGAGTTTTATATCTGGAAGTCATTGCACTGATTATAACTGAAAGAACGCCTCAATCATCCTTCGTCGCATCCAAGTGCCTGCACGATGGCACTCAGCCTGGCCACAGGAGACGTATGCTTCTACTGCATCGTGATGCTGGAGTATGCGTTCTATTGACAGAACATCCGCGGTCCCAAGGCATCCTGATGATCTGAACCTCGGTTGTGCTCTGCGATCCTGAAAAAGTACAATGTATGCCCTGGTAAAGACCGTCAGGCACAGATTACACTAGCCCACAGCTTGTTAGGCAACTCAGATCCAACAGCCCTGCAGGACAAGATCGCATCCAAAAGAGTCAAAATCCGGTAAGGTGAGCCTGGTGCGGCCCTACCCGAGCCACAAGCTGTCGCCCGTTCCGCGCTGTGTCGTTCTAACATTAGCGCTCACGTACCGAGGCTAGCTGTCAAAAGGTCCAGCCTAACGGTGCTTGGCGTACAGGTTGGAAAAGCACAGGATTTCGAGGTGAACTTGTGGATAAAGCTCCAGGTCGGATGCTTGCAGGCGGCTTCGGTGTGTTAGACTCGTGTGACCCTTAGACGTTGATACTCTCGGCGCTGAGAGACCAGGGGTACCACCAAAGCCGAGGGTTCCCCGTAAATGCCTATCAGCTCAGGGTGATGGCGCCCGCCGGTGCACTGCGGTTCTATAGATACGGCGGCATGGCCGGGGCCGCCGCGAGCTGAGGGACTCATTCAAGTGCCATGCAGAAAGCAGGGTGAGTGCCGAAGATGGGAGCCTGCGCGGAAGCATCACTTATGCACACGCGGAGGACTGGTAGTTGCCCAAGTGTAAATTCAATACCGGAGCTCACCGATGAGATGGCTTGCATGTTAGGCCCGAGTCTCGAGCAGGTGCAGGAGAGATAATTGGTCGCCATTGCTGCAGCCGGCGCTTCATTGGAAAGACTCCGCCGGTGTCACCATCCAGCTTGCAAGCGACGTTTTCAAGGCTCAGCTCTAGTGCCCTGTGTGGCCCGGCAGTTGTTCACACCATTCAGGGATCTTGCTATGGTCTAGTACAACGACTCGGGCGGGCAGGCTGCAGCTGGGATTTTCACCACAGCCACATCGAAGACTGGGCTTGCAGTTCTATGTCCAATTCTGATTCTCTATATTGTTGCGGTTGTCACGTTGGCCAAAGGTCCTCGCGTGTGGAGATCATTCTCACGTCACTAGGAGACAAGAGACGTCGACAGGTACAGACTTGAGGACGGCCACATTCGTGTGATGACACAGGGTTGCGGTTAAAATCACAAAACTAACGGACGCCCTCCCCAATTTAAATGAAGATTTACAAGTAAGACTGTCAATCAGTTAGCATTCATGAAAAAAGGGGATGACGAAGTTGAGGAGTCTCCAGGTGCCTGTCGTACGTTTGACAACCACAGAACTCTTTGTGGTGTAACTTGTAGAACTATCTTGTATGTGGCCATCCTTCGATAGAGTATCTGACTTCAATCTTTTACACACGCTACATGTTATGCATTCTGTCCTCTATGTTCCATCTGCAGGAACTCGAGGTTGAGTGAGAAGACTGCGAGGTGGTGGTGCTTGGCGAACTTAGCCAATAGCATAACATGGATTCGCCCCACTTTGGCTTAGAATGACCGACGGTGGAGGGAACCTAAAGTTTCCTAGGCACCTAAGAGTATGCAGAAATGGAAGGCAAATTCAATTACCTGACCTTCAATCCACTGAAGTTTATATGGGGCTATCTGTTGGGAAGTTATCTCATGGGAGGTTGTCCCATAGAAAAATGACCCCTCCTGAAGAGTCACGCACCGGCCAAGTTGATCCCTGATGTTGGGGGCCGTGACGATCGACTGCATTGAAACATGATGATCTCGCCAGGTCACGGCCGCCCTGTCACAACTCGATGGAGAGACTTATTGTATCGGCGGGGACTTACAAAGCTGCACGATCTAAGACCAGAGATATTATCATGCCGGCTTTGTTCAATGTCCTATTTTGCTGTCTCTCTCTTTGTTGAATTGAGACTCATCGTCACAAGGCATTGTTCCTCACACCTTTGTTGACAATTTCTATTGCCCATTAGATTGCCGCATTTAAACGGCTGTGATTATAGGCCAAGCTCTAACTCACTCGTCTGAGAACCATACTCATAACGGCACAAGGACTCCTAAAACCACCCTGAACACTGTATAGAAAAAAGTCAGGGCAATCCTTTTCCCTCAAATTCAATCACGACCATGACTTCCTCCGCATGGGAGGCAATCAATACTGTTTTCAGCACCCTATTTAGCCTTCTTCAACGCAGAGATCTCAATCGCGTTGTCGGCCCGGCGCAGCGAAACCCACACCCGTTTGGAACTCGGGAGTGGAAAGACTTCGTAGATGCTCAAGCTACGTACCACGAAAGAATGGTACTTAGGATGGCTGATCTAGAAGCCCAGGTGAACCAGACCACCGAACTCGCAGAGGCGCTCCAGGAGATGGCTAATTGCCAAGCTTCCATGATCAAAGACCTGAGGCTGGAAAATGCTGCGCTCCGGAACGGGCCAGACATCGAAATCTTGGAGCGGATATATGAGAAAATGCACACGCCTGTTAAGAAACCCGCTCAGGAAGCTATAGCCAAGGCACAGCCTCCCGAGCAAGGCAGCTCGGAGCCTGGCAATGCCACGGTTAGTTCGGTTGCTGGATCCACCAACTTCGCAGCTAACAAGGCCAGTGAATCTAGCAACCGTGTCCCAGAGACTATCGTGTCGCCTGGGGCGAGGATCCCTGCGCGGCCACTGACCCTCGCTGAGGAGCTGGAGACACATCTCAGAGAGGAGTTCGAAGACGAATCTGAAGCGGTTGATCCGTGATTACTTGGATTGCCATCAAATTATAGAGCAGCCTTTGAAATTCCTGAGTTGCAAGAGCTTGAGATTGCTGATGCTTGTGAGATATTTCTTTTGTTCTGGGATTTTGATGGGAATAGCTTCGTAGTTTAGTCGTCGCAATAGTCGATTTACTTTGGTGTGGTATATAATACACAACCCATCCATTACAATATTCATGCTTGGTCATGGTCGTATCTTTTGGACTTCACGTGTGATTATGTTGTTCGTTCAGTTTGGTCAGAGCTGAAGACCATGCTTGCAATGCTACCAAACAAAGACATACATATATCTCAGCGCATCGAGTTGAGATGCCTGCATAATGGATCGGGGGTGGGGGGTTCGAACTCAATATAATATTGGAACGCTTTCTCTGCTGGGGGAGTGGAAGAGCACATCAAAGCTGCAACTGAGAATATATCTCCTCCCAAAAAGTGACTGAGCGGTATCAAAAACAGACCATATCATGTGAGACATAGATTTCGATCCCAATTTAGCTGGAGTCACTCGCATTGTGAGGTGAATAAAAGAAAGGAAGTAGTCACTGCTAGCCGGCGACAATATAAAACCCAAATTTCAGCCCAAGGTTCTTACCGTCTTGACCAAGACCACTTCCACCTGTGCTTTGCATCTAGACTTCGATTTTCTACCCACCCAACCAAGACTTTAAGCCATTGAACTCATAATTTCTCTATTCAAAAAGAGAGAACATGGCGAAATCAGTTTCAGACAAAGACATCCTAATTTGGCTCAGCGCCTTCGCAGGGGTTCAGTCAATCTGTATGGTCAGCCTGCTCTGCGCCATAGAATACATGAAAGACCACGACATTGACACGGGCAGCCTAACTTTCGACCTGGTGATCATGTCTTTATGTGGTGCCACATGTGTTCTGATAGCGATCATCTTGAGCCCATTTGCGTGGTACTATAAATTACGAAAGACTGAGAGCTCACCACACAGGGCGGAGATGCAGGACGTGTCATGAGATTATTAAAGTAGTAGTCTGTTTGATTCATAAGCGTTCGACAGGGTCAAATTGGTAACATAAAAATAGACCTGGATATCTCTTAAGCGGTACCGTGAAACAAATAGCCCTGTGCACCGGGATTAGAAGAACTTGGACTTCAACCCCCCCATTACAACGTTCCTCTTCTGCTTGCCAATGAACTTGTTCACATCATCAGCCCAGCCCTGACTATTATCGTTGAGGCTCTCCATGTTGTCCCCCATAATATTCAATTTTTCCGTCCTCTCGTTGATCTGCCGCTGTAAGTATTCACCCCAGCCTTCCTGACCTGCTGCCCCAGAGGAGACTGCGCCTGGGGCTCCCCTGGCCAGCCTTGCCTCTTGCTCCGCTGCCTCAATCATCCTCTTCGAGGCCGGCCTGTCAGGCCCACCGATCAGCAGATCGAGATCTGTGGGTGATACGTATTGCGTCCCAGAGAGCCATTGCACGTTGGAAATCGTTGGGCGCGGAGGTACCACGGCCTCGGGGTTGATGAGCTTGTCGTCATTGTTGAGCCCAGCCTTGCCAGTGCCAGTGCCCCACACAGGAATGATAACGAGCTCCGAGGGCCCGGCCCAGCCGATGACGTCTCCAGTCGCTGCGACGATGTTGCTTGTGCTTCGGGTGGGGTCAAGCATGGGGAGTGGGGCCTTGCTGATCTCTTTCAGACCTGGAAGAGAGAACGCGCGTGTGGTGCCATCGCCGAATGTCGCTACCAACGCGAAACCATGCAGCTCGAACTCGGTGACAGCGGCTGCGTCGCAGAGGATATCGTCGAAGGACTTCGAGGCGCCTTTGGAGCTGGCAGGTTTGAATATGCGTGCTTCAGTTTGAGTCGCTAGGGCATGTCAGTCAGTATCCGGTTCGAAGAGCAGTAGAGGAAAATCAGAAGGCTCACCGACTACCAGTACGCCGTTCACGTGCTGGCCGTTTCTAAGGCCACCCATAATCTCGGGAGTAGCTGCAGCTGGCTGGCCAGAGTCTGTTTTGATGGGGCAGATGGCAATAACTCTGTCGCCCAGATTGGCAACGCCGGCCAGCTTGGCTGAATAGCCGTTACCAGAGGGTAGCAGCTTGAATGTGGCCACTTTGCCCTGAGCGGTGCCCACAAAGCATGCGATGCTGGAGTAGTTGTCATCATCAAGTGTCATGATTCCGAATTCAATCACCACTGGGTAGTCCTTTGTCGCCGTGGCGCTCGAGTGCCCCCTGAGAAACGACGACCTCTTTTCTTTCTGTGCCAGCTCGCCCATGGATGCCTTGAAGATGACAGTCGGTCCACGCAGGTCGATGATGCTGATACCACCCCCCTCAGAACCTACCGCCACGAAACCAACATCCGAAACGCAGAGCGCGGTGATGGGCCCTTGCCCCGTCTCGTACAGGATAAAGGGCTGAAGTCCTTCCTTTAGCGACGGCTCAGTTCTCGAGCTGATGTCAACTAGACCACCGGGGTTGCTTTCGAGTTGCTTTGACTCGTCCTGGCCGAAGCTTCGGTTTCCACCCCATCGGTAGATCACAACGTCGCCGCTAGTCGTACCCGCTGCGAAGTCGCCGGTGTTTGGCGCCAAGTGCATAGCAGATACGTCGACGTTTTCAAATCGATCGAGAGCTCTGGAGAGATCGACCTGCAGCTGGGTCGGGTTTTCCATCTCATCGGCGTGGCCAAGATCCCACAGGCGGATTGTACTGTCGGCGTGAGCCACCAGGATTATGTTCCTGCCCTCATATCGCCTTCGCGGTTTTGGGGCCTCGGCGCCCCCCTTGAGCAGATCCTCTCCTTTGCTCCGCTTCTCCATCATCCCCAGCCACCGACCCCGATCCAAGGTCGAGACCACGATTTTGGTAACAAACGGATGGACAAAAGAGAGCGAAGGATGAAGCTGATTGGTTGGGCTGATTGGATATCCGGAAGGGAAACTCATGGTGATCAGCTCGCCCGACGACAGCGTAGCCAGTATTGCGATTGGATCTTGAGCTCCGGCAAAATGGGGTGAGGAGCGAGGCAGTAAACAATAGTTCGTCACTTCCGTCCCGGGCGGAATGGGTAGAAGATGTTGGCGTTTGGCCTTGAAATGATCCTCCAGTGCCTGCCAGGAAGAGGTAGCGTATACCGGGGTCTGGCCCAGCTCTAGGAATGTCAAACCCTTTTCCGGCTCGTCTGTTGCTTGTCCCCCAGCGATGAGGAGAGCAGTATCGTCCGGATTCTCTTTGCAGCACCACGAGATCTTGGTGAAGGGCTGGATAAGTCTTGGGGGTGGAGGGTTGGAAGCAACCTGGTCCACTCTCGTCTCGTACAAGGATCTTGCCATCACGACTCGGCCGTCTTTGGGATCCCAGAATACGAGACTCCCGTCATCGTGAGCTGTCAGGATGAAAGTGCCGGTGGGATGCCAGGTAGCATGTGTCAATCTCGGCCTCCGCACAGAGTCGAGATTCTCTGAGTTGCCGCCAGGAGCTCCTGCGGGTAGAACGTACTCGAAGAACTTGGTGGCCTGATTCTGTTTGAACGAGTATATGACAGCGCCGTGGGTGTAGGCTATCAGCAACTTGCCAATGTCGCGAGGGTGTAGCTGGATGGAGACGAGGTGGGCCATGGTGGCTTTGGGGTCTTTCTGTCGCCAGAAGTTGGGAGTCCGGAAGGGAGACAGCCTCTCACGGTCCAGGTCGTATGCAGCCACCTCGCCACTTGACTGGCCGACGAAAGCCCAATCCAACATGGGATCTGTCACCAGGCAGACGACGCCGCTGCCACAGGGACCGCCAGCGATCCTCTTGGCCGTGTCAAGATCCCATATTGTCAGCTCGCCCCTATTATTGAGGCTGACGAGCCGATTGGCACAGAAGTGGAGGCTTCGGATGGAGCCTGGCTTGGTGAGCTGGAAATATTTCTGTATCCTGCCCTGTCCAAAGACGTATATCTGGCCGTTGCCGAACTTGGACTCGTTGGTGCCGACGGCTAGGAGGGATTGGGTCGGATCGTATGCGAGGCAACTGTCCACGGCACAGTATAAGTCAGCCATCTGCCAGCTTGTCTCTTATGTTGCCTAGAATCACTTCCTCCTTCGACCTTGCCCGCTGGACCAAGGCTCCGAGCAGGATGGCGCGTGTGTCGCGTCGTGAGGTGAGGAGCTTACCTGATCTGTGAGTTGACACCAAAGCGCGCCTGTTCGTCTGGTTCGAAGAGGTGGGGGAGGATTGCAGCAGACAGGTCCTTCTGCATGCCTGCCTGCTTTCCACGGAGGAATGAAGCCATCGTGCCTGGAGGTTGGTCTGTCGGCGATGCAGTAGCCTTTGCAGTTGCGAGATGCAACTTGGAAGTTCACGGCAGCATAGGAAACTTGGAAGATGGATTGCGATTTACTGTCCTTCGTTTGGTGGGGAACAGGTGGGCTCTTGATTTACACAATAGAGGGGTCTCTGGAGCTCAGCCTCAGAGCCCCCTGACCACCGCTACGTCAGTCCTGTCAGATGGAACGATGCGGGCGCAGGGGTCCCCGGACTGTCAGACCGTCACGGCCCCAGACATTGATTGGATTGATTGTCGATTGTTTCTCCTCTACCCTCGGATGCCACGGCTACATACATACCAAGTTGGCCTGATATATTCTATACCAGGGAGGCGGCTGCTGCCGTGTGTATTGTTGAAAGGACAACAACGACCCAGCTCTCCAATGACCACACTAAACACACAAGGACACCAGACCACTATCTGCCAGACGAAGGGCTCGCCCTGCCCTTCTCACCATCCAATTCAGAATCAATAACACTGACAGCAGTATCATCCTCTCCTGCCAGCTCCTCAAGCGTCTTCCTCGCCGACTCGGGCACTAACCACGACGTGCAGAAGCCCAGCGCCATGAAAGCGGCAAAAATCTGCATGATGTGGGCAATCCAAGGAGCAGCCCACCGCGGGTCGGTCTTGGCCTTGGCAGCATCCGCCCCGATGCTCCTGAGAGGCCCAAAGACCACCTGTGCGATGATGGCGCCCATTTTTCCAGAGGCTGCCGAGATTCCGTGGGATGTCGAGCGGTACCGTGTCGGGAACACCTCGCCCGGAATGATGAAGGTCGTCGAGTTGGGCCCGGCGTTGAAGAAGAATTGGCTCAGCGTGAACAGCACCATGAATGCTAAGCCCGACAAATTCCAGAACCCGAATCCGATGATACAGAACAGCACCGTCAGCATGAAGAAACCAAACAGCTGGATTGGCTTGCGCCCGACCGTGTCGATCAACGCAGCAGATACCCAGTAGCCCGGTACGGCGCCAGCCAGCACCAGAATCAGGTTGCCAATGGCTGTCCGGTGGTAGATTTGGTAGACGTTGCTGCCGCCGCTGAAGCCGATTGTGTTCAGGATGATTGCGTTGTTGAGTCCGAGACCATAAAAGGCGATATCCTGCATTACATTTCAGCACTAGGTCTGCAGCGCGGTCGTCGGGAGAGAGGATATTGCTAGCATCAACGACAAGGTAAGACTTACCAGGAAAAACCACGACAGTGCACAGCCAAGCAAGACCTTCAGATGCTGCCACTTGCGGTAATGTGCGGCAAAGTCGGACCACGATGCCCTGGGCACATCTAGTTCCACCTTCGCCGACTGCTTGGCCTGGGCCCTCGCAAATTCATCAACCTCACCTTCACCCCATTTGCCCTGCCGATATGTCTTAACGTCCTCTACAGCCTTCTGGACATCCCGGTCAACGTCAAAGGTGTATCGAGGTGTCTCGGGGATCGTGAGGCGGAAGTAAAGTGCGAAGCAGCCAGGCACTGCTCCGAAGCTGCTCGAAAGCTCATGTCAGCAGTATTCACGCATCCGTCTCTCAGCTTGTGTCGAGCCTTTAGCACCTGCGACTGCCCCAAAAAATGTATGCTTTGGCCTGACACGATTCCGGGCCCTTGCCAGCAGTCTCCAGCGCAGAGTCTTGTGAGTGTTTCTGGGAGCCATGCACCAAGGGAATCTTACCCAACGATGACGCGCCACATCTTGTCCACGGCACTTGCGCAAGCCCCGTTCGTAGAGCAGTCGGTCAATGTCTCTGACACCTCAAGGGAGCCTCTGAAGCCTTGGGTGACGGCTAGAAGAACAATCCCGGCCGCCAGCTGACCAAAGCCCTGCATGGCAAAGACGGCGTTCATCATGAATCCGCGCCAACGTGTAGTCGCGAATTCGGATGTTATGATCGCCGAGAGTGGGTAATCGCCACCAATACCGATTCCCATTAGTACTCTCCAGAACACGATCAGCCCGACAATCGACATGGCAGGCGAGCTTGACGACAGACTCTGGGCGAGGGTAGAGAAGATGATGATCATAAGCTCCAGGCCGTACATCTTCTTTCTGCCCACGATGTCGGCAAGTATACCAAAACCCACCTGGCCAGCAACCGTTCCAGCGGACGTGGCGACCTTGATGGCCGTATCGTCGGCATCTGGTATCTTGCCTCCGAAATAGACCACTCCGAGAAGGGAGGTGACCAAGCCTATAGCGAAAATATCGTACGAATCTGTGAAGAAGCCAATCTGTATATGATACTGGTCAGCTGCTCGATCTTTTTGCCCAGGATTCCATGGTTGAAAAGATGATAATAATCATTATCACCACTTACTCCTGCTACGGCGATGGCCCGAACATGGTACCAGCCAAAGGGGGCTTTGTCAATCTCCGCTAGGGCCAGCCTACGTCGCTCGTTCGCATTGGAAATATGGGCAAAATCGTTGTTGAAGTTGTGGAACGCTAGGTTACCGCCGGAAGTCATGTTCTGCTTGATCGCCGTGACGTTGGTGTACACACCAGCCTGCTCTCCTTCCTTGGGTGAAGACATTTTGATGACAGTGAAGCAAGTAATGAAGGACGGACGAACCCTGAGATCTGCGTCCCAAGGCAGGTGCAAGGAAAGAGTGGACGTTCTTGAGATTGATCACCACAGGAACCAGTCTTCGGCTGAAGCTTGACTTATACTCCGGCTCTTGAGATGCCCCTGTGGGTTTCAGTAGCTTTCATACCATCCCAGGAGACCAGGAACCCGGTTCTGAGTATGCAGCCATCGCTTAGGATGTTTTCCGTGGATCACTACCTCTGCGGGTTCGTTGCGAGGTACTGAGCTGGAGGACATGCGATCCCTAGACGCATCCCGAGTTTTAGGTTTACTCGAATCGCAAGCCAGACAGCGGAAAGTGGACGTAGGCATAACGTTCTAGATCGGGATGATCACAACTCTGATACTTCCGATGTGATTGGAGACCGTTGAAAGCTTAGTAGACGACAAGAGCTTATCTCTAGCCTCGCCGGGGCAAACTCCTATGCCAGGGGCAGGATCGCAGGGCCATCACCGAATCGGCTTGGGATATGAGAGTCTGGCATGGATTGAAGCCTCTCTTTGGTCACCTTTGTTGGCGCTTTCGCCGGGGTTTACGGTTTCAAACCCGAGCCTATTTCCTCTTACACCTGCATGACATATCCGCGTCGACCTCGGGTTTGGGTCTCAGGTCTCTTCCACGAGTCAAATCGCACATCACAGTTTCCGAGAGCCGGGTCACCCGTAATCTTCGCATGGAGCACGCAGTCCAGGATCAGCAAAGCATATTGGACAAATCCCCCAGAGCCATACTTCCTCGCACTCCAAGTCCTTTTGCGACCGTTAATTCCATTTAGTTAAATTACCCCAAGTTGCAGTTCCAGAGCCAGCCGGTCTCCTTCAAACGAACAGGGTCAAGGCAGCCCGGTAGCCCGATTCTGCTCTTCAAGCTGGACCAATGATGTTGGGCAGAGCCAGTGCCAGATAAGCACAGCGATCAAGGCAGCGAGACATACACGACGTTGGACAATGGCGCCTGGTGTTGTGGACGGGACGAGTCAGCGGGTAAAGCGAAGCAAGCCCCACACGAGGTCAAAGAAGGTGGTTGGCGATGCACCTGCTGAAATGTGTTATTGGGGAAGTGCAATAGGAAACCTGGAGTTCTCCATCTCGGTCGCCTGTTCTGGAGTGGGTGCGGCCCTCTCTTCTGAACCCTGGAGCTGGAGCAAGGAACGGACCGAGGCAGGGTTTCCTGGTGGGCAGTGGGTGCTAGTGCCAGCCAACAACCAGCGTCACCATGAGGTGGCTCCAATTAGCGCAGGGGCTCAGCTGACTTCAACGCCCTCTATCTCTTCATCAACCTTGAGCCTCTGCGTTGTATCGCCGTGTTTCAAGGACTCGATGGACCAAAGTGAGGCCGCGGGAAGCGCACCCAGGATCTGTGGATACGCTGTGTCCTGCCAGCCCCGGCACAATGGCAACAAGCACATCCACGCCCAGCGCGGCGACATCGCTGGGTGATGGAAGCAAGGGCCCCGGCACACATGACTGGAGCCGACACAGGCCGACCATCAAACGTCTGTACATCGATGAGAGAAAACCACTCAAAGAAGTTATGGAAATTATGGCCAGGGATCATGGCTTCATGGCTTCGTGAGTAACGCCTGTGTGCCGGGTTACTCCATTATAACGCTGATGTGCCCCCAGTCTGAAGATGTTCAAGGTCAGGATCAAACAATGGGGGTACTCAAAGAATATCAGGACTACGAATGAGGACATCGGGACGCTTGTGGACTTGAACAGTGAAAGACAACGCCCTGTTGTACTAGCAACGGGACGCGTAGTGGACCCGAAACGCCTCGCGCAGCATCTCCGACGCAAGAGAGAGAATGCGCTACAACTTGCTCCTGGGGCGAGATCGCTGGCAAGATGGTCTCCTTCACCACAACCGCCGTCGATCAGGCCCCCCGATGTCTTTTACATTTCCGAAGCCGTTCTGACCCACACGCGCGGCTACATGAACGGCCAAACGATTGACGTGGAATCCGTCCTAGGCCGCAACGTTCACCCAGAATCCAGACAAATAACCGATTCTATGCATCTCCTGAGGGGCCTTATTCGAGGAGACAAGATGGACGAGGCGGTGGTCTTTCTGAGGCAGGTTCCAGGCCAGATACGTGCCCTGCTCCGTCACGAGCCTCCCCAAATTCTCAACAGGATCTTCACAATGATTGTGCATCTCTTGAGCGTTCCCGAACAACAACAGCAGGTTGGGCGAATCATCAAGGCGCTGGTGAACTACACTGCAGCGGCTTCTACTGAGCCAGAAATGGTATGTGAACGTCCTCTACACACTAGTGTTCAGAAGTAATAACTGGCCATTGACTAAAGTTCTCAGGGCTGGGCTGAACACCACCCTGTTCGCAAGCTCCTCCAAAGCTTAGCCGCCTTAAACGACCAAGATGCTTTTGCGCTGAATGACCTAGCCGTGCGAGCGTGGAGATGTTTGTTAGAAACAACGGACGCCGCACTGGGCACACCAGAATGCGCCGCGAACTTCCCTAGATGGCTGGATATGGGCGAGTCGGCAGGTTATGACGCCCTGCCAGGGACATACCTCGCCGAGAGACAATGGGGCATTTGCCGGCAAAAAGAAATCGAGTTCGGCGAGGGTTCAGTCGAAGCTGCTGCCGAGCTGTTCTACCTAACTGAATTGGAGCGACAAAGGGCCGAGGCTCGCGGCGACTCCAAAGACCATTTGAAGTATCTCCTGGAACTAACACTGCAACGCATACCGGAGGGCAAGTGCCTGATAGCAAAGCTGAACTGCGAAGTATACATGGCTGAAATCGCCAAAGAGGAGGGCGACAGGAAGCTCGCTGAAGACTATTTACGTGCTGCCATTGACACGAGAATCAAAAGAGGCGGGGCGAGGGAACTTCTCTTCCACGAGCTCACCAAGCTCGAGGCTTGGTTTATAGAGTGGGGGGAGGACGCAAAGGTTGCTGAGTTGCATCCATGGTATGCTGATATTCCCACCGATCGCTTGACTGAATCAGCTCGGATCTCGACTGAGATGTGGTGAAGCTGTCAAAGCTCTTCAAGCCATGAGATGCTAACTCTCTGATTTATAGGAAGGAAAGCGTACGTGCTAGCTTGAACGAGACCCCCACGGGATGATATTGGCCAAAGCCAGACTTTTTTGGGAAGACTACTTCCTGCTATGTTATACGAAAGAGGCATTTGGTTTCGGAGATATTGATATTCAAAAGATGGAAACTGAGAACCCAAAGCAGGGAACTGGACATAGTTGATGTTTAATCAAGATAAATTCGCAGGCTAAAATATCTGCGGATGAAACGAAAAGACCTAGGTCAAATGCAGCACTTATAAGCGTGAAATTCCGGCCCGACCGGACGAGGTGGCTGGTCCTCTAGGCTCTCCTACCCGGCAACCCTATGCTGTCATTCGCATACTTCAGCACCCACTCCCCCAGCTCCACCACATCATAATCCTCCTCAACATCAATATGACCGTTCAATCTTAACGCCTTCACCCTGAAGCTGTACGAGCCCTCAACCAAGAACGTACTATTGCCCTCGCTGCCGTCCCAAAAATAATTTCCTCCGGGGTACCAGGGACTCGTGGTACCGTTGATACCCAGGGCGCCGCCAGCCACGATCTCTGGGACGACGACCTTCTTATCCGCTGACCGGATGAGATCGACGACCCAGCGATACGGCTGCAGCATGAAAGTCAACACAAAGGCCGGGAAGTAGTTGTCGGCCTCAAAGGAACACGGCGAGTCAGACGACACGTTGTATGAGCACACGAATACGCGGCCGGAGTCGATGGGCTCAGCGCCAGTGTCATTGACTGCTGCGAGGTACGTCGATTTCTCGGCCAGGTTGATGGCGGGCAGGTCGACGAGCGGCGAGCCAAAGCCGGTGTATGGCAGTGAAAGTGCAGGTGCATCGGGGCTTGTCGTGTTAAAAGCGATGTATCCGCCGAAGTAGGAGCCTCGCGTCTTGACTTCGGGGAGATCTGGCTCACTCGTGATGGAGACGGACACGATGGTCGAGGCGCCGGGCGCGAGCGTGAGGCTTTTTGGTGTGATGTCTACTCCGGCAAAAACTGGCACTACTTCGCCAGCCTCGGGGTCTGACCCGGTAGACTTGTACTTGTCCGTTGCGTTGAGGATGTAACCTGACGCGGCACCGATGTGGTTGAACTCGTACTCCACGGAATCCGCTCCGGTGTTGGTGATCTCGAAGCTCAGTGAGGCCGGCCTGTTCGTGGTGTCGTTGAAGCTGAGACTCGACACATTCACCAGCGTTGCGGTGTGTGCCGCTGCCCACGCATCCACGAGCCCTCCACCTTGAGCAAAGACCGGCGCCAAGTAGTCATAGTCCTTTGGTGTCTTCCTGGACGGCGCGCTGCGATGCCGTACCGGCTTCGCCGTCAACGCCATGGCAGCCTGGATCTGGGCCGGCTTCAGGTCCGGACGTGTCTGCTTGACCAGAGCTGCCACTCCCGCAGCGAAAGGGGTCGCCATGCTAGTCCCGCCGATGACCCCGAAACCGCCCAGGTAGTCTGGGAATGAGGACAGGATGTTGCCGCCGGGAGCGATGAAGGTAGGGAGACTGCGGCTGTCCATGGAAGGGCCCCAGCTTGAGAAGTCACTGACGAGATTTCCAGTGAGGCTGTTGGACAAGACTGACAGTTCTTCATCCGAGGATGCCGTGTCTGAGGGGACGATAATTTTCACATCGCCTTCTTTGAGCTGAGATATAAAGTTCTGAGCATCTTGGTACGACACCAGAGCGACACCGGATACATTGTTGGCGGCATTTGCCTCTATGAATGGAAGGCCGTATAGTGTCACATCAACATCTTTGGGTGAGTAGTATAAGATGTATGGAATACCAAGCTTCGCAGTGAGTCTATCACCACCAAGCGTCCAGCAGTGGCGGTAGTCGATCAGCATAATAGTCCGGCTGGGGTCTGCGGGTGGCGTAAAATTGTCCGGAACAGAGTTGCAGTCTTCGTCAGGCAGGTCCTCAGCAACGGCGGGAAGCCACAGCGAGAGCCCATCTTGGGCCTCTCCCGAGAAATCGAACGGCAGTCCGGGCACCAAGCCGACCGAGCCCGAGCTGCCAGTAGCATTCCACGCCGCCTGCCAGGTATACACGGGCGTCTCGGGGTTTTCTGCAGACCCGACAGCTGAGATACTTCGTGCGCCCCCTGGAGACCCAGCGGTAAAGATGCCGGGGCCATCGTTGCTCGCCGGAAGGGAGACGAAGATGCCGCTCTCCATGATCCGGGTCGCGACCAGAGACCATGCCTCGTTAGGCCAGTCCAGGCCCCCGCCGTACGAGCAGGTGATGACGTCCACGCCCCTGTCCGCAGCCTCCACAAAGGCACTGATCAGGACATCGATGTCAGCGCCAGATGTGTTGCACGCCTGGATCCTATACAGCTCGAAGGTTGCGCCCGGTGCGACTCCCAACACCCCGTATTTCCTGTCCGCACTGGCGGCCCCCACGATGCCGAGTACGTGGGTGCCGTGGAAGGAACAGTTGTCAGAGACATCGGCGTCTCCATCCGTCAGGTCGTGCGAGTACGAGACGTAGGTCTCGGATAGCGGGCTGACGTCCTTGGTCACGAAGCCGCTGTCAACCACAGCAATCCTAATGCCTGCACCGGTGATGTTGGCAGCATGTGCGCGACTGACGCCTGTACCGAGGTGGGTAGAGAAGACGTCGTCTCCACTGCTGTTGGTTGCGCGCTTCCTCAAGTGTGACAATGTTTGGGTCGTCGCATCATGGCCCTGGATGCCACGGCCTCCTGGCGCGCTGTGCCATTGGGGAGACAAGGTGAGGACTGGCCACGCGTTCTTCACAGCGGGGATGTTCTGCACTGTGGTCAGGAGCTGGCTCTCCGTTGTGTTTGGAGTCAGCGGGTTGCTGGTGTCGCAGGAAACATCGAAAGACGCTCCTGTGAAATGCGACGAGTCGAAGGCGATTCGGGTCGCCGCTACGCAAGGAAGCCCCTGGGCATCCAAGTGCTGTTGAACGTCCGAGATTACATCGAACCCAGCAGCCTGCAGACAAGATGTGTACAGTCAGTTCTCTATAGAGCTTAATACACCCGCAGACAGGAGGTTGGGGTATAGGGCTTGTGCTTACTGTTGACTCGACGATAAAGGCTTTGCTGAATGTGGAACTGTCCTGTGCAGAAGTTCCGAGGACGGCACCTCCCACCAGACAAGCCAAGAGACGGAGAGTCATCTTGCTGGACAGCATTTCAAAAAAAGAAAAGAAGAATGAGCCACGTATGTGAGCGGCGTCACCTCTGTCGTTCGATCAATTTCATCTGCCTATAATTGTCCCAAGTCTTGACGCTAGGTTATCATCCTTTATATATCACCGGGTGGTGTATCCTCCCACGAGACTTCATGTTCAATCGGTGCCATAGCTATGGAGCCCAATAACAGGGCAGACTGAGCAGTCGCAAACCTCCGGCTACAAATTAAGTTGTGAAGGAAATGAGGGCATTTTAGGGACTAAGCAGCGGAACGGCTGCAATCACTACCATTGATAGATATCCCATGCTCTTGGCACTTCTCCCATGTTTAGCCTCTCGTATATCATTATCCAAGGTTTCTGATCCCGCAGAAGTTAATCTATCTGTCCCAAAAATAGGGGCTCCGACACCAGGGAAACTCTGATTTCACTCTCATTGGGAACGCGGATTCGCGCGCCTCAGTCATCAAGGTCCTTTCCGAGACCCATTGTATCATGATTCCCGAACTTTGCTCATTGGTGGTATTATTGCTCTCGTGTAAAAGCTTGGTGTGATGCTTATCCGGACCCTAGCCAAGAGACTCGTCTAGCCAAGACAGATGTCCCAATACCTTCTTTCAACTTGACCAGCTCGCGAGCCCAATCCGCTAATAGTCTGACTGACCAAGATATAACATTCAACCTATGTACTATACAAAGAGGTGCCTGTCCCCTACCTCGCCGCCACTTGCATAATGATGACTTGACTTCTTCACTCTCTGCCATGGTACAATGTTAACAAATGGTTTAGTGAAGAGAAAGAAGGGTCTCTCCCCGTAATTTGAGGTCTAGGACAGATAGGCATTGGCTAAAACCTTAAAAGTCTATTTCTATTCACAAGGGTCATAGCAATTTCCGATGGCATATGCTTTCATTAAAAAGGACTAAGGATACTTCCCGGGCACGATTCAGTTGGCTTCAATCTTTCCAATCTTGGATAAAGGGGTTACTCTTGATTGGGTGGTTCCGTCCGAACACCACTGATCTTTTTGACAAGTGAAGGCTCCCTTCATGTTACCCTGAGTTCCGAGACATCCGAATACGCGCTGTCATCTTGTGTCACTCGTACCACCCAAGAGCCGCATTCCTACTCGGGCATCGAGAAGTCTTTCGAGAATACACTGCCGCATAGTAGATCAAATTGAACCTTCAGGTGCCAAGTCGGAGAACAGCTGCCCATTCACAAATGGCATCGGTCTGGCGCAAAACTCAAGCCACATCTCAAGTTCACATCGAGGGTATCCAATCGGTGCAAGGCATTGGCCATCATGTCCACATAATTTCTACCGAAAGCTCAAATCGTTAAATGACATGCTCATACAGCCTCCTATCCAACGCAATTTACATGGGGCTGTTCGCTTGCGCGCCAGGACATCTACCACGTGTACCGGAACCCAGGCTGGAAATCCTCGTCGTTGGATTCCAGCTCCTTCTCGCCGCGGTCCGCCCGGCGGTTCTCAATCCTGAAATAGACCGTGAGGATTCCGACCAGGATAATGTTGAGCAGTGTGCAAGCAATGCAGGCATACAAGCCTGGGTGGTACGAAGGCTTGTCTTGGTTTCTGTGTGCAAGTGCGTTAGCATCAAACCTCCTTTGGCGGTTTGAACTTTCACTTTGGAAGGGGCCTGCCAAGGGCTCAGGGGAAACTCACCGGAAGACCAAGGATCCAGCGATGCCGCCAAGTCCACCGAATCCGACCAGCGTAGCAGAGCAGAAGGCCCTCTTCCACTGACCACGGATGTTGGTGGCCTGGTAAGACATGGTCGCAGGCACGTTCGAATTCGCGCCGGCAGTGACGAGGAACACGCCAAAGTACCTAACGGACGGGTTGGGGTGGAAGCCCATGATGGGCAGGCCGATGATGCAGAAGGTCATGTTGATGAGGATGGGGACGCCCCTGACCCTGTACTTGTCGCCGAGCCAGCCGGTGCCAAACATGACGAAGCCGGCGAAGGCGTACGGTGGTGCTACCAGGCACTGCGCGGCGCCGACCTCGAAGCCTAGGGACTCGTTCAAGATAACGGGAAGGAAGTAGGCAAGCGCGTAGGTGATGGTGGTCGTGTTGAAGAAGATCAGTGCGTACGCCCAGATCTTCCAGTCCATGCCGCCGCGCAGGAAGTTGGCCATCGAGAAGGCGTGGATCTTCGCGTCGCCGCGGTCGGCATTGACGCGTGCCACGACCCAGGCGCGCTCGCGGTCGGGGAGGAATCGCCATGACTTCCTCTTGGAGTCTGGGAAGTCAACCAGGAGCCAGTAGCCGGAGATCCCGATGAGGCAGGTGAGGGTGCCCTCGATGATGAAGATCCAGCGCCAGCCGGTCAGATCTGCCAGGCCGTTCATCTGCATGAGTCCATAGGCCAGGATGCCTGCGAAGGCGGATGCGACGCAACCCAGGAGGTAAAAGACCGCATAGCGCTTGCCCATCTCATCTGTAGAACTTGTAAGTTTGCGTACACTGTGAAAACTGTAACTATGGGCTCACTGATCACTCACATCTTGTGTACCACGTGCTGAGAAGGTAAACGCAACTGGGGAAGAACCCAGCTTCGAGCAGACCCAATATCACTCTCAGCCCGGCCAGTTGGTCCCATTTCTTCACAAATCCCATGCCGATCATGCATGCGCCCCAGAGGAGAGTAATAGCAGCGAGATGGAACCTCGGACCCACAGAACGACAGATGACAGTCGAAGGTGGCTGGAATATGATGTAGGTCACGAAGAAAAGGAGAGTAATGATAGACTAGGCAGATTATGTCAGACAGACAAATTGATATAACAGATGAAAGCACTTCACTCACGTAACGGTCCCCAATAAGCTTCAGCTCCGTGCCCATACCGGCAATAACAGCAGCGCCGAGATTGGTGCGGTCCATCAGGGACACGCAGTACATGAAGCCAACAGTGGTGACGAGTCGGCGGTCGATGCGCTGGATGATGCGCTTCTGCTCGGCCGGCGTGAACTCATGGTCAAGGATGTTAGAGTCGGACGGGTACGCGGTGGTGTCGTCGATCTGGTCGACGCCCAGCTTCTCGCTGTTGCGGTCCATCTTGCCGCCTCAGGGTGAGCTGTATGTCGCGTGGGGCAGTCTTATGGTTGCGCAAGAGAGAGAGACTGGATCTCAGGACGCGGGGAAAGAGAAAAGGATATGGATGACCCTTTATCTGCCGGCTGAACGATTAGCTTTGGGGACAAAATGTGGAACTAGCGTGCACAGTCTCTATACGTGTAGATCGCCGAGGACAAGATTTACTTGGGTTGTAGCGCGGTAACCTCTTGGCAACAGCACATAAATACTGTCCAGTTGGATAGACGGTGGTTGAGTTCTTACTTACATGAATTATAGCTAGGCCGGGGGGGCTCAATGTTGGACGGATGTGACACTGACGCGTGGGTTGTCAGATGAGCGACATGATGGGGGAGCACAAGTTGATATAGATCCTCTGCTCCTCGTCCCAACCAGCCCTTTCAGACGTGTCTGTCCCCAGAAGATCCTCGTATCGTCACCGTTCACCCTCTTGTGCCAGGTCCCTCCTCGCTGAGTCCTTGCCCAGATGCCCGATATAATGGAGCCGAGGTCGTGTTGTCCAATCCGGGGCCAGTCTGATCAAAAGCCAAGGCACGCGGTGATGTTTCGCGCGGGGTAGACGAGCCGCCCCCCTGAGGGCACCCATCTGCTCTGTCTCGCTCGTCCCCCCAGATTGCTGTAGTCCACGGAGGGCCCACTGTGTTTGCGGGGTTTGGGGTAAGGCAGTCCGGGGCACATCTGGGGCCGTTCCTCTGGGCACAATGCAATTGAGCCGCTGCCCAGACCGGCCCAGACCAGATGTGGTTACCATGGCCGAAGAGGGCCCAGGCCCACACACATCGAGCCCGCCCCCGGAATCTGGGGAAGCTGACGGGGACGTGGCGTGCCCCCTGCCTCGGTACGTCCTCTCTGCCAACGCTTCTCAGAGGCGGGTGGTGGATGGTGGGTGCTGAGGTATGGTGTGGTGAACACCAGTAGTAGCACGAGTCTCGATCCCTCGCGGCCATTTCCTATTTCGTCGTGCGGCTGTCGAAACTTAGACGTCGACGGCACGGGATCATGGCTGAAGGCACTCGCTCACTTGCTGGGGGGATGGATCATCCAGGAGGCGACGAGGTCGTCTGAAGTTGTGGGCCCGTGTTGACATCTCCAGTGGTAGCTACACCGACATCCGTCCAACGCGGCAGGTGTTCATCCAAGTTTCTCTATTGATCTTGATACGGATCAACATCGCAGATACAGATCTGGTCCTGGTTCAGTGAGCCGTAATCGTTTCCAGTCAGGCAGTCTGTCATTCAAACAGCCAGTCGTTCGAGAAGGTCTTGGCCCTGCCCTGCAATACAACCAGTTGGACCGCAGCGCTGATCAAGTCCAATCGCATCTGTTGCCTGAGCTTGGCTCCTGGAAAAGCTCCGATTGTTCGATGCAGGCAGTACGCACATATATCGCTTTACGCTCGGCCAACTCCCATCCTACTCGATAGCGTCGGACTTGCATCTTGGTGTGACTTGGACGCAGAGGCAGTTCTCGGGCAAAGGACACCTGGAGCCGAGGCAACTTTCTGGCCTTCACTTTCAGCTCAGAACATGCCCAGCTGCCGAGCCTTAGGCGCTGATGGTTGCGATCGTGACATGCGAGTTCTGAAAACAACCTTGTAAGTCTGATCATCATCGAAATACAGCGCAACCAGAGTCCTACTTCTTTCCCGTGTCCGAAAAGCGCCGGTATCAAAGCCGACAAGCTCTCCAGAATCAATGTCCATCAGCGAGCATGGCCTGTGACTCCAGTTTACACGCCTTTATGATCATGCACCAATCAACCGTACCCATCTCGAGCCTCCAACAACCAAAGCTACACGTCCCAACCTCGACGACCCGATCTTCCAATCTACTCGCAGCGTCTGAGCCTGTTCCAGGAATGGCGGCGCATCTTTGACCTCCCCAGCATTAACGTACTCGTCCCTTCTCCCCCGGTACTCACCTGGTGTTAAGAATCTCTCGGCGCAACCGCATCCATGCCACCAATCCCTGGTATGTGTCCGCTTGGGCAGCCAGGTCGCCCTCTTTCAGACCCCTCGGCGCCCTGGCTCTGGTCTGAGTTCCCCGACCCTTCCACCCTTCCTTCGTCCCTGGGCTGTGGCTGGGGCTGGGACTGGGGACCCAACTCGATGCCATTGCCATTTTCAGCTCCACCCGGCCCTGCCGCCCCTGCCGCCCCTGCGTCATTCGCTGTTGGGTAGCGGTTGGTAAGGTATGCGCTCACGAGAACCGCCATGATTGCGACCACCTCAGGGATGTAAACAAACAGGATCCGTATTACCAGAGAGCCTGTCACCGGGTTCAAGTCCTTTCTGTGAGTTGTGAAAAATGCCGTGGTGGTACTGGCCCTGATGACGATACAAAAAGACATGACTGCTGACGCGACAAAGACGACGTATGATTGCTTAGGACTCTAATCAGGGCGTCTCACAATTTCGTATCGAAGTTTCAGTGAGTAAACGAGGGCGTAGCAGACGAGAATCACGGCCATGGACAGCGACACGCTCTCACCAGTAAGCGCCAAGGCCCAGACCGTGTGTTCACTGTAACTCTTGTGCGTGTAATCTCCGCCGCCGACCAGCTCGGAACACGACGAGGCGACGAGAAAAATTGAAACAAGGCCTCCGCCGCAAGCGAACGCAAGGCCCCCGAAACGATCGAACCAGTCCTTTCTGAACCAGTTGCCCCTAGCTTCTTCGTCCCTGGGCTCGCCGAGCTTCCAGCTGTCGACAGACTCTTATCAGTGCGAGAACTTCTCACGCGGTATAGTATAGTCTTGTCATATTGAAGGAGGGAAGTGAAGAAAGTAGGTGTGGGAAATGAGGTTGAATTATGTTGAGGGGATTGACAGGCGTCATAGAAGAAGAGGTGAGACTCACGCATCGCAGACAAGGAAGGCGACCGCGACTGGAAGCAGTGTGGCTGCGGCGTTGCTCAATACAAAAGGGGCTGCATTGGTGTGGTCGAAGAAATGTATGGCTTCGCCGACGCCTCTGAGAATACAAAAGACGAACAGATACGCCAGACTAAAGCAAGCACGGGGGCTCTTGCGGTGACTTGGCCCGATGTAAGCCACGTTTATGAATAAGCAGATGAAGACGAAGGGAAGTACGAGGCTGCCTCTGCCACCAAGTCCTTGAATTATTTCGTCCGCAGTGGTGGTGTTCGAAGTGGGCTTGTGGGAAGACGGATCGGGGGAAGCCATTGTGTAGCACTGGAGCTTCCTCCTTGTAGAAGATGCCACGGATGTTGATGCTGATGTGGATGTGGGCAGTTATATCAAGTGCTGTGGTAAAGATTATGGCCGTGGTGTCGACGTTGATGTTGATGATGCCTTTGTTGTAGAGAAGACTGTTTGTTGTGCCCGAGTACGCGTCCAACTTGACCTGGTGGAGGAGGCACGAGACGTCGCTGCCCTTAGAGATGTGGATGCTCAAGGATGAAGCATGCCGTTGGACAGCAAGGCAGGTGCTCACGCCGCCCGTCTCCCACCTCGACCGTCCCATGAGGCCACGGTCTGCTCTGACCTCGGACCAGCTGTTGGACCCTTGCCGCCTCCCACATGAGGCTCTCTTGTTTGACTGAGGAAAGCGGGAACCTGCAGCGTAGCATCACACAACTAGACATGGCGACCCCCCTGTCGACTTCCCCTTTCGGCCTTTGCGACACAACTGATTGGCGGAAGGCACGACGAGCCGCTGCGGGTGGGCAGGTGGGCAGGTGGGCCAATCCATGCAGACTGATGACGCCCCGCCGAGATCCGAATGGCATCGTCTGCAGCGGACGTGATGCAATTATTCACTGTGGGCAGGCTTTGCTTGCTAAGTGGTGAATAGTCTTGTGCAAGGTCTCGGAACTTATGCCAATGAGACGCCGCCAGTAGCTGGGATCCCACATCGTCATGGTCGCTTATCCAAGTGTCGCGTTATTTGAGTCCTGCTGCAAGGCTCACATGAAAGCATCTGGTTGGTGGTTGTTGAGCATTAAGGAGCCCGCAGTCGGGAAGCGAGTCCGCTGCTGGTGAACGATGGTGGCTTTCTGCGGCGAGAAAAGCCCCAGGGGCACCTCGCATGGTTGGAGACGGACCGCCTAGAGAGCGCTACTACCAGACCTAAATTTGCGCGTCTTGACCATCACTACTAATCTGACAAGAGCAGATCCACGAAGGGAGGCAAAGTGATGCAATTGGCGAATAATTTCCAACCTTGCCGCTACCTCATCAACCACAAGTCCTCCTTGGATTTCCATTCACACTCTGACAGCGTAATCAGTGCATTTGTCTCAAGTACCCCGACTAAGAGTGATCTCCATTGTGTCGCCATGAAACATGCCAACAAGATCGAAATATTCCACCTTGGGGAGCCAACGGTTTCCCGTGGCCAATTGCATTTGCCCAAGTGACAAGGGGTTATTCTGGCGAGAGATTGAATCAATATGCGTTGAAGTTATGGGGCTTTGGGACCGATCCGACTTCATGACTTCATACTCTAGTCAAGGGTCAACAGATTTTCATAAATGCATCGCACTTGATTGTCATGCTATGTGACCGTGGCCTCTCACTAACCAGCCACAGAAATCATCGACTGTCTACAAATCTATCTCCTGCAACAGCACAACGAATCTTCTCGAAGGATGCGAGTGCACCTGTCTTCCTCCCAGAGTCTCCACCTTGTCACTCATGTCGTCGCCGTCGCCTGGAGATCTCCATGCCAAAAAATAAGCCTCAATCCTCCTTTCTGAATGCTCGTCACCACTTAGATGTACCACATAGTTCCCTTGAAGAACTCGAGGCTCTGGGGGTTGGCCAGACCTTCCTCTCCACCAATCTTCAGCAGAGGCTGGGAGTCCTCGCGAGGGGCATTGGAAGATGTATCAGTCCGGTCACGCCTCGCCATGACGTTGATGAACCTAATCCAAGGCTCCTTCTTGGAGGACTCGATAGCCTCATGGGCTCGGGCGCGGGCGGACGCCAGGTGAGCATAATAGATGGCCGGATGAAGGGAGACAGGGGTAGTCGAGCGGATGTACTGGTAACACTGCTGGTAGATCATCGCCTGCAGCTTGTCGACGGGGTACTGGATCTCATCATGAATCACGTGGTAGTGAACCGGCCGAGCGGTGCCCTGAATGGCCACATGAGAACACAGGTAGAAGTCATAGTGGAAGGGATGGGTAATCTCGTGCTCAATAATGGTACCAGGCAACGGGTTTCCGTTCTTGTCGCCAGAGCCACTGCCGGGGAAGAAGCGCATGTGGTGTCGCTTGGTGGCGACAATGACGGTGATCTTGGGCTTGTTCCGTCCAACTTCCTCAAGAACCTTCCGCACTTCCTTGATCTCAGAGTCCATGACGTGGGCGAATTGACCTTCGGCGACGCCGTCACGGAAGTAGAACACGTGCTCTGGGGCGCGTCCATTCTTCTGGCACCATCGGCGCACAGCATTCGGAAAGATCGATCGAATATTGGCCGGAGTCAGCACCTCCACCCGGTAGCCGTTTGTCTCACACACGGCTTGGTACTTGATGGCGTTTTGATCCATGGACATGGTCATAGCAGCCATAGACGCCAGTGGTCCACTGAGGGCGACCGAGCCCGCTCCTCCGTGCGAGACGTCGACACCGATGACCATCGTGGGGACTGTGTAGAACTGCACCTTGGCGAGCCTCGAGGTGTAGCCGCCGAGCTTGGCGTTGACCTTCATAGCCACGTTGGAGCAGTACTGGGGGCTACACTTCTTGACGTGGTCGACATTCACCATCTGGGTAAGAGTTGCGAACCGGATCTCCATGTTCTTCTTCAGGCGCTCGTACTGGATGGCGCCCTTGTCGGGCATGATGAAGAACATAAGGTCAGGAACCGCCCGGTATGCATCACCAGTCTGCTTGTAAAGCTTGTGGATTTCATTGGCAGTAGCGCCGCTGAGCTCCATCCGGAGGCGCCAAACTTTGGGCTGCATCACCTCGATCTTGCCGCCGTGCCTCTTGTATATGTCAGCAAACGAGTTTGCAAAGCGCGACGCCGTGGGGGCATCGACACAATCGTTGACGACAACGATAGACCAAGACTTCAGAGGACGGACGTTCGGTTCGGCGAAGGTCTGGTCACGCAAGTCCCACCTGCCGTTGGTGCGTGGATCAACTGTCTTCCTGCCAAACTGGACGACCGGGTTCTGGAGAACACGAGCCTGCGTGGGAGTCATTTGGGGGTTGATCTTTACACCAAACTCCCTCAAGTATGGGTCGTCAACCCATCGAAGGGCCTTCACGTTCTGCATGATTGCATTCTGGCGGACGGGAGGCCGTGTGACTGCGAACTTGATCATCGCAGCTGTCTGTTCACCATCCAGCTTGAAGTTGTACTTTTGCCACCGCTTCAGGATGACACACTCCATGGGGAAGACGCCGTCACGAGTGGTCTCGATCAAAGGCAAGCGCCAATGCTGAAGGCGAACACCGTACTGTTGCAGGAAGTGATCAGCCACGGTAATGGTCTCGCCAGACTTCTTCGTAAACTTGTAATTGCGCGCATGGGCGCCCTCCATCCCAAACTTCTTTGGCTCCCAGACGAAACCCTGAATGGTGTACGTCTTTGGATCGTTCGACTTTCCACGGTGCATCACGTTGAACTTGCACTTATGGAAGCGCCGGAGCATCTTAAATGCGTCAGACATGCCTGGGTAGTACTCGCGAGTGTCTTCGTGCTGGTACTGTTCTGGCTTCATCATTTCGTGGAGAGCTTTCGTGTCTATGTATTGCCACTCCTTCTTTGACATGGCAACGTAGTTGGTGCAGAGCTCAGTGAAAGGTTCGCCTCCGTGCCAAAATGTCGTATTGGTAACATCCACATTGATGCCCAGGCCAAGGCCGCCGGTCTTCATGGATGAATTCATACGAATCGCCGCGTATATGCCCTTGACAGCCTCAATGGTGCCACGACGATTGAGCGGCCGGTAGTCCCTTGTCTCAGTGTCGTAGAAGTTGCGCTTGATGGCCAGCAGGTTCTCCGAAGGAAATTGGCGCACCAGATGGTCAAAAAAGTTGGCGCAGGCCAGGACTGACTGGTCCCATTCCATGGACCCTTCAAGATAGGCCTTGAGGGCAGCAAGACGGATCGTGGTGCTGCGCCTGATGATGAGGTAGAACTTGTTGCTCTGGCCAGGCCTCGGCATCCTGTTCCGCTCTTCGTCCATGTCGATCATGATACGCATCTCAGAGACATTGTTTCGGGACCATGCCAGTGCACGGCCGTCGTGGAGCCACCTGAACTGCAATGGACCGTACTTGTCATCACACTTGAGTTTCTGCTGCGCAGTCTTCGTCCTCCAGAGCGTGTTCAAGAAAGAAGGCTTGGTCTTGCCAGTGTCGGGGCTGAATGTGACCTGTGATACACAGTCAGAGAATGCAAGCGGGTGTGAACAGACCGTCGAAACTTACATCGTATTGGAAGATATCGTGCGCAGGCATGCCTGTGACACGGAATTGGTTGACCTGCACATTGATCTTCTTGCCGCTGCTGCCCAGACCGGGGCGGCGGGTGAAAGGAGTCTCGAGCTTGCCCTGATGAGGGTGTCAGTAAGTACATCGACAAGAGTTTGGTCTGAGAGTCAAGCTTACCTTGACATATGCCTCAGGTGGCAGATCGATGCGCTTGTTGAAATCCTCGCCAAACTTCTTGGGCTCACGAGCAGGGTCGAAGCCAAGAGGTTCAGGATAGCCACGCGGCGGAGAGCGACCGCCCACGTTGCTAGGTGGACGGCTGCCCACAGGACCAGAGGGTGCGCCCACATTGCTAGGTGGGGCGGAGCCTGGAGCTTGGGAGCCAGGGTGAGAAGCGGACATATAAGAGCCGCTGACTTGAGAGGTGCGACGCGAGTGCGAGCGTGAGCCGCCGCCAGAGTGGTGAGAACCCTGGGAGCGGGTGTCGGAAGGACCATCAAAGGATGGGACGGGGAGATAACCGCCCTGGTAAGCGCCCTGGTAACCACGGTGGTGACCACCCTGGTGACCATTCTGGTAACCACCCTGATGATGAGACATGTTGTCTGGAGTGGTAGATGTCTGAGAGTGAGAGACAATTAGAGCCTGAAAGAGCTATTGAGACGGAAGTGAGGACTAGATGCGGGATGCAATAGCTTGAGGGTGCGGATTGAGACAACTTGTGGGAAGAGATGGCGGTGCGCAAGTTGTGAGTGTAGTTAAGAAAGGCAACCAAGAGACAGCCTCGAGGAAGATGCAGGAAGATGATCGTGGAAGATCCAATTCGAGGAAGAGTCAGGGAATGTTTGGCTGCAGATGGCAAGTGTTTATGGAGTGTCCTTGTGCGGTTTGGCTTGCACGAAAGAACGGAATTTAGCTTGGGAAGGTGGCTGTAAGGCAGAGCCCAAAGCACACTTTGCGAAAGGTCAAATAGACTGAGAGAGGGTGTGTTTGGAAGGTGAAAAGTCAAGAAGAGAAAGCGGACAAGGGGGCAGCGGGAAACGGAATGACTGCGTAATAAGATGGGGAAGTTTGGAAGGAGACCGACTTGGCTCGTGGCTTGAGGGTGCTTACCAGAAAAGCAGCAAGCGCAGTCTGGGTTGGTATGTCAAGATGCAAAAGAGTGGGCAAAAGATGTTTTTTTTCTTCCCACGGAAGACGTGTACTGAGGTGGTGGCAGGCCCTTTCCTGAGGTGCTGTCCGACTGGAGGTTGAGAGGTAGAACGGGAGGAAGAAGCAGTCAACTGCGCGGGGTGTTTGGATGGAGAGAGGAATTGAAAGAGACAGGAAACGAGTGTTTTATGCGGCTAGAGGAGAATAAAACATACCTTGATTGCTATGAGAAGTTGTTTGAGTATTGGATCTAATGAACCGTTTGATGACGAGTGTCTGGTGGGCGAAGTCAGCACTGGGCACGAGAAATGGTTTCTCTTGAAAACGTAGTGAGGCTTCGAGAAGTCAAAGTACTGGATTGGCAGGGATGTTGAAGGTGCTGGGGAAACGAAGATCTTGATGAAGAGGCTAGTGTAGAGTTAGAGAGGGAGGAATTGGTGCTTACCAGTCGAGCTGCGCGAGAGGAGAAGTAATTTGGATTACAGACTCGCGAAGGGTCTGCTGCTTGCTGTGTCAACAGAGATGAGAGTTTCAAGGCGGGACTGGTGGTGCTGCACGTGGGGAAATGAGTAGGTCCGCCTGACAAGGTAGGTAGACGTCAGTATCGCAAGCCACGAGCTCTCAGATTGAGAAAGTATGCGTACGATGAGGGAAGGAAAGCGCGAACAGAAGGACTCAGCGGTAAAAGGCGGAAAGCATGTGTGGGAGTGTGGGAAATGCCTTCAAGGCTTGAAGGTGCAAGGATTCGTTGACCAGGCAAGTCAAGGAGCAGTTGATCGCAAACGTGTTTTGATGACCAACCAGGCAGAATCAAACAAGATTGATTTTCTGAGGTGTGTCCAGGTTGCTAGGGAAACTCACCAAGTTTTCAACGCGCACGAAGACGTGCGAGCTTGCTTGGGCGAAGATCTCAACGAGGATATGTGTGTGTGATGATGGAACTGACAAGAAACCAGCAACGCGTGGATGGGCGTGCAAGATAAAATCGGGTGAGGTCGTGGGGAGATAGGCGTAGGGTGAGGAATCTGGCGTGCTTACCTTGTTTGTGATGTAGACGGGTAGAACCCAAAAGGGGCAAAGGCTTGGAAGGTAGAGAGGTATGGTATGGACAGCTGTTGTGGTTCGGTGGGTCAATGATGGTGCAGAGGGAAGGACGAGGTAGATGCTCGGGAAGGAAGAGGAGCAGAGTGGCGGGCTCAAAGTCTGATGGAAGGAGAGCAATCTATTGCTTACCTGTGTCTTCTCTGCTTTGAGAAAGGGAGCGTGACTGTTGACTGATGGTCACGAAGGTGATTTTAAGTTGGTCTTGGGAAAAGAAAGAGTCGAAAGGTCTGGCTTGGAAAGATGGAAATGGGTCTAAATACTGTTTCCAGGTGGGCAGCAACGGTCAGTGATGGAAGTTTCTGCTGACTTGGGATCGAATAAAGGCTATGCTTGGCTGTTTTTGAGAAGAGAATAGGAAAACAATGGGCGAGAACCAGGCGAGAGTATGGATGGGGCAGGGAGTTGATTTTGGGGCATTGTCTCCAAGATCTGAATGTGGATGGAAAGCTTCAGATGGTTGTTCAGACTGTGATGGCCATGGACAGGGACGTCAATCATGAGCAGGCCTTTGTTGTGCAGTTCGTCTCAATACTCACCAACTTTCCACGACTATTTGAGATCTGGGCCAGACTCGGACTGTGATCCTGGGATGTGGCAGGGCTCAAAGATGCAGAGGATCACTACCAAAATGCCAAAGACCAGCAGGTCCACAGAATCTGCTTACTTGGCAGCTGGAAAGCAACCGAGTTCAAGGCGAAGCAAAGTCCTCAAGATCACAGACTTTGTGCGGGATCTACAAGTGGCTTTCCTGAATGCTTGAGGAAATGGATGCAAGGCCGCCGGTTCTCTACATTCAGTTCAGTCACAAGCACGTCGAGATGTATGCACAAGCCTGTATGTATGCATACGAAAGCCATTTTCTTACCATTTCGGGCATGTGGAAAGAACTACCTGGTTCGTGCCGCACATTTTCTCTGCTCTTCCATGTCTCGAGAAAGAAACCCTTAACATTGCGTCTTCACAAGACTCTGGGAGTTCATAACAGCGAGCAGAACCCCTTGCATCAGTCTACACCAGCCAAGCAGACGTTCTTCAGTGACTAACAAAAATATGCCGCAGACTTGTTACTCATACTCCCCGTATTCTATTTGCTCGTCAAACTCCAGCACATGTCCTCACGACAGGCCCGGTCAATCTAACTTGAATTCGATGCGGTCGTTCAAAGAAGACACATACCTTCCGTTTGGCAAGCAGTTTTGGTGTGTAAATGATCGTGGCGACTCGAAGAGTTAATACATGTCGCCTCATCTCTGGAAGATTGAAACGACGGGAAATAAAGTTCCCACCGACGAAAGACACTCCCGAACGAGCGAATGATTGGGAGTGAGAAATTGGGCCAGGTCAAAATTCTACACATTATTTTCTGCTCTCCCATGGTGGAGAAAGTATGTGCTTCTGATTAGTTTATGATGAAGCTATTGGCCCTGAAGCCGACGGGGAGAAAAACATGAGCTGGATATACACGTGTCAGCACAATGAGCAGATAGTGTGCCGATCGGAAGGTCACGGCTGTGACCCGAACAGCTCAGACTTACTTGACCAGGCAAGGGTGTGTGAAATATGTCTGGCGCAAGGGTTGGATCACATCTGGCGTGAAAAAGAATAACCACTAAGACTCGGATCCTGCGTGAGCTTCAAGCAAATAAGACAGGCTGGCGAAATCCACCGATTCAAGTAAAATAGCTTGTTTCGGCTAGCAGTGCACAACACTCCAGATGCAAAATTTGATTGTCTAGGAGATGGGAGATGAGAGATGAAAGCAAAAACTTGGACAAATGAACCATCTCGAACTGCGTTTGCCAGCAGCTGGCTGGATATTTGCTTCATTGAAACACAACTGCGGCGCAGGACAATTGCAAAGCTTTTGGTAGGTGCGGAGCGAGACCACGCTATCCGAACGGCACAATCTGTACGGAAGTTCCGGGTTCTTTTTCAAGATTTGAGAGATGGCCATTAAAATTATTCAAGCTACTTACTGCTCGAGATTCATCGGTGATGGTCAGGATCTGGGTGCGGTTATTGCAAAATATCTGCCCGCTCTCTACATTCAAGCTGCTGTCCTACTACTCAACATCACCAGATGATGCTGGCGCTTGAAATTAAATAACAATACTTCATGATATGAGAACGCTAGATTTTACCCGTTAATTTATTACATTCAAAACATACAACATGTTGACTTTTGTCAGGTTGATTCACTTGACTGATAGTCTGGACCTTGATGTGCTAGAGAATGGCGAAATGTCAACTACTACTAGGCCCGAAAAGCACACAGTAAGTAGCTCGAAGCTGTCTATGAACCTGTATAGAGCACATACATGGATTACTGAAATGTACCCTCCATCAAAAGAGCTTCTACTCCAGATCGATGATCTCTTGATATTTATCTCTCCTATTGTCAATCGTAATTAATTTGAATGAGCTCTTCTTGTAAGCTCGCAGCTACACAATAGAAGTATAGGGAGATGAAGGAGTGTGGGGGAAATTCAAGCATGGTATTCATTCTCAATCTTGCCTGGGCTGTGTCCACGCAAACAGACCACCCATGGCGGAGTTTCAATCAAGTTCAATGTACAAAGGCACATCTGAGTGTGTGAATCACAGGCACAGCCTGACACAGGCTCCGGAATTCCATGAGATGCTCTTCCATGATCTACCTAGGTATCTCACTACGTAAGGTTGATGTGACTGCCCTGGTAAGGATCAGGAGCTGTGCTGGAAATCCATAGCCGCCATCGCCGTCTCTGGATCCAGCACATTCTGGACTGCAAGCATTTCAATCACCGCAAGGGCTCATTTGCCAACTCGCCATTCCTTAGTTGGATGAAAAGGAAGCCCAGACAGCCTCGCCCACCTGATGCAATTTTGTGTCACCTCAAGACTCCCTTCCACCTTTAACTCCGGGCAAGAAACAAGCAAGGGCCGCAAAGAGTAGACCTCTTCCTTTGCTATTATTACATGGTACGTTAGACCGAGACGCCTGTGGTCCGATGCAATGCGACAGACCCAGGCAAGAAAACCCATCGAAGCCAGACTCGACCAGTAGCTGAGTGCTGAGGAACCGTTCGATGATTGTTTGCGGCTGGCAACCTTGATTGACCTAATTCCACCGGCATCGCACGTACCTAAGACCGGTGGCAACCGGCGGCGACTTCTTGCTGTGGCTGAGGTATGTGAAAGAGGCTGGGCACGCGCCTATGTTGCCTCTAGAATCTCGGCCAGTGCAATAGGCAAAAGCTTCTTCCTGGTACCACAACCCACCCGACTAGTAATAACGACCATTGTACTGATCGTGCTGCGGTGGACCTTGACCAAAAGGAGGGGTCGGGACAGTGAATTGGGGCGCGCCTGCAGGGGCGCCATAAATGGGCGGTGGCCAATTTCCGTCAGGGGTAGGCATCATTGGCGGTGGAGGACCGTAACCCAAAGGCGGTGGTGCTCCAGGCGGCGCAGTTTGCCCGTACATTGCAGCGGGAGGTGGTGGCTCGTAGCCCGAGCCGCTAGATCCGGGACGGAGAGACGACTGTCTGTAAGTAGCAGCAGCGGAGGCGATCTGTCCACGGCTTGCGCCAAAGGGACTCTGAGGTCGAGGAGAGTTGCGGCCTTGGAATGGATACTGCGTGACGTCGTTGGATACTTGGCGAGCGTGCGATGGTGGCATTCGGGCTCCATTGTCGCGGATTCCCCGGTCCTGGTTGCTCTTCCAAGTTGCAAAATCTGGGACAGGAATGTCCCGAATGAAGCGGACCATATTGCCCGAGTTGAAACGAGGGAAATCGTAGGCCGAGGCCGGCGGGATTTGGCTCAACAAGAACGTGATGTCGCGGGAGATCGGGGCGGCTTGCATGCGATTCTGTTGATTGAGGCGCCTACCAGCCGCGCCCTTCAGCGGCGATTCGCCGCGCTGCATTTTGCGGGGAGGGTTCAACGAGTCGTCTAGATCTTCGACTGGTAGAGGTCGTTTCGGCGAGTTGACAAATTGTTGGCGCGGACTATTCGGCTGTCGAACGGAGGGGCGAGGACTGTTTAACACGGACCCTCGTTGTTCAATCGAGGGCATGATATTCTTGGGGCGCAATTGAGCAGAGGGCGACACAATGATACGAGCTGCGATTGGGTCAAAGTTTGCCGTGGCGAAGCGTGCCTTGAAATGAGCCAGCTTGGGATCATCAGGGAAAAGTTCAGCCATGCGTTGCTCCAGCTTGACGAATTGAGATCTGTCACCGAATTGCGACTCGTACTTGTGAAAGTACGCAAACAAGGCTTTGGCCTTGTCCGCGGACTCAGGCTTTTCCGTCATCTTCTTGACACAGTTCTCAAAAACGACTCTGGCATCTTTTCTCTTTGTTAGCAGCTTCTTCAATATATGATTGCCGACCACTTACTCGTGAAGTCGTCCCTCGAATGAAGGAATTGGAGGTATTCGACCATGAAATATTCGTCTTCTGGAAAAAGCCTGGCACCTCGCTCGAAGATCTTGACCCCAGCATTGTCCTTGTACACCTTCCATTCCATGAGAGCAATGGCGACGTAGACGTCGCTAGTCAGGCGGCCCCTCTGACGGGCGTCGGTGAAAACCTGTCGCATGCCACCGATGGTACTGCCTACAACGCCTTTGCCTTGAACCCGACGCATTGCCCTTGCGAGGGCGATCCAAACAAAGGAAATAGTTCGAGACAGAACATTCGTCCGAGCTGAGAAGCCCTGCTGTATAGCTTTGATCTGTGCTTGTTTTGCGGCAATCCTGGCATCCTTATCCTCGGACGCATCGAAGTCCTCTTCACCATCTGCAGACCTCTGCGGCGCAGATTCGGACGCAATGTTCTCATTGATCTTGTCGATGACCGCCTTCTCCTGGTCTTTGGCCTTCTTGACCAAGTCGTACAGGGTATCCAAGACTTTACTGTAAGGAGCTTTGATGGCGTTGCCGCGATTAGCCTTTGCTTCGTCGCCCTCGGCAATAGGATGAGTGGCCTCAATGCGATCCGCGTGCTTAAGAGCCAGCAAGACACTCTCTGGATTAGCCTCAATGCCCTGCAGCAGGAGCTCGAGGCCATTGTCTCTGCCATCTGGACCCACCATCTCATTTTCGAAGCACCACTCGGCAGCGTCAACCCACATCTCTGGCCAGAACCGAAGAGCCATCAAAGCCTGCTGGTACACGTAGAGGACTCTCTTCTTCAGAGTGGCACCGTCTTCTGTTTTCAAGTCAAGCGGATCCGACTGCTCATAGCTGATCCACTTTTTCCACAGCTCGATCTGCTCGGTATAGTCATCATCACCATCGAAGCCCGGCGCTGGCGGAAGTCGCGGGAGGTTGGTCCGTTGCAGACCTCGAGTGATGTTGTCCAAGGCCATATTGGTGCTCTTGGCAGACATATAATTCGGAGAGTGTTGGGCGAGAAGCGCACGCCCGACCTTCTTATCGATTCCCATCTCGAATTGATCATATTCGCGCCAGAGAGTGTTGAGGTTTCGAGTGGGGATGGCAATGGCTCGTTGGTATGTCTTCCGCAGTTGGTCCATCTTCTGCCGACTTGCCCAGTCGGTCTCCCCTACCTGACCTGGCCCAGACTTGATGAACTGAATGTACTCTGCCCAGATCGGCCCAGAATCCTTGTCAACACCGACACTGCTGAGAACAAACTCGAAGCATTTCGCGATAGTCTCCCGAGCCTGACCCGTCGTGTCGCTCAGATCGTTGCGTCGTCGGATGTAGTCGAGGTACACGGTCCACAGCCTCACATTCCGGATAGTTGGCAGTGTCCTCTTGAACAGCTCTTCTGCCCCACCGAAATTGTTCATGCTCAGCTCCAACTCCATGTACGCGGTCCAGATATCCGCCTATGTCTCGTTAGCACTTGTCAAGCTCGGATCAGCTTGAGGGGGGGGGGGGAGGTATGAACTTACGGACTGCGGGAAGACAGCCAAGAAGCGCTCATACACAGATCGAATGCTTTCAACATTGTTTCGCGCCCGTAACTCAGCCATTAGATCCAGCCAGGCATCCATGGCCCCACGAGGATCCTCCTTGATGCGTGCCTCAAGCGTGGTGACCACATCCTGAGGAGGCTTGACACCGTTGTTGATGGGCTCCACCGGGGCAACAGAGCCACTGTCTCGTTCGTCGACCGACTGAGCTGGGGCGTTAATCGCCTGAGAAGTTGGGGGTACATTAGACACAGCTCCCTGGGCTTCCTGGACAGGAGTGGAAGCATGAGGGGAAGAACGAGGAAGAGAGTGAGAGGCTTGGATTGGCTCAGCAGGCGGGCCGTTGGAAGCAGGAACAGGCGTCGAGGCGTCATCATCCTCAGACTCGGAGTCTCCCACTAGGAAACCTCCGGCTGTCTTGCGCTTCTTGTTGACCGGCTGAGGAGCAGGCTGAGGAGCAGGCTCCAGGGAAGTCTGCTTGCCCAGATGCGGCAGTGGAGTCACAGAGACAGACTCTGGATCGTATTCACCCACATCTTCGGAAACGCCAACAGTATTGGGCGCGGAATCACCAGATGTTTGAGCGGCTGCGGAAGCAGGAGCGGAAGCGGAAGCGGAAAGATTCAAGTCTTGGTCTTGTGTGTTGTCACTAAGTTGTATATTTTCATTTCCTCCCTCAACTTCATTGTCGCCATCACCCTGAGCCCAAGTGTTCTCCTCGACAGCTTCGCTCGCCATACTCGCGATGACTGTGCTGGTCGTGGGGGAAAGTTCGAGTAAGGTGCAGTTGGGTAGCGGACGAATGGGCACGAAAATCGACTCTTTTCAGTGCTGGCTAGCGTCGCAGTCACGCGCGCGAGGATTGGTCGCGGCGACGGGATAGGAGATCGCAGTATCTAGATGAAGCACATCGAATAGGGTCGGGTGAGGTCAGTCGATCTTTGACAAAGGACGGCCGTTTGAGGCTGGGGCTGCGATGGACAGATGCTGGCCCTTCACACAAGGGCGAGCCTTGGAGAGGGAAAGCAACCGATTGCGGAAGGGAAAGAGTAACAAAAAAGATTGGCACAACTAGAAGAGAATGAATGGCAGAAATGATTAGAGGCTGGCTTGGAGATGCAATATGTGTTAACCGGCAGCCGACCTTGCTGTAAGCTGAGAATAGTAGCTGGCCGATGTAGGTCGTGCAGAATATGTCTGGCGGTTGACAGCGTAGGCGATTTTGCGACCACCTAGACATGGGCAGCACGGGTGAAAGAGCTGGACACCTTGAAGTGGACCCATCAAAGACACTGCCTGCCGGAGACAGCTTTGAGCTTCCCGGGCCACGCTAAGCACCCAGGACATCACCAATCCGCTACCACTCTCCCCAGGTACCTTGCCCGTGATGGGCCAGGGATCCCCACCCCTGTCCCCTCCTCTGGCGCGACCGCCCTCCATTAAACGCGGTCTTCAAGAGACAAGAAGAGTGGAGGCGCGTCCTTGCTGCTCAAGCACCAACTTTGACCTGGACTTCAGCACTTTTGCTTGAAGTCTCGACCCTCCGCTTCCGTGCTTCTTCTCTGCCTCCACCCGTCGACAATAACAACAACAATCACAACCAGACCCTTGCCCTTTGCGACCATCGATGCGCTGTTATTTAATCTAGACATCACAGTCACCTTGCCGTCAGCCCTTCTGTGAATCAGAAAGCATCATTCCCAGCAGCTTCACACGACGAAGCAAGCAGCGCGACAAAATACCAAACTTGATCATCATCTCCACTCCATTCCATTTCGCCGCCCATCATGTCTGTTGTATCGCTCCTTGGGGTCAATATCCTCAACAACCCCGCCAGGTTCACCGACAACTATCAGTTCGAGATTACCTTTGAGTGCTTGGAGCAGCTTGAGAAGGGTGAGAAACTTCCTCCTTGCCCCTCCCTCGAAGTCTGGCCATTGCTGACATCTCCATCCCACAGATCTGGAGTGGAAACTGACCTATGTCGGCTCTGCTACCTCGTAAGTCCTGCTCATCATCGATTCGATCTATACTCGAAGGCCTATGTACTAATCCGAACGTTCTTCAAGCGACCAATATGACCAGGAGCTGGACACCCTGTTGGTGGGACCCATTCCTGTCGGCGTCAACAAGTTCATTTTTGAGGCAGATGCCCCCGACACCAAGCGCATCCCCGATGCCGAGGTTATGGGCGTGACGGTCGTCCTCCTGACGTGCGCCTACGATGGCAGGGAGTTTGTACGCGTCGGATACTACGTCAACAATGAGTACGAGTCCGAGGAGCTCAACGCCGATCCTCCTGCCAAGCCCATCATTGAGAAGATCCGTCGCAACATCCTCGCTGAGAAGCCTCGTGTGACTCGCTTTGCCATCAAGTGGTATGTTTCGTACTTTTTCCCATAACGCATTGTGACTTCAACTAACCCATTCCTTTCCTCTTCTAGGGACAACGATGCGACTGCCCCTGCCGAGTTCCCTCCTGAGCAACCCGAGGCCGACCTCGCTCCCGACGATGAGGATTACGGCGCAGACGAGGCCGAGGACGACGGCGAGGAGGCCGCCGGAGTCGCCGCTACCAACGGCGAGCCCTCTGCCGTCGGCGAAGATGCCGCTATGGTCGGCATCGCTGCTGAGAATGGCGAGCCCGCACGCGAGGACGATGAAATGTCCGAAGACGGTAGCGTTGACATTGATGGCGAGAGCGAAGACGAGATCGAGGAGGAGGAGGAGGAGCTGGAGGGCCAGCCGGCCGACGGAGACGGCATGGATGTTGACATGGATGATGCCCCAGATTCTGGTTAGTATTTCAAGGGTCTCTTTGGACTTTCCCTGCGATCTTGAGAGGCTGGCTTTGTGAAAGTCGATCAGGATCTGTTCCAACCGCATAAACTGCCTCTTTCTTTGTTGACCGAGACGGAAATGGTTTGCTGACAGTACTAGGTGCGCAACACTCGGAGGTCATGGCTCACTAATGACGCATGTTTCTCATTTCGACCTCACTTGTCCGGCGTTACTTTATGTCATGATATCCCCTTACTTTGATCAGAGTTGGCAGAGCACTAGACCCAGGATGATGGATGGTTAATGCATTATGAAAAAAATACATACAGTACGACTGTTGACGGGTTTTAAGGCAGTTCTGGGGATTTGGCAGACGACAGGCAGGCTTCACTTGTCCTAGATTACAGAACCTAAGATGTTGGGCGGTAATGCATTGTCTTCAGACTATACTCTAGACCCAGGACTGCAATAGACCTTCCCTCTTTTCTGATGGGCTTTGAAGTTGGACAGCTTTGTTGGAAAACAAGCTGGGAGTTGGAGGCGAGTTGGCCCCATAGCTCAAGTCCTAGACATCTCCCAGTCACAATGAACCTGCCTCATATCTAGTCAACCCCATCGAGCGTAATTTGCGGAATGCAGCCTTTTCCTGACAGCCTGGCTTGATGCGAGACCGGAGACTGGCTTTGAGCTTCCTCTCAATGGGCTACGGTCTCTGGGCTTGTGACGTAGGTTTAATAGTCACGCCGTCGTTTGGGAGGGAGGCTCTGCAAAGTGATGGCGGAGTTGATACTAGGGCGAACACTCCGGCGAATCGGTTACAGAGGGAATCGCTTCCGTCCGACGCCAGCACGCCTCGCTGCTGACATTCCCCCCACGCCCACGTCTGTTTCGTCTTGGCAGTCCCCGGCGCCATACTACCTTGGGTTGGCTAGGCAGGCCAAATTGGGCTGAACGGCAGGACAGGGAACGCACGTTTCCTGCAACGCTCTCACAGGACTTGGGCGTCTACCTGGTCAAGTGACTGGAATGCCGCTGCTGCGTCTTGGGCTATTCCTAAATGCAAGTCCTGAAGCGGCAGCCGAATCAAGGCAACCGCGGTGCCAGATTGCGGCTGAGCTTCAATACACCCCAAGACCGATATGACACCATTTGCCCGGCCCTGGCTTTGAAGGGCGTAGGAGCTCGGTGAGGCTTGAGGGCAAGCCCGGTGGGTGGGCAATCTGTCGAGCTGCGCAGTGCTGGTAGATAAAGCTTCTTGTCTCTCATCGAAGCATCTGTTTGTTGTTTCTTTTTTGATTTTGATTCTTTGTGTTCTTTTGCTCTTGCACTGTTCATTGTGTCTCTGTTTTTCCCATAACATTTCATACGGCCATGGCATCTAACCAGCAGAGAAATATTGATGAGCTCTTCCGCTCCTTGGAGCGCTCTCAAGAGCAGTACCTCAAGAATCTGAAAGCCTTGCACGAGGCTACGATCTCCTATCGTGGCCATGGCGCCTCCGGAAGTCAGCGCATGGAGAGGACAGGAAGCAATGACAGATCACCCCAATCCCCAAACCTGAGGACAACTTCTACCTCCGGAGACACGACCCCAGTACCGCTCTCTAGGGCAACCTTCGCCAGCGAGACAGCCTCATTGCAACTCAGTCCCGTCGATAGAAGGCCACGGAGGCTCACCAATGAGTTAGCAGACCGTAGGCGCTTCAACAATCTGGCAAACGAGGTGTTCGACGGCTCTGGGTGGGAGAGTGACGATGACTCGAGCAGTTTTACACCATTGCCTCTCCTGCCACACACCGTGGCGCGAAGTCCATCACTCCCAGTAGACTCGACTTTATGGCCGCGGGTCCAGAAAACCTTAACACAGAAGTCGTATACGCCGTCTGACCTGGTTAGCCATCTGCAGAGTATCACGGATGATAAGGAAGCAACCCTTGCTGTGCTCGGGGAAGTCATTCGTCAATGCGAAGCAACGACTCTCTTTGGTGGCAGCGACTCGGATTCCCTAGCGGCTGATAACGTGGCCTCCACATATGAAGTCTACGATATCGACAAGAATGGACAGGCTACTACAATGCATGATGATCGAGGCACTGCCGAAGATGAAGTGCTTGATCCTGCTGTTGTATGGGATACTGTCAAGGTGCGCTTCGACGCCACGATTATCCTCAGAAGGCTCAATACGCTGATAAGGATGCAGAATGTCAACCTTGACGACAATACTGTAGGACGTGTAACGTTAGTAAAACTATCAGTAATAATCCTCAAACTAGAATGCTGACGCTTGGTTGTAGAGTTTTTCAAGAACCATCACCAGCCATGCTTGCTAGTATTCATCTGGCAATGCGCGAGCATTTTGACATGGACGAGCTGTTTTCTCACCTTGTGTCTCCACAGGGAAATCAAGGCAAAACAACTGCGTATATGCACCGAGCAGCTGAAGCAAACCCCATACACCAAAGTACCTTCTTCTTCGTTTTCAAATACTACACAGTAGTAGGTGAAGGTCTAATGCCAGCCCCATGGCAGCAGTATGACCACCGCCCCGCAGACAAGAAAGCGCCGGACCATATCAATATTACAGAGTGTAGCTCAGTTCTCGCTCTTGCACTTGAGGGCGAGCCTGTCAACAAGGTGCCGATGCGAAGGGGCAGGAGGAAGGGCTCGAGGCTGGGCGCTGTTTACGACACCTTCGCTCCTTATCACCTGCTCAACATCCAGTGCTTTCCGGATCATATTCACGCAGAAAATGAGTCCATCAGAAAGCCATTCTACTACAACGGGCCTTATGTATTCCTAAATCGTCTGGTTGCCGAGTACAAGGACGCAACGAAAAGGTACCTCCAACTCAACGATCGAATTGAGAAGCTGATTACCCCTCCGGTACGTTTCTTCCCTACACACAAGCCAGGCATTCGTGCCGGTACCATGTGAATTACTGTTACTGACGTGCGAGATCAATGTAAAGCATCAATTCATGTTCGACGTCAAGCTCCGAGACAAGCTGCTCTTCGAGGACGCAGACTTCACCTTCAGCCGGCGGTATTTCTGGGCCTATAACTCCCTTGGTGTCATCAATGACGGAATCAAGTCCATGATCAGCGCCTACACAGACACATTCACGCCTGAATTCTGGGCAGGGCGCGACCGCACGCTGTGGCCACATCCAGAGCCGGACAGCGTCGAAGGGAGGAACTACCTGGGGCAGCTGGGCACGCTGCGCCAGGAGCTTGAGCATGTCATCGAGGACCTGAAGCAGGTCTTCAAGGCGAACGAGCTTGTCCGGCAAGAAATCGTCAGCCTGCGGGAGCAGCTTTTTAGCGGAAGCTCGGTCAAGGAAAGCCGCAGGGCGATCGAGCAAGGCGACAACATCAAGATACTCACCGGCGTATCGATGTTGTTCCTGCCTTTGACCTTTGTCACAGTGAGTCCTTTAAGTCTGATCATACCCTTGTTCCAAATGATATTCAGGCATTTTCGGATGACCCATCTGACTACCAAACAGTCCGTGTTCGGCATAACCGAGTTTACAATTTCCGCCGACGACTGGCGCTTCCCTGTTACCAGTAAGCAGCTTCCAGAGGCAATTCCATTTTTCTTAGGACTCATAATTCGTTCGAGTTGCTCTGAATTCCTCGTAATCCTTTTTGACTGCAACTTCGGACACATCCACCCGGGAGAAGGTGTCCCGTTGCATTCGTCGAGACGGAAAGTTCCTCTTTGGAACAATAATGGCTAACTCCAGAGAACACAGTGGTTGGAGTATGCGTCCCCTTCTTTCTACTGATCTTCATCTTGCAGACGCGCGGTGGAATGCGCGCAGTACGCAAGATTGGCGATTTTATCGAGGCCAACATGGGAAGGTGGAGTGATCGCTCGCGGAGCCGCCACGAGAGACGGCTCCAGCTTCAGCAGCAGCTCATGCAGGCGGCAGAGTCCCAGGCCTCAGCCGTCGGTGGAAAGAGGCGGATGAGCCTTAGAAGAGGCACCAAGCGCCGCAAGACCGGCATTGCTGGCCCCCAGGCTAGCGGGGTGATCAATGGTGTTTCTGTGCCCGTTCAGCAGAAGGGGAAGTGGTGGGTGCGCCTGAGGGGCAAAGAAGAGAGCACGGCTGTGCACAACGGCCTGATTGTGTAGGGTTCTACTTGGGGATCTTGGGTATGAACGCGTTTCTGTGAGTCTCGGCGCTGATACATGTACTTTTCACGATGAGTGTCACTGGAAGGGGGTTTTCCAGGCACGTGTCTTCGGGCCTCTGTTCCGCCACCGCAAACAAGCCATCTCTTCGCCTTCTATGAGTTTTGTCTGAATACCTAACACATCGATATCTAATGTTCAGCATCTTTCAGTGATTGTGGTTCCATATACTGACAGATGCTATGAACCAGATGAACTTAGTCCCAGGGCCGGTCCGGAGCCATAGGGTCTGGGCACACAACAAGCTTGAGATGGCGTGATCTATCATTTCAGTGAGCTTGACTTCAATGGGCGCGTATGACTGGATGTATCCTGGTCTTATATCTGAGATGTGGGCATGTGAACCCAAGAGCCGAGGATCGGAACATCTCGCCCTCTCAGGCCTCGTATCCAACAGGGACTGTTGCGTACAGGTGATCTCAAGGGTACGGAATCCCAAAATCGAACTTGTCCCGATTAGCAACCAACATACATGTACGCAGATCCCGTTCCGATATGAGAAATGTGGAGGCATCCATCTTCTCGTCAGCTTGTCTTGCCCAGGTTCAAGCTCCAACCCCACAAAATCATAGCTTGGTGACCAGGACGCCGGGTACGCGGCTACAGCTGACGGCCTTGGCGACTGGTGCACGCCAAGTCGAAGGGATTGTGTTGTGGCACCTGGAGTACTTGGCCTACGTGGGCGACGTACGATCTGACCTCCATTGGGCAAGCGAAATCTTCCAAGTTTTCCAATAGCTACATATTGGTATAAGACAAATGGTCCCCGTGCGGAAGGGGACTGTGGAAGTCCCCTTTGCCGCCGCACTCCAATCCCAAACACCACCATGACCTTGGTACAACACCTCAAGGTCTGGCTACGGCACCTGAAGAAGCTTGGAGGATTGATCGCACCACCGCCACCACAATCAGAGGATGGACGTGATCAATGGCCGTCGAGGGCTGCGTTCCTCCTCGCTGCCATGGGCGGTTGCGCCGGCCAGGGCAATCTGCTGCGATACCCCTCCGTTGTCTACAACAATTACGGGCTACAATGGTTCATTCCATATCTCATCGCCGTCTTCCTAATTGCCGTTCCAGCCCTCATCCTAGAGGTCTCCATTGGTCAGGCCTACCGAGGTGGGACAGTCATTGCGTTTAATAACGTCAACAGAAGACTAAAGGGCGTCGGCATGGGCCCGGTCTTCGTCAGTTTTATCGTCGTCCAGTACTTCACTGTGAATTTGGCCTGGATAATGACCTATTTCCGACACTCGTTCACGAGCCCCCTGCCGTGGGAGGGCCAGATCACGGACTTCTACATGGGCAAGGTTATCGCCAACCCCGACCCCATCCCTGGGAACCTGACGGACGGGAATGCTGCAGTCGCTGATTACACCAAGTACACCGGTGTGCGTTTACTGGGCGAGACGGTAGGCTGGAGCGCCTTCGTCTGGTTCCTGATCTGGTTTTCTATCTTCCGCGGCGTCGGCATGACAGGCCGAGTCGTGTACTTCACAATGGGCTTGCCCATCATCACCACGATCATCTTCGTCGGCCGCGCAGTGTCTCTCGACAACGCTAGTGCCGGCATCAAGCTCCTTTGGGCTACCTGGAGGGGTGACCAGCTGGCCTCTGGCACGGTGTGGCAGACTGCTGTCGGGCAGGTCTTCTTCTCAACCGGGATCGGCTTCGGTTATTTCACCTCCTATGCCTCATACAATGCCAAGTATTCCAATGCGGTGATGGACGCTATCCTGATTTGCAGCAGCAATGTCCTCTTCGAGAACGTCGCCGCCTTTGCTATCTTTGGCGTGGTGGGCTTCCTTGAGCTGTGGCCAGAACCCGGCGAGCGGCTAGGGGCTTTTGTTGTAGGCTTCTTAACGCTTCCAGAAGCTGTGATTCAGATGCAGGGCGCCAACTTCTGGGCTGCCCTGCTCTTTTTCACCCTCATAGTACTCGGCTTCAGTTCGGCGTTTGTCATGCTGGATGTCGTAGCGACACTCATCATTGATTCGGGGTTCAAAGTCTCGAGGCCCGTCGTCACCACTGCATTAACACTGATCTCATTCCTGATGTGCTTGCCCTACTGCACCGAATTCGGCTTCTACCTCCTTGACGGCATCGACCGATGGGTCAACAACGTTGCGTTGATCTTTGTGGTCTGGTCCGAGGTCGTCAGCTCGACCACCGTATACCGCTGGCAAGATGTGGTCAGTCAGACTGGCCTGCCTGCTTTTATCGTTTATAATACGGGATACATCGGAGGGCAAATCATTGGAGTCTCTGTTGCGCATGGTACGGGCATCCCGGCGGCCGGTGCAGGAGCTGGCTTTGGGTTCTATATTGCTTGCTGTCTGGCAGCAGTCTTGATTGCGAAAACTCCAGACTCTGCCGCCGCTGGCTTCTGGAAGGCGAATGTCTTTACGAGCCGGTTTTGGTATTTGGCTTTCTATTCGGTAAGTTTTGCACCTTGAAACCCCACTTGGACCGGTCCTAAATCATAATGTAGGGCAACCAACTGCGACGCGACCTCAACCTGGTCGTCGGCCGCGGCAAGAATTGGAAGATACCCGTCTTCTGGCCGGTCCTACTCCGATATATCAGCGGCCCCGTACTGTCCATTATCTTCAGCTTTGCCTATCCCGAGTTCTATACTCTGCGGTATGACCCAATGATGATTGCTGGATTCATCTTGGCACATCTTGGGCTCCTCCTTATTATACTTGGTTTTGTGATGCCCAGGTATTACGACATTTTCGTACCTACAGACCGAAGAGATGAAGTCTTGAAGGTGACTCAAGCGAACCAACCACCAGAAGAAATGTCCGAAGCCGTCACAAACGACGTGACCAAAGACACACCAGCTGTATAGAATAGTATTCTGGCAAGGAAACATGATGACGGAGCTTGGAATTAGATATAGAGAGAAGTCTGACGAATATATGATAGATTAAAATCCTTAAGTCATATATTCGTCCAACCCACAAACCTGTTGAGCTGTGTCAAAATTGCGTTGAAATGGGGGTCCTGGCCATCATAAGTGCTCTCTCTCTCGATATTCACCAGGGCAGCCCGTCCTACGCTATCAAAATTGATAGGAAAAGTTGAGCCCTCTCGAAGCCGGAATGATTAATGATCTAGTGCGGATCTCTACAATCGAAATCAAAAGGTAGCAATGCAACCGTTATCAAAGGTATTGCCGCAAGATATACATAGTAAGCGACATCAGCCACGAGGGGCAAAAGCCTGCCGCGCCATGCACAATATTCACGCTTTTTGCTAGAGAGCTCACAGACTTGTGACTCCTGGGTATTAGTGAAATCGAGTCAAAATAGGCCCAGCTTCTGGAGCCAGACTTTGCTATCCAACTATTTATGCGTTTCACCAAGCTCGGGCGTCGGTCGACTTAAGGGTTTGACCCTGACCAACTCTTGGCGAGACGTTTTATCGTCGGCCAGACGCTTCAACCTCAACCCAGGGGTGTATGGCAACTGTCAGATCATTGTTAGTTCCCTGATCAATCCACATGTGCTGCCGTATCTGTGAGTCTCAAACTTGTCTGAATGCCTCGCCCACTCGCTGTCGTGTCCCTGGGCTCCCTATCTTGACGTCCGGAGATGTGGGGCTCGGCTTCGGAATTTTTGGCTCATCTCGACTTCTCAAGCAGGAAACAGCAATCAAGAACTGACTAAGTCACGAGTGAAGAGCCTGTGGGCTGCTCTATGATGATACCCAGAATACGTCGCACATGACTGGAAAGGCTTTAATTGGCCACCAGGTCAAGGACTACAGGATGGCAGAAGCTGCGAAAGTAACCCTACCACGGGACCTGTTGGAGGCTCAACTCTCGATGGTGGAGCTGATTAGAGCCATGTACCCACCGTCACCAGGGACGCCAGATACAACAGCAGACGAGATGATTGAGAAAGTACGGTCATGGTGCGAGTCTTCGGACCCGTCCGGCGGAAGTGGCAACCTTCCTTCAAGCTTCAGCTTCGATATGACCATTCCGCTGAACGTCGAAGACTCCGAGACGCTGTCTCCTGAGATACAAATCGCCATCGCTGTGCCTTTGGCATCAGCAGACCCCGATATAATTGAGCCTCCACCGCTTGCATACTCAGTCCGCCAACCCGTCTGGATGTCCCGAGCCAACTTGGCGGAGCTGGTCAGCGGCATGCCTGCGGACGATGTCCTAGCGGTGTTTGACTATATCCAGGAGCATGCCCCCAAGTACCTGCGCAACGCAGCCCAGTCACGGGAGGAATCCTCCCAGCCATTAAAAGACGCTGGGCCCCTGATACGGGTGTGGTTTTATTTCCCGTCTCTATCGACGAGAGAGAAGCGCAAAGACCTAGTCTCGTACGCAGCTACATACAGCCTGACGGGGTTCGTCTTGGCAGGCAAGCCGGGCGTGTTGTGTCTGGAGGGCAGTTCCAGGGATGTCGACGGCTATATGAATGCGATCAAGAACGAGAGCTGGGGCGACATCCCCAGCCACCAGAAGAAGGTCAGCGAGAGGTTCCGCGAGGAGTGTGGGCCAGAGGGGAGGAAGTTCACGGGCATGAGCGAGATCACGGATGACCTGGGCGAGAGGCGCGGCACGAGGAAGAACAGGGGTGACATGGCGGCTCTCGAGGCGTGGCTGAAGGAGAAGGGGGTCGGAGACTCTTTCTCCAAGGTTGTGATGGGGTCGTGAGATGTGCTCGTGGATGGTGGTGATGGGAGGGATGTCTTGGCCGGGATAAAATGGACTGTCCCCCTATGCAGCACCGGCATTCATGTGTTGGTGGGCCCGAGTCTCAGAGATCACCACTCAGGTGGCTCTGAGGCACTGTTGCATTATATTTCCAGTTGGCGATATCATGTTGCCAAGATGCACGTCGCAGTGCCTGTCACGTTCAGCTCCTCGCTGTCACTTCACCCAGCCGTTGAGGACTTTGCGAGCTGCTAAACCACCTCGCTTTTCAACTCCCGCATCCTCATCCTTGAATGCATGTGTCAATACATTCTTACAAATAATGTGTTTTCATGACCAGATTTTGGAAATAATTCAATTCAGTAACCCGACCAGTTGTCAATGTTCCATTTTTCAGATGTTGGTTGTTGGCTCGGCGGCAGCCTCCCACTACAAGGCAGCAGTCGGGGCTGTGGGGCTCGCCTCTCAACATCTGGCTCAACATCATACATACTCTGCAATTTTTCTCTGCTACGGGAAAAACTACAGTATGTCAGCTTTTTGCTTCAGAACTTCCTCCACGACCAGGATTGACTTCTTCGTTGTCTAAGTCACCATGGGGAGCCCACACATGCTGTATGTCATCGCCAAAGTCAACGGGCGTTACCGCTCGCTGGCTGTGCTCTATCGTCACTACGATAACAAGGGCGAATGGGCCGTTGAGACCTGCCACAGACTCATTGGGATTTTTGAGGAGCCAGCCAATCGAAGCCTCCTACTTCACGAGATCCAGCTCGCCAGCAAGCTGCCCCCGGAGAAATGGTCGGCGAACCCAGAGTATCGCAATGAGAGGCCGGCCTTCCCTTTCATCGCCACCTGCCTCATGCTAGGGGCTTCTGTAGAACCTGAGACAGGGAAGGGGTACAACGCCACCCATGAGCCCTTCAATATGCCTCTCGCCGCCTTCGACGAGGGTTGTACTATCCTGGACGTCACAGACCCGGCCGCGGTGAGATACGCGTTTGCTTTCATCCTACCTCAGAGAACCGAGCCTGAAGGAATAATCAAGACGTCGTTTGGGAACACGCCTCTGACTGCCTGGGAGTACATGGAGTTTTATGGCGAGCCATTCTTGGAGCGGGTCTACCGGGGAGGCGAGGACGATGCGGCGATAGCCAAGACGCATGCTTATTTAACGGACTCTTTCAGAGCCCAGGCAGCTGTCGACACTGCCGTTATCGCCTCGTCACTTATTGATGAGGACACCCTTGAGAGCGCATGGCCATATCTTAGTGATCATCAGTCGTGGAGGAGGCGGGCCGACTTGGGTCTTCCGGAAATCGTCCCTCGGCCGTCTCCCGTGAGGGATCCTGCTCCATCGAGCCTGCCCGCGGCTCACCACAGCGAGAGCTTGTACAAGATCTTCGAGCAGTCTTACAGACTGTTCGAGCCTGGGTATAATGAGGGCCTCGATACAGAGATCTTCGCGCCTCTGTTACCTATCAAACAGGTCGTGAACATCCTCCACTTCGGATCACTAGAAGAGTCGTCCTGGCAGGCCAGGGCCGCCGAGTACGAGCCTAAAGACGGCAGATGCTTCCGAGAAAATGGAGTCCAGTACTTCACATTCCAGGTGGACGACGCCCCCGTCACCCCGGGGCTCACGCTGGATGTGCTGCATGGCTGGATGGTGGCAGCCAGCACCCAAGAGGAGTATGGAGGCAGGAGGCATTATGACTACTATCTTGACTGCACAAATTCACAAAGCGATCAGAACATACTAAAGTTCTTCGGCCTAGCTGGTCCGGTACGGAACGTCCTTTGATAGTGACGCCTTGCAAGCAAAACTCCCCTCGGCTGACAAAGAGACCAGAATCATCGAATCGTAAAGCCACTCCCGGGTCGAGCACTATTCTACGCAAAGAAGTCCTATCACTGCAATGGCGATTGGACTACGGTAGGTCTTGAGGCAATCAAACAGGGCGAGTGGACCGCCTTCCTCGTGCAGCAGTGGAAGCAGGTGCGGCAGGCGCCGGACCCAGGGATGAGTTGCCTGGCCTTCAAACGGGACGTGTTTCCCGTCGGCTTCCACTGTGCTTTTGTTAGCCGTGGCGCGGACGGCCAGATAATGGTGGCTGACCCCGAGACCTTCCGCTCTGTGAGCTGCTCGAAACCGGCGTACGAGGCTCTTCGCGCGCTGGATCCTAGCGAAGAGACATACGGGCGTGGGCTCGTGGACATACTTAAAAAGGGTGATGGTGCAATCAATGGCATTCCAGCATCTCTGATGAGGAGAGACGAGGTTCTGGAGCTGCTGAGTGCGATGGATGTCATTAAGACTAGGGAAGAGGAGCGGCTTACGAATTCTTGGAGCAATGTGCATCGGGGCCTCAAAGAGAGGAGGGCCAGAGAAAGGGAGGCAAAGACGACGTAGCGGTTCATATCGTCCTCTGGGAGTGCAGAGCCTCCTTTGAGAATCTGCCTGGCCTCGGCTTGCTTAGCCTAGCGCATTCTCTTTCCAATATCTTTGGACGAGGCTCGTTCATGGTTCTAATTCGAGTAGGCTTCGTCGAGATCGGATCAAGCAACTCCCAGGACAGTCACCATCTAGAATGCGTGCCCAAAGCAGATGAGGTCTTAATGACTGGTACCTCAACAAAGGACGTGAAGTAGACGCAAGGCAACTGCCCCAGGCATTCCTTCACCGTGAAACTGGTCTCAGCTTGACAAGACCCTGTGCGCAGGTTTGTGTGTAGCGACAAGGGTAAGTCACCACTAAGGGTTGAAGATTGCTAGTCATGGTCCGTCAATTTCGCGTGAACTTATCCTTCTCCATCCCGCAGCTTACGGCCAGATCCGAGCTTGGACTGGAAGAGATAAAGGATGCCGATGGCTTCAGTTCGGTCCCTAACCTTGAAGTCAATTCGGCGCCGAAGAAGTAGCGCCGGCCTTGATGTGCACATCCTGATTTGTGCGAGGACACGCTTTGACCCAAGACACCGCCGAGGATCACATTGGACGAGACAGTCAGCCACATATGCCTCGTGGCCTTATTGACATAGTAAGAAGAGACAACCGAATAGGGCAGCATGACCTGGCCCAAATGAGAAAGACAGAAAGAAAACCCTGTGCATGCTTCCTCAGCTATCACACGTAGTGATCAAGGAGCCTTTGCTTCACTCGATGCAAAAGGGCCTTAGGTAGGGCTGCACGCGACATGAAAGGTGAGCGGTTTGCGAGCTCAAGCTGAGCCTGCATAACCAGCCTCTTCAAGAAAGGCAAGGGACCTTCCCGTTGATGGATGGGTGTCACGCAAAGCCGGATGACGTTTTCAGATCATCTCTTCCGCGAATAATCCCATCGCTGTCTCAACATGAGCCGCTTACCTTTTGAGATTGGGATGAACCGTGTCTATACTGGCGTTGTGAGGATTGAGGACCATCGCGGCATTCGTATCACCTTTTGCGCAGAAATGCTAGCCCAGAGACCGAAGGCAGGAGGCGGGATGGTTCACAGGCTCTGAAGCTGGAGCCCGAGCCCTGTGCTGTAGGCTGCAATCATAATTGTTGCCCATGGTTGATGTCGTATTCTGGCCTCGCGTCGTCTGTGTTGTTCCTCCCCGAGATACGAGAATTGCATCTTGTAACCTCAGCGGTTCGTCGACGTGGCCTCGGACCCTTTAAATGCTGGAATCATGCTCGCTGCCACACGAATCACCACCTGATGGGCCCTGTCAGATATGCCTAGAAGCATGGTCCCGTTGTCAGGAGCTGAGCCTGATGCAGGACCTAGCTTATCATCTCTCCGTCGTTGAATATCAGGGTATGCGTAGCATCTCTGCAGCGGCTGTCTTGAGAAACGCTTCATAAGGAGGTACCAGCGGTTTGGGATGGCAAAAGACACCCGACGTTGTGGCATTATTGAAATCTTAGGGCGGCCGTGGAAATGGGAGGATCAAGTTGCTCAAACACGTCGTGGTCCATCCTGCCCTGCCACTGACTCGAACCGAGACCCCTGTCTTCAGAGTGGCTTCGGAATCGACAGTTTCCGTCTTCGTCCATGATTGAGGGTTGACAATAGTACGTGAGCAGGTTCACTCAGCGCACGTGGTGGTGTTAAAAGCCTCCTCAGGCAAGCCATCAGAGGGTTGTGGTGTCAGGCGCAAAAGCGTCGTCATCCAGTTGCCAGAGATTGGCATCCTGGCGAATGGCATCTTGGCACTAGGGACATCAAACCGAGACCCAGGCGATCAGCGCGTTTTGCCTGGGCCGACAGAGTGCCCGAGTCCCTGTCCATGACGAGGCAGGTGAAAACGGCAGTGCAGGCAGTCAGTGTTGACCATGCCGCCCCCCCCCCCCCTTTAAGCAGCTGAAGGTGCTTTGACGGGGTTCATCTGCACAGGCTTTGCTGCATTGTGGTTTGAAACCCAGATTGCCAGTCGATCGATCAGTGACAAGGCGTGACACCACTGTAGTCAGATGAGATGATGGATTTTGTGCCTAGCGATCATGTTAGACGCGCTTCAGACTGTGTGACTGTAAGGGACACAAGACGCTGGCTGTTTGCCTGTCTGAATGAACGTCTGACTGTTCTCACAGCCACGTCTCATCAGCCGGCGCGACGCAAAAGGGGACAAAGAGCCTCATGAATAACTAAATTCCGCCCGTCGGCATGACTGAAATGTGAGAGAGAATATTATTAGAAGCAGTAGCAAATGATAGGACGGAAAATCTCGACGGTAGATAGGGTTGATGGAGTCGAAAAGGGCGTCCCAAGCCCGGCGGCCAGACCAGAAACACGGAAGGGACGGGAAGGGCTTCTTAGGCTGTCTGATCTTCTCCCAAGCCAAGACCCTGTTCTTCCTGCTCTGCTGTGTGTGTGCAATTGTTGGCGCTGCCGATCGATCCCTGTTCAGTCGTGGTCCTGATGCGGCTCCTGGTGAGCCTCTTGTGGGGATGGAAGGGGGATCATCACTCGGCGCAAGCAAGATTGACTGCATCGCCAAGCTTTCCATCCCGTGTGCCCGTTTGTTTGGCTCCTCCCATGTTGGTAGAGGGGGGACAGGAGAATCGGGCGCCATGCAACGGTTCCCTGTTGGCAGCCGCTGTGGCTGGCGGCCCTTGAGGCTGATCAGGTACAAGTCGTCACAACTCATGTTTCACCATCCCACCGTCCAAACCCGAGCCCTGCGTCCGCTCCCGCCTCCGTCTGATGCTGGATGGGACCTGAACCCAGTAATCTCCAAAATTCCCACCGCAGTGGAAACAGCACCAAGCTTTTCTGCCTGCATTTCCATGGCACCTAGAGGACTGCCGTCTGCTGTGGCACACACTCTGTTCGGTGGGGACTGGGGGCGGGGCCGAGGGGGAACATCGGGGTATTCCTCTGCGCGGGTTGGTCTCAACATGCTAGCCATGCACACAAACACCCGCCGATCCGCCTGTAAACTGCCTGTGTTTTGCTATCCCCGCCCCCTGGCAAAGGAGATTCTCAGGAGGCCGGGTCCCTTCATGGCCGAATTACGTGGGCGGGTACTCGAGCACAGGCGAGATGTCATCATCCCGGCTTGGGCAGTTCGAGGTCGACACCTGATACGCACTGTACTGACTGTACCATGAACAGTCGGTCAGTCAGGAGGTTTAGTCTATCTAGTGCGTCTTGCTGCCCTGCTGAGCCTTCCTAATGCCGTACTGTGCCGTACTATAGTGCACCACACCAGTACTATGTACAATATGCTGTTGGGATGGCATGTCTTATGCTGGGTATGATGAGCAGCAGGTACCTTACCAAGCAGCGCTCCGCAGAGCTATACATCCCATTCCATGCTGCCCCATCCTGTACAGTCCAGTGACGGGGAAGTCTGGTCTCGAATTCCACGGGATCTTCGTCCCGAGTCTGAGATGGAGTGCTTGGACGAGGTGACATGCCGTGGCATCTCATGCCCACCATATGGAGATACAAATACCACATTTCTCTTTAGTTCTTATGTTCCATTATCATTCTTTCTTCTCTGTCCCACTGCCGAATTTCTGTCGAGACCAAGTACTGTCTTTCTCTCCTTCTTCACCAACAAACCCATTCATTACGACTTGTAATCAGTCCGTCGCCGGCCGACAACCCACCAAATCCAGCCAAAATGCAGTTCACACTCTTGACCCTCGTCACTCTCTTCGCTGCGGCCATCGCGGCACCAGTCAGCCCCAGGGGAGACGAAGACCGTAAGTAGTGGCACGGTACACGCTGGTATGAAATATCTCATACTGACTTTAATATCTCTAGTCGTTGTCCGCCAAGCCGCATCCGGGCAGCCGACCACCTCACAGGCCGCCATGACTGCTGCGGACGGCAGCGTCGTCGCCTTCAACACCGCTGGTGTCTACCTCGACTCCGTGGCCAAGGGCCTGTAAACCACTCGCTTCATGAGACGAGAGTGCGTGCACGAAGGAAGGGAGGCGCCGCCGCCGAGGGAAATGTGAGGCACTCGCCTCACGATGAGCTTGGTGGTGGTTGTCTGGCGGTATAGACGGGATCGTGTCGGCTCTCGCAGTCGCACACAGCCGCATTATTATGTTAATGGAGCTTTGGACCGGGTGGATGAGGCCTAGATTGCCACGCCCCCGTAGATGGCATCAACGGAGATGAGGAGGGAGAGAGGGGGAGGCTGGAGACAGTTGTACATTGTGGTATTTTTTAAACGGCGAATTCACTTCAACACGGTCACTTGCGGCGTTGTCCGCCCATTCTTCCTCCAAAATACCACTCTCGTTTCATGACTGGTCAGTGTCGTAACCACCGTGGTGTCGGTCGCAGTTCTGCGTACTTGAGCATCTGAATGCTCAGAGCATTAGCCGTGACAGGAGTTTTGCCGGCTGCCCCATGGCGCTCTTTCACGGCGTTGCTGGGCCAGATCTGAGAACAATACTCAATAAGCTTCATAGCCACCAACCTTTGAAAATATGAGCTTCCGGAAATGGAGCTGGATGCGAGGTAAGAGGAAACCGCGAAACGAGTCTCGCTACCTGCTCAGCCCCCTACCCCCTGGTTCATGGGTAGGGGAATGGCAACTTCCCTTGGAAGCTGAGAGTCTCGGATGTCGAATGACGCGGTGTTTCCCCCTGAACACAGGCGCCTGCCCTGGGCAGTTGCTGGAAGAGCAGGGCTGGCCTAGTCGAGGTTTTCCCATGTTGGGGACGTTTCAGGAACACAGAGCGGTCACCGACGGCGTCCGTCCCTTAATGTTATCGACTGCCGTGTGACAATGTTCTCTGTATCCATCAGATAGGACTTTTGGATCCACATTATTGGCGGGCTCGGTAAAAAAAAAAAAAATAATAAAAAAAAAAAAAAAAATTCACCCAGTCTTGTTCTGTCTCTGCGGTGAGGTCGATGATATTGTCGAGAATTCCGTCAAAACATTGTTGAGTGTCCACGACCAAGGCTCTGCAAATTGGCTAGCCGCGTACTCTCGACTGACATTCTCTTCATTTTTTTTTTTGAAAAAAAAAAATTTAAAGCAAAAGGAAAAAGGAACAAGGAAAGGGCCGCGGGGGGTCGCACAGAGCCATCTTAAGTCGAGTCGATTCGACATGAGTTGAGTTGTGTCGAGGCTCACACAAAGAACGTGCTCAGTGCTGGCTTTAAAACAGGCCCACCGACACTCAAATCCGGCTGGCTCAGCGGTCGCAAGCTGCTATTGTCGAGAGGCAGTGTTCGTCTCTGATGGCGGGTCAAGCAGTCACACCCTGGCCACTACTCCTGATCATAGGGGGCATTTGATGCTGTCGTCAGATATTTCGCGTCCTCGCCGATCAGTTCCCTCATGGTGCTCTCATCAGCAAGATGTTTCCACGATGAGGTCGTTTGTCGCGTCTCCTCGACTCCACGTGGTTGGCCCGAGACACGAGACTTTTTGGGGCAGGCTAAGGCAAACTTTGACAGGGTGTGTTGGAAATGGAGGGCGGCAGGTTCCACTGCCGCCTGCAGGGTCTCATCGGCGGTGCCTTTTGCACGATATGCTTATTTCCTGGTGAAACATGCATCTTCCATCCATCTACCCTTCTAGCTGACTTAATCAAATCCAACGGTGTTGGTCCCATCGGTGACCTTATCAGCCTCATGTTCACCAGCTCAGGGGAAATAAGGTCTTGATTAATCACCGCTGGTGGGATTGTGGCTGTTCTCTTCGGAGCATATGGACAGACCAATCGTCTTTGCCCCGTCATGAGCTTGGGCTGCGAGCCTATTTTTAGCACCGGATTTTCGCAGTGCTGTGCAGCACCGGCACGCCAACAAATGAGCCTCATCAAGACACGCCAGCGCAGAACGGGTCCGTCCGGGCCACGCGCGACTCGGCTGATGAGCGAGTGGCTCCCCGGCTGTGGGTTCGCAGAGCCACTGACTCCAGTCAGTCAGAAAGCCACCTACCAGGCCAGCCCGGAACTTTGCCCACGGAGATTCGCTGTCATTTGGGGATTGGCCACCAAAAGCCGGCCATGGAGCGTAGTGCTTTCTTGCTCCTGGCCGTTGCTGCGAGACCATCCTGAAGGATCGCAAGCGCTGTCCGCGATCTACAATTTGCCCTCAACAAACCCTTCCAGATCTTCAGCTCTTCCAACGCTAGACGCGCCAGAATCTGTTAGAGTCACATCTGCCTTGTGAAGGCTCCATTCACGCGGGATCCTACCCCGTTGCTTGGGCCAAGTCATCTCGTTGTTCCACGTCGAATTGCTTGTCCCAGCGCCGCGCGCCAGAGGTCAGGAAAGCTAACCAACTCAGCCGCAACGACATCGCACATCCTTTCTTCGTCATGACCGTCGAATTGTCAAGATGACAGACCGCCAGTCATTCTCGGGCGAGATGCTCTCGGTCGTAAAAACACACACAATCCAGCCGGCGACGCTTGCGTGGCCTTGATGTCAAATATCGTGAAGGTGGAGCCGCCCCTGGCCGCTGGATCTCAATATGCTCAGAGCGTCTGATGCTTCGCGTCACTTGTCCACTGACTCTTCATCTCTTTGCTGATGACCCGGCCGGGTCGCCCAGCCCTGCTCCGGTGGCTTGGCTTCCAGGTCTTCGGAATGTGGCAGCCTAGTGGGCACGCGCAGCACGGGTCGTGGAAAGTTCAATCTTATTCTCGAGCCGGGCTCCGATTCCATTCATCGGGCTGTGGATATCCAAAAGTGGGCTGTGTACGTTCTCTGTTCGCCCAAAATCTGGGGATACCGTATTCTTAGCAGTACTAGAATCCTACATCGTCTTAGAGCGCCCCGTCCTGAGGTGTTATTGTCACCGCCCTTTATTTTATCTTTCTTGCTTCTTGCTATAAGTTTTCGTGGAGGCATATGATTTCTGTATCTATATAGCTCCAGCACTCATCGACATCCTGTTGTCCCCAGGTCTCTCGGCGTTTGAATAAGCTTCTCACGACATCAGCTAGCCCCAGTCACACCACACCAACACCACCTATCTTGCTGGACAGGGGCCACGACGATGGTCCTCCACCGCGACCAGGCCAAATTCGACCGGGCCCAATGGCGGCTCATGGTCCTCGTGCCATCTTGGATGGTACAGATTTCACTCTACCTAGTTCTTATCGGTATATCTGCATATCTTCTAGCCAACGCCATAGGCGTTTCCGATGAAACAAATGGGACGGCAATTGCGTAGGTTGTCCAAGTCATCAACAGCTGTGGATATGTGCTGACGGTCAAATCAGATGGGAATCCATAACTATTGGCTTCGCAGCCATCTCGATACTATGCACAGCATTTGAGATATTTAGGACGTTTGCCGAGGCCCTGACACCGAAGGAGATGGTTGTCTCCAGCCTTGTTAAGCTTGTGGGAATCATCGTGTCCATGATAATGGGAGGATTGATGTCAGACACTGATCTTTCCTCATGGATCACCGGGACGCAAGTCGTTCACGGCCTATTGATGTAAGAGCAACTCATCGAAATTCCTCATCCGGATGTTTGTGCTAACAACCAGGTAATAGCATCCCGGTACTCGCTCTGGGCTCATATGCAGCCTGGATTTGGAGGTGTCTGGCCCAATACGACGATTATGGCCACCCAGCGAATGTCAAACCCTTCGGCTTTAAGAGTGATCGTAAAGACAAACTCTCCCACTCCCGCAACGAGTCCGATGACTGGGATGTTGAGCTCCGCGCATCCTGGGCCTCGAGGGAGGTAGCCATGGGCAACGCCGTCGATATCACATCACCACCCCCGACGTCACCATCACCGGAGGACGCTCCTGCCAAGACCCGAGAGCGAGGATCTTCGTTCGTCAGGGTCGGCGGGCGCCTCAACTTCAGCCTGACGAATGACGTGGACGCAACAAACGAGCACGCCAGCCGGAGCCGCGCCAACTCGTCATCCGCTCTCATGGGCAGCACTAGCACAATTTTCGAGTCGATACCCTTGAATATGTCCACACCCGACCTGGTCATCCCGAAGAGGCCAGCGTCCTACATCTCCGTAACAGGCACGGGGCTCGACCGCCGCGCCTCGTACAACCACACCCGCGACACGGCCTTCGACGAGTACGTCAAGCAGCACCGCAGCCGGCAGCAGAACATGAGCCAGAGCTCCATCGCCTCCAGCAGCGGCGGTGGCCGCAGCAGCAGCGCGCCGTTGGCTCGCGTCCGCGCGCTATCCAACACGGACCGCACCGCGGCACAGCAGCAGAAGTTGAAGAACGACGTCGACGATGCTATGGGTACCGCATTCGGCTGGGGCACGGCGAGCAGGTCGTCAAGCCTTGACAGTGTTATGGCCGGGGGCACACCGCCTGCGATTGCCGTGGGCGGCGGCGCGGTGCCTAATGCCAAGTCTGTGCGGAACAGCCTCGGGCGGGCGCCTAGCGACGGCAGCGAGAGGGGAGCGGTGGACTCAGTACCCGAAAATGGGGATAACAACGACAGCCGAGACGGTGATGTCGACGAGGAGACACGGCAGAAGAATGTGGACGAGGCGAGTCGGGCTCTGCTCGGCGGACAGCAGGAGGAGGACGACTATATCCATCCGGAGTCGTTGAGGCCGGGCAGTGCAAGGCCCAGGGCTCTGAGTGAGACGATCGAGTTCATCGTGACGCCGCCGCCGAGAACGCCGACCGAGGAAAAGGACGGCGGAGTGCGGAAGACGTGGGGAGCTGCATATCAGCTATAAGAGAGGTGGAGGAATGATACCCATTGTTTTCGAGAAGCGTAGCATATTTCATAATAACAAACACCATGTTATGGAAGAACGTGTCCTTACTTAAAGTGAACGATTGTGTGTGAATGGATTAGCATCTCATGAGGATCCCAGCCATCAACCCGGCACCAGAATTGACTCAAAGGAGCTTAGCAACTGGAGAGCTCTGAATGATGGTTGCTGCCTCCTTTAAGGCCCAAAGCGAAGAAATTAAGAATTGTGTAACCACTGTGACTCAAACAGATCTTTTGTTCCTGGGTAGGAATGAAGACCGAGTTGGTGACTAGGATGCAACCAAAGAAGGACATTAACAGTTATTTCACATGTAAGAGTCTGGATGGAAATATAGCCAAACACAATTTTCCCTGCAAGCACGCTCATCCGCCTTCACAAACATTTAAAGCTAGTAAGTCAAATTGAGAGATCATAAATACCTTGAATCTCCTCCAATCAACCCCGTGAAAGACCATCACTCTGCTTCCAGGGACCCCAATATTCGGCTTTGACCTGAGAAGTACAATCTTTTCTGGGAGATGATATACCATGAGATAAACTTCTATTGCTCTTGGTTCTTACAAAATGATGTACAGGATGATTCCCAGGCTTTGATATTTACATTCTACACGCTCTTGGGTGTCTATGAGAATTTAGTGATACTCGCATAAGCCGTATGCGTATAGCTACTCGCAAGAGCTTTTGAGACACAAGAATCCCAGACCTCATCAAAACAGAAAGCTGTCTAAATGGGAAATTCAAGCTCCTCAAGCACACTGAACACCGTCAGTGTTATATCCCTTAGTTCGTCTACTTCGTACTTTTAGCCGACTATTTTCACCCACATCTGGGATTGGGAGGCCAGCATTTCTGGCATGACGTGGAATACAACAAGAGCTGAAGCTCAAGAGTCAATGAAGAATGGCCTTATGGTCATAGGAGATTGTGACTCGGCAGGTGCTTACAAAGTGAAGTTGAAGTACAACAATCGTCCGTTGTAAGTCGGACTCACAGAAGCAAGGGCGTATTTGCCAGACCATTCACTGCAATTATTCACCTAGACTTCGCAAAAGAATCACCAGCTGTCCAGCAAGTATATAAACCTCGCAGATTCCAGAAAACTGTCTTGCTTTTCTTCTATCCTTCTCAGCACGACAAGGGTATTCGGACTCACAGCAACCTAACTTTCCCTGAAACAATCACGCACAGCATCTCCCTGACAACTGCGGTCATCTCAGGTGTATAATAAAGCCAGTCAACATGCCAAACCAAACCAACCCTTCCCAATTCGACCCTCCAGACTTCTTACTCAATGCCATCAATTTGGAGGTCAAATGCGCCAGGCAAACCTACCTCTTCCTCCGTGACGTCTTCGGTCAAGCCGTCTCCACAGCACCTTCGAGCGAACAGCAGATACCTTGCCAAGTCTCGCCCGACGGCAAGCAGGCCATCTTCCAGATGGCGAACATGAAACTTCACTTCAACACCGCCACATCCGCCGAACACGCGGTTGAAGGGCGCAGCGTTAGCATCAACGTCCTTGTCAACGATGTCAACAACGTCAGGCGGGTGCTCGCCCGGGAGGGAGTCGAGTACAAGACTGGAATATGGGAAGAGGGACCCGGGCGTCCAAAGTGGCTGACGTTCGTGGACCTGGATGGATACAATTGGAGTGTTGGAGATCTCGTAAAACTATGAGTCTCGAGACAGGAATGCAGGTACCAGAGTAATGAAATCAAGATATGCTTGAAAGACGCCAGACGATCCGTGAATATGCAAAGCTCCCACATGACTTGGTATCTCCCTCGTGAACAAGATGTTTCCGATGCATCCTTCGTACACCTCCTTGAAACTCCTTGCAATGATCAGATGCAGCCGCAACCAAATGGACGGCCCATAGTATGACACAGTGTCTCCCTCACCTCACAGCGTCGCGTTCCTCACAAACCCATTCAGCCCAGCCCCAAGCAGTGGAGGTTTCTCAACCGGGCTCCTCCCGTTGCGGTACTTCCACAACCGACTCAGCTCCTTGACCTTCACCTTCTCAGTCGCCAGGCCCAACCTCCGCCGTAGAGCGATGGGGCTCTCACCATTATGCATAAAGACTTCGGCCGCGCCAGACTTACTCTTCCCCTCCTCCTCCCCGTCCGACTCATCGTCCGAGCACCCGAGGTAGCTACTCGCAAACGCCTCCCTCTCGTTCGCGCCCGCGTCGCCCGACTTGCCAATCACAATCTCGCTCTCCATGAACTCATTGCCAACCTCCTTGCACCCGACCAGCTGGCCAGTGACGGCGTCCTTTGCGAGCGGGAACATGCCGTCCAGGTAATGCTGGATGAACTGGTGGCCCCCGCGGCCGTCGGTGCGCGAGAACAGGCGCCCGATGAAGCGCGGCATCGACCGGTCCGCCGTCGCCGACGTCGCGAAGTGCAGCACCCCCCACAGCGCCACGAAGTCGGTCGTGTGCGCGTAGTGCTCGATGTGGCCGATCGCGCGCTCCGACTGCGTCGCGGGGCTGTGGTGGGACGTCTCCTGCTTGGCCAGGCTGCGTACGCGGTGGTCGCCTGTGCCTGCGCTGCCGTTCGGGGCTAGGCCACTTGTGCTTGTCCTGATGGGCGGCGGCGGAGAGGATCCTGGGGTCGGGGGCCGGCGGCTGCGGTGGCGCGGGGACTGGTGAGAGCCCACGGCGTGTCCGTTCGCCTTACCGGCTTCCAAGCTGTCTGAGGCGGATGCTGGTCTTTCGCCGTCGCGTGCCACAACATCTAGTGATGCCTCCAAAGGCCTTTTTTCCGCCTTGACTTGGGATCCCACCGTTCGATATGGGTTGTTGAAGTGGTTCGCAGCGTTGCCGAAGGTGTAGACCTCCAACTTGCTGAGCAGGTTCTGGGGGAGTTCTTGCAGCAGCCAGTCGAGAACCAGACCTCCTTCGATCCCACCTTGAGAGTGCAGGATGAAGACAATCTTGGAGTACTGCGGATTGTACAGCTTCTCCTTGATGATGCGATAACACAACCGCACGTCGTTGGTGGCGTAGCCGAGGTTTCGCTGGATCAGACACTCGATCACGTCAAACACCACCCCGTCAGTCCTATTATGAACCCCAATGATGGGCCTGCCGAACGTCAACGCCAACCGGTTTAGGCAACTCTTCATCCAGTGCTCGCCACAAGCCACTCCGTTCAGGAATATCCATTGCTCGTGAGCGAACTTTTTCTGGTCAGGCTTCGCATACTCGGGGTCTGAGTGGAACAAGACTTCTTTGGCGTTGATGAGAAGGCAGAGGCCTTTATTCACGCCCACAAAGACTGCCACGATTGCCAAGGTTGTCCAAAGTGGAAGGATCAGGGCCACAGGCGGTAGGCAGATTATCATGACCAGCTGGAGGATGGCCAGGACAACGTGGATGAAGATACACCAAAGGTTTCCTCTGGTGGGCGCAAGCTCGGACAGATCCCCGGAATCGAAGGGCCTCCATGGCAGTATGATATATGGGAGAGCCCAAATGTAGTAGAAAAAATAATAGACATCCCACAGCAACAGCCTCGAGGGCTTATCTGTGTAGCTGTAGTTGATGACGGTCGGGTTGTCTACCTGGCTGCCGTAGAAGTCGACCGTACTCGACGATGCTGTCGATGAGGCGGAAGCTGAGGTATCATCGCGGCGGAAAGCGGGCGACTTGAACAGCTTCCGGATCATGGGTGCTGCCGTCGGATCCATGCTCGAGGCTGGCGCAGAAGGAGCTGGATGGAGCCAGGACTTGATGCCGACAAAAGGAAAAGCCCAGATGAAAAGAGCAGATAAGCAAACAGAAAGCACGCAGAACGAAACAATGGAAATCATTGAAGCTGATGCTCGAGTGCACCAACTGCCGCTCCTTGTATACAGCTGAAGAGGAAATGTAGTCTACTCGCCTAGCTGGTCACAAGGAGGGCAGATGTCTCAGAAATGGGAGTGAACACCATATTCTTTGCAGCCTGGCTGCTGACCACCTGCACAGCCCTCAGCCCTCAAGCCCACAGCACAGTCAGACTGCCGAGCACTGGATGGCTGCCCTGGCAGGCCTGGCTGCTGCTGATTCTGCTGCTACCGTACCATAGCAATCTAGCACTGCTGCAGGCTGCAGGCTGCAGATCGGGCTGCTCGTTCACATCGTGCGCGAGCCAATAAATACTCCCTTCATTTCGCAGGGCCAGGTCACAGCCCCTTATTTTCCTAGCGCTGACCCATGGCTGTGGTCCATCTTTCGGTGCTGCCCGTTGGCGATCCAGTCTGTCGGCTCCTTTCCGTCACGGTCGGTGAACGAGCCCGCCCGTTGAAGGGTCCAGACTCCAGAGCGTTTCGGAGCTGAGTCGAGCCAAGACATCAAATCATATCTTTCTCCCACTGCATTCTCGAAGGGGGGGTGTTCATCCCCCCTTCTATAGGTCCTGCTAAATTGAGCCTAGCTCGGAGTCGATGACCCACAGATCTTCAGGCTAGGCCTGTTTGGGCTAACACCCCACAAGTGTAAGTCAACCAACACAAACTTCCAAATCATCCTAACCATAGCCAGAGTAGTTTGAACGCAACGGATTGCAATACTCTTTCATCCCGAATAATTTCCATGTGCAAAATAACTCCCACCATTCAATAGTCTGTCAGATCTTTGCTTAAGGTCACCGATCCGGGAGACTATATCGACAGCAAAATCCAATATGGAATGGTGACGCAAGTGCAGATACAGCTTCGTATATACTAATTGTGTATTCTCCGTTACATGCCATGATAAACACAAGCATTGCAGAGGCAAATCAGAAGTCCATTCCGTGTACGAAAGAGCATCATTTACACTGGAAGATGATCGAGACCACTACGATGGGCACACCTGCGGATTTTGCAAGCAGAATATTGATATGGCGATGAAGGAGGAGGCCATTCAGGCGATATGGACATCTGGATCAAGACCCAGATGAGATTGACAGCAAATGCACACCCAGGAATCAAAAGTTCCGGACTGTTCAACTGCAATCCCGAAGTTCATGTGTCACTTGTACTTGTACGGGCCACGATTCACAATCACAGACCGGGCCCGTCACAGGTCGGAAGGGAATCCGAGCCTTACATTTGATTCGGCTCCATCGCACCCGTCGGCACGTCAGGACCTCGGTGCTGTTGTATCCCATAACAAGAAAAATACTGCACTCGGCAAGGAGAGACAGTCGGACTAAAGCCAAACCCTAAGTTTGTGGTGATTGCTGTAGGGCATGCAAGACATACTGAGTAATTCAGGCGTGAGTGATATCAGAGCACATGACTGCACGAACCAGACAAGGAAAGAAGCAGATTCAGGCTGTGGATGCGCTTGCGTTGAGGGTTAAAAAATATTAACAAAGCCTATGCATGGCTATGACATCTTGGATTATCAATACTGCAGCGATCGTATGGAATTTCTCTTGGTCAATCAGAAGGATCCTTCCATGTCATTGTATTGTTGTTGGTAAGCAGTCAAAATCCTATCTGTTCTCCGGGTTGCTGTCCAATCAAGTCTTAGGAGAGAGAATGTCCCCGAGGCTACAACTCACCGAGCATCAAGATCAGCAATATCCATGCGGCTTACTATGGCTAGAAAATCCCTAACAAATGCAAACAAGTGTATGCCCAGCCAGAACAGGCATAGTGGAAATAGGCTCGACCACTCAAACCGCATACACAGCCAACACGTACAGCACAAGATGTGTTTGGAGGCAGTGGCGCCTAGTTGCAGCCGCTTAGTTACACGGCATATGTGTGCGTGGTGCCGGAGCCATCAGTGTTGCCTTGTGTCTGCCTAGCCAAGACTACATTGTTTATAACCCCTGACCAAAGAATCATTCTCTGACGCCATGCAGCTGTCAACAGCCTTGAAATTTTTTGTTTTCTCCCCACATGCCGAGTGCATCTCGGGGAATTTATGGTGTTTTGAAAGCTTCTTTACTTATCTTTACGTCCCGGTCTTTCATTCACCCAGTGTCAGCTTCCGCAGGGTCTCTCACCGCCATACCTAAATCAAGACGGTATTCTATTGTATAATTACATCTGCAGTCATGGATGTCTTTCCCTCTCTTGGGGGCATATCCACGGTGGCGATCTGGCCGGTGTTAATGATGAATTGGCGGAGGATTGTCGCTTACTTCCCAGCCGTCGAAAGAGTTGTCGACCGGTTCGACTCGGAGAAATTGCTTCATGCATTGCTGGGAACACGTACTGGCCTCTCCATGCTGGGGGTTCTGTCCTCCGTTGCGGCCGCCCACTTCGTCCACCTGGCTTGGAACGCCACTTGGCGCCTCGCAATGGTTACGCTTCATACCAAATGCTCCCTCTCGGAACATAGTAACATCCATGATCAGGTTTTAAGCTGGGTTACTAAGAACCCCAAGTTTCGGTCGGCCACTAAGGTAAAAATCATGGACCAAAATGAGAGTAAGGTGGAAGTCTCGGACACCGAAGACTCCATCGATATCGAGCGGATGATGAACGAGATAGTATGTTGTAATCGCGAGGCCACAAATCTCCCCGACATCGACCAGCTGATTTCTCATTAGCCTCCTACTTTTCGTCCCGAGATCGGCCAGGTCCGATTCTGGCACAAGGGTGCGTACTTCTGGATGTATGAACGCAGAGACAAGAAGCTCGAGTATCACGGCAAGGAGGCCCCAGACAATTGGCTGGACATTTACTGCTTCAGCTGGAATCGAAGCACAAGTAAGCTCTACTTGTCTTCTCTTTTATTCTTTCCTCACGCAGACTCACCACCTCTCTGCGTGCTTCGCGAGGGTGATAACAGGATCAGGAATCACTAACCAAAGCCAAAGAGCCTTTGAAAGACTTGCTCGTGACAATTTTAAAAGAAGATGCTGCTCAAAATTGCGGAAAGACACTCATATGGTGCCCCGAGCGGCAAATGACACCGTATAGCAGTATGCCTTACTGGTTGCGGACTCGATCACGCCTCAGACGGCCACTCAGCACCGTCATATTGAACGAGCAGCAGAAAGACACAGTTGTGGACGATATCACGAGCTTCCTCTCTCGGTCGGGGGTAATGTGGCATAAGGAGAAAGGATTGCCTCTGTAAGTATTCAGCCAGAACGGTGAGCTTTGAAGTTGTCGTAATGGTTGCATTGACACGAGAATCGCCAAAACCCAGTCGTTTGGGCTATCTGTTCAGTGGCCCTCCCGGAACAGGAAAATCGTCCCTGGCTTTCGCCCTTGCCAGCAACTTTGGTCTTCCTGTCTATATGATCAACCTATCATCCCCTGGCTTCAGTGACTCCGACATAGAGTCACTCTTTTCTAGTGTCCCTCGGCACTGTATTGTGCTCCTCGAAGACGTCGACGCCACCCAGCCCTTGTCAAGGAACCTCACGGACGCGAAGGGAACTGGCGAGCCAATGACAGCTTCCGCGGTGCTGCCATCACCAGATGAAGATGATGAACCGCCATTTCCGCCACCTCCTAGGAGCAAGCGATCAAGCGGCAGACGCGGCAACTCGGTTACTTTAAGCGGCCTCCTCAACGCCATTGACGGGGTCGCTGCGTCGGAAGGTAAGTCACCACAGCACCGTTCCCAACACACAACAACAACCAAGGAAGCCCGCCATCTAACATTATTTCCACAGGCCGCATCCTGATAATGACAACCAACCACATCGAGAACCTGGACGAGGCACTGATCCGGACGGGACGCGCCGACCGCATCGTGACATTCACCAACGCAACCAAGCATCAGGCGGGCGAGATGTTCGTCAACGCCTACACTGGGACGCGCTGGGGCCAGCACATGTCGCGCGAGGCGGTCCTGCGGCACCCGGAGATGGAGGAATGGACCGACGGCGACATCGAGCGGCTTGCTCGCGAGTTCTCGGCTAAGATCCGGGATGAAGAGTTCAGCCCTGCGCTGCTCCAGCAGTACTTTAAGGATTTCCGGGCGGAGCCACGGCGGGCCGTACGGGAGCTGGATGCGTGGATGGAGGACCCCCGCGGGTACCGGAAGCCTTCGCTTAGGCACAACCCTGATGGGTCTGTGGATGAGGCGAAAGAGGTGGAGGAGAAGTCGGGCGGAGACAAGGATAGTCCTGTCGATCATCCGACGGGTTCTGAGTAAGCATAAAAGGGCGGTGGCCTGAAGATATCTACCACAGCCACGGATCAGACGCTGTCTCTTACAGGAGCGAAATGACTGATACACACAGCATAGAATTTCTTGACTTTATCGATTGACTAGCATTTCGGTAGCTACCATTGTCAAATTTGAAGTGTAGGTAGCTTCAAACAAATTGTCAGGTATATGAGAACAATAGAAGAAGTTAGATGTCTTTCATCCTTCATAAGAAGAAACGGTCGATGATACAAATGGTCTTTATTCATGTGCTTGATGGGTTCCAGGGTTCTCAGCCTGAGTCGTAGACTACTCAAGTCAACGTTCAGACTCTGGCACTGACTCTGAGTAAGAAAGCCATGCGATTACCCACAAAGGGCAATGCCGACTCTGTGATGTTCAACCTGGTTGTCGAGGGTTAGATGCAAGTAAGTCCCAGCTCGCATGATATTGCCGCGATAATTCATTTCCTAGATTTGGGTTGCTGTGCTGATGCCAACTGTTGAAAGGAGAGAACATATGAGAAAAGACTTTCTTCCTCGCCCACCTGACGGAGACCGACTCATGACAGAGGAGAAGGCCCCGGCCCGGATGATCTGTTTTCGGTCCGCCGTCCGACTGCTACCTATAAATAGGCCATCACAGCCTTACCGCAGTTCCACTCAGCACTGGGGATGGTTGGCAAGACCATAGTAAAGTGTGGGCAGCTTGGGGTCGGTGGTAGGGGGCCATCTATCTTGAGAAACCTCATTTCGTTTACTCTCTGTGTAGGGTGAATTTGGGGAAACCTCGAGGTCTTGATGAGAAGAGAAGTTGGTTTTCGAGAATATAAAGGTGAGCGGTGGAAGGGGCGTTGAACAATGAATTTACTCACTCCTCACCACCACCATTATCAACACCCGATCCAACTTCATTGTCTATCCTTCAGCCTCTACGGCAACACACTCTTTACGAATCATCTGGCACTCCTTTGGACAAGAAACTTCATTTGTCACTTACAATCACCTGTAATATCCAAAATCCCTTCATCATGTCTCTCCGCGCCGCGATCTTCAGCCTCGCCGTCATGGCTGGTTCCGCCTTCGCCGCACCGGCCAAGCTCGCAACCCGCCAAATCATCGACCACGATGCCGTGGCCTCCTTCTCCGAGGCTGTTCCGGACAGTGCCGTTGGCAAGCTCATCACCAAATACGCGCCGCACCTCCGTATCGCAAATGGCTGCGTTCCGTTCCCAGCTGTTGACTCGATGGGCAACATTGGGTAAGTTGAATCGCCAACAGGATAACTTGTGAAGAACAGATTATCTAACATACCGACTATCACAGTGATGGCCTGAAGCCAACAGGCGACATGGCCGGCGATTGTTCATCCAGCCAGGGCCAGGTTTATGCACGTGCAGCTACCTACAAGGACAGGTTCGCCATTATGTACTCGTACTACATGCCCAAGACGGAGCCATCAGCCCTCCTGGGCCACAGGCACAACTGGAATAACGCCATCGTGTGGCTGTCGGACGATAGCGACGCGGCGACGCTGCTGGGAACATCCCTCTCGCAGAAGTCGTCCTACGACCAGAGCAAGACCCCGGCTCTCGATGGGGATGCGCCCCTCTTCTACTACAAGTCTAACTGGCCCACCGTCCACGAGCTGTACTACGACTCGCTGGAGGGCCAGCAGGAGAGTGTCCGTGTGGTGGACGTGCCGCTGGTCGCGTGGGACAGCCTGCCCACTGCGAGCCAGGAGGCTCTGACGACTGCTGACTTCGGGGACGAGGTAGTGCCATTCATTGACGCCCACTTCAACGACAAGCTCGGTGCTGCGTATGAGGCATAGGTCATGTTTTCATGAATATTATGGATTGGGAATTTGGCGTATTGGCGTATTGGTCTGGAAAACAGATGGTTTGGGGGCTTCATACTAGGAAAGGGGACGGGGACGGGCATTTGGTTTTAGCAGATCAATAATCAGCGCTGTCTGGAATTCCTGTCGACTGGGACAATGTTAGTATTTCTCAATTGGTTGATGGCCGTAAAGGAAGTGTGACGGGGACGCAGCTCGGCTGGCTGGATTTGAGTGAGCATGTAACTCATATATATCTGAAGAACACAGCTGAAGGTTTTTGACTCACAGTCTACCTGTTTCTTTATTGGGAGATCCACCCACGTTATGTACTTTGATACTTGAGATGGCTTCAGAGCGAGCCAAGCAGTGGACGTGTCCATCGTGGTCATGGCCTCCTCTCACGCGACGTACTTGGTGTGGCTACCGGTAACCAAGACTTTCTTGTCGTCCCCTTCCTTGACGACCTTCCTGATCTCGATGCTCGTGTAGGCCAAGTTCCTGCCAAGCTTGTTGAGCCAGCACTCGACCTCGACCGCGTCGCCGACCTTGGCACTCGCCACATAGGAGATGTGGATGTCGGTCGAGACACCCGTTTTCTGGCCGCCGCTCTTTGCGACGATGGCCATGCCGGCGGTGAAGTCCACTATTGCGGCGGATGTGGTGCCGTGGATGCCGCCCAGGGAGTTGACGTGCTTGTCTTCGAGGACCAGCTGGCCAGTGACACGGCCATCCGAGGTGGCAGAAATGAGCTTGATGGTCGGGATGAGGATGCTGTAGGGCTGGGAGGTTGTGATCTTGGTAGCCCATACTTGCTCAACATGGCTGAATACCGATACCGGGGCGTTGGAGGGTGTGGAGTCTGCCATGTTCGTTGTGATGCTGAGATATATGTGGTAGATATTGGAGAGTGGAAGATTGAGGGAGGTGGATTGAGACGGTCCAAGAGAGGAAGCCGATATTTGGGCAATCCCTGGCGAGACTGGTGAGGAATTGAAATTGTGAGATGGATTAAATGTGTACAGTCATAATCGTAGCGATATCTCAGGGACCAACCAATTCCTTGCTGACTCGACCTCACGACATGAATCGGTTGTGGATTGACTGGTTGAGCAGAGCAGCAAGCGCCTCACTTCTGCTGCAAGTGGCTTTGCTGTGGCTTCGGCTCTCTTCTAGCTTCCAAACCTCCAGGGGTTCCTGACCCTGGACACTGCTAACCCCCAGGCGGGGGTGGAGCTTCCCAGGGATGCTGACGTACCTCTTGGCGCCAGGCTAGACACATGCTGGTGTTGATCCGTCATACAGTAACCGCAGGCTAGCAGCTGGAGCAGCTGAGCAGGCGAGCAATGAGCACCCCGCGGCTCGGCCTCTAACCCCTCCTCCAGCTGAGCCTAACGTAACCAGGTAGCCGTCGTCTCACCACCCTCCCGCAACTCCCTCTACCCGTCTTGATAATCTAGACTATTGTTGGACTGCAGCACGTTAGACAGGCACCATTGCAACTCCTCTTCTCCACGCCCCTCCTACCTCTTCCCTGCCTCTCACAAGCAGCAGCTCGACGCTGCTCTCTCCGCCCTCCCCGCCCTCCTCTGCCTCGTCCTTCTTCCTCTTCCTCTTCGGCTCTCTCCTCTCTCTTCACCCTCTCTTGACCATTCTCACCAGATCCAGTCTCTGCCACTCGACCCACGTCTTTCTTTCACCAAAGAGACAACCCAAAACACACAGCAGCCATGGCCACCGCCGAACACTGCCTCTACTGCTTCGAGACCCTCGCAGCGAAGCTCGAGAACCGCAAAGGACTAGACCTGGAAGAGGTACAGAACTCCTTCACCGAGTACTCCGCCTTCCTCGCCTCCGACGACGCCGCCGAAGCCAAGTCCAACAAGCCCGTCAAGAAGCTGCCCGCCCTGCGCCGCCTTGTCGGCAACACCAGCTCCTCTAGCTCCTCGTCCTCGTCCACATCCTCCCTGCAGTCTCCCGAGTCCGCATCGGGCAGCTCCAGCTCCACCTCCCTGTCAGCAAACACCTCAGCGACGTCCGTGGTCGGCGGCGGCGCAGCCGAGCCCGTGACGGACCCGGACGCCGAGTACCCGCTGTTCGTGACGTGGAACAAGGCCGCGGGCGGGGGCGAGTACCACCTGCGGGGGTGCATCGGGACGTTCGAGGCGCAGCCGCTGGCCGAGGGCCTGTCGTCGTACGCGGTGATCGCGGCGCTGCACGACAGCCGCTTCAGCCGCGTGTCGGCGCGCGAGCTCCCCTCGCTGCAGGTTGCCGTCACGCTGCTGACCGACTTCGAGGACGCCGCCGAGATCCTCGACTGGGAGCTCGGCACCCACGGCATCCGCATATCTTTCCAGTGGGACGGCCGTCGCCACGGCGCCACCTACCTTCCCGACGTCGCTACCGAGCAGGGCTGGACCAAGGAGCAGACCCTCGTCAGCCTGATGCGCAAGGCCGGCTGGGAGGGCAGGCGGGACCGGTGGAGGGAGGTCGCGGACGCCGGCGCTATGAAGGTCGTTAGGTACCGCGGCGACAAGGAGCAGCTCCTGTACGACGAGTACAGGGGCTGGAGGGAGTGGGCCGACGAGCATTGGGAGCTTTGATGAGGATAGAGTGTGTGTTGTGTGCTTGACGGCGTCTTTGGAAACAGGATGGAGTTTGACGTGGTACAGGGTATTTTTACAGGGCGTCTCAGGTTATTTACGACAGGTCAGTCAGGCTAGGAGAGCACGATATGGAGCGAAAGGTAACGGATAGAGGGCTATTCCCCTTCCCGGCATGTCAGTTGAAAGACGTGAGTGGATAGATGCAATGGTATCAGAATCAGTTCAGCACCTAGCTGGTCAATATTGGCCGTAATTTAACAGAACTCGCGTGAAAGCTTCGAGCCGGAAATCTATTGACACGAGTGTGTGCAACGGCTCATTTATATGGCCAACAATACTTTCCTCTCCGAGCAGAACTTCGAAGACAAAAAAGACAGCAAGCAAACCCCAAGAATCCCATGAAGCTGAGATCCTTCCTGCTCAGCTAACGACCGTAGCTACGCCTGATCCACCATAAACGCCTGGCCACACAACCGGGGGATATAATGGCTTGGAGGGAGGGAGGGGGATATAAAAGCAACCCTCCAGAGCAACAGTGCATAAACACATATACGGACATAGGAAACGAGAAAAAGACAAGGGGGGACGAGTCGATCGGAACGAGATCGAGTGGACTTTGGCCGCTTGGGGAGAAACCCCGGCCAGTGAACGAACAACCCATTTGAGAACCAGCCCAGCCGGGCCCAACCAAAAATTAAAACACCACACTTTTTGTGCCGTATCATACGCATCATCACCACCGGAAAATAAGCCACGGACGCAGATCGGTCATTCCTCTCCCTCTCCTTCTCTTTCCATCACCAATTCTCATCACCAACACCTCAGCTTCCTCCAGAACCCACCGCCTGCCCTCCTATCATCCCCGTCCGCCGTGTCCCGGTCGTCGGGCTTCTCGCTGACTCCGTCGCTCCTCGGCAGTGGGCTCAGGGGCTTGGTGGCACCTCGCCTGTCAAGCTGGCCACCGGCGGCGGCCCCACTGGCGCCGGAGACGCCCATCTCGGCCAGGCGGCGGGCCTCGACGACCCTGCGGACGATGAGGGCAAAGGTCTCCTCGATGTTGACCTCGAGGCGGGCGCTGGTCTCCATGAAGCCGCAACCCCGGCGGCGGGCCCAGTCCAGGCCCGTGGCGGCGCTGACCTGCCGGCTCTCCTGCAGGTCGCACTTGTTGCCGGCGACGATCTTGACGGGCGCGACGGTCTTGGCGGACGAGCTGCTGCCGTACTCGGCGGTGGGGCTGACGCCGGCCTTGCGGGCGCGCTGGGCGTTGTCCATGCGCGTCTCGGCCTCCATGTCGATCAGGTCGTTGAAGTAGCCCAGCGAGTCGAGCGAGTCCTTGACGGTGATGTCGTAGACCATCAGGAAGGCGTCGGCGCCCAGGTTGGAGGTGGCCCACATGCCGCGGTACTCCTCCTGGCCGGCCGTGTCGGTCAGGTGCAGGTGGTAGATGGCGCCGTCGATGCGGCGGGTGATGCTGTAGCTGTCCTCGATGGTGGGGTCGTACTCGGACGTCCACTGCGACCGCACCAGTCGCAGGGTGATGGAGCTCTTGCCGCAGCCGCCGTCGCCGCAGATGGTTATGGAGATGGGGATTGGTGGTTGGTTCTGTGCCGCGGCCTGCTGGTGCATTGTGTTCTGCGAGGCCGCCCGCGGGCGATTCGCGGAGCTTGCTGAGGAGGGCATCTTGCGCAGGGTCGAGGGCGAGGCGGCGGCGGCGGCGGCGGAAGGGGCGGGCGGGGTGAGGGTGGAGCGGTGCGAGAGGTAGAAGGGCTGGTTATGCGACGAGGAGGAGGGGGTCGTCGGGACCAGGATGGAGTGCTTGCGCGAGATGGAGAAGAGCTCGTTTGCCGCCAGATTGCCGTCGATGTCGGGGTTCGCTGGCTATGTGGGGGTTCTGTTGTTGAGGGGGCTGGGTCGAGTTGAAGCACCAAAGCGAGATAGCATTCGACCGGTAGGAGTTGTGCGCAGGAGGAGTAGATAAGCACGAGGAAGCACGAGGACTGTTGCTGGCCTGGACTGTTTTGTTTGAATGTAGATCGTGTTTTGTTTCGACGCCTGGTCGAGGGGTTGTTCCACAAGCTTGGAGAAGGAGTGAGCGATCGGTGGGTATCACAAAAAAGGGCGGTTCGAGGGATGGTCGGAAGGAGAGCGATGGCGTCGCGATGAAACGGGGCAGACAATTGATAGCTGTGGGTGGTTGTGGATGTCGGGCAGGAGATGCGATTGGAACTGGTTGAAACTGTTGAAGCTTGGGTCGCGATGAGGTAGGCAGGCAGGCAAGAAGTCCCGAGGTGCTCTCTCTTGTGGTCTTGCTTCGCTCTTTTGCTGCTGCAGGTGTGGGCGGGGTGGGGCCGATGACAGGTGCTGCAAGTAATAAGAGGTGATGAGGAGAAGCGAAGGGGAAAGTAGGTGGTGGTCTAGTGTACGGAGTAGAAGGTGGACTAGAAGGGTACTCGATCGACTAGTGTGAACTGTAGTGTGATGTACTAATAATATGTATAATAACAGCAATATTAATAACAAGAAGAGGAGACGACACGACAAGAGGCGAGTCGAGTTTGCACCGGTGGTGATGACGGGCGGCGGTTGTGCCCAAGGCTATGCAGAGCTGAGCAGAGCAAGCAGAGCAATGATTGACTGGTGGTGAAGAATAAGAACAGAGAGAATGCTAAAACCTTGTATCTATCTAGTTGTTCTTTTCGTCTCGTTTGATTAATTGTGCACTGCAGCAGCGGCACATTTGGATTGATTACCCACTCTGGTGTCTTCCCCGAGATATGACAGGACCCAAAGGGGAAATATGCTCGTGCACCGTCGCAGGGGGGTGCTGTGCGCTACCAGAGCAGATATCATTGTCAATGTAAATGGCAATCTTGCTCTGTTCTCTCTCTGCCTAGGTACTGTATCTGTTTCTGTGAGCCTGCTTGTCTGCCTGCCTGCTGTATTCTCTCGCCCACAACAGCATGCACCTATATAACACTGTGCATGCTGTCTTCCACGGTCCGCTCAATACGTGTGTCATGATCAACCATAGTCCAGTTCATGAGAGAACCAAGTTCGGAGACCAGCATCGGCCGATATTTACATCCGTGCTTCTTCCTCGCCCCCTCGCCCCCCCTTCGCCCCTCACCCACGGACTCTCGATTCCTCGTCCTGAGGGAAAACGGGGCCCGCCCTGCAACACGCAAAATAGCACAGGACTCCCGTGGATGACACGATCGAATGGGGATTGCCGAACGGCTCCCGTCCTTCCTCCGTGGAACAGGGAAAAATTCTTTTTTCTCCGTTGTATTTTTGGCCGTCGATGAGTCGTCTGTCTTCCATCCATCTTCCATTTCCGCCGTCCCACCGTCCACCTCCCTGATGACACCGTTGCTCTGGGGACCCCCAATTGGTGCATTCAGTGTGTCGGGTATGATTTCGTGTATGTGTGCGTGCGTATAGACGTGATGGTGCGGTCCCGCTGTATGATCTTATTGGCGAATGCCTCTCGCAGCGATCCAACCAGTCGACATCGTCTCAACCTCAGCCGTCCCCTTCCGATTTGCTGTCCCGATGCTTTCGCTACACCCTAGCTGCCACCTGCTACAGGCAATGCCATGCGTATGCGGGATGGCGGGGTAGGTGTGCAGAATCTGTTACCCCTATTTTGGTGGTGTTATTCATTTGATTTCGATTTCGATTTCGACTTCGATTTCTGGAGGGCTCTGCAGCGTGTATCAAATAAGGCACCGTTGCCCCATACTGCAAGGGGCATGGATCGACGGTCAGGCTCTCACAGGACTCCATTCCCCTTTATTAGACTACATAGTAGCACACGCTACCGGGCGCGATACTATCTCGTTGAAAGGGATTAGCCCTCCGCACAACCTGGAAAGAACCACGTCGTTCCCACGTGTGGCAGGGGACTCTCGAGCCGCCCGCGCCACGCCGATACACCTTAAAACTGTGCACAGTAGCGGCCGTTGGGGGACAAGCATCGCCGGCGCACTTGATTGAGGCTTGTCATGCCTGTCTGGTAGGCTATCTACCAGTCTATCTGTATCTAGATGCCCAGTCGGTCTGCCACCACCCCTCTCTGCCATGTTAGCGTGAAACCATCCCCTCGACGTGCGTGGTGGTTCATGTAGTGTAGATAGACTAGACCACGCAGCAGCACAAAGAGGGGCAACGGATGTGGCAGAAGTTCGTCCCATATCGACCGTTTCAAAACAGAGCCGCCAATACTATCTTCTGGTGGCGTCCACCGCACCCGATCAATCATTCACCGGTCGCTTTCTGGTGTCCTACATGTCGAACGTTGGGGGCTTTTCCATGAAACCATTGGCGGCCACTTGACGAGAGCGAGAACGCAATCGATCCAGTAGCTTGGCAGGAGACAGATGGCCAAGTGGTGGTGAATATTTGTGCTATTCTCGGCGGCCTTTCTCCTCCAGAACCAGTTCAAGAGAAGGCTTGGGGGGGAGGGTCCCAACCAAAACCTCAGGGTTGGGAATCCCCCCCCCCCGACAGAGGAGAAGAGAAGTCCTCTCACAGATCTTCAGATATTGAGCGTGACATGTTGGACACACCAGAGTTACGCTGTTGGATGTTGATGGCAGAAAGAGACGAGAGTCTCCTACTTAGAGGATGACTATCTCAAAATGTCCTAACCCCCAGAATGAGACATTTTCATAGCTACTGAAGGATCACTGAGTCCTTCATTTTGGGGGGTCGTCTGGACGCCAAAGCCGCCTCCGATACAGGACCTGATTTGCAATCGCTGACATCTTAGCCGGCCAGACGAGCAGGATTTGTGACTCGACTAAAAAATCGTCAATACTTGATTTTCGGAAGCTGTGTAGCAACCGGATTCTCAGCACTTTCTTGAGATGGATTGGGACAGTCAACAGCCCCTCATTGGGGCTGGTCGAGCAGACGAGGTTGCGGAAGTAAGCCCAGACTTCAGTCACCTCCAACGCGACCACAGCAGACCTTCACTGACACAACCCAGCTCATCGACGCGGTCAAATCTCTCATAGTCCCATTTGTCAGAGAAGCAGATGATAATGCAACCATCAGGGCCACAGGAGGAGACCCCCAGGCCACATCACAGCCTGCCAACGCTCTCATCCGCGGCGACCTGGTCCCCGCCAAAGACCTTCACCAACACCTACGTGATATCCTCCCCGCAGGCGAGGGGCTGGGAAAGGACGGCTTGACCGCGGCCATCTCGCAGATTCTCAATTTCAGCGTCAACACCTGGGACCAGGGCTTCCTGGACAAGCTCTACAGCTCAACCAATGCCGTCGGTGTCGTCACAGAGATGCTCTTGGCAGCGCTGAACACCAACCTGCACGTCTACTCTGTTTCGCCCGCTCTCACCATCATCGAGAAGATTACTGCTAAGAAATTGGCCGGACTTTTTGGCTTTGATGGGCCGCATGCTGGTGGTGTCACTATCTCGGGAGGCAGTGCGTCGAACATGACATCCCTTGTTATCGCCCGGTCTACGCTCTATCCTAACACCAAGGCCTGTGGCAATGGTGTGTACGAGTTTGTCCTCTTCACCAGCGAGCACGGCCACTATTCAGTTGAGAAGGCTGCCATGACGTGCGGCATTGGCAAGAGCAACGTCTGGCTGGTTCCGGTGGACAGGGCGGGGCGCATGATCCCCGCGCGCCTCGCAGCCATGGTCCAACAAGCACGCAAGCAGGGCTTCACGCCTCTCTACGTGAATGCCACGGCCGGATCTACAGTTCTTGGATCGTACGATCCCCTGGAGGAGATCTCCGCTATTTGCAGAGCCGAGGGATTGTGGATGCACGTGGACGCGTCCTGGGGCGGGCCCGTCGCCTTCTCCTCGCAGCACCGCCACAAGCTCCAGGGCGCACACCTCGCCAACTCGGTGACGGTCAACCCGCACAAGATGATGAACACGCCCGTCACCTGCTCCTTCCTGCTGGGCCCGGACATGCGCGTGTTCCACAAGGCCAACAAGACCGACGCCGACTATCTCTTCCACGGCGATGGTGGCGACGACGAGGAGATCTATGACCTGGCAGACCTGACGCTGCAGTGCGGGCGCCGAGGCGACAGTCTCAAGCTAGCACTGAGCTGGGTGTATTACGGGCCTAATGGCTTTGAGAGGCAGGTCGACCATGCCTTTGAGATGGCCGCGTTCCTGGCCACGGAAATTGGGACCAGGGACGGCTTCACATTGGTCTCGGAGACCCCGCCGCCATGTCTGCAGGTCTGTTTTGCCTACAAGGCTACGGACGTAGCGGAGGAGAACACGAAGAGGACGGCCGAGATGGTCAGGAGGCTGAAGGGCCGGGGCTTCATGATTGACTACGCCGCCTTCAACGGCTCGAGGAGTGATGTACCGAAGGGGAGCTTCTTCAGGGTTGTGGTCAATGTACAGACGCGAAGAGAGACGTTGATCGGGCTGATCACGGCCTTGGAGGCAATTGGTCGCGACGTTGAGTCTGGATCATGACCTAAACAGGCCTGCTAGGCTATACAGTGCAAGATTGGTAACGAGGGACGAAGGGACGCATCATAGAGGGAAAAGGTAGAATAGACTTACAGCATCAATGTTCGAAGGAATCTGAGGGGAGCCATCTCAGCATGAACCCCCCCCCCCCAATTCTAGGGTTACGATAGCGATAACGATAAGACCCTAGGATCAAAAAGTTTCGATAATTGTAGCCGCTCCAAACCTTAGTTCGCGCATTGCCTTTGCAACAATCCACAACACATCAAACATGGCCCGAGACAAGAAATCGAAGAGGCAGCTCATCCGCGACGAAAAGAAGGCCAAGAAGCGCCAACGCGAGCTCGAGAATGACGAGACGAAGCAAGAAAGGAAGCGCCAGCGCATCGAGGCGGCCGAGGGCGACGAGGACGCCCCCTTCAACGAGGATGGCTACAACGGTGGCGCGGAGCAACCGCAATACAATGGCGGAGGAGGTGGCTCAGGAGAACCAGAGCGCGAGTTTTTCGGCATGCTGACGGACGAGGAACAAGAATACTTCCGCAGCGCGGACGAGAAGCTCGAGACCAACGACTTCGAGTCCGACGAGGACAGAGGCTACTTCCTCCAGAGCATATATACCGAAGCAGTGGGCAAGGAGCTGAAGCTGGCGAGCAGCCAGTCTTGCTCGAGGCTGATGGAGAGGTTGATATTGTTGAGCAACACGAGGCAAAAGAAGCGGTTGTTTGAGGCCTTCACTGAGCATTTCGTCACGCTGGTCACGCATCGCTTCGCAAGTCACTGTTGTGAGAAGCTCTTCATACAGTCGGCCCCCGTTGTGACCCGGGAGTTGAGCGGCATGGTCGAAGAAGAGGAGCAGGCCGAGGAAGGCGAGGAGGGCGAGGGCGAACAGAAGGCAACCAAGGCGTCAATGGAGGAGCTATTCCTGTTCACCTTAGACGAGCTCGAGGCTCACCTGTCGTACTTGCTCTCCGACAGGTTTGGGTCGCATGCCCTCCGTGTGCTTCTTATGGTTCTTTCAGGCCGGCCGCTGGATCAGGTCTCGACCAAGTCATTACTGCAGAGCAAGAGGAAAGAGCACATTTCTGTGCAGGGCGGGCGAACCGAGACCGACGAGATGAACGGACAGGTCAGAGTTGTGCCAGAAACGTTTACTCTGGCCACGCAGAAGATCCTCGAGGACACGACTTCGTCAATGGACTCGACTGCTCTTCGAGTATTAGCGACACACCCGACAGGCAACCCTGTACTGCAATTAATGGTGGACCTGGACATATCCCTGAACGGCAAGGACAAGGAGAAGAGGGGCCAACTACTGCTTCTGAAGCTTCTCCCAGACGCACCCGAGAGCTTAAGCGATAACTCGACAGCCGCCTCGGACTTTGTCAACTCGATGATGTACGACCCAATTGGGTCAAGGCTGCTCGAGACGATTGTGACCCACGCACCAGCCAAGATCTTCAAAGCCCTTAACGCGAACTTCTTCAGCCCCAGGATACACACATATATGCGTAACGACATCGCCTGCTACCCAGCCATCAAAGCCCTGAACCGCATGGGCAAAGATGATGTCGCCGAGTCTGCACGGAAGATGGTGCCAGAGATACCGAAAATCGTCGCGGCAAAACGGTACAACGTCTTGAAGGCCCTCTTTGAGCGGTGTAATGTGCGGCAAGTGACTGAAGAACTTGAGGGATTGCTGGAGGCGGTGTGTGCTGCATACGACTCTACAAATGGCCTTAACCTTATCCCCAAGCTTTGCGGATTGGACAACGAATCTACCTCTAAAGACGATGACCCAGCGAAGAAATTCCAGCCATCATTGCAGACCGACAAGCAAAAAGCTGCCACCGTGTCACACGGCTGCCAGCTTGCCACTGCACTCCTTGGCATCCCCGGGGCGCCAGCGAGCACACTGCAGAACTCCATGCTGTCCCTATCCTCGGACCAGCTCGTGCACCTCGCGACGTCGACGACGCCGTCCATGATCGTCATCCGCACGGCGCTATCGTCGCCCGCACAGGTGCCCAACTTTCACAAGGCGGTGGTGACCAAGTTGGCGCCCCGTGTGATGGAGCTGGCGCATTCTCAGATAGGGCACAACGTGGTCAACGCGATCGTGGGGATCCCGTCCAAGGCTGCCGGTGGGCCGGAGGCGCAGGCGGGGGTGGTCCCGTTCCACCTCAAGGAGCGGATCATGACCACGCTGGGGGCGGGCGAGAAGGGCCTACGGGAGAGCTGGACGGGCAGGAGCGTATGGCGGACGTGGAAGGGCGACCAGTGGAAGTTCAGGCGGGGCGACTGGGTGCGGTTCGTCAAGGAAGTGGACCCCGAGGTGAAGCCCGAGGAGAAGCTGTGGAACCGGGTTGCGGAGAAGGAGAAAGCGAAGGCAAAGAAGGGCAAGAAGGACAAGTCCAGGGACAGACCGAGAGGCCAGGACGGTGAGGGTGATGATGATGGTAATAGGGAGTGAACGATGCCTCGCGTCTGATGATACCCAACTGAATAAGAGGCTGATATTAAAGCCAGCATCTGAGTTGAAGCCAGAAGGAGAAGGACGATGAATTCCCTCCGAGTGCCGAGTGAGGGAATTCATCAACCGCGTATCGCGCACTCAGGACGGTGATATGGGTCCCCCGCGGATATCCTCCAGCATACATGTATCCACATGCAGCAAACAAAGTTTGGACCCTGGGCTATAAATCTTATTGTAATACAGGATGCAAATTGAAGGACATGGCCGACGTGCCAGAAACAAAGCCGAGGTTCTGGTCCAATTCTTGCTCGCTACCGACGGCGTGGGACCAGATCAGAGGGAACCAATCTCTAGACGAGACCATCTCGAGAAAAGATGCGATATATCGCATGGCGGCGGCGTCAGCTGTGGAGCGTCGCACTGAAGCAGAAACCCAGAAACCCGACCTGCATTTCTCCAAGCTGGGGGGCAGAGGACGCGGCAGGGGGCCACATGGGGGTTGGCCAAGGCAAGGGTGGTTTCGTCTAGCAGGGCACTGGCAGGGCACTGGCAGGGGAACAGCAGGGGAGAGGGGGGGTAGTCACAATAGTCACAGTAGTCACAGTATAGTCACAGTAAGGCGTGATGGAGACTGTTGGAGGCTCCTGCCGAATGAGGCGGACTTGCTCGCCCTGCGGGAAATTATGGGTGCTGTCACACTCGGGTACCTCGGTATGAGCAGGGGGGTTTTGTCAACGGGCAGGGGCCAAGACTGGCAAGACTGGCGACTGGGCCAACTGCAGGCAACTACCTAAGGTAGATCAACCTGCTTCTGCGGCTGTTGCGACTACGACCTGCGCTACTCCTCCGTGCTAAGCTCCTTCCTGTAGGCGAGACACGGCGAGACGAGACGAAGACGACACACCACCACCACCAACTTGTTGAGTGAGAGTGCCACTCATTCATCGGCTTACTGCCATTCGCCCTCACCTTCACCCCCAGATTTCAGCCCTATACCATACATAACATACACTCATTCACTCACTCACTCAGCTGCCCTCATCTAACAACTGCTCTTGCTGCGTTTTGCCATGCCCTTCGCCCTTTGATGGCCCCCAAAGAGGCTCTGGGCTCCGGGATACCGCGACCTCCGACGCGACTCGCCCCTGACACACCCGCGCACACATATTGTTGAGTCTTGAGTGCCTCACATCTGCTTCGTCTACCACGCCACCTCGGCACCCTTGGACGAAGCAAACAAGACATTTATGTCCCGGATCCAGCCGGTCCCTCAGTTGATATTCTCGCCGGCTCTGGCTCCTGCATCCAGACTGCCGCATAGGCTGCATGCCCCCCTTTTCATGGCCGTCTGACAGCCACCCACCAACATGGAATGCGGCCCTGGATATGCAATCGCCTCTGCGGCCTTGCCGCCCATACAGCCAGTTCATCATGTGGCATGGGCCGAACGACCGGTGGTGACTACACCCTCTACCGATGGGACAACTCCCACCTCGGCCTCGTCCTCCTCAGATGGCCCGCCGCCTCATGACCCTCCCCCTGCCGCCCCTGCGCCCCTGGACTGGGAGGCGCATAAGCAGGTCATCAAGGACTTGTACATGGGTCAGAACCTCAATCTCAATGAAGTCGTCGAGAGGATGAAGGCATACAACTTTCATGCCACGTGAGCATAACCTCCTCTTCTCCATGTGCACGCTTGCATCTTTGTCAACACGGCATCACACCTTCCGCCTGCCAAGACCGCCTCGCTGTTTGAGCTGACCAACTGACCTTTTCGTGTCCAGTCCGAGAATGTACAAGGCCCAGTTTGCCAGATGGACATGGAGTAAATACAACTGCAAAAGGTACAGTCCCAGATGACTCATCCTATCATCGTGCTCTCCGAGACAGCGATACTAAGTCCTTCCATTAGGATGCGACGGGATCTGTCCTCTGGCAAAGCCATCGAGAAGTCGACCGGCAAGTCCTGTCACAGGGTCAAACGGCAACGGCCCGCCAAGCCAGCCAGGAAAAAGGACTGTGCCTCGTCGCAGAAAACCCAAGAGGCTTCTCCACCAGCGGAAATAGCCACGACTGCGCCAGCACCCATGATGCGCCGGTCACAATATCCCCAACTCAGCGTCCTTTCGTACCAAGTAGCCCACGCCGATGATGGCACTCGCTTCATGCAGTCTGTTCTCACTGATATCAGGAATCACGTCTATAGCTTCTTCTCGCGCAAGCCCGAATGGCAAAAGTCTTCTGGGACCGGTCTGATTTCCGCCTATAATTACGCCTTCTACGATTCGTTTCGCATCGCAATGGATAGCTTCGTCAAGAATGAGCATTTTAACGGTGGCGAGATCCTCCGCCAGGCCTTTGTTGAGGTTGAGGAGGCTTTGCAGACAGACTATTCCTCGACATTTTACTTTTTCTTCATCGACCTGCCCGATCTCTTTTTGCACTACGGAAGACACGACATTTTCGTGATCCTGCTTGCACATATCAACAGATTGACGGCCGTAGGCCTGCGGGACAAAATCATCGGGGCGGGCTTTGCCAGCCTGCATGCCCTAGCCGAATCGAACCCGGCATTTCTACGGCATTATATTGGCTGCGCATCAGGTCTCTGGTGTGATCTCCTGTCCGAGTTGCGAGGGCCTAGGGACCGCAGCACTTTGCTTGCAAGGAGAAATCACATACGGCATGCGCATGCCACGGATCCTCCGAGGGTCAAGGCACTTTGCGATGATTACGACCATCTTCTGGGCGAAGTTCAGAAGCATTGGGGCCCAGGACACACCGCTTCCAGACATATGGAGGACGTCGTCCTGCTGACACACCTCAATTATGACCACTTCACGAACGACTTCGCGGCGAGGAATGAGAGGCTGATTGAGAACGTGGAGAGAAAATATCAGCTCACCACTAGCGAGGCTTCTAGTCCCGTCACGCCTGAGTCAATCGAAAGCTCCAGTAGCGCTGGCGACGGGAAGCTTGAGAGATTACCTCTCGAGGCCTGGGATATGCTCGACCGAAATATCCGGTCCAACTGCTTCCACCGACTGGCGTCTTACTACATCCATCAAGGCGATGCGGGCCTGGCCGCTCTTTATGGCGCGAAGGCAAGGGAGGGATGGAAGACGGACTTCTGGCAGCTTGAGGTCGAGACCGCCTTAGTCAGCGCCGGAAGGCTGTTCGAGGCGGAGACGCTCCGGCGTTGTCGGCTTGAGGCGCAATACTTCGGAAAGCTGCTCGAAAATGATTGGACCGTTGCAGGTATGATACCCTCTCTGATTCTGGCCTCATTTGAATCCCAGCGATATCACATGAGCCACTCTTCCTGCTACGTACCTTGTTTTTCAATTATTGTGTTTTTATTTGCATTGCTTCAATCATGTCTGATTGTTGGCCGAAACCGAGTTCTAACAAACACAAAGCTGCTGAATTAGACTATTACCTCAATATCCGACCGTCCGTCATGAGAAATATGCCACCCACAACCGGTGGTTCTTGGGCACCAAGCTTGGGATATGGGAATATGCCTGGACTACGGGCTCTCTCGAAGAGCTCAAGATGAAATCGCTACAGAACGATAACCCAAGCATTTGGCCCAACTCCCTAGCCGCTGGTGGCATTACGAACCTTGATGTTCTCCGTGACCAGTCCACGGCACCGTTTGGTGCGCTACTAGACTGACACCAATACCAGTCACTTGCCCAGCAAGGTGTATGTCTGAGAGCACAAAATTCAAAAGATTCAAAAGATGCAATAAAATCTCAAGAATAAATTTGATGGGCTTCGCAAACTAAACATGTGAGACACTGCTGAGGCGTTCCATCTATCCTGGAACAAAAGAATCCACGCAAACAACTTCAAGATCTGACGCATGTTGAGCAAGCAGCTCTTTCAACGAACACAAATCTTCAAAGAGTCATAGAAGCGCCTCCAAGCACATTGTATAACCAAGCTACCACCACAACTTCAAGCAAAAATGGCGCCCAAACTCTCGAAAGGTCTCCGCTACCTCTTCACGATCTGCCTCTTGCCGCGACGATTTCCCCAGCCCGTCACGGACTACCCAAGCAGAGCAACGCCCGAAAGCACCGCCAGAATATGCAGATGCCAGTCCTGCCGGTGGTTTCCTTTTCACGTCCGTCAGCTTGAGCTCGACGGCGTTTCGCACACGAAGAGATACCCGCGCGAAGGCTTCAACGTGGTTTCGGCGTCCTTCAGCCTCAGAGCACATCAGTGGGAAGGGGCCATACCAAGCCAAGCGCCCCTCCAGAACCTCGCATCATTTAGCAACACTGTGTGCATTGCGCGCAGGAGCCACCAGTGGGAGGGGGCCACTCCAGGCCGAGTCTGGCCTCCTACGTCGAGTCTATTCAGCAACAGCGTGCATCTTATGCCCAGGAGCCACCAGTGGGAAGGGATCATCCCAAGCCAAGCCTGGTCCCCAGTGTCGGCCTTATTTAGCAGCACTGCTCGACTGACACCCAGGAGCCACCAGTGGGAGGGAGCACAAGATCTGGAAGAGGTGTGTCGTAGCGAAGTTGCTAGTCGCTCGGCCGAAGATACTCTCAGCATTCACAAAAGACAAGGAGACCATAAGCCTAATCAGTTGCCCCTGGTCGTTCCTTTGGTTCCTACCACGTTCTCGCCGTTCATAAACAGACCACATCGGCGGAGAGGAAATGCCGGCGCCATGCCGCGCTCTGGATACGACACAACTAATATGCGCGTGGCGTCGAACCCGCGATCGGCAGCCTTTGCTGGGGCGAGCGGCAACTCGAAGAACGAGAAGCCAGGGCGTGGTGGCAAACCCGGCGACGGGAAGAGCGGCGAAGATAGCGGCAAGGGGGGTGGCGGCGACGAGGGCTCTGAGAAGACGACCGAACAGAAGCCGGACCAGGGAAAGAAAGATGGGGAATCGATGACTGAAGAAGTCATCAAAAATATCGACCAGGTTCGCATCCCACTCGCAGGTCGTGGATGGACATTTTGGATCTGAGGCGTGTCGCGTCTCCCCTGCCGGTTGACCTCCCTCAGCTGTTCGTCAATCTGGCTGGAAAGTTTTATGGCTAGTGTTGGTATGGCGAGCATTTGGGGCACGATGGCATTTGACAGCCGGGTCAATGGCCGAGCGACGAGGGAGCGTCGCAAGTTGTTGGACGGACCTAGGGCACAGCGCACGCAGCAGGGCGAGAGGCTGCGAGTTACAGACTCATCAAGTCGCGTTTGCGAATGTCGCGACATCCACAGCTTTCAATGCACATTCAATCCAGAGTCAAATCACATACACCAACTTTGTTGCCAACAGAGGAATTAGACAAGTAGGCAGTGGCTGAACAGGAGCATGATGGGTTGACGACGGTGATGCTAGACCACCAAGGAGGACGATGATACTGTTAGACAAGACCCAGAATGGCACACCCAAATCTAGGGGGCCTGTATGTAGTTATGAGACTCTTGACAAGTTTAGCATGTATTTTGAAGCGGAAAGCCATCTCCAGTGCCTATTTAACTCTTGTTCCGGTTGCCTTATCTGTGCTCTCTGCTCGGGCGGGAAAGCTAGTCCGATGGTGAGGGGAAAGTGTCTCACAGTGTAACCATCTCAGAACGTTAGTATATACGCGTATACGTACGCACAACCCGTGTATCGCAAGCAGCTCAATTGCTCTGTTCCGAGCCTCATTACGGGCGGCGGGACGAGGCATCGACATTTGGAGCACCTTCCGGGCTTAGAGAATTTGGAACGAGAGCCTGGGTCCAGTGTACACCCGCGGTGCACACATCACTTCAGGGCTGGTCGGCCATGGGGTGAAGAGAGCGTGTCACTTCAAACGTTCTACAATTCACGCAGCCATGACGTTTCCGTGCGGCGCGGCATTATTGAAAAGAATGTCTTTTTTGATTGGAATCATCAAGGCGTGGGTATCCTATCCAATGTTCCACCTCCTAACCGTCCTCCGGCCGAGCGTGAAATGTGAATCAAATGATTATTATGTTCAAAAATCAGATTTTGCCAACACCGCTGATGCTTGACTTTTCCCCTACCATCAAGCAAACTACCCAACTGATGTGCCCCGTTAAATGCAACGCTTGTCCTTTTCGAATGCCCTAATAGGTTCGAATGCTGTTTTCTTCGCTACCACTTCGGGATGATTCGACATGAAATATTTCAAAAGAAGATAGAAGACCCCAGAAAGTTAATCATTACGAGCTCATACAGGTCGTCAAGTCCTGCTTGGCTCCTTCGGCTCCCAGGCCCGCGGCAAATGCTGGTCTCGGAAGATGCGAACAAGCCGGGGGAACAGGACCGTCTGGAAGACCGTTTCAGATGAATCGAGCCAGAAGAAACTGGGAATGAATACGACTGGATAGCCCGAGGGTATCTTCAAAGAACAGTTCCCCAACTCCATACGACCAATTAGATCGGATGCACCCAGACCGCTCGTTTTTGGATTTTTTTCTCTTTGGATTTTACTTTTTTTTTTGTTCTGGTTGAGTGTTCTTTTTGAGCTCTGATCCGTGAATTGTAGTGCCAATCGACCGACACTAGAGGTTCTGAATTGAACGATATCGTATGCCTGAGCTTCATGAATACCACCGCATGAGTGCGGAGAAGTGATAATTGTGGTTGAGATCATCAAGATGCTAATTTTCCACCTCCGACTGCGATGCGGGCATCTGAAGATACGAATCGAAGTCAAATTGATCGAAATTAGAGGTGGCGTTGAAGAAATCCGTAGTGAAGTCATCGGTATTGTAGAACTGCTGAAAATCGTTGCCGTCTAGGTTGCTCTCCTCAAGACAGTCGGGAAGAACCTGTGTTGCCGCATTGTCCGGAAGGTCTGCTGTCTCGAGCTTCACTGCTCCGAGTGGCTGGCTTTGCGTGTAAAGCTGAAGTGGGTCACTCTCGGAAAATGTCTGGTCGTCTACCGTAGTCTCTTTTTTAACCACATTGCTAACCGCTGTCTTCTCCAGCTTCGCATGTGGCGTTTGCTCCTTCTCGTTCTTCACCGCTGCCTGTGATTCCTTCTTTGGCCCGGGAGTTGGTTGAGTGTTCCGGCCGCGGGATTGTTTCCTCGCACGTAGCTCGCGCAAATCCCCGTGCTGCTGGAGTTGGAAAGGAGCTTGGGTAGCATTAGACCTGGTAGCAGCGGGGGACTGGCCGCCCGAAAAGAACCCGGCAAAGTCAGTGTCCTGGGGAAACATGCCGCGCAGGTTGCCTGGTAACTCGCTGGTGAAGCCAGTCCCATACGCCGGCTGAAGTGACCCAGGCGACAGCGGTGATGAATGTGATGCGCGGCGCTGAATGTTTTGGTTGTGTGGTGTCCCCATAGGAGCTGGCATTCCAGGGGACGGCATGCCTGAAACCTGTCGGAAAGCAGCTGGCATTGGTGGCGTCGACGAGGGCGACTGTGCCTCAGGAAAAGCTTCGCCGAAGCTTCGGCGTTGACCCGCCATTTGGGCGGCCTGAGGCGCCATCACGGGTGAGATGGACGATGTTCTGGAATGACCATTCGCGCTTATCTGAAGAGCGTCCAAGTTACCCATTGACATGCTTCTTTGGTGCATGGACATTTGCAAGCTCGGTGAAGGGAAGCCACTGTTGGAGATTATAGGATTGGCAGTGGCTGGGCTTCCGACATGGCTGTCGACAGGACTGGCGAGTGCGTTCTGGGGGCTGGGGTAGTGGAATGCAGGCTGGTGGGAAGGAGTTGTGGGTGGAAACGGCGCTGCGGTCGTCTGTGGCGAGGTCTGAACCTGTTGGGCGGAAGGGCCATTGGTTTGGAAGCCTCCAGCTGGACGACTGGAAAATCCACGAGGCCCGAAGAACTCGGCAAACTGGGCGTTTACATCGGCCTCTCTTTGGAGGTCCCTCTGCAGGTTGGGAAATCTGTCGTATGCTGCAGCTCTCGTGCCGAGGGTTGCGATAGCATAGGCCTGGAAACGTGGCATACTGGCCAGAATGTCGTTATTGTTGAGCAGGGCGGAGTATCTAGCGGGGAGGTCGTCCTCTTCCTCGTACATTTCCTCATTCAGCACGATCTGCTCGGAGACCTTGAGGGCTTTGCCGGTGCGTTGCTTGTGGATCTCGGAAGCAGCGTAGGCGGACTGCACGCGGGCTTCGAGGCTGCGGTCACCTCTCCGTGAGGCTGCGATGTACGCCCTCTCCTTGTTCTCCGAGGCGGTCCTCTCGCTCTAGATACAAATCAGATGAGCAGGCCTTGAATTATGGGACAAAGACCAATACACACCTGCCTGGGGACGCCCACATTGGGACCGGCACTCCCGGTTGACATACGGGAGCCCTTGGGAGGCATGTTGACGTTAGTAAGAGGAGCAGGCTCAGCCAAATAAGTGAGTCTGTCCAGGACTGAGGTGATGTTGAGGTGTGACGGTGACTCGGCGAAGTTCAATTATTGTAGTGGTGCGTGAGTTGGTTGTGTCACCTCGAACGTATCCGAATCGTCCAGGTTTGGTGTGTAAGTGTGTGTGTGTGTGTGTGTACTGTATATCCAGCTTGTGTAAGATAAAAACAGGAACGATGGGCTGAAAAGGTTGTAGGAATGTGGGTGGCGATCGAAGGATATAGAGCCAGGAGGTAGGTAATTAGACTACTGCCACTACATATGCCAGTTGTATCAGGGCGCAGGCGAGCAGCGAGGAGTAGGAGGAGGAGGCGACGTGAGGGTGAGGAGAAGGACGGACTGCCAGTTGAGCTAGCGAGCCGTAGAACCAATACCAGCGCCCACACGCACTTCTCTCTTTCTCTCTCTCCAGCTCCTCGCTACCCGCAGTCAGGAAGGCAGCAGGGGACCGGGGGAACTGACTCCCGTCCTCGTTGCTGCGGTTTCCCTACCGAGCCCGAGCTGCTGCCCCTGCCCCCATCGCCCACTACCCATTGCCCAGCCCAGTGCCCAGTGCCTATTCAGCCGAGCGTTAGCGTTACTGTAGCGTTTTTGTTGCGTTGCAGGGTTGCTCTTGCTCCAGAGTTGCTCTTGGGCTCGCTCTTGGGCTCGGCCTGCGGCTAACGGAATCGGGAAGTGTTTCTCCCCAGCTGCCACCTGCCCAGCCAGGTGCGCCTCCACGTCCCATGTCAGTGGCGTGGAACGACATTTACACTACAGTAGGTGTGCCTGTCTCCACCCCCTTCCTGTGTCAATTGGGCTGGTAGAGCGAAGCGAAGTAAGATGGATGCTGCTGATAAGGTCCACACTCCCGAACCTGTGTCTTAACAGGCTCCTGGATCTGGTTGAACAAGAAGCAGCACCGTCTCGTGGCTGAATCGCTTCACACGCATCAGAATCAGCGCCAGCACCAACACCCGTAAAAGGACTTGGACGCCCAGCCCAGATCCCTGCAGCGACTCGGCGCATCGGCAGGTGCCAGTGCGAGCAGTCTTTGCTGCATGGTACGTATCACAGCACAGGAGCGCAGCAGTGGGGGAAGTTGGGGTGGAGGGAAAGTGTTTTCGATCTTGGGTTTTGTCGATCCTGGTCCGATACGGCGGTTGGGAGGATGTGCAGATCGATCTCGATTTGCAGGGGCCACACGATGGGAATTGGTGAGCTGTTAGCTCGCGATCCTCGGGTCAAGTACCTAGTGCCTATGGAACACAGTACCCGTTTCCTGACCTGGTAAACCACTTCAGGTCCGCGTTCTCAGAAATCGAGCAGTTGGGTTCACCCTGCCGACAACCGACCGTGCTTCATCAACCTTTTCCCCCAGTCGTCTCAAGTGGGGGCTGATTAATGGCGCTCTCACTTTCGGGACGTAGTGATTTCGAAGCCCGCGAGGCGAGGGGAAGGGGAGGGGTTTGAGTAAAAAGGTGTGGGCAGTTGATCGTGGCTGTGGGACATGTCCACGTCCCCGCTTCGCTACAGTCAAGATCTCGTAAGTCACAGTAGACCATGAGGTTAAACTGTAGAGGGCAGCGGGATTGGGCCCTCTCGGTGAGGAGCTTCTGCATTCAGTATCAAATGAGTGTTGCCAATGGCAATGCTAATGCCAATGCCAATGCCAGGCCTGGGCCGGGACTTGGACCTGGACCTGGACCGGCAACAAGCGGGGTCCAGCTTGTGTCACTTTATTATCATTATTGCGAGGGCCCAAGCCATGGGCGTGCCGACAGTTTGAGGGCCCTGAATTCTGGCAACCGCAGGATTGGGGCCGTGGTGTCAGGGAGGTTGTTCGTTGGGCTGCACAACCCCCGCACTGCTGGCGTTCTATCGTAGTGCTCGCTGCAAGTGCGAGTAGTAAGCTTTATTGTCATATGTCCCTGGCCTCTTGTGTTCCGTTGCTCTGCGTTGTTGTTAGTGCCGGTGGCACTTGGCCAACCAGTCCCAGCGCAGCGGTTCGTTGGCGTTGGCCGCCGTCGTTGTGCGCTCCCTTGTGCTCGAGCTTGAGCTTGAGCTTGTGCCTGTGCCCTGTGCCTGCGCTTCTGCTTGTGATTGTGCTCTAGGCGGGGCGCTTGAGCAGTCACTCCACTCGACTGCACCCACTGATTCGCTTGGTCCAAGAGGGCCTGACTGGCCTGGCACCTGGATGGTCTTGTCCGGCTCGCTCCATCTTGCGAGCCAGTGGGCTTGACTGTTGGGCTGGGCTGATGAACTACTGGACAATGGGACAACATGACAAAAAAGAAAAAGAGCAAAAGCGAAGCCATCGCTTAACTGTTGATCCTCCAGGCCAAAAGCGTCAAGAAGAGCAGCGGCACGTTAGACGGTGGCGTGGACGGAACGGAGCGCTGGGACGCAGGACGGGATGGGGAGCAGGTTTGACGGAACAAACTGTCCGGGCAGCATGTGCTGGGGGTACAACCACAGTACTAGATCCGGGGAAGGTGCACTAACAGCGTCGCAAAGCACAGCAGGTGCGGCTCGCCGTGAACGAGAGAGGCGCTTTCCTTTTTACCACCTGGCCCCACAGTCCAGGCCCGGTTGGGAAAGCTCCTCGCACCTGCACTTCACATTTTTGGACGCAGCAAACAGCAGCCAGCAGGTAGCAAAGCAGCAGGCAGGCAGGGCAGGTTCGTAGCACGAAGGCAGGTTCGCATCCCACCCCACCCCCAGGCCACCCCATCGTGCCCTGCAGCTTGTCTCAGATGATGGAACTATGATGGGAAATTCTGGCCCAGTTCTGCATGTTCTGCCATTTCTGCCACCGCGATATGGGAAACATGCCACATGCCACGTCCTGCACGAGAATCCCATGACTGACCGACCCTTGGACCCTTGCGAGAACCGGCAAAACAGCATCGTAAACAGGAACAATAAGTAATAACATAAACAACTCCGAGGGGACTCGGCTCATCCACCACGTTGCACTCAACCCACCGCCAACCTGATCTCAGCTGCGCATCAGCCCCGCCAGTCCTGCTAGATGCCGTGGGCGGAGGCACACCACCACCACCGCAATCTTCAGCAGTCAGCCTCTCCGTATCTCTTCGGCCTTCATCAGCCAGCCAGCAATTCCGTCATAGCCTTACCAACCTACGGTGGCACATTGGTCTCATATCTATCTTCCTGTGCTGCCTGTCTACGCACTACTGTCAAACTCCCAAACTCCAACTGCCACAGCACATCCCGCTCGCCTCATCCGTCCCTCCATCAACTTGGGCCACCACGGGCCACCTCCTAACGGCCCCACCCCCCCTGGCAGCACCCCAGACCGCTTCAGTCCAAGTGTCGTGCTGGGGAAATTGTCTGGGCCCAGCTGTGCTCGGCTGGTTGGATGTGCAAGGCAGCAGAAGACAAGACGGGCCGCTGTGGTGTCACCTAGCATGTGTACCACCGCGTCAAGCAGCCGTGCTTGTGTCTGGCCACACACGCCAGCACGCACGCCAGCACATATGGGATTTCTCCAAAATCCCATCCCGGCCGACATGGCAATCTCGTCCCCCCAAGTATTGTTTCAACCTTCCCAATAGCCTACCAGCCAATCGCCGTGTCAAATTCGCCACATGCCGATCCCACCCTTATGATGTTCCAGCGGCACATACTCGCCCTTCTCGTCCCTTTAGTGAATTACTAATGTCTACCGTCACTTCCTCTAGGTTATGACCACGGCCGGATCGCCGGGGACTGTGCCACCGCCTGTCCGACTGACGCCGTAACGGGATGCCGATATTTCTCCATTATGAGAAATCTAGCAGCCGATGTTTTACCCTCCTGCTACTAATAGCCGACTTCTGCTTAGAAGGCCTTCTCTGATTACCAACATCACGGCACAGTACAGCACAGCTGCTAGTCCGCGACAGTGGCGTCTCGGCTGTCTCACAGCCCAGGATTCCATCCAGCTCCCCTAGGTGCTGCTGCTTTCGGCTACATCGCTCAGCAAGACCGCCGGAAGATTCGTCTGGTAAACCCAAAGTCTTGTCTGTCCTGTCTGTCGTGAGACGGCACTTTGCATTTAGCCATGCACTCCTCTTGATTGAACCCAGCAGTCATGCCAGCGGCGATGCGTTGATAACACCACGTACGCGTCCGTTGCAAACCCATCCCCAGCTCCGAATTCCATCCTCAAATTCCAGGACTGGCTCTGAAGTGCCCAAATCACCCTCCCCTCTCTCCCGGGGGAAAAAAACGGTTGCAATACTAGCACCACTTATCCTTGTCCTAAGTTGTGTTGCATTCCAGATGTACGATTTGTGGGGCTGAGCTCTTCCGGTCGCCGCTCTATCGACCCCAACTACGCCCACGTTGAGCGCCAGCTGCTCGTTCACAAGCCTCGCTACAAGGAATCGAACTCACAAGGGAGATTGGGACCCCTTTGTGAATCCACGCGTGGCTGTTCTCGGTCTTACAAGCAGAGCGGTACAGAGCAAGAGAAGAGAGCGGAAAGGCGCACAATTCCAATGCCGTTCTCAAAGCCGACTTCCAGCGATCCCAACCATACCGGTCTCTGAACATCAACATTACGGAAGTCCGCTGTCACCAACATTGGCTGGCAGGCTTACCGTCATACCGGTCTGCACCTTCGCAGGTCGCAATACTACCAGTCTTTAGGCTTAGCCCCGTGGGCCACAGGCCCCTGCCCCGCGGCTACCGCTAGTGGTTAAGCCCTAAGTCCGACATTTTGCTTCTAGAAAACAAAGGTCCCCTTCGTCCGCCAAGCTTTCGATCTATCATATGCATCGCGATCTCCCCATCCCTCCAATCGCAGCGATTCCGGTATGAGGAAGCTGCATAACCGGGAGACCCACTAGGACCAGCGCCTCCTGAAGCGTCAATCTGATGGCTTTACCTGGTTCGCGATTCGGCATCAGACTGGCTTTGTTACCGCACGCATCCCGTCTGGCCCTGACGCGCTGTCAGGTGCTTTCCAGACGAGCTCCACGTCATTTCGGAGGAATAAATCTCACACACCTACCACCGAAGGCGTGCCAACGCTTGAAACGCCCACGGGCCTATGATTCGACAGACCTACCCTGCGACAAGCGGCCCTGACGTGCGTTTATCGTCCATCCCGACTTTTCTTTTCTTTCAAATGACACGGTCCAGACAGTCGGTATTGAACCCTTTCTGCCGGGTAAACTTGCACGCACCTCCGTCGCCCCCACCACACTCTCAAGGGTCCGGAGCCGCGCTCGGACAACCTGGCGCTGGACCCTGAAGAGACAAGTGGGTGCATTGGTGAGAAGTAATCCTCACAAGCGGCTCAGAGTGCTTGAGCCAACGCCCTGCAGTTATTTCTCTCCTTTTTTGGAAAGAAGAAAATGACGTCGCATTACGTCCCTGTGCCTTGCACGGAGCTGGTTGCTCAAATTAATTTTGCACGGAGCTTGATTCTTGCTAGCGATGGTCTGCAATAGCATCTGTGAAATACTCACAGATCGAAACGACGAGTGGGGCCTCCTTTAGGATCACGGAGTCGATTGCTGCGCCCTCGATCTGCTTAGTAGCAGCAGGTCTCCAGATCGGAAAATTCACCCACAAGCCAGCTTGACCATGTCTGCCGTGAGGCGTCCACCCGTATTCTCACGATGCCCTTTTACTATGTACTGAGGCTATCGCAAGTGCCCTCAAACAGTTGCGTCACCTTCTCCTACACGCGTACCTCCGCCATCTCTTGGCCGGCGGTCCTAGTCGAACATATGGCGTGACAAGCTAGGAGCCGCCCGCGATCTGGGCGGTCTTTCTCAAAACGGCGCGTCTGATGGGCTTCCAACAATATATCCCGATCGCAAGCGCGCCCAGTGGATACACCTGCGCCGGTGAACATTCCGGAAGATGAGGTTATCTTCTACTTCTCAAATCGTTTGGCTCCACCCACCTAGCCCCAATATATGCTTGGCACGGACGACTTGATCGGCCCGGCTAAATACTGTTGCAGTCTCGTAGGCTGCAAAGGGGCTGCGAGAGTGTAGCCAAGCATACGATTAGTGTGTAGCCAATGAAGCCTGCTACGATCGGGAGTCGATCGAGTTTGAATGTGGACCAAGTGTCTCCGAGCTGAAGATTCTAGATTCAAATATGGCTTATTCAAGCTGGCTGGGGACTACGTAGACGGCAGTGTTATGTAAAAACGACGAGGACAGACACCGACACAAGCCGACCACTCCTCAGAGCGCCAGCTCTCAACTGAGGCTTGTCCGGCAGGTAATCGCAATTTATTGATCGTTGAGAGACAATGGATCAGCTCTTCTCTGCTGTGTTTGCGGTTTCCACGTTTCAAAAGTTCGCAATGAATTTTTCATTGCACTCGACAAGCCTGCATGTCCTGGTGGGTCTCAACGTTCTGTAATTTGGTCATGAGCGAGCTGCTGACCATAAGCAGTCCGAGCTGGCCGAGATGTAAGGATGAGGACTCAGTGGGCGGGTCCACGATGGGACCTCGCCAAATACACTTCTTGATACGGTTCTGCTTTTTGGCATGTGAGAAAAAGTGCCTCACAAATAAGCATGTCCGCGGTGAACATCATCTGGTCCATGCTTGGCCAGAGGCAGACTTCTGTCACACAGGGGCTCGCTCTTTCTTCAGTGCTGGGTGAGGGAGCATTTGCCTTGCTTCTGTGTTGCCTCGGATCCCCACGATGGTCCCCCCGAGCTGAGACCAGCATTCATTCTCAGATGCGGTGTGTCATGGGTTGAGTCAACGTCGTGGGTCTACCACTTAGCATTTCATCCCGTTGGTTCCGAATCACAAGCGACTGGTCAGCAAAAGGCGCTTGCGATGCTGTCGAAAGCCCCTTCACAACATCATTTCTTGTTGCAGACTGGCTGTCTTGCCTTCCCGTGACCCGCATTCGGGGTCCACTGAGATAGTTGTGCCCCTTACGTGCTGTGAAGAGCTTCCTGGGCAGGACTGCCACCGGGGGAAAGGGGGGGGGGGGTATCATTAGGAGCTCGGGTCGGTGTGAAACATGATGAGGCGGACGCATAACCGCCTGGAAGTATAATTGTAGAGGCACTTCATATCCAAAGTACTCGGACACCGCCTAGCCTTTCCCCAAAATCAAAACAGTGTCGTGCCGTGCGCACTCTACCCGTCGTTGAGGCTCAGTGGGGGTCGAGGTGCTCCCTTCATTTGGCGCCGTGGCCGCTCGAGTTGTTGGCGCGAGCATCGCATGGGCACCGTAGCGGCCGGTTCCAGGTGCGTAGATGGATGACTCGTCTGTGCTGGGCCTGCAAGTCGTTCACTTTTGATTATTGAACACACCTACAGGGCCGAGGACATAAATGGGAGGCGTGCTCGCCCGGCGGCTCGGGCCCCGGGGAGAGAGCCATCGACACGTTCGGTCTCCCCATGAACTGTAGACGGCAATGCCTGGTCACATGGTGTCCCCGCTTCCCAAGTGTACACACAATGAGAAATACTGCCTCTTTCTGTGTGGAGGCTCAGTAGGGCGGGGATAGATGATCATGACTCCTCAGAAAGAAACGAAGACAGAACAGGAGCGACAGACTCACCACCAGAAAGGAAGAACAGAACCGCTCGAAGCTCACGCGCGACGGGGCATCATCACAGAAACGTTATTTAGAGGTTCATTGTAATCATATTCAAACCGCTGGCTGAGAGATCTACCAAATAGACCAGTATATAGAGATAGAGAGAGTCATCATCTAGGCCCAGGCATTAAACCGACAGACACATGCCCCCCTCCCCGAATGGCCAGTCACTCGATTGAATTAACATGACCGATAATCCCCTATCATACCAGACCAAAGAAAAACGCTATGCAATGCTTCGGGACGCCCTTTCCTTCCCTTCCATCACCCTGCGCTCCCCTGAGAAACCAATAAGGGCGGGGGAAAAAGGAGACGTGTCAGGGAATAGTGGTGGTGGGTATGAGCGTGAGTGTGATGAGTATATGTATATAAGTACGTGAGTACGGGTATGGGTACGAGTAGTATAGTATATCCAAGAAAGCACCGTTCATTCACCCTCGCTCACCCAGCCCGTGAGTGAGCTTGGGGGCAGTACGGTTTAGCCAACCGCGGATGTCCAAATCAGTGGCTAGTCGGTTGATTGGCTGGTTCGTTTGTACGCGTGGCTAGTGGTATGCCTCGGTGTGATGATATAGTAGTAGTAATCCCAAAGAAGATCGCGTTGCGAGGAATGGAATCCTCCGCACCCACCTCCCCGGATAGCTATGGGAGCTGTTGCTGCACGAGAGGTAAGGGTCGTGCCGCTTTGTCCGTCTGCTGGTCGATGCTTCTTGTGACTGGGGGCGGCAGGAATGAGGATCTCCCCCGCGTGTTTGGGGGCTTGGGGGAGCTCAGTTGCTAGGGAGTGCAATCCAGCCTGTTCCTACCCCTTACGAGGCGGTCTTCCACGTCCCCTTGATTTTGGCATACAGGTCCGTGTGATGGAAATCATAGTCGTCCCTGAAGACGCAGAACGGGTGCTCGGCAAGCAGCTTGGTGGCTGTCGGGCGTTCCTCGGGATTGCTAGAGCATCGCACCGTAGCGTCAGCAAGAGTACTCCACACCAAAAGGTCCCAGTGGTTCCGGGGGGTTTAAATGAGAGGGACGGAGAAAAAGGGGACTTACACAGTGAAACAATCCCACATGAAGGCCAGCGCTACCGGGCTCACCGCCGCAGACACCTCCTCGGGGATCGGCGGCGTCTCTCCGTTGGCGATCTTGTATATCGCGCCGACTGCCTCGTCCTTAGACCACGGCCTGCGCCCGGCGAACATCTCCAGCACCACACAACCCAGCGACCAGATGTCCACCTTTGCGCTGTAGCCCTCGCCCTGGCTGCGGATCACCTCGGGTGCCATCCAAAAGACGGAGCCCTGCATCGAGTTGGTCTTGTCGTTGCCGTAGATGTTGTCCGTCTTCTTGCTGATGCCAAAGTCCGAGATCTTTGCCGTTCCGTCGACGTCCAGCAGGATGTTGTCCGCCTTGAGATCGCGATGCAGGATGCCTTCGCGGTGCAGATAGGCCAGACCTGACAGCGTTTGCCGCGTAAGACTCGCCACGACGGACTCCTCAAACTTGCCGTGCTTCCTCACACAACTACCCATGCTACCACCGGGAATATACTCGAGGAAGATGGAGATACTCGTCTCCTTCCTTTCGCATCCGAGATACTGCACGATATTCACGTGGTCGAGGTGCTGCATCGTGTCGATCTCCTGGTCCAGCGCAGCAACGAGCTCCTTCATCTTGGCCTTGTCACCTCCAGCGGCCTTGGGATTGACCTCGACTTCCTTCACCGCCAAGAATTCACCTGTGGTCGCGTTCATACCAAGGTAAACCCGCCCATACGTTCCCTTGCCGATGAGCTGGCCCTTGAACCATCGGAATGTCGTCTGCCGTTTGGGAATCTGGTTGTTGGCATTATGTGGCAGGCTAGGGAGGTGGTCCTGTGGGATCTGCGGCAGTATCATGGACCCGCGCTGCGGTCGAATTTGCACAATGTTGGCGTTGAACATCTTGGTCGACTTGCGTCGCATCAGATTCGTGTTCTTGTTCGCAGCAGCTGTGTTCGGAGTGGGTGGCACCGGCGGCGCCATTCCTGCGCCTTGTGTGTAGCGCTTGTGCGCCACCTCTCTGATGGACTTCATCCTTCCCAAGCCTCCGGAGCGCCGCGTGCTTCTTTGTGCTGCGCTGACAAAAGAGGCTGGCCGTTCTAGCGCTTTGAGAGTAGATTCATCGCTGCCAAGAGTGTCACTGTCATTGTATATAGTACTTATCCTTGAAGATGTCACAGGCTTTTGGTCCTGTCCTGGTTGCTCCTCCGTCTCCTCGGCTATCGGGCTGGGAGGCAGGTCACCAGGGATTTCGCTGCCGTCTTCTAGCACGGGCTGGTCCACGTTGATGTTGGGGAAGAAGTCCTCGAGATTGTTGATCAGCGCGTCAGTTGGGGGACGATTGGCCCAAATCGAGGTGTCCTTCTCCATGAAGCTCTTGCGTCTGCTAAGCTTCACGTCATTGTCGTTGGAGTCCCATCCTTCGGAATGCGGCGTGTTGGGTGTTCTCTTTGAGCCCTTGGACGAGTGGTCATCATCATCGCCTGCTGGTGTCTTGCTTCCAGACGAGGACGGCAACTTGGGACTCGTGAATGATACTGACAGGCCCTTCTTGGCGCGCTTGGTATTCACAGTCAAGCTTGGGCGCTTACCGAGACTGCTTGCTCCGTGTGTGGCCTCATCCTCGTCGCCATCGCTGTCCTCGTCGTTCCAGAAGGTGCCGTCCTTGCTGACAGGTGATTGTTTTGCAACAGCTTGGCTAGCTACCTGTTTGCCCTTCTTGGTAGTAATAGGAGCACCACGTCCGGTCAGGGGTTTCGCGAATAGTCCGTCGTCTGAATCGTCGTCCGAATCGTCATCGTTATTGTCCTCATCGGAAGAGGAGTCTCCGTCAAAGATCCTGGGCTTGACGACCACTTTGGGTAGTTGTGGCGGTTTGTCCGAGACGGTCCTGGCTGCTGTCGTGGGGCTGACATCGCCTGCGGATGGCGGTCTTCGAGACTTGACCTCTTCTCCTGTTTGTCGTTGTTTAGCATCAATGTCAATCCTGAGTGGGTACCTAGTAGATTTGGATCTGTTCCTTGTCCCGTTTCGTCTTCCAAGGGGTGAATATGTTCTGGGCAATCGGGTTCCGCCAGGCGAGTAGTCGGGCACGTCAAACGCCACACCTCCCGGGCTCATGGTCGAAGAACCGGGACTGGGTGGCGTTCGCGGTCGCGGACTACCGTCGCTTCCACGTAATGAAATGCTCGATTGAGCACCCTTACCTCGTTCATTCGCTGATCCAACTTCTGCGAATTCGCCATCGCCTTCCCCATCCGCCCTGTTCGGTGATGTGCCTCTTCCGGCACCTCCAGGATGTGCGATTCCGCCCAAGCCGCGGCCGATGCCGGCCAGAGCAGCACCGATGCCACCAAGAGCCTGGCGCTCATTGTTGGGCCTCTTCTTCTCGGCCATCTGCTTCGGGCTCTCGGAAAGACCGGTACTCTGCCGCTTTGAGGGGAATCCATCCATGCTTCCTTGGCTCGTCCGTTGGTGCGAGCCGCGTTTCGAAAGTGAGTTGGCCTTGATGAGAGTCGCGGATGGGTCCAGAGGTGCCGCGGGGGCTCGTCGCTGCGGCGCAAAAGCACTGTCGAATGGCTTCTTGTCCTCAAATGGCGAGTTGCGTGGCTCGTCAAAGTTCACCACACGGCCCACGATACCGCTGTACCCACCTGTGCCGTTATCTGAAGGCGAGTTGCCGGCCTCTTTCGCAGCCTTGCGTTTGGCGAGATACTCCTGCTGTTTTCTGATCATCTCGGCCTTGTATGCTTCCGCCTGCTGCGTGATGTTGCCGTCATCGCTCTTGTTGTCATTGGCTCCATCGTCGTCCCCGGCCGATGAGGGCTTGTCGTTCTCACCCCCAGTGAGGGTGTTCTGCCTCGACGCCGGCGGAGATGAACTAGATCTCCTGCGCTGCCCATTCAGCCGTGCATAAGTATCCTCATCCATCTTCGCACCAGCGGGCAGATAAGCTGGCGAGAGCGCGTTCTGCGACTGGCCAATATTGACCCCCAAGCCTCCCATATTTCCAGGCCGAACGAATATCTTCAGAGACCCAGATGCATCCGCCCGTGACTTCTTTTTGGCGACAAGCCTACTATCGTCCAGTGCATCATCGTGATCGAACTTGCCCAGCTCAGTGAGATACAGTTGCGCGCCGTCTGCGTCGGGTAAGCCAAGGTTAACGCATATCAGTGTTCGGAGGTCTGCAGCCGATTCCACGTCCGAGACGTCCACCATTCGGTAATTCCAGTAGTCTAGTGTTGCAAGTATGAATATCCTGCCCCTGGTGATGCGCCTCGATCTCATTGACGATGCCGGTCTTTGCTGATCGTGCGACGCAGAGAAACTCGACCCGGGCCTATCAAGCGATGTTTCACTAGCATTCCCTCTGCTCCCTAGCGAGTGTGGCTTGAACTGCATCGGACTCGTGGGCGACTCGGGATCATCGTGGTGCTTCTTCTTCCGGGGGTTGAGGAACGAGAGGAACGACTTGGTCTCCCTCGCGGACCCTGGCGGCTCGCTCGCGCCGGCGGATCGGTCGCCGGTCGATGAGTTGTCGCCGAGCGGACTGGGCCGGTTACCGCCGTCGTGGCCATATCGACGCGTGTCCTTGGCCATTTCGGCGACGTTCATCTGCGACCGCAGAGCCTGGCTTGCTTCGGGTGGCACGCCAGATCCATAAATAGCTGCGTTTGACGAAACCGAGTCAGTGGAGTTTCGGTTCCGGTGGCCCCCAAATCTCCCGCCTGGCGAGGAAGCGAGATTGGGCACGGTGGAAGACGAGAAAAGCCCTTGGGTTGGTGCCGGACTCGCCGCGGGGCTGTAGCCTCGGTTGCTACTGCTGCGCTCGTTGCTGGTCGTCCCTACCTCGCCGGGCTCGCTAGCAACCGGGCTTTGGCGGCGGGAGCCTTCGTCGTTGATGCTATCAAGGATTCTCCTATGGTTGCCTCCGGGGTCTGAAGAAGTGACTGAGTTACTAACACCGTTCCAAAACATGGGCATGGTTTGCGTCCGTATCTGTGATGATGACCTACGTCCAAGTGAAAATCCAGGGCCTGCGGCCTTGATAGGAGTGTCCGGAGAGCCACTGTCTGGGCCTGCACTGGTGGGTACAAGAGAGGTATTGCTCGTCGAGTCTTTCCTTCCGTGCGACGACATCACCGTCGCGGGTGACTCGCCCCTTACGATGCCGCGTATGAGCCGGCGCATCCTCTTTCCTTCTTCTCGCTCGCGCGATTGATCCCAGCCAGTTCCGCTGCTGCTGCACTCTGCTGCTAGTTGTGGGTACACCCGCTGATGCATCATGCCAAAGTTGCCGCGTCCGCCATGGCCGCTTCCGAGTTCAAGGAACTTGAGCCCGTGCAAGTCCAATGCGCGGAAAGTCGCGAGCCAGTCCTTACTGAAATTATTTGCTTGAAGCCACGACAGCACACGGTCCAAGGGCCACTGTGAGGCGAGCTCAGGTGGTATTCCTGACGAACCTGTCGTTGTCGCATTGGAGGTCGTCGAGTTACCCCTGTTGTGATTCCCATAGGTGTCGATTGAGGTAGAAATCGTCGTGTCGCTATTCGTTGTCCCGAGACTAGCTAGACTACCCAGCCATGAACTTTGTGAGGTTGCGGACCAAGTTGACATATCATCCATTCCCAGACCTGGTATACCGACCCCTTCGCCGTACGTGTCACCCTGTGGGATGTAAGTAGCCGACATCTGCATGCTTTCGCTGGGAGGTGGGGGTGGAGGGATGGCGATCTGTTGCCCATTGACAGTCTTGTACGGCTGCGGGTTGTACGGGCGCGGCGCCTGCTGAGGCGGCGGCGGAGGTATGTAGGAGCCATAGGCGTTATTCCAGGTGCCTTGCCATTGCGTTGTGTTACCGGGAGGCGGGCCTGGAGGAGGTGGGAGTCCGCTGGGAGGTGGCCCGCCAGGCGGCCCTGGTAACGACATTGCGCCGGCTGGCGCGCTGGGATATCGTGGAGGCGGAGGGGGGATGTTGGTCATTATGTTATTCATGTTGCCTATTGCTGCCGGCGGCGAAATTGGAGGAGGCGGAGGGGGAACCTGGAAGGGCCTCGAGGGGTCGACGCCCGACCCCTGGCGCTGCCCATACATGGCGCCGGTATTATTTGCGATCGAGGCTGGGTTCAAGGACGGGGCCGGCGCAGTCTGAGATCTCGTCTGAGGAGGCGACACAGGCGCAGGGCTTGCGGTGGTGGACTGTGGTTTCGGAGGAGGCGGCGGCGGTTGAGAAGACGGGGAGGGAATGGCAGCTGGCACGGGGGTTCGGCGGCTGGTGGGTGGTCGGGCTGAAGGAGGAGGGAACGCGACGCCGCGATTCGTAGATTTGCTCGGAGAATCGGCGGGGGAGTCGGGCGGCGGAGCAGGCGAGAGTGGGCCGCTGGCAGTGTTGGCCCTTCTCCTCTGGCCGGCGAGCGATGGGGCGGACAGGTACTGCGAGGTGGGCGAAGGCGCGCCGGAGGTGTTGATGGTAGGATATGGAGAGCCGGCGCCTAGGCTGGAGAGGAGGGAGCTGCTGGAGCCGAGGGTGGGGACGTCGTCGAAGAGGACTCCGTCGAGCTTAGCGATATCCTCGGTGGCCTTGCGGTCCAGCAGGAAGGTCGGCCTGGAGAGCTTTGTGGAGGTGGCATCTAGAGACAAAGGGGAGTGAGGAAGGCCCGCGAGGGGGGATCTGCTATTGTAGGGGCTCAGCAGCCCAAGGCCGCCGTTGGCGTGGTCTCTATCTCTGTCGCGATCGACCTGTCGTGAGGAAAGACTCGAGATGGAGCGTTGGCGCTGGATGCTCCTGCTCATTTGAGCGAGCGGGTGTTTTCCTTGTGGGAGACGAGGTCAGAGGTCATTCTAACTGTACTGCATAGGTAGGTGGTCGGGCTGGGCGGTAGCGTAGCGCATCCGGGATGTTGGGCAGACAGATGCCGGCGAGCCGGCGAGACGGAGGCGAAGCAGGTTGGTTCTGGAACCCAGGAACGCAGGCAACGAATCAAGATGCGGTGCGGTGCTGCTGTGCCTGGTCGCTGGAGCTGGGCGCTGTGGTGTGCCGGATTGCGTGGTGGGGATAGATGGATAACGGAAAGAGGATACAGTAACTACTGTAACTACTGCACGACAATGGATCGCAGGAAAAAAAGAGCGTGGGACTGAACTGAAACCTCGGGCGATCGACAGCCAGAGCCCAAGGCAAGTTCCGTCGGGCAGGTCTCAACTTGGTGTCAGGCCGACCGACGAACCCACACAGCGCAGCAGCAACTCGCACACACTGCACACGCAATTGCAATTCATAGGCACAACCCACTCGTGTTGTGTCATGTCGTGCCAATTGGCAGGGAAGACGAGGACAGGACGAATGCGCGCGCACTCACAGCTAATACGAATGAATTATCGAATGCCAAGCGTGTGGCACGGAGGAACAGAGTGGAGACGGGCGAGGTCTCCTTTCCTCTGCGTGTGCGCCGTTCTCCGTATGCACCTGCAACTGTGTCTGTGTCTTGTGTCTGTGTTCCTCCACGTGCTTATCGTGACGACGAGACCGATCCGACGCACGCGGGCACGGGCGCAGGCAGGGTGTTTGTTCTTGGTCCTTGGTCCTCGTCCTCGTCCTCGTCCTCGTCCTCGTCCTCGTCCTCGTCCTCGTCCCTCGTCCTCTGGATGGCCTGTCGGTCGGGATGGGCGAGGTTGAGGGCCCCAGGCTAGTCACGAGCGGATTGGCGGGAGAACGAGTCGGGTCGAGACTCGATCGAGGCTAGCCAGGGCGGCGTGGAGTTGCTCGTTCTGCCTCCTAAGCAGTCCCTAGCTCGATTTGTGGCTTGTGCTGTAGCTTGTAAGCTCCTGGCTTGGCTGCTAGCGGCTGGCGTCTGCGGCTGGCGTCTGTTGCTGGGCGAACGGCGAGATGGGGGCCTTTTTTTGAGGGGAGACAGAGAGAGAAAGCGAAGGACTCGAAGGATGAACGGAAGGGCTTGGGGAGAGACACACGGGCTGCAGATGCAGCCAGCGCGGCCCTGGAAGAAGGGCTGAATGGGGGATTGCTGATGGCTGATGGATGCTTCTGCACCTGCTTAGGACTTCCTGTAGCTAGTCCTAAGCTCTGGTAGAGGGCAAAAAGAAGGTGTGCATATGCGCCGTTCCAATCTGCCAATCCGTCAATCAGTCCAATCGACTCGCTCTCGGCCTTGTCAGGTCACGTCGCACCGCAGTAGCTCGAGAAAAGTGCTGCTTCGATCATTTAGGGGGGAGGGGGCGGGGAGTGGCAGGAGTGTGAGGTACGTACATGCTGTACAGCGAGTTGATCTGCAGACAATCAAACGCCAGATGGACTTTGGGCAGAGAAACGTACAACAACGCAATGATACTGTACTGTGGACTGAGAAAGAAACCCAACATGCAAACAAAAAAATGAATCAGGGGCAGGACAAGACTTGTATAGATTGTATTTCCACATTTCATAGGAGCAAGGAGCAACTAATTGGGCTGCCAGACCTGCCAGACCTGCCAGTCGGGCCAAATCGAGGTCAATCGAGACCTCCCTCCCTCCCTGGAGCCACGATGAACAAGCCCAAAGGTGTCACCCAGGGTCAACATTGCAGGGTCATCGTTGCAGGGATACCCTCCAAGGCACACTCCACGGGCCCTGGGCAAGATACACTCTGCAGATCCATCTCATCATTGTCCATGAGCACACTCCGTGTTTCTCTTCTCTCACGTGTGACGCGGCGAACCGTAGGACAAAACACCTTATTCGAGGGGGAGGAGGGCTGTCCCTTTTTTTTTCTCTCACATCTCCTTCCTATCCAGATACTGTATCATATTATACAGTAGAATTGTTATACATTCTACTTAATTGGAATTAATTGACCTCACACCCTCGCGCGAGGACCAACAAGGACACCGACATCCGCCTTTTTTACATTTTTACCTTGCCCATCAGTCGATTCATTCAAGGGCATAGCCCGCAAACGTCACCACCTGTCAACTCTATATTTACCATCCCGGCCCGTTAACGATGCTACCATGCGGCGCCCCGATGAATATGTATATAGTTTATACCGTACCACAGTAGAGCCCTGTTTCTTGGCCCCCGGCACTTGACTGCCCCCCAACGGCCAACCGGCCTAGCCCGGCATGCATTGCTCGCCCATTATCAGATCGAGCAATGCAATATCGCGCCCTGGTGCCATGTTCGTCATCCTCACTCCCGAAACAGAACAGCATGGTGTGATTTGGCGCAGGGCTGGGGGGTCCCACAAGGCTCGCGTGTCACGGAGCCAGGGGTGCCTCCGGGGAGGGATGGGATCGACTTGCTTTCGACTTGAGATTTCCGATCTGATCGCCGACTTTTTTGTAAGTAGCCGGAACTTTGTTTCCCCCGGCAGAGACAGACATCCAGGAGAAGGAAGCATGAGAAAGCATACCTAAGTATGGACGGCGACAGATCCAGCTGTCCGCTGGGATTCTCATACGGGTTCGGAGATGCCGCCCGAGCACAGCCTTCCAAAAAATGCACGTTTCCCTTCATTCGCCCGTCTATGCTTGAAACCTTCATTCTTGGATGAACGCAAATGAAAAAACATCAGCCAGGTTCAAGTTTATTCGTATAGTGTCCATTCTGGTTTCTTGGCACCCACACATCCGCCAAAGAATTTCTGCGCTCTGTTGCAATTTATTATATACGAACTGGCCAATACCAATACCAATACCAGTGCTTTGCCCGCTGAATATGTACGCTTATGTCAAGCCTGCATTTGGAACTTGTCCACTGGCCTTCGTCATAGGCCAAGAAATACCCCAATTTACATCACGGAACAGCCGTTGGCCAGCCAGTTGTTGACCTGGTCGTAATACCCCGGCTCCTCACCAGGGGCACCGTCCTTCCCGTCCCCGGCGTTATACCTCCGCGCCTGCCCCACAACCTTGACGTCCTGCTCGCCCTTGCCGTGCCACCATCGCAGCCGCTGGATGCCGTCGTCGCCCTGCCCAATCTCCCACTTGCCACTCGAGACCTCGATCACGCAGCCCTCCCGCGGGAAGTGATACTCGGGCAGAAAAATAACCGTCGGCGTCTCTTGGCCCGGGTCCTTGGCAGTGCGCAGCTTCAGGACGAAGGTGCAGCTCTTCAGGTCAAATGTGTAGTGCGTAATGTCCCCGCTCACCGCCACCGGTGCCGGCCGCACATATGCCTCCGCGGCGCGGTAGCCGGGTGTTGCCTTGAGGGATGGGTCGGTGGTGTTCATGAGCTGAGAGGGATTGCCTGTGTTGGCAGCGTGGCTGGAGGTTGTGGACACGGAGGGTGCTTCATTGGTGAGTGTTTGTTTGAGATTGTTGGGCGTCACTGCCACGTCTTCAGAAAGACGGGAATTGGACGAAGACTCAACCATGGGAGGGGGCACAGCCGAGGTCGCCAGAGGTTTGTCGTCGAGCGAATAGATCGAGAGGTCTTCTCCATTCCACTGGTCTCCCCATTGGTGGACGTTCTGGATTTCAAAATCAGTCTCCTATGCTGCTTACCTCAAGCCGGGTGCTGAGAATTAGGTGAACTCACGTTTGTGCAGTAGACCCATAATGAGTAGCCCTCCATCCTACTGCCTTCCACAGCAAAGTGGTTCGCATCCATCGCTGCGCTCTGGCTAGAGTAATCCCCCGTCTTGTAGGCATACTTGTCATCCATATCAAATGGTATGCCAAACTCTGTCAAGACACAAGGGTGATTACCCATGTAGTCTAGTCCTTCCTTCCTCATCGCTGCCAGCTGATCTCTGAAACAATTCCGGATAGCCGTCTCGCCGATTTTGATGCCGAATGCAGGTGTGAGATATCTGCCCCGCAGTATACCCAGCACGTCCACATTCCAGGTCCGGTTCCACTTCTTGGTCATCAGTGTTATGCCATCGTAATAGTGTGGCGCGTACACCATATTCGGGTCGTCGTCCACGGTCCCTTTGATGCTGGGCGGCAGCTCCAGCACTGGTGGTTGACACAGCATAATCGCCTCGGGGTGATGTGAGCGAACCATATCCCGATATTTCCTGTAGAATTCCATGAACCAATTGTTGGTAAAATAGGGATAATTCGCGACCTCCCCGTTCTTTGGATCGTTCGCAAAATAGTCCTTGCGCAGCAGCGTGTCGGAGCTGGGGTCCCAAACTCCATGCTGCGCCCATATACACTCTCCCAACTTCCATCCAGGGTCACGCTTCCAACCGTACCGCGAATCATCGTAGCCAGCGGGAAGCCAAGCGATCTCGCCTTGAGGGTCGATCAAGGTCCTGCCAACCTTGTAAGGCCCGAGCCCACCCATGTCCCACGTATCGACCTCACAGGCGCGTCCAGACCCAGTAAGAATGGCCTGCCAGATGGTCGGACACGTTCCTTTTTTGAGCGCCTGCTCCTTCGGAATGACACTCATGTCCTCAAGGCCGATCAGACCCCGCGCCGGCTCGTTCATGCTCTCCCACCCAAAGACGACTTCATTGTTGACATCTCCGGCTTCTTTGATCCTCTTTGCCAGATGTTCCAAAGCACTGAAGAAATGCCCTTGTAGATAATCTTGCACGTTGACGCCGTCGACGATGCACTTAGGCGCAAAGTCCCTTCCCGCAAAAAACAGCGTAAATATGGTCGCAACGGCAAGGCGGTTGTAGTTGGTAGACCAGATCATCTTTGGGAAATTCTCGGGCTCCGGGTAGGTGTTTTGGACGATGGCTGCTTCCGTGGCGGCGAAGGATTGTGGATTCAGGCCGGCGAGGTAGAGCGTCCACATCGGGGCGCCAGAGCCGCCGGAGAACCGTGACCACTGCACAAGGCCTCATGGTTAGCTTGTATATCAAGGCTGCAATGCAAGAGAGAAAGGATCGGACATACCACATCCTGATGCGGGTCCATGTACACGAAGAAGCCATATTCCTTGGCTGCCCTCAACACCTCTATTGTGTGGCTTATCCACTCTTCGTCGTATATCCCAGGGCCTCGGGCCTCGATAGCCTCCCATGTGAAGATATATCGTATTGTGTTGTAGCCAAAGCGCCTCAGCCTCGCAAAGTGTACGTGAGCATCGTCCTTTGTGAAAGGTCTCTTGTGGAAGCTGACGTTGTCCCCATCAAAGAAGTCTTTGGAGATTTGGGAGGGCTGGTCGAAGGGCTCGCTGGGATATTTGGCGTCCCCTGCGACATTGATACCGCGGAGGATGACCTGTCGACCGGAAGCATCGACAAATTTGCCCTGCTCAATTAGAAGACGGAGTGGAGCCATGGTAGCAGGACGGGAGCGGACACGGACACGGGGTTGATGAATTGACGCAGGCTGCTCCGGACCACCAGATATTAGAGGCTGTAGAGGTCATGCAGGAATCGATTAGTCGCCAACTCTGCACCACATTCGAACTCGAACTTGAACTTGATGTCTGCAGTAGTTGGGCTTCAATCGATGTCGTCGATGAAGCAGAGTTGCTGGAATGTGATGGCTCCCGGGCAGTCACCGCTGCAGGACGAGTAACGGGTCCTCGGTCGACTCAAGCTCCGGCTCTCGATGACGTTGGGTGAAAGGATCAGGGCACTCGTAGTTGGGACGAGCTTCCCTGTCACAAAGCAGACCAGACTCCCCTCGGAATTGGAAATGGGATATCTCTCTCTCTCTCCAGCCGTGCGTCTCGAAGAAAATTCGTTTAAAGGCGAGCTGGATTTTCTTTTCTTTTCTTCTCTTCCTTCAAAACTAGCTATGGTCATTCATTCATTCTATGTGCCTATGTAGTGATCTACTGACCGTCTAAATGCAACGAGATCCCACCGCATGTGACGTCGCTGGCCCGAAGATTTGCCAGTTCGACAATGCAACGCCCAGCCCAGGCCCCGCTCCACTCGCTGATAACTGCCTAGGTGCAGTAACCAGGTACCCCGGTACCTAGCTATCGCGAACTGCACCTGGCGTACCACCCTAGACTATCCGTTATCTGGTTTTGTCATGCAGCACCGCACCGTGCTAAGGCGCGTTGTGAGAGCGCCCGGGTACCTGGGTACACCAATTAGGCACTCAACGCGTCCAGACGCGTCTCATCCCAGCGACTTTTCTTCCGGAACATTACAACCACCACCCCACACCAAGGACGATTGAAAGCCTTCAGCCAAATAATCAACCTGTTCTCTGTGTACAGCTTGAATTCTGAAGAATTTCGCCGTCGATATGCCGCATTCTGAGTCTCCAGCATCCACTCCGCCTGTGGCCACGCCTACGAGCGAGGAGATGGAACAGATGGAACAGGACTCCCCAGTCAAGAATGGAACCCAACAAGATGAAAGCAACACAGAGATTACCATGGCAGAGGTGAATGCCCTGCGCTTGGAGGAAGAGCCAAAGAAGGAGGTCAAGCTGGAAGAGCTATTCGCGGATGTCGACTCGGACGACGACGACGACGAATTCCCAAGCACAGGCAGGACGACACAAAGCCAGGCGCTGCCCACAAGCTCTCCCGTCCCAGACTCATCAGGCGTCCCTAAGTCAGTGACATCGCTTCTCATGACCTCGTAGCTAAGGCTGACACAACCCACTCAGTGATGGCGCCCCTATCAAAGCCAGTGCCAGCGACCCCGAGGTCATGCGCAGTTTCTACCAACGTCTCTTCCCCTGGCGATATCTATTCCAATGGCTGAACCACAGCCCAACGCCCACCAATGACTTTGGTCACAGAGAGTTTGCCTTCACATTACAGAATGATGCCTACTTGCGATATCAGTCCTTCCCAACGGCAGATCTGTACGCGTTCCTGTCCCAATCTGCTGGATGCATCAAGCCACTGACACGGTCACAGCATTCGCAAAGACGTCCTTCGCCTCCTTCCATCTCGTTTCGAAATCGGCCCTGTCTATACCACTAACCCACGCGACCGGAAACAACTCAAGAACCTATCCGCTTTCCGGCCACTGGCCAAAGAGCTTTGCTTCGATATTGATTTGACAGACTACGACGACATCCGGACATGCTGCGACAAGGCCAATATCTGTATCAAGTGTTGGCAGTTCATTACCATGGCTATTCAAGTGGTAGACAAAGCATTGCGCGAGGATTTCGGATTCAAGCACATCATGTGGGTCTACTCGGGTCGACGTGGTGCCCACGCCTGGGTCTGCGACAAGAAGGCGCGAACCATGGAAGACCAGAAGAGGAGGGCCGTGGCAGGATACCTGGAGGTACTCAAAGGTGGTGCACAAAGCGGTAAGAAGGTGAATGTCAGGAGACCGCTTCACCCACATTTGACGTGAGTCCTGTTACACGATTAAGACGACCATAGCCACATAAGCTGACTCTGAATGTAGACGGAGCTTGGACATCCTAGCACCACATTTCGCGGAGGATGTTCTCGAGAGGCAAGACCCTTGGGACACGGACGAGCGGGCAGAGAAGCTGCTGCAATTACTACCAGACAAGACTCTCAACGATTCCCTACGCAAGAAGTGGGCGTCTGCGCCAGGTCGCTCATCAACATCGAAGTGGGCCGACATCGATGCCATCACAAAAGCTGGCGGCGCGAGCAAGAATCTTGACACGAAAGATCTCCTAGCGGCGAAACAGGACATCGTACTGGAGTACACCTACCCCAGACTCGATATCGAGGTCAGCAAGAAACTGAACCATTTGCTCAAATCACCATTCGTTGTACACCCTGGTACTGGAAGGGTCTGTGTACCCATTGATACACGACCGGGCAAGCTGGAGGAGTTTGACCCTACGGCGGTTCCGACAGTACAAAACCTCCTGAGTGAGATTGACGCGTGGGCCGAAGGAGACGGCGCGGGAGACGACAAGAGCAGTATTCAAGACTGGGAGAAGACCAGCCTCAAGCCGTACATCGAGCAGTTCAGGACCTTTGTCAGCGTCCTGTTGAAGGATGAGAGGGGGGATGTCAAGGTGAAGAGGGAGCGGGAAGAACCCGAGTCGATGGAATTCTAATTCTAGGTCATATTGAACAGTGTCATGACGGTTGACAGGTCAGGGACACGATACTACGCGACACCCTGAACAGCCACATGGCGGGACATTGTATTGGGAAGGGGCGTATATCAGGACTGCAGGGCTGGCGTTCGGTATAATTCTGAATTGTGTGGTCATATTTTCCGTCCAGCCGTCTTAGCCCAGCGCTGGACGAGATGAATAATGTTTGCGCCGGCGTGACGGGCAGCATGTCCATTGGTGCGCATCTTCCAACCTCCACCGCCGCTAGCATCCCCAGAGTTTCCCCAGACTGTCACTGGCTGTAACCCCTGACTCCCGGCTTCGATCCATCTTGGATGCTACCTTCTCCAAGACCACCAAGCCTTCTCCAACTCGCCCGCCCGCATTTCTCCCATGAGCGAGGAACGCCTCGGTAATAGGGAAACTTGTACTATAGCGCGCGAGAGTCATTGACGAAGTATTTGCGCCGGGCCACCCAGCTCAATGCGGGCGGCACCCGCTGTGCGAGATACACCGAGGTCTGATCATGCGGGTGCCTGGCCCCAGTCAGGAACGTGGGCTCCGCCAGTACTGCATGATGCCATCATGGCCAAGGCAGGCTCGTGCTGAATGAATGCGGCGCGCCACGCCAGCTATATAAGGATGAGAGGTTCGCGCGACGAGTTGCATCTATGCTCCGGATCTGATAAGAAGGTTGCATCAACAGCTTCCCTCTCCTGACGATCCTGTCCCTGCTTATTCAGAGGTAGTAGTCCTACCCTGCATATTCGTCAAGATGGCAACCCTCAAGTCCGTCGCCTTCCTCTCATCCCTCCTCTCCATAGCCCAAGCAAGCCCCTTGCTTCACCGACGGAATGACACAGTCACAACGTTCGACAACAACGTGATCTTCGTGCCGCCCTCAGACTACACGGACCCCCGGGTCCTCTACGCGCGCACCACCGAGCTCACACTCAGCGACAACGTCCTCCTCGCGACATGGGAGAACTACTCCCCCGAGCCGCCGCTGGTCTACTTCCCCATCTACAAGTCTGTCGACCACGGTGTGACATGGGAGCCCATCTCAAACGTGACGGACCAGGTCAACGGATGGGGCTTGAGATATCAGCCCTTCCTCTATGAGCTGCCCGTCGACTTCGGCGGGTTCCCGGCCGGCACGGTGTTGGCTTCTGGGAACAGCATCCCGACCGATCTGAGCGAGACCAAGATCGATGTGTATGCGAGCACGGATGGTGGTTACACGTGGGAGTTCGTAAGCAATGTGGCTTCGGGCGGCGAGGCGCTTCCCAACAATGGGCTGACGCCCATCTGGGAGCCATTCATCTAGTAAGTTGATCCTTCACCACCAAGCTTTCGCGCTTGGATGGCACGACTAACAGTCATCATCAGCCTGCATGATGACCAACTGGTCCTGTACTACTCGGACCAGCGCGACCCAGACCACGGCCAGAAGCTCGTCCACCAGACGACAACGGACCTGCGCACCTGGGCCGACCTAGTCGACGACGTCGCGTACGACGAGTACACGGACCGGCCAGGCATGACGACCATCGCCCAGCTGCCGACGGGCGACTACATCCTGACGTACGAGTGGGGCCACAACTTCTCGGGGAGCTACTCGTTCCCGGTGACGTACCGCATCAACGCGAACCCGCTCGACTTCGACAGCAGCGAGCCGACGTCCATCAAGGCCGCCAACACGGGCACGACGCCGACCGGCTCTCCGTACGTGGTGTGGAGCAGCGTCGGCGGCGAGAACGGCACCATCATCGTTAGCTGTGGCAGCCTGAGCACTGTCTTCACGAACCAGGCCCTCGGCGCCGCGGACCAGTGGTACGAGCGCGAGACCCCCCAGCCCGATGCCTACACCCGCCACCTGCGCGTCTTTGCCGAGGACCCGGACAAGCTGCTCATCGCTGGAGGTGGCCACCTGCCGCCGTCCACTACGAACGAGGTGTCGCTGTCGGTTGTCTCTATCGAGGCCCTGCTCTCGTGAGGGTAGAGTCTGGGGTGGAAGAAAGCAGTAGCTTACATGTAAATAATAATTGTAAATACGATTCGATTGAACCAGGCTGTTCGCGTGTGCAAATTTTCTCTGGAGGGTCTGATCTGGCGTGGACAACATGAATCTTTCAAAATTGACCCGGATATGAAGCCATTTCAGCATGCCCCGTGATTTATTTGAGGCGCGGTGAGTTGTGCGCATGAGGTCAACACGCATGCTACGCCACAGCCTCGCTCGTGGCCTCCTCTTGATTCCCGTCTTGCTCATCCTGCTTCTCGCTTTGCTGAGTTTCAACCTCAGCCTCCTTTCCATCTTCCTCGCCTTCCTCTTCCTCGCCGTCGACTCCCTTCAGCTTTCCGCCCTTTCGTTTCGGGATCACCTCCTCAAAGGCCTTGCCCCAGTCACCAGTCTCGAGCCACTTGGACATGATCTCAACCACATGGTTCGTCGCCAGGACCTGCCGGCTCGCCATCTGCATATACTCGCCGATCGGCAGCTTGGCCGTGCGGATGCCCTTCTCCTCCGCGCGCTTCTGGCAGAGGAACTTCTCCCGGTTCCGGTCGACGATCCCGCCAATCACGTAGCTTGTGTATGGCTCGAGCTTGTCGAGGACGTTTGGGGAGTCGGCCGAGAGGTAGACGATGGAGTCCGTCTTGAACTCGGGGACGGGCGTGGGTTCTTTCTCCGTTGGTGCCTCGTCTTTTGCGGGGTCCTGCTCTCCTTCTCTGGGTTTGTCACCGCTCTCTCTCTCTGCCTTGTCTTGCTCCCCATCCAGTGCGGGACAAGACTTGCCGCCCTTGAGGCCGTGCATAATTTCCCACGCGGTCTTGCCCGCCTCCACAAAGTCATAGTCAACGAAGCGGGTGCCCTTATAGTTGAGATGTGTATCTTTCAACACCGTCGAGAACCTCTCCTTCAAATACCCGCCCCATGAGCTGACCAGTACGTGCGCCTGGTATTGGCCAGCCTTATTCATCGCGTAGCTCCTGGTGATCTGGGCGCCTAATGAGATGAGCTCGGGCTCGCGCATGTACTTCTCGAAGTCGCAGTCGATGATGAAGGAGACGGGCACGACGACCTTGGGCTTGGACGTCTTCTGATCGGCCGCGATGATCTGTTTCATCGCCTCGCTCTTGCTTATGCCCTGAGTCTCTGCGAGCTGGGTGGCCTTCTCGTCGCGCTCGAGTCGTCTCCTGGCTGTCTTCTCATGCCTCTTGTCCTTTCGAAGAGCCTTGCGGTCTTCCCTTCTTTGTTCCCAGATTTTTTGTCGCTTCAATTTCTTCAATTGACTTTTTGAGATTTTGGGCTGCTCTGTTGTACCGTCTCCCTCGTCGGAAGGTTTCGACTCGCCATTGTCGTCTGCCTGCTCGTCCTCGTTTTCTTCTGCATCGTCGTCGTGATCGTCTCGTGCGCGTTTCCTCGGGTTCGTTTCGGGAGACTGTGTTGAGGCGTCGTTCATCTGTGTATCCGAGGCTTCTGGGGCCCCAACAGTTGTTGATTTTTCGTTGTTCTCCATGTTTGCAGTCGGTGGTGTTTCACACGGGGTACACTGGGTGTAGTTGGTGCTTTGGGTAGAGACGGAGGGTGAAGATGGTTGTATCGCGGGGTCCACTGTAACTTTTTGGCGGCATTGAGCGGCAGAATTCCACCTGAGCAGGCGGTGGGGAGCTTGGAGCTTGGATCTGCGGAGCTGCAGTGGGCGGCAGCTTGGAGCTGGCGGGTCGCACCGAGCACTGAACCTTGCTGGGCTGGGATAGGCTGAACGGTTAGACGAGATGAGGCGTGCAAGGCAAAACAAGTTCGAGTTGCTGCTGTGTTGATCATGTTTGTGGATGCTCAACATCACCATGATGGTGGTAGATGTTGTGACAGCCCGACACATGAGCTCTAGTACAGATTGATGCAGGAAATCATACTTTTGTTACTGGAAAGATGTGGTCCGATTCGACAGCCAACGTGCTTTAGCTGTGATGGGCTCGGTGGCATTACACTGCACGCGTTCAGCATGAATTTGTACTTGGGATTTGGTCGATGTGACTCTCTGCATAAAGTTGTAATCCACTGATTATGAGGACAAGCTGTATGGAGCAAAAGGGTCCCGTAATGGTCCAGAAGTGCACCCTGAACATATCTTTTCATGTCTCACATCGACAAATTCGGCGACCAGGAACAGACCGTTGCAGCGACAGCACCTGAGCCCATTAAATTCTCAATACTGGCCGGCTGACCTTCAACCGAGTTCTAGTCTTCTAAACATATTGTCTTTTAAAGATTCATCCCTTCATAAGTGTCATTCTTCATTGACTCATGCATTGCGTTCATTAGTCGTGAAAAACACTATGTATTGTGCAGTCCTACTGGGATTATATGTTCGTAGTTGTACTCATCAACTCACACAGATGTTGATATTACAAAAGCCTACTTCCTAAGTACCCCGAATTGAGCTCGCTTAGACTGCGTGAGAATCGAGGAGAGTCTTATTTCATAAATACGGTCCAAGAACTTCCTGGGCATGGTCCCAGATCTTGGGGCCGGCCTTGTCTCGTAGCAGAGGCATTACCTTTGCATTCGGGGTACAGTCGCACTTATAATTGACGAGAAACAACCCATTCTCCTGCTTGTCCAGCGAATTCACGCCTGTCTTGCCCTTCCACGGCACGCCACGACCACCAAAAGCAGCGCTGGTGCTCTGAAACAGATGCCTCTGTGCGGACTCCTCGTCGTTGAACGAGAACATGGCAATGAGGGGCTCAAGGAAAATCCAGATGATCCAGGCCAGGATCGAGTTCGGGTCCCGGCCCCTCCTTACATTCCCCGTGTTGACCCAACCGGGCCAGGAATGGATGAACGTCACGTTGGGATTCTCGGTGGCCAGCCTTTCCAAAGCCATTGTGTTCAATACCGTGTACTGCATCTGGGCCTTTATGCCGTTGAAGTTCCCCGGTCTTTTCAGATCTATGTCGTCGATGTCAACAGATGCCCTCTCCAACCCGCCCGCCAGGACGCTGACGACCCTGGGGGCCTCCGCCTCACGAAGAAGTGGAAGAAGGTGCTGGATGAAGAGGACCCTCGAATAGTACTCAAGGCTTTGGGCGACCTCCAAACCCTCGGCAGTCTCACTCCGCGGGCCGATTGGCGCGTAGCCCGCGGTAAGAAAGAGTAGGTCGACATGTGGCTCCTTGTGCTTGATGACCTCGCATACTCTCTTTGTCTCCGCGAGGAGCGAAATCTCGCCTTCGGTCCAGATGACTTGGGCCCTGGGATTGGTGGCATGCAGCTCCTGGACGAAGGCGCTCGCGCGCTCTTCAGAGCTCTTGCGCCCGACCAGGTAGATTCTCACGCTGGATCCCGTGGCGACTAGGGCCTTGACCGTGAGTTGTCCGATGCCTGATGTTCCGCCGACGAAGACGGCGACGCGCGGGGCCGTGGCATCGTTGATCAGCCCGTTAGATGCCTTGATTTCTGTGAAGGAGACCATTGAACGAACTGAAGACGCAGGCAAGTAGACTTTGTTTTACATATACTGGTTACGATTTTTCCTATATAGACAGAAAAGGGTCAAGACAGGAGAACAAATCCAGTAGAATATCTAGTTAGCGCTCCCATGATATATCTGTTGAAAAGTGCCCGAAAGCGACGGATTCGGGCTGTTTTTACGCCGTTGTCTGGCTTGCCGTGCTTGCGTAGGATCTTCATCCTGATTCCATTGGTGCCAGTGGAGACAGAAGGATCAGTTAGCTTCATCAAGCCTCATCAAAGACAGGAAGTCTCGTCGCAGTGAATCCAATACTGTGTATAAATCTTGGTTTATCTTGAGGACGACGTCGTAGTGTCCTTGGGCGCCTCATGAGGTACCCGGGTACTACAACCCTGGAATCCGGGGGGCCCTGCATGCCCCACTGAAACTTAATGGAGTCGCGTCGCGGTACGCGTTACCCGTTGCTGCTCTTGAGCGAGCTCCCAGTGATTGCACCTTCCTCTCACCTGCAGCTCATATCCTCAATACATGTTCGCCCAAGACTTCGACAGTGCAGTGATAGAGGGCGGTTAAATCTTCGTCACTCTTCTTCCATTTCGTCCTCTAGTGGCCCGACATGTCTTCCAGACCAGAGTTAAAGGTTCCGACTCCACTTACTTACAACTTCGAAAGGCGGGTTCTAACTGCGAGCTTCTCACCAGGTCGATGACGAGCACGGATTTATCCGCTTCTTCAAGTCTCTCCCCACAGTAAGCGATGAGACCGTCCGAATATTCGATCGAGGCGACTGGTACACTGCCCACGGCGACGATGCCAACTTTATTGCCCGAACCGTCTACAAGACCACCTCCGTGGTCCGCCAGCTGGGCAAGAATGACCATACTGGCCTGCCCTCAGTGACCATGACCGTCACGGTATTTCGACAATTCCTCCGCGAAGCACTCTTCAAACTTGGCAAGCGGGTCGAGATCTGGGCAAGTGTCGGCGGTCGCATGAACTGGAAGATCGCCAAACAAGCCTCGCCAGGAAACCTCCAAGATGTGGAAGACGAGTTGGGAGGCCAGTTTGACGGTGCACCCATGATAATGGCCGTCAAATTCTCAGCAAAGGCCAGCGAGGCAAGGAGCGTCGGTGTGTGCTTCGCGGATGCCAGTGTCCGCGAGCTAGGGGTCAGCGAGTTCCTTGACAACGACTTGTACTCCAATTTCGAGGCCCTATTGATCCAACTTGGCGTCAAGGAGTGTCTCATACAGTTCGACAAGGGTGACAAGGACAAGGACCCCGAGTTGGCCAAATTAAAGCAGATCATCAACAATTGTGGCATTGCCATGTCAGAGCGGCCTGTGGCGGAATTCGCCACCAAGGACATTGAACAAGATCTCGCAAGAATACTGAAAGACGAGCGTTCCGCCTCGATGCTGCCGCAGACGGAGTTGAAGTTGGCAATGGGATCTGCCGCTGCGCTGATCAAATACCTTGCTGTCCTTCAAGACCCTTCCAACTTCGGGCAGTATCAGCTGTATCAACACGACCTCTCGCAATTCATGAAGCTGGATGCTGCTGCCTTGAAAGCTCTGAATTTGATGCCTGGAGCGCGAGATGGCTCCAAGACGATGAGTCTATACGGACTGTTGAATCACTGCAAGACGCCTGTGGGCAGCCGGCTCTTGTCTCAATGGCTCAAGCAGCCTCTCATGAACAAAGACGAGATCGAGAAGCGCCAGCAGCTAGTCGAGGCCTTCATCAACGATACTGAACTTCGGCAGATCATGCAAGAGGAACATCTAAGATCTGTCCCTGATCTTTACCGACTGGCGAAAAAGCTGCAGCGGAACAAGGCCAATCTTGAAGACGTCGTGAGAGCATACCAGGTTGTGATCCGACTGCCCGGCTTCATTGGCACTTTTGAAGCAGTCATGGATGAGACGTACCGTGATCCTTTGGACGCCGCCTACACCACCAAACTGCGCGAGCTCTCCGATAGTCTCGTCAAGCTCCAGGAGATGGTGGAGACAACGGTGGACCTTGATGCGATGGACCAACACGAATTCAAAATCAAGCCTGAATTCGATGACAACCTACGGGTCATCAGCAAGAAACTGGACCGTCTCCGAAATGACATGAATAGAGAATTCGTGGACGCGGCGAATGACCTCGGCCAAGAGCAAGACAAGAAGATCTTCCTTGAGAATCACAAAGTACATGGATGGTGCATGCGACTTACGCGAGCTGAGGCGGGGTGTATTCGCAACAAAAAGGAGTACAAGGAGTGCTCGACCCAGAAGAACGGCGTCTACTTTACCACTAATAATCTTCTCAGCATTCGCCGGGAATTTGACCAATTGTCGCAGAATTACAACCGCACACAAAGCGGTCTGGTCAATGAGGTCGTTGGCGTTGCGGCATCATACTGCCCGGTCCTTGAGAGGCTGGCAGGTGTCCTTGCTCACTTGGATGTCATCGTGTCCTTCGCACACTGCTCTGCGCATGCCCCGATTTCGTATGTTCGGCCCAAGGTACATGCGCGCGGCGAGGGTCAGACAATTCTCAAGGAGGCTCGCCATCCATGCATGGAGATGCAGGACGATGTGCAGTTCATCACCAACGATGTAGAGCTCACACGAGACAAGTCCTCTTTCCTGATCATCACAGGTCCCAACATGGGTGGCAAGTCCACATATATCCGCCAGATCGGCGTGATTGCTTTAATGGCACAGGTCGGCTGTTTCGTGCCGTGCAGCGAGGCGGAATTGACCGTGTTTGACTCTATCCTCGCACGAGTTGGCGCGAGTGACTCCCAGCTCAAGGGCGTCTCGACCTTCATGGCCGAGATGCTGGAGACTGCCAATATTCTCAAGTCCGCGACAGCCGAATCCCTCATTATCATCGACGAGCTTGGTCGCGGCACATCGACCTACGATGGCTTCGGGCTAGCCTGGGCCATATCCGAGCACATTGTCAAAGAGATTGGCTGTTTCGCCTTGTTCGCAACGCACTTCCACGAGCTCACTGCGTTGGCGGAGCAGTACCCCCAAGTCACGAACCTGCACGTCACAGCGCACATAAGCGGCACGGGCAGCGATAAGGACAGTAAGAGGGAGGTGACCCTGCTGTACAAGGTCGAGCCGGGCATCTGCGACCAGAGCTTCGGGATCCACGTCGCCGAGCTGGTGCGCTTCCCGGACAAGGTGGTTCGCATGGCGAAGCGCAAGGCGGACGAGCTTGAAGACTTTACGACCAAGCACGAGGAAGGCACAGCAGGCAACTACAGCAAGCAGGACGTAGAGGAGGGGAGTGCAATGCTCAAGGAAGTACTTGTACGGTGGAAGGATCAGGTCCAGGGCGGCGAGATGAGCAAGGATGAGATGGTGGCCAAACTGAGGGAGCTGGTCAAGGCCGATGGGCGGCTGACCAAGAACCCCTTTTTTGAAAGCGTCCAGGCTCTGTAATCTTGGTTGACAGATGCTTGAATGTTGTATTATGGTACGGTGACACAGATGGGATGACATGGTGTTTGGCTCGGGCGTTCAAAGGCTGGTCGGGATTCCTCATCTGCTGTAGATGAGCTTAGCAATTATAAATAATTTGTTGACCTCGAGCCCCCGGGCCGGCAATGCTGACTCTGCTATCGTTGTCGGCATAGTTTCACGCTTCCGTGGTCCAATTTGGATTGACACCAGGCGAGTCAGTGCAGTTGACGGGCCGAAGGGTAAGTTTGCACTCGAAACAATGTTTTGCCAACTATAGTGCGCCATCATGCAATTGCCTTTTCGATAATATTGGATTCATTTTTCATTAATATCTCAGTGAGCATTCAGTTCAAGTAACAATAGCAGAGACTCAATGCAAGGCCGGGCCCGGGTGTCATGACCTTTCAAAAACACAAGCTTCCATATTGAAGCGTCGATGGGGCGCCAGTGTCGATCCGACCATGGTAGCGAAGCGGCTGTATCCGCCTGGTGATCCTGATCGACGTGCTCTTCGGTTCAGCACTACTACTGTTACCGTGTAGACTGTGCCGCTTCCTTGCATTCGAATGGAACAACCAATTGCGCGTCCCATGGCAACTGAGCATGGATGCGAAATGACACCCCATCCACGAAGTGCAGAACCTGAGAACATGACCTCAGTCAACGAATTTGAGCCGCCTCTTCTCAGCCTAGCCCGCGTCTTGGCAACCCCTGATATCAAACCCAGTGCTGAAGAACTTCTCAGCCCCCTACCCGTCAACTCCCACCCGGTGACCAGCCATGCCTGGCGAGATGCCGACTCTACCGATTCGTTCCATGCTCCACGGCCTTCAGATCATCCACCAGTAGGAGCGACCCTTCCTACACCACCCTTCCAATGATCCAACGTCCTCCTTTCCTAAAGCCTGGGAGATGCGGCGAAGAAAGCCTGCATAGCCGCCTCGCAGCCCGATGGACGAAACGAAACGATCGGCAAGGGAACCCAAGCTTCCGCGAAGCTTTGCCCAGGCGGGATCCTCGTGGGGCCCAAAAGGCCGGGACCAACCACTCACGTCTCTGTGGGCTTCATGGATTTCATCCACCGGGCCCCAGCTGCGGAAATTGACACTTGCTTAGCCGACGCTTGACTCGAAGCTCCACTCATGCTCGAGTTACCCTCGTCGTCTTCTGACCAGGCTTGTCCCGGTCTACATATTCTGTACTGACTTAGACGGCAGTAAATGTAAATACATGGACGACAGGTCAAAGGCAAGGGCGCGGGGTCTTGACAGCAGCCGTGCTCGCCACCAGCCCTGTGTTGATGTCTTCGGAGCATCTTCCGAGACGACCTAGGGTCATGCCTCCTTCACAATTTATCTCAACCCGATCTACGGGGCACACCACCAACACAATGTCATGCCAGATGCCAAGATCGGATTGTGGACCAAGTGGTTCTTACTCCCATCTCCGACCCCTGCCTTCTGCACCATGGGGATATCAGGAGGAGGTCCAGATGCAGGTTCGGACGCCGGCGCGTCGAACAGGCTGACATATTGGACTGTCTTTACAAGTATAAGACTTGCTAGCTGTCGCTCGCCTTCTTCTCCTTCCCCACGCAGCCAAGGCAAATTCTGAGAGTATTGTGGTCATTCTTTTCCCTGTACATCTCTCCTTCAGTCACTTTCCCGGCTTGCAGAGCAAGTTCGCGTTGTATATACCCAAGTCTGGACACTGTTTGACATCTTGCGCTATACACCTCCACGTTCAGCAACCATGAAGTCCGTCCTTCTGGCAGCTGCTGCTGTCCCAGCGGTGCTTGCTTCTTGCAACAGCCACACAACCCTTTCCACCGTTCGCGCCCCGTCAGCGTCCAAGAGTGGCTTCGGTGCTCCGCCTTTCCCTTCAGGAGCCGCAGCCGCGGTCTCCGTCAGGCCAACTGGTGCCTCGGGTGCTGCTGCTGCCACGACGGCTGCCCCAACTGCGACAAATGCTGCCGTGACCGGGAACGGTGGGACAACCTGCACAGTCACTGCTGCTGCCGACGTCGCTTCGGCAGTCGCGTCGTGCTCTAACATCCTCCTGGACAACCTCTCCATGCCCGCCTCCTCAACCCTGGACCTCCAGAAGCTGCAGCCAAGCGCTGTCGTTACCTTCGGCGGCACCACGTCTTTCGGCTACACAGCAGATGAGGACTTCGACCCTATTGTTGTGTCAGGCGACTACATCACCGTGACTGGTGCCCCTGGTCACGTCATTGACGGCAACGGGCAGGCTTACTGGGACGGCCTTGGAAGCAATGGAGGCACCAGCAAGCCAGACCACTTCTTCGTGGTCAAGAAGACCAGCTACGCAACCTTCTCAGGTCTTAACATCCAGAACTGGCCCACGCACTGCTTCTACATGACGGGCAACCAGCACCTTACTGCTCAGAACATCCTCCTGAATAACACAGCCGGAGATGCCCCCAACGAGGCGTCCGGCACCAAGGCCGCAGCGCACAACTCGGACGGTTTCGACGTCGGCTCCTCCGACTACGTCACGCTGAGCAACATCCAGGTGTACAACCAGGACGACTGCGTGGCCGTGACCTCGGGCACGCAGATCACCGTGTCCAACCTGTTCTGCTCGGGCGGGCACGGGCTGTCGATCGGGTCGATCGGCGGCAAGTCCAACAACACGGTGGACGGGGTGCTGTTCGAGGACTCGGAGCTGGTCAACAGCTCCAACGGCGTGCGCATCAAGTCCAACAGCGGCACGACGGGCTCCGTGACCAACATCACCTACCGCAACATCAAGATGTCGGGCATCTCCGACTACGGCCTCGACGTCCAGCAGGACTACCTCAACGGCGGCCCGACCGGCGAGCCCACCAACGGCGTCAACATCTCCGCCATCACCTTCGAGAACGTCACCGGCACCGTCGAGTCCGACGCCTACAACTACTACATCCTCTGCGGCGATGGCTCCTGCAGCGACTTCACCTTCACGGGTGTTGACATCACTGGCGGCAAGGAGAGCTGCAACTTCCCCACGAGCACCTGCCTTGCCTCGGCATAGAGTAGATGGCTTGAGGTGTGTATGGGGGACCGATGATTTAATGTTATAGCTTTCGAGATGTATGTGACGACGCAAGCGTGCATATATGAATTCATGTATATAGTTTCTTCTTTCTTCGGACTGCTGTTCTGAAGCAAATTTGAATACCGTGCTAGCAGGGGCCGAATTTTCCTGCAAAGCTCGTTCTGTTTCCAACGCTGATCCGATGTGAATATGCTCCTCTAGATATCTTTGCACGACTTCAGCCTCATTCACAAAGACTAGTGCCTGCTCTAGCCTTTTAACTTGCTGGTCTATGAGAAGTATGATGAGAAAGTTTTTAGCACAGATACAAGTCAGAGAAAATACTCGGAGACGATCTGGGAGGAAAATAGCCATCTTAGGCGATTGGCAATCTCATTGGCGAGTATGTTCATTCATGCGTTCAACCTCGCTCCGTAACTTCCGGCTTCATGTGTCGGCATGTCATCACTCATGAAAGGGACTTATGCAACACTTCCGAATCATACAGTTCTCAAAACTGTCGATTACTAGCTTACTACATATAGATATCATGCTGGAGTGTTCCGCGTACACAACGGATCGTCACGCTAGTCGAAGACCTTGCCAACAGACAACGACGCTTGCGGCTTTGAGATTAGACGTCGTGACCATCACCACTGTCCTCTTCAGTGACTGCATCAGTTAATTCCCTCCGAGCTCTCTTCTTCGGGCTCTGCGGAGTGGGACTTGAGCTCATCAATCGTCTGAATTTCTCCACTGGAGCTGTCGACTCTGCCGCGCCCACCAAGTCATCTTCGATGTAAATGTCAATTGTCCTGTTCAGTACTGGGCTACTATTGTCATTGTTCCGGACGGATCGCCCAGAAGAGCCCGCCACCATTGTCTCGCCCCTCGAGTTCTGAATGCGCGTGATTCCGAGGACAGCCGGATTATCGTCGATTAGAACATCCATGCTGCGCATGGGCCCAAAGGCAAGAGCACCGCCGTAGGGGTCATCTTCAAGTGGATTGAAGACAGCATCCAGTGCGAAGGCCTGCTCGCGAACAACGCGTCCACTGCTCGCGTGGCGGCCCGGCATGCGCATGTTGGGACTCTCATTACTCTCCTCCGTAGCCGTTTTGCTCCGCTTGCGATGTGACGGACCTGATTTCTGTATAGTTCCGGCAGCCTTTGCTTTCGATTCTCGCAGGAACCGAAATGCTTCTTCCTCTCCGCTGATCTCAAAGACGTCCATGAACTTATCAATCAAGTACTCGGGGACGTAATCATCAGCGGCTGGCTGAGTTGCTTCAAGAAGGTGAGCAGAGTGAGAAGAACCATGAGCCTGTGCGAGTCGCCTAACTTCCGTAAGAGATAATCCTAGAAGTTTTAATGCTTGTAGGAAGGCCGTCGCGTGAGCGTCCGATATTTGCGTTTCGTGCGGCCGGAATCCTGGTATTGATCTGAACTGTATTGGGAATTCTTGTATCTCTTCCGGAGTGACTTCAGGAAGGCCAGTGTATGGGCGTCCATTCCGTTGCCTCCTCATTATTTTTGACCCTAGCATGTAGAGTTTGACTTTCCATGTCGGGTAGTCTCTTAGATCCGGGTAAGACATTCGAAACTCCTCCGCCTCTGGGGTAGTGACTCGTGGTATTCGAGAATCAAACCTATCGTTTGCGAGGTGATCAGTGTTGGTTCTCTCGACATGTTGTGAAGCAGCACTAGCGGGTGCTTTGTTGCGCTGCTTGGTTCGGCCCTGTCGCTCCCTAGCCTTTCTCTCACAGATATTTTCTACTTGCACACGAAAAGATGATGGACACGTCTCTTCGGTCAAATTCCTCTTCTTGAGTATGTTAGGGAAGCAATCGTTGAACATTCTTCTGCTAATTTCCCTCACTTGCTGTTCAGTCGCTCGGTGTTGCTCATCATTCTCCGCCTTGGATCCTGAAGTCGGCTGTAGCGGTGTAATGGAGTGTTGCGATCGTACAAGGCTGTGTGGAGAGATGCTATTTTGGGTCTGGGAGGCAAAACCAGATTGAATAGGGCGATGTTCGTAGGGAGCAAGCCCGCTTCCAAGAGGGAAGCCTGTGAGCATTGCTCCTGGATTAGTCACCCTCATTTCTTCTGACCCCCTTCGACTTGCAAATTGATCTCCCTCAGATGGCTGCGTCAAAGCGTTTCTGTTTGTCAGATTCCTATCTGCAGAGGAAAAAGAGCTGGCTGGAATCGGGCCGGCTGTCGCAGCGCCCCGACCACTATGAGCAGTGGTGGGTCTCCCCATTATATCTGTCTGTCTCCAAGCACCGGGCCAGTAGGCAGGGAGCCTGAACTGCAGTGTGCTCTCCGAGGAGGTCTGAATGGTTGTCTGCGGGAACATCGGAGCTCCCTGAGACCCGATAAGGCCATTATTCGAAGAGTCCGAGACAGCCGACATGGGCGTCATGGCTTCGGACCAATATGGATCGATGCCAGAGCTAGCCACAGAGCCTTGCTGCTGACCTGGCTGGACAGAACTAGACGGAGGGGGTATGGCACCTCTTGCAGCTTCATGAGACAACGGAAAAGACGTGTTTCCCGGCAAAGAATACGGCATCAAATGGTGAGCCATATACTGAGAGTCGCCCCAACGATTCCGTGCAGGTGGATTCGCCTCGGACAAAACAGCCTGCCCAAAAGCCATACCACCTGGCTGCAACGGAAGACCCACAGACTCCGTATTATTGATACGATGTGACGAAGATGCATTCTGATCACCTTCTGGCTGACTGGAAAGACGGGACACGTTATCATCCTCGCTCAGACGCCGTTCGTCCCCGCGGCCTATTTCGGGTGTAAGTTCATCGTTTTCCATAGCCCACTCTCTCTCAGGATTTTGTGTTGTAGGCCCGCGAGTTTTCGGATTCAGTTCGCTTTCTTGATCACACGGTCTGGACAAATGACTTCCATCGCCAGTCTCTTCATGCTTGATTTCAATCATAGATGGATCGACAGTGAGCGCGGAAGTCGTGTCTGAATGATTCATATCGTCTTCGTTCTGTGTCTTGTTTCTGTCTCGCTCGCGTGAATTACAAAGTAGGACTGCCTGATCCATTGCGTGCAGTGAGTGGGGAGTACGAATTGAACTTGTTTTGAGCCAAGGTACCTCGCAAATAACACCATGAGGGTCATCAGAGCTCAAGCCGAACATCTCATCCATGAACGGGTCAGTGAAATCATCGGTTGCGTTACTACTCGAGTCCTACTCGCGATGCTCTACATGTGACACCTCTGCCGCGTCCTGCATGTCGACGTCGACGCTCTGGATGACCTCTTCGGCAGCTGTGGGAACCTGTTCGCTAGATGTGACCAAGTTTCGCTCCGGAATCTTGACTAGCCGGTCGACCTGGTCTTCACGAACATACGCCACATAGTAAGGGCTGGCACCATTGTTCAGGTCGTTCAGAACCTTGTCCTTGTCCGCATGGACTTCGACCCTTTCGTCATTGTAACTGCGCCATACGTTCTTGTCGAAGTCGTAAATCCAGACCCAGTAGTGACCGGACCCCAAGCCGCCGCCGTGGCAGATGACCGCATGGAGGCGATAGGACACACTAGTCATGTCGGAGAACAATGTAGACAGTTCCTTGCGGTCACGTTCTTTGCGGTCCTCGTTGAACTCATGAAGATGGCGACAAGCGTCCGAGCTGAGGTTGGCCAATGACTCAACAGATGTGCCGCCCATGGCAATATCCTCACCGGATGGTTGAGAGGGGTTGGGAAGATTACCCTGGTGAATAAACATTTGCTGAAGATCGGGAGTCAGGATAGAAACGTAGTCCTCGTCTTCGACGGTCATCATCTCTTTCTCAAACGCTCCGACGACTGTATCATTTCCATCGATGACCTCATAGCCTGCCTCATTGACTTTGGCCTTTTCCTCCCTGCGTTTTTGCTCAATTGGCTCAGCCTGCGGTGGGCGATCCAGCGCTTCGAGCCGCCGCTTCAGTTGCCAACTGCGCTGCCGCTTTTTGAAGAGATCCGAGTCGTTGTCTCCATCCATGTAACGATCCAGGTACAGCCTTTCAGGTATTTCAACGACATTGTTGTTCCTGCTTAGCTTCCCATCCACGTTTTGACTTCTCTGAATGTAGACGTGCAGGATTGGAGACGCCCTCGTGATGGAAGAATACGTTTCGTGGCCGTCCTCTTGAAATTCCTGATCAAAGTTGCTATCGAGCGCTTTGTACAGGTCGATCTTGCCTTCTTTGGCTGGAAAGGCAGTCATCCATCTCGAGAGATCGGGCACAGACCTGAAGTCAGACTGAGTCTTACCCGTATTTTTCGTGTCGACGGTCCGGATTTTCTTGACGCTAGACCAGTAGAAGGTTTCCGTGATCATATCAGTCTGTTTCCCGGTATGCTCATCTGTGCCAGTCGGCTTGATAGCGGCATGGAGGTGCTCGAGGATGTTGCCCATGACTTCTTCCACATCTTGCTGTTCGGTCCCAGTGACACTCACGTCGTTGAGGGCACCTGTGATTTTCTCTTCTACCGTGAGCGCTTGCTCCACCTTGGTCTCCGTCACAGATACAGTCACAGTCTCGTCCATGCCACCCATGTTGGCATCTGGAACACTTGATGTATCCTGTTCGCGACCCACAGATCGTCCGCGCCCACCATCTCCCAGGCCGAGTGCTTGATCCTTGTCTTCATCGTCAAGCGCAAGCCTCTGCTTGGCCGGCACGACCTGGGGGATATTCTTGTCCTTGGTCGGGTTTTGGGAAATCGTAACGTAGGTCTGGTCGGCTTCTTCATCCCTTTGGTCAACCAAGGTCGAGGAGCTCACATTGCTAGCAGTATCAGCGTGTTCCGACACTGCGTTCACTGTAACAGTGGGCTGAGTTAACTGGGATGGGGGCTTAGGCGAAGGCCTAGCGGGCAAAGGGGGTGGAGGAGGCAGATCCCTAGTAGACACTTCGGGGGTTGGTTGAGGACCTATCGCCGTCGTGGAAGTCTCCGCCGGTTTGCCCCTGACGAGTTGATCTGCCGTCTTCAACGCAGCGAGTGCTAGGCGTTGCTGAGGCCTGATAGCACTTTCATTGGAGCTTTGAAGGTCCAAGAATAAAGATCGCATCTCCTCGACGAACTTCGCGGCCAGGAAGGCCTCAGCCTTGTCTAGGGCTGAGCCGCTACCTCCTAGGCGGCGTGTCTTGATATTGTCTTCCGTTGGCTCCATTTTGTACTCTTCCCAGTTGAGCACAACACTGCGTACCGGTAGGACAGTATTGAAATATTGAAGAAGGCTGTTGAGGTAACAGGTGTTGCGGATGTTGACTAGGCCGACTGGTAGGGAGGCATCGAATGCAGGCCCAGCAGCTGTCTGGGAAGGAGGACCCAGTGCAACCGTGATTGAGTTGTCGTCCACCATCCAAGGCTCGCCTGCTTCTCTCTCTAGCTCAATGGCCAGAACTTCCAACTCTGCATGATTGTTATATTTTTTGGTCAATGATCTCAAGGCACCAGCCGCCAAAATGCGGTCAATGCTTTTGTCCTACAATTGTCACGTTAGCTGACTGCAGGGAAGTGGTGTGAAAAAAGTCAGGCAAGCAGAACAAACCTCGTTGACGTTTGTCTGGACGTAACTGGGGATGACGTCCTGCACGGCGTCTTCTGGGATTCCAAGGAATGTCATGGCTTCCTCGGGCTCGAAACGACACGCGTAGTGCACGATATCAGGGTCCTTCTTGTTCCTCCCGATGAGCAACAGGTTATTCCGAAGCGTTTTCCGATCGGGAAAGGAAGCCGATCTCAACTTGTTGTCGAACTGCCGGAGAACAAACTCGTTGCTAGCAGATTGTTCTGAATCGAGTGCCCTGTAAGCCTTGGGCAGAGGGTCCGCCCCAGCCTCTCTCGCCGACCTCACGATGACGAGCGCCAATTCCTCGCCTTCTAACCATTTTCTCAACTCAGGGCTGACGCCCTCTCTGTTCTGGCTCACTCGGCGAAGTGCCTCAAAATAGAGCTCTCGGTTGGTGGGATCCGTCTGGCCCTGGCAGGCACAAGCGTACCAGAGCATGTTTTCATGGATGTCATTATTGACGCCGAGCATATCGAAATCAGCAGGATTGTAGTCGCCGAAAGACTGCTTCGATTTAGCATACTTGGCATCTAGCAGCTCTTCCAGCACCTTTATTGTGTCGATTTGCGGGTTGACGGGCATCTCGATGGGTGCGACAAGGGCTGCGGGCAGGTTGTCCACAACCAGAAAGTACAGATGTATCCGGACGATTTCAAACCAACCCCTCCTACTCACTGGGTCGGTGAATGCTGAGGGCGCCTCATCGAGATGAGGCAGAACCAGGGACTGGTCGCCGTCTCCGTCAACAGTCTCAAACTCCAGAAAGTCGAAGACATCACCAAATCTGTCCCAGAAGCAGAGGGTGAAGAACTTGTTACGGTAGGACACTTTCTTCTCCGCAGTTTCGGGTCCGGATTTGAGCACGTCACTAAGGTACTGCCAAAGGTAGTGGGCCGGGAACAGTTTTGCAAGCTTGTCCGGAGACCTGAAGTCTTCATATCTGTCGTGATCATTAGACTGCAGAAGCTCCTCCAGTCTTGCACGAACAGTGTCGCGATCAACCAGAGAGGCTTCCCAAGCCTCAGGCAGGCGGCGTTCACACACGTCGACACAAACAGTCAGATCGCAGCCGACAGCAGAACACATGAAGTTTGCCTCGCTGTTGATGGGATAGTGCTTGGAATGAGAGGATGCTCCGTCTGAAACGGCGGTAGGTACCAGGTGGTGCATGCGCTGGACATTCTTGTCACATCGACGGCCGGTGGGACACTTCAAGACGATTGTGAAGGTCTTTTTGCATGTTCGGCACATGCAGACGGTCAGCATTTGGTCGTGCTCCTGGGTTTTCCATCCTGCAGAAGATTCGAAGGACTGGCTCAGCACGCGGTAGAGGTCATGGCGGGCGGGATGCACCGAGGCGGGATTTGTGCATGGTGGCAGACCAGCATCGCCAAGTGAGCCGTTGACAAGATCAGCAATCCACTTCGAAGCGAGACGGCCTTTCATAGGTACCAGAGGGTCAGCTAGGGCCACCAAAGGTAGAGTCGGAGGGGGACCGAGAACAATATACCTGGTCTACCGAGTTCCCTGTGTTTGGGCTCGTCATCCGTGTTAGTGTCGATGTCTGAGTAGGCCGGGAGGCCTTGTGACCGAGTCTGGTGATGATTGTAGTTATATTCGCCCATGATCTGGCAGCCGTGGCAGCCGGGGTGGCGGCAGCTATGTCGAAGGTCAGTCATGCATGTACGCTTGCGAGGATGCAGTTTAATGGTAAGGTCGCTCCAAGTCTGCCTCCGTTTGTCCAGGGCCATGGTGGAATGTCTGTTGTATGGATGTAGAGGAATGTAGATGGGTGTGGGCCAGATAGAAACGAAAAGGGGTGGTGCTTGTGCGTGGTATGGCGAAGGAATGATTGTACTGACTGCAAGTGGGTGGTCTTCTGGGCAATGAGCTAAGTGCAAGTGTTGATGCTGTCTTTCACATCGGCTGCGTCTGTCGATAAACAGCCTTCAAGGGTTGGTCTTTGTCAGGCCGATGGTCGCAGCTTCCTAGATCAACTACCAACTGAAGGCCGAGGCAGAAAGGAAGAAGGGGCGCTGAGTCTTCCAGGAATGCCAGCTGCCCTTGGGTACGAAGTGGATGGATGTATGGATGGATGAATGGATGGACACGGGTGAGGGTCTGGGTTGAGACCTTGTGGGTTCAAGAGGGCGGAAGTGCAGTTACTGTATGAGGATATGCCTCAACGTGCAAGTCATATGTGATGAAGGATATGAGCTGCAAGATGAGTTGAACTCTCGTAGATGTCAGAAGCTGATGAACTGCCAGAACGGTGGCGGTTGCTTAATGACCAGCGCTTCACAAGGCGACGAGGCTGCGTCAGCTTGATTGGTGCAGTGAACGTCAGAGGCGCCCAAACAAGGATGACGGAACCTTGGAGAAGAGCCACAGGAGCTTACTGTTAGAGCTTCTGAAAGGTGTGTGGGGAGCGCGGCAGCACACCGTGGTCTGGCGTCCGGGCGGGTCATCAGCAAGCTCCCCCTGGCCGGCAGAGTACCTAGGTACTTAGCGTGCTGAGGTACAGCAAGGTCTACCGTCCCGGTCCCGATCACGTGCTACGCTGCTGACTCAACAGGACGCGCCAATGAGGAGCAGTCAATTGGACATTTGGAAGAAGCACGGAGCTCCACCGTGAACAACCGACCGAAACGGAGAAGCTCCCATGCCCCAGCCAGACACAAAGCAACCTCTGTCGACCGACACATCCGACGACAACCGCAAGTCCACGCCTCCGAACCACCTTGAGAAATGGCGCCCCACGGTGATGATGACCTCTACCACCCAGTCGATGCTCTCAAGGCCGGCATACAGGGCGCCATGATCACCGGTGCCGCTGGTGTCTTCGCGGCCGGCATTAAGAACGCGACCAGAAAACAGAACTTCGGTGCATTGGGCATCTTCACACGCAGCGGCGGCACCATCTTCACCTTCAGTAAGCCATCTGCCATTCCCTGAGCAAATAACCGACGCAGATTGGCAATCGCTGACCTGTGGTTTCCGCCATCTAGCTGCCGTCGGCGGTGTCTACGAGTTCGCCCGCAGCGCAGCCGCCAACCTGCGTGAGAAGAAGGACCACTACAATGCAGGCATTGGAGGTTTCTTTGCTGGTTCTATTCTGGGTGTCAGAGGTAGGTCTATTTCCCGACCAGAAGAGCGTGGATCATGCAGACAGACTGACGCGCCATCTTGCTCGCAGCTGGTCGGATGCCTGCGATCCTCGGCTACGGCGCCTTTACCTCGATCATTCTCACAGCCTTCGAGTACACAGGTGGAAGTCTAAAGGGAAAGAAGCCAGAGATAGAGGGAATGGATGAGTTCGAGAGGAAACAGCACCTGAGGACGAACAGGAGGCGACCGCTCGAGGAGACATTAGCAGAAGTTGGAGAGGGACGAGGTAAGTGGTATTTTCACCCCTTGATTCGCGGAACCGACTGACACCGCAAAGGTATTGAGCCACCAGGGTACCACGAGCGGCGCCGAGAGAGACTAAGAGAGACGTACGGTGTCGAGATCAACCCAGTCTCGACACAGGCATAGACAAGATGCCATCTCATCCGATCTGTACATAATAGAACCAGCCCGCGCGAAGCGGATACTGACGACAGCCGAATGCAATTTGATTCAAGCTAGTACTGCTATCTCTGTTATGAAGCTTCGTCTCAACGAGATGCGCATGTTTTTTGAGCACTAACATTCCGAGTCTCGCTCACTGACTTTGTAAGTCCGCCCAATAATACTTTTCCTCCAACATGATGACTTTTGAGGCTGTTTATGAATTTGTTCTACACATATATGTTTATTTTTATACCTAACTACATTGTTCAATATTTTGTCTGACACACTGTTTCCTGTCCCAAATGCCCCTTCAGCTGCTCGTCCTTCACAAGTCTAACATCACCAGTGTTCAGGCTTCTTCCAAGTATCAACCTTATTGACAGCACCAGTTGCAAAGTGAGTCTTTTGTTCCTCCTTACTTTTCTTCGTTGATGATGATTTTTGAGGCTGTTTATGATCCACGATGATTCACTAAACTCACCTACATTGTTCATTATTTCTTTCTGACCCTTCGTTCCTTGCCTTCACCACCTGCTTCCTCACAACTTCGACCGAAATCTGTGACTGACAAAGACCTGAAGTATCCCATATTCTGACGCAATGGGCAAGCCCCGGACCATCTTTGGCTACATTGAGCAATGTAAGTTAATACCTACCTCCCTTTCATGTCCCTTTCCATCCTTGCCTGATGACTTTTGAGGCTGTTTATGATTCCATATGATTCATTAAAACTCACCTACATTGTTCTTTTTTTATTCTGAAATCCCTCTCCTACATTATGCTCAATCCGTTCGACGAGGCCGGAATTTTGACTAACAGCGGAAAGACCAGGCCCACCAGAGTTTGAAGAGCCGAAGACATGCTCGTGGCGGCTAGATTGCTCAACTGCCGTTGTCTCCATTTATGCTGGTAGCCAATTTTGATGCTCGGAAATCTAAAGAAACCCGGCTAAGGGTACGAGCGGCCCTAGTCAAGTGATCGGCTTCTTCGCAAGTGTTGATGCATGAGGGTGTAGAAGCATGGACAGAATATAGCATGTTGGTGTGCTTGTATGGATGTGGAAAAGCTGCAATCGGCCAGCAGGAATTCTCCCTGGCCCAATGCTTGCGCTTCTCAGCTTTGCCCGGCCAGGACAGGGACAGAAGTGCGTTTCTGAGTAGTGTCGTGTGGACGCACACTAGACGAACAGCTAGCTGGCCAGCGCAGTCTCCTCTAATGTCACCTCAAAAATGTGTATGATTGCTCTTTATTGCTTGGGTCACTAAGTCAATGCTCGTCATAGTCATCCACCAAGAACGGTCTTAGGAATGCGAGAACCAAGTATGTAGGCCACCTAACTGTTCATAATGCTTTGTCAAGCTACGTAGTTGCTAAGTTCTCGTGTCTTTTGTGGTGCTCGAGGGGTTCGTCATTAGACATTACCAGCCATCATGGTCCACCAAATAGTCCAAGAAGAAGTGACAGTTGGCACATTCCACCTCATGGCAATGTCCATGTGCTTAGGCTCAGGACATTGTTTGATAGGTAAGGGCCATCATGTTTCCTACTTGGAACTGGGTTGAACTAGGATTATGGACATAATGCACGTCATTTTCAAGAGATGGTAGTGGCACTAGCTCTGACTACATTGAGGCTGTTTAAATCATAAACTGAGGAGTATGTGCACCTGGCATAAAACAGATGTCAACCACCTTCTATCGCTTTTGCATGATCTATCTTACAAACAAATAATCTACACCTCATCCCAGCCCGTGACGGCGTCCTCAACAATAGGCCTGATGATCTTCCTTCCAGCGCCTGACTCATGTGTCCACACCATCTGTCTTGGTGCCAGCTCGTCTGCCCTGTACCATGGCTTCAACCCCAGACCCTTGTCATTCTCCAGCGCTGTTTTCGCCACACGGAACAGCGAGTCGGCCTGTGTCTGATTGATACGAACATCGTCACGGACCACGAGCACGACTTCTCTGATCTTCTTCTTCTTTCCATGCTCCTTGACCTTGTACTTGTTCAGCACCACACTGATGTCAACCCCGACTTCTGCAGTCCAGGCAGCATGGACAGCGAACCAGTCAAACAATTCTTCAAAATCGGTCTTGGTGATCTGGTTGTCCATCGAGTATGGGACAACAGCAAAACCCAGGCTCACGGTAGGCGTACGTGGTGACGGGGTGTCAATCAGATCACCCTTCCAGTCGCGGCGCAGCAGGTCGCGGAGCTCGAGATGATCCAGGTCCTTCTTGGCGTCCTTGAGCTCGTCGGCGAGGTCCTCCATAACGTCGTCCAGGTCCCTGCGCGCCCAGTTGCTGCGCTTGAGGATGCGTTCTGACACCTTCACGTCATCTTCGGTTGTAATATCGCTCGTCAGGCCGCCAGAGTCAATGGCTATCGCGCTCAGGATCAGCTCCAGCAGCTCGTGCGGCATGTGGTACTCCTCGGGCAGCGCCTCGAGCTCATCAAGCATCTGCCTCGCGACCAGCGTCGTGCAGCTTGCCACCTTCTCGAAAATACGCGGCTTGGCGTCAGGCGCGACACCGCGGTCAACGTGGTGGTCAAAAATGCTTTGAATGGGAGCCCCCCTCCATTTCCTCAGCGGTTCAGCGTGGTCTACCAAGACCAGGCCACGCAGCTTTGGGCCAAGCGTCTCAGGGTCCTCGGGGAGCTCATCCAACGTAAGCAAGTCTTGGTGGCCCTTGGTCATTTGAGAGTTGTCCAGCGCCACCTTGTTCTCAGGCCTCAGGTCCAGCGCGTGGCTCGGTGTCTGCAAGAGCGCTATTGCCTTGAGCGGGTCCGAGTCGTTGAGCGTCTTGTGCTCCAGATGGTAGGCCCATGTGAGAGCCGCAGCCATGCTGTCCAAATCACCGCCCTCGTTGCCCTGCACGATGATCCATTCTGACTCCTTGCCCGCCTGCCAGTCGATGAGAAATTCCCTTTTGGTGGCACGGCTCCACTCGCTGAAGTGTCCGACGCCCTTTTCCGGCTTGCCAAAGACGACCTGCTGTTGCTGCGGGCCCTGCGGAAGAGCAGAGCCCGCGGCCGATGCTATGAGCACCGCGCTAAGCGTGACGGCTTTCATAGCGGTGATGCTCGATGGGTAAGGCACGGGACGAGGAGCTGAAGAGTATGAAACGGAATGTGTCGAGGAACAGGTTGATCATGGAGCTGTCTGGGGCAGTGTCCGTGGCTTTTAACACAGGCCTGAGAGGATGTTGTCAGCCAAGCCTGGACCGTGCTATCCTTAGCGCCAAGGTTTCCACCATGGCACATTAAGCTCAGGACGCTCAGGTAGGCTGTCACAACTACCGGACACCGTTGACTCGGACAGGAGGCTGCCCAGGCTGCACGCGCACGAAGATCTTGCACTTAGGTGTCCTGTCACCAGCACGTGCATATACAATTCACGTCCACCTGAGCATCCCTCTGCGGAATCATGACTTTGCGCAATTGACCTGCAATACAGACTTTCGACAAACAGTCCACGAACATGTATTGCAATGAATCAACTTGTTACTGGTAAGTAGTTTACTTATCTTCCATCTCTTCACCGTTTCGTCAACAGGGTACTCATGGGCAGTGGGGACTACTGTCGTGTTCGCCTTACGTTGAAAGCTGGCTGCCGTGGCCCACAAATCAGATAGTAGAGGTGGAATGCATCCAGTCTGGAGGTGGAGTCTTTTAACGACCAGGCCCGCATAGATAGACTATAACACTTGGCTTATCCTTACCCGTACACCGAAAGTCTTAGTGAGAAATATGCTTGGAAGTCGTTGGATGTAGTTGCGTGAGAGTTGTTGAAGGGAGCATGGTTTACTGAAGCCCGTGGCTATTGAGAGCGGTGCCAGAGCATGTGGGGGTAGAGTGGTTTCACCAGAAAGGAATGAAATGATTCAAAAATTCATCAATGAGTAGGATAAGTGTCGCAGGGAAAGGAGTATCGATCTGCCACGGATACGCCCACCATGGACACCAAATGTGTAGCCTTCACTTGCTCGCAAACGAATGTTTGTAAATCGCGACTTATTTGGAGCATCTGAGCATGTGCATAATGCATGCACCTATATTTGCAGGTGCGGCTGTGCTTTAAGCGCCCTGTGGAAATCAATCTGGCCGATTGAGATGAGCGGCCGCCGTTGAAGGTGGTTGGCTCGGTAGCCGTCGAAGGATCACTTCAGCTCGGAAACATCCATGTCAGAGCTTGCTCGCTCCGACGGTTGCCTGCATGCGATTTACAGCGCGAAGGATTCACGTGGCAAGGGATAATTCAATCCTGAGACGTCACATCAGTCATCTTTTAACGCCCTCTTCAGCTTTCGGATCCCCACGGCATACAAAATGATCCTTGGCGAGACAAATTGAGCTTGTTTGTCCCAGAATCCACTCATTCAATGATATCTTGGTCCAACTACCAACTATTGGTATCGGGGACATGATCAACACCTAAAGTAACAGTATGGCGAAAATCGCAGATATAGACCCATTACTGACGGAAGAGAATGTCTCGCCGCTCAAGCAAGCATTCACCCCGGAGAAAGCCACTTCATATCTGGGATCGCTGTGGGCCGAGACAATCAAAGAGCTTCGACACGACTTGAAGGCTACCAGGTGGCGGCACACTACGGCCGCCTATTTTACATGGCTATTTTTCTCCATTTGGGCGGTGGCATTGTTCATACTCTGTGTGATCTTCCCGATCGTTATCATCCCAGAAGTAACCCAGGAAAGCTCCGACTACTGGAACTACTGTGCTCCTGACGGCTCTTTTAGCCTGGAGCCCACGAACCCCTGGAACTTGGACTGGACATTTCAGATCGTGTTGGCGTTCGGGTCATTAACTTTCACGCAAGCCAAGGTGGTGGATGTTGTGTGGGATATTGTAAGTTTCTTCAACACCCGTTCAATCCTTGTACTCGCGTCTAAGATTAACCACTGAATCAGGGAGTCGGCCGCTTGGGACAAAGCCTGTTAGCTTATTTCTCGTGGAAGGCATTCTCAGTCTACGTCAGAGCATCCATGGAGACCACACCGATCACATACCAGACATTTTGGACAACGTTTATGCGGAACGATGTTTCCTTTGCGTCCATCTTTCGCTTGATTCGAGACTTTGCCAGAAGGCGAGGTCTGAGATCAAAACTTGCGATGGCCTTCATGACCACTACCATGCTGTTTATCGTGGTCTTTCCAACTCTCGCCAGCGCGATGACCGGATATACGGCCAATAACGACGCGGTTATCAAACTCGAAAACGGAAGCACACAGGTACCTTTCGAGAAGTTTCGTCGACTCGTTGCCACCATTCATGACGGAAACAGAGTCAATCTTACTGCTGAGTATAATGTGTTTCGGGGAGCACCACAAAGCCAGTCTCAGACATGTGGCTATGGCGATTGCATCAGCGAATGTATGTCAGCTTGCGAATTTTGCGTGAATCATCATGCCAATACTGATAGAACACATCAGATATGTCAAAATATGGGAGCAATAATCACACCAGTTCGATCTGGTATCAAGGCGATTACGATAACCCGAAAACTCTCGAAAGCCCAACACTCAATATCACTTATTGGGCCGACAAAGAAAGTGACACATTGTTCCTCTACACCCCCAATAATACGACCTACACTATACAAGTCATTCAAGAAAACGCCGTCTGTCAGCCCGTCATGGTCAATCTGCAACAGACTTACCAGTGGGGCTTCTCAGTGGTCCAGCTTGAAATCGCCATGATTTTGCTCACCATCTGGACCTTCGGTGTGTGGATTATGTGGCTTCATGCTCACCTTGAGCTCTCTAACAGGGGCAAATATGAAGTACCCCGAGAACTCAAGGCTGCTCTGTACCTCGCAGACTCAATACGAAGCGATCTGAAGGAATTCGACCAGGAAGCTGAATTTCTGAGTAACAAGGAGCTGAAAGCACACGCCGCAGAGCATCTGAAAGGGGGGAAGGTCGATATACAGGCGCTCTCGCTTGTCAATGGTTATAGCTTTCGGCGGAGCTCTTGGAAATGGATCAAGACCAATAAGTTATGGGCTTTTGTGTTCTTCTTTGTTTTGGCGAGCACTTACTTTCTCTTTGGGATTCCGTTGTTTCTGACCATGAGTTTCGCAATGGCTGCAGGCTGGGGCAGGAGGACCCGGGCAGTTATGTCATGGGGAGCATTTTTGCTCGTAGTGGCAGTTGGCTTGCCTGTGTACATGCTTACAACAGCAAGGTGATACATATGATATTTCTAGCGGTGTATGCTAGATATTACAATGATACCATAAAATAGAAACAGTTTATATTTAATTACAATGTTCCCACATTCAAGACCTAATGGGTTCCTTGCCAGAGATGTCAAACGATTATGTAGAAGGCGGAGATAAAGAAGACTGCATTGCGATGACCCTATTTGTAGCCAATGATGGCTTTTCATGAAACTATTTTACGAGGAGGAAGTGTTTCCGATATTCTTGATCAAGCTTCACATGTCTTCTTCAACCCTGGACGGGCAGATACCGTTTTGAATCGTCATGGAGTTGGGTCTCATTCACAGCTCTTCGCTCGAAATTTCAAAAAGAATAACCTCGGGGGGGGGGGGGGGGCAGGCCTTAGAGAAGTCTCAAGTGAATCTTTTGTTGATACCTCTGGATCTTCTCGGTGCTACTGCAAGCAATAAATCACCATGAAAATTCTGATTCGACCACATGCATATCTCCTTTTCTTCTTTCTTTTTTTCAGGCCGTTTTCTCCGCTGGGCGTGGATGGAATGGACCCACAGATTGATACAGTGCACCTGTAGACAAGATTGGTGCAGGTTGTGAAGGGCACAGCCTGCATATGCGCATCCTACATATGTAGGCAATTTCAATGATTCATTGCGGGCTTGAGATGGAGTATTCATTATGGATTACCTATCAAATCAAGCTAAACCGGATGTCTATACTCTATACCTAGCTTGAGGTTGTCATGTTGTCTATGGTTTTTTTCTATCCCTACGCCCACCCCAAGTATTCGATGATAGTTCAAACTGTATTCGTCCCATTCCTTACTCGCAGGTGTAGATACCCGAAGCCAGATACCATCTGCCACCGTCCAGGACGCCGTCGTTGATGCAGGTCACATCGGAGTCTGCCGGAATAGGGATGTCTGTGTAGTCGGTGCCGGAGCAGTCCGTGACACCCTTCCACAGCCTGTAGCTGCAGGCCTGGTCTGGGTTGTGGTGGAGGCCGAAGGCATATGTGCTAAGCTTCTGGCAGCCGCCAGCTGTGATGGTGCCGCTGCTGACTTTGGTCCCGCATGAACCGTCCGCGCTGATGACGGCTGATGTGCCTGAGAAGGTCGCCACTCCCTGATACCAGTCGACTTGTGCTGTCGCTGCTGTGGCGTCCGAGTCGGCCGAAGAGACAGGCATGGCGCTGGAGAAGCTGGCCGCCACAGCAAGGTTCAGGATTGTGCTGAAGAACTGCATGATGTTTTTTTCTCTTAGGTTGGATAAAGATATTGAAGAGGAACTTGTATGTCAGGAGATTGGATTTGAAGTTTTAGTTTGCGAATTTGGAACTGTATTCGTGCTTGACCTGTTAATCTGTTCTCTATAAACCCCCCCGGGGGATTCACACTTTTATATTCGACAATACGAGATCATAATTCAGTGGCGTGGTAAGGATTCTGGGAAGGATTCAGTACACGAGCAACAGTACCGGAATCACCTGCTCAGCGCTACCTCGTTGTAAGCAGACCACGATCCTTTGCCCGTTGACCTGGGTGGATATTTCAGCTGCGTCCGTGCCTTGCCTGCACGATGCAAGCTGCCGTAAGCTTATTTTCGCCGCGAAACCCAGACTAGATATCGTGATTAGACACCTGCGTGGTGCATTGCTGCTGCGACTACGACTGCGCCCCTACGCTGCGCTGCACTATTTGCGCATATACGGATACGAAAACCTGGGAGAACCTACTGGTTATGCAGCTCTGGAGGAACGGTGCTAATTGTAAAGCTGCTATTGATGCAAGTTCGTGCATTCGATGCATCCAACACCGATAGCCGAGCGACGATAAGATAACCTCTTTAACTGAGAAATGGCTTGCTTGCCATCGATTGGGCATCTCTATATTCGTCATGCACGGCATGTCCGACTACTGATGCGCAGTTTCCGATCACACCATGACATCGAGGCAAACCATATTGTGGCGAGACTGTTCTATCTGTGTAACGACCTCGTGAAGTTGCACAAATTTGCAGCCGGTAATCTTAAACATCATTACAAGCCTCCCTTGCCCTTCTATGTCTGCCGCTGCATATCTTGCCAGGCTAGTGGTTCCATAGAGGTGATGACGTTGGTTTGTTGTCAGTATACAAGTATCACGTGAAGTATATGATCCGACGGGAAAATTCTTAAACATTGACGCGCAGAGACCAACATTATTTCTCCATGGACACAGCTAATTACTGGAGAAATGGCGGGGATTCCGGGCCGAAAGAGGAGAAGAAGTGCTGCCCCTCTCCAAGGTCAGGTCAAATGCCCCAAGTGCCTAGCTGAATGGAGAATAGAATTAACAGCAACGTCGCATTATAGGACTGGGCCGCGGCGCGGCGCGAAGACGCGGCGAAGATGCTGCCGGATGCATTTGTGTACAAATATTGGACATCTTCGATGATCTTGTCACTCCGACGATCTCGTCACCCCGATGATCTCGTCACTCCGATGGGAGCGTACTATGGTCACACAGCGTCAATAGCTCTCGCACTTCGGCGAATGCAAAACCCAGACCATCGGCCCTTCTTCCAGGACATAGTGCGGCCGCGCTGCATTTGAGTAACCACACGATGGTTTGCAAATGGAATTTGAGCCTGGCCGTGCTGGCTTTCAGCCCCTCACTAATAGCGGGAAAATCATTGTGGTCGAGTTCACCTGCAACGTTTGGCGAAGGCGATGACTACGTCCTGAAGACGGCCTACCTTCTTGGCAACGGCAAATTAGGAGGTTCGTCTTCTCTAGCGCAGCAAATCACCTATACTTAGTACAAATTACTGACGTACGAGCATAGCAATTCCATTTGGTCCCCCTGGTGCAGAAACACTCGTTCTTAATTTGGACTCTCTGTGGTCTGGGGGACCATTTGAGAACTCAGTACGTAGAATCATCAGCACAGCCTCAAAGCTTCAGGGTGGCGTTTTCTGACTCAGTCCAGACTTACACCGGAGGCAATCCCTCAGAGCCTGTCAACCAATACCTGCCTGGAATACGCGATTGGATATTCCAGAATGGCACGGGAAATATCTCTGAAATCCTGGCACCCATAATCAATTATGGATCCTACCAAACTCTGGGAAATTTGACCGTCAACCTCGGGGGCGTAAGCGTCTATAGCAACTATACGCGTAAGCTTGATCTTGACACTGGAATACACACGACATCGTGGGCCACAAATGGGACGGTTTTTGAAAGCACAGTGTTCTGCTCTTATCCCACGAAGAGCTGCATCTACACTGTGTCCGGAAGTCCCAGTCTTCCTGCTGTCACATTCTCTCTCGGAAATGAATTGATGAATGCCGATTTGACCAACGTCACATGTGGTACTGGATATACCCGTCTGAGAGGCATCACCCAAGCATCGATTGGATTGCAATTTGACTCCATACTTAGAGTTTCAGGCAACCTCAGCTCATCATGCTCAGACGCGGGATCCCTCACGGTCGCCCCGGCAGCCGGTCAGCGCACGGTCACAGTTGTCTTCTCCGCCGAGTCGGACTTCGACCAGACCAAAGGCAATGCGGCGAACGACTTCACCTTCAGAGGGGAAGACCCCGGCCCGGCAGTTGAAGCAACCACAGCTCTAGCCGCAAGCCGCACGTATGAGGATCTGCTTGTCGATCACATCCAAGATTACTCGTCCTTGATGGGTCTTTTCAACTTGAGCATTCCAGATACTGCTGGATCCTCTGCCATTGAAACGTCTGATCTTGTGGCTCGCTACACAGAGGGCACTGCCGATCCCTTCCTCGAGTCTCTCATGTTTGACTATTCGCGACACCTGCTTGTGTCGTCGTCCAGGGAGGGATCGCTTCCTGCAAACCTGCAAGGCCGATGGACCGAGCAGACCAGTCCGGCTTGGAGCGCAGACTACCATGCCAACATCAACATCCAGATGAACTACTGGGGAGCTGATGCGACCGGACTGACTTCGCTCTCAAGACCGGTCTTCGAATACATGGCTCAGAATTGGGCTCCTAGAGGAAGCGAGACTGCCCAGCTCTTGTACAATGGTTCGGGATGGGTTGTGCACAACGAGATGAATATTTTCGGTTACACTGGAATAAAGAACGATGCACAGTGGGCGAACTGTAAGATTTTGTTTTTTAATTTTCCTTTTTGTCTCGGATTCTATAATTCATGAGTTTTGACTAACCTCTCGTTGTCAGATCCTATTTCAGCGGCATGGATGATGCTTCACGTCTTTGACCACTGGGATTATGACCGCAACTCCACCTGGCTGGCAGAGACCGGATATCCTCTTCTAAAAGGTGTTGCATCCTTTTGGATATCCCAGCTCCAGGAAGATCGTTTCTTCAATGACGGAACGCTCGTCGTCAACCCATGCAACAGCGCTGAACAAGGCCCTACGACATTTGGGTGCACTCACTACCAGCAGCTAATCCACCAAGTCCTGGAAGCCGTCCTCAGCACCGCCACACTTGCATCCGAAGCAGACACCAATTTCCTGAACTCCGTCTCCAATACGCTCTCCTCTCTCGACAGCGGTATCCACATCGACCCTGATAGCACTTACGGTACCGGTGTCCTCAAAGAGTGGAAAGTACCGGACTCATACCTGTACAACGTTTACCCCCAGCACCGTCACATCTCGCACCTCGTAGGATGGTACCCCGGCAACACCATCTCCAGCTTTGCCGACGGCTACAGCAACACTACTCTGCAAGAAGCAGTTCGGGCGAGTCTTATCGAGAGAGGAGACGGTACTAGTGCCGACGGCAATGGGGGCAACTACGGCTGGCCCAAGGTCTGGCGCGGCGCGTGCTGGGCGCGTTTGAACGACTCCTCCAAGGCATATGAGGAGTTGCAGCTGACCCTGTTGAACAATGTTGCGCCGAACTTGTTGAGCATGTACAGTGGTAAGAATCCGCCATTCCAGATCGACATGAACTTCGGCTGGGCGGGCAATGTCCTGAGTATGTTGGTGGTAGACCTGCCTCTGCCCAGTGGTAGGGAAGGAGAGACAAGGACGGTGGTCTTGGGCCCAGCTATCCCCAGTGCTTGGGGAGGAGGCAGTGTGCAGGGTCTTCGGGTCAGAGGAGGCATCGTGGTAGATTTCGAGTGGAATGCTGATGGGGTAGTGACCAGCAAGAGCATTGTGAGCGGTGATGCTGAGAAGGTCAGGTTTGTCAATGTTCAGGGCAGCGAGTTGTAGAGCACTCATAGGCCCGCAAAGGCATCCAGTACGGACGTAAATGGAATGAGTGTCGCGATGAACAACCTGCACCTAAAAAGCCAACACAGTAGATAAAAATGGCAAAGACTTCCGCCCTCAAGGTGGCCACCGAGTGCGTACTGTCTATCACACAGCTGTCCTTATCCCTCAGGCGTCCCTGAGGTTTGAACTGCTGGACTTCAGGTTGCGAGCCTGATTTATTTTCTTCAGGGGACTGTCCTGCGTTGCCGCTAGACTATCAACCCCGGGTGCAAGAACGGCTGCTTTGCCAGTTCATATGGACAAGTTGGCTGCTCTGGGAAGGAGGGAAAGAAGGAAGGGGTAGTGTTGGCCAAAACTGTCTGAGCCAGGGAAGGCAGGCGCGGGATGTACGTATGTACTTGCTGCCAAAGCTTTGGTGCAAAGCTACTTTCCTTACCGTGGCAAGTCTGCGCTTGCAGTTGGAGTCCCAGATATGACTCTGCCTGGTGGGCGAGGCTGGTCTTTGATTCAGTGGTTTGCCATGCATTTGAATGGGTGCAATTTTCAAGAGTAAAGGTTGCAGTCTCTCTATCTGACCATTCCCATATCCTTCAGACATCACTTCCAAATTTTCAGTACAGGCAACCCAATGTGCCTGTCGCCTCTCTCTGACCCTTTCTTCCTCTCCATTTCGCCCAACAGCACGCTGTCAGCCCAAGTTGTTCTAACCATCAGTCACTACTGAATGACTGACCACACACCCTCGTTTCTAGCCTTTATTCCATCCAGACTTTCTCAATCTTGATATTCGTCCAGTCGGACGCAACCACTGACAAAATGGGTCGTTGGGGAATGCGCCTGTTCGAGGGCGATCAGGATCTGGACATCGCTCTGGAGATCAACAAAGCCTTCGGTGACAGTGACGACAAGGACCTCCAGCTCTCTCCTTTGATCCATCAGACAGACATGTGCGCTCCCCCCGACGCCAGGGCCCACTACAAGACGGACGAGTACAAGAAGGAGCTCGAGGGCTTCGTTTCCAAGTCTCGCAGCACCCTCAACAGCGGAATCGGCGATGAGCTGTTCAAGCTCTTCCGCCAGAGAGAGCACGAGCGTAAGGGCAAGTACCGCATCATCATCGTCGGTGCCATCATGATGCGAGCTGGAGCTGTGATCAAGGATGACGATTTCAATCACCTCCGCGAACTTGTGCCTGAGATCCCAAGCCGTGATGGCTTGAAACCTGTGCTGAGAAACAATCCTGCCCTGCGTTCACCGTCGGCGCTTTTGGCAGCCGCTCTTGATTATGATGATCGGGGTTTTCGACACCCTGGTAAGGTGCAATTCCTCGCCGCACTTGAAAACTACAAACCTGGCATTCCTCGGAGCTTCCAAGAGCCGAGGTGAGTCCCCGTTTTGCTCCCAAACGGTACAAGACATACTGATCACAAGCAGCTGCTACAATTGTGGCAAGATCGCAGCGGATTCTGGCGAGGAGACACTTCTTCAGTGCTCCAAGTGCAAGAGAGTTTGGTACTGCAACGTGGTGAGCAACCGAATGGGTCTCTCTCAATATTCAGTAACAGGGCGATGGCTAATGAATTCTTGTTGGCTAGGCTTGTCAGAGAGCTCATTGGAAGAATCACAAGTCCGCTTGCATCCCGCCAGAAGACCGCATCTCTCTAAATGTTTGAGTGACGTCGAAACGCCTGGTGGTTCCAACTTTGGCCAAACGAGTTTCTAGCCTCTATGAGTTCCAAAGAGTGAGGGATACAATACCTGGCAAACGACGTATACGTCTTTTGTTTCGTAAAAGAAGGTTCCGTGGATTTGGACGGGTATTGAAGAACTGCTGGGGTTTGATTTATTGCTGCAGGCTGGGCCAGACATAGGCGACCATTTTTTTTTCACAAGCTCCCGAGCCCAAGGATCGACTGCTGCGAAATCTTAATGAGGCTCTTCTCATGAGTTCATGCTGGTCAAAGGCAGGCTGTGGACGCATCTCGCGAGCCCATTTGGGGGCCACTCCTCTGTACCTAGGTAATTAGTTGCCACAGACGGCGTGACGCGGGCGGTTGAGCTGGGTTGACAAGAATAACTCGCGCATAGTAATGCCTGAATTGAGTCTACTCTACCCAGTGGCCGTGAACCATTCACTTTTGGGAAGGTGAGAGGCTTGAGACTCGCAACTTAAACAACGCCATCCAGTCACTGCTTGGGTCCCGTCCTGCAGTCCATATTACACTATCCACTGCTGTGTGCCGATAAGACCAAGCGTTGGGAGCTTACAGCTCCATTCGTCAAAGACTCAAATGAGCTGGCAGGCGAGAATCCTTCCACGAAATAGTCCATCTGGTTATCCACCAATCCGACCGGTCGAGTGTGCCGCCGGAGTCTTTCATCCGTGAATGGGTTGGTGTCGCATGTCGTCATAGTACGCGAAGCACAAGTGAATGTGCCTGTCAGACGGGCCAAAACATCACCGTCCGTCCTAACTGGCGTTCTGCAAGAGGTGCGGAGAATATGACCAAGAAATATTCACCTTCAAGCAGGAACACTGAGATAAATAAGCATCAAACGTAGCCCTTTGCTCAACAGTCAACTCAATTGCGCCATTTCCAAGACACCACAGCACCACACCTTACCCGCCTCTTCCCATTCAAAGACACAGCCCACCATGACTACCGACGAGAATGGAAACACCAATTGCAGTAACATGAAGGACTGCTATGACTGCACAGACAGCAGCAACTGTAGGTTCCCTGGCCTCTGCGCCCGCTCAGAGCAGCGTAATACTATTGGAGACCCCGTTACTGACATACTTGCCCTTGGCTAGGCGTCGGATGCAACCGACTGACAAACTGCAGCAACATGAAGGACAGCGACGTGAGCACCGGCCACAATCTCACCCTCCTAACCGCACCGAGCTAATCACCGGCGATAGGATTGCACTGAGTCGAGCAATTGCAAGGACTGCACGGTGAGCGGAAATGTCCCTTCTGTTTCCTTCTATCCCCTTCCCACAAGTCCCATTGATTCACCTTGAACCTCTCCGGCGGCGCTCTCTGCTGGCAACCCCGACCCCCAATGCAGGACTCCTACGTCTGCAACGACATTAGAAGCTGTGTTGGAGTTCAACAACATTGTCAACCCAAGTGGGCTGACGAGGGACGCCGAGAAAGTTTCCACAAACAAGGAACGCTTGAAGAACCGTAATGCGAGTAATGCTGGTCTGCACCTTTGCAGAAGATGCATGTGCTTCTGGTGCTATACATGATGCTTGCACAAATACCAGCGAAAATTGATCCGTCGATTGGTTCTTGACTTATGGACGCTTCGTTTTACTTACATTGGCATTCACGAATAGGACCTCATCAACTGCTCCAACTGCAACGATTGCTCTGGCCTGCGGAACGCCAGCAACCAGCATGGTGTTCACAAGAGCGAGTACGAGCTGTAACTTGCGGTTACATACCGAGCGAGTATCGGGTTGGTGACTAGTGGCTTGAGAAGAGATGTCTCGACGGAGCCGCTTGGCAAGTGGGAGCATTCCGCCAGTCTTGAGGATGTGGTACCGAGGATATATGCAAAAGCAGATGCGCACAAGGAATGCGGGCAAGTCAGGAGAGCGCAGGCAGGCAAGGATGCAGTTTAATCGGGGTATCAAAAAGGGAGATCATCGTTGATGGTGCTGTCTCGCACGCTGCATCCTCAGATGAGGCTGTCGCGTATGCATCTGTCTACTCAGATAGCCATCTTCCAAAACTCATCAACTGTGCCCGAGTATCTCGACATGTGTCAGAAAACCGTGCCCAGAACGTCCCAGAGCCCACAAACCATCTACAACCACTGGTTCTATGGGATCAATACTCCTCTTCGCTCCCACCATCCTCGCCCTCGTACTCCTCAGCCATACCCATAACCATGCCACTGTCTGACTCGTCCACGTCGTCCTCCTGGTCATCGCTGTATCCGTAGCCGTCGCCGGTCGCATCGTCAGCCCCAGAGTCATCGTTGTCGTCGAAGTGCCGTGGCCGGGCTGCTCGGCTCTCCATGCGAAGTCTGTCCGCAAGGGACATTCGCTTCGGCGGTGGTGGATCATCGTCGTCCTCATCTGAGCTATCCTCATCCTCCTCGTCGGAAGAACCAGCCGCTTGAGTCTTGGCACCGCCGCCTTTAGAATCGCTCTCTCCATCCTCGTCCTCCTGGTCGGATTCAACTTGCACAGCTCGTCCGCGCCGCTTCCTGCCACGAGAGGGCTGTTGGACCTCTTCCTCTTCCTCGTCGTCATCGTCCGAGTCAACATTATTTACACGAACGCGTCTGCGGCCAGCACGGGAGGTTTGTGGTGATTCGTCGTCATCCTGTCCGTCTTCGTCCTCGGATTCGGCGGGCAGAGCCCGTGTACGCCTGTTCGCTCCTCTCACCGGCTCCACATCCGATGATCCTTCTTCGTCATCATCTGATTCCGCATGAATCGCACGCCTTTGCCGCTTGGAACGTCGGGGAGACTGCTCCGTCTCTGTAGCACTCTCGTCGGAGTCAGATTCTACGACCCGCCGTTTTGGGCGAGCGGCGCGAGTTTGTGATCCCGACTCGTTTTCCGAACCAGATGTGTTCGTGCCGGGCTCTCCTTGGTTCTCATCCTCCTCGTCGCTCGAGAAATTTGCTGGAGGTAGTCCCTCAATTTCAGAGGTGTTGTCGAGCAAATGGCTGGAGTCTGGAGCAGATCCCGATTCCTGGTCGAATTGGTGAACAAGCAAGTCGTCTTCCTCCTCCTCAGAAGTAGAGTCATCGATGGGAGCGTCGTCGATACCATCGCTCTCATACTCATCTTCGGTGTCGTCATACGAGCCCTCCGAATCATTTGGCCATTCGTCCCAGGATCGATTCCAAGCTTCCATTTGCATGAGTCGCCGCAAACCCTCCCTAAAATTAAATCTGATCATAGGCCAAACTTCGATATTTTGAAGTCGATTAATAGCCTCAGTCTTCTCTTCATCCGGGAAGTCACTGTCATTTAACTCTCGTGAGTCAGCCAGAGGGTCTGCTAAGCGGCGACGACACTCGCCAGTGGTCTCTGCCCACCACGAGTTCTCGTCAGATTTACAAATGTTTTGTTGGGCGAACTCGCGATTATTGTCAAGATCAGGCCAACAGAAAATCCTGCTGACTGGTGACATCAATCCTGCCTCACCCTCTTCCTCAACGTCCACACGGTATTTGTGGACGTTGTGTGAACCGGCCCAAGCATATTCTCGAGGAGATATGCCGGATTCGTCCAGATCAATCTGTTCCTCGAGGAGGAAGAGCCTTCTCAATTCAGGAAGCAGGTACACAAGGTCTACCAGATCATCAACGCAACCGAGGATCAGGTCGTTCTCAAAGGCGAGGTTCTGGGCCGAGATGCCCAACTCCTGGAATCGTAGAGCTATCCCACGCATGAGAACCTCCTGCTGCCACGAAACAAACAGGACGTCTCGCTCTTCGTGGTAACGCACGAGTTCACCTTGCGACAGTGAGAGCTCGTGAGGTGCCGACTTGAGACCAAGGGCCCGACTTTCGCGGTGGACGGCCATGAGGGCCCTCATCGGCGCGGTCTGGTCCTCCAGCTGTGCACCGGGCACGACGCCGCGCACGATCAGGGGCAGATGGACTGCGCCCGGAGGTGAGATTATCGTTTGCAGGTGGAGCTCGAAGACGCGCGACTCCGCTTCGAGATCTGGGCAGAAGGCGTTCCAGACCATTTCGCGGATCTCGGGCGGCAGTTGCATGAACTTGGGAAAGTCCTCGACGTAGCTGCCGTAATCGGATGATTGGTCGCTGTCGGACGCTGGCTCATCACTCGCTTCAGAAGCCTCCAGGTCGAGCAAACCGTGGTTGGCGTCATCAGAGTCGGATTCGTGCGACTCGTCACCTTCCTCGGAGCCACTGTAGTAATGCTCCTCGCTGTCGGATTCGTCAGACATGGTTGATTTGGGAAGTGCGTCTTCAGTGAGTAGAGCTCAACCAGTTGATGCGAGCAAGGAGGTAGGAGCAAGCCGGTGAATTTGCGAAAGTTGAGCAAAGGGAAGGTCTGGTTGACGATGCTGGCTGCAAGCTGAGATGAGACGCGGCATTCAGTTTCTCGGTTGTCATCGGTGGTCTAGCGCGACTACAGGGGTTAAAGTTTAGAGTTTAGCGTGATTATGTAAGTTCCCGCACCCCCTGTTCGAGACCGCCTGGCGACTGGCTCTTGCTTCTGATTGTGACCTGACCTACGTCGTCCCTTGATCTTGATGCAGTCTTGCACGTATCGACCGAGCAAGACGAGTCTGGACGACCTGTAGATGGAGAATTCAACATCGACGCTTGAGGAGGCGTAACTATCTGCTTCACTCAAACGCTGCCGAGCTCCACGAACGTGATTAAGCTCTGTTATATTGCGGTCCCCTTGCTCCTGCTCGACGTCGTCCGCCTGAACTGGCCAACCTCGTCGTACTATCGCATATGCACTACGCTAGCAAGCAATGGCTAACACAGACTGAAATAGATTTGCAACTCTGTTGCACATCAGTTTTTTAATCAACAGCTACAGTACACTACAAATTCGATCACAGCCCTCATGCCATGACATGAATCCACTGCACTGACGTTGATGCTCAAGACCCACAAAGTACGTACCAGTATTTTGTGCGAGATAACCTCAGTCTTTTCAGTCCGAACGACCCTCGTACAACACGCACTTGTCAACCAAAAACAGCCACCCAAGCAACTCACGAAGACCTCATGATGATCGACCACTCCGACGCGCCCCAGTGCGAGCCTCTGTTGCCAGCCTAGATAGGCACAAAGAGACTCTTGAACATAAATAAGGGGGCGATTGCACAGTAGTCTTCGTAGGTGTTCTCAAGACAATGCCCTCCGCTTCGTTACCATCACCGGTGTTTGTCATGATGATGGTCTCGGATTCAACGCTAATCAGGGTAGTGCGGTCGACGATAGTAGAGCGGCGGCTCAGCTTTGTCTCGGTGCGCTGGTCGGGTGATGATCTCGTTGACGAAGCGCACCTAATAGCGCGCGGTGCCCCGGGGCTCTTCTTCGAACCGGGCCAACTTGATTGATCGACTCGATGGTGACAGAGTGCTTCGTGGTGTCCGTAGAGTAGGGTGCGCTTGAGAACGCAGCGGAAGGTCGTCTATGCTTGGTAGCGTAGCAGGAGGCTGCTTACTCATTTGCCCATGGACGGCGTCGATAGTCGCGTTCGTGATCTAGTAGTGACCAGAGTAAACTTTTATTATGTCACAACGGTGGCAATCGAAGGGACAACCCTGCTTAACCGCCTGTTATTGAGAATAGAAGAACTAAGCTGAGCTGTACGGAATACGGTGTGGATGGTTGAGGAAAGAAAGGGCCAAACAGCGGTGGCTAGAGGCCCTCCTAAAGCAATAGCGGGCCTCTGCTGACTTGATGACCGTCACGCGGGGTACAGCTATGCCGTGACAATGTATACAAACTCTCGTCCCCCCTTGGAAACTCCAATATCAACAAAGAGCCTGTAATTCTTAAAGGCCATACTTTCAAGCTATTCTAAAACAATTGTACGAAACTGTGAAGGCAGTTTAGCCCACTCATTCAACAACACATGACCAATAGCCTCACGGCGAAAAATACCACCATCCTGGCTAAGCAACATCAAATATATAGCTGGCGGAGGCCAAAGAGGATGTCCGCTGTCATCATATATTGTACAATCGGGAGGTGGGTATACATATGGCGCTACCCCCGGCCTCACTCCGAGTTCGAAAGAGTGGTCAGCATAAAGGTTGTAGCGTCTGGCCATAGCATCAGCGTCGCATATTATCAGGCACAATCGTAACGTACACTTACAAAGGCTCACTTGATAGATTGGCACCAGCTTTACGGCCATGCCCCCATGTGTCATCATTTGCCTTCGTAACGACCTTCAGCATTTGGGAGATCGCTGGGCCACTTGCCAAGGCCGCACAGGTCCATTTCTTGCCCATCATCTGTTCACAATTATGATGATCCACCAAGATACCCACAGGTTCACCATTCGGAGATCGCAGGCAGCAGTCTCGATAATCGAGTCGGAGTGTCGCCAAAGTTGAGCGAAGTATTATTCTGCCAGGCTTCTCCCTAGCGAGCGCGATCTCGCCAGCGGTGCCGCAGATCCAAGGACTGGGTGAAGCAAGGGCGTCCTGCCAGTAGTCGGCGTATGTTGGCCATCTCTTCACGACTCTTTCCTTCAAACGGGACAGATTGCTTGCATCTTGCAGTTCGCTTGGCAGGTCCTCCTCCAAACACTTCTTGGCCCATGCACTCCATGCGTATATTTGCCATCTGTTCTCGTCCTCTTCTCTTCCAATGCTTCCCTGGGCCAGTATAGCTCGAGGTCTTTCAGCGCCCTGTTCCACAATATTCCATCGAGCCAGTGATGCAATGATTCTGGCAGCGTCACCGCGTCCAGTCGAAGTGCTTCGCAACAACGTTCCGATCCACGTTGCATACCCCCGCGACTGTACCCACGACCAACTAGGAAGAACAACACGGTCGCTCTGTCGGGGGATGCGTTGCCTGTGCCGGCCAAGGCCGCCCTGAGCTAGATCTTGCGATGCGCTGGGAGGTGGCCTACGTATGGGGTCGGGGTCGACATCCTCTGGCTTGATCGGGGAAACATCCCATAGTATGGCACTGTCGAAGTCCGGTTCTGGGAGTCCGTGGATGGAGTATTTGAGACTCCCATACGCCCGTTTGAAAAGGCCCTGAAATGCGTTGAAGATGTCCTCTTTAATTGTGAGTTCGCGCTGGTTATATTGGGATATAAAGTCCATATATGTTTCAAAAGCGCTGGACTTTGCACTAAATAGTCCGCCTCCAAAACCCGTCGTTCCCTCTTCAAACTCGATGTTCCTGGGGCAATGAAAAGAGATTTGCCAGGGGCTGACGATCAGCTTCCGTGAAGACAGGAAAAGCTCCTGGCAAGTCCAAGCCCGTTTCCACCAGGTTTGGGACCTCGAAGCGAAGTTATCGGGTAGTCGCACCCTGACTTCAAAATCGTTGATTTTGACGTGTCCTTGAAAAAACGTGCGAGGCGTATCCTTTGCACCATGAAGGCCGGAATCAGAACTGGAAGAACTGGCCGCACAGATCGTGAAGGCCGCTCGTGAGTAGATTGCATCCATAGCTCTAATTTGCTCCATCTTTTGGGCTTCACCATCCTGGATGATGCACAAACGATCGACCCAAAGAAATTGCACACCGAGAGCCTGGCATACTGTCATGGAGTCCCAGATAGTGGCTGGTAGATTCCGTTGCCCGAGAGAGTGCTGCTGCCTCAAAGATTCCAAGGTTTTCGAAGTGGCGATAACGTCGTCGTTATGAAGCTGTCCCCACACGTAACTGAGAGCGATATAATGACACTCTGGAGGCGCATTCACGACACAGCCGTTCACAACATCGATAACCATGAATCCTTGGGGCAGGGGGCTTGCTAGATGATGAACCATGTCCTTGGCGTGATCATGCTCGGAGTTGCATTCCGAAATCCATTGCCTGATCATATCCCAAGAGAACCTTGAGCCGACCACAGGGGCACCACGGAACCGGATGCCGTCTTGACCTACAACAAGCTGAGGAATGCTGGCAGATTCTTTAAATAGAAGAAGGCTTATGCGAGTGCAATTGCTCCCATGCTCCACCAAGATTTGCCGCTTCGACGAGTGCCGTAGAAATACAGCTGCGGCACCAGCTGCTGGGCCATCTTGGGGAGGTATCTCATCATATTCAGCTTTCCAATGCGTAGTTATCGCTGTGTAGAGAAATTGGCAGAATACACAGGTAAGTCGACGACTGTGGATTTCTTGGAGGGATCCGAGGCGTATTTTCAGGCCAAAAAAACGTTGCTTGCCATAGATGCACTTGAAAAAATGTCTTAGTCGAAGATGCTGACATAGAGGGCACAAGAGTTGCTGTTGATTGTGTCGAGCAGTTTCTAAGTTGCACTGTTCGCATGTACCCCGGAAGTAATCATTGTGCTCGGCCTCGTCGATCCTACGATCAGCACCCGAACCTCCATATCGATTGTAAAGCTGAATTCGGAGGTCTTCGACACTGGGAGCAGCGTCACACCTCTGTTGGCCGCAAATTGGACATGAAATGGATGCTGAGACTTCTGCCATTATGACAGTTGTGACCGCATAACAATTTAAGTGCCTGAGCAAGGCAACGACAATCAAACGTGGTGTTAATGGGTTGTCGAGCAGCTTAGAAAGGAAGAAAACATTGGATTTGCGGTATTGAACGGGAAAGTTGATCGATGCCTGGCCGTCTATCTGCATAGGCGACCCACTACGCTGCAGTCCACGTGTAGCGTGTGTGAGTGGACCTATGTATTTGCGAAGAGTCTGTTTGGCATGAGGTCCTTTGGGTGAACGAGCATGAAAAGCTATTTTGAGATTGTATCTTATTTCCGTTCACGGGCACAGAATTACTCGCTTATTAGTTACTTGTAACTATGAAAGCAACTATTTAACAGGCTTTACATAAGATTATAATTATATTCTATAAAATATATTAAGTCTAAGCAAGTTTCAATCATAATATTTCATGTAAAATTATCGATGTTTAAAATACGAATTGTAGAGGGTAAGAGAATGTCTCAATTAGGTTTCCTAGGAAAAGGCTTTCTCGGCCTACTATCTGGAGTACCAAAGAGCTGCTAACTAAGCTTTTTCCAGGACTCCTCAGAAGTGAGACGCTCCCTACGTCGTCACAGCAGGAAGGCTCAATTTGGCTGTAGAAATTCATTGATTTCTGTTGAGGTTCGCCTACCCAAAAGAAAGACAGAGGCAGCGCAGCAGCGCGCGTGCTCTTGAAACTATTTATAGTACGGCGGTGAGCCGATAAGATAAGCCTACCAACAAGGGCCCTGTGAATCCCAGCCTACTGTAGAGGTCCCCGCTAGCATTCAGCCCCATGCCCTCACAAGAAGCAAACGCAGCCCCTCTGCTCCTCTACCTGCACGTAGCAAAGGATGCTCAATATAACGTTTTTGTTCGTCTTCTACTCGAACATGATATAGACCACGACCTCGGCCCAGGAGCAGAATGGCAGACACAAATGCCTGTGGCGATATGGGCACAGCAAGCGGCCGCTATGCTTGTCACGGTCTAGCACGGTGCGAACATGAATTTCGAGCGCCCCTTGTGCTAATATCTCCAGCATACTGTTTGAAGTCCATCTTGTTGTCAATAGTTTGGATGGTCAGAGACAGTCTGCTACGGGAAATACTGCTGATTAATGGGGGCATGCTGGACCACGTTGAGCGATGGGCTCCTACTAGTAAGAAGCAGCCGAGTAAGGACGTGGACTTCGGGACTTTCTGTTGCTTGGTTTGCACGTGAGGAGGAAGACCTACTTGGTGCACGGCACAGCCTTGTATATCGATAACTATTATTGCATCATGCATACGGGCAGTATGATCCATAACAATACATGTGACTTCGCAGCAGGACTTAACATCCCCAAAACAGGAGGGTGTAGCTTAAAGGAGACGGCTATCATCAATGCAAGCAAACAGGTGGTACTACGAAATAATCAGACACAACAATGCTCTCATTTTTACGGATGTCAGGCGACGTGCCTCATGTGCTACCTGGCATAATCCGGCAAGCCGCAGAAATCAGACCAAGGGTGAGCTCACACGAAGCAGGCTCAAGTCTCCCAGGCAATCTCTGCGGATATATTACGATTCGGCGACCTGCTATCAGGGCCATTGACATACATTAATTATTCAAATAAAGAGTCTAAGGCGTTTACGATTCAATGACTGCATGGCTTGGGGAACACTATTCAGATCTAGCACTCTTCTAACACCAAATCAAGGATCTGTTGTTCACCTACTATAACTTTCGCTAGTAGCCTTCTTTCACGTCAGCCTTTTCCACACGCAATGGCAGCTTCAGACGAGGTAAGAAAATCGTGTGGAATTTCTGTCTTTTTATGGGAGCTGAAATTATCAGACGATTCTGAGGAGGCTATCAAAGGGTATGGAAGACGTTGAGTGTATTCTTCGAGAATGCCGCAATAGTTCCGTTATGGTCGGCGTACTTCACGAAGGTGAAGTCATCTTTTCCGCTGGCTGCGGATTCCGTGACGTAGCCAAAGGCGAAAAACCTACGGATGAGACGCTGTACACGATTGCTTCCGTGTCGAAAACCTTCGTGGTTGCTGCGTTGGGAATTCTGGTGGCAGAACGTAAAGTGAAGTGGACAGACGTTGTTGGCAACTACATTCCCGAATTTCAGCCAAGAGACGACGCTCGAGTATCAACCGTGGCCACATTCAAGGACTTTCTTCGCCACTCTGGCGGTATCACTAATTATGTGGTCCCAATATCCGGGCCCAAGGGATCATTGACAGTGGATGCAGAACACTTCATGCTCTCGGCCAACAGTACTCCCACGGGCGACAACTTTGGATCTTTCTACGACCGGACTTTCGAGTACAGCAACATTGGCTATGCATTAGTCGCATTGGCCATAGAGCGAATTAGTGGAATGCGCTACGCCGACTTCGTCAGGGATCGTATTCTCGAGCCACTGGGAATGAATGCGACGGCCATATACGAGTCACAATTGCTCAACTGTGGAAATGTTGCGCTGGGTGAGATTCGCTTGGATGATGGTACATGGATTCTTCAAAATCATGAATGGACATCGGAAAAGAAAACGCATACGCTGGCAACATTTGGTATTCGCAGTTCTGTCAAAGATATGTTGACATGGTGCTCAGCAATGATGGACGCCTTCCACGGGGACACTTCGACTCCTCTGAAACAAGTCGATACTATTCTGGACGATCATTACTGGCAATGGCCGGCGAGGAGTGCAGATGAAAATGTCGCAGCCTTTCACCTTGGTTGGCTCAAAGTCGTCCTGCCTCATCGGATGATACACTGGGGTAACTGCAACCAGACACTGGCCAACGGCGCCTTCGCTACTGATCTGGAGTACATAAATGCTCACGTGCTAGGACAAACGTCCCGAAAGATTCTTTCCTACCAAGCAATGGGCACAAGCAGCGATGGTACTGCAGCGGTGCGATTCTTCCCACAGACACGGAGTGCTATTGTGGTCCTCAGCAGCGGCATCAATTACGCAGACCCCAGTGATTTCACCGCAGCTGTGATGACACAGGAGCTTTTTGAGCTCACACCGAGAGTGTGCATTTTGCCCATGGCTCAGAGGGAGTGCCGGTATCAGAAGCAACGATTCGAGAACATGCTGTCGGATTGGTTGAAACATCGGAATACGACTGCCTTGAAACCATCACATGAGGACGCGGTGGGACAGTATTGCGGCTATGGGGTAACTGTGACTCTCGCTTACAATAAAGCGTGTAAGAGTCTTCAAATGCTGCTCAATTCTCGCAAAGAAACGGCGATGTCTCTGGATTATTATCAAGATGACGTCTATAGTTTTGCCCCCCGGTCCAGAGACGCATGGTTAAAAAATGGTTGGTTTTTTGAGATGACCAACTATCGAGCATATCTGATCAAACTCTTGAGAGCTGATGACGGCACTGTGAAAGAGTTGGCGTGGGACTTGTGTCAGGGGCGTAACATTGCCCGCTTTCTGAAAACAGGTCGACAATAAGCTCTAGCGATTGCTACCTAAACTGAAGCGCAATAATACGTTAGACTTGTCCACAACAGCACCTTTTGATCACATTGTCGTGTTTGTAGTACCCTATTTCATTACCTGATTTGTGTGGGTATGTGCCTCATGCCCGTCTGAGCTCTGGATCGGACGTTGCACTCGTCGTACCCGTCCTACTTATGTGGATTTCTGGATCGTAATTATTCCAGCAGTGTCCAATATATATCAAGAAACGGGAATACAAGATCATAGTGTCCCATATCATCCGCCATGATCCACTGTCTTGTGAAAGGCCACGTAAGTCTATTGCGCCGTGAAGCCAATGCAAACAGAAAGAGTACACAATAATCTCAAGACCCGAAGATTCCTTCGCTTTCGCTTTGTTGTTTCATTGTGCACTGTCACCCAAGTGCGGCAGCCTGTACGGTACCATGGCATAGATCCTTCTGTCAATAGTACCAAGAAAGTTGTTTCAAGCTACTTCAAAAAGAAGCCAGTTTTGCTCTCTTGGAGGCTGTTAAAATGCACCATCAGGAACTACAAGTCTGTCAAGCCCATTTGACCTATTCATTTGCGTGAGTCAGTGCTCCGAACCCCTTACTGGCTGAGTCCATGCAATTTCACTACGGCCTGGGTTACACTGACTGTGCAAAAAGCAGCGATTAAAACAATGATCTTTTATCCAGGATGTGTCGGAGGGTCTGGTGGTGGTTCAGGGGGGAGCGGGGGCAGCGGTGGCTTGGAAGGTCCGAAGCCAACAGAATCGAAGTGAGGGACTCGAAGCACGGAACCACCGCGCAACTATTCCGATCACTTGGAGAGGACATGGCGTTCGCGTATTTGGAAAGGTTGATTGAATGTCATTGTCCAATTCAAATATCTGTCAGGGGTACATAGCCACGTTCGTTACCGCCACTGACAAAGTAGTTAATTATTGCACACAGTCAGTTCAGTCAACATTCTTGAATTTCTTGATACTCAAGGCATTTTCCGTCACCCAGATACAAAGCGCCGCTCCTTTAGTCAAGCTGTCCTAGATCTCAACCGCATTGCGATACTGGGCTTATTTTGTGATTCTGGCCCTGGCAATAGCCGCTGCAATATCAATACATACCTAAGTTGTGGTTGCGAAAGTCCAATCAGTAGGATCAGTCAAAGTGCCTGGGTCTTAGTCCCAACGTGACTTGCCTCCCCATGTAGTAGCTGGAACATCCCGGCCCAAGTAATGTTGTAAAGCGGAATGTCAGAATAGTTTAGCATTGAAGCAGTGGGTGTGGCGTTAAACAACGAGTCCATAACCACTGCTTTTCGAGCCGATGCAAATAATTATTAGATGGCCCACTTCTGAAGGAACCAAAAGCTATGTGCTCATTTCTATTTGGACAGACACATCGTACTATGGTGACGTTACTCTCTCCCTTTCGCGGGCACGATTGCGTCTGGAACTGCGAGTGGCCCACTCGCCGTTTTAACATATCTCTTTTAGTTTCTTATAGTACTGATATAGCAGCGTTCGGTTCCCTGCGGCTGCCAGCAAATATTTTCTAATAGCAGCTTTGGCATGCTTCACAATTGTATGACCTATTTGCCTAGTGCTTGGGCGTAGGCTTCTAAAGACTCGGCATCCAAATTTAGCGCTTGGTGAAGGTACAAGAACATTCAGATGCGTCCAAGGATACGAAGAACCCCTCTTTACCCGGGGTGAGAAGCTATTCAGTGTGATCTTACGCACCTTCAGTTTACATTCACATGTAATGTGACTGCTCTCGAATCCTTCAGGTCGTAACTAAACTTAGTCCAGAGGCAGCATGTGATAAATTGTCTAGTCTCACCAGGGCTTTTAATGAAAAGCTTCCAGCAATATTTTGTCGGTTACAAACAATGCAAACGAGTAGAATACCAAGAATCTTGATGACTGCGGAGATGAGCAAATAGGTATCACATGTTTCTTTTCACAACAACATCTGTGTTTCTGTGCTATCAAACCATGCTATTTTCTGCCGACAAACAGTGGCTGAACAGGCTTAGATTCACTGATAATCCCATGAAACCTCTACAGCCTCAGATTAGTAACAGTTGACACTTTGGTGGGCTTTACCAATCTGCATATCGGAGGTGCTATGTAGCTCAGCCAGCTCCAGTCCTTGGCTCGGACTCATATGACACACTATGACTGTGCTTGAGGAAGCGGCTCCACGTCAAATGGGCGCCGCCTTCGCGCCGGCCGAAGTTAAAAGTCCTTATTTGCAGTAGCGTCAATACCTTAGCAGAATCAAAACTAAACAGATCTGTCTTCCCAGATTGCGTTACAATGACTTGACCGATTTCAAGGGAGACAGGTATTCTATCCAAAAGGACTCATAGTATTGCCATCGAAAGATAAAATCATGACTTGCTCCTCCCTTTGTTTCAATAAGTGATGAAAAACACATCTTTGACCTCATAATAATTACTACTAGAATATGAATTCTCCCAGGGCGGAAAATGAAAAGGCTCCAGCTTTAGCCGTCTTCCTAACTGTAAGGGCGCTTTGGACAGCCTTTTCACTGTGAGTGTGAACCCCTCTACATTAAGTACATATCTATGAATCGACAGCCAATCTAATACAAGATAAAAATAGCATATATATCAGCAGCTTTGTTATTCTGCTCGTGGGGACTGTCATTGTCAGCCTGACGCCATATGTCCTATCGCGATTCTCCGGTCACCACCTTCTTCCTCTCTTACTCATGATAACCAGAATTGTGGGCGGCGTTTCGAGGTTGCCTTTGGCCAAATACATCGACAAATTCGGTCGAGTCCATGGCTTCCTGCTGGCGATAGGTCTCATGATAGCGGGCCTCATCATCCAGGCGCTAGCTCAAAATCTTCCTACAACAGCCGTCGCTCAGATTATTTATGGAATCGGCTGGAACTCGATTGATTACGTTTTTACAGTCCTCTTGGCTGACATGACTTCCCTCAAAAACAGAAGTAGGTATAAAGCCAGTTTCACTTTTTCGTAATATCCACACAAACTCATTTTGCGTTGATTCGAGTCTGCAAGTTTTGTGTCAGATGGTCGAGTCACAAGTAAAATGAATGCATACACGCAACTGGCAAGCAGCGAAGTAGTTACAGGGAAGAAAAACAAAGTGAACAAAATAAGGGATGGGGAGGAGAAAAGAATATATTGCAACAGAAAGAGTACTAAAAATGACTTCCTCTTTTTCTTTTTTGCTTTGACTTTCTCGTTCAGATACCAAAATCTTGTATTCGCACTATTGTAGTTGTGTTGGAACAACCATGTTGCCTACTATCGCTATATCATCTTTTTTAAACATTGCCCTTGTAACCCCAACTTATTTCGCTGAAGTGCTTGAAATTCCGCTAACGATTACCCTCCACAGCTCTGGTCTACGGCATATACGTGACCCCGACCATAGCCACTAGTTTTGCGGCACCAAATATTGCAGAGCTTCTTCATGTTAAAATCAACTGGCGCTGGGCTTTTGGCGCTTCGGCACTCACCCTGGTGGCTACTTGCCTTCCGCTTACTATTGTCCTCATTCGTGCCAGCCGTGTCGTTCAGTCGGCGGGCCGGGCTAGTGGCGTCGTCCAAAGCAGTGCCAAACGAAATTTGCTTCGAACCCTTCGAAGCCTTGTGGTAGAAGTTGATGTCCCGGGTATCACTCTGAGCACTGCCGGACTTTGCTTGTTATTTCTCTCCTTTACCCTCGCTCCCACATTCGAGAATGGTTGGAAAAGCGCAAGAATCATCACAATGCTCGTGTTAGGCCTTTCAACCATCATCGGATTTGTTGTCTGGGAGAAATGGTTTGCTACCGTGACTTTTATGCCTTGGACTTTGATGAGGAACAGAAACATACTTGGGGGCTGCCTGGTAGGCTTTGCATCTGTTGGGTCTGTCGGCATCTGGGATGCTTATTACGGTTCATACCTTCAAGTGGTTCACAATCAGAGCATAACCACTGCTGGGTATATCACCAACACTTATCCTCTTGCCTTTGCAATCTCTGCACCTCTTTTCGGCATGTAAGTTACTTCTATAGCTCTCGAAATTCTACACCCTGTGTGTTGAACCTGAAAACATCTAACTATTCACAAGCATCGTTCGGGTAACTGGAAACTACAAATATCCGGCACTTTTTGCTAGCCCGATGCTTGGAGTATTTACTGGGCTCTTGTTATTTTTCCACAAGCCTAACACTCCACCTAGCCTGCTCTTCATGTGTCAAGCTTTCATCGGGATCTCGGAGAGAATTCTTACAGCATCCAGTCAGATGTCAGCCGTAAGCAGCATCGAGCACGATGACGTTGCTGTTGCCATCGGTATTTGGGGTGCCTTCCTCTATATCGGCGGCGCTCTAGGTCTCGGTATATCTGGAGCTATCTGGTCGAATGTCTTTCCAGGCGCCTTGGAAGCCGCACTGCCGCAAGACAGTGAACACCTTGCTAAGGACATATTCGGGTCCCTGGATGCTCAAAAACACTATCCAATGGGCAGTTCGATCCGGAACGCTGTAATCTCAGCATATTGGGCTGCTCAGCAGAATATGGTCATCACAAGCATATGCGTCATACCTGTGGCTATCGCAGGTGCGCTAGCATGGAAGAATGTCAATGTCAAGAAGCATGATGAGAGTGAAACCGTGAGGACGAGGGGTGTGGTGTGGTAAGTACTGAAGGTGACAAAATTTGGGACTGTGAGTTTTCCTTGATCGAGAATACTATCAATATGGGAAACGGAAGATAGTCGCAGGTCTAGGTATGTAATATCGTAGGAAGCTATATATGAAGGCGGATGCCATCTAATTTATCACAGTAAATAACAGGGAAAAGTAAGGAACAGTATTCTAGGTGTGAGGTGCAATGGGGCACCTGAATGATGGTTTCCACGTATATTAATCTGACTTCCTCCAGGTTCGAAAAGAGAAATATGAAACACAAGTGTATAGGCTCAGAGAACATTGCTTATAGCCCACAGGGGTTTCAAAAGTTCAGGTCCGGTTTTTATTAATGGAAGCCTTCGATACCACGGTATTCCATAGGGGGTCGCATGAAGTTTAATATTTGGGAGAAGTTGTCTCAGCGGAACAACTTTCTAGCATCAAGTTTCCAATCGGACATATTTCAAATGGGATATCATATAGTACTTTAACATTCTAGGTATTGTAATACTCTATAGCTTTATAGGGGGCGTTTGTTGAGAATATCAGTCATTAACAAAGTGTAATCAGTGGTCTTATATACCGCTGTATATGGGGAGAACCAGTTTCAAAGGCCACGCTTGGACCTTGATTGAGAAAAGCTATTTTGACTCTGTGACTCTTGAGAACAATCTTCCTGGTTCCAGCCCCGCTTTCATATCAGTTACATTCAGACCTAATTAAATTATAAATCATAAACTGCTGGGGATATTAACTATCTCTTAAACACTTATCTGGACCGAGGCGATGACTATATGATAATACTGGTAGAATACCAAATTGCATCGTGTTGCTGAAACTAAGAAATCAATCATCCTAGGATTATAATTTAATATTTCAAGATTTTTCTCAAGCCCCTATGGCCAAGTGGTAAGGCGTCGCACTTGTAATGCGAAGATCGGTTGTTCGACTCAGCCTGGGTAAGTTGTGTGCTCCTCTGCTTCATGAATTTCATATTCTAATATCTTCAAGGGGCACATACACATCATCAAGATGTGAAACTACCTTTTTTTTCTTGGTTGCTGTCTTTTTTTGACTCTTGTTTGATTGCCCCGTCTTCGCCTAGTGCATGTTAAGCTCCAAATATGCGCCAGGCCATGTCGTAATTCATAGAGTCCTTGGCTAGCGTGCATTGACATTTACAGGTCTGGCAGCATGGCAATACTGACACCCAATGAATCTTCCGAATAGTGACCTTCGAAGTGGCACAAGTCGATGGTCCTGGAGTCCTCTGCATGGAACATAGGTTGTTTGAAAGCGGGTGGACCGACGATGCCGTGATAGCCATCGAGACAGTCTTCTCGCCTTTGTAACTACTCACAATGCGCTCAGGAACAGAGCGCTACCCCTCACGTCAATCTACATGGCATGTTGGTTGAGTGGCTTGTGTTTTTGGAAGTCATCGATCAAATTGGTTTGCTAGCCTAGCAATGCAATAGCCTGGTGTTGCCCAGTCATCTCTCAGAGCCACCCACCCCTTCCTCTGTATGCTTGGCTGTCTATGCCACGCCATCACCACTCACCTACTCATCTTCATCGCTACCCTCCATATCGTCCATGTCTGGTGAGGGGGCATCCCTTTGTTCCTCAGCCACGTCTGATTCGATGCCCATCGCAAACGGAGGCTCGATCCTCCACACCATTCCCTGTGGTTCTTTCGCTAGGTTTGCCGCGCGGTGGAACGCGGCTGGTATACCGAGGCCCTCCAAGGGGCCCCCGGATGCCAACAAGTCGATCGTAGCCTTGCTTAGGCCTGACGAGTTGGTTGAGCCAGGCCCATCAGCTTTGGTAGTCCACGTGCAGGGCCGGTTGAACGCCTCACATCGCCAACAGCTGAGGGTACCCGGATTGTAGTCGCACTTGTCTGTCTATTTTAAGATAAGAGCCTCGGTCAGACTTCTGTTCCCTACGCTGTGTACAGAAAGAGGGGGGGATTGACATACACTCATAAGTGAGTAGCACAGATCACAGTTCCCTCGGGGTGGGCCACGGACTTTGCTCATCTGGCTTTTGTCGTCCAACACAGTATCTGCCCCCTTCCCCTGCAAGTAATCCCGCAGCCGCACGCGGTTCTCGTCGATTGTATTGTCCTTTGGCCATGGGATTGTCTTCCTCGGTACCACTTCCAATTTTTGGGTTTGTCGTAAGTGATTGTACTTGATTGTCTTGACCGTGTTGCGGTATCCCGTATTTAACCACTTGGGGATTTGTGTCGTGTGAGAACTGACGTAGATTGACTGTGTAAGAATTGAGAAGATGTGCATTCCGGTCGAGAGTTGGGAGACCTCTTTATTTAAGAACAGCCGTTGACGCTGTCCAATGCATTCTTTCCATCCTCCGGAAGCGGGGTCTTCCCACTGAAATTTGAGTGACATGGATGCAAGCTTCTCGACTTCTGGGTTTCCACATATACTGGGAATGCGCACGAAAGGTATGTCGTGTCGCCTGAATACCCGCATGGCTTCATCGCAGCACATTTCAAAGAGCCTAGGTACCAAACATTAGCTTTCAAAAACGTACCAGACCTCTGCTTCCGCTAAACAAGGGAATTGCAGAATACGAAGCTGGCGATCTCTCGACCTACACATGTACTCCATCACCAGGCTTTAGATGGTTCGATTTGTATAAATCTTTCGGTATGGTCAGTTTGCGCCCCGAGATGTTGAGGCACAACTGTGTTCCTGGGCGCCGCGGTGTTACTGTGCCTTTCTTCGACGTGAGCGGCTTTGATGCGCGTTCTGGGTTGAAGAAGTGCAATGTGCATCGCGTGCGGAAGAAGTAAGACTGCCGCTCAATATCATACCACGAAACCCATACCCGTTCCTCGGGCATCATCGAGTAAATGGGGGTCGTCCAGTTCGTACCAAGTGTTGGGGCCGGATGCTAGCCAGTCCTCTCAGACACTTCGTCGATGAGCCCCCTGAATATAGAGGCTGACTCGTAATCCCGTGCATAGCTACCCATCTGATGGGGGTTCACGGTTTTCAGAACGAGGGGGTTCCACGTCTTCAGTAGAATGACGGTCGTCAGCTCGGCCACGTGAAGGAGGTTCTCCCAACCCAGGCCGTGGAGCTCGTTGTTCGACTTTTTGATCAACATGAATGGGATCCAGACAGTATTTTTGCCTGTTCTTGCGATCTTGTATTTGACGCAATTGCCATGCCTCAGCTCCGGATGCGTTAGAAGCCACTGATGGCAGCTTGATCCACCAGTCAAGCAGCGGTTGGGACCATTTGCCCCTTGACCTGCGTAGATGGCCAGGTCATTCTGCGCCGGTGGATTGACCAGATTCTTGATGCCATGTTGGACGCCGTCCGATACCATGAGGTAGATGACGGCGTAGTCGTCGCTCGGCCACGACGAAGTCATCTGCCGGACAGCTTTGCTTGGGTCGAGAAACTCCCGGGGATTGAAGTGACCCTGATCCATGATGTTCCGAAGCTGGGGGGAGATAGACCTGTAGAGTAGGTCGGCATACCCACTACCCCCTGTTCCATAAAGAGTCAGCTCCGCGAGACTGATGTCTTCTTGACTGGCAATGGGTGCAAGAAATGTATCTCGGTTGTTACGTATGCCTTCCCAGATACCTTGCAGGGTTCGATACAACACAGTGTCTTTCTGTTGGGAGGTCGTCTCTTGGAGAGGAGGCTGATGCATCTTCTGCATTGGAATCTCGATGGGCATGGAGTCACATAGGAACTCACCGGGCTTCAGTGACCCTTGCGGCATCCAGCCGCGCCTTGTCGCACCCCCGATAGAAACGACTACCCAGATCCAATGGACGGAAGCTCCCATGCTTCCGGTGACGGGGAGGGATCGGAAAGCCCAGCCTCTCTCACCCGCCATAGCCCGAGGAAATATCTGTTTGCCACCTAGCTCTCGCGGTACATTCTGAGGTGCCTCGTAGTTTTCCATGAATACGACTGCCCTGGGGCGTTGATCTTGTCCTGGGGCATCCATTGAGAGTGGGGCTTGGGTAGGTCCTGATCGCAGTGTATTGGACGTGGTATTGGGTTGACGAGACTGTAGGAAGGGAATCAGGTTTGGGCGAGGTTGAGAAGTAGCCCCTGTCGACGGCATCGAAGAGCCTCCCGGTCGCTGCCGTGGATCCTGGTTTGGAGGCTGGCCTCGGTTTCGAGTGGGATCCATAACGAATGAGGGTATTCCCAAGGCAGCACGAGGGCTTCCAAGAAGTTGAAGTGTCTCTTTTGCAAACTCTCTTGATCGTAGATCCCTGGAAACAACTTGAAGTTTGGTAGGAGTACTTGTCTGGAATATTTGTTGCTGGTAGTCGTGATCGTAGTTGGAAGAGAGACTGAGGTGGATGAAACGGGCCAGATCACCTTTTTGTTTCCCCAAGATCTGCAGATCACTGTCATTGAAATCAGTGACTCACTTTGCAGAGTGACAACGTGCACATGGGGCAAGTAGGTCCAGTGACTGAGAACTGACAAGGAAATTTCATTTTAAAATCTGCTCCTTACACAACTGAACAGAACATGTTCATACGGGCGTGAGCTCTGTGGCTTGAAAACTTTCGTCAGCTTTATATTTCTGTGTGCGCGAGTCCTCGAATAAATATACGTCCAAGTAAACGAATCATCATGAAGTTATATTTGTTCGGAACAAAAGTTCTCTATTTACATAGCTACCCATATTACATTTCATCGTGAACATCAGCGAAGTCGATAGTTTCGATAATAATGACGCAGTTGAAGCCATCTATCATTTAGTGGTAGAAGCTGTAAGCTATTGTTGAGTATTCAAGCCGATACGCCAGTAAATCCTATTAGTCTTTCCCTAAGTAGTTTTGCCCCTCCTCCGGGGGAGGGGGGGCGTAGATATGCCTCAATCAGTCAAATAAGGACTTACATAGCCTAACCAATTTCCAGACCGCCCAAAAAATGTATCCAGACCCCAAAGAGACAGCATGAGACCAAGAGGATGCCCTCACACGTGCGAATGAATACCAGGTGCCATAACGGCGTACCACTTCCACTCCCGCCACCATCATTTGCGAACAACCACCCCAGAAGCTCCTCGCTCCATTCAAATCATGTGCTGAATTACCCCTTATCAGGCCGGAGGCCCCTCGAGCATGTGCTCTGTTCGCTCTCCCCCACTCAAAATGGTAGAGCCATACAGTGCTTGTCCCAATCTGCTGGCTTCGAAGAGGGTGATCTTGCAGCACAGTTAGTTCCGTATAGACTCAAGGTACAATTAACATACCTCGTTGCTCTTGGGTCAAGAGGAAGTAGGGACCTCTCGGTAGCACTCTCGAATCGATTCGAGCCCACCACGCCATTTCCCACCGCGTGTGTGTCTGATTGAAGGGCTCGGTAAGTGGTTCGATCGTGATGTTGGTAGAGAGCCAATGCCGATGTGGCCAGCGTGATGGTTGTTGCTCCTGAGTCTCATTCGTTGTGTCGAATCGACGAAATCATCTTGGTTAGTCGGTATTGGTATGCTCCATCACGATTTAGCCGTCAGCTAGAGCTGGTCTGATCAGCACAGTGCTATGTGGGTGCAAGTGGGACTAACATGTGCCTGGGTGACCCCCGAATTCCCGAGGAGTTCTTGAAGGCCAGTCCTGTGGTATCAGCCGAAGTAGAAGCCGAGATTCGTTGAGTAAGCTCGTGAAACAAGTCGTCGATCGAGCCAGCGAACGACCCGTTGATTGAGCCAGCGAGCGACCCTCATTGATTGAGCCAGCGAGCGAAAGCAACCAAAATCGTGTCGGTAATGATAATTTTTTTGAGGGGGTTTTAATTTTTAATTTTTTTTGTGATTAGATTTTCTTTGGCTTCTTGGCTGGCCGAGCCACGGCAACAGCCGCCCTCTTCTTGGGAAGGGGGGATGGTGGCGGAGGGGAGGGTGGCAGAGAAGAGGAGGAGGGAGGGACGTAGGGGGGAGGGGGAGGCGGCACCGAGGGATCATCATCTTGCCAGAGAAAGAGAGAGATGGGCACTCCCTCCTCCGGGAGACAAGAATCATCTCCCGCGGGCACCCCCGTGCCCCGGGACGGGCGAACGAACTGCTTGAAGCGGGCCAAGAGCCCGGCGAACTCTTTGATAACAGCGGGCATTTTCGATGATGGTTGCTTGAAGACATGAGAACACGGGGCCACGGCCTGCCTGAAGAAAGTCCTCAAGACTTCTGCTCGCTGGTTGCGTGGCCCTGGGTGGGAAGGCACCCTCCTGCCCCTGCTCAACTTGTCCAGGCAGTTCCTGCGTGCCTTCCTCTCAAGCCGTGGGACCACCTGCAACCAGCCCCTGGGCGGAACACCGTGTTCCTCGTTAACATGGTCGAATATGGGCCTCTCGATATGGAAGGGCGACTCGAATTGTCTGGTGTCCAATCTTCCACTCCATGAGCTTGTCCCGAACTTCCCTGTAAGAACCCAGCTTTGTCTGGGTGAAGCCACCAACAGACTGGCTGGGAACGGGTGGTTGGACCTCGTCCATTCGTAGTCAAAGTGGTTCTTCAGGTCGAGCCAACTCGTCCATGATGCTTCCCAAGAAATGGGCTTTCCTTGCGAGGTGAGTCGAACAACGACTTCTGAGAATGCCGTGACCGCGATGGTGGATAGGTGGAAGAAGAGCTTATGGGATACCCATTAAGCAGATTCCAAAGGTGTCAAAGATGAATGCGATCGTCATCTCGAACTCGCAAGCCATCCTGATTGAACCCACTAGATGACGAGCAACTAGCAACTCCATGAATAGGTGGAAGTAAAAGTTCGGGGGCCAATTTGCCGAGGTCACGGCAATTGTGCTACGACCCAGACATGATGTCGTTGGCGAAGCTGTCTTTGCCCCAGAATGTGTCGAATCTCAAGCAGTTCCTCTTAACCATCGCCTTGGCCATGCCGCCCAGCGCCGCTCGGTCACCCGATCCAATCCTTAACCTCGGCATGCAGAGCCTGAAGAGGGGGGGGGGGCATACCAAGGCTGGACCACGGCAAATGGAATGTAGGGAATGGGGTGCTAGCAATGCGGATCACGGGCGATGTCATGGTGGTGGTCAAGGGCGGCAACAAAGGGCCGGCGATGTTGCCTCTCGGTACCATGCTGACTGACATGTCGATAGATACCCCCGCTTCTGATGATGGAGGCAGGGGGCTGGGGTGGAATGCATCATCAGCTCAAAGTAGCAGAGGTATGGAGGCTCTCGCTCCTTGAGCGACTTCGCTAGAACATGTTGCTGGTGACTGGTCGTTGTGGAGGTGTGAGCGTTCGCCGCTGCTAATGTTGTAACTCCAGCTGGGTTGCTTGGTTGCAGACTCGGGAACATTTTAAAGTCTATCGATGTCTACCTCTTTCCAGCTCACGTTTGTCAACCAAGTGTAGGCGTTTGGCTGGCGAGGAACAGTACTAAACGAAGCGATCTTTGAGTGCTCTTGTATTTTCAGCCGAGGCAACGCTTCTGAACGAGAGCAATATTTCTGAACGAAAATATATTTCTTGAGGGCAGCATTTCTCGGGATTAACGCTTCTGTGCGTGTAACTTAGGCCTGTATTGATAGCTTATATCTTGTCAGTCCACTGTCTGCAGATAGGTTTGATCATATGTGTGCAGCTGCGCTGCTTCTGCCTTTACATATACTATTAGAACTATAACAGCACGGCTATATAAGACGACGCTGTATTCCAGAAGATGTTCTGGATTCTCACCTTTTGATTCACTTTCTTATAGTGCAGCAGCGTGGGGCCCCGTCTCAGGAAGAACATCATTACACCTTTAAAACTTTCAACATCTCATTACAGAGGCCTCGTATAGCTTTTCTATACTTTCCCATATAGGAGCCTATCTAATTGAAAAGGATTAGAAGAGATTATTACTTAAGGAATTATCCTATAACAGGTTATCCTAAAAAAGGTTACTATAGGAGTTTACCGCATAGGAGGTTATCCCATAAGAGGTTATTCCATAGGAGGTTATCTTATAGGAGGTTATCCTATAAGACGCTATCCCACAGAAGGTTATCCTATAGGAGGTTATCCTATAAGAGGTTATTCTATAGAAGGTTATTCTATAAGAGATTATCCTATATAAGATTATCCCATAGGAAGTTATCCTATAGGAGGTTATTCTACAGAACGTTATCCCACAGGAGTTTATCCTATAGGAGGTTGTCCTATAGGAGGTTATTATATAAGAGGGTATTCTAAGAAAGGTTATTTTATAGCTGGTTATCCTACAGCTATCCCCCCCTTCTTTTACTTATCCACTCCATGCGACGGCGCCCTACACCTCTGAATTATAGTAAGAGTACGTTCCTTATTCAAAAAGTTAGAATCCAGGACGCTTTCTGGAGCACAATGCAGTCTTATAGATGTGCCGTTACAAGACATATTGTGGCCGCGAAATGGCGAAGCGGACACCTGGGTTAAGCTCGTTCTTTTTGATGGGCAAACCTCAACAAAGAATCAACAAATCTCTGTAGTCAAATCGAGTCTTCGTGCCGTGACTACGTGAGGACCGTTTCAATAGATATTTATTTTGTAATTTAATTTGGTTTGGTTTCACTAGTCGTTGTATATGTCTGTTAATATCAGATTATACAGATCTTTTTCCGTGGAAATCGAGGACAGACTGAAAGAAAAACCAACCCCCCCCCCCCCCACTAAAAAGAAAACAAGAAAAAACCTCACATAGCATTTTTTTTCGCGAGAAAATCCTATTAATTGAGATAGAGTGGAATCTCTCAGTGCCGAAGAATCCTGGTCTTCGGGACAGAGTCGAAATTGTACGGCTGGTCTATAAGGACGAGGGATCTCTGACTGACATCGACCTCCACGTCGGTGAATGACCAGAGGGGTCGATAAATCCCAAGGCAACCATTTGGAGGACTCTGGAGCTACTAAATATCAGTAAGGTAAGTAACAAGACTCTCAATGGGATTCCAATCAGCTGCAGGAACATGTAGAGCTACAGCCTCGCAACGCTTTCGAGCTAAGCTGCTTGCAAACCTCATGACATTCTACCCTCAGGAGCCGTCGAATTGTACCACAAGTGTAGTGAACCTTGTGAAACTCGTAGAGCGTTCTTGATGCTTGAAATTGATCAAGAACGATTAGGTCTGAAAAGCCTCTGGAATGAAGAGCTGAGCGAGGAATGGAAGAACTGTGCAGCCTCAGACGCTTACGCCGGATTCACCACATGCAGCGATGCAGAAAGTTTCCGGGCAGAATTGAGGGAGCGTACACTGTGCTTAAATGATTTTTCAGAGAAAGGAGGTAGTCTACTAGAAATTAGGCTAGTAATTCAAAGACTAAGTAGAGTTTATCTTTCTTCCTTTTACATAGATATATTATTTTATATCTCCGACTTGCTTACCTGGGGACTCCTAGCCTCGAGTACATTTATGTCTATTTTCTTTCTTGGACACCTTCGATGCAAGTTTAGTTTAATGATCCCACAACCACCCTCAGCAACCCAAAACCAGCCAAGGATCTTGTATATGTGGAGAAGGACCTCTTTCCCTCTATACATGCAATGCAGTCTTCTAAATGTCTACCACTCGGGCACTACCTTTTTCAAAAAGTTCATGAACTTGAATAACCCCACGGCATACTCCACGTTGCCCTCCGGATCAACAACCCGCTGGGGAAACGCAATACCAGCACCAAAGAGGCCCGGTATTTTGTCTCCGGACTCCGCGTCGACGAATGACCCCGTCGTGTTGTCAAACTTGGGCGTCACCTTCCGGCCCTCAACCCGCAGCTCAGGCAGCTTCTCAGGCTTGTAGCCGATGGCCTGGCACACATGAGTGCAGTCTGCCAATTCGCGCTTGTACGTCTCCGTCTCGTCGCCATGGCTCGTCGCGATCTTGACGAGGTGGCCTGAAACGGATGATGAAGAGAGGACTTGCTCTTCTAAGTTCTCGCGCGCCCAGGTGGCAACCTCGCCTTTGAGGCCCGTGTTGTCCCGCAGGATCCAGCCGTCGCGCTCCTCAGCGTAACGGAGAGGGTGGCGGGTGAACCATTTGATACGCAGCTGGGGATGGGTGCTGGTTGCTAGGCGAGATAGATTACGTAGGACGAGGATGGCAGAGTGGGAGGCGCCGATCACGCCGATCTGCGTGGGCTGGTCGGTGGGGAGGGTCTTGGATAGGAGTGTGGGTGAGAGGGCGGTGTCGAGGTGGACTTCCTGAAGGTGAGTGACAGGGAGAGGACCGCTGATGGGTGAGGAGCCGGTACAGAAAACGAGTCTGCTGGCATCGAATTGTGTGGGTGAAGTGCTGCTGGATGTTGAGACGGAAACGCTCCAAGTTGAGTTTGACCATGCCGCATCAGTGACTCTGCCTTGGTGTTTTGACACCCCTTTTTGTTCATCCAGCCCATTTGTTAACATCAGACACAAGTCTGCAGCTTGTGCTATGTGACATGTCTTCTCCGGGTCCAAGCTGAGGAGATGGCTCATCGCGTTGGGTTCAGGGGTCTCTTTGGCAATATTCCTGAATGCCTCAACTCCCTCGGCGTATTTGGTGAAGAATTTGGCTTTGGTGTTCGAAGGCACCTCCCGGTAATGTTTGTTAAGTCGTCCACCATCGAACAACTCGTCAGCCCACAATATCGGGCCCTTCTGCACCTCGAGTAGGTTTCCAACAACACCAATACCTCCAGCGCCAGCACCAACGACCACCGACTCGTATCTTCTACCGCTGGAGTACATCCTGGTCCATCCCTGCGGTCCATGGAATTGACGTGGAGGAGTAAGAGTACCCATTGTCGCTGATGAGTTCGATTTCACGCTGCGTCTCGCACCCAAGACGACAGTTGAGAGGCAACGAGCCTGACGGCTCCCCATCCTTATAGGAAGGGGAGCCGTCGATATCATGCACAACATGCTGCTGAGCGGCTATGGGTCGCCCCCTTTCGCCCCTGTATCGCAGACCGGGGAATCAAGCAATTGAGCCTGCGACGATGGGTCAGGGCAGCGGTATGACGGAAGGATCCCCGCGCCGGTAGTCCCCGGTGTGATTCGATGCTCGGGTGCCGACAGTGCTTCAGTGTATACGTTGTATCAAATTTAGACATACACAAATGTATGGAGTGGCTTACTACCGTGATGTAAGGCCGTTCTGGGACAGACGCGCAGCCACTGCTGTCAGTCAGGATTCGTCAGATTCGTCTCTGATGCCGTGATCGGAAAAGATGGGTACAGTCACGTGCAGATAAGATTCCGTGGACTGATCAAGGCCTGTTCGATGTCCACTGTGCTGTCCGCTTTTGGCCATGTTTCGTCCTTATCCACTAATGAAGCAGATGATGACGAATATATCTCAATAGCATGCAGAATTTCCAAGTTAAGATAGATAACTCTGCATCTACGTATGTGCGGTGGTGGAGCTGGAACGCGCCATCATGGAGCAGTCCTGCAATAACAAACCTAGCACGCCCGGGCCGGTTACACTGTTAGTAGATACTTGCCCCTGGCTGTTCGCCAACACAGTCCTTCAGTCAAGCCCCTTTTCCTCCGTGTAGATTGTTCACTACCTCATTATGAGCTTCACATAAGTCAGGCATGTGCGTGTATGATTGGATGTACGGAGACCTCCAGATAACAAAGTCGTCCGGCCGGCAAGGTTCTCGTCCCTCTCGTACCCGCAGGCCATCTTCCTAATCCTCACCGCAAGATGTTTGAATCAGACGACGTAAATCCTTATTCCCAGAGCAAAAGACAATTCACCGTTGACATCTTATGTCACTGGGTCAACACAGCCTCCCGATTCAATTTCTGTGTCCTTCTCACCTTTATTGGACTTCGGCACGGAGCTCAAACGAGGGGCAAGGTGGAAGCCTAGTGGAATCAAGCAGTTGGGCCTAAGACAAATCTGCTCGAGCCTGAGTTTTCGAAATCGAGGTCCTAGTCTTCAATGTCTTGATGCAACAGACAGGCGTGTACATGGTCAACACAGACATAACGCGAGATCACAGCTTCATGCCTTTCAAGGTCTATCAGCACGACCAATATAGTCCTCGTATCTATGGGTCTCATTGGCTTCATCTTGGGTGAATCGTGCGCATGACGCTAGAGTGAACCTCACATTCCTTAATCAGTCTAAGTCTGTTACTTGGCTTCTACGTTGCCGCCTCAGCTCTGACGTGTTGCCCTGCGTCACCCGACGCTTAGACGAAAGTAGGTTTCCAGGGTTTCAAGGAATGTGAAACTAAATCATTTTCTACATGTCTATTAAATGTACCGGACAGTATTCAGGACTTCGAAACTTTGTCTCAGCAGTGAAAGGGCACTTGAGGTTGGGTATTGATACCCCTAGGGTGTGGGTGTGTCCATGATCTATTTTTAGAGACTATTGATTAGTGCATTTTATTTGTTATCTTCTGTACGCATATGCTCTTGGACCTTTTGTGATAGCATCTAAGCACCGGTAATTTTATAATTCTTAAAGAATTTTGAATTGAACGATGCATCTATACCCTGAAGATTAACATGGATCGGGCAGGTTATGCCACGATTGGAAAGAGGCCAAGAAGCTGCCTTGCATGGTTATTTTACAGTACTGTGGTTGCTATGTCAATGCGGCCCGCTCTCCTTGCCCGAAGAAGACACAGAACTTCATGTACAGCCTTCCGACCAGCCCGAAGCACCGACCTTGATTCATTGAGAGCTCGCGCGTTGAATTGAATGCCTTCGTCAAGCCCGCTTCGCATCTCGCAAGTTGCATATCCCAATTCATTGCTAAAAGCAGCCTATTTTGCGGCATGGCTTGGTCCAGAGCAAACGCAAATCGCACCCGTTGTCATTCTGGGAGCGGCAAAATGCTTCGACAAGTCGGGGACAACCCGAATTCTTGGAAACTCGTCAATAAGCCGTACATCACTTTTTTTTAATCGCAGGTTCGGCGCCTCCGATTACCGTAAGGATGCCGTGGTGTACGAGTGAATCAACGATTCGGGACACGCCAAGTCAAAAATTCAAGCCAACAGTCGGTTTTAGTTCTTGTTGAACTTGGGCTTGATTTCTTTGGTGACATAAATTTCCTGGCATATAGAACGTCTAGCAGGATAATTTGTGTATAGTCTAACGGATATTCATGACGGCGACCAGGAGACAGCTAGTCCCCACCCGGATTGGTGGGTGACGGGACCGGCCTTCGGGCTGAATCAGGTGTCCGGTAGGACATGAAACCTGACTTAAGAGCTCCACCTGGGCATATGTGAGTATTCGGGGGTTCGGAAATCTATGGTGGTTTATTGTTGCAGGATGTCTTCGACCCTGTCCTCTGTCGGCCGGTAATTTGACCCGATTGCCCCGTATACTATGTGCTAGATCAACACCGCTCTATTATCGGAGTCGCTTTTCCTCCGTCATAGCTGCTAGATGGGTAGCCCACGGTCCATTTCTGTTTGGTGGTGCGTGTAATGGGGTTCTCCACCTCAACCTATCGATGTGCCGTCATTACCAAGGTCGTTCCACGGATTTATGAACCAATCAACGTTAACTACCATGTGACCGCATCAAATTTTGGGAAACAAAACAGAAAAAACATTGGTATCAAACGAATCTAAGTTCGACGTAGGCTGGTATAAAAAATAAATCAATACTATCCATAGGGTGGTTGGCGACCAATTGGAGGTCAAGTGCTGAAGGTTGCAGTGTAGAAGGAGTGGGTTCTGAGCCAAGGTCTGGTTTTAAATCCGCGGAACAAAAAAGTAGTATTCCACGGGGCATCGCCCTCGAATTGGAGTCCGAGCACCTTGGGCAGCATTAAGCATGAATCAACACTCCAGACCCCGCAATACTACGCATGGTTTCTTGCAGCTGTCTATATGAGTACGAGCTTTCGTGTTTTGGACTTCATTCTGCTCTTTCCACGAATTGTTCCGAAGGCAGCAACACACCAGACCATCTTGCTGTCGACGATAATCGCAATCACTGACCAACATGCTTGAGACGTTACCGTTCGCCAGCTGGCCAGCAGTGGCAGGCCTGGCTTTCGTCATTTTTATCGTATCCCGTCTTTGGAGTAAAAACCCTAGCGCACCAGGCCCGTTTCTCGCACGCTTCACCGACCTGTGGCTGGCGTACAGGCAGTCGAAGGGGAAGATGCAGACTGAACATGTCGAACTTCACCAGAAATATGGTGCGCAATATTTCTGATTTTTGAAAACACTACTAGCTCTTCCCATTCGTTAACAACATGAAAAGGAAAAATCGTCCGCGTGGGTCCAAACTACTATAGTATCGACGACCCGGCCGCCATAAAGACAATCTATGGCCACGGCACGCAATACGAGAAGTCCAAGTGGTACGAGGTCTGGAATGCACGGCACGATCTCTATCGTACCAACTTGTTCGCACTTAGAGACATCAAGGCGCACTCCAGCACACGCCGGCACTATGCGGGTGTGTATGCCATGTCTAGTCTTGTCAGCTACGAACCATACGTCAACAACTGCATCGATATTCTGTCAAACAGGCTGCGAATGCGCGCCAAGTCCGGCGAGACGATTGACCTTTCAAAGTGGTTCCAATACTATGCCTTTGATGTTATTGGCGAGATCACCGTATGTTCCATCATGTCAAGGCCACGGGAACGTTCTATCAGAGGGACAACGAAGCTGACCCCCACAATTCTGACTAACAGTACTCCAAACGATTCGGCTTTCTGGAAACCGGAAAGGATATCGCTGGCATGATCAAGACAATAGGCAGCATCCTCGAGTGGAGCCACACCGCCGGCTTCTTTGCTCCTCTCCGTTCCCTGACGCGTTTCATGGCCCAGCGAAGTACAGCCGAGGGCCCCGGGAAGATCTCGGCCTTCACACAGGAGCGCATCGAACAGGCCAAGAAGGAGAGCATCAACGGCTACGACGACCCGGAGCGCCAGGCCATCACGCAGCCAGACTTTTGCTCCAAGCTCCTCGACATGTACGACGCCGCCCAGCGCGGCGAGAAGAAGCTGGACGGCCTGACGCAGAACGAGCTTGTTACGGGCGGATGCAGCGGGAATGTCTTCGCAGGCAGCGACACCACCTCTATCTCCCTAAACGCCACGTTCTACAACATTATCAAGAACCCAAGGGTGCTAACCAAATTGCGCGCTGAGCTGGACGAGGCCCACACTAGAGGCGCTCTGAGCGACCCGCCCAGCTTCGCTGAGACCCAGAACCTGCCCTACCTGCAGGCGGTCTTGAAGGAGGCACTACGGATGCACCCCGCGGTCGGTCTATGCCTCTGGAGGATAGTTCCTGCCGGAGGAGCGACGCTGTGCGGCACGTACTTCCCTGCGGGTACGAACGTCGGAGTCAACTGCTGGGTGGCTCATCGCAACAAGGAGGTCTGGGGCGAGGACGCTGAGGAGTTCCGCCCTGAGAGATGGCTTGAGTCTTCCGAGGAGAAGCTGAAGGCCATGAACGCGATGTATATGCCCTTCGGTCTGGGCAGCAGAACTTGCATTGGAAAAAACATCAGCTTGTTGGAGATCGCGAAGGTGATTCCGTATCTGGTGAGGAATTTTGACATGACTCTGATTGAGCCATTGAGTAAGATGCCTGAGTTGCCTTCTAAGTGTGCCTGGTTTGTGGGCATTAAGGACTTCAGGGTAAATGTGAAGCCTCGGGCTGAGTAGAGACTGGTCATCTTTTCTAAGGAGTGGGATATTTTGTACCGTGGATTGCACAATGCCCTTCGAATTATGTATCAGGTTTCTGCTTTATCTTTGTGTGTGTGTGTGTGTGTGTGTGGTGGGGGGGGGGGGTGCGGGTGCAGGTCTTAGGTACTGGAGTACGTTTCATTCAATTGAATTTTCTTATTAATTGATTACTTTCGATTCGGCCCGGACACTGTGGTTCAAGCTTTTCATGGATGCAACATGAGCCACAGCTCATCCTCAAAAGTCCTCAACTGCTGGATTTCGTTCCTCACGGCCTTGCCCCCAAAACTCTGATGGCAGCATCGTAGATATCTGTGGTCGAGCTCGTGAACATGAGCTTCGGCACATGACCCCGAGTCTCCTTGATGGCAGCATTGACAATGTCTTCGAAGAGAGCCGTGTATTCCGGCGCACCCCGGAGTCCAAAGCCGACGGAGACACCATCCCATGTTGAGTCCCTCAATAGACTTTTGACTGCCGGCATGGTCGCCTCGATGTCCTTGCTGTCCGCGAAGTAAAGCGTAAACTCGAATCCTGCTTCCCGCAGCCTCGCAAGTTCTTGGTCGACTTCTTGCTTGACACGCTCAGGACTGTATGCTGGATCTTGTGAAGAGCTTTCTTTGAGGATGCCGATGCCGAGGATCTTTCTTTTGGATGGGGCGGACATGTTTACTTCCTCTGGATCGCTATGGTAGAGCTTTAATCCTCTGTGAGTGAATTGTGTGAATGCAACGTTCCGCTTAAGGTGAAGTATTTCGAAAAAGGCCCCTCTGTTTAGGACGCTATGTAGCGAATGTCCAGATGGGCGAGAGTATGATTTGTATGTTGACAAAACAAGTACTGGGGCGATCAGTCGCATACTTGTTTCGCGTAAGTACAACCTCGCTTAAAGATCACTAATATTTATAAGTTCGGCACGCGGTTTTCAGAGCGAGCGCGAGGTGCCAAGGCAGTAGGCTAAGCCGTCGACCTGCGTACACTCGGAGATCGTGCGGTCATAACCGGCGCACATCATTTCTCCGCTTACAAGCCAGCCCTTCCTTGGCTCTAACCAAGAGGTGCCAAACAGGTGCAAAGTAGGTGCATTGGGTATCTAGGCCTGCAAAGGCAGAATGATTGCTCTGACACATCTTATGATAGTATCTTTTGACCGCAATCGTCACTTTTGGTGAGTTATACATGGGGCGGTTCGGTGTTGGCTGGCGTTCTTGCACATTCGGCCAGGTTTACCTCGAATGAGATCTCAGGACTTGGTAAGAGATACCAACATTCATAAGTCCGTCCGATTGTCTGTTGAATGTGACAAGTGATATGGACCCCGGTAACATTATGGGATCCTGCCGTGGTCTAAATATGCCGAGATGGGGCCCCTAGGGCGCAGTGTCGCAAGCAAGTGGGTCGGATCTGCTGTGCCGCCCAGGTCGCTCGCCTAGTGGGTGACAGATCTATAGATCCAAGTGAGCATGCTGGGGTACAAATCTTACAGTACTTGCTCTTATGTATTAAACTGCTTGTGTGGTATATTTATTCACTAGTGCCCAAATAGTATCTAGTAGTCCGCAATCTTCAGCACGGCCTTGCCGAAGTTCTTGCCCTCGAGCAGACCAAGGAAGCCCTCTGCGGCGTTGTCGATGCCGTCTGTGACATGCACCTTGGCCTTAAAGCTTCCGTCGGCGAGCCACGACTGCACCTTCTCCTGGTGTTCCTGGGCGTAGGCCGGCCCGAAGCCCGGGTCGCCAACGATGAAGCCTTGCATGGTAATTCTCTTTGTGACGATGTGCATCAAGTTCTTGACTCCATATCGCTCAGACGCGTCCTTGGCGTTGTATTGAGAGATCTTCGCCACGTCGTCAGCATATTGTTTCAATCAAAAATAACCGTTAGGGGCTCAGAAGAAAATGTACTCACCATTCCGCAGGCGATGATCCTGCCGTGTGTGTTCAAGGCATCCAGCGCTCCCTCCAAGACCTCGCCGCCGACGTTCTCGTAGTAAATATCGATGCCGTTGGGCGCCAGCCTCTTCAGCGCATCGGCAGTCGACTCCTTCTTGTAGTTCGTGCCGGCATCGAAACCAAGCTCTTTGGTGATGAAGTCCAGCTTATCATCCGAACCCACGCTGCCAATGACGGTGAGACCCTCGTGCTTGGCGATTTGGCCGACGACTTGGCCCACAGCTCCTGCAGCGCTGCTGATGAAGATGGTCTCCCCCTTCTTGGGCTGGCCAATCTTGTACAGGGAAGAATAAGCCGTCAGGCCGGGCATGCCCAGGGTGCCGACAAAGAGCGCGAGGTCGAGGTTGTGAGGGTTGTGGAGCTTGAACACGCGCTTCCCGGCGATCAGCTCCTTGGGCGCGTAAGAGTACTCAGCGATGTTGACGAAGGCGGCAACCAGGTCACCCTCCTTGAAGTCCGGGCTATTGGATTTGAGAACCTTGGCGATGCAGTGGCTCGTCACAGGCCCGTCCAAGTCGAAAGCTGGCGAGTAGGACTTGATGCCTGGGTCCCTCATTCGCGGACGCATGTAGGGGTCGAAGCTGCTGACAAAATTTTGAAGGACCAAGCCGCCTTGGGGGACAGCATTCAGATCAATGGGTCGGTCCTCGGTCACGAGGTCTTGCCCGGGCACTGGGAAGCCCTTAGGGACCTTCTTGAAGATGAAGGTCTTGTTGGGTGTAGACATGCTTGCGGTGATCCCGAGATTGAAGTTTGGGTTGAAGGAGAGTGATGGCAGGTTGAACACAATGTTCTGTTCCGGGATGTCTGTTGTAAATTGTTCGTTTTTAGATGTTGACCGATCCTAAGATACTCAGAGAGGCGTTGTCATATTTTCATACTGAGATCTGGCGTATCGAGTCAGGGGCACCTGATGCTGTTATATCACCGTTGCGGTGACGTTCTGATGAATAATACAACTTTGAACCTGCCATGCCCCACGGCCCACGTCCCGAAGAATGTTCCACGGGCGACTGCTATGCACTAAACACTTCGAGGCCAGGCGCTGTGCCAAGGCGGTCTCCTCAGTAAAGAGCTGTGCCGAGGCACAATGGACGGTTCCTACTGTACTAGGTAGGTTTAGTCATCGTCAGTGTCGCCGATCACCGAAGAGCCTCGGTGAGTGGGGTTTGCAAAGTGGAATCACGTCGCATAACGTTGCTGAAAAATCAAGAGGAGGGGCTAGATTTTAGACTGTACGAGCATGTAGGAGTGTCAGACTATGCTGCCAGATGATTATTTAGTGCTTAATTCAGATTTGGTTGACATATCAGTTTATTACAGTCTGCAAGGCAGTCTTACATCTTCCGCTTACTGAACGTCGTCGCAGCGGTCCGATATTGGGGGCAGTGCGAAACCGGTGACCCAGGAATTAGTAACCTTGACACCCGGAGTTGATACCGTCGAAATGAATTTGTTCGCGTTGTCGAAGAGCCCTTATTTTCGGGACACACGACCACATCATTGGGCAACCCTACTGACTGAGAAGGTCTAAATGTGAGCAATGCAGACCACTGTCATCCAGATGCCCTACCTGCTGAATATTGTTTGCAGGCAAGTTGTGCAAAGATCCTCTCGGGTTTGTCGTACTTGAGCATCCATTGAAATATGTGTCTGGTAGGCCCTGGAAGAGTGGTGCTTGGGGCGGGAAAGATCTTCGTCAAGCCAAGACAGACACAGTTCAAACGTCAGGATTTCGAAGTCCACAGAGCGACCTGACAGAGTATATTTATAGAGACCTCTGAAATGGATTTCAGGAATCAGATAGGCACGTTGCCCTCCATGCAGGTCATCCACGACGAACAGCAAGTGGGGTACAGCAGATGGATGCAATCGGAATGGCGGCCGGGCAGCTAAAGTTGCATCAGGGACAAATCAGTGGCCGCCGGCCGGCCGGATCGCCAAAGCTTAAGGCGGGCCCAGCCCATCATGCAGCTAAATCGGCCGTTATCTGGCCGGTCCGTCGGGTGCCACGAGGACCTGACCGTGCTTGGCAGAATTTAAACACCGCAACACATCTATCTACATCACAACCACATGCCTCACCAGATCCAATAGTCAAGAAGCTCTTGTCAGAGCTGATACATCGGTCACTCAGGATGGCTCTCATCACCATCAAGACGTTATCAACCGTCATTGGGTGGACCTACATGCTCTGCTGGACGGCATCGTTCTACCCCCAGTTCTTCCTCAACATCCGCCGCAGAACAACGACGGGGTTTTCCATCGACTTTGCCTTCCTCAACATTCTGGGAATGGCCTCTTATGCCGTCCACAATCTAGTCCTGTTCCTCTCCCCCGTGGTGAGGGCGCAGTACGCGCATCGCTATCCGCGTAATCCCATCCCGACAGTGCAGCCCAACGATATCGCCTACGCCGTCCACGGCGCACTCATCGCGGTCCTCATTTACTCTCAGTTCTACCCAAGGCTGTGGCGCTTTGCCCCTATCAAGAACATAAGGTGCAGCCGGTGGTCCCTTGGGTTCTTCTGGGGCTGCGTCGGTGCCGTCATGCTCGGCGCACTGGTTGTCGGTCTCCAGCCAACTTCTTTCAGGTGGGAATGGCTAGACGTGGTGAGTGCATGAACGATGGTGCCAGGCTCAGTCTCATCCACACATGTCATCTTCTTACTCTCACAGGTCTACCTCATGGGAAACGTCAAGGCCTTCCTCACCTTCGTCAAATACGCGCCGCAGATATGGCTCAACATCCGGCGCAAGTCTACACGAGGACTCAGCATCACACAGTTCTCTTTGGACCTGACTGGAGCGGTCCTGTCACTCGTGCAACTCTTTATAGACTCGATCCAGGGTGGTGACTGGTCCGCGGTCCTTGCTAACCCTGCCAAGTTTGCGCTGGGCAATGTCACCGTCTTTTTCGACCTGGTGGCCTTCTTCCAGCATTACTACCTCTACCGCGGTGCTGTAGATGACGCATTGCCTGATGATAAGATAGATGGCGAGACGGAGCCGCTCTTACCCGGTCATGGCCCGTAGCGCTACGCTGCGGACATCTTGAGTTGCCACCCTTCACTAGACGACGAAAAGAAAGGACATCTCGGCATGCCGACACTGTTCGGCTGAGGACTGAGTATCATATCTCACGGTGTTGTCGAGTCGCGACTGAATCGGCGGCATATAAAGACAGGCCTCGATCGATCATAGGGAAACATACTCTTGGCATGAGGTGCCAGATAAGTGCAGATGGCGGAGCAGTTCGACGTCTACATTGACGGTCTGGAAACGCTCAGTGGAGTGCTGCTTCGAGGCGCACGTTGTTCTGAGAGGACTTGGCAGTCTTAAATATCGGGCACGGACATATTCTTCAACGGTCTCAACGTACGCCAGTCGTAGTACTGAAGGAAATAGACGCACATGAATAAAGGGAGACCTGTTCCAACTATGAACTGCCGAATGATCTCGCTGCGCAGTAAATGCTGTATTGTGTTGGAGTTTTAAACTCGTAAACAGCAAATAAGCCATATCGGGGCTGTAGTTTTGTTCCAAACTGTACCTAGATCGGCTGACCTTGCGAGACGACAGGTTGTCACCCAATGACCAAATCGAAAGCAGTAGCAAAGATGGGCCGTCGCTGTATTTCGATGGCCTATTTTGTAATTCACGTCTACATCTGGAAACAGTCCCCTTCCTGCTCTCTAAAGTTCGTGCCTGCGAGATCCTGGAGATCGAAATCTGGGGAAATAGAATCCTGAAAGAGTACCGAAACGGTGGAGATCTAGCTAGGAACCCTGAAGTTGAACTGAAAGTCTGCTTGAGACTGCTAGTATCGTAGTTTGTGGAGAGACCAGGAGTTGTGAAAGCATCTATGATGAGAACACTGGGCGTTGAATTGAGAATTTGGAATTCAGACCTGTGTCCGCCGAGCAGTTAGGAAGTAGCATATCCTGCATAGCGCCATGTAGTAAATAAGACCCTGTCAACGATTTCCAAGCAAACGAGGACAATCGTTAGCTGCTCATAGATCAACATATGACATTCATGACACGCAACGCTGTGGCTTTGCTACAAGGGGCAGATTAGCTAGTCGCACGCATTTGCAACGAATGTTTAGATTCATTCCGATATCTGGACAAATTGGAATATGCTACAATTAATCGTTCAGTCCATCATGTGAGAGCGCATATCTAGTTGCTCCCCCATAGACAAATCTGAGAATCACTTTTGCCAAATTGAAAATTAAGAACTGCCCAGTTGAATGCTTTGAGGCTCTATATCTATTTCAGCCAGCCACCCATCCACTTGAAAATGATGTACCAAGGCATGAACGTGGTCCAGTGCTGCCATTGATCTTTGCGACCCACAATGAGGGTTTCGCTATTTAAGGAGGTCCTTGAAAGTTACGATGGACCGGAACAAACCAGAATGCTCCAAACGCAGTGGTGCTATTTTCCGTCGAATGCACAATAGCATCGTGGGCTAGATCAGCGAGCCCTTCGTCCATGAAACTTACCTGAAGCTTCCTGGCAGAGATACTGCCCTTCCGCCAGCTCGGACCAGTACGCTGTTGGTCCAAATAGCCTCTGACTAAAAGCTGAGACTGTTGAACAAGTGTCTCCCACTCGGGGGATTCTTCATGCGGTACTCCGTGAATGAGTTCCGAAACAAAGCTCATACTGACATCGATGTAGTCTGTAGTGCATTTCGCAGTGCATTCCCAGCAATCCTCGGGAAAATCATTTGGCGGCATTTCTGGTCTCGTCAGCGGGACCATGGAGGTATTCTCGCACGTAGCTATTGGCAATCGCTGCGAGGGAATGAGATGCAGGCATCCGGAGAACAACAAATCAGCGCGGCAGCATGGACACCATTTATCCCCGGACTGGATCAGTTCATCTTGAGCAGAGATGTGCCCACTCATGCAATCCTGACAAATAATGTGGCTACAGGGTAGGACAACCCCAACTTTCTGAGATTCGTCAGCAAGTTTCCAAGGACACGGCCTGAGTTGGGGAACACCACGGATTGCGATGGGTATCATGCAGATTGGACACGACACTGAAGGTTGCGAGTTTTCACAAGGACTTTTCAGGTATTCCTTGACTGTTGTCCAGAGATTTGTCTCCTCGGTACGACTCTTCTTCTGGGGAGGCTCATCGGCTTTGAGCACGTTATCGTCAGAGTGCTTGCGCTTTCTAGATTGGACAACCATGTCGATTTTGTCTCGTGTAGGGACGGACATGATAGATGTCTGTATGAGACTATGCCTGATAGCCCTGATGATCGCGTAAAGAATGTGATGTGAGAGTCCCAGCCTCACTGGATCCCGTCTGATGAATTGATTGCATGGTAACAATCTCCCAGTCAGGTCCCGTGTGACTTACAGACATAAATACTGGCTGTTTGCAACAATGCTCCCAGTCTAGCATCGGCAAGGGGCACGAAACAATGTCACTGGAGCCTTCTTATGAAGACAAAAAGGCGGCTCGTTCAACAATGCATGCTTCTTTAAAACACAATCCTCGACCGCTTCGTACTATGGATCTATTGTCAACGAGGTCGGGCGAGCACATTGTGGCAGAGGCCGTGTGAGCTTCTAGTTTGCATTCAATGTTCTGATTGATTGTTAGCATCCCGTCTCAGCAAAATGCACTGTGCTTTTGTACACTTTGTTTGGCACACCTTATCTCCGATTGCGAAGAAAAGGAGAGTCAACAAAATTGAGTAGCCAACAGGAATTGAGCGGTGTGCGTTTTTCAGCAATTTGGGACAGTTGCGTGCATTAGCGTCATGCCAGCTAGTATTTTGCTATTCCCTTCAACTGTACCGAGCAAAGACGTCAGGCAACGCAAATGAATGTGCCCTGTGTGCTGTAGACTGTGTACTGCGAGACGGATAGGAATGAGAAGCGAGTTTCGGTTTTCGAGACCCAGCGATGTCGAAAACGAGGCTTGCAAATGACACGTTTGCAGAATCATAATTGAATCTTGTAAATTTATACAAATTTGGGACTTCTGACAGACTGCCAAATCAGGCTTGGTGGGCTGTTGAGGCAGCCATGTGGCACAGCAAATCCAGCAGTGACAATGATCGACAGATTCCAGGGCCGCAGAATTCAATTGGCCCGGTCTGACTTGAATTTGCCATGACGCCGACATATTAAATGTCAGAACACCTGCAAATATCTCGCCATCTGACATCTGCGTCTTTTCTGCCTCCAAACTCCAGCATCGACAGCTCGTTCCAGAACGCCTGCGCATGACATTCTGACCATGCGGTTTGCCAGTTTCCCAGCTTTCCTGGCCGTAACGGTGGGCGTGGCTCTAGCCACTGCAGGCACCCTCCGCAACCAAACGCGTGACATCGCCATCATCGGCGGCGGCGCAAGCGGAACGTACGCTGCGATACGTCTTCAACAAATGGGATACACCGTTGCCCTGGTAGAGAAGCAGTCGCAACTTGGAGGCCATGTCAACACCTTCCATGACACTACCACGGGCAAGGTCTTCGACTTTGGAGTGATGCAATACCAGAATGTTTCTGTGGTAACGGACTTCTTCACCTCTCTCGAAGTCCCATTTGCATCCCTATCCGGCAGCAAGACATCTAGGCTGTACGCCAATTTTCAAACAGACGGCAAGGCGGTCGAGATACCCGACTCCGTTCTGTGGGCAAACCAAACGGCTTTGCAACTGGCCCTCCAAAAGTACATGAAGATAGTCGCGCAGTACCCATACCTCGACAACGGATTCGAGCTCCCAGATCCTGTCCCGGAAGATCTCCTGTTACCCTGGGGCGACTTCTTGGACAAGTACGAGCTCGGTGCTATATCGGACATGTCATTCATCTACATGCAAGGCCTTGGCAACATCCTAGCTCAAAGGACCCTGTATGTTATGAAGTACTTCTCTTTGTCCCTGGTCAAGCAATTCGTCGGCACCGGGAGCGGGGTGGTGGCAGTGCCAGCGACGAGCGGCGGAAACCAAGTCCTTTATGACACAGCCCTCGGACAGCTGGGCAAGGGCGCATACCTCAGCAGCACAATTTCAAGCATCAGGCGAAGTGGCTGCGGTGTGGCCGTGTCTGTAAGCACTCCCAGTGGAACAGAGGTCATCCATGCGAGAGAGCTTCTCATTGCGATTCAACCAACACTCTCTAACCTTCAGAATCTGGGTCTCGATCTGGGTGACCATGAGAGGAGTCTTTTTGGTCAGTTCAACAATAGCTACACCTCAGTCGGTGTGCTAAACGTATCTGGTCTTCCTCCATCCACCCTGTTCTCAAATGTCGATCTCGACGCTCCGTATGCGATTCCAGCTCAGCCAACATCGTACACTTTTCGAACGGTAGCTGGCAACCCAAGTCTTGCCACGGTGTACTTTGGCAGCTCCGCCTTCCTGTCAGACGAGGCCATGAAGGAAACAATATTGCAGGAGCTATCGAGGATCGTTACTGGAAACGGGTACAACATTTCAGGAATTCCTAGCTTCGCGGCTTTCGAGAACCATTCGCCCTACCAGCTGACCGTTTCTAACGAGGCTATCGAGGACAGATTCTATGATGAAATCAATGCCTTGCAGGGACAGAGAAACACGTGGTGGACGGGTGCAGCTTGGACATCGCAGGACAGTACCGCTATATGGAATTGGACGGAACATACCCTTCTGCCGAAGATTGTTGCATCTCTATAAACGGCACAGTTACCCGAAGTCTTTCAGCCCAGACATCTTCAGTGGTCCGGCGATCAAGAAACGCAGAGACAAATCGCCGGGGACTGGGCCGGAGCTGTACATAATTCATAGACATTTAATTTCAGCGTCGTCCATGCCCATTACTGCCCCTTTCAATACTGATATCGAGAGACGTCGGAATAGAGGCCTTGGCGGGACCAGCAGGGGCGCGACACCTGCTGGGGACAGCCCTGATTCGCCCAATAGCTGAGATTAGTCGCGGTGGAACACTGCCTGTCTTGTGCCTTTGCCGCCTTGGCGTGATAAACCACCTCTTCGACCTGTCGTTTTGGGACTGGGTCCCCATTGATAGATCGCAACGTGCCCTCCAATGTGCGATATGATTAGATCGATGCCTCGGATAACTTGCATTCAGCAGCTTGGCAGCCTTCTCCGCCAGCTGCCCCTGGCATCCTTCCCTTGTGAGGCTCGGCCGGGATCTACTCAGTGACGACTACAAATGCTACCCTTCCCCATCGAGAGCTTTATGTACATGAGCAAGATGGATCTGAGTCCATCGGCCTTTCGACCCTCTCCCGCCGAGCAAACATGATGCAGTTCCTCTGCAGCGTCGCCAGCGCTTTGCTCATCCGCTCTGCTGCAGCGGTGAGCATCTCCGAGATCAATGGCAACAAATTCCTGTCGCCATACGCCGGCCAGAGTTTGACCAACATCAGTGGGTTGATCACTGCCAAGGGGTCCACCGGGATCTTTGTTCGATCCACGGCTCCGGACAATGATACCACCACATCCGACTCAGCTTTCGTTTATAGCACCAGCTTGGGCAGCTCGCTCAGCGTCGGAGATATCATCACTTTCGATGCCAGAGTGAGCGAGTACAGGTCTAGTGGCTCCACTTACCTCTACCTGACTGAACTCACTTCACCTACAAATGTCGTTGTCATCTCGAGCAACAACACGGTCACTGCCCTGGTGATTGGCGAGGATACGCTCAACCCACCCACGGAGCAGTTCTCCAGTCTTGATGGGGGCGATATCTACGCCATACCCAATGCTGTTGCCAATATTTCATCGGTGAACCCGGTGCTTGATCCAGCAAATTATGGTCTTGACTTTTGGGAGAGTCTCAGTGCTGAGCTAGTCACCATCAAGAATGTGACAATCATTTCGCGCCCCAACTCGTACGGAGAGACATGGGTCACGGGCGGATGGCCGGTGACTGGCCGCAGCGCAAGAGGCAGTCTGACTATGACGGCCCTGGACTCAAACCCTGAGGTCATCAAGATTGACGAGCCTCTCGACGGCACAAGCAATCCGGCGTCGCCCAAGATCGGAGACAAAGCAACCGACATTACCGGCGTTGTATATCAGCAATTTGGGTTCTACTACATCATTCCCCTGACGGCGTACGAGCTCATTACCGTTGCAGAGGAAGCTGCGCCGGCAACGACGCTGACAAGCACGCGATCTTGCGAAGGAATCACCGTCGGTGACTACAACGTGGAGAACCTGGCGCCGACCTCCACGAACTTCGACAAGAGGGCAGACCATATCGTCAACTATCTCGGCGCGCCGGACTTGATGTTCGTCCAGGAGATCCAAGACAACAGCGGGCCGACCAATGACGGTGTGGTCGACGCCAACGCCACCCTCACGACTCTCGTAGACGCCATCGCGGCCGTCAGCAACATCACCTACTCCTTCGTCGAGATTGCTCCAGTCGACGGCGAGGACGGCGGCCAGCCGGGCGGAAATATCCGCGTGGCCTACCTCTACCGCCCTGAGGTGTTGAGCTTGTACAAGCCGAACACTGGCGACAGCACCACTGCCACCGAGGTCGTGTCCGGAGAATCTGGCCCGGAACTCACCTTGAACCCCGGCCGGCTCGACCCGGCCAACCCGGCCTGGGATGCCACCCGCAAGCCACTGGTAGCTGCATGGCTTGCCGAGGGCGCGACGAAGCCGTTCTTCACGGTGAATGTCCACTGGAGCTCCAAGGGCGGCAGTTCGAGTCTGCAGGGTGATTTGAGGCCGCCTGTCAACGGCGTCGTTGGCAACAGACTGCTGCAAGCAAATGTCACAGGCGTAAGTTATCTTTCTCTTTCCTACAGTATTCATATGGAGAAGCTAACAGAAGACAGCAATTCATTGCGGAAATTCTCGCCATTGATTCCTCTGCAGCCGTCATAGCCGCAGGCGACTTCAACGAGTTCGCCTTCGTTGAGCCGCTCACAGCTTTCGCCGATATCTCTGGCTTGACCGAGCTGGATGAGGTTGTCGGCATGCCTGTTGAGGAGCGGTACACGTACACGTATGACATGAATACTCAGGCGCTTGACCATATGTACGTGAGCCCGGGGCTCGAGGAGGGTGCTGGCTATGAGCACATCCATGTCAACACTTGGGCAGCTGAGGACGATGTTGTGTCGGATCATGACCCGAGTGTTGCGCGTTTTGGTGTATGCGGTGCGTGATGTGAAACTACGAGGCCGTGTGTGCTTCATCAGTGTAGCGATTGTTGCTGCTGTGGCCTGAAAAAAATATACTTCAATTCTTCACAGCGCTTGAAATATATACTTTTCGATATTATAGTAGACAAACCCACGGTATTGTGAATGAAATATATAATTCAAAGAGTTTTATGAAGTAATGCGTACATCGTATGGAAATCTCAAGAGTTTACCGGGGATTGATAATCATATAGAAGGCAGTTAAAAGGTGCACCCAACAGTAGCCAAGTTTTGCCGGTAATTGCACTGGCATCTTTCAGTCGTCGAGGTAAGTACTGCGACGATCCTGGTGAGGGGCCTTGGACAGGCGAAAAGGGCAGTGTGGCAACGATGAATCAGCAGCTAGAAAGATAGATGGCTTGTGTATGGACTTGGCAGCTTTGTGAGGAACCAACGCAGGATCTTACTGAGACTCGGAGTCAATTTTCAGTGGACTTGTGCCGAGTGGAAGCTTCTCATTTGGCGACGACTAGGACTGAAGCGCACTCAAAGTATGGGGGCTCTTTGATGGTCGCCAGTTGGTTCTTAGAGCTGCGTCACGTTCAGTATCATGGCAACATTCAAGAAAGTCCTGATTTCACTTCGGAACACCAACAAGTAGTCTAGCGGTACCCCTCTTGGTACAATAGGATCTCGAAGCTGTTTCACAGACTTTACATGACGGATGCAGGGAGTGTCTGACGATTGCCACTGGTTGCAAATGTCCAAAAGCTACTGGCCATCTGGTCATGCCTGCTGTCAGGCGGCATCAAAATACGCGGACACCAGCAAGCACCCGGTGGAGTACCTACTTGAACTGCGTAATCATTTGGCGGCTTGCCTTGACCTTACAGTGTTACTTTCGACCTGACCGTCTGATTTCTTTCAGCTTCGAGTGTTGGGAAGCTAGCGCGGTCAAAACCTAATGCCTTCCTCCCCCGACTTGCAAAACTTCTAGCTCCCTTTTCCTACTACCTCGATACTCTTGTCATCTCGCAAACAAGCAACACTATCACCGCGGAGCGCCATTTACGATGTCTCAAGCAGAAACTCCCAAGGCGCAACCAGACGCTGATGCCGTCGCGCGTCTGTCCCAAGCGCTGAACCTTGAGAACTGCGAAGACAGATTCATGTCAAGCGACCTGAGGTGAGCTCCTATCCCAGATCCCAAGACTCCTCAGCTAGCTTGCACAACGTGATTCTTACAATGGACATTGCAGTCTACTTGAAACTGGAAACTTTAGCGACGTGGAATTGGTCTGTGGTGATCGTTCGTGGAGCTTGCACAGGAGCGTCATCTGCAAGAGATGCAAATGGTTTGAGAAAGCTCTCACCGGCGATTTTGAGGTGAGTTTACAAGGGATTATTTGCCATTTTCCCTCGCGATCAACTAACTCTTACCAAATGTACAGGAGGCGGCGTCAAGGAAGATCACAATCACAGAATTCTCGCCAGAGCTGACCAATGTGGTTGTCCGCTACCTGTACTCAGGAGGTACGTGATTCTCATCCTAGCATATATTCTCTCTGCATGCTGATTGGTGGCAAAGCTATGGACACGACCAGCGTCAACGAATGCGAGGGCGACTCCATCATCAGCAAGTATGTTCGTCTTTGGTCTGCTGCCGACTTCTTCGGCCTCGAACCACTCCAGAAAGACATCATCGCCACCTTTGAAGATTATTTGGAACCCAACATCAAGATCATGAATCAAACAAAGCCAGCCGGAGATATCAAGGCGATCGTTGAAGAATTTTTCAGTGCCGTGGCCATCGCATACGATGTATGCCCGCACGCCAAACCCTGCCAACAAGTCCTAATAGACTACGCGCATGCTGTCAGGTTCCGCCTGTACAGGTCAAGAACCTTTATTGATTTGATCACCAAATTTCCCAGTTTCGCTTCTGATCTATTCCTTGTTGCTGTGAAGGGAAATCGAAGCACGTGGGTCGGCGACTCTGAGGCGGACTACAGCGCCTACTTTGTCCAACACGGTTGCATGGAATGCGAACTCGACCACTTGAAAGCGAAGTCTTGGCATTTGGACCCTGCAGCGGAAAGGGGAAGCAGAGATTCCAAAATTTCGGACATACCCTGGAAATGTGGGAAGTGTGTCAGAAAATCAGGTTACCCGTGGAAGAGACACGGCGCTGATGAGGAAGGGTAGGGCATATGCAGAGGCAAGGCGTCAAGTGAAAGTGCTTTGGTAGCATACAAAGTAGGGGCGGGCGGTCTCCCAGGCAGGGTGATAACAGCTCTTGGTGGTAGAGCTCAGTGCGCAGTGCACGCAGACTGGTCACTCTAAGGTTGAGAAAAGCTCCGAAATCCTACGTAAATCACGTTGCGTCCTCTCTCGACATATCTTTGGACTCTAAAACGCTCCTCGTTGATGTAATGACAGCGGCCGCGAGGTGACATCGACCCGAGAAGGGCGGCACAATGTAATCGAGAGATAGTCACAGGAGGTCATGCTTACTAACATCCTCGCCCGTCTCGCCTTTCCATCTTGAGAATCAGCAGCTAGGGCCGCTCGGCTCGCCCTTCCCCTTCCTTCTAAGCCGGAGATGGCCACTGAAACCATTGCCAGTGCTCACGACGAATTGATGTGGAGCTAGCTGTGTGCCTTCTAGTTGCCTAGAGTGAAAGTTTCCGCGCGCTTGATTGCAAAGCATGTTGATCCCCGACTATCAGTGTGCATTTGTAAAAGAGAAATGGGCCTCAAGGCAGAGACATCACCATGTGTGCGACGCATATAAAATCGAACGAAGCCTTGCTTCATTTGAGAAGATGCATCCAGAGGAAAGACCAATTGTGCTGAAGATAAAAGTAATTTTCTTAAGTTTTTCCAGGCAAAATCTATCACAAACACATAAAAATGTCTGTCGCGGCCAAAAGTGTGGCCCTCGTCGTCACCTCGACTCGCGGAATCCGTATAGGGCCCTCTGTCGCATCCCTCCTCTCAACAGTCCTTGAGCCCTCAGCCAAAGCGGCAAATATCAACCTCAAAACCGTCGATCTCAAGTCCTTCAACCTACCCGTTTTCAGCGAGTCCCTGCCTCCCATGATGATCAAGCCCGGCGGGCCCCAATTCGAGCAAGAAACCTCCAAGGCTTGGGCTGACGAGATGTCCTCTCACGACGGCTACATCTTCATTTTGAACGAGTACAATTACGGCATGTCTGGCGCCACCAAGAACGCAATCGATTATCTCCTTAACGGTTTCACCGGCAAGCCCGTCGCGCTTGTCAGCTACGGCGTGAAGGGAGGCAACTTGGCCAATGAACAGGTCAAGGGCGTCCTGACCGCCATGGGCTTGACTGTCATTGAGCCGCGGCCGCTGCTGGGTTTCTTTGGGGGCCGCGGCCCGGAGGGCATGCTTGCCGTTACGGAGGGTAAGATTGGGGACGAGACAAGGAAGGATTGGAGCGAGGGCCACCGGGCAGAGATACTCGAGGCGTTTGAGAAGTTGGGTGAGCAGCTGCGGGCGCCCAAGGCAGAGGACGACCAGCTGCCTCCGAATTAGCACCAGTACTGGCGACGGCCATATTTATTTTACATTGTGGAGAGCGCACGCACACTTACTTTTCTCTTCTTTTCCGTCACTAGCATGGGATCAAGAGCAATAGGGACGCCAATACATTTCATAAACTTGTGCTGCTTCTTTTCCCTGCCTATCAAACTATCACCCGGGGTATAAGCATGTGTTACCTGCTTTCATCCTTCTGCCATGCATAAGTAATCGATTCCGCGTCTCAGTAGATTGGTGCTTTGCATTGTGTGAAGCAGATTCGGTGTAGAACTCTATGCTATATGCATTCATCGGGACTCGGGCCGTAGATACTGGTATTGGCCATGTCTAGAAGCAAACTCACCGACTCCATTGCAGTGAGACGCAAAATGTGGTTATCGTCGCCTTTAAATCATTGCAGTTCATACTGTGCTTCATTCACGATGTCATAAGACTCGCGTTCAGCGACAGCGCCGTGGATGAAGACTTTAACGATAGACCGGGACCTCTAACCATTCCCAATTCCTGCTGTGCCAGGGTGATGACAAAATCGAAATACGAAACGACTCTCTGTGTCAGGGCAGAGAGACGTCGGTCGAAATGGCGTTCGAGGCCTTCCGGTATGGAGCCCAACATTGACAGAAAATATGTTTCGCTCTCGATCTGCAGGTCTGCGAGCAGATATTGGCCGTCGAAAGAAAAAGGAAAAGAGGAAGCCCTCAAAACACTTTCAAGATAATATAGGCTGGAGGAAATCCGTCCCTTTTCGAAATTTGGAAATTGACGATAATGATGAATCCTGTTTCTTGTCAGTATATCCACGGTACTCACCGACCGCGTGTCCAGCCGGCGCCCAACAGGTCTTCGCGAAATCTGAGAAGCGAGATTACCATGAAGGTCCGCATGCCTGTGAATAGGGGTCTTCGCCGTCTTACTCCAAAGCTACCAGCAGGAACAGGACTAGTCGAAGCTGATTTTGTTAGTCGCTGGAACCACGCCGTGTCGGTCACATGCCTTTCATTCTTGTCCCGGGGACGGTAAGAGAACAGCGGGGAAAGGACCACGAGAGGCAGAAGGGAGTGAAAGCCTGGACATAAAAATGTCGCACGAAGAAATCGGAATTGTAGATTGCCACAACCACGCTGTATCGAATGCCGATGCCCCACGAGATGCGTATCCAACCAAACGCCCAGCAAGGGAGCGCAACGCGCAACTGCCTCTTTGAATTCAACCAGAACCACCGCCAAACACCATGCTGACGCTCGCAACCCATTCTCAAACACCCCGGGCGAGCGCGACGCCTAGCCGCGCCCGCCGTTGTAGTCGGCGCCGCCGGACCTCCGCAGCTCCTTGACGATGTCGTCGAAGGCGAGGTCCCTCTTGTCGTCGGCGTTGAACTCCTTGCTGTAGTGGTGCAGCACCTTCTTGACCTCCTGGACCTCTGACAGCATCTTGAACTTCTTGGCCGAGTGGACGTTGGGGCCGTTCCATATTATCAGCGCAAACTTGACGCGGGTGCTCTCCGAGTCGTTGGCGTACTCGACGCGCGCGTAGGCGTACTGGATCTGGTCGTCGGCCAGCTTGTCGACCATCGCCTCGAAGGACTCGGTGCTTGACTCCTGCAGGGTCATCTGCTTGCTAGTCGTGCTCGAGGAGATGAGCAGCCACTTGGTCTCGTCCTTGTCGCTGCGGACGGCCTCGTAGGCGGCGAGGAGCTCGGGGGAGTTGATGCCAGACATGGTGGGGGGATCCGAAGACGACGTGGGCTTATAAGTTCGTACAAAATCTTGTTCGTAGATAGGGTTCCTCTAGGTTCGCAGTAGGTTTAAAGGGAGAGTCGGGACGACGGACGCCAGCTTGTCGAAGTTGCCGTACAGTAGGTACTGGCTCGTCGTCGCAGACGTGTCTCGATCGCTTCCACCCAAGCCCTGCAGTGTCTGTTCGCGACCCGCCCTCGCAAGGGCCTCCCTGCGGTAACCCCGAACTCAGGGGCTGCTGGGCTTAGTAATCTGGCTGGGGCTCCATCCAGGATCGGCACGACCCTTGATGTGCATGTGCAATGATGCGCATCTGAGAGGCTCAACTTTCTCGAGCTTGTGCCGAACCTTGACGACCGAGAGCTACCCAGCTTTTCTGCATTCTGCCCGCCTCGAGCTTCTGGAAACGACAGCAGCCACATCGCCGCGTGTCCAACTCATCCATGTTGCTGCGTCAATCTTTACGTTCTCTGCGTTCGGCTCCAAGCACGACAATCCTGAACAAACGCTTGTTTGCTGCTATGTCGCAACCTGGTAGCCCGGCCGCGAGCTCCGAGTCTGGCGGCCCGGTCCAGCAGGAGATACGGAAGAAGGTATGCGCACTGCCTCACCAACAAGACTCAAAAGATCTGCAACAGCTGACATAAATTGCCACTGCAGCTCGTCGACAAGTTTGGAGACAGTGTCAAGATCTACAATGACTCTCACCTTCACAAACACCACAAAGCGATGGCCGGCAGCACATCTGCCGAAACGCACTTCCGACTGGTCATCGTCTCCAAGGAGTTCGAGGGGAGCCGACAAATCCAGCGCCACCGCATGGTGAACCAGCTACTAAAAGAGGAAATGGCACGGGAAGGCGGCATACACGCTTTACAGGTGAAAGCCCTGACGCCAGAAGAGGAGGAGAAGAGAGCGGCGCAGGAGTAGTACGAAGCCAGCATAGATACGAGGATCCTGAGGCCCTTGGTCCTACACGATGACAAGATGACATGACGAATGACTAATACCCCTCGGTTGTCACGCCCCTGTTACGAAATCAGTACACACGTAGAGATTTGGGGAGACCATTAGAAACCCATGTGCATCGCGCTGAAGAGACCAAGTGCATCCTAAGGATGGAAGCAATCAACTGGCTGTTCTCGTCTCTTTCCAATGCCGTTGTTCCACAAAGCGCCACTATTCACGCGATGTGTCCTCGGGGCCTCTCTTTCCCGCCTTCTTGATTTCGCTAGGCCCGTGTTCAACTTCATCCGCGTCGCTGAGCGGTTTCAAGAGCAAACTGCTTTGGGAACACAGCAGCCTGTGGCCCGTTTCCTTGTGGTTGCGCAAGCAAACACAGACCATGTTAGTATGGAAGCTGGGACCCGTGTGCGGCCAGCCGTCGCGGACAGTCGGGTTCACGGCAATTTCTTGTGTAGGAAGTGGTGCTCATGTGCCGGTTGCCTCCTTGCGATGCCTGGTCTTGCTAGGCTAAGCCCAAAGTCTAATTTCTTTGATTTCCTTCTTACTCAGTCTTCCATTTCTGACATTCTCACAACCAAGAAGTCAACAGGCCGTCGAAGAAGTTCTCCTTTGATAAGGCGCGCTCTTCAACAAACTATCATCATGAGTGACCCACTTTCGATAGCAGCGTCTGTTACTGGACTGGTCGCATTTGGGTTGAAGACCTGCACTGCAGTGACGAGCTATCTAGACGCCTTCAAGAGCAGTAACCAAGAAGTCGAGTCAGCCAAACAGCAAGCACAAGGGATGTATAACCTGCTCGCAACGGTCGAGAAATCAATCGCCAAAATCTCGCCCATTCACCAATCGTCGACATCAGCTGTGAGAACATGCATCGCAACGTGTGAGAAGGAGGTTGTAGCACTGGAGAGCCTAGTTTCCGAACTGCAGGGCTCCACGTCCGGGAGCCATGATAGCCGCATCACACTTAGCATGAAAGAACAGGGACAGAAGCTCACATACGCATTCCACCGCTCGAGACTTGAGAAACTGCAGGCTCAGTTGGCCAAGGTCATAGGAACGCTCCAGACGGCCCTGCAAGTGGCTGGACTGTGAGTCACTCATGTAGAGTTGCAACATTGCTCTCCTTGTTGACTTGGGTGCAGAGACGTTGCTGTCGGCATCGAGTCGACCATCATGACCATGCAACAGTCGACCTTGCCCAACATTCAGGAACAGCTTGATAACACTGCACCTCAGATCATGGCCAATGCTGCTCAGCTCACGGACAAGATACTCGAGAAAACCCGGCTCATTGAGGATGTATTTCCTCTTCTGAAGGACCTTGCTTGCGACCAGAAAAAGCAGTTGGAGTTGGTAGGTGTAGTCGTCGCTCATTATAGACAATTGAATCCTCTGAGCATGAGAAATCGTCCACAGGAGCATATGTCTGAGGAGACATTTGTTGGTGTACATCAACGCCCTGCAATGATCTGTCCCCTAAACAATCACAATCTACAACATATGCTGATCTTTCCTCTCAGATAAGCTATCAACAAGCTGTCGGCCGTCTCATAGCGAAGCCATCACAATTGAGGAAGCTGTGCCAGATGATCGATGACCAAACATCCAATACAATCTCGAACGACACCACACTTCCAGGTCCGGTATCACAATCAATCACCCCTCCCGGCGGGAAGACTGATCATCTTGAGCTATTCCAACCACTTCATTCGAGTTGTTCGTGTCGTGAACGCCGGTTCACGTATCAGAAAATAACCACGATGGCGTCTTGGGTCTTTTCTAGCGAACGCTCAAAGGTCCAATATCACCTGCCAGACTGCCCCTTCCATACCAGTCTAAGTAGCACAAAAGGAACGCGTTGGGAGATGCGATATAATGGTTTGAGAGGGCTCATCAGCTGTGCTATAGGCCTGTCCTTCTCAACCAGCTTCGGCGCTGGTGGCTTCAGCCTGAGTCCAAAATTCACCTACTACCCTTCTGTCGACAGCTCAACGGCACCTGTCTTCCGTATATTCAACATGTTGCACTGGTTCCTGAATCTCTTCCCATGGAATGCAGACGGAGCAACGGAAACATGGACGGCGACTTTTCTGGAATTCGTTGATCTCTGCATTGCCGATATAATTCTTCTCTACCGGGACGGGAAAGCCGCGCCGAAGGCAATCGACGACCGTGGACGCTCGGTTATGCATCACTTGACACAAAGCAAGGTCCGTCAACTGCTCGAGGCATAAGTGAATCTGGAGGTTTTCATGTAGTATAACTGATGAACCGTGTAGAAAGCATTGACAGCAGGTTCATCTTCGCTTTATGAATTTTTAAAACATCATGTGGACGATCGCTATCTCAACCTCGCGAATATTCTTATCCGTTATGGGGTCCCATCGATGACACAAGATATTCACGGCAAGTGAGTTCTTACCGACAAAACTCGCACTCGCCCGCTCAGGCATGATCTAATGATGATTCTCACCATCAGGACACCTGCCTGGGATCTATGCATTGTCGAATATCCGGCACCAGAGTCAACGAAAATACTTTATAAACAAATTGAGCCATGTAATTCACCGATCATTGATTTCTTTTGTTCTCAAGACCGTTGCACACCAATTCTCGCCCATTCATCTTTGGTGGGAGTCGATCTCTTCCTTGAGAGCCACGTGGAGCCTATATTTCTCCTAAGTCTACTTCGTCGCTCTCAAGCAACGGCTGAAGGTATGTGACCTGTTACCTTAATAATATCGCAGAATCTTCGATTAATGACAATATCCCTGCGAAGCTTGCGAATGCGGCCCACTGAGTTTGGCTGTCCTTAGTGGTGACAAAGAGAAGGTTGCGAACCTCCTTGCCAACAATCCATCCACACTCAAGGAGCGGAGCCTGTTTGGCCACACTCCCGTGCATCTGGCAGCTGGTCAGCCGGCCTGTTTGAGACTCTTACTGCGGGGTCCTGGGACAGCCTTGCTTGATCAGACGGATTGCGTCGGTCACACGGCACTGGAATATGCCGCATTTACTTGTTCCAGTCTGCCCACTGAGCCCTGCAACGCGTCTGTGGCTGTCCTTCTTGAGTCTGATTGTAGAGTGCCGATTCCTTTCTCAGTCTATTTTTCATACCTTTGTCAAGGCTGCAGAGGTGAGCTTCTGAAGCATATGAGAAATCGGAGAGAAAGATTGAAAATATACGCTCTGGAAAGGCTATCAGGCGATATGGCTGCTGCCCTAGGCCTTCATGAGGCTGCTGTTTTAGATTCCAGAGCGTGCCTTGTCGTCACGGTTTTGAAAAGTCGAGGGTTCGAGATACCATTGCCTTTGCGACTTGATCCACCCGACGCGAAATTCGAAATATACCTGCCTGAATCCATGTTTCACCAAAGCCCCCTCAACTGGTTCGATCACTCCCACTTTGATACTCTTTTTCAGCTTGGTTTTCGCGATTGCGAGGAGTTTGATTTCCTTGACGTACCTCCTCTGTGTTCTTGGTTGGAAATGCCCAGAGACATCGGTATTAACCAATATCATACTTGGAGATCCCACCGGTACGGGGCTTGTGCCTGGCTGATCGAACATGGCGCCAATTTATGGGATCCAGTTCCCGATCTTTTGGCGACAACCGCCCATTATCTTTATAGATCTATAAGTCTCATTATACACAACCATTTCGAAGCACTCCACGAATATGACGTGCCCAAGGTCCAGTTCCTGACAGATATTTTGTCGACTCACGATGTCCGCGATGGCTGCCACTGCAAATGCTCTCCTGGCGGCTGCTCTCCATTCATATGGTTCCTGGGGGGTAATCCCAGCCCGGACGGGATTTGGTTGAAGATTCCAGGGCAAATTGACATTTACGCATTCTCGAGATTCTTGAACGGATGGAGACCCGTCATCACCATGGAGCAACTTCGGTCTGCAATCCGCTACCTGACCTTCGAACTGTTGGAGATTCGCCACACATGCTCTCATGATGAACAACTTCAAGAATTTCAGCGTGATGACAATGAGATTCACGAGCTCATGAGCGAAGACAATTCCTTGTTACAGCTTCTTGAAGAGTTGGTAGAGGAGTTTGAGTCAAAGTTTCAGTCCCTACGTACGGAGGACGACCCGTATGGTATATCTTTCTGGGAAACTTACTGGCCGCAACGAATGAGGGAGGTCATAACAGAGCTCAATGACTTCAGGCTAAGCGAGGATGAATACCTCTCAGCTCAGAGCCTTGGGGTGAAATGGCATCAGACAGAGGATGGACCAGAATGGCATTCGGTAGATCCGGCGAATCTCAGATCCGACTGGAGTGTCGAAGTTGATGATGAATGGATGTGGCGCAGATTCAAATCAGTAGAAGACTGGAGGTCCAGGTTAGAACTCATCATGTCCAGAGCCTACTCTAAGTAATTGTGGGTCATGGGCCATTGTTGCCAATAGTTGCCAGTGTGGAGGACACCGACGTGGAAGATTCAAGGAGAAATTGGCCATAGTTGCGTCTAGACTACCTCCGTTTAAGTTGCTCCTAGTCGAAACCCATTAATTCTTTTGTCAGTCCACTACTGGAGGTCACATGCATTATAATGAACTATGATGATCTTGGGACAATCAAGTCTCTAAAGCCTCTGAGATTCGCCACATGCTACGGCTCGTGAGATCTTGCCAATCACGAGTCAAAACGGTCTTTAGTTGTTGTAGGCCAGCGCCGACTCTTGAAATTTCTCTGCGACAACCGAAGCTGCCTCGGTATGTATTACTCCAAAAGCCCCCGTTGATGAGTTGCTTACTAGTAGCAGACATTTCACAGAATGTTGAAAATCAAATCATATGCATCGATTGGTGACGTAAAGGGATATAGCATCATCACTCATCTTGAAGTCTTGTAATACAGACTCATAGCTAGCGATCACGAGGTCTTGTGCAGGCCGAGATTCGATCTGCTTCAAAGAAGCAGCTCGAGACAGAAAAGCTGCCGCGCCGTTTCCGGGAATTGTACTACTTCCGAGACGCGCTCCCTACATCCAGACGCGCAACTGAAGACGACTAGCATATCAATTAGGAAGGCAGTCAACCCGGATTCGCCAAAAAGCTGTTCCACGTCCCCCGCAAATTGATGCAAATGACACGCACGCATCGTGTCAAGACTGACCGCCTTGCAACTAATCAGCCGGGATCTGTGCAGAAGACAGATATCCTCTGCTGGTCTGGAGGCAGGTTTTGAGGGCATTGCGGTCTTGAAAATCATTGATGGAATCGCTCACATGTGACTGAATTGCTTCAAGCAACGCCGCTTCTTCGCAAGAAGCATGATGCCAGGGGCAGACCAGGATCGGCCATCGCGTAGGCCCGAACCTTTCACGCGCGGTATCCACTCTTGGCCAACCATTCTCGGCTCTCAAGGATGTGTTCCGACAACAAGGCGCATAGGATAGGGCATACCGAGTTGAGGGATCGATGACGAATGGGGGTGTATGTGACCAGGGATATCCGGCACAGTTGCTTTGAAGTCATCGTTGACCAACTGTACTAATTCTTCTTGAAACGGTCTTTCACCTTGGTCTAGACTTCTTGGGGCAGAGAGTCCAAGTGTTCGGTCGCCTGCTGCTGAGGTAAGGCGCGCCTGTTGGGGCTTTACTACTTTTGACTCAGCTCGCTTTAGTGACCATAATGCACTGCAATGATCGAGATCCGTCTCACTCGCCCACAGGGACCTTTATTCGTTAATGCCCAATATTGACTTTTGGCGGTATGCGTTTGAGCAAGTGAAATTTGTGCCTTGATGGCCCGACTCGGATTTTGGAGAGGGATCATGGGGAACCCTAGATGTTTAATCGCCACGAATTCATACCAATCAGCAACAACCTTGAACAAGGCGTGGTTGAAACAGGAACCGAGGTTCAGTCACAGGGGACCGCCGGTGAGGCCACCGCCAAGAGTCTGACACGTAGGCTGGCAAGTGAGGCTGCATAATCCACTATCGGGGATTTCAAGCTAAGCACCCAAATATTTGCATTGATGCCAGTAGTGCCCTTGGCTCAGGAATCCCATGTGCGGTGAGATGCGTTTTGAGCTGTACTCGGAACCGATGACAGTCGCCCGCGAAGAGTCAAGGCATTGAATTCCCGAATATTCACGGAGTCAGGACGCGGTTTAGGGCTACAGCGCGCATACGCGATGACGGCACAGAGGCAGCATGAAAGTTAATTTCTTGTTACAGGTCTGTATGAACCTTGTTCTCGACGCGCCCAAATCGTATATCATCTTCCATTCCGACTGATGAGACACAAATTTTGGAGTCTCAACTTTCTGATTGTCTTGTTCATTGCATACGTTTTCCTTCGCACTACCACTGGCCCTAGCTAGGTCTTGAGCGGCAAGCAAAAGCCAAGGCGCTTTCACACTTGTTCTCCTTCGACCGCAGAAGCATCCAAGCCACAAAGATTCGCCCATTCGTAGCCTGCACAGTCAGCCATCCAACATCATGGTTCTCACGGCTCCTATCTTCTGGCACTCAGGCCAGCACGTGCAGCCTCACCAGCTTCCCGATGCAAGGTCAGACCCAAAGGGGCGCACCCTCCTACGCCGCATGCGGCTTGGATACGCCGCCATGAGCGACGAGACCATGCCTGACCTAAGCTCAGATCGCAGCTCGGAAAGGACGCAGACACCTGAGCCGGTCGTGGAAAACCCATTCGACAGCCAGCAGTACACCGACGATCCGCCAGAGTATGACCTCGAAAGCCTCGGCCAAGACCTGCCCCCTGCGCTGCCAGGATACACTCCTCTCCCCGACAGTGCACCCAAGCCAATTGGGAAGGAGGACCCGGAGCCGAGACAGCGGAGACGATACCTCTACGTGCTGAAGAGGAGGATCTCCTCAACCAAGCAACGCTTCAACAAGAGCACCGCCAAGAGCATCGACGAGGAGTCAATCAGCTCTGCGGAGTCGGAAAGGGGTGTGGTCATGTACCAGCAAGACAACCAGTGGGTCAATGTTGAGGAGGCCAATATGAGTACCCCAGAAGAGAAACCGAGAACTGTCAAGGGATGGATCCGGAAAGTTTGGAGATCCATAAAGGAGTTCTCACGGGAACATCCGTCAATCTTCATCCTAGCGGTGTTCTTGCTTGTCATTGTGGCGATATGTCTCCTGATATAGCTTCGGCTCAAGGGCAGCCGGGGGGCTCAGAAGGTAGTGCATGCGTGTTTTGGAGCTTTGGCGAAGACCGGTGCAGATTGATAATACACGAAATCCAGGATGTAATTGAGTGGGTAGTTAACGATTAATGAAATTATGGGCGCTTCCATCGGAATCATCAACGGTTCTCTACGGAATCTCCATCATGAATGGCTATTTTGCTGCAGATCCGAGCACCTAGTACTTCTGAAATCCGCCTGTGCTTGTGTTGATCGTGTCAGCTGGCTTATTTGCGAGTAATTAAAGCCGTTTGTTGCTTCATTCGACCCACAGTCTCACGGTTGGCGGATACACTATCAAGCACTCAATCTCCCGAGAACAATGATCGCCTGGAAAATTTTTGATTTCATATCAAGAACCTCTGGAAGCAAATTTGTGGAAAGTGTGGCATACTAGCATAACCACTGCAGTACCTATCGTCGGATTCATCGAGACAGAAGTAGGGAGGGTAGGCGACAGCTTGACAGGGCAAGGGACAAGTTGGGTTGGCACACAGTCACTGTCACATGAACTTTTCTGTAAATCATGGCGGAGCAGGGGGGTTCCCACCAGAATTTGAATTCCCAAATTTTCCGATCGATGCACTAGTACTGGCGATGAGTCTCTCTTTGCCAGGTTCCAGCAAGCGGTGTCCCGCCGCTTGGGTTCCAGAAATCTGGGACAGTCTAGACCAGAATGGCATAAAAAACATGGATATCGCTGCATCACACGCATATAATCTCCTTGATGCTTCTCGGGAAGTGAGCTGTCATCAAGGCGAAGCGCGTTTCGATCAAAAAATTCTGAATTTCAAAAGGCTAGAAGCCATTCAAGATTGCAGGAAACAATGGAATTTGGGAATATCCAGGAAGTCTCCGAATGTGTAATTTTGGGGGGTTATTTACCAACACGAACCATTGTTCGGTAATGGTCCATGTGTTTGTTACACTTAGGCAAGGGATAATTAGAGTTTGAAGCACTAAAATTAGCTGCTACAAGATGTTAAGTATCACCAGAAGAAGCAAGTCACAGCACTGGACCATTGGCACCAGCAACATGTCATGCCTTGGCTAGGCTTCATGTTACTGCGTGACGCTAATCTGTGAAGCCATTACTATTGTGCTGCTAGAAAAGTTTGCTAGCTTCCTCGATTCATTTGGGTGCATTGGAAGCCCGAGGTTTTGTGACCTAGACCTTTTGAAAGTCGGAAGTGTTCTTGCATTTCCTCTTGAAGAATTCGAGGACTGACAGTATGGATAACTTGATCTAGTCCTATTGCCGCTTGCCAATCACGTATAGGAGGAATTTGGAATGCGAAGCCATCAGCACAGCTTCAGATATTCTTTTGTGGCCCAGAGTATGTAGTCGACAATCTCTGGCACATTTCCACCCTGAGGGCTATTTCGAGAAGATATGTAAAGCTAACATAATTATTGGCTTACTGACCGATTAGATGATTTAATAAGGAAGGCATATTGGAAAAAAGACTTGTAGTATTGAGACCAAGTCGATTAATCCTAAGGGATCAAATGTAGACCAGTGATGATAGTATACCAGTGACAAAAGTACCCCAGTGATCATGGTAGACTGGTGACAATGATTTCTCTCAGTATCGCGAAATTCTGATGACACAAACAAATTTTGATATGAATTCGCGGGGTCTCATGTGATTTGTAATATAGGAAGTCTAGAGCTAGTAATTCTCAAGCTGGAACAATGCTTTGTGTGCGTAGTGAAAACAAAGCTGGCATAGGTTTTTCGAACCACAATGAGCCTGTTCCATGCGGCTGCGTGACGAGGCTGCTTGCGGAAGGTGAGATGAAAGGGGTTGCACATTGTGCTCTTGCTCTCATCCATTGAGACACATTCGAGCTCAATGGGTCTGATGCACAATACAGAGGGATGAGCCATAGGTGCTCGTCTGAATTGAAATTTCATGAACCCCGATGTCAGCCTTGGTGTTTGAACACAGAAACTGTCTTTTGAACTCCGGACCATACGCCCACTTTGCGATTTCCTCTGCTAGTTAAGAGAAATTCGCGTTATCAACAGAGATTGCCAACTCAAACTCACCATCGCAAGCAAGGATCACATCCAAATTACAAGCAATCTACCTTAGTCATCATGGCAAATGTACGTGCTTTGTCTCCTGATACGTATCTGGGTTAAACACTAACGCGAGATATAGGTCCAGACAGAACTCACAGATGGAGTCGGGTCCAAGAACCTAAAGCACGTCGATTACATGGAGCAGATTCCGGGCGTGGACCGGCACTTTCTGAACCGCTGCTACAATGCTGTAGACTCCCAGATAGTCCGCAGCCAAGGCCATGCAGCACAGCTGCAATACCGCCAAAGCATGGTGACTTTCACCATGGCCCTTCGTAAGCTGGCGAAACGAGTCTGCCTGATGCCGGAAGAGAGGCAGTCGGGCCAGCAGATCGACGAGATTACCAGGACCCGAGCTTTGTAGGTACCATGGCCTAAAGAAATTGCCTTGGGTAGGCACAAACAATTGCTGATAAATTCTAAGCCTGGGTCAAAACTTCTTCGACTTGATGGGCTTCTACGGTGTGGACGTCGTCCCTTCGGCGGCGGGCTGGACTTTTTCGGAGTCCATGGAAGCGGAGAGGGCTGCATCAATGTACGATTAAATTGAACAGAGTGACATTTATCACACGGACAAAATTTGAAACCCAAAGAGGAACGAACTGAAAGCATGATGTATTCACGTTGCTCGATGGTCCTCATACATGAATGCACTCCCAAGACTCGTTCTATTGTCTGCCTATAAAAATTTGGAAACGCTATGAAGTAAAACGGAAAACCCTAAAAAGACTTCGTGAATATTTAAGAGATGTTCTTCCACGCGAAGAAAAGAAAAATCCTCTTAAGCGGATGTGGGGGCAGCCCCAGAAGGCATAGCTCCAGAAGGAGCAGTTCCGTTGCCACCGTCACCACCACCAGATCCAGTTAAAGCATTCGACTGAGCGTGTCCACCGTCAGCAGCGAGGTAGCCAGCAATGGCGTAGTAATCGTCGTTCTGGTAGTCGACAGTGGAGTTGATACCGATCTGGATCCAAGCAAAGAGACCATCGGTGATATCGTCACCCAGGTAGAGGAACTGGGGGAAGGGGTCGTAGTTGGTGTCGGTCTGGACGATGCTCCACATGTCTTCGTCGTTGGTGGTCACGTCAACGGTGTTTGTGTTGTAGGGGGACGTCGCCTCAACGGCGGTGCGGAGCTCCTCAGGGTAGAAGAGCTGGCCGATGTGGGCAACAGGCTTGTTCCAGATGGAGATAGTTCCGTTGGGCATGACGGTGGCGTTGGTGTGGGCGAGCAGATGAGTGTGAGTCGCACGACCATCGTAGTGACCGGGGAAGATGGTCTCGAATGAAACAACACCGTCGTGGTCGGTCAGTTGCACACCACGGAGGTAGGTGGAGTTGACGCCATCCGCGGCGTAGTTACCCGAGACGGAGATTCCAGAGTAGACACCTGTTGCGTTGGCGTTCCAGATATCCACGGCCACATTGGGGACCGGGGAACAGTCGGAGATATCCACGTATTGGACCTCAAGGAACAGGTCGACACCCTCGGACCACTCAGCCTCCTTGACGTTGGAGCGGAAGTATTCGCCAACCATGTAATAAGGACCGGCGGTGACCTCAGGGGCGAGGATGCAAGACGTGTTGGCATCGAACACCGTCTCAAGGGCCGTGAACATGTCATAGTCGTTGACACCAGTGTAGTTGTGGTTGACTGTCTCCCATTCCTCAAGGGCAGCCAGATCACGGCGGTACTTCTTAGGGTTGGCCTTGATGCCGCGGGCTTCGCGGATAGCCTTGACGGTGTTGGCTCTCCTTTGGATGTTGCGCTGCTTGACGCGACGGGCGGTAGCAGAGTTGGCACAAGCACCAAGAGAACGAGCGCCAATCTCAGCAGTCAGATCGCGGACCTCGATTTCCCGCTTGATGTGATCGTTGCTGTGGTGCTCGCCGGGGTGGGCGAGGGCACCGGCGGCCAGACTGAGGCCGGTGGCGATCTTAGAGAAACCAACCATTTTGATGACTTTGAAATTGAGAAACTGAAATTTGGAAATTTGGGTATCGTACGAAAGCGACTGTGTATTCGACAGTGGAAATGAGGCAGTAAAGAAAGTGATAGAGGCTACTCAGTGAGTGTGAGAGTTGTTGATGAGGATGAAGATCTCGTCCGATTCAAGTTTGGGAGCTACCATCTTAGCTTATATACAGATCGACCTTCATCTGATCCAGAAAAAGAAGGTTGTTTCGTTTACTCTTCATGCGTGGAGTGCCACGACGCTCCCCAGATGGCCCACAGTTCGGATGGTGGTAAACGTCGGGAGGAGGCTCATCAGCATCTGCGCCGTCACCGAGCAGGACCCACCGTGATGAATGCAGCAGGGCTATTACGCGTAAGACAAGGCTGGACCTAGATAACCGCGGGACACGCGTAACAAGGTCCATATCATTACATTTCAACGGTGCTTCATTGGACATTCCTCGTATCCTGCGTAAAAATTGCGGGTCCAAGGGAGCTTGAAAGGGGCGAAGCGGCGGGAAGTGGGAGAACACTAGCTCCACCAAGTGCAACACCATACTTAGATACGTGTAATCCTTGCTGGGGTATCACACACCAACAACTTTTTCGTCGTCGAAGGCACGTGTAGAGTAAACAAAAGAAAACGGATGCCAATTCGGCTTCCGCAGCTCTGCTCTTGTTCCTACTGAGTACAGAAGAATGACGGGTAAACTGGTGTTCCGAGATTCTCTAATAGTCACCTACCATACATAGAGTATACCTAGGTAGATAACAGGTCCAGACTTGAAAACCCACGACAACAACGAGGAAACTGCAACCCAGACCGTATATCACGAAATCCTGGCTTGTCAATTCGCATCAAGGTTCTCCCCACAAGCACAGCCAGAACATATTCGCACCCATCGAGTCAGACATACACGTTCCCTGAGCACGTTTCGTCCGGATTCGATTTCGAGAGATCCTGACTGGCCAATTCTTTTGCTGTGTCTTGGGCCTTGTCTAAGAAAAGAACAAAAAGAAGAACGGAGGGGGCCAAATTGGAAGTCTTGGCAGGGGAATGTCATCACTTCCCGGCAAGACAAGAATGGAGATAACTAGGTATACCGATCAAGCATTGCGTGGCATTGTGGCCCGTGCTGTCTAGCACCTAGGTGATTGGGCCTCGCGGATCCAACGTAGAGGCGCGAAGGTGACGAATACAAGTCAGTCGAGCCTCGTTGAGATCATCATCGGTCAGAACGGCCTTTCCAAATGTCCATCTCATAGTGCTGAGCTCAGACCGGCTCAACACATGCCCGTTTGTTCTATAGTCCTGTGCACGAGGTTCAAGTCTCTACTCTTCACCAGAAATGACTTAAGCAGCTATTTACAGCTGGCGAAATCAAAACTACCGTGTTCTCAGAATCCAGCTTCAGGAGACGGGGTTCAGTGGACAAGTCTAAGCTCTGATCAGAAGTTGGCCAGGCAATATGAAGTCTATTCCGAACATCCTCGTAGCCTTCGCTGCCAAAGATTGACCTAGGCCGGCCTTAATAAAATGAAACATAACTTACACTGAAAAGATGAGACATTTATCAACCCTGCCAATTCCATCCGTGTGATAATACAGTCCCCGCGAGTGGTTGAATTCCAGCCAGCCCCACGGTCTTGCGCGGCGATGGCGAAGCTTCAGGACCAAGCCTTTCCAAGACAATGTTAGCGGCCCTTTCACCGATCGCGCCTCCCCGCACCTCTCTCTGCTGACAGACACAAAAGATCCCCTGTGTGAAACACGAATAGGGCTGAGAGGTAGCATTCTCTGTTGACCGCATAGCAGGGTTTTCTCCAATGTGGTCACGGTCATCCCGCAGTCCCACTTCATGTGTGTCTCGGGCTGCCACCACATCCCGAGGGTGGCGTGCCACCCACGTGGGAGATTAGCAATGCAGCTTTGTTTGCTGCACAATGCGAGGAGCTGCAGCGTGAACGTCGATCAGTTCGTCCCGAAGCTGCAGTCAAGCTCTATCACTGTTGATCCCCAAATAGGACATCGAACTCGAGTTCTTGAACACTCACAGAGATCGATGGCACGTGCGGGGACAAAAGCCAGAAAGGTGGATAACACAGACGAACTTTGATACAGAGGATATCATTATTGAACAAGTAAAATAAACATTAGCAGCCCAGTCCCATATGTACATTCACGCCCCATACGCCATGCGATCCACCCAAGCAGGGCCCAACATCTATAAGTGTATATACCAAAACCCCAGGATATGCACCAAGCCTTTGAAAGCCATTAGACAAAAAAAAGGAAATGACCAATACCAAGCCCTTCTTACGGCTTGCTAACCTGTTCCTTGCGGAAGAACTTGAAATACCCAATACAAATACCCAGATTCAGCAGGAGCACCACCCAGAACCAGGCGCTCCCGAGTACGTGCCCGGCACCCTGAGAGAGATCAGGGAAGACAGGGCCGGGGCCCAGGTTGTCAGGCGCGGTGGCACGGCCGGCGATGGTAGCCAGGGAGCCCAGCACCTGGGCGGCGATGACGGCGGCGGCGACGTGGACTCTGGTCAGCGTGAGCATGAGGATCATGCCGATGCCGGCGCCCTGGACCGAGTCCAGGAGGCCGAGCCACAGCCACACGAGGCGGCTCGCCACGGCGCTGGCGACGGCGCCGCCGGCCCAGGGCAGCCACAGGCCGATGCGCGAGCAGCTCCAGAAGATCTGCGCCCAGCGCGGGGCGCCGAGGCCGACGGCGAACATGGGGAACAGCCAGGGGTGGGACTGCGACACCTTGGCCAGGCCAAAGAGCACCGCGCACCACAGGATGACGAAGAAGAACAGCGCGAGCAGGATCACGGACCAGGTCGGGAGGACGGCCGACGAGAACAGGAAGAACCAGTTGCGGCCGTAGAGGGACGAGAGGAAGTAGTTCTGGATGATGACCGCGAGCAGGTACCACGCGATGGTCTTGCGCTTGAGCAGCGTCTTCCACAGCTGCGGCACGGGACCAGGCGTCTCACGGTAGAATTCAGGCAGGCCTAGGTAGAGGACTGTGCCGATGGCCCAGAGGATGAGGGCAGCTGGCAGACAGACGGCGAGCATCCAGGGTGAGTTGGCCAGGGAGTAGGCGCCGGTCTCGCCGTCGGCCGTTGCGTCGCTGATGGCACTGCCCCATGCCCAGAGAGCTACTGTATAGACCTGGGACACGCCCTGGATGATTGCCAGGCGCATGATCCAGGTAGACACGGTAGAACCACCGTCGGTGCCGAAGTTGAACGCAAAGGAGATACCACCGGATGAGGCCGCGAACGCGTAGAAACCTGTTGCCACGTTTTGTAGCCAGCCTTGCACATCGTCATTGCTCGCGAATGGAGAGAAGCCGAGGATGACGAATGCGATACCGTAAAAGTAGAAGGGTATAGCCGTCGAGTAGACGAGGCTGAGGGTCCGGGACAGGGTGTACCACACGATTGTGGATCCCAGGTAGATGGATGCGACGACATAGAGCTTCGTGGCTGTTTGTCCGACCGTTCCTGTCAAGAGAGTGATCTGGTAGGAGTTCGTGGCGATGACCTGACTGATAGAGAGGAGGATTGCGTAGACGGGCCAATCGCCGAACTGGTACTGGAGGTACTTCTGCAATCCGCTGGGCGGCTTGTAGTCCTGGGGCAGCTCGAATTGTCGCTCATAATCCTCTTCCTCGCTAGGTGTCCCTGCATCGCTACCCACAGGCGTGGCGTTCATCAGGCGAGAGGGCCGACGCTCGTGGCCGAGAGACAACCGCAGCTGAGACCGGGAACGGTTCCGAGACGCGTTGCGAGACGAGGCGCGGGACCCAGGTCTTGACGCCGAGGAATCGCGGGCCCGACCCCTACCCAAGCGTACGTCACGGAACTCTGAGAACCACTCCTTCTCAGATTTGATCAGATAGTCCTCGATACACAGGTCCGAGATGGAGTTGCTCGCGTCGAGGGTGCCCAGCTTCTGCTCGAACTCCGTGTAGAACTCTCCCCTAGAGTCCGTGAAGAAGGGATCAGTCTGTTGGAGCTTGTAGTCATGACGCTCACCGACGACCTCATCGACACTAAGCATAGAGGCTCGACTGGCATTATTTTGCATGCCAAGGGCGAACGGTCGAGAGAAGGAGAGAACGCTTGGTGATTCAGATTCCATGCGGCCGTGGCCAGGAGACCAGGGCAACGGTGTTCCGGATCGCGAGCTCATTGCGGACTCGTAGCCACCAGGTGACACAGGACGGCTCTGCATCGGGGTGTTCAGGGCGGTGGTGAGGCGAGATTGGTTGTTTTGGTTGTACATTGTGGAGGCATCGTCGTCGTGGTCGGAAACCTGTGTCATCCAAGGGGGCATGCGGTCCTGCAGCTGAATTTCCGTGTTCAGCGCCTCCTTGCTCGGGTTCAGAAGATTCATCGTGCTGGACAAGAACTTCTTCTTGCTGCTCTTCTTGGCTGTCTTTTCAGATATCCTGATGACGTTTTGCTGCAGCTTTTCGAGCTTCTCGAGCCACTCGGCAACTGGGAATCGCTGTTTGGCAGAGTATGCGCGCATCGTTGCCCTAGTCTGGGTGTCTGTCTTCAGAGCTGCCACGATTGCGTTCTTGAACTGGTGCAACAGATGCGATGCTTTGGTACTCTCCACCGTGTACCACCAACCAGGCATTTGTCCAAGACCACCAACCCTGGCACCAACGCCCAGGGCTCCCTTACGTCCGAATTCAACGGCAACAAGACCGAAGGGTTCGTCTCGGGAGGGGATCAAGGCGAATTCCGCACCACTGAAGATATAAGGGGGAAGCGCTGTGAACTCAGGCTTGCTGTAAACGCGTCCGGGGTACTTCTCCATTAGCTTGGCCAGCTTTAAAGCTGCGAATTTACCGTAGAGATCGATCATAGGTCCGATGCACTGTCGAATAATCAGTCATCCAATCCCAGGGCTCACTTTTCCCAGAGTGTACTTACAATCAGCTGGGTCTGAGGGTATGTCTCCAGCACCCAGGGGAAAATATCAGCGATGAGGTCAACACCCTTCTGCAGAGACCAACGTCCCACGAAGACGAAGAGTTCAGCTTCAGGGTTTTGCTCAAGGCCGGCCCACTCCTGAGCCTGGCGCTTGAGGTCTGCTCTGCCTGCCTCGAATTCCTGATCGATAGTCGGGGCGTCGGTAGTGAGAGCGGTGTCCTTGCTCCATTCGGCAGTGTCCTAGGAGACGGAATGTCAGTTTTTGGCCCTCAGAACGATATCGGGAATAGCAAAGGTATTTCACTTACAGTCGGATCCGGGTTTGGCAGCTGTCCGACCTTCTTCAGGCCCCAGAAGATAGGGTAACGCGCAAAAGACCGGTCACCATACTTCTTGGAGACACCGACTGCACCGAAACCCTGTTGGTGGATTCGCAGGTAACTGGCACCGGCGTGCAGCAAGTTGAAGACTGGTGACGAGTCAGCGCTTGTCTTGCGAAAGAAAAAGAAAATGCGCCGATTTTTGGGACGACTTACCTGAGCCGAACTGAACATATTCCTTGACGATGTCCTCTGACAAGTTGTAGACCTCACAGACCTCCTTGCTTTCCTCAGGCGTTCGCATAGGCCACATTCCCTGGAACTCAGCGTTATGGAGAGACAAGGCCACGGGGATAACGCGAGGCAAGAGGTACAGCGGAGCACAAGCACCGTGATAATCGTTGATGTGGTACATGTCGACAGGGAATCGGTTGACAGTCTCGGCAATACATTGGTTCCTGAGAAGAAATTAGTAAGGTGGTTCAGAGACAAGTAAAATCAGGGGATTACCCACCAGGCGGAATAGTAGATAGCACTCTCCATATCGTCCATACGCGGGGGATACGGCTCTGCCTTAGTCTGCCTCCTGAACACGGGCGCATCAAGGAGAACATAAGTGATGTTCTCAACCTTGTGGTACTGCACCTGAATCTCATAGTACTGGCCCATAATCTTGACGAACATTGGCTCGGCGGGTGTATCAACAGGGTAGTCGATACCTCCAACACAAGGCACAACCCAAATAAGATCCTGGTGCTTCAGGGCCGTGCCCATCAGCTGGGCCATCACACCCAGACCGCCGATCTTGATCTTCACACCCCAGTCATCGATGTTGTACTCCATGGTGGCGATTAGAACACGCTTGCGTTTGCCTGCTCCTGCTGCAGCGGCCGCGATCATGGCCTGGGCGTCCTTCTCGTCCTTGCCGCTCATACTGGCGATGGTGTCCTTGGCCTTGGAAACAAGCAGAGTGAATCCGGATGCCTTAGCAACACCGACCTCGTTGAACTTGATCTTGTAGAAGGAGCGCTTGAAAGCTTGCACGGCGGCGAAGCCAAGGATGACGGGCAGAATCCAGAGTAGAAGGTACAGGACCAGCTGCTGGTACATGTTGCCGACGGGGACCAAGCCGTACTTCAGGGTGGAATCTTGGACCACCAGTCTGTACGCCAGATGGGGCTTGGATGGTGCGCTCGAGATATTGATGTTACTCTCCACAAGCGAAGACGGCGGGAGGCGATCGAGTACACCGTCAGTGTCAATATCGCCGTACACGAAGGACTGGTCCGGCGTCTTATCGGGGTTCATTCCCCAGACGCTGAGCTGAACCGTCGCCGGCCACTCATCCATGTAGTGCCACTGCCAGATCGACTCGGCGGTGTGCTTGAACTGGTTGCTCGCACCGGCATCATATCCATACTGGTTGAATGGGCCAGAAGACCAGATATGCGGGAATCGCCGCATAGGACCATCGTAGTCCACATCACCTCGCTGCTCAAAAGCACTGCTACCGAGGAGCTTGCTGTGGTATTGCACAATGACGTGCTCGCCCTTCCACTCCTGGTCCGTGGTACCCGACCATGGCAACATGTCGATTGCGGTGGTTGACTCGTACCGCGTCCAGTTACTGAAAGAGGAAGCCCAGTTTGTCGAGTAGCGGAACCAACTGGCACCTGGAGCACTATGGTTCAGCGTGAGCCCTCCGTTTGAGTCCTTGGTCACAAGCGTCGACGAGTAATTGGAGGTCTGGGGGAAGATGAGAGGGTTGTCTGCCCCGCCGATTCGGAGGAGGAAGCGGTCCGTAGAGTTAGTGTAAGAACCTAGATCAGCGGTTGTGGCGTTGTTGACAATAATCTGGTGGATACCTTGGCCAAAGCCGGTGATGTTGGCAGACCAACCCCATGCAGACTCTAGGACTCCCACATAATCAGGCTGCTCAATGGTTGTCACATTGCCACACTTGACCGTAGAGGTGTCAATAGATGGAGTGAGGCCTGATTCCGTGATTGAAGTAAAGTTGATGGCTTGGGTAAACGAGTCGCAATCCATGAGAACATTCGTGTGGATCTCAACGAGGACAGTTGTGCTCTCTTCGGTCGATTGGATCCTGTAATCATGGCCGGGCTTAAACTTGGTAAGCATAGGTGGAGGAGGAACCCATAGCTTCTGTGGCACGTATGCGCGGAACTCGAATGCATCAAGAGTGACAGAGTCGACGCAACCATTGTACTCGGTCGACCCGTTGATCTTGAGCTTCTTGGGCGAGTCCTTGAGATCCATCGTTTGGTGAGGGAAGAACAGATTCTTCACTGTGGTTCCCGAGTCAAAGGGTGAGATGAGAGCTTGATCGTCATCGGTACAGTCGAAGGTGTATGTGTACGAGGTGTTGCGATTGTGGTAGAGCAACCACACCGGTGTGTCAGTGTCCATGTCTTGGATGCCAAGGTATGAAGACCGCATTGTGGACCATAGACCTTCCTCTGTGCCAACGCCAGAACTTCCTGGCAAGTAGATCCACTCCGTCTTGTTGGACAGCTGCTCCAGGTAGAAGCCATCCGTCAGAACCGGGAACTTTTCACGAAGATAGTACATGTGCTTGATGACGTTTCGGATGGGGTGAGTCGAATCTCTGTGATCCCACGCAACTGTGGGGTCCTCGCATCCGTGCAAAGTGGCGTTGAGTGGCATGTGGAAGTACAGCTCACCGGGAAGACTGTAGCATCCATGAGCATGCCATGCCGGGGTAGAAGTAATGGGCTGTCTTCCGAACATGTAATTCGATGCCGTGTTGTCGAGCACGTAGAAGGCTTGCTCTTCTCCCCAGAGAAGCAGCGGGATGCCTGGCATGTGCAGAGTGGTAATGAAGAGGCCCAGCAAGTTGCGTTCGATACCAAAGGTGATAGCAGGCCATCTGAACACATCCTGATTGACCACTCCGTACATGTGTCGAGGGTCCACAAGGCCAGTCTCAGCGTTGATAAAGTCGTTCGTCTGCAGCATTCTGTTCCAAGCGGCAACCCAGTTCTTCGGGAGATCATACGCAGCCTCCATACCACCATCCATACCCAAAAATCGTAGCAGATTACGATAGATAGAATAGTGGAAAGCTGCGCTATCAAGAGCTTGTTGTCCTTCCTCTCGAATGAAGATGTCCATATCGGCCGCGGTAACGTTCGTTAAGTTGACAGCCTTCTCCTCGTTGTCAATATATTGATCAGGCGACCGACCACGACCAACGTAAACAGCACCGAAGGTATCACCACCAGTAATTTCACCAGGTAGGAAAAAGTTGTCTTTGCCGACGTCCCTGGCGCATTTGCGAAGGTTTGCTGAGAATTTCCCCTCGGCGTCGACTGTGACCTGGGTTGCCTTGTCGTAACGGAATCCATCGATGTCGAGCATTTGAATGGTAAGGCATGAGAACAGCGAGATCCGCTCTAGCACATCAGGGACCCATTCGCGAAGTCGATCCTGGACGGAAGCGAATTTGGTAAGTTGTCGACGGTAATCAGCGTACACGCCGAAAGCTTCAGTGTCACCAAATTGGTCGAAGTCGCCATTGTAACAACCACCAAAGCTGCCATACACGGCAGAGCCGACTTCGGATCCATTATCCCAGTACAGCCTTGGAAAGTGCTCGCAAGTATCATTGAATGTAGTTCCAAAGGTGAAGTCGTGGTAACGCCGTGAGGTCTTCCAGAGAGCTGTGTGCTCGTGTTCAGGAACGTACGGGGCTGACTTGTTCAGATAGCCTGTGAAACCGCTTCGGGAAGGTCAGCACTGGGAATTGCTGAGAGATAGGGGTCAGGCATGGCTTACATGAGATCACCCATAGTCGCGACTGTGTTGTCAAGTAAGATGTACCTGGAGTGTTGTCAGCATCTGTGGGAACAGGCCAAGCTTTGGCGCCAAGCTGATCCCCCAACTTCAACGCATCAAGCGTGCCGAGCAAAGTCGTCGGGCAGAATCCACTTACATGCCGCGGCGGTGGATTTCGGTAATCGCATCCCGCCAAGCTGTGATGTTACCAAAGTGAAGGTCCAGCAGAGTATGGTCGAGCGGCGAGTAGGAATCAGCAGCGTAGGGCTGGTTGATGAAAGGCGAGCCAGCCACGTAGAGGCCTTTGATTCCCATGCCTTGGATGTAATCGAGACTGTCGACCAATCCTTCTATGTCGCCGCCAAACCGCAGCTGCGTCCCCATGACCTCCGTCTCGAAGACTGTATTATTTGCATTGTCGTTTGTTGGGTCGCCGTTGGCATACCGGTCCAGGAAGAGTGTGTAGAAGGGAAATCTCCAATTCTTCGGAGACGGGTTGAAGTCATGATCTTCCCATTGCCCTGTGTATTCCAAAGGATTTTGTGTGTTCTGATTTGTGTTCAAGTTCCAGTCCTCGTAGTCCGGGTCATACTTCAGAGCCTGGGCGGGTATGAGAGAACCCAGAAGGAGAAGCAAGGACTCCGGGACTAACATCTTGCAGGTCCCTCGGCGCGCGTCGAAGCACGCATGAAATTCTGGGTATGTCGACTTCTCCCTCTATCAGATTTGCGGAACAAGATAAGAAAACTGGAGGAAAGCGAGGGTCCGGCAACAACACGAGCGAGTGACAAGGTCGGAACGACAGACAGACAAGATAGATAGGAAGACGAAAACCAAGCCACCTCAGCAATGACGAAACAGCAAGCAAAAAGCGAGAGAATAGTTACGGGAAAGAAAATAATCGAGAAACCGAACCACCGCTGAAGATGGTCAAAAGTCAAAAAAAAACTTGTTGGCTCGCACGATTCCCGAACCCGCCCCGTGGGTCAGGCAGGCAGGTCCACTCTGAAGGGGATACGAGGTCATGGCCGTGCTATTCGTGATGCATAGTGACGGGGAAAGGTTGAGCACGTTGGACATGCTTGCTAACACTTGATCCACGAAAGGTACAGTGGAGATGTTAGGAATCCCAGGAAGTACGTCCCAGATGCGTTGGCGGTAGCTAGCATGTTCGTGGCGGCGGGTCCCATTGTAGTGGGACTCTCTATCCCGGCGCGGGCCAGCCACAGCGGCTGATGCAATAGGAGGCTCGATCCCACATTCATTCGATACTTCTGGACTTTCAAGGTGGACACTTTCGCCTTTGGAAACCTCTGCCTCGGTCCCATGGATCCCTGATAGGGGGCTTCGCCCAAAAGGTACAGTGTATACGTACCATACAGCCATAGTAGGCATGCATGTGCGAAATACAGGCTTCTGGTGGAGACAGGCTTTGATGGGGTGCCCCGAGTCACACACACTTTCAAGCGAGCAGAGAGATAAGAGAGCTACAGGCTGCTGTTTTCTCGTGAAAACAACCTTGTCATGCTGCTTCTACTAGTCAGCCTAGTACGATCGTTGCACGACGTGCATGTGGTATGCCACACCGGGAGTAGCGTCGTACGCCAGTTACGCGCAAGCGGTGAAAGAGGCCGTTGGCGCAGTGGGATAGGCCGGGGTTGGTGGGCGGGCGAGGCTGCTCACAGCAGATCTTCGGGGGTACATAGGTCCAGAATCCAGTGCTTTTTGATCCCGCGGTAGATCTTGATGATCCAAGTCGGCTCGGGTATTTCGCCAGGGCAAGCCTGTTCTGTGGGACTGAGACAGGGGAGTGGGGGCGCAACCTTATTCAGGACTTTTCGTGTCCACGACGTTCACAGTCCACAGACCACGGCCCAGCACCGCCTCGTCATTTCGGGGCTAGCTTGGCGGGAGCGATACGGCGTCAAGCTCATGCCACGGTATGCCAATGTCCCGGCTGCCGTTGGCCGTTGCCCGCCGTTGCGGGAACAAGCTTGTCCCAAGACAGCGGGCTCGAACTGCAGACTGGGCACTGTCGCGCGCTTCTGTGCTGCGAGATCGTGTGGGCCATTGGCAGTGCAGAAGTCGTTAGCTCCCCCACTGATGAGCGAGTGATGGGCAAAGCTGGGGAGAGGGCGAGAGGGGCGACAAAGCTTGGAAGAGTCTTCATCGTGCTTGGTGCGGGCGAGAAAGGACCTGCACGGGGCCGACGGGGCAGGAGAGGACAGGATCTGGCCTTTGGCCAACGGAAAGGATCTCGAAATAGAAACAGTGGGTCGTGATCAGCACTCTTATCGACCCAGGTTTCGTCATGGGCCAACGTTGCAACAATTGAGTGGACCGGTTGGCTGGGACGTCTGTCCTGGCTCCACCGGGCGTGTACTGGGCCCGAAATTGGCGGGTTAAAGGTCTGAAGGCAGGCGAAAGTCGATGAAATTCGGTTAAAAATTTCCAGAAACGCCAAGCACGCGGGAAGCCCGGCGGCTCTATTTGAGGCTGGAATCAAGCCTGGAAGAACCCTGAAGTTGGCAAAGGCTTGGTCGGATAGCCAGATCGGTACCAGGCCCAGATTGGTGGCTCGTCGAAAGGGGTTTTCTTTTGGTTCGGAACAAGTTGGGATGGCAGATGGCAGCTTCCGGGGCCAGGGAGGGAGCCGTGGGGGTTCCTGTAACCCTCCTCTGCACGCCGCTGTGCCTCTCTCTCACAAGCTAAAGCTCTCATTTTCGTTGCTCGTGCTCATGCTCATGCATGCCGTCATAGCGCGGGTGGCAGAGGCATGCAGCCATCATGAGAGGAGGCCAGATACGAGGCGTGTTCATCCCATCTTGGATGATCTGCCGCTGGATTGAGCCTTCCACGCTGTAGGCCAATCCAGCACAGTAGTCTACTCAGTCTGTAGGCAGAGCATGCAGCCGTCACGTTGTCACGCAGCCCTTTCCCAATAGCTGCAAGCCCCCTCGTGTTCAGCCCGATAAGCTCCAGGCCAACCACCGCGCCACCAGCTCCGCGTCTCGATGGCCCTGGTGGATGGATTTGTTGACTTTGCTGCCTGCGTGAGCCGCAACGATCAGGGCACAAGAGCTCTTCGCCGGTCCGGCGCGCCATGGAGCTCAGCCGTCTCTGAGTGGCGCGCCTCGTGGCGTGCTAGGAGATGGAGTAACATTGCGCGTTCCTGAATGCCCGCTGCAGAGCCCTCGATCGATATCGCGGTAGACGACCGTGCACGAATGCGGGTGCTACTCAGCATTGTGGTCGAGGCTGAGGCCAAGGAGGAAGGCGCTCAACATTGAGATTGTGGGCGGCATATTGGCATCAATAGATGATCAAAAGGGTGCAGGGTGATGGCTGCTGGATGGCCAACGAGCTTATCAGCAATATCAGCAATCTGGGTTCCTGCATGCGCTCTGACGCTGTGGCCGTCACATTTTCTTCAGCCGCCGTTGCTTTTCTACACACCATCACCACTCTTGGTCGGGGCCACCAATTTCGATAACGTCGGCCAGGACATCCAGGGCCGCTCGCTACCGACCGTCCGCACAGATCCAGATGTCATTTGAGGCGTTGGCGCCGGTATAATTAGTCTCCCCGGGGACGTCCCGATCATTCCGCGATGGAAGCGGCAAAAAGGATAAACAAGCCACCTGTGGACGCTCTCCTTCGTATCATGCAATGTTCATGGTCTCTGAATTTCATAGCTCCTACTCGCGCGAAGCCGATCTCTTGACTGCATGGGACGATGGACGTCTTGAGAACGCCTTCGGGCCCGGCGATGCCGCTACAACTTCCGCAATTTCTTGCGGCTGGTTTCCCACCACCTGTAAGCTTCCAAGGTTCTTATCTCTTTCGTACAGTGCTGGTCCCTGACATAGCTGCGCTTGGTCAGAGATAGACCGAGCATTATTTGCTCAGCCTGGCTCCATCGGCTCAAGTGTTTTTTTCTCTCAAGGTTGAAGTAGCGCCGCCTGTCTAGGTAGGCCTTTCAGATCATCAACAAGATCAAACGTATCAATTGTGAGTTCCACATTCTTCTTGAGTTTTACCTGGTGGTGTCGAGTCTGGGAATTCCGGGTCGGTGCCAGGGGGTGGGGGTGGGGGCGGGAACCAGGCCTTGCCCATGTACCGGTACAGCCCTACTGGGCGCCATTGAACCTGTCCAAGATTTCGCCAGCTGAAGCTACTTGAGTCAATGCTTTTGGCACGGCTATACGGAAGCCAAAATGGGTCCCTGACAGCTCCACCGTGACTTTGCTCAGGACGGCCAAGTGCCATTCGTGAATTAAAGGCTACGTGATGAGGGACCTAAAGACTGTACGGTTCGCTCATGTTTTTGATTGGCCCCAGCGCAAAGGACATTACTAGCCTCGACAGCCTCGGAAGACCGGCTTTAGAATGCTACAAATGATCATGATGTCAGTCGAGACTGGTCTTACATATCGCTTTTCTCCTAAAACACGAGAGGAGAGGCGACAAGGTGGACAGTCCCAAGCAGCCAACATGGTTTCAACGTGAAGACCCCACACACGGGTTGATCTGTCCCGAGCAGATCTGCGATTTCGATCTCGTACAGGCTATGGTGCCGAAGTTGGCAATGGTCAGCTAGTTTGAATCTACGACAATACGACAAGGGGCGGGCAGAATGTTCTATTTATGGGTCATCCCGAAAGGAACCACAAGTTGTTCTGCCCCCTTTTATCGCCTAAAATCATGACACAGGAGCACATGCCGTCACTCGAGTGAGTGGAAACAACGATGTCTACGCGTGCAATGGTACTTCCGGGCCTGAAAACGCCTGAACAGTCAATAAGTGTTGAAGGACCTGAATCTAAAGGCCGAGGTGAAAGTCACTCAAACGATTCTTCTATTAACGCATCTCGTATGGCTGGCTCTACATTATGGGTTCAGAGGCATCACATGCATGACGTGCATCTTATTTAGCATCCTCGAAGGGCAGACAGCATAATCTCACTGTACAGCTTCCATGACTACTTGTTGTAACTGAGAAGTAGGTCTGAATGACAAGCGACACATTACATTGAGTCTCAAGAAGTTCACTTCCTCATTGACAGGTTCAAATTCAAAGACATGGTCAGATCTCTTATTTGAATACTCGGTTAAATGATGATTCTTGTTGGGAATGGAATCTGAGCAATGCTTCCCTCAATATAGACGCTCCACCAATTCAAGAGCAGACGATCCTATCAGAATTTGACTCGTCATGACGTTATAGTCCGGCTATACACTTCTTTATTTCTACTTGTTCAGGATCCAGTGAGGCCGAGCTTTGTTAGAACTATTTCAGCAATGTCAACAAGCCTGGCTGTCCTCTTGTGAGCACGAAGTTCTCATCATCTCCCAGAAGACGGCTCACCATCCATCAAGCTGGGGTAGAAGCATCTCCCCATAAAGTCCGTTAAAAAGCTGTGCGTAATCGGTTGTTACGCTTAGGTCATCGTCAGTGCAAATACCCACATTCCCATCTATAGAGAGAATTAAGTTACAGTAGTCATTCGTGGACGAAAAGCTCGACTATGAGTAACCCACTTGCAGGCCTAGTTGACCATGCGAACGAGTCAAAAGAAATGCCAATCCTGCTATTATTTAGAATCCAGAAGTTGATGAATTTGGCGATCAACTGCTACATATACCTACAGCTGTCCAAGCACGGCACATCGACAAATTGTTGTCGGGGTTTCTCAGCATATTTCAGGGATACCCAAAACCTTGATATGATACCTTGGGCCCGAAATCACTGCAATTCTTGGTTGAGGTCCCTTTTCATTTACTTAGTATCGGTGAGGCCCTGGACTACTGCAGATACGTAGGTAAATACATTGACTATCACTCGGAAATCACTCCACCTCCCAAACAATAGGATCCTCCCCCCTCAAAGCCCGCCACCGGTTCGTCGCCGCCACCATGCCATCCTCACCAGCACCCTTGAGCAAGAACCCCCACTTCTTCAGAAACCCCTCCGTCACCTCCCACCCGCTCGGGTCCCACGGGTTGTTCCACACGATCAACCGAGCCTCAACCCCATCATCGCTACTGCCGGGGGTATTCACACTCCGACTGCGACCGCACCCTTTGCCCTCGCCGCAAATGCCCCTCAAGATATCCGCGCAGAGGTCTTCATTGTACAGCCTGCCCTCCGCCACGGCAACGATAGCGTTGTCCCGCATCCGGGCGGACGGGAGTATGTCTATCCACACCTCGTGAGGGGTGCTCTGCTGGAGCGGCGTCGGCCTGAGGGATTCCGGGATGTTTCCGGAGGGCTGGTAGCCTGTCCATGGAAATAAGGGGGGCTCGGAGTTGTTCAGGGCGTACCCACACTCCCGGTTGCAAAGGAGGCTGTAAGCACCGAGGATATAGATGTTGGTCAGAGAGGCGCGGTAGACGTTCAGCTCGATGATGTGGATGAGGTGGTCTTGCGAAAGCGGAAAAGAGAAGCCTTTGAAATCAGGATTCCCTTTCACGTCGCATGCGATTCGTAGCGGTAGGGCTGAGGTCGTCGTCGACGTGGTCGTTACCATGGAACCCGACTGCGGCTTACGTATTGCATTCCGGCCCGCATCGGTGTTTCCCTTCGACGTGAGAGGAACAAAGCTCGCAGAAGAATCTGGCTTCTGTTGATCAGCAGCAGCTTTCCGTCTCCGGTGCGCTCTGACGTTCAGCCGGTTCTGTCTCTTCCGCCTCTCGGCTCGGTCCCGGAGGCCAGTCCAGTCATCCTCGGGGCATTTTGCATCCTGCAGCTGGGGCATCGAGGCCAGTGAAAGCAGAGTGTCACGCTTATAATCCGCCATCTCGGGCAGGCCACAAGCTCGAATCTGAAGATGATGTCGGCGATATGCAACCTGCTTACATCGGGTGGGTTGACGTCTTTATTAAGTCGGACAAGTACGCCCCCCTGGCGGAGCTACCACGATCCTCTCGCTTCCTTCGGCCTAGCGCATATGCAGGCTGCTTACACCACTAATACAGATCTGGCTTGGCTAGATCCAGGACAAAGGGCATGCCAATCAAGACAAGGACCAAACCCCCAATACGGCAATTCGGGTCACGGCTCGGGAGGCTTGCCGGAAGATCCATATGCAACTGGCTTACACAAAGATTCATGGGTGCTCGGAGCGTTTCGAAGCTCTCCATGAACTTGGCTCATTGTTGCCTCAAGACATCCCGACGGTGCAATATGTAATCCGACTCGTCCATGATTTATAAATGCAATATCCCAAGATTGAACATGTCAGAATATTTGCGAATTTTAGAGACATACATCCATGCCGTAAGACAACTGCTACCGAATAGAATCCCAGAAGCACGAGAAAGCCTTCTAGATCCTCCACTATGGCAGAAGTAAACTGGCCAAGAACCAAACAATTCCTCAAATCCCAACTCCTAACTCACCTCCCCACCCCAACCAAGCGCTTCACCGGCCAGACCATCATCATAACCGGCTCCAACACGGGCATGGGGCTCGAGGCAGCCCGGCATCTCGTCCGCCTCGACGCCGCGCGCATAATCCTCGCTGTCCGCAACCCCGACAAGGGCAGCGCCGCGGCCGCGTCAATCCGGGCCTCGTTCCCGGACCGTAAGGGCCTCGAGTCTGTCGTGCAGGTGTGGACGCTCGACCTCGCGTCCTACGCAAGCGTCCGGGCCTTCGCCGCGCGCGCCGCCGCCGAGCTGGACAGGCTTGATGTGGTGGTCTGCAATGCGGGCATGTATGTGTACAAAAGCGGGTTTTCTGTGGCTGAGAAGGATGAGGTGACGATCACAGTCAATGTGGTCAGTACGTTCCTGCTGGGGTTGCTATTGCTGCCTAAGCTGAGAGAGACGAGCGTGAGGCATGATAAGGAGGTTGTTTTGACTTTCACGGGGAGTTTTGTTCACTACATGACGGATTTCCCGGAGCGGAATAGTGAGAGTATCTTTCAAGAGTTGGCGGACGAGAAGAAGGCGAGGATGCCTGACAGGTAAGTAATTTGCCCGGCCCATCACCTACCATCGATCCGGGACGTAGATTCTGATGACATTCAGGTACAACGTCTCCAAGCTGATGGAGCTGCTCATCATCCGGGAGCTAGCCGACCAGATCACCAAGTCGTCCAAGCCAGGCCGGATCACGACCTCCATCATTAACCCCGGCTTCGTCAAGACGGAAATCATGAGGGATGGCACCTGGCTGTTTCGCATCTACTATGTGTGCCTCGCCGCTCTCATGTCCAGGACGTCTGAAGAGGGAGGGCGGATCCTTGTCAACGCAGCAGAAGGAGGCAAGGAGACCCATGGCCAATATCTCGATGACTGCCAGGTTGGAACGTAAGTGCAAGAGACTCTCTCTCTCTCCAGTAACCCAACACTGACAGGACTCATAGGCCATCCGCTTTCGTAAGAGGCCCAGAGGGTCAAAAAATCGGAAAACAGCTGTGGACGGAGCTGGCAGCGAAGCTCGAGATCATTCAGCCTGGTGTCATGGACAATGTGTGATGAGTTGTACAATTCCCACTTCTATATACACGTCCAATCTGCCAAGAGACTACTTTACTTCCAGCCTCAGGGCATCATACTGTACATATATGCTCCTTGGTAACAATGCGCTCTCGTAGTCTGTAGCATTAAAAGGCAGACTCAGAATGATCTCATTCGTAGTGTTCTTGCCGGCATGCAAGTAACTCGTGGGGAAGGTCCATTTGTTGGATACATGGTAACATGTAATACCACTTCGAACAGCGCATGATGAAGACTGATTATACCTATTGAAATTTCATTGTGTCAGTAATCCATAGATACCACAGAGGCAGCTCTTAGTCGAGTGACTTACGGGATTGTCCAGGTCTCCAACTCGTGACCATTCATCACCACGTTGTAAGGGATGTTGGCATATGGCTGCGAAGCATTGAACACGTCTGTGTTCCCAGAAGCCCCCTTCGCGCCAGCGAGCTGGATGGTGAAGATGGCCTCCGTCGTCCCGGCTAATGCCTGTTCGTCCACGTCGAAAGTCACGGTCCAGTTGTTGATGTTCCCGTCTCCCTCAACCTGTGTCGGGCGCACAGAGTTCGCGTAGCCGCCAAAGACCGACCAGTGAACGTAGTTCAGGTCCTTGGCTTCATCGGAGGTACCAACGTGGAAGTTGACGCCGTTGGGGAAGTCATCGAGGTAGTCGTACGCGGCAAAGTAAATCCGGTATTCTGGGGGATGAAGGGGATGGTCTGGGTCGGGGTGGTCGCCGTGGAGCCACTCGCCGCCGGTCTTGTCCGGCGTGCCTATTCGCCAGAGCTCCTTGCCAGCCGACTCGGCTTCCCAAGTGATGACCCCAGTGTCTGTCGTCTCTCCAGCCTCTACCACAATGCCCTCCTGGACGTAGTCACCGAAAATTCCGTTCGCATACACGGTGAGCCTATAATTACCAGCCTTGACCCGATCGATCTGGATCTCGCCCGTCTCGGCATCGATGTCGGCCCAGTACTGGTATGCATTTGTGTCGTTGCTGTTGTCCTGGAAGTCGAAACCTGGGACCGACAGCACTGCAACCGGATTCTCGCCGCCCTCAGGGATCTTAACGGTGGCCTTCCAGGAGCCACGGCCAGAAGTGGGCACGTAGTTCGGCACGAGATGTGCAATGTCGTCGTAGAACTGTGCGTTCCACTCGGGGGTAGCCAATTCGAGTGCCTCGTTGTACAGATCCTGCCATGCAGCCCCAGGCTGTCCCTTGTTGAAAAGATAGTAGGACGGGCCAAAAGTCCGATCAAACCCATCCACAATATTAGGTGCCTGGTTGCCGTGGTGGTTCGAGACGATGTAGTTGTACACGATGCCATCCACCACGAGATCCGACCAGGTTGGGCCTCCAAAGTACGTGTCCTTCGTATTCATCACAAGCCAAGAACCGAAAGTCGACCCATCGTTGCTGTGCTTGCCATCTGCGAACATTCCATGGACTTTCTGGTCCCTCCACACGCTCGAGAACGTGTACTTTGTAAAGTAGTCAGAAAATGCCTCGACGTACGGGTCCGCAGTCCTGTTGCCGATGTACCATGTCGCGTCCTGCACAGTGTATGCCAACGAGGAGTTGCCTGCTGCAGGGTTCGGCACAGGAGAAGGAGCGTGAATCTCGGAGTCTGTGACCAGCTCTGTCCAGAGCGGCGTGTTGGGCCTGAAGAGTGTCCGGAATTCCTGAAAGACGCCCGACGAAGGCCTCGTCTTGTTGTGGTAGGCGAAGCGGCTGAACATGTGCAGGCCCGTCTCGCCGTCGCGGAGGAACCAGTACTGCTCGAGCACCTGCCCGGTCGGAGCATAGACCTGGCTCATAGATATTCCTCCATAGGAGACGTTCAATGAATCGACGCCGGAGTAAAGTGTATAGTTGGCCTTTTGAGACCCTGGGGTGTAGGCTCCGCTCGGAGTACAGTAACAATCCAGGTATGGCCCAATGCCACTGACTCCGTTTCCTGTTGAGCCGCCAGGCGTGACAACAGACGAAGCCGTCGTACCAAGCAGGTTCTGTCCATCCAAGTAGAGGTAGTTGATAGACCCTGTTGACTTATTGACGGCGGCAGTCAGTCTGTCATTGGCGATGAGAAGGTACGCGTCGCTCTGGTTCGCAATCAGGGTACCTCGGACAGTTGCTGCGAGCGAGAGGAGAGGCAGAATGCCTCGCCTAAGCCATTGGAGACGCATCTTGACGGGAAGAGTGTTTTTGTCCAGGCGCCTTCACCATCTCCGAGAGAGAGGCAGGGCCAGTCAAGCGCACACCATGTCTTCATCCTGTAGATATACGTCAGCCCTCTGCTGGCCGTGCTGTGGCAGTCGTGGTACTCTGTCCCGAGATGGACTTGGTACATGGTCATGCGTCAGTCAATTGGTCAGATTATTGGCAGCTATGGAGGGTGGAAGTCCGTGGCGGTGGAGATCGGAAATTGGGTTTGCGGTGGGGCTTCCCCAACGTTGACGTTTGTCGGCCCCAGACAAGCCTGACAAGCAGACGGCGGCCTGGCTAGTGGTGCGGAGAAGTCTGGGGAGAGGAACCACTCTGCTGGGAGAGACACATGGGTCATGGGTCTTCGGTCTATTGATGCCCGGATCGCCAGGGGAGGCCAAGGAACGCACCTCATGAACACTACCTGTTTAGCCAAAGGGGGTGACTATTCTGGTCAGGGCAGAGAAATTCGACCAGTCCCTTGTATCCTTCCCGAATGCACATGAGAACTCGAAAAAGCCAGATGCTACTGTAACCATACACCGCGATCTTGGCGATATGAGCCAGATCCTGCCTCGGGCCAGTCAATTAAGAGCTCCCTTCCACATAAAGTCTGGTTGTGGACCTCAGTTGAAGAGGCGCAGGGTGTCATTCCGTCAACGACGAGTTGGTTGACGGCGGAGTGATCTTGACTTTGTTGCTACCGGGAAAATGCCTCCTCACTCTTACTCCCCTTTCCTCTAGCTTCTGCAGCGCGAACACATCAAGTGCACTGGAACCCCAAGGCTTGTGGATGAGGATGGAGACCTGGAAACACAACATCACTTCTGCGTTGAGCCCGTACGTCCTGAAGCTGACACTGCGGCATCTCCATTAGGTGTCTCATCCAGATTCTCGAAGGCAACCTTCCTTTTTCAAGCACCTTTGTATGACAAGAGGACTGGTCTTGGGAGAATGCTCAGCCCATGTCGAGCTCAATGCAGAGAAGTGCTCACCCAATAGAAGCCCAGTCACTCATAATAGAGCGCACAACGACCCTGTGCTCGATGACAGGCACTTCCCAAAATGCTTGGGCCTTCCTCGCGTGAAGGGCAACGACGTCACCAAAAGCTGGCAGTGCACGATATTAAGACCTTCACATTGGAATGTTGCAAGACACAAATAGACTGACTGGCATGGGGTTATGTCATCGTAAGATCCGGGGCTCTGGGCCGTGTTAGACTCAGAAGCTTATTGCCATCATTCCGGCGTCACAACATAGCAGGTGCCGGGCGAGCTTGCCCCGAAAACTACGCAGCCACGGCAAAGCTAGAACGACCAACATTGGACGCGTGCTGCTCGCCTGATCGAACATTACGTGTAGCTTCCGCCTGGACGACTCAGATACGCACCAGCCGATCCTACCAGCCAGAGGCTGGTGGCAGATCACGTACTATCTCCGAGCATGATTTCCTCGGCCCAGGGGCCTAATGCATCGCGGCCGGGAATCACTAAATAGTAACTTTCTGAAAATGTGGCTCAGAAGAATGTAAACAATTACTAATGCTCCTATCGTGAATATCGTGATCCGTAAAACCTGTCGAACTTTCTTCGACATTCCCTGTTGCTATTGTCTGTCAATGTCAAAATGCCATCGATCGTCTCAAGCAAGCCCAATCACACCCCAGCTGGCCTCTGTCAATCGACGGTGCTGTTTGCGTGATCGGTACGTCGTTGTCGGTTGTGGGCATCTTAGGAAATCCATTCCTTCCCGTCGGCCGTCAACCATCTGGAGACACTGGGTTGCCAATGACGTTGACAGAATCCCACCAATCGAACGAAGGATGTAAGGCGGAGGATGATCTGGGTATTCCGCGCTTCTGCGCCTTGCACCAAGCTCCACGCAAGATTCCATGTTGGGGCTCCTCGAGGTCGATCCCTCGTGCCGAATCCGCTCACTACTCCCTCCATGATCGGTGTCAGAAACCATGTCCTATCCCCTCCGATGCGCGTACCATCTGTTGCCCGAGGATGTATCGCCTTCTCATCGATTTCCTACATCTTCACTGCGTCGGGATATTTTGGTGGGCTGCCCCTGCTCGACATCTTGTCTGTGTCTGACAGCTCTGCCCCTGCTCCGAACGGATTCTGAGCCTCCACGAGTTCTTGCGCCGAAAGACGATTCATTTGAGTGGTGGGTTGTTGTAGGTGGCCGCTCTTGCCTCCCTTCTTAGCTGGGATTTCGTCTAGGCCGTAGTCGGAGAGGTCGTGGTGGTCGTTCGCAAATTCGGCTTTGGCGTTGCGCTGAGCACGGAGATGAAGCATGACCAGGACGCCAAAGACGGCGACGAGGGCGACAACTCTGAATGTCATATGCTGACGGTCAGTTGACTGTCTCGCACCGGGTGGGGCATTGCAGGTCACAATGAGGTGGAGGACCTACCCAACTGCTACCATGATACCGATTGTTGCGTCTGTGGACATGGACGGCTTTTCACAGGTGTTGACCTGCGAGTTTTCCACGCATTCCTTTCGGCTGGTCAGGACCGAGCGGGCTATCCTGGCGCCGCGTCTCAGAAGGCTGTGGGAGGTGGAAGTGGAGGTCGTCGCCATGGTGGTGTCCATTGCTGCTCGAGCGGCGGGTGACAAAATTTCGCGGGGGTGTATTCTCTCCATGGTGGCGTCCGTCCTGAATTACGTCGGGCTGGTTCCGGGAGACTCGGATGGTGGTGGGAGTAAGGAGCGTGGTTACTGCCGCTGCGGGTTGCGGGTTGCAGGCAAACTAAAGGTTGCTGTGTATTGCTCGCAATACGACAGTGACGGCGACAGTGTTGTGGATGAAGTCAAATGTCCTGATTCGAGGTCTCAAATGGGGTGATAAGTAAAGGAACGTGCTGAAATGGATAAAAACGGTCTTGGGGATCTCGGGCAATCAATATGCCACAAGCAAGTCGTCGTCAGAACAAAGGAATGTACGAAGAAGGTAGGGAGCAGGCGAGAAGAGGGCCCAGTCCACGACGATCCACAATCTGCAATCCACACGATCCACACCTCACTCAACGACACGAAAGGGGGCTGGCTGTCAAGCTGTCAAGGGAAGGTGCGGCGTGGGAAAAAGAGTGGAAAGAATGGAAGAAATTGGCCTCGGATGCCCAGCGAGCAAGCAGGGAGAATAAGAGTAGAGGGAAAACAAGGAGACCCTCCTGGACGGGATGCCAGGCCGAGGCCAAGGAGCTACTAGTGAAAGTAGACTACTACCACCAACAGCGGAAGGGGCAGCAGCCAAAATTGGTGGTCAGAGGAATCTCGGGAAGGAGCAAGGTGTGTGTGGCTTGTGCCTGGGTTCCTGTGGTTCCTGTGGTCTTGTGGTCTTGGGGTCTTTAATTCACACAGGGTTCTCTCCAGCGGCAAAAGCTTAGCGGATTCCGTGGTGTGGCAGGTCGAGGCAGGAGTGGTGTGTTGCTGCTGGAGATTCCTGAGAATGGCCATGCCTTCCCTGCGCTTGCCCCTGCCTTCCCTGTCGGGGTTCAGCTGCAACGTTCATGCAGGGTCCACAAAAAATGCAGGAACGGCCAGCCATCGGCCACCACGATTGGCCAATGAGGGCGGCCAGGGCGTGTCAGATGCGGAAGGGAGCGGCAAAATTAGAGGGGCTCCCCTTTGTGACACTTAGAAATAGATGCGACTTTGCGAGCCCTTCCCCAGGTTTTGACTCGCGCGTCTCGGCATTCTGAAGCAACTGGCTCCTGGTTTTGAATCTCGAAGCGATTCATAAGGCCGCCGATATGCCATGGGACCCAAGGAGGGATGTGATTCAGGGTAGCAGAACATCGCAACAGTTCGTCGATCGGTGGGAGGCCACCGCCCACGTGTATACACCGCAGCAACAGCACAGCACAGCATAGCGCAGCACTGCAGGTTAAACTTCCGGCAGAGATCGACGGGCTGCATCAGTCCTCACCATCTGGTGTGGTGATCTGGAGTCAAACCTCCATCTGCACGCAAGGGCACGGTAGACAGGGCGGAGGGTCGCAGACTCATTGAAGATCGATGCGAGCGCGCCTGCATCCGCCCATCGCAGGAGATTACCACAATGTCGCCAGCGTTTCTCCATCACTCCAAGCCGTAATCAAGCAATCAACCTCCCAAGAAGGCAATCAAATCATCCGAGATACCCTGTGATCCTCCTGCACTACGCAATCAAACTCAAAAGGAACGTGGTGCGCGACTTTGTATCCCCGGCAAGCCACCTGATGACCTACCACTTGACATGTCTTGGCGGGTTGCACGTCGGAGGATTCCACAAAAACAGTGGCCTTCGGTTGCACCTGTGCTTTTCGACGATCAAATCGAGTTTGTGGCTGATCTCGACGAGACATTCAATAGAACACAACATTTTACACTTTCCTACAAGAGAGAGTACCGGAACCCACGGCAGTTCTCTCGGCCTAAAGGCTCGCATCAGTGGGTAGCTGAACCCAGAATACGAAGTATTGAAGACGAGCCGCCCATGGGAACCCCACCACAGCGAGGGAGGCCCTCGCCAGTGGCGCCACGGGCCGGGAAGCAACCACCTGGGCAGCCCCAATTGCATGGTCCCCAGGTAGGGTTAGGGGCTGTCTTGCCAACCTTGGACTGGAACGAATCTGATGGCTGCCAGTGTGTGAAGATGTGCCTGTTAGAATGTCCTTACAATGGAAAGATTATTGTGACCAAAGTTGACGGAATACACATTTGCGATTATATCCATGGAATTCTACTGCAGCTCGTGAGGAGAGACGAGACCCAAAGTAGTGTAAAAATAGATTCCCCAGAGTGCTGATCATGCAGAATCAGGCTACAAAAGGGAGGGAAACCTAGCTGAAAACTCAACGAGTTATCAAGTCATGAATCACGTAGTTTGAAACTTTATTTATTGACAGATACAAACTGCTAGGTATCTACAGGTGGGTACGCTCAACAGAAGCAGCAGAATACTTTACCTAGGGAGCATGTCGTGAAGTGTGCCGTCGTGTGTGTCAGGATGGAGTTGTTGAACACATGCGCTCATCTGGTTGGAGGTTAAGCCTACGCAATCATTCGACTACGATCAGGTCGCGATACTGAATGATGGCAGCTTTCTTTTCAGTCAGCGGCACAGCTCGACAGCTGAAGGTAGTTCGGTCCACTTATGCTGCAAAGATATGTCCTTGTGGATCGACAAGTCTCCATCCTTGGGCCGTGATAGGAGAGACACATGGATAAAATGCCCTGCTTTCTCGTATTAATATTTACGTATCGGCGTCCTCCGGAAATTCCAGGAAGATTTTGACCCGAGCTTCACCCTGATATCTGGCTCTTTGAGAGGGATGATATTCAGAAATACCATGTGCAAAGATAATTTCCTCATTGAACGTCCATTAGGCCTTCAAGTTATATAGCTTTGTGGTGGACTCAAAGTTGTCGCCACGGACTGGGACAACTCGAGGCGCAGCCAATTTGAATGGATGATTCTGGAGTTGGCCTTAACATGACATATTGGCTCATTATCAAAGAGATACTGCAAGTAGTGGTACGTTTGGTTGCAGAACGGAGGGGTCACTTTGAGTTTCTGCCAGATCGGTCGACTCGTTTTGCTGGCAGGCGTTAAGTCGAATGCTCTATGCAGCACTGAGGCACTGACGAGGGGATCTTTGGGACTAGGAAGAAGGCAGCTATGCATGTGCAAGACACAGCCGAACAAAGAGTACGGTCGAGACTCGAATCGTGTACCGCTGACATAGCCGTAAGAGGACCGTGACATGTTATCGAGTATATGATGTGCAAGAAGACACTTGAAGACAGTTGGCAGACAGGCAGGCTGGGGACACTCGAAGGACAAAGTCTCGGGTGTCTACCTGTTCAATCTTAGCCGATGCCATTCAGTATCGATTGGGAGCAAAGACTGACACCAGTTGAAGTCATGATAAAAATTTCAGCTGTTTGTGGCAATGTAGGCCATCTCAAGATGGGTCGTATGAGATGTATGCAAGTCGTTCTCGCCGACGGATTGTATTTCTTGGAACTCAGATGCTCATAACCAACTTAGTATTCTATCATGGCTTGAAAGACTTCATTAAAACCATTGATATTTCCTCCGCTGCGGATTGTTTAGTAGGTACGAACCTAAAATCGTTGAATAGTAGTCTGAAATTTGAAAAGCCCTCAAGTGAAGACTTTCTGGGAAGGTTTTTCAATTTTCAAGAACAGTTTTGGGACTCTATTTCTTTTGCAATAGATGCTGTGGAAGTATCCCCTTAGACTTTGAGCTTGCTATGAACAAACTCAGCGATGAGTTGAAACTTCCTCCAGCCTGCCACGGGCTCCACTACATATTTAGGGCTGAGAGAGTGGAATAGTAGCAGGGCAGTTCTCATCTTATAATTTGAAAGCCACTTTCCTGAGCTCACATATTAGGTCTCTTGTCGCCAAGCTATCGTTGCTCCACCAGGTAAAGTTAAACGCTGGAGATTATCGGTCTTATGGTCTAACACCGGTTAGTAATGCTGGGTGGTCCGCCTGTTCTAGTGTTGAGATTCACATTATTAACCCCATAACTTGAGATGGTTGGAAAAGTGCCTACCCAGACTATCGGTTGTCAGAATCCCGCTTTATGCTCGGAGTAGTTGAGTTTTCCTAAAGCCGGACTAGTGGGTAAGTAAATAGTCTCCGACCACCGATGCGGATGGACCAATCCACCCGTGATCTCACATCCGTCCCTCAATATCGGCGGTGCCAAGCGCCGACTTCACGGACTGAAATCTAGCCGCGCACAGCACACATCACCAACGGAGTCAAGCTGACCAATTCCAACATTCTGGCTTGAGATGCTGTCACGTTCGACCAAGGCAGGTCTTTATAGCGCAGTACGTAGATATATAAGCATGTAGTATCACCACTTGCAAATGGATGAGGTCTGCAAACAATCACTCAATTCCTTCCAGAGCATTCAAGATCGTACTTTGGCAAATTCAAACCCTGTGACAATACAAGAGAGCATTCAAAATGTCTACTCACCCTAAAGTCTTTCTTATCACGGGCTGTTCCTCCGGTCTGGGGTACTCTCTTGCCAAGGCAGCCATCGCAGCCGGCCACAAAGTCATCGCAACCTCACGGAACCCCTCCAAAACACCCGACAAGGTCGCCGAAATCACCTCCTTGGGTGGGATCTGGGCCACATTGGACGTGTCATCATCATCTTTGGAAAGCCAGTTCCAAGATACGATCCTGCCCTTGGTCCACGGCAAGATTGACGTCCTCATAAACAACGCCGGCATTGCCGGCGGGTCCGTCTTCGAGGACTTCGAGATAGACCTCGCGAGGGCAATCTTCGAGACGAATGTTTGGGGTATCATGAGGCTCAGCAGGCTCCTCGTCCCACTGATGAGGGCCCAGGGAGGTGGCACGATTGTCAACATCTCCAGCACCACGGCGGTCTACCCGATGCCCACGATCGCGGTGTATTCCGCAAGCAAGGGTGCAGTGGACGCCTTCTCGACGGCACTGGCAGCAGAAGTCGCCCACTTGAACATCCGCCTGCTCATCGCCACCCCCGCGGGAATCCGCACGCCTTTCGTAGACAATAGCATCAGCGCCAGCAAGGATGCTTCGCTGAGGCCGGAGTACAAAGACGCCGCGCTGGAGTCTATGCTAGCTATGGTGCATGACCCGAAGAGCTACAAGATTGATCCCGATCGGGCGGCAATAGTAATTGTGCAGGCTGTGGATGGTACAGGCCCGTTCGAGGACAAGGGATCCGACTTTCTCAGGGTTCCGCTCGGCGAAGACACGCTGGGTATGTTGCAGGGACGGATTGGAGAGTTGAACACGGCTGTTCATAATTTCTCGGATGTCGCTAAGAGTGTTGATTTTGAGACTTGACTTGGCTTGTAGGAACCAACCGCTTGAGAGACCGAGGCATCATCTTGAGTATCGCACTGTACAACAGAGAGTACCTTCGGTATAAATGTATGAACATTCTTTTGGAATGCGCACGTGTGTGGGTGTGAGACCGATACATGAGCCTTTTCGGCTAAAAAACAGTAAAGACTTCAACACAACTATTCGTTGGCTTGTCTCAAAGTACTTTTGTTGAAATGTTCTCAAGATAGAACTCATTGAGATATACCGGATAAACTGCCCTTGCTGCATACGTCAAGCGAGCTGTGTTTGCGTGTTCGTATTTCATAATTACTAATGTTGCCAGGGATAGCGATCCGGCTGAGCCGGACTCGCAATGACTGACTGCACTGCTGTTCGGTACCAGAATGTTGATATGGAAGAAGATGGCGTTAAGATCATGAACAAGTAAGAATATATTTATCCTTCGACAAACCGATGGTGTGACACGATGACGGCCCCTTTGCCAGCGGGACTTCCAATTCTGGTGTACCGAGGATTCAGTGGTCTCACCAAACCCGGCAAACTACATGCAGCCCTGAAGTCGCTGGTATCCGGCATGTCACTAGCCGTGGATGTTTTCTGCGGCGACGAACATTCGAAAATGGAGTCTCTTCCGATGAATCAATCCATAGCGGGGCGACGATGCTTAGACGCATGAATTATTTCGACATTTGCTTTGTTTCCAATTGCTTAGAAGAAGGTTCGTGAAGACCCAGCAGCCCTGGGTGGGCGGCAAACCTTAAATAGATTGGGTCATTTTGGCGAGTCGGAGAAAAGATGAGGGGTTCATTGTACGCTGGAGCTCGTTTCCAGCAAGCAAAGCATATGATGTACTACGCTGCGCTGTACGTGCAAGGTTAAGGTGGTGTTTTTGCTTCGACTCGGAAATTGACCCTTATCAGTCGATTTCCCCTCAATCTAGGGGGCACTTTTGAGAGCATCATATATACATTTCTCAACCGGAAAGACTCTCACTATTCCTCTCCTGGTCTCACCTCGTCCTCAACGGAAACATTCTTTCGCTTATCTTTCGTTTCTAGACTCCTCTGGACTTGGGCATCGCCATGCATTTTCACAAATTAGTCCTACTAGTTGGGCTCTGCGACGCCTCTTCTTATCTGAACAAAAGGTCCGAGGAATTTGTCATCGATCGCTACAACTTCCCTTACGTCCCATTCGACATAGGCGAGTCGTACGGTGGACTTCTTCCTGTCTCGTCCAATCCCAATGACACGCAGAAATTATACTTCTGGTTCTCTCCCTCGGAAAATCCCGCAGCGAGCGACGAAATCACTATCTGGCTAAACGGCGGGCCAGGATGTTCGAGTCTGATTGGGTTGCTTCAGGAGAACGGCAACTTCCTGTGGCAAGCGGGCACAGCGCAGCCGGTCTCGAATCCATGGGCATGGACCAGGCTCACGAACATGGTCTGGATCGACCAGCCCGTAGGCGCGGGATTTTCTCAAGGCGATCCTACTGCATATGGTTCGGATGATACTGCTGACCAGTTCTTGGGCTTTTGGAAGAACTTTATCGACACGTTTAATTTAACGAACCGAAAAGTATACATTACGGGGGAAAGTTATGCTGGCGTAAGTTATGCACGAGACACTGCTTTACGGTGTTGGAAAAGTGCTGACATTCTTCGTCTTAGAAATACATCCCTTACATCGCGCAGGCGATGTTGAATGCCAACGATACGGCGTACTACAATGTGCAAGGAACCATGCTCATCGATCCAGCAATCAGTCCAGATGTAGCCTTGGTTGAGAGTATGTCTCCTGCCCTTCTCCATTTCTAATCATTTTATTCTTTGGCCTGCCTGATCCTCATTGCGGAGGGTCTCTCAACCACGGATTCTTTCGCTTTGTGAGACATGTTATTTTTCAAGCCTAAAAAATATCTAACCGAGCCACAGTTCCCATGCTAGACTTTGTGGAGAACAATCAAGCATTTTTACGACTCAATTCCTCATTTCAGGACGAGATTCGAATTGTCCATCAAGAACAGTACAATTACACCTCGTTCTTCGACACATATTTCAAGTTCCCAACCTCAGGCCCCATGCCTACGAGGCCTGACATAGACGAGGGAGACTCACCTTTCCGTAACTACGTCACCGAGGCCGCGACTCTGATCAATCCCTGCTTCAACGTCTACCACATCACGGATACATGTCCCAACAAGTACGACCCTCTGGATGTATTCAACGTCGCCAAAACGGAGTTAGGAGGCTACTTCAACCAGAGCGAGGTCCAGCGCGCCATGAACGCCCCAGAGGTCTCATATTCTACCTGCGGCCCGCGGTCCGTCTTTGTGAACGACAGTGCAACTGGCGGCCCGGGCACAGGCGGTGACCTGGCTCCCCCGGCATCCTTCGGGGCCCTGCCCGCTGTGTTCGACAGTGTCCCGTTGAACCTAGTCCTCAATGGTGCGCTCGACATGCTCATCCCTTCCGTGGGCACCCTTTTTGCCCTGCAGAATGTGACCTGGCGTGGGGCAACTGGCTTCAGCGCCGAGCCGACGCAGAGGTTCCTTGTCCCGTCTGCCACGGGCAATGCCAGCCTCGTGGGGCAGGCTGGGGAGATGGGAACATGGGTATATGAGAGGGGCGTTGTATTTGTGGACGTGGCTGGGGCGGGCCATGAACTGCCGGAGTTTAATCCCAGTGCTGCGTATAGGCTTCTCGAAGTTTTGCTTGGGCGGGTTGGTGTTGAAGAAGGTCTGGGGCAGGGCGTTGAATGGACCACGCCACTTGCATGATTTCAACATATCTTCGGGTTGGTCTTCAAAGGCCACTACTTGCATTGGAGTCAATGAAAGCCAATATTTCGCAGTACAATCTGGAAGTCAGGGACGGGACTCTGAATCTTATGCGACAAGACTTCATTTGCCGTGTCTTGAATAGGTGCGGTACCTGGAGCGCTGTCTTCAATGTGCAAGTAGCTACACTGTAACCTTTGACTCTTGCACGCTTGATGCCACGCATTACAGACGGGCTATTCGGTGGCTCCGGTTGGTGAAATATCAGGGAATGCTTTCTATGGAAATGCAGGAGCAGCAAATTTGGTAGAGTTGTATAAGATCGCGTACGCAATCCTGTTCACAAGTCGGTGATCTTGGCATTCATGGCCTCTGGCTCCAATAGATGATTCCACCCTAAAGACAGAACACGATGCAGATGAGCAGCGAAAACCAAGCTGTAGTATCAGCTTGTTTCTGAGTCATTGTCCACTTCTTACAACCGGTACCAACTGTTTGAGCCTTCGTCTTTGATGGATGTTGTTGCCCATTAGACGCCGCCTTCTGCTATTGGGTATCAGATAAGTCATTGTATAGATTCCAGATGAATGAGCAGTACTCACTCTTGACTTTGTATACTCGCTTGGGGCTGGTGTTTCAGACGGAGGCAGCCCAACTGAGTCGGATGCAATGAGCAGCGTCTGATGCGCCTCGGAAGTCTTGACAAGAACAGAGTCATGATTTCTGACCGCCACCACAGATTCTGACAGCGTTAATTTAACTCGTTCTTGAGCGCCCCGCCAACCTTTTGGGTGGGTATGTACCTAGGTACGAGCCACTGTGTCCTTCATCCATTGTTTCCGAGGCCTGAGACCAGCTTGGAAGCGTGATGTGTGTCCGTTCAGCGTTACTTTGGAGTTCAGAAGGTGGTAGCAAATGGTCGCAGGCGATCAAACATCTCATCATTATGAGCAGAGCGGAAACCTTGAGTAAAGATGACATCGGAAGACTTGGTTGATTCAATTCCCAGCGAAAACATGACATAAATTAGGCTCTGGGAATCCGTCAGATGGGATGTGACGCAGTAAGGGTATAGGTTTGGTTTATGTAAAAAGAGGAAGAATTCAGGTGGCAGCACTGATCTCCGGACAGTTTCGTGGTCTCACTCGTTAAGCCTGTTGTGGATGCAAGCGCACATGTCGACACGGGAAAGCACGACGAAAGGAGAATATTTGAGTGGACGTAAGCTGGAAGGAGTGAACTGGCTGGATGGAGGGACTCTATCGCTTGGCACATGGTCTTGGCTACCAGGTCATGCATTGACGTGGAACGTAGCAAATGTATTGAGTAGATTATCAATCGGCTATATAATTTATTGTTATCTCTTATTTAAACGTCCATATCTATTTTTCTTGTCATCACCGCAGAGCTCAAGGTGGATCTCTTCTCTAGGGCAACCTAAATTGTCCGCTGCCTAAGCGTCGACCTGGTTGAGAACGCAGGCTCTTCTCAAGATGGCCGAGAGCAATTTCTTCTTCACTGGTAACTCGTCAAATCCCGACCCCAGAAGAGCTGGAATGCCGACAGATATCTGAGGAGAGTTTTGAGATACAGTGCCTTCTAAAATTATGAGCCCGAAAGCGTCGTCCAAACCCTCGTGACCAGCTGCTTCGACGGGGCAAATGGGTTAATTTTCTTTCCATCTTGATCTTCCTCGTACTCCTCAGACCGGAAACTGGAAATGATCTCCCCTTTGAAGGGACTGGGAGGCTCCGACCATACATGCGTCACTGCATCATTAAGACATTCGATGTTCGATGCCTTGTACCCCTTCGCAGCGGCGTCTCGCATCAGGTATCTCGCAAGGGCGGCCATGAGCCCCTTCCCCTCATATTCACGCCTAGTGCTCGTGGCATTGCGCATGAGGATCTCCCCGCGTTGCTTGGCAGGCCTCCAGTCCTCGAAGGGCCGCGGATCCAGGACGTCAAGGTGATGATACACTAACGCAAAGACGGGAAGGCTGGCGACCAACGGTGCCATTCGCGCTGAGTCTAGAGTATCAGCGCCGTCGTAGGAAAGAGCGACGCTGACGAGGGGAAAGTCCATGGCTTCAAGAAGCTCCTCGCCCGAAACATCATTATTTTCGGGGTCCCAGTAGAATTTGCCGTTGGTTGAGGCAGATTCAGTCCTTTTGTACTGGTATTCTTTGTCAAATACACCGAGTGATAGGCCGGAGTTGATCTGGTGGTCGACAAGGTAGTCGGCGGCTTTTAACATATTGTTGAAACGCGCAGTCTTACCCTCCGGATAGACGTGGGGGAAGACGGTGCTGTGAAACATGTTGCTATGACACACGATGGCTGCTGCCCATTGTGAGTGCTCAAGATCGAGCTTGCGGATCTCATAACGAGATGGCAAATTCGTTGGGTTCGTCATCGTGGTTATCGCAGGACTTGTGGACTGCAAATGATAAATTAAAGACTGTAATTGCATGCATTGATTCACAAGGGAAGAGCGGGAATATATCCCGAGGTTGCACGAGAAACAAGACATTGGTGCATATGCCGGTTCCCAGTTGCTGACGTGAGAATCTGACCCAACGAACCCAACTTGCATGGCCAAGTCTAGCTAGGTAGTGCTTACACAGCATAGAGGCGCAACTCAAATACACCGCAACAACACAAGCAGAAAGTTCAATATTCGGGATAGTGTGGAAACGTCCGACCCGAAATTGACAATGCTCAGGGATCATAAAGGACAATAACGGCGCTAGTAAATTCCCTCTCGCATTGAGGCTCGGAAGGAGGCGTTAGTGCCGCGCTACCCCTGTGATCCCTGAGCATTGTGCTGAAGGAGCCAAAACGGAGGACAATAGCGCTCAGCTCTCGTCGGCAAATGGTCATATCATCCAGTCATTGCGAAGCCGCCTTCCTTTTCCCTCTCAACCTCGAAGCAAATAGTTTGGGCTTACTTCTGACAGTAAGTTTGCGCGATCCCTTCCAATGGCTACACCCTGGTCAGCTTCCTTGATCTTGTATCAGCTCTGGCTGCGAAAGTCGTTTTGCTAAATACATGGATTTGAAAAATCACTTCCTTGCATGCCATGCCGGCGAGATAGTCTGCTGAATTATCACTGGGATGGGGTGGGGAAAACGGGGGTCACCCTGGGTAAGTAGCTTCACATCATTATCTTGATGTACGGAAATAATACAGTCCATAGCCACGCTTCGAAATCATTAGATTAAACTGTGAACTAGGTATTCATCGAATTATGGAACCATGTGGCTCGTTAAAACTCCAGCACAAGCCCTAGACTTCCGCTCAAGTGCACAAGTGCACGTGGAGTGTCATCTCCCCCCCGGGTTGTCTCAGATCTTAGTTGGAAAACCTAGATGAAGTTGCCGCCGCCGTTGCAACGAGAAAGGGGAGCACCATCAGCAATCTGCTTCTGGCACAGACTGATGTTACCCTGGACCCAAGTCAGACCGCCACGCTGGCCTTCCTCGTGGGAAGTTGCCGAGAAGGTGCCCTGAGAAGTCTGAGATAGGCAGAGCTAGATTAGAATCCACTATATAGACCAGGAAGGCGGAGGGGACAGTGCTCACCTGTCTGCCAATGCAACCCTTGAGGATGCGGCCGGTCCTCCGGGTGACGGTGGGCTTCGTGACAACAGTGCCGGAATATCCCTCAGTGACCTCGTACGCCATGGCAGCTTGGTAGGTAGTTGTCCAGGAGTGCGAGTAGTCGATCTTGAGGGCACCCTTCAGGATGTCCTTGGTGAAGGTGTAGTCGAGACCGCCGCCGACAGTAAGACCGTTAGTGACGCTGTAGCCTTGAGTGACGGTGACCACAGTACGCGCTCCAACACCGTGAATCTTGAGAACCAGAATGATTAGTTTAGCACTTTAAAAATAATACGGTCGTAAGGTAACTCACAACTGGAGACATCTGCACGTCCCAGTCCACAAAGTTCTCAGTCTTGTCCGTGACGGCAGACGTGATCTCCTGGCACTCTCGCTTCTCGTCCCAGTGCTCCTCCCGGGTCGAGATCACTTGTCCGGCAGTCTCATCGACCGCGTGAAGCTGGTTCAATTGAGGCTCAATGAGGTTCGTCCAGACATCCTGGTCAACGACCTCGGCGCGGTTCTCGCCGAAAAGCAGGACTTGGTGAGCCTTGAGGACAGTGCCAGGGACCCAGAGAGTGCTGTTGTACTCCTCGGGCAGGGCGACATTGCCAGTGAAGGGGAGGGTCGACTCGGACCGAGTGACGGACACCGGGCTACTGCTCGCAATGGAAGCCAAGAAGGCGGCAATGATGATCTTGGAATGCATCGTGATTTTGACAGGGGCACTGGAATGAGCGAAATGGCTGAATGAGTGAGAGATCGAAGATCAAGAGTGAGCGATTGGATTGCTTGATGAGCCTGCTTAGAAAATTTCTTAGATCTGGAAGGGCGCCACAGGTAGTTTTATATATGACCCTCAAACTCAAATAGATCTGTTGCAGTTGCAATCTTTCGAGCACGCATCTCCATCATGTTGTGGCCATGACTAGTCGCCCACCGACGTTCGACTCAACAATTCCACAAAGTGAGAGTCCACCCGCGATATCCCACGTGTATACCGGACTTGTGTATACCCTTGCCTGACATCCGGCAAACCCATGTATTCCTGCCCGAACTCATGATTCCTACGTGAACCAAGCCTTAGCCTCGTCACGAGACTAGATATGCTGACTTGTTTGACTCGTTCCGCTGATTTTGTATCACTTCGATCTCCACAGGCTATGAACTATTTCTATCCACCTCTCGATAGGCCAAGACATCCATCTTTTCACACATTTTGGTCCCACCCCCTTTTCCGCCTAACATCCCACCCCACGAACATAGTCTTTCCTAGTCTTCCCATTGGCCTTGTCCTCTAAGACCACTACTCTGTGGACTTGGTGGAACTGGGGAACCTGTGGGGCGAAAATGGGGGCCGCAAGGTCCGCCCAGGAACAGGTTGTGGAGCGACTTGGATCCATTTCAGGCGTCAGGATGCTAAGCAAGATAGGCTCATCACAAAGGTAAGCTTATCGACGTGAAACTTGATTCATGTTCACTGTTACAGATCATTGTTTTTCTTCCCAATTGTCTGTCGTCATTCCCATTTAGGATCAACGCAATCTCGGGTCATGCCGAGCCGGAGTGTCACATGAGATAAAAAGATCCGGCTTTGCACTGTTTCCATTTCCTGACTCGAATGGCGGTTAGTTAAAGAGCGATCAACATTTCAACGTCAGTTTAAGCTTAAATGCCAAGCTTTGTAGGGCTCACTGTAGCCAACAGGGGTGCTGCCTGGTGTGGGCCAGGGCCCATGTGTCTGAATCGGTTTCGTTCTGAGATCTGACAACCATCCTCTAAGTCTTTCTCCTTATAAGTGCGTGCTTTTTAAATTAGCCTAACACGTGCTCGGTACAGTCGGCATAAGCCTCACAAGCCTGTCGTTCGTAGATCTTATCTTCTTCTGCTTGACTTGGCGGCGGGCCTGCAGACAAGTAGAGCAGTGGTCCATCCACTTACATTCCACTATCTCGTAATCCAACTGCAGAACCCTGATGGTTGTAAGCAGAGTGAAGTAGTTCACGTGCATCTTGATACACTGCTTTCCAAGGTGGTTCCACTTCAATCAGCTCCAGGAACCAACGGCCCAAGATGAAGCAAGTTCTATCTTTGGATCCAAGGGTTATCTGCCGTCGGATGACAAGTTTGTTGATGTCTCTACGACTCGGACCATAGTGGGTTGCCGACCTGGCACGATTGCGGATTGATTGCACACAATGGAATAGGGTTGGGGGTTATCGGCCTCTTCATCTGCACCGATTCGTAACTGGAGGGTGGGTTTACTGGATGTTGATCTTATATAACGTGATCACCTCCTGCCACTTCTCGGAATCGTATTCTCTACATCAACCACAATTCTCTCTCTTACTTTGCCACTCCAAACATCTTTTTTACCAAGTCGATCTCCCTCACAATGCTTTTCAAGCAGGCCATTATCGTTGCCTTCATGGCGGCCACGTAAGCACTGCCTTCTCGGCTCATTCATTGTGGAATTGAACGCGCTAACTTTCAAATCAACCCTACAGCACGCTGGCTGATCTGCACCACATCGCTTACTGCCGTGGCGAGGATTACGTTTGGGGCAATGATATTGAAGCGGAGGCCACCGAGTGTGCATGCAACGCCTATAAGAACCGGAACCAGGGCACTGAGTGGTGGAATACTTGCCCCGATTGCACTTACGACGGTGTATATTGCAACTCCAAAATGAAGCACATCGGTGGAGACGAGGTCTGTAAAAAAATGATTCTTTCAAGATACTAATATCTTCCTCGGGTTAACTAACACTTGTTGCAGATAACGTATTATTGCGAGAAGATTTGTCACGCAAAGGGAGCCGTCACAGATAAATCTGTCTAATCAATTTCAATCATGACTGTGTTTACGAATTTGCGCTTGGATGATTTATTGTCACGATTCTTTCCAAAAACACACCTAATAATTCAATAATTTGCCATCGATCTGTGTCCTCCTGCCTGGCCTCATCCAGATGCACTTCCTCTAATCTGTCTAATGTCTGAGAATATCACGTAGTACCATTCTATAGTCTGTAGTTAAAATTCACGACACGGACGTCTTGTCCCTCAATAATTAGCGAGCACGTCCATGGTCGAGGCTGCCGTTGGTGCCTTTAATTCTGTTATTCGTGTATCTTTAGCCTACATTATCCTTCAGCCGCATTGTGTCCATGCTTACCCAAGAAAGGGTCTCGCAGCTAGTAGTTGAGACTTCGTCTCTGGATCACAACAAAGTGCCAGAGTAGACACGTGATGATCTCAAAGGTCACATCGAGGCAATGCCATCGACCCAAGCTAGACGCAATATCGATGCCGACCGCTCTTTTCCCATGACACTGGTGATGGGGTAAAATGATTTTATTGTGGATGCATCCTAATATCTTGATTCTCCATCCCTAAACTTTCACTATCTGCTTTGCGTCATTGAGTGCCGATTATCTATGTTTTTGGACTGACTGAGTCGGGCGCAGCTCATTTCGGGTCCACCGATCGATCAGCGGTCCATAGGACCCAGTTTATCCATCTTTTATACGATGTACCTGAATCCTGGATAGTCTGGGGAACAAGCTGAACGGCAAGTTCCCGAATAAATGGGACCACGTGGTGGTTATTGGCGATGTTGGTGGCATGAGGCTTGAACGAGTCCATGGTACGCATGGGTGATTTATCCAAGGCTGACCTGACGTGAGTAACTCATAAATGAGTTGTCATTCTCCCGGCTAGTACCATTCCGGGCGGGTCTGAAGTCCATACATAGAACTCCGGAAAAGGACTGTGCCAGCCAAGTCTCAGAGGAATCTCACTTGGCAAGGTGTCTGTTATCAGCTGCAGAAGAAGGCATGCCATATCTGGCACGAGATGGAATCTCAAGAAGGCTCCTGACTCGTCCATACTGTGCCATTTCTGGGCTCAATTTGCTCGATCAGAACATAAAGAGACCCAGATTTCCAGTCGATCTTGTAGATTTGGTGGACAGTGTTCAAGCTTCCGGTCTAGTTGCACAGTCCTGTTCTGATACCTTCATCTCAAAGGCTTTCCCCCGAATTTGGCCTCACCACTCTCGTCTGCTCCAATCCTGGACCATACTGATCTTCGTCTATACATCTTAAAGTAATACACTTTTGCAGCCACAAAATTCGCCATAATGCAGATCAGCCACATCCTCTCCGTCCTGGCCGTGATGGTCTCTGTCACTGTCGCTGTATGTTCAAATCCATTTAACAGCCCCCTTGCCCTCAATTTCAGACTATGTGCTTGTACGCGCGAAATCTGACGTTTTCCCATCACCCTTTAGTGTGACCCCAGCCAGGACTGCTGCTGGTCCGGCCGGGGCGGCTGCAGGAACCAACACAAGACTCGCAACGGTGTATGCGACGAGCCAGCGTATCAGCTCGACTTCTGCAACAATTTTGGTGTTGAATGCGTAAGTGTTCTCGCCTTCCTTTCGGACTCTCTGGTGAGTATGGCTGACCGATCTTCATTTGACAGGGCGCCGATTGCTGTGCGATCTCAACAGGTTGGGGCCGTGGATGCCCATAAGAGACCATGGGCCTATGGGACTGAGATAGAGGCGGTGACGATCTTCCGTACAATACTCCAATATAATCACATTGCAGTTTTGGACTTTTTATGCATGCCTGTGTCCAGGTGCACTCATCCACATGATACCTTTTGGATTAAGCTTTAGTAATCAAGAATCGATGATAAAACCGACCCATTGATTTCGGTGTCTATTGGATAAATTGAACTCGTAGAAACTATTTCTACTTTTGCATGATCGCAAGGAGGTTCTTGTGGATCTGTTCAGCACCAGACTGAACCTGGCCCTTAACAAGTCCCTTCAGCGCGACATTGCACTCAACCTGGATGCTCACAGACAATTGCAGCCCATCAGACCCTTCCTCGACGGTCCACAGTCCTTCATTGACAACCCCCATCGCCGATGTAGCGCGGTACCATATCCCGTCCGCCAGATCCACAACCTCGTATTTCGTGTCCACCTTGGAGCTGAAGACGGGGTTGGGCACCTCATTGCGCACAGAGTAGATCTTGACCTCGGGTGAGGACCCTGCGCTGCGGGCCTGAATCGCCGACGGCACTTTGTGGTCGGAGCCGCTGTCGTCGGGTAGCTCCTTGTGCTCCCGGTAGTGTTCCGCTGCGCGGAAGTAGCCGTCGTGGTCGTGCATGACCGCTACTGCCTTTTCTTTGTTCACGCCGGCTGGAATCGTGCCGCAGTACGTTATTTCGAAGCGACCTGAGCCGCTTGTCAGTTGTGCTTGTGATCAATTGGGAGCGTGTACCTACCCATGTTATCTTAAGCTGTAGAAGAGAACTGTGTAGGGAATGTTACTCCGGTTGTAAGACGTCTTGGGAATTATAGGAGGCGCTGACACTTTGGAATGGCGTTGGTGCTGAAGTGATGTCGATGAATCAAGAGAAAGTTGCAAACCTACAAACACGACGGCTTTTATAGAAATGGTTCACATACTGTTAAAGCTTGAAGACAAGCAGGAGTCCGCTACACATCCGTTTTGGGGATTATAGCTGGTTCATGGTAGCAAGCTAGTTGATTGGCTCACCAGAATCAATGCTTCAACACAGCCCGCGGTTTCAACATCGAAATCGTATTCGTCTCCATGTTTACCGGAAAAGGAAATTTCGCAAGTACTGTCGAGGATCCGAATGGAATGAGGCCTCAGACATAACCAGCTTGTTTCTTGCTGATTCGAGCAGTTTGAGCGTGATGTAATGACTCAGGTGGATTTTCTATCTTTACTTGCTGTACTTGCTGCAGAGTGTTGATTGAGATTTCATCTGATGTCCCAAAGACGTCAGGTCAGCGGACAGCTTCCAGGAGTCGACGCACTGCTCTGTATAGATCGCCTCGGTATATTTACAGTTTCAATTCGTCCCAAAGTGACCTCATTCTAGTACCTGAACGCGCTGTTGCGTTCGTTAATACTCCTATCAATCTGTCCCACCCAATGTGACAACCTCATGGCCAGGATAGGTTCGTATTCGGGCATGTCCATTAGTTTCTTGAGAAACTGCCCGTTGTCCCCTCTCTCCGCGGAAAAGAGCACCCGCTCGATTTGATGCACAACGGACTTGGTTTCCTCATCAAAAGACAGACCGGCATGTCGCATCTCCTCAAGGAGCGACAGGGCACCGCCCGCATCACCAAATCGCTCCCACAAAACGCTGATCAACTTGTTGTAGAACGGTGTACTGACGCCAAGCACGTACGACGCCAGGCCGAGCTGTTTGATTCGTGGCAGGAGGGAGAAGACCAGGGGTGAGGGCCTGGAGAACTTTTTGTCGAGCAGGTGCAGAGCGTCGAGGAGGAGCATGGGGTAGATCGGCCCGTAGATATCCATGCTGAGCTCAGCCTTGGCAGGCGCCTGCGCCGCCGCCTCTGTAGAAGCAGGACTCTCTTCTCCATTTGCAACCGCCTTCTTCTTTTTGACAAGCTTCGCCTTCTTCCCTTTCGGCGATGGCTCCGGCTGACTCTGAGTGTTGGAGATCCCAAGCCTCTTGACCAAGGGGAAGACCTCCTTTTCCACCACGTCCCAGAGTGCAAAGTCATTCTCGGCCTGTTCCATCGTGGCCTTGATTGTGAGTCTCGCCTCCCGGCGTAATGCTTCCACCTCTAGTGTCTTGGACAGCCTATCGGACGACTCAACAGCCTCTACTGCATCTACCTGCGAATTTCCGAGACCCAACTCTTCCTTAGCACCACCTTCCGTGGTGACGGAAACATCCCTAGCGGAGTCCAACATGCCAAACGCTGTCCTGGCCCCTCGTCTGAGGCTTGGTGGAAATTTCAACAGTGCCCGCTCTCGATCGGCAGCTGAGAACGTCGACTCTAGCGGGGACAGAGGGTCGAACCCGCTGGTTGAGGCCTTGGCTTCGGTCTGCCTCTCGGCGGCATCCTGTATTATCGCGCTGATGTTGAACGGCCCGCCATCGTAGAGAGCCTTGAGAAAGCTCGGCTCCGTTTGTGCAAGGTCCGGCGTGTCTTCTCGCTTTGGCGGGACAATGGGCAGGCTCTTCCCCTTCTCGTTGATTTCCTTGAATATCTTGTCAAAGGCTTGACGCTCGACGGGCGTGATCGTACCCGTATCCAGTGGCTCTGCGCGTCGAAGCGTGTCCGGGTTCTCGAGTTCCGGGGGAAGTTCGAAGGGGATTGGGTCGTGGTCGGATGTTCCGCGTCGACGACCTGTGCCGATACGCAGTGACCGGGCGAGACGAGGCGGCGCTACAGACCCGGCTCTTGCGAACCGGGCCAACGTCCGTGTCTGGAACAGAAAGGGCGTCAAGGTCGCTGACATTTTGGAACGACAGAGAGCCCTGAATGTTAGGGAGCAGTAATTCGGGTGGTCCTAAGAGGTGCAGGCCCAGTCTGCGGCTCTCCAAAATTTCTGGCGATAAGAGGCTCTGGACGCTTGGACCAGCACTTTATCGGCCACCCCTGCTAAGCCTCCCAGCTCCAGGCAGCTCCAGGCTCCATAGCGTGCAAGCGTGTGCCACTCGCGTCTCGTCCCCGGTTGGGCGCGTCACACTTTAAAGTGCTTTTTCTTTGACGCGTCGATCACCGACCGCACCATCACTGCCTGGGACTTTTTGCTCTTTCATTCTCGCTCCTAAGGCACACATTCTTCTGGATTCAGAAAGTCTCACTGCAATTGGAATTGCGCAATCAGGTGAAAATGCCCGTTAAGAAGGAAAAAGAGCCCCTGTCGGCCTTCGAGCAGCGCCGCCTGCAGAATATCGTGGCCAACAATGAGATCTTGAAGGACCTATCACACGCCGCCTCCAAAATCGCCAAGCCTGCCGCCCCTAAACCTCAACCTCGCCCACGGCCTAAGAGGCCAGCAGTAGAGAGAAGGGAGCAGCCCAAGAGGGAGAGGGCTGTGCCGACTCGCGCCAGCTCGCGCTTGAAGGGTGAAACGGTCAAGCGCGAAGCTGAGGATTTGGCACCTGCCTCACTTTTCCCTTCGGACAGACCGGCAAAGAAAGCCAGGGTTAACGATGACTTGAACCTCGGCGACATTTTGGTCGAGGGGCGCAAGTTTACCACAAACGGTGTCGATGCAGTCACAGGTCTCATCTCTCTGCCACGACTGGGGGCGGAACCGGGGGTGCGGACATTTGACGAGGATGACATTAAGGAAACCACGGACGAAGATCTGCGAAATTTGAGGAAGAAGATGAATAGTTTGGAGTTATATGATAAATGGGCAGTCAATGGTGGGTTAAAGAGAAATTCATTGGCGGTCTCTGGGCGGGCATCTGACCTGAGTGCAACACAGATATCAAAATTGTGCCACAGCGCATTTATTCGATGGGCTTCCACCCCACGGAGGACAAGCCACTCATCTTTGCAGGCGATAAAGAAGGCGCAATGGGAATTTTCGATGCATCTCAAGATGCGCCTGAAGTCGACGATGACGACGAGGACGCCGAGATTCCTGATCCAGTGATTGCAGCATTCAAGACACATACAAGAACCATTTCATCTTTCCACTTTCCACTTACAGACCTGAAATCAGTCTATACGGCATCGTACGACTCGTCCATCAGGAAGCTGGATCTCGGGGCTGGCACACCGGTCTCTGTGCAAGTATTCGCACCCGACGATGACGAAGACCTCCCTATCAGTGCAATCGACATGGCTCAAAATGACGCCAGTACCATTGTGTTCTCGACACTTTCAGGGTCCGTCGGTCGATACGACGTTCGCACAAAGGACGACGCAGAGATCTGGGAATTGAGCGACTCCAAAATCGGGGGCTTCGCCTTGCACCCCTACGCTCCTCATCTGTTCGCCACGGCATCGCTCGACCGCACAATGAAAATCTGGGATATGAGAAAGATATCAGGCAAGGGCGACATGCGGCACCCAGCACTGATTGAGGAGCATGTGTCAAGGCTGTCAGTGTCACATGCGTCTTGGAGCCCTGGTGGTCACATCGCTACCAGCTCCTACGACGACACCATCAAGATTTACGACTTCAACGACGCCACATCGTGGAAGGTGGGGCACAAAATATCCGAGAAGGAGATGAAGCCTTCGAGCATCGTGAAGCACAACAACCAGACGGGAAGATGGGTCACGATACTGAAGCCGCAATGGCAGCGACGCCCAGCAGATGGCATTCAGAAGCTTGCGATTGGAAACATGAACAGATTCGTAGACGTCTACGACGCCAATGGCGAGCAATTAGCCCAACTGGATGGTGACGGCATTACCGCCGTACCGGCTGTTGCGCATCTGCATCCGTCTCAAAACTGGGTGGTTGGTGGTACAGCCTCGGGCAAGGTGTGCCTGTGGATGTGAACTGGGACGCTTTCATTGGAAATGTTGGGAACGGATGCACCGATATCCTGCATGGCACTCAACCGACATTCGGGAGTTGACGGGGTCAGCTGGGAGCGATGTCGCACAATCCGCAGCTTGTAAAAAGCATAATGTATTTTTGCAGAAGACTAAACCGCAGCCTTGGATGAATCCAAGCAATAGACCAATGTGGTGAAAACTTTCTGGTTTCTTTGGGTTTAGAACGTGGCGGGTACTCCGGAGAGCTCCACAGCGCAGAAGATGGTGGCCTTGGAGGCTGCTCGGGAGGAATGGATATCCCTGGAAGCAGTATGCTCCCCTCTGTCGCAGGGTAAACACCAAAATGAACAGAAACAGAGCTCTACAGTAATCTCGAAAGCTTTCGACCACAGCCAGAGTGAGCGGCGCATGTGTGCGGTTGAGACTCCCCAAGTCGTGATGAGTTTGAGGCGAAGTGGCGCCGGGGCGACTAGTTCCAGAGCTCGAGTGACCCCCTTCTGGCATGTGATAGCTGTCAGCTGGGGAGCTTTCCAGCGTCACCGAGTCCCGCACCTTGGACCTTGAGGGACAAAGGCGTGCCTGGGCATCTTAATCGATAAGGCAGAAGGCGCTAAGTGGCGGGTGGGTCTTCCAGTATCCACTGCCAGCTGCGCTCGGCCAATGTGAAGACCTCATTCTGCTCATCACTGGGGTCATTCGTTCGCTATCTATCATGCCGACTCCATCACTTCATCCCAAGTCGTCACAGGTCCCTCGACCTAGAACGTACCGTCGCTCAGGGTCTCGTTGATTCTCTACTCGACTCGCCTCGCACACAGCGGCAATCGAGCCCTGCTGTTGGATCATTCCTGCTTTTCCGGGCTCAAACCATCTCCTGCCTGTGCCGCAAGACTTGGCGATATTCCTAAAAATACTGCCTGCACAGCATCCAGCAACCGTTCCTCGGCCGCCGTGTTCCTGGCCCCTGTCCTGAACCTCCAAGTGCTTATTCGTTCTCTTGTCGAGCAGTTGCACACCTCACTCGCTCTGATCACACACCTCTGTTGCCCTGGCCATCGTTATCCTCTCACCAGACTCTGGACGGTATCCGGGTAGTCAGCCTGGCGTGTGACCTATACATGCTCCACAGCAGACCAAGCTATCCGAAAAGGGTGCACGACGAGCCTCTCTCTGCAATAACCACTCCATCTGCCCTGACTGTGTCGATTTCATAGCCCACGTTGTCAGTTGTTAGCTGCGGGCCTTTGTCCAAGCCAATACCGGTGGATCAGTCGACCAAGCCTCTGTCCTGGATCTCTTCACACTGGTCAGCTGGTGGCCTCGACAGTCCGAGTACTCCATTCAGTATTCCATCGTGAACCACGTCCAGCCCAGGGAAGCTGCATCCGGGGGTACCACACCTCCATCCTTGGACAAAAGCTCAACCCTGCTGTCCAACGTTCGCTGCATCTCGTCCCACCTGCATATCATCCACTAGGAACTTGACCTCCAGACTGTCTTGCAGCATCCTTTGCCCATCTAGGCAGCGGTCTGCCTAGACCGACCCACGAGACAATGGAGCCCGAGCATTCTCAACCTCCGAACCCTCCACAACCTTCTGCCGAGTCACAGGCAGACGCGAAACACGGTGCACACCAACAAAGAGACTCCAATACGACCTCAACAACATCTCATCCACATCGTCAGCGTGGCGCCTGGTCTCCTGGCCGCCCTTCCGAAGACGAGTCCCGCCGTCGAGTATCTCATCGCAGGCTGCAAAAGCGACGGCCCCCTCACCTGTCCAGCATGGATTTTCCGGAACAGCTTCAACAAAAAGATGGAGACGAGGATCAAGAGGAGGACGTCTTGCCTGTCGGGCTTGGCCAGGGCAACCAATCATTCATGAACCTGAATCAGAGCATCTTCGGTCTCATTGCTGCTGCCGGCCCGAAGGTCGACTTCCACGATAGATTCGAGGGACACAGCAGTGAGGAAGAGGAGGGAGACGCGTCTGACGAAAACGGACCACATACCAAGCGAAAAGGCGATGCTACCGCTGGAAAACTGGCGCAGACCACAGTGCTGAAGCAGCCGGCATCCAAGACCAGCAAACAACATCGCCGGAAGTTCAGCGATAGCAAGTTGATGAAGTCTGTCCCAATATTATCCAAGTTGTCGACTAAGAGTCGCTCTAAGAAGGAGAGCAAGAAGTCTGTGTCTCAAATCCAAGAGGAGTCGGAGCCAGAGTCCTCGACTGGCGATGGCCAGGCGAACGACGAACCCCGGCTTGCGCCGATGATGAGCCGAATGCTTGATGCACGCGCCGAAATGTCGGCACGGCCAAGTTTTGACATAGAGCGGCGCTCGACTGATAGACAGGGCGAGTCATCAGAGACTACAGACCCAGGGCCGTCTGAACTCTCAAAAAGGCTGCAGAAGATTTTTGAGTTTGATGAGCCAGAGGAATTGATCTCAGGTTGGACACTGTCCCTGTGGCCTAGTATTTGGACAAGAGCTGACATCGGGAATAGAATATCCATGCTGGCTGCTTCAAGGTGTGCTCCTGCAGGGCTACATTTACATAACGTCTAAACACATCTGCTTCTACGCATACCTTCCCAAGAAAGCGGTCAGTCAGCCCGAACTAGATCCCGAGAGAACATCGCTCACAATATACAAGCATGAGGTCACCAAGTCTGGCTATCTTTTCAAGTCCGGCAAGCGAAATCCCAAGTACAACAGGTACTGGTTCCGGCTCAAGGGCGATGTGCTCTCGTACTTTCGCGATCCCTCAAATCTGTACCTTCCTCATGGCCAAATCGATTTAAGATATGGCATCTCTGCTACAATCACCGACAAGGATAAGGATGGCCTTCATTTCTCCGTTGAGACTGACCACAGGACGTATCATTTTCGGGCAGACAGCGCACCGAGTGCTAAGGAATGGGTCAAATGTCTGCAGCGGGTCATCTTCCGAAGTCACAACGACGGAGACAGCGTCAAAATCAGCCTGCCGATCGCGAATGTGATCGACATTGAAGAGACGCAGATGCTAGAATTTGCAGACACCTGCAAAATTCGTGTGATCGACAATGATGAGACGTACGCTATTGACGAGGTAGGGCACAAGCTGAAGAAAACTCTCCGTTGTGGTAAAACTTTCTAACCTACACTCAATAGTACTTCTTCTCCTTCTTCAGTTTTGGTAAGGAAGCGATTGGCGTCCTCAAAATCCTTATCGAAGACGCTACGTCTAGCAACGATAGTCAAACCAAGAAGGTCGACGTACCGCCAACTGTGGATGAAGCAGCTACGTCAACTGGGCCAGCATCCAGGGGCTCCTTCACTGGTCTCCAGCCTGGCCTAGCGCCAATACGCACTGCCAAGTTGCGAGATAACGTGAGGGCTACACTCTCGCCCTTGTCCCCTCAATCACCGACAGGCCCCTCCCCTCGCGCTAGTGGTGATTTCTCGAGGACCAGTTTCGATGCGATCCGACAGTTCGGTCGAGGAAGTAGGGACACGAGCCGTCATGAAATCCCTAGGAGGAGTTACAGCAGAGACAGCCGGTCAGTTAGCAGACATCGTCACGATGACACCAAACCCGGGGCAGACAAATTCACGTCCACGGATTCCAATGCCGAATCAACCGAAGACCCAAGCATAGCGAGCATTTCAGCCATGACGACTTCAGGAGAGATGGACCAATCAGCCAGCCAAATTCTCAGAGGAAGCGATGTCTTTCACAGCCCTACGCTCCGGAGGTCAGCTTCCGCATCGAGGGGAAACGAGCGTGAATCACCTCGTAGTCCTCATCACCACGTATCCACTGGATCCATCAATGCTCATTTCAGGCCTCACCATGCCGCTACCACAGGACATGCAGTTGACCTTTCTTCTGGCGAGAAGATGGAGGGAAATCCGTCGACTCCCACGCTACAAACGATCAGTAAGATGGGTTCGTACCCGCTGCAGAGAGTTGGCGCTTTTGCGGAGTACCTAGGCCGACACTCCAAACGAGTAGGTGGCATGCTTGCTACTGAATCGGTGGGCTACGCCGGAAAGATGTCCGGAATGTGGAAAGGCGGCCAGAGACACTATGACGAGCCGGCTGCGCTGCGGACAGACGACGAAGCCGACGACGAGGAACAGGACAAGGTCTCCGAGCAGCGATTCCAGGATCACTTCGCCCTGCCGAGGTCAGAAAAGTTGAGGGCGACCTATTTTGGTTACTTCATGCGTGTCCTGCCTCTCTACGGCAAAGTCTACATGAGCGACCGGAACTTCTGCTTTCGAAGTCTCATTGCTGGGTCTCGCACAAAATTGATCCTTCCAATTCGTGATATTGAGAATGTCACGAAGTCAAGTGGCTTCCGTTTCGGTTACGCTGGTCTGGTGGTTGTTATCCGTGGTCATGAGGAGCTTTTCTTCGAGTTCGGCGACTCAGCGCTGCGCGACGACTTGGCTGTCTTCTTGCTGAGGGGTATTGAAGCTGCCAAATTCTTGCGTGAGTCTGGGGAGCTAGACTCGGACGAGAAAGAAGATGCTCAGAACGCAGAGGAAGAACACAAAGCGCTCGAGGAAGCTCGGCATGATGAATTTCCTGAACATGAGATCACTCTCCCACGCCAAACTTCGAACGTTTCCGACGGGCCGACTATCATATTCGATGATCCTAAGGCGTCCTTTATCAACTTCAAGCCCGAGAAGTCTCTTCGAATCACCTGTCTCACTATTGGTTCGAGAGGCGACGTGCAGCCTTACATTGCACTTTGCAAAGGATTACTTGCCGAAGGTCACAAGCCTAAGATCGCCACCCACGCCGAGTTCAAGGACTGGATCGAAGGACATGGCATTGATTTTGCCCCTATTGAAGGTGATCCTGGAGAGCTCATGCGACTTTGTATCGAGAACGGCACATTCACAGTAGCCTTCCTCCGAGAGGCTAGCTCTACTATGCGGAGTTGGCTAGACGGTCTTCTAGCCAGCAGTTGGTTGGCGTGCAAGGGCTCTGATGTCCTTATCGAAAGCCCTTCTGCCATGGGAGGCATTCATATTGCCGAGAAGCTATGTATACCCTACTTCCGGGCCTTTGGCATGCCTTGGACGAGAACCAGGGCCTACCCGCACGCATTTATGATGCCTGAGAGGAAGATGGGCGGTGCTTACAACTTGGTCACATATGTTCTTTTCGACTCCGTCTTCTGGAAATTCACTGCGCACCAGATTAACCGTTGGCGCAACAAGACCCTGGGCTTGCCAAATACCAGCCTCGAGAAGATGCAACCCAACAAGGTCCCGTTCTTGTACAACTTCTCACAACACGTCGTGCCTCCGCCGCTGGACTACAGCGACTGGATCCGCGTTACTGGTTACTGGTTCCTCAACGAGGGTGGTGCGGACTGGACACCTCCAGCAGACCTGGTGGCTTTCATCAAGAAAGCCAGACAAGACGACAAGAAAATTGTGTATGTTGGATTTGGCAGCATCATCATGGACAACCCGGCCAAATTCACCCGTGAGATTATCGATGCCGTTCTGAAGGCGGATGTCCGGTGCATTCTCAGCAAGGGGTGGAGCGATCGTCTTGATCCCAAGTCTGAAGAGGCTAAGAAAACAGGAGTTGCTGATGGCAACAGCTCTACCAAGGGTGCTCACGCTGGAAGCAGTGGCACAACTGAGACACCCCTTCCCCCTGAAATATTCCCCATCAAATCCGCTCCTCATGACTGGCTGTTCAACCAAATCGACGCCGCGGCACATCATGGTGGCTCCGGGACGACAGGCGCAAGCTTGCGGGCTGGTATACCGACTATAGTCCGTCCCTTCTTTGGCGATCAATTCTTTTTCGGAAACCGTGTCGATGACCTCGGTGTTGGCATTCTTCTCAGGAAGTGGGGTGTGAACTCATTCGCCAGAGCGCTGTGGGAGGCCACGCACTCAGAAAGGATGATTGTCAAGGCGCGAGTTTTAGGGGAGAACATTCGCAAGGTAAGCTCTGCTCTCTTGGAATCATGATTCTGTTGCTAACCTTTGTCGGGCAGGAAAATGGTGTTGACACAGCCATTCAATGCATCTATCGCGATATGGAGTACGCCAAGTCCCTCATCGAAAGGAAGGCGGGCAGGAACGCTGCTGCAGCTGAACGGGCAGCGACTTCGGGCTCCGACGACTTAGATGACGACGCCGAAGAGGAGAGCTGGACGTTCATAGGAGATGACACTGGACCGGATGATAACGACCTGGATATTGATGGAGTTATGAGACGAAGCCAATTCCTCGTACCCTTGTCGCCCGAAGGCCCGCCTGCGAAGCACAAGTCGCTCGGGAGCAAGGCGCTCATGAGCGGCAACCCCCTGCTGATGACAGCTGGTAACACTGCCATAATACCAACGAGCCAGCGTAGTCCGCTCGGCCTGCCGCGGCAGAGCAGCGCAAGCAACGACGGCTCATAGGAGAACGACCGTGGGCGGTAGTGGACTCCCCGGTGCACTCGTGGGGCGAGCTCTTTGCTGAAGAGCGGCCTACGCTGGGCGGGTCCGTGGAGCAGCAGTGATAATGGCACTGCAAGCCGATCGAAGGTTAGCTTCAGGCCGAGGTTCAATTTTGCCAACAGGTCCTTCCTTTCACGGCCGTTGAAAAGGCACAGTGATGAGAATGTTAGGCCTAGGGAGGCCTAGGTGGGTGGTGACCTGGTAGCTTGGGGGACAAGTGGTGGTCACTATGGCAAAGTGAGGTGCGACGAGGAGAACGATGATGACTAGAGGAGACTTTATTGTTGTTCCTAAATGTGGTAATGGATTCGGACGGGGGAGGCCAACAACCGTTTACAAGACGATGGGTGGGATGAGGAATGCCCACGGCTTTGACTGTTTGGGCTTTCAAGACTTTGTGGGAACATGGCGCTGCTGATGGGATTGCTGTCCTTGCGAGGACATAATTTTCTTTTGTTGCACATACGTATCATGACAAGATTCTGGGTCAGCGTGGCGTTTCTACTGGTGCGGTTTACGTGGCTAATTGTTGTACTACTCATAATGATAGACGTTGGGTATCCTAGAATGAATGCCGCTGGAGGGTAGAGATGGCGGCAAAGATATAATCTTATGAGCATCGATACAATTGGGTTGTTCACATGTCAGTCATGCATGGATTGTAGTGTTCTTTGAGAACGTAGCATGTCTATTCGAATTTCACTTTGGCTGGACATTCCTCAAGTTCATCGCGGGAATGATGGCGAACAGAGTATTCTTTTTTAGGGGAGGGGCGTCATCAATTAGACTTTGTTCTGACCGGGGATCGCCATCGACATCTGCCGGCACAGGCTAGTTCAGTCCCCGGCTCCCATCTCCGATTGTGCAGGGGTGCTTCAATGCTGACAGCCGGTGGACCCGGAGCCTGGAAAAAGGAGACGAACAATGGAGTCTGCGCGGGCTCTCGCGGGAAATGAGCCGGCGAGTCATAGGTAAATGCAGTAGAGGACCTTGACGGCTGTGGCCAGGACAAAAGTATCCCTCGACACCCTACCTCGCGACAGCGTCCGTCCAATCAAGCAGACCAGGCTGTCTTGAGAGCCCGGGAAAGTCGTCCAATATGCCGTCTCCACGCCCAGGGGTCCTCCTCACCCTCGCCCTCGCCCTCGCCACGGCGTCCGCGTCCGCCCAGAATGCAACCACCAAGCCGTTCTCAACCCGGATGATCGAGTCGGCCATCAGCCGGCAGCAGGGCATCGTGTCGTCGGGCCAGTCGACCAGCACGCTCGAGTCCGGCGTGCTCGCCCTGTCAACACAGGCCTGGCTTGAACTGTACGGGTCCTCCTCGCCGGACCAGGTTGCGGACTTCTCGGCGTACGTCGACGACATCATCAGCAGCATCTCCGCGGAGCCGGCCTTCTCCAACGCCACAGCCGCCGCGCTGCTGCCCCTGGACAGGCTCACCATCGCCCAGGCCCTGCTGGGCCTCGAGGACAGCCCCGGCGCCGGCGAGCTCACCGCCGCGGAGGTGCTGACGCTCGACACGCTCAACTCGTCCCTCGCGCTGCAGCGCCGCAACCAGTTCGGCGGGTTCTGGTATTATGTCTACCCGTACTGGTCGTACCTCGACGGGGCGGCGTCTTTCCTGCCGTACATGGCGGAGCCGTCTAGCGCTTATTCCACGGCGGACATGCTGCTGCAGATCACGCTGCTGTACGAGAAGTGCTATCAGAACTCGACGGGCCTGACGGCCCACGGCTATGATGCCTCCAAGACCGCGGTGTGGGCCAACAACTCGACTGGCTCGTCGCCATACGCCTGGGGTAGGGCCCTCGGATGGTATCTGACTGGGCTGGTCAACGCGTGGGAGGTGCTGACCGCGGAAGGCGGTGGCTGTGCCGGCAGCGGTGCGGGTGGTTGTGCCGATTTGTTGGCGGCCATCCGGAGCCAGGCGACCACGCTGATGACCAATTTGGTCCAGTATGCCGACGAGGAGACCGGTGTCTGGTGGCAGCTGCCCGCCTTCCCCGGCCGCGAGGGCAACTTCCTCGAGAGCTCGTCCACGGCGCTGTATATCTTCTCGATACTCAAGGGCCTGCGGCTGGGCCTGGTAGAGGATAATCAGCCGCTGGCGGACGTGGCGCTGCGGGCGTATGATTATACAGCGAATGAGTTTGTTGTTGATTATGGGAATGGCACGCTGGGGTGGAATGGTACTGTTATTGTGTGCAGTCTGAACTCGACTGCTACTTATGACTACTATACTGGCCGGCCTGTTGTGTTCAATGCGCCGCTGGGCGAGGCCGCGTTTGTTTGGGCTAGTTTGGAGGTTGAGAGGCTTGGGTCTTAAGACGACATTCGTATATAGGAGAGATGACATGGTTGACAATGTGAGAGATTATTCATTGTTATCCTGGACTCATGCTGACATGAGTATAGCTGATATTCTCAGTTCATTCGCCTTACGAGTCAAGGTACTAAACTGTCAACCACCTGCCGCCTTTCGAAGTGGTGAAAATCCGCACTTGCTTTGAGCGCGCCCTATCCTCCATTACATGCACTCTCTCTAGTCTTCCCTCCACTAAGTCTTGCTCTTCATCGTCGTCCCAGTTTCGGATGCCGTGATACAAGAGGGGCAGCGGAGATGATTTCCACTGTGGGGCATGAAAGCGCTTTGTCGCCACTACCGTCGATGCTAGCAGAATGGCACTGAGCAGAACCAAAACCAGCGGCAGGGCTAACCACGCCCATTGAACATGAATAACGGGCTCTTGATGCCATACAATACCGAGGGCCGGTAGTTTGGAACTCGACCTAACTATCGCGTTCGTCATACTGTCGGTGATGTTCCTAATAGTGGACGTTACGTTCTGCCCGTTTCCAAAAAGTGTGGCCTTCGATTCGCTCTCTGGTCCACTGGTATTAAATTTGTCAACCAAGAAGGATGACAGGGCGGTGTGTTCGTAAATGCTGACATTGAGTCCGCCGTGATCGAAAGGCGACCAAGGAGAGGAGGTATTACTACGGTCGGTATTTGGTGTTAACAACAACTCCCAATTATAGGCCCTTTGCCCTCTGGCGAGGCCGCCGAAGTCCTGGCCAGCAACAGGCCAGAGCGGCAATTCCTGGATTGAGTAATGTTCTTGAAGTTTCCCGTTTATCTAGTATCTCAGTCAGGCGGGTCACAAAAGAGGCAGTGAGGAATACAGAACGACTTACAACAGTGATGTTGCTGTACTGTTTTGCACACCAATCAATTGAGCATTCCGTTACAGTGAGTTTCGGTCCGACACTTTCATACGAAATTTGCAGGAAAATCATTGACACGAGGCTTGCTGGCAAGTTCTCCAACGTCGACGATGCTGACAAAGTGTCAAACTTCTGAGCCCCCGGAAAGGCCTCCAACATCCAATGGACAAAAGTCTCATTTGCGATGGCTACCACCCGATCCCAAGCGTTGATGCTATTGACGAACCAGCCTTGAGGCGTCAGCACACTCACCGCGGAACTCAGAGATCCAACTATCTGGGTGGTTTCAGAAACGTCTTGGCAAGTACTGCAAAGACCCAGAGAATTGAAGGCGTCCCAGGAGCAGTTGCTCGAAGGGCAGCTAAAGTCGAGAGAGGACTTTCCCAGATTATAACAGCCGTTATAGAAAGACCCTTGAACGTCTGGTTCCACATCAGTCCCAAACGAATTGCCCCCCATTTCGAAGCCTCCAGTCTCAGTCAATGACATTCCGACTTCATTGTTTGTCGGATCATGGTTGTAGTAGTTAGAAACAGCAATAGTAGAGTTGATACCTTCCTGTATTACCAAGTTGTCTGCTTGGATCATGATGACTTGCTGGGTGAAAGGGCCCATGGCCAGGGCGGCAATTGTGATCAAAGACGCCGCATAGACCATTGGTGGTAGGATCCTTGACTGGGGCTTCCAGAGATAGAAAAGACTGAGCGACCCCATAGGGCCACGACTAGCTGAGTCGAAGGCGGCAAAGTCCGACACCGAATGGGCATTTGGAAGGCTCATTTGAAGCCATTTTATTTGGCTAAGTACCTCTGCCACAGCTACCATCATAGAGCTTTTGGCTGCTGTGATAAGAATTGAGAAAGTCGTACTTGGCTGCAGGAAGAATGTCCATTTTGAGAGCCAGGTGCCATCTAATCGGGTTGACAGAATCGTTATGGCTATAACGCAAGCAAAGCTGAAAAGAATGCATGATGTCTTTCAAAACCACATGTCTCGAAGAAATACCGCGTTCGGATCAGCCGGGCTGGATTGCTGTGCTGGAGATTCCGTTCGCTTTGGCCCCAACATAGTGTTGTAGTCAGAGGCTAGTGGAGTCGCGACTGAATCCCTCGCTGAGTCGTCATGCAGAGAGTCGACAATAGCAGGTGGTGAAAGCGGTGGCGAAAGCTCCTGTCTCATAGCCACAGAGGAGATTTCATTGTCAGCGATGCATAGCGAGTCTATTGACAGTGGCCTGATCGGTGTTGGCGAGCCTGTTGATGAGCGCCGCATTTTATGGCTGCAGAACTTCCTAAGCTGGCTCGAATTCTGGACTCGAGACAATTGTCTAGAAATCTGAGCAGGTCTGAAAATGAGCTGCCTTGAAGCATAGAGCAGCAGTATTTATTCGAATGGCGGTATTTTCTGACTGTTAGATATGTCAATATGGAGTTTGGAAGGTTAAGAGGAAGTCCGTTTAACAATGCAGGTCAGTTATAGCCTTCTGGAGGATACATAGCGTTCTGGAATATAGGAGCTCTCTCAAGTAATTGGACATAACTCGAATAAGAAGGGCTCAGATGCTGCTTCTAAGACTTCTAAAAAAAGCAAGGAGATAAACGATGCCATGGATTAGTGTCAAGAATCCACGTGGTCGCACGATATGCAAGCAGGTGAGGATTCTGTACTGTGCCGCAGCAGCCCGCAGGAATGAGACGAGCTGATCGTTCAACACAGCCGAGCTGGCTCGTAACAATTTCAAATTGGGCGTAACGAAGTAGGGCTGATGAATAAGTCATTCACTATGCAAGTGCCCTTTTTCAAGGAACGCAATGCTTTCAAGCCAAGGTCCAGACGCTGCCGGGCTCATACCGGTGATACCTCTCTTCGAGATTACATTTCATTGCCTGAGAAAGATTCTCGTCTCAGTTGGCATATTCTGAAGTTCATGTGCCAAGACCGTTGCTGATTGAGTCGAGTAGTACAGACTGTTGCCGATCTCATACCAGTCATCATGTGCAGAGCCTTTAAGCTATCAACAACAAAAAGTAAGTTAAAGCATTAGGGCAGATTAATTTTTAGCAAAGCTGAATTAGCAGGAAGGCGCAGCTCATTCAAACACGCCAAATGAAATCATGCCGCTTTAGAGATAATGCTCGGCTGCAGCGTTTGCAGCTGTCCTTGATATCTCGCATACTTCGTGACGACACTTTGCACAACACCCTCGGCGCTGGTGTGACACAACTCCAGGGCGCAGTCACTCGTGCAAGTTGCCATAAATTTATGGGACACCAGGCAGCGCCCTTGTTCCCATTTAGCGTCTGGGTCATCTTCCAGAGTGACAGATTGCTAACCTTACACAAAGCATGCCGCAGCGTTGTCTTCAAGGATCCGCGATGCAGTCCGGAAGAACAAAGCCACCCCAATTGCGGACACTAAACGATATTCCTTAGTGCAGCACTATGTATACCTAGTAATGTTAATTACGCAGTAGCACAAGTAACGTTATCATGTTGAGGCAGCTGCACGTCGTGCATATCTAAAATTGTGTTCCTTTTGCGCCATGCAGATCATAGTTGGCTAAGGGCTTGGGGCCGGGGGCAGCGTCCAGTGCGGCTGAGTTGATCAGGGTGCAGTACCGGCTTCCAGCCTGCCACGCACAAATAACATGCACAGTACACAGCACACATCTTGCAGAATACGTGGGAGTATGAAAGTTTTAGCGAGGAGTAAGCCTTAGTTACCTGCGTATTTCAACTACCTAAAGCAAGTTCTATTCCTACACTTTCCCGGTACGTGGGAATACGTAAAATTCTCCAGCTTGATTGCCATGCTTTTAAACAGGTTTTCTTCACCTGTTGCTCCTATTGTTCTAACAGTAGCACAGATCTATCGACCCAACCACGAAGAAATCAACATACAATGCTATGATCAAGTGGTCATGGAAGACGAAGTCTTTGGATATAATCCCGAACTTGAGCGGAACCCAGAACATTGTCATTCAGTTCGGAGGCAAGAGCAGTACAGACGCGACTAACTTAGAGTGTGTCACAATTCTAGCAGATGCCATAAATCAAAACGGTGGTCCTAATGCTCACAGGGTCGTCGTAAACAACTGTAGTGATCGTATCTGAAAGATGACTGCTTTTAGATTTCCGTGGCAATGCTTTGCAGCCTGAATACTGAAGGCTGCCAAGGTCCCAGAATGGGTCTCGCGACCAACTGACAGCCCAAACCCCACTGCACTGAGGCAGCAGCCAGGCGCCCTAGGGTACTTAGAGCCCCAAAGCCCCAACACTACACCCCGTGTCTCAGCCTCATCCTTCCAATCTCGCCGTTCCACACAACCAAACTTCCAGTGCAACGAAGTCTTCGCAATTCCAGAAACAACCCGTTTCCACCTCAATGTCTGCCAACACGCATTCTGTCAAGGCCAAGGTGGCCTCCGATAGTCCTAACGAGGCTTCTGCCGCGCCAGTACAATCAGACACACAGAACCCAACTCAAGAGAAGGACACAAAGGCCCTGTTCAAAGACGCATTTGATCGAGCATGGAGTAGCACTAGTGAAGAGATCTTGGAGCGTCATCCTGCCTGGAGTAAGTGGCATTACAGGAGCGATTTTATTCTGCAGATGAGCACGCCTGGCCGCTGACCGTTGCGGAACTCAATTATACAGAGGACATGCCGCCTGCCCGCGGCGTAAGCCCAGCCACGGCTATGCGGGTCTTGGAGGAAATGGAGAGGGAGGAGCGCAAATTACCTGATGGAACGGAAACTACTGGGAAACACAACGCCTCGTGAAGGCAGAGCTGGAATAGACCAGGGCTACCATATGGCCCTTCACAAACCCCGACCAAGTTAAGAAAATACCAAATTTGCACTGCACTTCAGCGAGCATGTTAAATCTCACCAAGTTGCGATCAGCTATTGGTACAATGGAGTCTATTCTTTGGATGGGTTTCAAGCAAGCAGGGGTATAGCTGATGGGAGATGTTCCCAGAGGAGGTGGTCCCATGAGAGGTTCACTTATGAGGGACCAAGGCAAAGAGTCTATACTTTGGTAGATTAAATCTAAATTTTTGGCTGCGACCACTCTGAAGCGCCCTGTTCAGACCTTAGAATAGAGACCCTGCCAGTGGCTCGGACGACAGCGTGCTAGAGGACTGCAAAGAAAGTCTATCACACCAAGAAACTAACACGTGCCTTACATTTGTTCTATTCTTGATCTATGCATATGATACCCTCTACCAGATACTTTCCCTCGTACCTATGTAGAGATTTTGTAAAAATGTGAAAGAAAAAAAAAACCAAATGCAAGCACTGCTTTTGTGATGCATGCCTACCTACCAATGAAAGGTACCATGCATATTACACAGTATCCATGTTGCAGCTTTCTTTCTTGTTTTGGGATGGGAGGGGGACCAGATGTTCAGGTAAGGCTTTTCAGGATGTATCTTTCACACCATTTTGCAGATTGGGTCAAAACATAATTATGAAAAGAGGAGCGGTGCCTAGGAGGACTCTAATCTGTTTATTGTCTGGAACGGTTAAGCCGTCCCTGTATGTGTTAGCAGCATTGATCAATGAAAGGCTATCTCTGGTCTTTCTTCCCGTCTATTTGTAAAAATTTCAAGAGCAATAATACAATGGCTGAACAATGGTAACATGGTCAGAATGGTCCTTCCGTGGGAAAGCACTTTATTACACAAAGCACATAGTTAAGTCTCTTTAATCTGTTATCCTGTAAAGCACTGTGAATTATATAGCAAGTAGTGGAGTATAAATAAAAGCGTTATTGTTTTAGCTAAGTTTACTTTAGTAAAAAGTAAGCTTTTAAAGTGTAATTTATAAGTGCTTTAGCAAATATATACTTCTTTATAATAACTTTTAGTAGCTTATATATATATTAAATTTATAATATATTTTTTAAATATTATTAAGTATTTATTTAAAAGTAATTTAAAACTAATTATTATAAATATAGCTAATTAAAAAAAAATTTAATAAAAAAAATATTAATTTAGTAAAGTCTAATATTTTCCTTTAAAAAAGCGCTTAATAATTATAATAACGTATTTAGTAATAATAATTTTAAAATATTAATAAGTTTAATAATAATATATATTAATTATTGCTTTAAATATAAAAATAATTTTTTAAAGTATATATTTTAATTTTTAATTCTTTTTACTTATAACTATTAATTATATTAATAATAACCTTTTTTTTATTACTTATTTTATAATATATAATATTTTTTTACTTTTATTTATAAAAACTTTATATATAATTATTTAAATTATAATTTTTATAAATAATTAATATATTTTAAACTTATACTTTTATAAAATAGTTTTTTTAAGCTATTATTTATATATTTATTAAAAAACTTTTTTATTAATTTTTTTTATTATAAATTATATTAATAAAAATTATAAATAGTTAATTTATTATATATTAAAAATTACTAAATAATATATTTTTTAACTTTTTTATTAATTTTAAAATACTTTACTTTTTTTTTATTTATAAATACTTTTTATTATTACTTATTTATTAAAATATTATTAATATATTTATTTAAATATAATTAAGCTTTTAGCTAATAAAAAAGCTTATATTATTATTAAAAGTAAATATAAAAATATTATAAAGCTTTAAAAAAAAAGTATTAAAAAGCTAAATATAAATAATTTAACTTTTTTTAAAAAATATACTTTAAAAGCTTTTTATTATATTAATTTAAAATTTTAAGTATTTAGCTATATTTTATTTATTATTATTTATAATTATAAAATACTTTATAAATTATTTTTTAAAAATAAATTTAAGCTTAAAATTATAATTTAATATAATAAGCTTTACTTTATTTATATATATTTACTTATTAATAATAAAAATAATAATAATTATTTTAATTATTTTAATAATAATAATTACTATTTATAATATATTTATAGTAAAAAGTATATTTTTATTTTTATTATTTTATATATTAATATTTAAACTTTTTATAATATAATTATTAATTTTAATAAAAAGGTTTTTATAAATATTTATATTATTTAAAAAAAGTATTTAAAATAATATTTTATTAATAAGCTTAATAATATTAAAAATAAATATAGCTTATTTTTTATACTTTTAAATAATAATTTTAAAAAGCTTAATAGTAATACTAAAAATATTAATATAAAAAATATATTTAAAAGTAATAGCTTATTAATAGGTAATAATATTATTGAAGTTATTAATAAATATATTAAATTATTTTTAAATATATTAATTAATTTTAATATTAAAAAGTATATTTTTTAAGTTTTTTATAGTTTTTTAATTAAAAACTTTAATAAAAAAATTACTTATTAAATTTAAACTATTAATTTTAATAGTATTAAAAATACTAATAAAAAAAATTACTATATAATTAACTTTAAGTATTATATAAAGTATATTTTTATTTATATAATAAAAAATATAATTAAAAAAGTATATAATACTTTTATATAAAGCTTTATAAATTATTTTTATTTAATATAATATTATTTTTTAAAGTTATAATATAATTAATATTTTAAATATTTAATTATTAATAAGCTTTTATAAATTTAGCTAAATAAAATTTGTTAGTATTAATATATATTATTTAACTTAATTTGCTAATATTTTTATATTATAAAGGTTTAATAGTAATTAAAAGTGCTTAAATTATCTTTTTATAAGGTTTTTTATAAGCTTATTAGCTAGTATTTTACTAGTTTTAAAGTATTTAATTTTAAACTCTTTTTTTTAATATTATTTTTTTAACTATATTTATTAAATATTTAAATATTTTAACTAAATTATAAGCTTATCTTTTATTAATATAATAAGCTAAATAGCTTATTTATTATTATAGTAAATTTTCTATAGTTTACTAATATTTAATAAAATATTAATAAAAAATCTTTAAAGTACTATTATATTTTTAATTATATAGTTTAAAATTATAAGTTTAGCTTTTATAATTAAAATAGCTATTATACTTTATTTAATTATTTTTTAATAAATTAATTTATTAAATAATATAATTATAAATTTTTAAAATAATTTTTAAAATGTTTTATTATTTATAAAAAAAGCATTTTTAATAATTAAAAGTATATTAATATTTTAAAATCCTTTTTTATATTTAATTTTTAATATTTTTATTAAATAAAGGTATTATATTAAATAGTTATTTACATTAAAATATATAAGTTTAAAGTTTATAAAGAATTATAAAAGCTGTATAATTATATATACTATATTTAAGTAAAGTATTATTATAATATATAATACTAATTTTATATACTTTTAATATTTTTTAATTTTAATATATATAACTTTTTTAATATATTTTTATAGCTTATTAATTAATAAAAAAGTTATTAGTAAAAACTTTTTATTACTTATTAAACTAAATTTAAGTATAATTTTTTTAAAGTATATATTATATATTAAGTTAATTATTTTTTTTTTATAATTTCTAATTATTTATATATTTAAAAACTATTTTATAACTTTTTAATTTATTATATTATATATATATTTAATACTTTTTTTAATTTAAAAAGCTTTTATTTAATATTTTTAATAATAAAATATTAAAATATTATTTATATAAAAAATTATTATAATGCTTTTTATTTAGTTTATAAATAAGTATAATTTTTTTATTAATAGTAAAAGCTTAAATTAATTAAAAATATAACTAAATTCTTTATACTATTATAATAATAAATTTTAAAGTTTATATAAAGTATATTTTAATAATATATACTTTTTTAGTTTTTAAAAGCTATTTAGTAGCTTATAAAATACTAGTTTATAACTTTTTTTTATAATATTTAAAAATACTTTAATTATATTTATTTAATTAATTTTTAAGTTAAACTTTATAATTATTATAATAATTATTTAAAAAAGTTTAATTATAAATATTACTATATAAATATTTTATAATAAGTTAAATATTTAAAAATTTCTTTATATATAAATCTATACTTTATATTTTATAAAGTTTTTATTTTTATTAAATTTATAAATAAATATTTATTTTAAAAATAAAAGTTTTAATATTACCTTTTTTTTTTATAATTTTTTATATACTTAATTTAATTAGTATTTTAATTTTAGTATATATAGCTTTAATAAAATTATTTTTTATTAAATAGTTTTTTAAGTTTTACTATTTATTTAATAATTTTATAAAATTGCTTTAATAATAAAAATTTCTTTTTATTAATATATTTATTATATAAACTATAGTTTTAATAATTAAATATAAAGTATAATAATAGTTTAAGTAATATTCTTTTATATCTTTTACTTATTAACTTATATTAGCTTACTTTAGCTATAATATATTTAAAAAATAAATATTTTTTTAATTTTTTTTAGCTTTTAAATAATTTTAAAATATTTAAAAAATAAGTTATAAATATTAAAAAATAATTAAATTTATTATTTCTTTATATTATAAATTAACAACTTATATATATTAAAGGTTTATAATTTTTTACTAACCCTTTTATATACTTTATAATTATTTTTAATAGCAAATTTTTATTTATTAAAATATTATTTTTTTTAATAGTAAAACTTTATTTACTAAAGCTTAATTTTTTTTTAAACTTTAACTTAATTATAATTTAAATATTAAAAAATATTTAATTATTAAATTAATAAATTATAATTTTAATTACTTATTTTTAAATTAATTAAACTTTAAACTTAATATATTTACTAACTTAAATATTTTTTTTAAAATTAAAAGTTTT